AATACTGAAAATAATAAAACAGGAACACTGTACTCACCTGATTTAATTAGACATGCAAAACTAAATTGCAACTACGACTTCAGTTTATAGGGTTGAATTCTATTGTCGCGTTTTAATACTCTCGCACGAATAAAGGGTAAATATGATATATGCATGCATCTAAAATCGCCTAAAATAAGTTCCTACGTATAAAAACGTGAAGATGAAATTTATCTAAAAACTCACAAGGAACGGTGGAAATTGTTTGACAAGAACGTGGAGTTATTTAACCTCGCCCACTCACAGCATGCGGTATTCCTCCAATTAACTCACTCCCTGCATGTTTATTATTACATATCCTGAATTTTTTACCTAGCAACATTTAATCTATATTATATGCGTGGTATTAACCGTTTTAATGAATATACCATATATACCATATAAATGTGAATATATACCACATATATGCCCAGAATATACATATACAACTAATACAAGTACAGTTGTTCCATGTTCATCAAATTCTCTGCAGGATGCTTTAGTGCATGCATATTGCTCAGTTAGATTATCTATACTACATATCAGAATAGGAAAACTTTATGGGTTCTAAACCCCCGCTACTGAATATCACACAATGCTTAACTTTTAAGGCATATGGATTATTTCAGGTAATAACTGACAATCATGAGGTTTATTTTATTTATAATTTCACGTAATAACGATCATGCATGAGGTTTATTTAAAATAATGTATTCTTTCGTGTTCATTCTACATTAGTATTCATTGGAAAGGTTTCTTAAAACTAACAAAAATTACATAACTAGATTATTTTTACATGCATGAATTTGTTTTATAAGCGGTCTGGATATATTATTTCTCTTTGCCAATTTTCATTCAATAGCAATTAAGCTTAGCAATTAAGCATCATTCGAAGTGTACTTGACGCGGCAATTAAATAAAATATAAATTCATGACCATCATGTGAGCAACACGCCTTCCGTTCACACCCAACATAAAATGTGCACCTAAAATACAAGGCATCGCTTTCCTCGTTATATTTTGCAATATCGCCACAACAGTTACTGTATCCAGACTCCAGAGGCAGAAGTTCATCATTTTAGTCAACTGATAAACATTTCAAAAGACCATGCCCGCATCCGCATGTATTCATTGATGAAAATGCAAAAAACCCACGCATACATGCAGTTATACGCCTGCATGAAGTGACGCTAATGAAATTAATATCACAGCTTTGTTTAAACTGGGCTAAACGGACTTGATAGACTACATACTAGAACACGAACTTTGAAGTTTCGAGCAGACTTTCGTTTCCTACTGCCGTTAGACGGTACCGATATACTTGTACCAAAAATCGACGATTTTGACGTTAACTTATTTTTTGTTGTAAGTTTTTCAACAATTTTTTAGATAGTGGTAGTACAATATCAATTCAAACGCCCACGCTCAGCCTCTTGCTTTGTTATACTAACAGCTAGAAATTACTGTACCAGCCCCCAACCAAGCGGCCTCGTCGGATAGCATTCCATTAAATAACGTAATTTACACTAATACCATGCATACACATGCATGCACATATGGCATAATGAAATGATATGAAATACGCGATAAGTTACCAATGCATCAAATGCGAAACTATCTTGGAGTTAGACAAGAGTCTAAAGACAAAAAACTGAAAATTCAGTTGATTGTTTAATATATATATATATATATATATAGCAATAATATAGCAGCATAAATTTTAAAATCGCCTACATTACCCTATAAAATACCATGCATTACGACTTGAATATATGCGAGGGACTTTCATTTTAGTTTTTTCAATGATTCTTTTCGTCCTTAGTCACCATTTATTTATATTTATTTATAATGATATTTATCCAGCATACCCACATCACCTAAAGTGTTTTTCAGTGGAGTCCTGCACCATCATTAACTACCAGCGTTTCTTGTTAGTTGTTATTTGATTGCAAACTCAAGGGTTAATAAATTTCAAAGATTACATTTAGGTTTTATGCAAGAATGATAGTTGCACACAAAACAAAACATAATCCAAAGATAAACATCTTGAAACCCAAAATATAGGTTAAAACAAGACAATGACGATTTTGCAATAAAATCGAAATATCACGAACTCATTCTTTATCTTGTTTTAACCTATATTTTGGGTGTCAAGATGTTAATCTTCGGATTATGTTTTGTTTTGTATTTCTTGAAATTGTCGGCTCAGTGGTATTGCCTATTGCCAGTATTGGTTTTTGAATAGTTGGATAAAACGGCGATAAATTAAACATAGTCGTAGATTAAACAAAGTCGAAGTTTGTGAATACACACGTTGTTATAACATGTGATGTTCAGAAAGCTCTTCAGTAAACTTTAAACATGCAAGAAATATGATGAAGTATTGCTTATTTTGACTCATTAACTCATTTTGCGTTAATACCGAGTTAAATGATGTAAAGAGCAATGTTACAGCATGTGTTTTCACGTGAATGTAGCAAAATATCCATCCCTTTAAATGTCGCTATTGTTCTAAATTTATTTAGAACCACTGATCCAAAGCGTGCATGCGACGAATTTTTGGTCAGTGCAGAGATAAACTTTATGGTCTGTCATGCCATCGTTTTGAGATGTTCCTAAAAAAGCCTCGAAATTAGTCAACCAGGATTTCTAACTTTTTGCCCACCACCGGATGAAACATACGAAAAAGACGGCTGAGAAGTAGCTAAGGAAGCTATTACGTATTAGGAAATACCTCAACAACCACCTACGATTAACAGCGCATCAACTTTCAGCGGAAGTATGTAAATACGGAACAATTCCTATGACGCTTTTAAGCAATCTGGGCTCGTTTCTTAGATAACATGATTCAAGAATCACCCTAGAAATTTAAATGTAAAGCTTGGAAACTTGCATTATATAACTATAATATTCTCTACTTAAACTCAAAGTATGGTTTTTAACCAATGATATCTACATTTCAAACTTGTAGGTATACATACACAGAACTAAATTTCATGCATGTGCTTTACAAGAGAAACGGATTACCTTCAGATTATATGTTGAACGATTGTAAGAAATATATATAGCTTATATGTAATGTACATGTAGTCAAATTGCATATTTGACATTTGTCTCTGTCAACGTGTCGATGTTCAATAAAGCAATGCTATAAACGTAACGTTGTTACAAAACTGGAAAGTATAGAACTAATGTGAGACACATTTTCACAGACAGTTTTGTTGAAAATCGTTAAATCGTTAATGTAGTGATCGTTAGCTTGATCTGATCACAGCTTGTGTTAACAAAGTTAACTGTGTACACTAGTTGGTGTACGGCGTCACTCGGCAGCTCAGTTTATTACGCTCTAGTTGAATAGCGCAGGCTCAGGCGCAGGTTCAAATCATGCCAGAGGGTCTGTTAATGCGTTAACCTCGTTATTTGTCACTATCATTCCTGGTCTAAAATGTAGTACTATATATAAATTTACGTCTATCATCAACAATCAGCTTCTAACAAGTCCTTGGCTCTGCTATAATTGCTTAAGAACTACGAACAATATGCATGCAAATTTCAAGCACATGAATTTATAATATATTTCCTGGCATATTACTCCGTATACTATACAATTGCTGAATGGGCAAGAAAATGAGTGAAGTTTTCCCTGCATGGTTAGGAAATACCGGCCTTATACAAGATAACTAACGTGTAAGTAATTATCAGCCTAAAATAAAAGAAGAAAATCAAAATATTATTAATGTCATTATATATACGCAAGCTTATGAGGAAACTTTAAAACTATATAAACAAGGAACTAACGAAATCATTCTAAGTTTATCATCTAATTCCCACACATTAGTTACGAAAGGTTGTTTCCCGACACGTCACTACACAGAAGCAAAGGCACCTGGCATTTCACTTCATTTTTTCCAGAAACAGTCAGAATATATAATAATATCGAGTGAAAATCCCCAGGCGAATTGCGATGATGAGTATTATTAATTGCTAGTAAACGTTTAAGGAAATTGCTCTTAGAAACATTGTATCATGTGGCACTTGAAACGATCTTGTCTTCTATATGTACTCTATAGAACTACTCAATTTTTTATTATTTTTTATTATGCTGATTTGAAGAGTTTTGGCCGTTAAATTGTATGCTAGCGTTTCACCTTTATATACGTCTCTGTGAAATTCTTTATTTCACAACTACACAACTCATAGACATGATATACAGTTTCACTCTACAAAGTTTTCTTTAAGTTTCTGAAGTCCTTAAATTAACCTTAGTTTAAATGCGATGAAACTTACATGGGCGAAAATTACCACGAATTGGACAAATTTTTATCCGATCATACGACGTTCAGGGAATATGCCTATTCAGGATAACGTTTTGCTTCGTTTAGTTAATCTTGTCAAGGTTTCAAATTAAAACACAATTCGAGCGTACATGCATAATGATATGTAACATTTATATAAAATTACCGTTATGGGATTATATCACGCCAGTACAATCACTGAACCTTCGAATTTCCCGCTTATTCTAAATTTAACAATGATGTTAGGATATAACATGCGTGGTTAGAATTAGTTCTATGGTGTGATGTCTCGTTACTTACGTTACAGCGGGAACCTAGTAAAAAGTAAATTTACTTAGGCCTAAGTATAATTACAGGTACTCCGGTTAAAATATACCTGTGGAAAATTGCTTTGGATTACATATGTACACAATGAAATATCTGAACCAAAGAAACAAAGAATTGGAAGACTAAAAGCGGAGTTTTAGCTCTAGCAAATCCAAGTTATGGAAATTAGGATTCATGGACCATGGACGTGGTGTACGGCGATTGTGTAGTCTTTGGTCGAGGAAGGGAACCGGGAAAAACCCACGCGTCAACAAAATATAGAACATGACATCATGCTACAAAATTTAAAGGAGACAAAGTGGACAGGCAGTATAAAACCAGCCGTTGGTAACTTGTTCAGATACAAAGCACGAGCCACAACAGTCCTCACTGGTCACTACAAACTGATGCGAGACAGTTTCTCACGATTCAACCACAAAACAATTTTATTATATCTTTCTATAAAGCAATCATGGTGAACTTTAATAAATTTTTAAATGGATCAAACATCAAGGTAGGTGACATATAATGGTAGTTTATTATTTTTTTGGTTGAAATCTATGTACGTGGTATCTTACTAAGGTATTTATATAGTCTATCGAGTTTCATATAAGTGGTCATTAAGAACCTGAGTGAACCCACCATATTCTCCGAATATGCAACTATTATTTGGTATTTATTTTAACCGGCTGTTTTATCGGAAAGTTTATATAAATATGTACAGCAATCCGTTAGAACCTTCGGGCAACCTATCTCATGTTATGCGCTAAACTAATGTAAGGGAAGTTTTGAAATCCACTGATAAATGTGAGCCCGCGATGCCTATTTATGGGATTGGAGGTACAGCTCGAGACCAATGTCCGAGCGTCCTTGTGTGGGAAGCAGAAGATGTTGTGAATAACCCGACGAAGAGAAACCTTAATGAATTATATATGCTTGCGTGAAGGGAAAAGAAAACCTGTCCGATAATGAAGACGAACTTGTATATTCACAATCGTTCTTGCCACCATATTATGTGATTTTATATAATTAGCCAGATTATGAAGTTCTGCATGTGGATTAGTCTAAATATAAACTAGGTCTTGAGCCATAAGGCTGGCCGGGAGGAAGTTACTAAAGCAATAAAAAATTTCCTTGTGGGGGTGGAACACAAAGAATATTTGTTTTAGCTTCTTTAAACAAAGATATGCAAAATTTTAATACAAAATTATTTTCATTCAAAGTATACATCGTCTAGCAATGTTATATCATAGAAGCTTGCTAATATATATAGACTTATAGTAGCTGTATGTCACACATTAATACGATGTTGTTCTTGACGTAAAGTCATAGTACATTAAATTATTAAAATAGTACAAAAAACTGATCGCGGGATTTTTCCGGGTCCTTAACTGACATGGAGTATAATTCCATTCACATGCGGGCATGATTCTCGGACTCACTGATGCTTTGAAAGTAATTTTCCAATTTTATTTCCAGAGCTATTTAAAATTTAATAGTACTTATAATGATATTGATTGCGGCGGGAATGCGCCGGTTCTCGGTCATATAATATATACTAGCTGCATGTATATGAGAGTCATTACACCTAAAGCTCCGCTTACAATACACTTCAATTTTACGACGGCACGGCAAGGCTAAAGTCGAAAAATATCTACACGAAAAATATCAATTTTCTATTTGTGAATCAAAGTTTATGTATATATAACGCTTGTTTTCTAGTTCACGGCCATACGAATTCTTATAATGGTTAAAATAAGTAGCTTAGCGGCTTTAAAACGCGTATATCGTCTTCAAATATTTACGTCTTATAAATATATGTCTTCTTTAAGGGGTTTCTACTCTTGTTGCTGTTAGCAATGGCCGAGCTAGCCTGTGAAGCCAAGACGATTTATAAAACCGTAGGCTCTGATTACATATGGCCCAGCGATCAGGCTGGTCAGGGACAGGGTCGCAAAAATGGTCATGGAAATGTAAAATCAGCTTGGAGAACTCAAAAGGGTATAAGTGGACCACGAAACAAAAATTGTGATTTCACGTGGGAATCGGTTAAAGGAGAAGAATACCAACAACCGGAATTTTATCTTGTAGCAGTGTGTAATGATTGTCCCGAGTCCTGCGAACCTGTTACCTACCCTTTATGGGTGCGAATCAATAATCCGGAAAACAAGCATTGGAAAAAAAAAGATATTACGGTAGCTTTTGTACACAGCCATTAAAATAGATACGTGCATGTATGCAGTTTTTTGGGTAAACCCAGAAATAGGATGTATTTTCCATGAAAAGTATTTAAATGACATTATTTATCTTAATAGTCTAAGTAGAACATAATATAGATATATATATATATATATGCATGCATGCATGAGTACAATATTTTAGAAATAGCATGGACAGCTTTGCAGTAGAAAATAACAAAAAATTGGTTGTTTCGAATAGGATTTGAGCAATGAATTTTTTGTTGTTTCAGAATAAAACCATTATGATATTTTATACCTATTTTATCTTATAAAGTGGATACGAAAAAATCGATTGATATATCTATATTAAAATATATCTTAATATATTATAATATATTAAAATCAAAAAATTAATCCGTTATAAGATTGCAATTTTGTCTTAATTATAAATAAGAGTAATTTATATTTATTATTTATACATATTATTAGTTAAAGAAACCTGAAATATAATTATTGATAATAGACACTATAACGCATAAAGAACTCTTTGATAGATATAGGTACAAGATATAGGTACGCGAATTCGGACTATTTATGCAAATAACACATTTACTATTTTAACAATAATATATAATTTATGCATATAAAGTATAATTTTTGTCAATAAATATAGATTTTACTAATTAAATTAAAATTTTTATCAAAATACGTGTTGAATTTTTCAATTTGGTTCATTTTTTTCAATTTGGTAGATAATATAAATCCATAGATTATTCTCTTTCTACCCCAAGAAATCACCACGAACATATTTTGGAAGTCACAATCAATGCTCGTTTTGATACGTTAGGTACAAATGACTACTATTAAATATGGGCCAAAAATGGCATAGTTTTTTCCCAGAAGGCAATGCTAATAGTTTTTTTGTTCATTATCACGTTATTTTTAACTACTCGTTAGTAAAATTTGCAAACGAATGCTTATTAAGGTCTTAACAAGTGCCATTTTCGGGACTACTACATCCGACTATGAGGATTTTGTTTTTTACTTTTATTTAATGCGACGTTACCCAAATTATTTTGGAACGTATCCACCACGTCGATTAATAAATGATTTTTTTAAATTGTTTCGCGAAAGAAAATATTACTTGCCGAGTCCCACGTTGTTTAGCAGGTTGTTCGAAGCCCGATTACAGCTAACCTTGTCCTTGGGTTTTAAATTAAAAAAAAAAGAAGCGGCTCCAGAAACTAGGACAAATAAATCGAAAATTTTATCAGTGAACATGCACCTTCTTAGCTTCAATCGTTATAAATTGGAAAATCGCGACAAATTCCTAGTATTATCAAACTGATTACGACTCTGCAGTTGTTTCAGTTGAAGCAGTTTTCAGAATGCTTTAGAAATGTGTTGCGCTATATATGTATATGTTAAGTTAAGAGCTAGTAAGTGTACAATATGGTGTGGTAAAGGTTGTATTATATAACATATTATGTACAGCATATTATATCTATATTATTTATAGTCACTGTACCAATATAAAAGTAGAAACAAAAGAAGGTGTGAACTGTTATATCAATATTGAGAAAAGAATGCATACAAGTCTATATGGAATATATAACTGGCAAGAGTTTACCATTATACTGTAAGTCAGAAATCCAGGTTACACTGTCATTAGATGTGATTCTGGTACCTACAACTATATAGCATCCGATAACTCTGAGGATGTTGTAACAGCAAAGAAAGATGCATGAAGGGCAATAACAAAGAAGGATGCTCCTAAAAATAAAGTATTTTAGATCATATTCTTGTATGTTTGCATGGTGACAATCGATAAGTAATAAATGTATTAGATACTTATGTTGTGTACCTACAAGCTAAATTACTTAAGTATTTCAGAGTTTTTATTTCTGCAAAGGATCAATAAACACCATTTCATTCTGGTGCCTTGTTGGAACCCCCACCTTCCAGTTTTTAAAAATGTTACAGATATCTTTTTTTATCCCCTATTAAATATTTTTCTTAATGCATTTAATGTGTTAATGTTATGATTATGGGCTCACCTATGATCCAAAACACAGTTGATCCAGCTGATGCAAGGAAGAATAATGGTAAACATATCAAGGCTACAAGGGCATATTGTTCAGCAAGACTGAATTGACGACCTGAAGAAATTTTCATGAAAAAGTAAATTCTGAGGAACTTTGCTCTATTCTTTCTAATGAATTAAGCTAATACTATTTAAAGAGACATAGATTTGCCTAAGAAACACAAATATTTTTCCTGCTTGAATGATTAGGAAAGTTGCTTTGCCATCTTTTTTAAATATAATTCAGGAATATTTAAAAAATAGTCTTTGAAATTCCCTGCATGACTTATATTTAGGGCTTTATGCAATTATTCAAAAGTTCTTGTAAGTTATAAAAAGTATACATATACAATGTATAGTATACAATGTATACTAACCAGCTATTGTAAGAGGTCTGGATTTATTTATATAATTAATATACCAGGTTGCTCCACCAGAAATTGACAATGCAATTAACAAAATCGGTGAGGTAAGACTAAAAAATAGGATGTTGTCAACTTACAAAAAAAACATATAGCAAGCATTTTTTTCTAGCAGTACAACAGATTGCAGTTTTACTAAGTTGAATGCCAGTAAAAAAGAGAGATGTGTTGATGAGTGTCAATATAAAAGACACTCTCAATGGTGATTGTGTATGTAAATGTAAAGAATTCATGTTCTCTGGTGACCTGCAATTACTGGCTACAAAGGCTGAGTAATTAAGGGCACTTGCTGCTGTCTGCATGTGTGGATCACAGTATTCTAGTTCTGCACCCGCAAATCCTGTTTTTTTCTTTACAATCAATGGACTAGGTTTATTTTTTCAAGGAGTTTGTAAATACACTGGATTTGTTTTTAAAGGTACTGGATTTGTTCCTTTAGACGATGATATTACCTACATGCTAAAGGCCATTATACATAAATCATACCTATGCATATAAAATGCACCTACATTGATAATAAATTTAGGGGTATAAATTCTCATATTTTAACACGTACCATTAATAAGGTATATTAGGTAATGACAATATTGATTATATTTCACCCCAACTACCCTACAGGTTAGTATATTATAATAACTTACACGCAATAAGTAGCTAATCCGAGAAAAATAAAAACATAATTTGCTTGATATACTTCAACATTCTTCGTCATTCTAGACGTCATTTCGGAGCTGTTTTTTGGCTTGGAAAATCTTTTCATATCAAGAAATTCTGACCAAGGTCTTATTTTCGAGCGCTTCTCCCCTATCCATGATTTTATTTTGCCGAAATATGAAGACGAGGCAACAGCAGTTGTTAAAGAAGACATTTCTATTTCTCCAGAAACTTCTGCGTCCACGTCTTCCATCTTCTTTTATAATTTTAATTTTTGTGATTGTTCAAGTTCAACGTCAACGTTAACAGAACAGATTTCAACACTGGTCTCAATAAGTGACCTGGAGAGCGTGCAGGTCAGGCACATTTCAGGATATAATTTTAATATAGAGAAAGTCACCAAAGTAGCTTCAATAGATTATAATTAACTTTGTTAAGCAATTCATTACATAAAATGTTAAAAAAACAATTCTGCAGACTAATCTTCTTTGATAATAATTTTATCTAATAAAAGTGCTCAACAATTAACTTAAATAATGGTTTTAATTTGCTCTAATGTTTCTTCACCTTCAGCTTCTCCATATAAAAGAAAGGCAATTAGTTGCTTTAAATCATTATCCGAAAACTCCAGACTATCCACATTTAAGTCTCTTTTAGAGGGACCAATTTGAAACTCTGGTGATAGCCACAGTTGATTTTTTATTCCAAGCTCATTGTCAAAATTTAATGTGTTCAGCTGGTAACAAAGTAGTGCCATTCTTGTGTCATTATAAGCAATAGAGCGCATTGACAATGGGTTTTGTAGAACATCACCAAAACTTGCTCCATTCTTGGAGACAGCGTGTTCAACAAGTCGTCCAAAAGAGAACATTATCCCTTGAAAATATATAAAACAAATTACATAAAATAACAATAGTAACATATGGGACGTAAAAAATAAGACTTGAAGAGAGTTTATTTAATGGTTTGAAGAATAAGACTGAGTTGCAAAGAAATTCATGAACAACGTCCTTAGTAACACAAACCTTGAGCTATAAGATGCGGTAACTTCCAATTTCGTTCACCAATAACCAGTGTTCGAGGAAATTGGAAAATGTCATTATAAAACCCATTATCAAATTCCTTTCCTGAAACATTTTGGGATAATTCAAATACTGGTGATATCAACTCATCTTTTTCTTCCACTGATATCTCCATAGTTTTTTCAACTTCTTTAGAGGAAGAAAATTTTGGCAAAGGATTTTCTGATGAAAATAGAAGTCCAGTTTTTCCTGAAACTTGAAACAAATATCCAAATCTGTTCCAAGAAACTTTTAAATCTGGTCGATAAGAGAGCGTTTGTCTGAGTAATCCTGGATATCTATCAACAGATTGAATAGAAAACCTTATAATTTTTAATACAATTTGACAAAATCATTCTCAGACTGAAAATTTTAGCAAATATAGAACATATAAATACTGTATATGTATATGCTAGTTTTAAATCATATGTCACCATGCAACTCATCTCCTCAAATCTCATCTTTTCTGGTAGGATTAAGTTAATTTTTATGCTGTTATTATAGACTAATAGTAGGAGGTTTCAAGGTACCCCACCCACACACTTGTTCTAGGTATAATGTTACAAGAGCTACCATACCTATCTGCACATGACCATGCTGCTTTAACAACATTCATTATCATTCCCTTACTACGTTGAAGATACATCATATTATGTGTATCATCAGAAGACAAAGAACTAGCTACACTGTGCCTAATCTGAGGCAATAAATTTTCAAAAGGCAAATCATCCATCCCAGATAGTACCACTGATGGTAGACTGTCACTCATTATGCTCTTCGTGTTACGTAAGACTTGTCTTATTGGTTCTATTGTCCTCACGCGAGGATGAAATATATAGGGATCATTTTTCGATCTCGCTTCATCCTTTTGATCCTTTCGTTTCAAACGGAGTCGTGAAGGTCCTGTATACCCATGGCGAAGATGCTGGAATACTGAGTTTTGCTTTAGCGTTCTCAAAATAAGCATACTTTTGTTCATATGAAATAAAAGTGCTGTAATCATAAATTACTAAATACAGCATACACTCCGAACTATTATAAATTGGCCATGGACATCGAATAATGGACACTGATCATAGATAATTTCACAGTTTCGACTTTCGAATATATGACCATGCTCATTGACCAATCTTGATCATTCCCGCGTGATAATTATTGTTGGCGGGAGTTGAGCATGGAGAACCAATCAGAATGTGCGAAAATGTCACGCTCGCGTTGCACGCGCGCATTGCAAGATGTGCACTCGAAAGTCGAAATCAATATTAAAAACAAGAAGGCTCAGGGTACTATGTTGTGCTTTTATCAAAAATATATGATCTAATTTTTAGAATCATACAATCACCAAGCCTGTATCATGACGTTCGACTTAATATTAAGCTCCCTTCTTTATCATGAAAGAGAATGGTTTGTATTTCAAGACATTTTGACGCATTTACCTCAGGAGAATGCAGCCGAGGCAAGCCAACGTTCAAAAACCACTCCAAAGTACACCTACCGCTTTGGTATAACAAAAGATTGGGTGACTGGAGATGGCAAAAGAGATCTCATTGATCGCCATTTCATTGATTCAAAGGACCCTGGACGTAATTTGATTTTTAGCAGCGTTCTTATAGACGCTGAGCGAGTACAAGAATTGTTCCTGAAAAGCTTTAACAAAAAATTTCGCCTGAAAGTTCAACAGTTTAATTTGACGTTCGAGTCTTTGGATTCTTCTTGGTTCGAATGGCATTTTGACCCAAAACAGAAGGACGGTTGCGTCGTAAAAAAGACAAAGCTAACAGTTCAAGAAGCCAACAGCAAGTCAAACCCATCTTTAAAGACGCCAGATAAAAAGCAGAATAGTGAAGATATGCCACCAAATTTATCCTCCGGTGAAACTAGTACACAAATTTCTCTGTCCCTGAAAAGACGGAGACCCATCATAGAGAAAGAAAACGAACAAAGCAGCAGTAACTTTTCACCATCTATATCTGAATCTGTGTTAATGCGTCCAAGAAAGAAGGCAAAAGAAGCAAATCAGTCCATCAATAAATACCATGAGGATGACAAATCTGATGTTCCGGTGCTCAAAGAAGAACCGATGTCACCGGACTATAAACCAGATATGGCTAATATCAAGAGGTCACCTTGTGAAAGTGAAGAAACAAAAACCAACCCATCAATGAATTTTCTATCACAAAACACTCTTAAGAATGACCTGTCAAGTTCCATTAATGATGCAGACAGTGATGGTGAGAATACTCCATCAGCAAATACAAACTCACAAAAATGTCACACTACTCTACAGGAAAGCAGCCAGAACAATGAGAGTTCAACCCAAAATATGAATGCAAATTCAGCAAATGATGTTGGACTTTTTCATAATGGTATTTCCCAAGATAGCAGCAACATTGTTGGTAAGGATTTGGATGACATAGAAGATGTGCAAAATGATAATAATGACACAGATAAAATCACCAAAACTGTGGATGACATCTCCGCCAATGTTGGCAACACTACAAATAATGTAGATAATAGCACTGTTGATAACAATAACAGTGCAGAGGAGACTAGTAGCATGGATGAATATGTGCCTGATAGCAATATGCTTGATGATGCTAACCGTGGTTCACACAATGAATCACCAACATCCTCCTTGTTGGACGATTCCAAAAATATCATGGCAAACATAAAGTTGCAAAGACAAGAACTATGTACAGAAGAAGAAGTACTTGTAGCAAATAACCAGCCATCCGAGCAACCAAGTACTTCCACAGACACCAACTTACAGGTTGATAGTAACAAACATGATTGTGGTGCCAAAGCATATTCTAGCAGTGGTGCATCATCAACAGTGTGCTTGTGTACAAATGCAGAGTCATCTGAACAAAAATCAATGGTTGATACTGTTCGAAATACTGGTATGAAAATTATTTTTCTTAGTTACCTCTTTGTGCACACAAAAACATGTAAATAATAAATCATCGTATTCAATATTAAGCAGTAATTCTTCTTAAATATGGAATATTTCTTGACATCATTTAGTGTTTTTTTACTGTTATAGACATGTCAGCTTAGAAATGCTTCATTTGAAAATTTATTTAGAAGCCTCGGAACTACTTGATGGCTTAAGAGCTGCTGGATTTGTGCCACTTGTTCGAAAATTGTTGGAAAATGTCCAAGGTGATACAAGATTATCTCAAATGGAGCAAGAACTAAACAGTAAGTATTTTTTAATCCAGAATTACATTAGTTTCTAGGATGAGTTCTATGTTTTCTCTTAGACTGTTGCCTTAATGATAGCTGCAACAGAAGTATTAGAAATGAGAATTGTCTAGAAGTTAGGACAATCTCTACTATGTAGATTTTCATTTGTTGAAAGTATTTCCAATCAACTTCCAGTTTGTTTACAACTATAATAAAGTATGTTTTAATCTCTAGCCATTGGAAATCAGATAAACCAAAAAAGAAAGGCTAATAGGCAACTTCAAAAGAATATAAAGAAGAAAGCTGGAGAGCTTGAAAAATTGTTTGATAATCTGAGAAAAGGCAAGACGCATTGTGAGATGCTTGAGCAAAAGTACAAAGCTCTCCAAGATGAAAAAACTACTGTTGAAGCAAAGGTGAAGAAATGTTTGGAGGTTTTAAATTCTGTCGACTAGACTTCCACTGTTCAACTTACACAGTTAATTGAAACCAAAGCAGATCTGCAGATTTTATTAAGGACATAAACCTATGGTGTTCAGCATTTTACTTTCCCCAAGTATACAGTGATAATGTGCATGTAATTGTGCTAAAAGTTGAGTTTAAAAAAGCTAGAATCCACATGTTAATTCTGTTGAAGAAGGCTTACACATTGTAATTTGTCATACATGGTTTGTATTTAGGCCTATGAAATAGAACATCCTCGTAACTGCTTTAAACACAGAAAGTTTTGTGTGTTATATGAAGTATTATTAGCTTGTTAGTTTGGCAAGCCAGTCAAACTGTGTGTCATGTGCATCCTGCTAATAAAATAATTTCAACTAAATCAACCATAAAGCCATGCCTGTAGTAATTTTCATGGGCACTGCTTTAGCACTGATAATCATGTATGACAAATTAGAATTTGTAAACTACCTTTTTTATCTTTCTCTTCCTGTTAATACCATGAAGTCCTGAGATATTTTTATCATGATTTCTTACATCAGCCTAAAAGAAGTTTAGTAATGTCAAATTTCAAAAGGTTGATGAAACTTCATTATTATCACTGGTATCATGTGAATAGCTTTCATTATTAAGATTATTTTTTTAATATTTGCAATTGTTGTTTGTATATATAGAAAGGGTTCATAAAGGTGCTGTAGAACCAGAGTGGTTAAACTAATAACTATGCAGTATGCAATTTTCCTAGCTTACAACTTGCAATGCAATTGTAATTTTGAGGCATGTTAATTTGTAAAGAATGTTTGAGCAGATCGTAAGAAATGTTCGCATTTGACAACTTTAGATGCCTCAGGAGTAGACTTGCATTGCAAATTGGAAGGAATGTTGCATAGTGTAACACGCCAGGATAAGTCATATGTTGAAATTAAAGCTGGAATTTAATTTGTTTTATCAGATTAGAACTGTCAGGAGCCAGTTTTCGACCATCAAAACGTTGCGAAACGGCTGTTCTATTGAGCCTGGGTCATCAAATTATATGACCTGAAATTATTGCTCTCACTCTAAGTTCTCTAACAACTAAATGAGATTAAAGTTTTTTACAACAAAACAAGTCATTTTATTAATCAGCATGCAGTGGCGTCGTTTATTACTATCATTATTCATTTCTTTAGAAATTCATTGTTTTCACAGTCAATGCACCAAAATATTAGCATAGCATGATTAAATTGTCAGGCTTGCTACGCCACTGTCAGCATGCACTTCTTTGCCTTTGACTAGTGTGTTTCTACGTTCTCCTAAGTGATTGTGTTCAAATGTTTATATAGGTTTCGTATTGTTGAACTGCCTGCTAAGACTTGTAATCCTTTTTGAAGTGACTCCAGAAAAACTCCGGAACGTACAGGAATTTTTTTATCAGGTATACGGGCTAAAATACATGATGCCCGAGCTCATGGGCCGAAAGCTTAGAAATAAAAAAATTACATGTGTATATCACAAACATTTAACAACACCATGCGGTCCATGCAAAAACATTTCAAATATAACAAGATATCCACGGAATTTGTTTATTTTGTATTACTTAGGACTACTTTCGATGGAACTTATTTAACTTGTTTTTCAAGAGGTATGTTCTGGCTGTGCCCAAAGCGGTCAACACGTGCACGAAAAAATTCTGGAATCAAGAAATGCATGTAGGTATGTGAAGAAGATATTTTGAACTGTGAACACTTACAGGATGAAAACCTTGCAAATAGAGATTTAATTTAATGAAAATAGGCTGCTTATTTTCTGCACTAATCCATCATGTGCAAATTAAAAAAGTCGAAAGGGAGATTGGTTGGAACAGGTTCGGTGACTTCTGTCTTCTTTTTCCCCTTCTCTTGGAACAACGGCTCGGGCTCACGTCATTTTTTGAGCAGCGGCTGTTATTATAATTCAGTTGCCTAGCAACCACAGCAACAAAAGTCTTAAATTGAAGACGAAGGCGAAGTGCTTGTGTTTTAAAATTATTTTACTACGTTGTTTTAATAGTTTTCAATTTTTATGCAAACATTTTCGTAAAGAAAGCTTGCACTTAGTATAAAAAATGGTAAGTTCAACATAAAACACCATTTATTATTAAGACATTGACCGAATTTCGCGTTTTAAAAGTTAAAACAAGCTTAATCTTTCTGCGGATTTATCTAGAGTACTATTGGGTCAGTAGAATCACGGGGATCCAGTGGCTCAAGACGTTCTCTGAATCGTCAATATCGAACTGTAAACAAAACGTCAACAGTGGTAGGAAATATTTTGTTAAAGTTTATTTTGCTTTATGTCACAAGTTAGACTAATAATTTGCAAATATCTTCTGAACTAAATTTCTGATACATTTTTTGAAGGATGAAAGTCTGTTTGGATCTCCAAATAAGACACGTCAAAGGCAAAACACAGCTAATAATGATTTTCCTCTGTTGGATTCACCACAACGATCCCCATTCTCAAGTGGTAAGGATTAACCCTCTGGCTGGGTCGAGCTAGTTGCTCAAAGCCTGATTAGTGATTACTAAAGCTTTTTGCTTTAGTCTTTTGTTGATTATCGCAATTTTTTATTTGTTATTGTTAAACTTTTTGCAGCAAGAAGAAGAACAAAGGAACCTGAAGTTATTGAAATTGTGACAAAGGATATGATAAGGAAACTCAAGTATTTATATTTTATTTACTTATAAATTTTATTCATTCATGAAATCTTAATGTAAGAATAAAACTAGCATTTACAAGTCCTTTTTTTCAAGGATAAAATTACATCAGTCTTGGATGGGTACAACATGAATAATTTGGTGTGTTCATCTACTTTACTCTAGAGTTCCTGAGCAGGACCCATCTGGAAAATCAGTGATCCTGGAAAATTATGAGTTTGGTCGAATACAGGTAAGATAAATAATGATTGTAAGTGTCAGTAGATTGGTATTGATCTCGATAATGGATGATTATATATATACTATTATCTTTGCTATTAATTTCTTTTTGAATGAGCCACTATCTAGCTCCTAATGGGAACATCAGGGGTGTGTGTGTACATAATCCATTGTAAACACCAGATTTCCATCACTTCGCAACCGTGACTAAATCTTATCTGTTTAGAATGCTGCACGTGTTCTTAGTAAGGAAGAGCAACTTGCTGTTGTTGAGGAGGCAAAGAGAAGAAAAGCTGAACTTATGAATGCATGCGAGGAGAGGAAAAACTTCATGCAAACTATGGAGTTAAACCGTAAAGAAAATGAAAAACTTTCAGATCTCGAACAGGTGCAAGTCACTTACGATCATTATGAACTAGAATGTTTACAATTGTCATCTTAGTATTTCAGTGGACATGGATAAAATCCTCGCTTCTATGTGTGTGCATAATGTAGAATAATGGGAACTTTGTTGTAGGAGGCAAAAGAAAAATCTCAGTATCTTCTTGAAAAAGCAACCGAACAAATGGAAGAACAAGAAGATGAAATTAAAAAGTTAAATGAAGTAAGTTGAGCCATCAAGAAATGGGATGAGTTTTATATAATTTAGCATAATCCTGGACTGGTTTATAACGACACGATTTACACGATACGTGTCCGAAATCTCTATCGCAAAATTACGTAGATGACATAGAAATTAGAAACTCTCTTCCTCTGACAATGCACCTCAGTCTCATTATAAATTATTATATGAAGGGTAATTTTTTTCTGTATACATTCCAACCAGTCTCCGTGATCTTTTTAGCTTATTTTGAACGCTAAATGTCATGCGATACGCGACGCGCAGTTGGTAGAGAAAGTGGAAGTGAAGAAAGAAATGTTAGATGAAGAAACGCGACTTGATGAAATGATGGAATTAGAACGTCGTAAAGCTTTACAAGAGTATGATGAAAGAGAAAAGGCGAGACAGATTGAGAGAATTAAAGGTGCTCAAGTCATACAGCAACAGATTTCTGACAATGAACAGAAACGTCTTCTTAACGAACAGAAGAAAGATCAAGAAACACAGGTTGGTTATGCGTTGTAACCTTATGATGTTAACAGATAAAAAATGTTAGATCATTTTCTTCGTTAATTTTCTTCATTTATTCAAGCTTGAACTCAGAATCATACGTCTAACCTTTCTGTAATCTTTCCACTCAGGCGATGCTTCAGTATCTTGAAAAACTTCAACAGGAAGATCTTGATGAGTTGATCAAAAAGAGGGAGACACAGAAACAACTGATGGAGGATGTAAACAAAGCAAATGCGGTCAGTATTGGTTTGGCATGATGGGCCTTAGAAAATCATTTGGCGGGGACCAAATTTATTTTTATATTGTCAAAAGATAACGAGAGCTAAAGCATTTCCACATAAGATAATGGTGAACTCTAAAAACGCAGCACGAACACAATAGGGGGCCAGCCTAATTGATCAAAACATGTACTGTCGGCTATCATCGGGATATGTGTTTCATTTCTTTTACTAACATGCGTCTAAGGCTGGATTGGCATATAAAACCCTATTTTTCTTCATGCGTAGGAAATCCAACAAATGAAAAAATTGAAAGAAGAACAAGAGAAACTTGCAGATGTCAAAGTCTTGGAATATTTGAAAGAAAAACTGGTAAGTAATTTTCGGTTTTTCTCGTAACATCAAGGATTTCATTATTTTGAAAGCCTTGTTACAATTTTTTTGTTGATTAATCAGTAGTCGTCTAATCTAAAGACGTTTGGAGCTATTCTCCCTTGTTGTCAGTATTCGTTTCTCAACAGGAGTCGTGAATTGAAATTAAAAACAAACGATCGTTTCTTTTTGTTAAGGCACGTGAAGAAGCCTACCAAGAGGAACTCGAGAGAGCGCGTATTGAACGAGAAAAAGAAATCGCCAGACTTAGAGCACAACAAGAACGAGCTAAAGATAAACAAGCAGAAAGGGTATAAATAAAACTATTGTCATTCTGAAGTTTTGAAAAGAATAGAAAACGGCAGTAAGCGATATTGAAAGTTGCGTGTGGTGAAGGGCTTGTTAACAAATAATATCAGATGAGGAGCTTTTTCTCATGAACTGTATTCGCCATTTATACCCATGCTTATTGTCTTCCCAGGATGCACTGAGAGCAAAGCGAAACCAAGAGGAGGCCGAGAGGAACTGGCGCCGAAAAGAGAAAGAAGATGCCGCGAAAAAGTACGATATTCGCCAGAACACCGTCATATGAATTTTCAAAGTTTTTTGTTTAGTACTCACAAGGATTTGTTCACCAATGTTTCAGGGCGGAGACCGAACAAATGTTGAAGGAGGCACGAGAAAGACAAGTGAAGGACAAAGAGCATTTCTTAGCTGTGCAAGCTGCTCGTGATAGAGCTGAATTTGAACGTGTCTTGGTGTAAGTGTGTTTGATCTCATGAACTATGTATATGGATAGATGCAATGCACTTAATGCAATATATTCACTTCAGAATGTCCCATCCTGATAGCCAAATAAATCATAACCGCTTCTACCGAGTATAAAGTGTTAGAACCATGCAACGTACAGTGTCTCTGAAGCCCGTTTCTCACTAGGCGAATTTATTCTTTTAGGGCCCAACAAGAACGTCAGCAACGTGATGACGAAGTTGAAAAGCAAGATGCAGTGCGCAGGCATCATTATGCTCAGGATATCAGGGAACAAATCTCTGAAAAGGAGAAAGAAAGAGTCCATTTGAGAAAAACATACTTTGAAGAAGGAGAGAAGTTGAATAAAGAAGCAAAAGAACGGTGAGTTTTGAGAGTCGAAGATTTATTTCATGCAGGTAGATTTTTATAATTATATTGATGATTCAAGAGTTGAACTAAGATTAAACCCAACATGTTCTGCTGGGTGTAGGAAACCAAATATATATGGATTTGGTAAACCGAATGTTTTTGTCTTCTATAGGCGACAGAAACTGGATGAGATAAAACGAAGAAAGCTGAAAGAATTACGAGATGCTGGTGTTCCAGATAAATATTGTAACGAAGTAGCTCGGCGCATAACAGCTCCGCCACTTTACTGAAGAGAGTCACTTGTAGAACCTGTGGCGTGCATTGATTAATTTACAACTCACTTGTAACTTGCATTATTCCTGGAAATTGTTCATGATGTATATATATAATATATTGGGAGACATGAAATCCTAGCAATACGTTTCAGACAAGACATTTCTTACATTTGCCAGAGATTTGATACAGGGAGGGGAAATAACTATAAAACAAAAAACAAAACTCTGTAGCAAGAGGTTGCTAGGTCTCTGAGGGACAGGGTCCGACAAAGTTAACCATTCACGCCAGTGATTTACACCAACAATGAGTCAATGACATTGTTTTTCTCTGCGCGGCAGTGTTGAGTACAAAAGTACGTGAAGAACATACCAAGCAGATGACTATGGTACCTAAAGGTAGACTGTTACAATAAATTACGATGTAGAAAAGCCCGAAAACGAATCCGAAATTTATATACCATTTAATTATTACATCTGTGAAAGCATTTGATAGTGGGCTGTGCCAGGCTCTGTTAGTATGTATACGTATGCACGATATTGATGAGTTGAAGTTACTTCTTCACCTACTTATTAAATAAACTGGTTTTATATCTAGTCTACGACTACAATATATTATACATTATTTACAAGATCATCATTTAGCAGGTCTAACGTTTGTGATAAATTCGCACTACTCCAATTTAGCTATGCTATCAATAACATAGTCATAGGAGGATGCTCCATGCTGACTTTGAATGACCATTTGAGTTTCACCAGAACACAGTTTAGGGAGCAGTTTTGTACTAAAAGCTCATTAAAGGAATATAACGTTTTGTACTAACCCAACCTAATTATGCTTCTTTCTGTGACACTAGGAAATTGATCCCCTACTATCCTAAATTCAGTTAAGTTTCCAATCTGTTTGGAGAGTTCGTGTAGTGAGTATTAAAGGAAGATGCCTTTAACTGCAGAGACGTACAGAAATCTACGAACTACCATAAGATATCACACTTGATAAAACGTATTATTATCACTCTTCAACAACAAATCAGGAGCCGAACAAGGTAAAAACCATGATAGGGATGGCCCTGAAATGATACAATAACATACTTCTTAGGAATTGGATTTAAATATATGTCATAATATATTAGATTAACTACAGGAACCCCGATAGTATATAGGGATAGTTCATTCTTGGGTTAATACAGAAATTGTCCACCTTTGGACAATTAATAAGTGATCAAACAAAAGATAGAAACACACCTTTGCCAAATACTTCTATTAAAAGTTCTTTTGTTGATTTTTGATCACGGCGCGATGCTTTTTTCTGCACGTATTCTATTGCAGTCGTATCATTACAGATTGAGGAAAACTAGAATTAAACCATATAAAATTTATACCAAAAACGACGAGGTTTTGCTTCAGACATAAACCTGATCAGATGCTTAGCTAGAAGTACCACTTAGAGATTAAATGCATTTGGAAGGGTAGACTCCATGTGGGAAATAAACCAAAAAAAGTAATGTGATTGTAATGAGAGGTAATGTTCCATATTAATAATCAGTTTTATGCAATAGATTAAATCTCCTCCTTTGTTTTAAATTTAAGTTCATCCAATACAAATGTTACATTTATACACTACAATCAACATAATTAACAATTCCTTCAAAAGGAAAAGCAAATATTCAATGAGTGCATTATACCTGGTCGCATAGTAATGCAACAACAAAAAGTCCAAATATTAATCCTTCAATTATTAATGTTATTGCATAAATCCTAAAATGGAAAGATGTATGAACTGGTGGATTTTTGACAAAGATTTTGATAGGATATGCAGCGAAGCTAAAGGATCATAGCATACTTCTCTAAGACTATAATAGTAAACTAAATAACTAGACTAGAATATAAACAATAACTAACTGGACTAGAATATAAACAATAACCTTATTTCACTCACTGTCTAGTTCTTGAAGCATATTGTTCAGAACAATCAATGCATGGCAAAGATAAAGAAATTGATGTCAACAGAATTGCATGTAACGAAGAGAGTCCTGAAAAATATAAATATTTGTTCAGCATTTGAGAGATGATTTTCGTTCATTCATTCTATGAAATACAATAGTGATGTATGTGGTGAGACGCTGACAACACATCTTTGCAACATACTTCAAAATGCACTGATTAAGACTTAGTTAAAAATTCAGGATGTTTGAATACCATCTGTTCATAATTACCGGTATAAATTAGAAACAGTACAAAATACTTTTGATTTCTTTCACCAACACAATTGTTTATCCTAAAATGCAAATTCAGTTAAAATTCATTTACGAATTGTTTAGATTATTCATGTTAGTTTCAATTAAAATAATTTTGCTTACCATGGGCAATGGTGGTCCATTTTCTTTATACATCTACCACACACTCTGAAGATTCAGAAAAAAACCCCCAAAATATCCCCGTCAAATAAATGCATAAAATATGAAAGGTAGGATTATAGACATAGAAAGTTCTCACCTACAATGATGTGCTCTAGGAGGTCTGTACGTTTCACAGCGAGAGCATACTGTCCAATTGTTTTCATCCTAAGTTAGTAGTAGGTAGTGTTTTTATGTACTTTAATACAAGTTGCAGGTAGCTTTTAATTCAATTTAGTCACACAATTAACGCAAAGTAAACACTGCTCTGTCAATCACAAGTAATAAAATTCAATCCAATCACTGGCAATTAAATGTAATTCTACAGTACTAAAAACAAAATAAGAACCTTAGTTAACAATGAAGCTGCTTGATGCATATCAGAAAAATCCAGAGTTGTGCTTGGTAAAGGAACTTTTCCTACACCCAAAGAAGATAGCAAGGAATTAAAGGCTTTCCTGGACTATGTCAAACTTTGGTATGAATTGCCAGTGCATTAGCAAATGGTAGTCCAGCTTCTTGTTCCATCAGTTTTTCACAGAATTGATCGGTGCCTAGTTTTAAAAATGCCAGTACTATTATCTCACCTGGATCAGATGTAGTTGCTCGAAAATGAGAAACTGCAAGTAGCATTATAAAAATATTGAAAAGAAGACCATTTACAACACCCCAGATACTAAAAAATAAAATTTGAGAAACACAATTTTGGTCACTTGGTGCTAATATGTTAGTGGTTCACAAGAAAACCCTGTTTGATCAAATGAGATTATATGAAAAATTATTTTTCTGCAAGACTGTATTTTTTTTCACTGCTCATCGCTCGTTAAAGGTGGCTAAATGGTAAATCCAGATCGATTGTGGCAATAATTTAAGTCTCATAGCTATATGTAGCATATTTATGTACAAGTGGTACAACCGTACAAGTTCAGGATTTGTTACCCACTCGACAACTCATTGTTCTAAAACAAAATCCTTACCTATTTGACAAAGTAGGAACGACGACATGCCCAATGAAACAGTAGTCAGCGTAAAAAATACAACTATATGTTAAAAGTACGCAAAATATTCCACAAGGTTCTTTTTGAAATGACACCATGTTATCTGACATCGGTATTCAAATTTATCCCTTATTGATACTATTTGTCCTACTGTGATTCTGAAAGCCACTGGTGACCCCACCGATGATGGAGATATCTGTTTGGATCATACTTTTTCTTCTACAAACAAAAAACTAGCGCTAAATTTCCATTTTCTTTGGCCTAGAGGCGTTTGAAAGCGATTGTTAACGGCACTCATTACTTCTATTAACTGCACCACGTGAGGTTGAATAATATTTTAGCTATTAAGATTTTGCTATATTTAGGTTCATTGTTACACAATTGTCGCAGATTAAAACAATATGGTTAACGGTGAACCAGCACGAAAACGGTGTTAAAAGCATAAAAAATCTTTCTTAGGGTCTGCTCATATGATTACGCTCAGCCAAGTCTGAAAGACTGACAGACTGTGACTGAGACGTAAGATGACTTGAGGTACTCGTGGAGGTATTGAAATCCCAGGTAACTGATGAGCTCATATACACAGCCCCTAATGATGAATTAATGATCACCCAATCATCAGTTTTAAGCTTTTTAACGAACATTCAACATATGAAACGTTTTCAAATTGATATAATGAGCAGTTACACTGAATTTATACAAAGCTAAAATTGGTACCCGTACCAAGTTCTATCCGTGTCCAGGCCAGCAATACAAAGGCTGAGCAGTGATAAAATTGGTACAGGTAATCGTGCCGTGCTAATAAATTGAGTGCAGTGCATATGTTAACGGGGCTTCGTTCAGAAGAAGATAGATTCTAGTAAATAGTTTTGAAATCCAGGATTTCCGGTGAGTAATTTATCGTCATCGAGGATGGCATTGTCGAAGTAATTCGCACAGACATGAATTGCTCCGTATGTCGTTAAGAATCAGTTTCATCCTTTCCGTCAAGAGAAGACCTTAATTAAGTCAGATCAGTGAACCCCTTTTGGGATTCTAAATTCTAGCAGTTTCAATTTATATCCATTGGTCCAGTCCACCCACATGGCTGCTCTCCACTGTAAACTATGAAAAATTTTAATAAAGTGGATTACAAAATGAAGTACGTGATAATGGCATTCTAATTAGCTACGCAGTTGATAGAAACAAACCTATCAGCTAAACAGACTTCGACTCATCACACTCATACACTCATACATGAACCACTCGTAACTGTGAATCTGTGATTATTATATACTCCTCAAATAGTAGAAACTAGAGTTACAAACCCCGTTTACAGTAGATCGGATACACATGATCACGACATCAGCGGTTTAGCAGTTTAAGTTGTCCGTCACTTTTTCATTTGGCAGAGTCATGATAAAGCAATCATGCTATTAAGTATTATACTTTTTAGGGCAAAACTCTCTTTGCCATGACTAATTTTGATGTCATGAACATGTGAATCTGGTATAGTGTCAACAGGGCCTTAGTATTAGGTTTTGATTCAACGATAGTGCCGTACCGGTGGCTCGAAAATGGTGGAGGAAATAATAAAACCAGATTGGATGTCACCGCATGAAAGGTATCTACTGTAGTACTGATTTAAAAACTAAACTAGTGCAAAAGTTCGAAACAGGTCACTTCAGTGTTCACTATATTGTTAATAGTTATGTGCAAACCTCTCAAGCTGTTTTATGCAAACCTCTCATAGACGCATACATGCAGCCAGACCAGTTTCATCGGGTTCATGCTTATTAAACTAATATTTCGCTTTGACTTGATTTTTACGTTCGGGGACTTTGGCTTGGGTTCAGATCTAGGACTCAATGACGCCAATGATGTACTTTTCGATGCTTGTTAGTTTGTTTTTGCACTTTTCCTACGATCTTCCATGAACTTCTTTGAAAGTACTACATATTAAATTAACAAAGTCGGAATAACTCTTTGATAGTTAGGGTCATTGATGAGATGATTTTAGCTTGTTATGTGTTTAGGCTTTGAAGATGGAGTTTAATTAAATGCCAGAGAATTTCTTTGTAAAATTGATTACATTGTTTGCAAGTTGTTGGCGACGTTAGTCGTGTTTAATTGCATTTCAAGCACTCTAAAAGATAAAACAAATTCTTTATGAAATCAAATAACTGCATTGCTGAGATAAAAATATTTGTTAAAGTGATTGCCCCGATTATGTTTTCTTCATAATGGTAGCCTGAATATTCAGTATAGGACCGCCGGACAATCCAAAACGCCGCGTAATCTTGCCATAAATTATAAATTTCACTATTCAAAAAAAAGAAACACAGGTTAACAATGAACAAAAACAAGCAACAAATAGGCGATATTCGCGATCAATAGGCGTTTCACTGCAGGAATTTCCTTCTGGTATTATCTGATTCTTAAAGTTGGTTTTTCTTATCACTATTTGGCTCATTTAACCCTATCGAATATCCGGTGCTATGCGGCCTATATACACGGCACTTGTGCTTACAAAAATACAATATTTCTCTTGAAAAAAGAATGTATATGAACCATAACATTAATGTGGTAAGTTTCAAGGATGGAATGGAGGCGAAAATCATGACTAAATAATAGTATTAGAAAACATTACTGTCACTTGGGATAACAAAATGAGCAGGTAATCCGCATGAGTCCGTATAGAAATAATTTGTTTAAACAAATTTCCGGTTTACGCATTGTGGACCAATCAGGTAGGCAATAATCGCGCCCACGTATCTATTAAGAATAAAATACGCACATAATAGCCAATCGGAATGCAGTTACCATGCCGATAGCCAGCTTGTCTTTCAATGCCTAACACTAACTCTTTGCGCTGGCTTGGGACGAAAGTTTGGTCGGTTTAATCATTTGATCGAGTGCGTAGTTTGATTTCAAAAATTTACTTCACATTTTATGCTCAGTGGGTGAGCGAGAAACATATTCAAAGCATTTTAATTGCTCTGTTCAGATTGAGGTGCTGAACTCGAACGTAATATTGGCAAAGAAGGAGTTAAACGCATCTTTGTTGGGTGTTTGGCCAGTCGTGTTGTTCAGAGGTTTTTGAAATGAAGAGCCATAGCCGCTTCACAGATCACGACAGAAGTGGTGGTGAGGAACTTGACGAAGGTGTTATTGAAGTGCAGGTTATACCACAAGATGACAATTGGGGAGAAACAGCAACGACAATCACTGAGACTACAGCAACATCAGTAATCAGTGGGATTAGCGACACAAATCTCAGTGATATTGGCAAAGACTTTCAACCATGTCGTTTCAATTTTCGCCGTCATTGTGGTTTTGCCGTAACTCTTATACTTGGTATTCTGGGCGTCTTCTCACCAGTTGTGTTCGTCATCATTCCTATTCTATTGGGAGAGCCAGGCGGTTATAAGAACGACTGTTCCTCTCAAGGCAGTAACTTGAATGAGTGTGATGGCTTGTATATGAGTTTAGGATTTCGTGAAGTCATCTTAATTGGGGGCATATGGGCCCTGTACTTTCGTACTCCTCGCATTAATTTTCCCAGAGTAAATCGTTTGAAAATTGGCGTTATGGGACTGGCGTTCATAATTGTGATGTCCTACTGGGTTATATATGCGTATCGAGTGCTTGAAGAAGGTTCAAAATCATCTAAATCGGTTGCGCAGTTTGCTTTGTCTCTCGCAGACACGTTGTTATTTGTGCATTACTTATCATTGGTCGCTCTGTGGTTCCGTCAGAGTAGAGTTACGTTCACAATGAAAGTTATTCGAAGTACGGACGGCGTAAGTCGTTTCTATAATGTTGGCATCATGTCAATACAACAAGCGGCAGCGTTTGTACTCAACCACTACTATAAAGACTTCCCCGAGTATAATCCTTTACTCATGTCTATCCCTTCAGCACGTAAAGGTCAGAAGAAAGAAACAACAAATATCAAGTTTTACGATATCGATGGAAAAGTGGGCAACGCAAATGACTCTTCAAATGCAAACTCTCGTGCTCGTGCGGTGATCGCAGCAACTGCGAGAAAACGTGAGTCAAGACACAATGATCGTTTTTACGAAGAAGAAGAATACACAAGACGGGTAAAGAAGAGACGAGCACGATTGATTACGGCCACCGAGGAAGCGTTTACACACGTTAAGAAACTCAAACTAGAGCGAGGTCCTTGCGTTCCCTTGGATGCAGAGGAAGCCGCTCAAGCTATATTCCCATCATTGGCAAGACCATTACAGAAATATTTACGAACAACTCGACAGCAATATCGCTATTCTATGGAATCAATACTCAAGCATTTGGCACACTGCTTGATATTTGATATGACTCCTAAAGCTTTCTTAGAGAGATATGTCAGTGAGCAACCATGTGTTCAACTTTTGGCAGAAAACATTAAAAGCTGGAGTTTGGTTTGCGAGGAACAATTAACTTCGAGTATTACAAAGTCGACTGTGTTTCAACTTCTAAGGGACGAGTATTCATTAATCATTACAGTGAATGAACTGCCACAGTATGATATAAACGAGGAGGACTTCGATTTCGACGACAATCAGTTCGTATTGCGTTTAAATTCTGAAACATCTGTGTAATTTATTATGAGTGTTCGCCTTAGGAAGCGAAAATGATTATAGTTGTATATATATATATATATGCACAAACGCTTTTATAAGTGCTAAACAAATAGGCACTTCAGGGGCTGACAGAGCGGCGCGTTTTGGCTGGGGGACGTGTGGTGCCTAAGTGGCTAACTGGCTGCAGGCGTACAGCTGAACTTGCAGTACATAGTGTTTGGACGTTGTTGTACTAAATGTTTTAATAAAGTGTAATTTACTTACTTCTCAGTGTCTTAGAACTACATGAAGTTTCTGCGATATGCATAAAGGCATCACATCTTTTTCTAAGTATGCTATCTTGGATTATCTAGTGTTCCATCTTGGATTATCTGACAGTTTCAACAGAAATCGCTTGACAAAAATCGCAAAAAACCCATCACTGTCGTATATGGCACTCCGAGGAACGTTATAAGAGACGCATGATTTTGACTGGTAACCGCAGGATTGGCATGCATGAAGTGTTACATTTTTAAGTATTTTTTAATGCGAGTAAACACAGAAGCAATAAAAAAGTCGATAGAGAGTTTATTGTACCGTCTCCATTCTTCCCAATTCCTCATGCGTATGAAGTATGCAATCTTGGCACTCAACCCTGAACTCAAGTCTAAACTTGCAGCAAAGCCTGATATGTTTTTTTTGCTAATGGTAATCCTGAATGTATGTATTTAACATGTTAAAAGGATTGCCACCCCTGACTATAGCTAGTTACTGCGGTGCATGGTCAAGCACTGATATGAAACAACACATCGCAGGTTATTAAACATATTTAGCCAAACCTGGAAGAGTTATTTGTAGCTACTTTTAATGGTAATGATCGATGTAAGTGGCTTGTAACTATTTAGAGTAAAAAAATTTCAACAATGCGGCAGTTCATGAACTAATTTCAAGCACTTGATCAATTTTCATGTGTTTCATGTGTATCCGATATATCCGGCAGCCTTTTCGCTACATTGTCATTGACAACCGGATTAAAGATTTAGATGTCTGCAGTATACATGCTTGGTGGCATCGATGACACAACTTGATGTTTCAAAATGATTATGCACGATCAGAGGTCCAGGTTCATGATATTCACCTATAAAACTATATTTCAATTTTTATGCATACGATTTCCAGTGTTGATGTATTTTTGACCTTGTTTGGTATTATCCAGCTCTTCAATAGTTTCTTCAGTTATATTTAGCACGAGGGGAATTTTATTTATAATTCGACTGTTGTACAACAAATATAAGTGATAGTTCTGTACAGGCACTCGTATATTGACCAATTGATGCTCGCTAACCAATCGCTAACCAGATTAGCGTGCTGTTTAACAATAAAGAGAACAGTTTTGAGACAAATTAAAAGCACATTGACGAATGTTACTTAGGAAGGGGGTCTCAGCAACTTCACACGGTCCGAGCAAGGTTATATGCTCATCAATTTCATGGTGCTGCAAATGTTTAAACGGTTGTTATATTGAAGAGTTCTAAAGAGAATTCAGTCTCAGTTAAATCCTGCTATCGCATTAAGAGATAAATTTCATTCAGTCTACTGGTAACTTGGGCGGGGGAGGCAGTCATCAAAACATTCCGAGTGGTCAACTTCTGGCGAAATCTTAAACTTCGAAGAAGACACGATCTCTCAAGAACGCGGCCAAAAAAGGTTCTTGACGTCTTGTGGGATGACGTCGTATATATTTACATCTGGCCTGCATTTGGGAACAGATCATCTGGCAATAGCGTGGCGAGCTAACGAACAAAAGCTCATCTACATCACAATTGATCGGGCGTGGAATATTGACATTGGCTTGTTAGATATCTGTGCATGATACAAGAATCTCCTGTTGTGCAAAGCAAGATCCATTTAACAACTATAGATGGCAGACAATGATTTGGGACCAAAACAAACAATATCTCTTGCGAGAAGCCAAATGATATATATATTCTGTATATTTTTTGGCCTGATCCTGGCAACTGTCAAACTTAATCCTGAATGAATTATAAGAGATTTTCTTGAATGCGTGTTGTTTGAAGGGGGATTAAACTATATTTCCTTCAACAGTCTTATTCAAACTATGCAGCTGACTGTGTTTTGTGAATTCAAATTTTTTCATAAAATCTTATTTTTTAATCCTCTCTTCTTTTTCAGACTGAAATTTATTTTAACTGAAGTGATGATGACTAAATGATATAGGGCGGCGTTTAACATGTCACAGCCGCCATGTTGGTGTTCCGATTCAAATAACTGATAATTCGACAGAAACACCAACATGACCGCCATGACTTTCGGTACCAAATCTGTGAAAATCTGTAAAAATCTGTGAAAATCTGTGAAAAGTGGGTGATATAAGCGTTTTGGCAAGCTGACACGCTTAGTCTCATTATATATTACTCGGTTTTAAAAGTTAGAACCTGTATTTAAATAAATGGAAATATATTTTAAATTTAAAAAACAGTATAATTTCAAAAGAATATCAGACTTCTCATTCTTCTGACAACTTCTTCTGTTTCCGTTCACTGGCTTTTTCTTAGCAGTGGGCGATTACCGATCACTTGGTATATTATTCGTGGAAATACAATAAATAAAAGTATGCAGCTTATTCATTTTCATAACTATAATCAATCACGTATAAATAATAATCACCAAAAAACATAGTACACATTTAGCCCTTTTTCTGAGAAACTATAATTGAGGTTTTAGAATTAAGACACTATTAATTTAAAAAGGTAATCGTTTGGTTATTGATTTTTTTAAATGTAATGGGTAATGGGTATTGTATCGAATCGATACTCTACCAGTCTACCACCTCACGCCCGCTACTTTTTCTTGCATATGACGTCATAATTTTTTATTTAGCGCCATCTTGGTTGACTCCACAATAAACGAAGTTGTTGTACTTTGTTTACATTGTTACTGTTAGTCTGTTAAAAATCCATGGGCATAGCTAGCCCGACAATTTTGTCCAGCCACGCTTATATAAAAGCGCCCTGCTAATAGGCTGCTATAAATATTAAGAAATCCCTGCGAGTATCCCTGCGTGCTGGCCTGCTCAGCTTAGCCACTGATCTGTGTAAAAGCCTGTAGTGTGCCTATATTTATAGTCATTTAAAGCGCCTGGGTACGAGGCTGGCGAGTAAACGAATGCATGTCTACCACATGGTCAACCATACCATTGAACTGACGCATACTCTCCAGGAACAAGGCGGCTGCGCGAAGCGATATGCGCGTGAGCCTAATATCAAAGAGGCCGACATCGTGGAACTCTGGAATTCTTCAGTGAATACACTTATTAATTAAGCAGGTATGGCTTATAACCCAGGTATGACTTTCAAAAAATGTATGGTGACAAAATTTTTCACATGTGATGATTATCCACTTTTACAAAATACATCAGGGCCACTTTATCCAAGCAGTGTTACTGGAGTGGAACCAGTGATAAAAGATATTAGAATATGGCAACTGGAAATATTCCTAGACATGTGGTTTTAACAGGATTACCAGGTATAAAGATATTAAATGTTTTTGTTGATTAACCTGGGCCTACCTGGCAATACACCCACTAGAATATTGCCAGTAATAAACTATATAGCCAAAGTGTTAAAGAGACTATTTGCTATCATCAAAGTATTATAAATCAGCCTTCAATGTCATATATATTTCTTCTTTTTCCTGAGTGGAAAGAGTAAATGTCCTATATAGAAAAGAAAGAGTATGTGGTTGAAAGTAATTTTCCAGCTTAAAAACAGCTAATACCTGACTATCATTCTTTGTAAATGTTTGAAAGTCAACCATATACACTTTACCTCTCACTTTTAATATGGATTTAGTAGCTCTTAATTACTTTATACTATATATAAATACTATATACTTAATTACTATATAGTAGCTCTTACTATATGTTGTTCTTATATATAAAAAAGGTACAGGCAAGACAACTCTAATTCAAAAAGCGTGTGATGTTCTTCAGAAGAAAGGTGTGACTGCACAAGGATTTTATACTGAGGAAGTACGGCAACATGGCAAACGATTTGGCTTTGATGTGATCACTTTGGATGGAACAAGAGATGCTCTGGCACGAGTCGGGTATGATATTTTTTATTTCATTGTTTTCACTTATTTACTCAAAGAGATTCCTAGTAATTAATTTTGACATCAAGATGAACTGATCTATAAAACCCTGAAATCTGTATATCTGCTGTTCTTTGATTCATGGGAATGATATGATGTTCAGTGAAATGCAAAGAACCAAGGAATTCTCATTTCATTGTTGTTGCATTCCATTATTATGCTTGCATTGGATATAAGCAATCTTAGACATGTCTTCATATGACATGCTCCAAACCTGTTATACAACTCCAAGGGATTGATTAAATAAGGGGTGAGACACTCCCAGTTCTGGAAAGAAACTTGGTAATTCTAATCAACCTATTCCCAGCAGCAATGGTAATTTTTTATATTTGCTCAATCCTCTACCCTACCCCCATGGTATAAAAACGTTTAAAGAATACCACTGGAAAAAACTTTGCCTGATCATCTTTGCAAACAAGCTTGTGGATTCTGCCCACCAAATCTACGTTTTCTCAGTATCATACCTTCTTGACAACACAGAGAACCGCTTGAAAATGATAGAAGAAGGCATCGTGTTGGACAGTATACCGTAAATCTTCAATCATTTGAACGGATTGCTCTTCCAGCGTTAAAGAAAAAGGTAAAGAAACTTGGACATTACCCTGATATGAAGCTCTATTTGCAAAGCCATCAGTCATCAAAACTGCTATACGGCCTCTTTTTCGTAAACGTTGAAGATGTATTTATTGCATTCGGCAGTCTACATTGCAGTATTTAAAAGCCATAGGAGTTTTACAGGAATAACTGATCATGATAAGACTCTATTATGGTTTATGGCTCGATGTCCGTTAAGTCAGTGAGACGTAGGGAAAGCCCACCAAAAAGAGATTAGGGACTGAAAAGAGATGATATTTATATACCATATTTTATTTCCGGCTGTCATGCTTCAATCATAACTCTCCCATTTTCAATGAAATTTTGCTGATCAACTTTATTTTACTGATTAAAAACTCTCGCTCAAGGTTAAAGTTTTCTTTGCATATTATAAGTACTTTCTCCACGGCTAAACAACTGCTTCTTTTATCCTGCGGTCCACTGACTTTTGACAGTCGAGTTATTCTTCAAATTATGAGAATTACGAACCTCTGCCTGCCTGAAGTTATTTTAAATGTTTCTGAGGTTTCGTCTTCTTTTCGCTTGTTTTATAACAGTCTAACGTCTCATGCGTATTTGTGATTGATGAAATTGGAAAGATGGAAATGTTTAGTGAGAGCTTTGTTCGTGAAGTTCGGGATTTGCTGAACAACCCAAGGACCACAGTGCTAACATCAATTCCTGTGGCGAGAGGAAAACACATACCATTTGTGGAGGAGATACGTCATAGAAAAGACGTCGTACTTTACCAGGTGATAATATAATTTACCAGGATATATAATGTGATGAGAAACTTCATTTAGGCATTAGTCAAAATCTCATGATCTGTACTATAGTTTGAACTTCATTCTCCACGACCAAAACGCGACGTATAAACTAGCTCATTTATAACTAGAGGTTTTAAAGGGTCTTAATTTCGAGTGGAATTATACACACTTCAAATTCAAGCCAGGAACAGTTGATGGAAAAATGAGTCAACTATAGGTCCTCCGGCAGGAATCGAACCTACGCTTTTGCGATGCCGGTGCAATGCTCTTGCCACTCATTTTTAACTATATGCATATTAAGTCGTATATATACATTTAATATTTCGTTCTCAAACATTCTCAACTATTGCCTTTTCAGTTATTTTTTCAATTATCAATCCTTGTTTCTATCAATTGTCGCAAGGATAACAGCCGAATTTCAGCAGGTGTCTCCTCCCCCCTAGAAACAAATTTGGTGAGTTTTGCCCCTATTAGTTTTAGGGCATTAACTTTCACCTCACGATTCGATTTTTACGAAAATCGTAAAGGCTATCAAAACGTCTTGCGACCATCGAAATGATGTTGAATGTTTTATGCTTGTCAGCTCACGAGGCTGAAAAATTCTAGAGGGAATGAATTTCTCGAGGAGGGATATGCAAACTTAGAGTTGATAAGTCAGCCAAATTTATATTGGCATAGCGCTTTTAAACTGACAGGTTTTTGAGTGGTGTGCTATGTAAATCAGATAAATATAGCAGCACATTTAACACGGGCGGAAATCCAAGCAAAAATATACCACTGGAATACAAACCATGCAAGTAATGGTGTACCTTTTCATGTTCATCTGTATTTATTTGCAATATCCTTGTTGATAGATAACGAAGGCGAACAGGGAGCAGTTACTGGAAGAAATTGTACAATCAATACTACAATCTCATGAACACTATCATGTAAGAAGTGCTTGAATTCCTGCGTGTAACCAGTCTTGAAAGACATTATTATATAGCAAAATCTCTTTATTTCAATGAACCTCGAAAGAATTGAGAATAAAAGCCATTCTAAACCACAATTGGGTGATGCTCTCTACGGTAAAGGAATTAAGAGTGAATTATTGTGGTAATTTCAGTGGTCAGAAAAAGAAAATCGACGTATGTGTTCAGATAAATGTTAGTAGAAATATAAAAGAAGCTCTTATTGATTGTTTAGACCAAAGTCCACTCTGTTGAGCTATGGTACTTTTTTGAGATACTTCATGTCCGGAAGTAGGTTGGCCTTCTTACAAAGAGAAAGCTTAATACCTTACAACGTTGGGTATTCTCGTGCAGTGTAACATTCAATTGGTGGGTTTTGTTAAAAAACGTAGAGTCTCTACACTAAACTAACTCACAATGATAACAATCAACGGGGGCCCTAGACCAAAAATGCCAAAAATCGGTCTTTCTAGAACAGGATGCTCTATTTCATGATTTATTGCTTGAATACATAATTCGACGTGCCCAAGACGTAGGGGTCCCCTCCTTTTTATTTTTCCTTTTTATTTATCAGAACCGATTTCAGAGCCGTGGCCAGATAGCCAGAGATGGGGTATATACTGATTCATATTTACATACCATAGGAACAATTCTTTTCAAAAGCAATCAGTCCGAATAGAATATATAGAATATATAAAATAAGCCCCCAAATTAAGCTTCTAGCAGCCGCCTTGCGCCCTTGCCTATTTCACCACAGGGTGAGGGGAACATGTAGCATGTTTATAGATTTTTTTTATTCCCGCGCTCTATTGCTCCAGAGAGTGGTGCATGACCGCCCACGTATGTAGTACCAGGCGCCTGTGGCGAATAAATTTTTGCAGCCATTCACCGAGAGACCGACTCCATTTTGATAGAAAAAGTAGTTTCTTCTCAACGATTAAAAGGCGTTTATTTTTGGCTGGACCAACATTTGCCATGTCAAATATCCAGTTAGTCTTGTGAATTCATTGGCAATACGTGGTTCTAGAACAACGAGTAAAATATCAGTAAACTCTGAAATTTAACGTGAATACTTAGCATTGGCACTAATTTCTATATGGCAATGACTCCTCGTCATAGAGTTAGATCAAAGCTCGGGCTGTCTGTGCAACGAAGTCGCGAAGGTAACGTCTTAAAATTTATAATACCCAGCATGCTGAAGACCAACCTTATTTTTGTCTACAGTTGTTTATTTTTTGCATGCGATCTATAAAGAAAGACTTTGAATAGTGTAAACATGTCTTTTGATCAATATGCTGGGTCGATGTATTATTCGCTTTTTCAACTGTTTTTTCGCTGTAGTTTGTATTTACGTTTATATATTTATGATGTTGTAAAATACGTTCATTATTGGTATTCTAGTGCATTTATAACAGTTTCATAATATTGTGAAAATAACTAGAAATGCATGGTTCGTCGTTTATACTTTATATCGGCAGACATTTTCTAATTTCTGTTGAGCCTTTTTTTATTATTGTAGAGATAATAAACCGATGTCTATCTATATTTATTATAACTTTTTAGCATTATTTAAACTAATTAATCCTTGTAGAGAAGTTAAAAAGCTGGCTTCATTCATAAATATAGCACAATTATTAACACATACCAAATGATATATGAAGCATCACGTCGTATTTACTTCCCGATGTCCTTAGCTTGCGAATAGAGCCGCCCCAAAGCCGATATAAAATACTAGCATGAACTTTACACCAATTTCAGCCTAAGAGTGTTTGACCATTGCTAGGAAACACGTTTTCATTACTAAGAAACTAGCCTCCAATTCCAGGTAAAATGATGGAGTTCCAGGAATTGCTTAAACAAATCATTTGTTGTTTTTTGGGCTTAACAGCTGCTGTGTTATTCAACAATATGAACACCATCGAAAAAGATCAGATTTAACTTAAAAACTTTGCACTGTGATATGTCCTTGTGCAAACTAACCAAAAATTTCCTAAGGCTTTTCCATTTGCCATAATTTAAGATTTACATTGGCTCAATGCAGACAGATTGTATACCTATACCTATACCTATGTGAAGTTTAAAATATAAATTCTTGCTAGCCAGCTAGAAATGTGTAAATTAAAGGCTTACTAGGAGAAAAAATGCAGACATGCAATGTCTATAATATATGCAATATGTTTTGCAGATATAAATATTTTTGAAAAGAGCAATAATGAATGCAATATACAAAACATAACCTACAGTTTTTGTAAGCCTATCATTTATTGGGTAGTTTTTATATTTTTTTATAAATTCGGGGGTGTCTTTAAGGGATTCTTTAGTTCTGATGTTAATAGAAGTAAAATTAGGGCAAAGAGTTTGTTTCACTGTGAATGACCTTGTGGAAACTTGCCAAAAGAAAAATGGCTTTTTCTGATTGCATCTTTTTATGGGATGATGTATTTCCAATATGGAGTTGTATAGTGGGATAGAAATTATTTTTAAAGATTATAGTGTGGGCAGGATTGTACTCTGTTCATTGTAATGAATCATAAAATGCTCATCTTTGTGTTAAAGTGAGAAATGTACTTTTTTTTACAAAGAATCAGATTCCAGTGAAGATTCAGATGACTCAAGCAGTAGTGCTGGGAGTCCTCCACCATTGACCAGTGAGGTAATCATTGCATTTTCTCCAATATATAATGTTTAGTAATATCTGCAGTGTTTTATGATTTAATTTATAACATATTATTTTAGAGTGAAAATGATAGTGAAAGTGAATATATGGATAATAATGGTATGGGGATATGATATGATGGCTTGGAATGTTAATAAGGCATAGAATAAGCTTCTAAATTATAGACATAATAATCTTTGAGATATTCATTTCTAGAAACAGCTGGTAAATGGTGGCTAGGATTGAATAAGGAAGAAAGGACCAAACGAGAAACATGCATAAAAATACATGTTTTGTCACCTTTTTTGTTTGGTATTGTACCACAAGGACATGAGGATAAGGTGGATATAATGTTTTCAAAACTGAAGAAGTTTTTTATCATTACATAAGCACACTGTTTTTTCACTGTCATGTATTTTTATATGTGTGTGCACACATGTTTCAAATTCATTGAAAAGAAGTAATAAGTGTTTTGTGAATAATTTAAACCTGTTTCATTGTTTGGACTTCAGCTTTTAAAATGCTCTGGTGGAATCAGCCCTTATAACCAAACCTGAAAGGTTTCCACCAACATAACTGAGAAAAGACATGTATTAAATGGAATATAAATAATATGCTTCTTCCTTCACTGTAAAATGGTAACGGGTAAAATAATGGGTGCATGTGTGTAATTTAAAATTAGATAAAAAGGAATAACCCAGTGCAACATCCTAATCTGATTTGAGACTCGAACACATTGATGCAAAATTTATGAAATACAGGACCACAGTATATTTTTTCTGTTTCAGTTAATAGATTGGTCTTATGAATGTGGCTTGTTACCGACAAAGGATGTCCAGTGAGTATATTATGAAATGTTCCTGAAAATAGTTATATACTAGTTACACTAATTGGTTTTCCATAACTATATATATTCATAAGGTTTCTGCATGCAGGGTAACCTTTCCCAATGGGCTTGTCAAATAATTTGCTCAATATTTTAAAACTTTATACACCAAACACAAATTCTTATAAAAAGCAAAACAATGGTTTTAGATAATGATTTTTCATCCTCTTCTATTTTGTAGACAAGTTGTAAATCCAACAAATGCCAACTTTCAAGCAATACAAATTGTTGAGAATGCATACGAAGTTCTCCTTCCATTCATGGTAACTCTTCCAATTGCATGTGCAGTACTATGCAATTACTTAATAGTTTCTGTGTTTGGATGGCCTGAATTTAAATTTAAATTCTTTAAAACTTTAAATTTCTGTGTTTGGATGGCCTGATCCAAACAAGGGCTTTGACCAATCAGAACATGTGTTATATACATGTTATTTTATAAATATGTATACCCTACAATAATTTACCTTGGATCTTTGCAAGATATCAGTAGAATCCATCAATATGCTTTCAGTTATCGTACATGCCTGTACTGTAAGTCAGTCATTGCCACATGTCTTGCATAATGTCAACACATATCTACGACACTTAATTATTTTTGCTGATATGTAACTTGTATGTAAACCATATTTTATGTACATATTTCACAGAACAAAAGAGCGAACATTGTTGATATTCTTACATTGAGGAATGATATTGTTAAGGTATGTCTATTTTTATGTACCCCTCTGTAAGATGTTGAGTGGTAGTTTTGCATCGGAGAGATGAATTGTGAGGTTTTATTTTAATATAAAGTCAGTAGAAGACTGTTTTTTCTCCCCATTAATCTTATAAATCAGGCCTGCATTTACAGTAAGCAGCCTGTTTTCCCGAGCACTTTGAAACTAACGACTAAAGGAATAAAGCAAGGAGACCGTTTTACTACGACAGCTACGGTTGAAGTGGAAAACAGTCTTTAATTTAATAAGATAGAATTACCCACTAAAACCTCGGACATGGTGCTGTTACCTAAAGTGTCATGCTGTGAAATTGCAAGCATTCTAATCAATTTCATCATTATTTGCTCAGTGTACCAGTTATAAATCTGCACTGGAATGTGCTGAAAAGAAAGCGTGGTTTCCGACAATGAGGTATAATAGCTAGACCTTCCTTGTAATGACGTCAAACGCACAAAAACCTCAAGTTACAATTTGTTAGTTTTACGGAGCCAATCAAACTATCTGTAAAGTCAGGTTTTCGCCGTTTGACGTCTTTTTGCGAAGGCCTATTGGCGCATAAAATTGTTCTTAATTTGTGTGTCTGTTAATTTTTATTATACAATCTTCCGATCGCATCAAATGTGGTATACGAACTGCTTAGAATAGGAAAAAAAAGACAGTTCGCGACGTTTCGTAGCCTACATCAGGAGAGTTGTTATTAGATTCCTATGTGTAGTTACATGCAGAGTGTCTTACAACTCTTGAGCGGCCTACAAAACCACTGACTCGAATACAACAGGGCCTAGGGGTCGGTTGTATAAACTCACTATAAAACTCTTCAACTACGTTTTGCATAGTTAATTAAACCCATTCCTAGTTAAAATTCCATGTTTTCATTTTAGAAATAGTATCGATTTACCAGAAGGTGGTAAGAGGGAAATGGCATCAATGGCTCTTATTCTGTCCGTGTATCATTGTAAGGATTATATCGATATTACAATATTATTGAATGACAACTCATTTCCCCAGACAGTTTTAGTTTTATAGCAGAACATAATAGGTTAACTCAAAGAGTTTACCAAACATGCATCTGCTTCTATAACACATGCAGACTATCACTTCTCTTACACTGTCGTTCGTTTTCATTCTGTTCAGTTGCTGGACATATTCAGTTATCATATAGCCATAAAAACACAGATGTTCTCAAGAGATATAACGAAGACTGTAAACATGCTGAAGAAGTAAGTTTATTGTATGTTTGCAAATGAGGAGCTACATACCAGGGTATGAGGTTCAGTTCTGTTTTATTACTACACTTTTACGGATGCCGGTCCTAATGCCAAAAACGCGGAAATGAAAGCAAATTAAACTAAAGCTGTAGCCGTGCAGCGTATGTTATATTGGAGCACTGCAGCTATTAATCAGTCTGCCACGTACGTTAACTGACGTTTTTCTAAATGTGTAGAAAGCGTTGGAGCTAAAACAGCACGGGAATACAGAATTTGTTGCTGACAACTTCAGAGCTGCTATTTCCAAATATACCAGAGGCGTTGGACTAAGGTAGGGCTTACGAAACGAAAAGGGTTGTATAAAAAATAATTCGAAAATTATTAAGAAATATCTTCATGCAGTATTAATAACATTGATTTTCAAACACTCTTATGTCTATAGACATATGTTTGATTGTAATTTCTGTTTCCAGTCCATTCAACTACATCATGTATGGCAATAGAGCACAAAGTTATTTAAATCTTGGCAACTTCAGGTGAATTTTTTTAAGAAAGGAGTGAGAACTGTGGAAGGTTTATCTTGCTGGCATGAAGAGCACATGCGTATGTGGTGGATAGCTTGTTTATTGTTTATTTTTTATTGTTATATATAGACAAGCTTTGATCGATGCCAAAAGGACGGTAATTCTTAAACCTGACTGGGACAAGGTTTGTTATGTAGCTTTATATCATCATGGCGTTTGAATGTTCAATTGAATCTTTCTCATCACATTATTACATCGATTACAAATACCTGTATCGTGTCTTTTTAGGGTCAATACAGATTTAAACAAGCTGCTAACGCACTTTATAATAGTGAAGGAGACGGCGCGTCGTTTTTGACGTTTTGTGTGGATAAAGAAGTCCTCTGTGCGAAGAGTAAGTTTTCTTTTACCATGGACAACGCTATATTCGTCTTCCAGGTCATGATCAAATTCATGTGTTACTCCCATTAATCTATCTGAAGAGTGAATGAAGCCAAACAGAATATCATCTTTCATGCAGCTCGTTCTTCATCGTATTTACTGAGGGGATCTCTCATTGTATCAATGTTATTTTCTCACGATTGTGAATAATTGTTTTAAAGCTGCTGCAAAGCAAAACGGAGCGCAGGCAGTTAAACAGAACTCAGAGACAACAAAGGGAAACAATCATAAGTAAGTGATCGTAAGTTGTTGTTGTCGATTGTATTGGTTCTTTATATATTGAGTAAAAAATACGCTTGATTCTTAGAATTGAAGATGATTCTAGTGAGGAAAGTGTACCAGAGTTAGTATCTGCGGATGAAAGCGATACATCAAGTGGTGAAAGTGAACGTGAAATGCCTGACCTTTTAGATGAAAATGCATCAGATTCGAATGAATCAGGCATTGATGAGGTGTGTAATAAATTTACCATGCAAAATTACAATAATATTAATAACCTGGTTCGCTGTGAATTGGATATTTAAACTGAGTATTTATGTACCAACCTGTACAGGAGCAATGCATGCGAAAATTGTTTGCTAAATGCAGTATATATAAATATTCTTTTTAGGATGACTATCACAAAATTGCTGCAGGTTTGTATTCAAATTTTTTCCTGTACTCGAACCCTTTTTTTTTTAACATATACTTGTTAGCAAGCTGGATAGCAAAGTAAATTAAGTCCATTTCTCTCGACTGGAGGAATTCCGTGGTAAGGGTTTTAATACGTAGATTACTATTGTATTTTCAGCTACCAAGAAAGGATTGATGGATTCGTTAGAGTCCAAGTCAGTATAATGTGTATTCTCACTGCAGCGTATCTGTTAAGCCCGCCCGCCACACACGAGAGCTATGAGCTGAGCTAAAGACCTCGCTAGTTACTCTCATGTCTGCAGCACGTTTTTCACGTGTGCGGATGGTTTTCGGGCTGAGCTGCCTCGTGAGGTCTTTAGCTCCACTGATAACTCTCGTATCCGGCGGGCTTAAGGCAAGCGGCGTTCACGGTTGCGATGAGTTCAAGACTGTGCCAGCATGTTTGAAACTTTAACGTCTTGTATAATAATCGACTTATCCTGGAAATAAGCTAAACCATGCTTTAGAATGAACATTTCTTCACATGCTGACAAAAATTTTTGTTTCCCTGCAAGCAGACGTCCAAAAAAGATTGGTAAAAAAACTTTGGAACTACTGCGGAAACAGAAGGAAGAGTTATCGAAAAAAGAGGCAGAGAAAGAACCAGAATCAAAACGTGTGCAGGAAAAGAAGCCTGAAAAGGTTGAGAAACCAACAAAAATTGACAAAAATAAAAAAGTTAAAGAGGTAAAGATACTCCTGTGGGTCTTTAGAGTCTTAATAAAAAGTCTTAAGAAGTAACACATTTTTTGTCCTATTTCTCCATGGCTCCCGGCCTAGTATGCCACCGTGTGCTGCACGGCAAACAGCTTTCAAGTGCATGGCGCAACTCAGTAGCCAGTTATAAATTTGGCATGGGAGAGGGAAGTGCACAACGCTGAGGGGACTGTGTTTGTTGCGTATACTCATTCTACCTCAAGACCTTCCTCCACTTTTATATAACCAGATTATTTCGTCTACAGGTGATTCATGTTGGGGAATCAGTAACTATTCCCGAAAGAAAAACTCAGGTGGAAGGTATTTTACGCGAGGTTAGTATCGTTTTTCTTTGACTTTATTATTTACTTTTTATATTACATTTATATTACATTTATATTACATTTATATTACATTTTACATTATCATTGTAATTCCCTTAGGGTTCAAAGGCGTTACTTGAAAATTCTTTCCAAGAAGCATCAGAGAGTTATTGCAAAGCTTTGGGATATATTGACGCAGGACCTCGAAAGGTTAGCTAATGCACACATTTCTAAAAAAGCCGGCCGTAAATCCACATCTATATAGTGAATGTTTGACGAAAATATCGCTTGCTTAAGATTCCGCATAGAATGTGTATAAATTAAACTGGAATATTAACTTTTGGTATTTTATGATCTGCAGTCTTTAGGTTATGCTGACAAGAAATATGTCATTGTTTTGTATGCGTATGGAACCTCATTAATAGGACTTGATATTCACAAGGTGAGGCTCATTATTGCACCAAGGCAGGGCGTATCCACCAGCATCAGGGGGCATTTATATATCCATGTTCTGCATGATCAATTTTAAATGATTATATAAATATGCCCCTTTGCAAATTGAATGCTATAGCTACGCCTACTGCATCAAAGTATGAGGCTCATGCAGAATTTCTTCTGACTTGAACTCCTCTTGAACACTCAGAATTATTTTTTTAGGAACTGGAAGCGGCGAAAAGTACATTTCAAAATATAATTACTTCTTTTAAAACTTTAAACTTTCCTCTGGCGTATTATGGTCTCGGTCGAATACATCATCGTCAGAACAGGTCAGTATTCTACTAGAACTAGAATTTATAACGACTAATTGCTCAAGGCAATATTATTATTCCCCAAGTATGTTTTAAAATGTTGAAATATTGTAGTCAATACTAAGTTCTAATTAACTACTCTTGTTCCATGCCCAGTAACATATTAAGCATTCTTTGTAGATTTCCTGAAGCGATCGAAACGTTAGAAAAAGGTTTAAGTATAATACAAAGTAAATCTAATGGCGCGATATATTGGCCTGGTACGGATATCGTTATTGAAGAAACGAAAGATGGAAACTTAAAGGTTAGAATTTTAATTGAATTAATGTTTTAGTAATAGCAGTATTAAGAACTCGCCTGATTTATTGATTAATTCAGGCCATCGTTCGATTCCATCTCAACACTGCATGGTTGAACTCATGACCTTAAGTCTTTCTTGATTAGGTTGAATTATGCTTCAAAAAATCACTCGTGCAAGCCAGGCTTTTCTACCTACGCTCCAGGCCCTCGCCGCAGCAATCAGACATGCATGGCCGTTCCATTGGTACGGGTTAGCTCCAATGAGAAATCAACAACTGTGAATTACATTTTTTTTATCTAGGTCTCATTTGAAAAGATTTTAACAATATGTAAATACCCACCGAAACCTGATGCAATTTGTCGTTTTGAAAATTGTCTTGGAGTAAAGAAAAGTATATACTGTAATGATACAGGTAATATTAACACAGGAAATGTTCTTCTCATAAAATTAAAGAGAAATCTTGCTTTCATTTACGTTCGTGTTAAACAGGAACGAGACTTCATTAAGTTCGTTATGATGTAATAGTTTGTTTATTTCCCCGTGACCTTTTTTTATGCCCTTAGCGCGTCCTTTCTCTGAATTAAGGAAATAAAATTCGTGGAAATGGGCAGGACTTTATAGAAGTGAGCTATATATGATATTATGGCTATAGAATCTCTATTCTGTTTTAGATTACAAAGGTTATGTGCGTATTAAATGTACAGATGCATGTTTAGTCGAGTATCATATTCAGTGTTGGAAGAAGTTAAAGTCAAAATTCGCCGACAAATCAACGGACAAGGTAGAGTACGATACACACACAATTGAGAAGTTTAGACGTAGACGATTATTGGCATCCTATGAAATATGTTTGTAATGTGAGAATGACACATTAATGACTCTAATTGTCAACTATATAAAACTATTTAGTATATTGAGGGTTTGCTTCTGTTTTTTTGCAGGATTTTCTGGACACTTGTTGTTTCACCTCCAGTTGTTTGGGACACGTTGGTACAATTCAAGTGTACGATACAGATGGACTAAAAACAGAGGTGAAGACATCTAATCAATCGCATCAATGAAAGCATTCTAATCAAGATCTTATTGAGTTAGATCTATATAATCAAGATCTTGTTAAGTTTATCCTAATCCAGATCTTGTTAAGTTTATCCTAATCCAGATCTTGTTAAGTTTATCTAATAAACACGATCTTGTTAAGTTTATCTTATAAACACGATCTTGTTAAGTTTATCTTATAAGCACGATCTTGTTAAGTTTATCTTAATCAAGATCTTGTTAAGTTTATCCTAATCAAGATCTTGTTAGGGTTATCCTAATCAAGATCTTGTTATATAGGGTTATCCTAATCAAGATCTTGTTTAATGAGTTGATTCTAATAAAGACCTTATTCAGTTTATTGAATTGAACTGCTGCCAATTCAGTCAACATTAATTGAATACTATCTCTGAATCAACCTAAAAACCTTTTATTTCAGGTTCAAACTGAAAAACCAAAACATAAAAAAGAAAAACCTGAAAAGGTGGCTACTACGGAAGTTACAGCGTAAGCTTATTGTGCTCATTGTTATTATATATGCAATTATTGTAGCTAACAATATGCTATGAACTTGGACAACTATAAAATTAGCATATGCCACTGTGCCGCTGAGACAGAGCAGGTGTGGCAAGCAAACTGAAGTTTAGTAAACAGGGCGAACAAAGCAGTCCCTATAACTATATCGTCAAGATGAATCTTTGAAACTGGTAGAATAAATGCACAACTAGTAAATTCACAACTAGTTTTTAATGGTTGGTTTAGTGGATCGAAGAAAAAGAAACGTTCAAAAAAAAAAGAAAAAGAAACGCCAAATGAAGTCGAGGTTAAACAAAATGATGTTGAAACACGCGAAGAACAAAAATATGATGTAACCGATGAAATGCCTCCTATAGGTTAGTTCTCGGCTGTAACATCTTTTAGGCGATGTGAAACAGTTTAATACTGTTTGTTTGATGAACATTTGCGTACGTTTAGGTATATTTTTTCTCATTTTTTAGACGTGCCTGAGCAGGATGAAAAACAACCCACGGTTTGTAGCAACACTGCAACACATAACGAGTTTATTTGACTGGACATAAATATACTTTCAATACCGTTTTGGACTTAGCTATAGCTGCAATAACATATCAAAATAATGTGCAGAAGTTTAAAGAGCTTTCTCATCCAAAGTTGCATCATACAGTATCTTCCTGTGAAATAATGAAAATTAATATTCAAACGTTGTTCATATACGTGACATTTCCTGTCATTTAAAACTGATCTCTTTCACAGAAGGGCACTGATGTGGAGACACAATGTGTCGAAGATCTCAGCAAAATCCCAGGTGAAACATATTTTTCATTCCAAGCACATGCATCATTGGTGCATGCCGACTAAAAATGTAACGCTAACCTCTGTTTAATTTTTCATTCCCGTCTCTCAATGCGCATGCTTGTTTTTTTCCAGAGTCTGGAATGTTTGTGTTAAAGAAATCAGATGACGACCAACAATTAGCTTTAGTATGCTTCCAATTTTTTTATTATTCATTCAATATTATCATACTATGTTCATGTTTTTATGCCCTTTTCCCAGAGCCAGCCTGTGTATTATACCTGCATGAGGGATGTATGTCACCATGCTTTTTTGTAAGGGCCAAAAAGAGGTGTTTGAATACTTTTGATCAGTACTGTATATTTCCTTGTTCTTGATAATTCCCACTCGTGTTTTAGCCAATTAAACAAGCCAAAGGAAAGAATAAGAAAAAGAAAACAAAGGTAAGATGAAATTAACCACCTGCATGTCATTCGTATGGACTCGATCCATTGTTCCCGCGTATTCTTACCGAATAACCTCAAACGCAAGGTACGCACGGGAATTGTGATGTTAAGTTTTGAAAACGGTGGCATATTAGATACCTTATTAACCTAATTTTGCAGAAAATGTGAGCAAAATTCTAAAAATATCCATAATATTTTTATACAGTGTAAACACGTTGTCTGAGAGTGCATGTGTTTTAAGACGCTTCGCATTTTGCTCCACTTTTGAGGACATGAAACAGACGAAACTTCTTTTTAGAATGTGCAATCTTTGGATGAATTCTTGGGTCGTGATAATGAACATTTACGTCTGCGGCCGTATCAACATGGGGATGATTGTGAGGATTATGACGAGATTCCATCACAGCCTTTGTATGTATTTCCTCTTCTCTAACATAAACTTCATATTTGATTTTGATCTCATTATTGATAAAGAAGCTATTAATTTAGCGCCGTACTACATCATGTCATGCATGAAACAACACAACCTAAGGCCCGTTTTCCACTAGGCGGAATTTTGCGCGTGGAGCGGAAGCAAAAACAAAGAAAAATTCCGCTCCGCGCCCAAAATTCCGCCTAGTGGAAAACAGGCTTAATTCACCGTATAACTTTTCCTTACTTAGCAAAATTTCTGTGAGGTCTGTTCTGTGAAATATATTATTCTAATAAAATAGTAAATTCTTCTATTTAAGTAATAAAATTATTCTGTCTTTATTTAGTATTCGTCAGCCACCTGAAGGATGGATGTCAGAACCATTTTCCATTCCTGCTCACTTACAGCATGAAGCTCGAGAAATTGAGAGTTCTCTGGCGACATTCTCTCACAATAACATGTACCTTAATAATGATCCTTGGAAAAAGGACTCCATTAGGGAATATGTATATTCGTAAGTCGGTATCTTATACTTCCTGCACTATAGCCCATATTTTCAACTTTCACATTGTGTTTCATTAATGAGCGCATTGATGGGATCAATCTGTTCTGTGACTCGGACGTTTTTGGAAATCGTAGAAATCAGGGTTACGGTCATATAATTCGTGAATTACATATACCTACAATCTGTGTTTTGTACCTGTCGTTCTTTACAATTGTCTCCATGTTTCACTTGTCGTTTTTTCTTTAGTTTATATGTGAATTTTTCCTTACAATTAATTTGCAGAGCTTTTATCAACCTACTTAAAGCCGAGGGTTCGTTACATGTCACGAGTGAACCAATGAGAAAACTTCTGAACATTATGCCTGAAGAAGCGCGGATACTTGTCCAAAAAGAGGGAGGTCTTCGTGACTTTTTAGCAAAATCATGTCTGTTTACTATTGAAGCAGATATTGTTACAAACTTTGAGGATAAACTCATCACAGATTTGTCTAAACCATACAAGAAACCACAGGATCCTGCTTTCATAACTCCAGTTGAAAATGGCATTGCAAGATTGGAGGAAATAGCAACACCAGATGGTATCATTTCCGATACAAATACCGGCGGAAAATTCGGACCCGTTGGATCTCTTGATGGTGCATTACAGAACAGATCTCCAACAAGTGTCGTTAATTCCTTACAAAACATATCTCAGACAAGTGTTGTTAATACCGTACAACAGAACAATTTTCAAGCAGGTGTTGGCAATATTCTACAAGAGAACATATCACTTGCAAGTACTGAAAGCACTCTGCAACAGAACTGTAAACAAAAAATAGACTTTCCTTTGCCCAGTTTTTCCCGAGAAGAGTGCATGGCAAATCTGAGTAATTACGGTAATGTTAACAAAGAAACTGTAAATAGTAGTGTAAAGACTGATACATGGTTTGAAAAGGGAGGTACGTCAAGTGAGTGGCCTAGCGCTAAAGCGTTTGTTCCATATGATGTAAAAGTACCAAGCAAGGAGTCAGTGATCACAGAAACAAATGAAATAGACAAAATATCCGGTAAGAATATGGACACAGAAACGTCGAGAGAAATAGCTACCAACACCGCAAATGGTCTAGATAAAGAAATAAATGAAAACATTAACAAGATTCTGAATGATGATTTCGACTTAATAAATATATCTACTGACAAAGCAACTAATGCAGCTGAAAACAATGGTGATTCAGATGCAAAGGATTCTACAGCAAGGGCAATATTATGTGAGAGCAGTGATGCTGTCCCAATAGTTAATGAATTGGAGCTTAAGAATGAATCTGAAGACACAGTAAAGAATGAGGTCCTAGACATGGATCCTGCTGCTTCAACCTTGTCTCTTGAAGATTCGGTTGTAAGCGAGACTAAAATTGATAAAAAGACAAATGATGAACAAACTGAATCTATTCCTATAACTGTACCGAATGATGTTTTGGTTACTAGAGAGATCGCTGTTTCAGTGGAGCCAAAACTGACAAAAGAAAAATACGTTCAGGCAAAACCAAGTACTAAAACCAAAATAATTATGACAGAGGCAATGAACGAACCCTTTAAGGCTGATTATGAGAAATTATTACGATCTTGTCAAAGTTGGGAGAGTAAATATCAAGAATTACTGGATAAAAATATCCAAATGGAAAAGAAGTACGGTACTGATGTAATTAGCATGGAAAAGAAACTGCAAGAGTGCGGACATAAACTTGAGGTAAATTCTAACGCATGATAGTATAATATATTTGGAATTCAGACCAGCCTGCACGATTAAATTTACCAGAGTATGGGCTGTCTGCGAACTAGTCATCTGATTCTAATTCATGATAGTATTGACAGGTTGTTTAAAAGTTTTCTTGATATATAGGAAACTCTGTCCACCAGAGCTTACAGAGGGAAAACTTCCTCTACTCCCACAGCACTGAGCTATGCAACTAAATTAACTTTTTTACCGTGGTGATAAAGTATTTAATTTCTAAGAATGCAGTTGCCAAACTTTATCCACGTTTCGCACCGCGGATCGTAACATAACAAGGTGACGCGTGCAATTTCTTTTCCAGATATTGAGCAAGGAGTGCCAACACATTCAGAAACATCATGATCATGACCTTAACGTTTTACGTCAGGAAAAACGTGAAAAGACTGAACAGATCAAGAAACTTCAAGAGCAACTTACCTCCATATCCGAATCAGAAGAAAAGTAAGACTGTTTAGACACGTTTTATGTAATGCCACATGCACTATCCAATGTCTGACCCATGCAATGTAAGCTGGCATGAATCATGATATGCTTTTTGTGTCTGCATGGATTCATAAATTCATCTGCATGGCTTTACCATTATGTGGCAATTTTACGTTTACCTTCATTATTCCTCACAAACAACTGTCGTCTTTAATTGAATCACCAATGTCGTGACTCGTCTTACAGCGTCTTTAAATCCACATTTACGAAATAACTATCCCTAACACCTCTTGCGATCAAATACAAATAGACACGGTCCTAATCTATTTTAGGCAAGTGAAAGCATTGAAAGACGAGATCTGTGCATTAGAAAGTCAACATGAAAAAGAAAAGTTTGTATAAATTCTATATTCTACGGTATTTTATCTTTCATTATACATCATTATATTAGCGTTTTCGTTATGGGAAATGGCAATCCTGATTAATCATTGGTATTTAAATTTAGACAACAATGGTTATCAGAAAAAGAAAGTGCCGAGAAAATGAAATCTTACTCACAACAACAAGCGAGACGGGCAAGCAATGCTGAGGTAGGAAAATATACATTTGAATACCACAAAGTCATATAATATGCTGAGTTTAATCTCAAGTAAGTGGGATCATGTAAACTTGATTGATGTTTGAATTTTTGGGGGGATTTTTAGGTTCAGCTTTTGGAGCTTCAACGTGACGTTAATTTCAGTTTCTTCACGAGAGCACTTCAAGAAGCAGAACTGACTGTACATAACATTAGTCAAATACTGACAGTCAAGTAAGTCTACCGAACCGAACATAGCTCGCCTTTTATACCAGATTTTAGAATTAATAGGGAAGATTTATACGAGGGATTGGTGGGTGGTAACTGCATGTAGAGGAAATTAATGTATACCAAGTTGTGTCCCCCATGCAGCATATTCTCCAAGGAAAACTCACAAAACTATATTGCACATAAATGAAGAAGAATTCTTCAAATTCGCCATTTTCTCCTGGGACGATCAGCCTTCAAATGTTGTAATTATTGATGTGATTTCTCCTAATATTAGTTCAACACCTCAACTACAAGAAATCAGTCAAAAATGGCAAAGATATATTGCAGAATGCAAACTTCAACTGGGCCGTAATAAGGTTTGTTGTGAAATATGTGATTTGCCATTTTAGCCTCCTGGTATCTAGCCTTACAATATTGTAATTTATTGGTAAAATATCGGTAATACGTCTTTTTCAGACGGCAAACCATTTTATACGCTATATGAACATCATGTGGTTCAGCGCCGGTCTCATTGTATGAAATGCTATGCTACAAAATGCTACTGCTATTGCCTCTATAATCTCTAGTTGTCATAACTCGTCACTAAAAAAAACAACAAAACAAAACTGAGTAGTCCCCCGTTAAAATAGTAGGTTATCATGTAGCTTATTTCTAGGAAGGGGGGGGGGGCACTAAAACTTACTCTCACCGTAACTCACCAAAGTAAACGTTCCTAGATCATGTTTGAAGCAAGCATTCCACAAATAAAAGAAGGGAAGCCACTTTCGTCATTAACATCTCTACGTATTGCTCGACCTGCTAGTTATCCTGGACCGCCGATATTACATCTGGTAAATTTTTGCAGATATTTTATTTTAAGGACCTGACATGTATTTTCGCGGCACTTGCGCGTATCTGATCACTTATAACATATTTTTCCTCTCTTGTCGTCTAGCCTCCAGGTGCTATACCTGTCACTGGAAATAAACAAATGCCTGGACTAGCTAACATTAGACCAGAAGCAAAACGTGGCCCGGTTAGTTTCCCAGGCTTTGCTATAAATGCGTGTGTTTCGCATCTGAGGTTTCTTGAAGTTATAGGTCGTCTATTTCTATAAAGAGTGAATGGCTCTCTCAAGTAATGTTGTGTAGCTACGTTAGGGTATCTTTGCCAACGATGTATTATTCATATTTCAGTCACCTACCCCATCTGGTGGTGCATCAGGTCGAACTACACCTGGAGCAACAACTGTGGTCAGAAACGATCCTGTCCGTCCTGCAGTGCAAGCTGAACCTACAAATGAAACACCAAACAGCAGCATTCCTGAGAGGCCAATTGTTGCAGAAGCGAAGAAAGGACAAGAACAACCACAAAAAGGATCAAACAGCTTTGAAAAAATAATGATGCGACTGTCAACGCTCTTCCCTAATTATTCAAGGTTGGTTTAATCAACAATTAGGATTAGGTGTACCCATGGTACACTTTATTGGAAAGAAATTCGTTTATCAAGTCTAAAGTCTCAACCTAAACACGTACGAAATTATACACACAGTGATATAAAAGGGAACGTTCCCCCCAAAGCTGAGAAAGAGGAAGCTATAGAGTTTTTTTATCTATATAGCTTAGTTTATTCTTTGTATTAATTATATAGAGACTTTAGAGAGAGTATATTGTTTGCAGTTTATTATTCCTATATGTCATTCGATTTTATGATTAAACGTCATCCGTTTTTCCCCTTTTTACTTTTGCCTTTTTATTCAATCGGTTTGAATCAGGTTTAATTAGTTTCATTGTTTCACATTATTTCGTATTTAACATGCATCTATTATTTGTATCATGCAATAGAACTCAGATGACAAATTTTATCAAAGAAGTTCGAGCAAGCAAAAATGGATCATTAACAGGCTTGTCTTTCGATGATATTGTGGCTTGCGTGACCAAGTTGGTGAAAACAAAAGAAAGACAGGTTAAGATAATCACATGTAGCTACTGTCGTGCTCGCGTGCATTTGTTTAACAAATAGATGAAACGGGAGTTTATATAGAAACATTATATATAGGGCCGGTTGTACGAATGCTGGATAGCGTTATCCACCGGATAGTATAATTTCTTTAACCGTTTTAAACATGCTTGAAAAGCAATGAAATTACAGATTTGGAGTTAACAGTTAAGAAAGAGAACCCCTAATTGAAGAATACTAAGGTTAAATCCAGGTTATACTCGACAACAGACAATTTTAGAGCGATAGAAAAATCAATATTTGTTGGATAGCGTCAGCTGGTTGATGGTTAAGATAAGGAGGATATAAAGAACTCTGTGCGTGTGGGATGATAGTAAAATGTCCGTGCAAGACAAGAAGAAAACTAGATGCATGTTTTAGGAATTGATATGAGAGAATGATAAAGCATCCTCTAATGAAATTTTCCAACGATATGTTTTCTTTTTTTGATGGTATACAAATAATTCATTTCAGGCCGGGCAAGCTGTTGCTCCTGTTCCACCAAACGAAGCTGGTGCATCTGGATATAGCGTTCCTAAAACGTCGGGGGGAATACAATCAAAACCTGCAGCTCCCATAACAAGATCCATTTCTCTGCCGGCGGCCAAGCCTGTGAAAGCAGTGCCATCTGTTCTTGGTAGTATTTCTCTACCAAGCGGTATTCCTCTGCCCGTCAGTAATAATGTAAACTATGAAGATGATCCGTGTGTGATATGTCATGATGAAATGACAACAATAACAAAAAATGTTTCCTTGGATTGTGGACATTCCTTTCATCATGATGTAAGTATTACAGTCGAATCTCTAAATAAACGGCCCTCAATTAAGCGGCCATCCTCTAATAGGCGGTCACACATCAAAGGTTAAAAAACCTTATATATACTGCCTAATATCATTATTTCTAAAGCCTATACTCGCCATCGTATTTTGTGATTTATAACAAAACTTAGGCATTTCTTTACGTGCAGAGTCTATTATTTGTGTACCTCTACCTACCTACCGACCACTTCTCTATTTAGCGACCACAAAGCCTTAATCGCAGTGTATTTTATATTTCAGTGCATTAAAAAGTGGTTAACTGGAGAGCAAAGTACTTGTCCCACGTGTCGTGTTCATGCTTTGTTACCTGAAGAATTTCCTCAACTTAAGTGATGATTTGGTTTTCTCCTTCCATTTCTTTCAATTTCATTTTTTCTTGCTTAATTTCTTTTATTGGTTGACGAAAATTGGACGCATTATAGATCATTGTTCTCGTTTCATTGTTCTTTGTTTATATGCAAAAGATCGTGTATCTTGCCTCGCGGAATTCCAAAACTACACAACAGGAAAATTTGTTGTTGTGCACAGAAATCGCTGGCGCACTTGTTTTTTCTCTATTTTGTTCAATTGTTTAAACGGGATCCTCGAACATTTACAATAAGTATATTTTTTTATGAAATTGTGGCTGAATGTGCGCATGCATATGAAACAATTTTTCCAGCTGCAATCTTATATCGTTATTACCGCTTATATATATAAGTAAAGTTGTGTTAAGCGTAGTAATAGTATAGATGTTTCTCATAAAGATTGATTCTATCCAGGAATTTCTGGGACTTTCCTCACGTAACTGAGAAGTGCGTGCAAAACAAGGCTGAACGCCTGCGATACATATACGTTGATTATTTGTTTTTCTTGTGATATATATATTTCTGTATAACCCTTGTTAAAGCCGTCATCTTTGTGAAAAACTATCAAAATATATATTGCACGTGCCTATTTGTAGTGCTATCAAGCTGGGTGGTTTATAAAGTTTTAGAAAGAAATGTTAATTAAAGTTCTTATTTTTGTAAATATAAATTGAAATATTTAATCTTCACGAAGTTTTGATTTCTGTATATTGCAACCTCGCACCCAAAGGCCTGTATTTCACTCGTGTTTCACAAAGTCGAGATCACAGACATTTGATAATCAATACTAACACATCAATATGATAATTGCGTTTATTAGGCGACAAAGTTTGTGTATATAATAAAACAGTTATTCTGCTCACTCTCGTCTTATATGGCCGATAGCCAACTCGGCGCTATGCGCTTTGTCGGCTATCAGCTCATATACGACTCGAGTTCGCAGAATAACTGTTAAATATTAACTGAAAGATATACATTGCACGAATACCCAATTGCCTCCCTCTCAAATTCAACCTTTTTTCTAAAAGGAAGAAACGACCTTAATCACATAACGATCAATGCGGTACGATTTTGCGCAAATTTCAAAGACTTGATGCAACACTATTCAGCTTTTGCACAACTGAATGTGTCTGGTAGCCAGGCACCAAACGTTATATTGATGAATTAAACTACAGGTGGATAAACATAACTGACAACACACAAACATTAAAGTTTTTCATAACTACAATCAAACATGCATGCATAAAAATTAATCTCAGATGATTAAACACCAATTTTGGGGTCACCGTATTTCTCTACACAGCTTTCATAACAAAATTTCAGGGATGGCTTTCTATAGAAAAAATGTCCAGCTAGGAAAACAGCCTTGTAATACAATTTACTCATGAACAAACAGCCTTTGTTACTTGGGTGATTTCTTCTGCAGAGTTTTTTCATGTCACGAAGGAAAGCGTTGTCGCATTTTTCTTTTGACCAACCGTAGTGATCTCCCTATTTTAGTAAGAAAAATATTTCAAATTTCACGCATGCATATCTATATATGAATGGTTTTTGGTAACTTTGAATTTTAACTTTCTTCACGAAATAGAGTGATTTACGCGACATTTTAACCATCTTCTTTGGTTGGCATGAAGAACCAATTAATAGAAAACCCCTTAACTTGGCTTTTTCCGGTTGGACGTGGTCATGCACAAATTACAGCTTCCAGAGTCTGCGTTGAGCGAGCTTTTATCCTTATAACATTTTAAATTGATTATATATTCATTTGTACCCGCAAAAGTATTTTAATCAGTCATACACTTTCTCGTTAGTTTCTCAAAGACATAAACTTTGTAACGGCGTTCAGAATCGTGCATTTTTCTTTAAAATAACACGCGAAATATGCTATTTGTTTAACCATCCCATATCACACGTTTATGTATTAATTATAGTTATACCTTCATGCAAGCTAAATGGATACTGGCAGATTTAGAATACAATGTTTAACTTACACATCTGTAACAAACGTCGTGGCGGTTGCAAGCTGGAGTGAAATCTTTTTTGTAGGGCCAAAAATTGCTGTTTGTTGGCGTGCTGCAACCATTGATCTTCAGTTCGCAACTGAAATAACCAGTCACCGCAATTGCCAGGAATATAAAGGCTGATGCACTTATTCTGTACATGTTTTGAGTAATTCGATGCAAGCAATTTGTTTAATTGTACTATACAGAAGCAATAGCAATAAGCAGCTAAAAGCAGCTCATTTTATTCATTTAGCGAGATTGCAAATTAAATACACCTGGAAAATTACGAAACACTCATTCCCAATCACTGGGGCAACCAGCCTGTTTAGTTACAGTAAATGAACATCAAAATAGGATATAGCAGGACTAAATTAGGATATAGCAGGACTAAATTGTCAGGCTGGCTATGCTACTGCTCCCAATCCCTTTTGGTCTCCCAGTTTTCCAAATTGTCAAACACATGAAACTGCATATACTTAACTCGTCATTAGTTCAAATTTCTGCGGATTTCTATTGTTCTCAATGGGGTTTTATTTCGGTTAGAATCTTAAAGCAAGGGGAGGGATAAGGGATTTGATATCTCCTCAGGGAAAAGCGGGGTTCATGAATAGAATTGAATTGATGATTAAATATTCACCGGGTTTTATCTATATAAAACCCGGCTTTCTGGGTTTTATACAGATAAACCCCAGAAAAGTAAGGTTTTATATAGATAAAACCCGATGCAAAAAAACAACACCCTGCACCTTTTTACGCACGCTAAAATTAAATCATGACAAAAAATTAATTACTACAACTAATCTGTTGATATAGCAGTTGTTCCACACTATCATACTTTCTCAGTCAATCTTTCTCAACACACAAAGTCAAACACGTTAATTCAAAAAAAGTTAAAAATACACTTATCAAAACTTTGCGTGATATAGAAATCTAGATCTTCGTCGCTGTTTCTGTCGCTCATAGTTTATCCAACCATCAACATATGCCGCTCACTCTACCATGCATGCTATCAGAAAATTATCCTTATCTACATGTCTAACCTAATTTTTGTATAAATTTAGAGTACTATTAAAACAAAAGCCAAATTAACAATTGTCCTGTCTAATTGACAAAATATTCCCAGAAGTGTTTAACATATGCAGATACACAGATAGATAATCTGCGGTCGAACAAAAAGATATTCACAAAGCGTGACTCGTAATTTTCTTTAAATTTCTTTTCCGTAGCCTTAACCGATGCTTGAAGTTTTTTCTCCCACCACTTACTGCATTTCTTTGTTTCGCCTTGTCGATTTACTTTACGCTTACATTTATCATTGAGTCGCTAATTAGTAAGGCTCAATCAACTACACGTAGCAAAGGAGCAATCATTCTTAGTAAAATCCTTACAAATTTGAACTAAATTAGTTAATTACCTCGAACATCGGTTTCTTAGCGAGATACATCCCTCGGGAGCGTAGCCCTCATAAATCATCCCTCGGGCCTTCGGCCCTCGAGATGATTTATTCGGGTCACGCCCCTCGGGTTGTATCTCGCTAAGAAACCTCGTTCTCGGTAATTAACTCTTACATAAAACTGTGCTCGCGCGTCCAATTTTTACCACCCCTACACTACAGGGTGTCTCAAAAAAACCGCAACCACTTAAATATGCAAGACATCAATACAGCTCTAAAGCACAATAGATAAGCACCTCTGGGAATTGAAAATGGCTCTTAATCCTTCATTTAAAATGCTAAAAGTCATTTTAGCTGAACTGTGGTGCAAACCCAAACAATAATAATATTCTTGCATATTTAAGTGGTTGCTTTTTTTTGAGACACCCTGTATAGTGACTAGTTTAAACCAATTTAAAAGTTTAACTGTTCACCACCGCGTTTATTAAGAATGTTTGAAAATGTTTTAATCCGCTCGTATTATTTCACGTCAAGGATACGATACCCAGAAGATATATACGGGGTCTCTGTATCCAGGGAGGTTTTCTCGTGCAAGTAAGACAAACACGGTCGTGTGTGTTTTCAGATGGTTTGCTAAAATAGCACATTTACACGTTTTTAACATTTTATTTTATTATCCATTCAGTTACATTAACCGTTTGCAATAAGTTTTTATCAATATGTTAAATCGTGTGTTCGTGCAGTTAAACTCCATAGTTCGGATTGCCGTGTCGTATTACACATCTGTTAAAACAAAATGATGACGCTGGTCTTCTGTAGAATAAATGACCAGCAAGAAGCACAGCTTTACGATACATATGAGAGGCGATGTTGCAATGATGTCCTCTTCTACCTCTTCTGCATAAGGTCATCATGTCTCTTAAGAAGGCATCGTCACAAGATTTCTTTGACCATCCGTATTTGTATCCCTGTTGTAGAAAGGATTATTAACTTTGTGATTTATAGTTTACCATGCATGGAGGACAAGTGAATGAAGTGATCTTTATTCTTTAGATAAATCTGCTGACTCAACGCAAGACAATGAAATAGAACTTTAATTCGCTTTTTAACTTTATATATGAACATTTGCAAAAACTGTCATTTGAGTTGAGGCTACGGTCATGTCAAACACGAAAAGGAACTGCCTTGCCCGGTCCAAACCTGGTAATTTTCCTGCTTATAGTGGAAACCATTCTTACGTCGTCGTGCACTGGACGTTTCTCATGCCTTGAACTTTTTGGAACAAAAAAATAATCGATTATAAGGAAGCTATAGCAGCCATATACTTGTTCAGGAAACTGCACGGCGGCATATATAATATAATTATAATATATGATACTGCATGCATGTCCATGTATAATACTGAAAATATCAGTATGAGAAATATCGTATGTCAAATATATACTTACACATCTATAACAGACATCATGCCGTCTGCAAGCCGGGGTGAACAGGCGAATGAAAGGTATATTTTTTACTGGTGAACTGCAACCATCTGTCTCCAGTCTACAACCAAGTGAAATATTCACTACAACGACAAGAACGATGATACTGATAAAGTAGATTGTTTTCATGTTTCTTCTTCTCTTCAGGAAACTCAAAACTTTGTGTCTAAGTTATGCTAGCTTTCCTTTTTATATATAAATGTAGTGTACAGAAACAATATTTAATCTTCAATAATTATTTCATTGCCACTGCAACGGTGAACAAATATAATTTTCACAAAACAAATTATATGTTTATGACTTGATGATTGAATATATCACAGCTGGAAATAAAACAAATTTTGCCATCATTAAGAAATTGCATGGTCAATTTGTCTCGTCTTAGAGGAATGTCAAATATAGTCCATTGCTGTAAAAGTAGCATTACAAATCTATGGTAATCTGACACCGCAATTCTCAATACATAGGCTTCAAACGATTTATAACTATAAAAGATTTATAGACATATAAAGATTTATAATTTGAAGTTTGTACACAGGAAAAACGAATCGTCTGAATTAATAATTAAGGATTTAAGCCTCAAAATGGCTTTTCACAGCTGTCAGATGATCAAGTCAACAGATTGCAGAATGCGTACTCAGAGAACTTTTAAAAGTTATTCAATAGTTTTCTCTCTGATAGCAATATAGAAATGCACAATTGTGAACCAGATTTTCTTTTTTTTTTCGGGATGAAACTTCATAAACACCAATTTCTGCGGTGTTGATGTTAATCCAGTTCTTGTTCCATTGCTGACGTAACGAGAAAGCACGTGCGTCATGCGATCATGATCGAAGAAAAAGATGGCGGCGAGGTCACTAGTTGAACATTTGCTTCGTTTAGACGACATAAAATACAGAAAAGCGAATATTCTAGATTACCTATCGACAAAATGGGAAGGACAGGTTATTGACTGTGATTATTTAGAGTCATTAAACGTAATAGTCTCTCATCTTTTAAATGTTGCAACGAACAGAAGCAATACTGCCAATACAGAGGTGACAGAACCAGAGACGTGTAAATTCGGTTTAGAACCATGGATAAAAGACGCTTTAAAAACCATATTGACTGAAACGTGTATTCCAACTCTTAGCGTGGTTCGACCAACTGGGTATGATACAGATAAGAGAGATAGGATGCGGATTTTCGAGTTAACATATGAACTTGTCGCAAAAATAGTGTGTAGAGGTCCTTTAGAAAATGCACATTGTATCTGGAGCTTAGTGTTAAAATCTCTGCAAAATTTTGTTGATGAATGTAATAGTGGTTTTGATATAGGCCATGGTGCAAATGCTGATGAATCACTACTTCAGGTGGGTAGAGACGCTTAAAAACGTGCACAAAAGCTCATCGTGAAGAGACTCATTTTTAATATTTATAATATATTTATAATAGAGAGCATTTTTGTAATAGAGTAATTTGGTCGTAAAAAATTGGGGTAGAAAAATTAGAAACCACGTCGTATTCTCTTTCTGTTTCTTATTCACCCCCAACTGAACACCCTCCTTTTATTACCATGTAAATCGCCGTTAAATATTTTTTAGCAAGTATGAAATGATAACTATCTTAGCATTTACCTGCCTGAATGGATGGATGCACTTTGCCAACATCCTAACTCTCACTTTTTCAATTTGGCATGTCACTATTTACATCAGATATAGATTGTTAAAGCATAAAATGGTTTTTGAAAACTATAGCAAATGCTATTATGTAGTTATTATGTAGTTTGCCAATTTGTTGCAAATAAAGCCTGTATAAACTGGTTGGGAAGTAAAAAGTGAAATGAGTTGTTCTGTTTCTTTTAGCTTGACTGCTTGTATATATGCAGTTAAATGCTCAATATTGTAAGGCTCTATGTATTGAAATTTCATCCTCTATGTGAGTTCTGTAAAATCATGTTATTGCACAAGACATGCTTTCTCTTAAATAGAGATCTGTGTTAAGAGGACAGGATTAACTTCAGATGGCACCTATGTTTCTTCATTTCAGTTATATCCACCAATAACAATCAACTGATATTTATATCAGCTGATTATTACTGGTTGTATAATGAAATGACATGATCACTTGGCAGACAGTTTATTTAATATTAACTTCAAATATAGTCCATTCTAGAAAGTTACCATTTGTGTAATGCAATGTTCAATGCTGTCAATAAAGACGTATTGATTATGAATTGATGAATTTGATAGTTAATTGGGAATAAATTTGGAATTAATTCTGGACTTTCTGGACTATAAATTTTGCTTTCAAGTTGACTTGGTGATACCTATGTTAGATCCATAGAAGAGGTTGACAGCCATACCATCAGCAAAAAGGAGACATGTGCCATTAATTACAGTCATTAATTTACATTTTAAAAGTAACATTCCTTAAGGATCACTCTGTCTGACCATGTGCACTGTCAAGTAAATGCAAATATCAAGGCCAGTGCTAAAAAAACTGGCTGGCAATCTACTAAGATGTTTTCCAGATGAATTACCTGCTCTATTTCTATAAGAAAAGGGCAGTCTAAATGTGTAGGCACCATAAGACATATCTGATGAAATTAAACAACATATAACGTTATTTACATTGAAGAGGTAAAAAGCAAGAACTATGAATAATATTATTATCGTTCATCTTTAAAATCTCGATGGTGTCAGTTTATGCCATCATTGAGGTTTTAAAATTGAATCGTAATATCTACCAATCTTTTGACTGAATTGTTGGATCAAAGGAATTAGAGACTTGTACTTAAACATTATTCTTGTATGTCCTTTATATTCGTTTGATGTATTGCTTAACGTATAACTTACCAGATAAAAAGATCCTTTTCCAGACTTTTACAAAGCAAGTGTTTTATTTAGGTAGCCACAGCTTTGGATTTGCTAGCGTATTTGCTTGATACTATCGACAATTGGAAAGAGGATAGATTAAAGTTTGCACAAAAAGAAAACTCGGAGAAAGAATCGGAAGAGGCAGTTTTGCATTACGTTCTTAATGTGCTTAATGTTGTGGAAAATGAAGGCCTTCTTTTTAAAATCACTGGGCGAATTTTACCAAAGTTACTGTCGATTAATGAACTGGAATCGTATCGAGATACAAAGGTAGCTACTGTCAATTTATAAAACTATAAATCATCCTGTACCACATTACTTAGTCATTACACTCTATACCAATATTGTGCCGTGCAGTCAAGATCGGGATGTTTCAGTCTCTTCAAATAAATTGTATAATTTTTAAGTAATAAGTGCGACATTATAACATTTCATAGTCGGTTCTTACCATGCAAGCTTCCAGGAAACGTAACTTGATCCACCCACTTTGATTTATGTAGATAATATGGGAGTCGGTCAAAGTTTTGAGACTCCAAGAACAGGAAGAATGTCATTCTTCATCTGGCTTCCTCAGGTCCTATGCTATCGTGTCATCTTTAGCTGACTTGTATTTTAAACGAAGTGGCGAAACGGTTTTTAAGATTCATCAAGATCCTGCTTTCTGGTCCATGATTCAGGCTGGTTTAGTCAACAATGACTCGTTAGTAAGAAAAAGAAGTTTGTATTTGCTACAAAGAGTGATTGAGATGTGTAAAGAACAACAACAATCTGAGAACGTCTGTCTTGAGCAACAATCAACACCAGTATTTTGGTGGAATATTTACAGCGCTGAAGAAATTCTGAATATTTGGCAGCAATACGTTTTTCTCCTGGAAACCTTGGAAGAAAAACAGGTAAATACAAGACGTCAACTCATCTCTTGTTTTTTTTTTACTTTCTGAGTTTAAAATGCAGTAATTACACGCGATATCTTTTTTATCATCAGCTTCATGTGATTCAACCAGTTCTTCCACGCATAGACGAACTTGTTAACGCAACGAAGAAAACGAAAGGTACGAAATAGAGATATAAGATATTTTCCATCGAATTTGATTCTTAAAATTGTTCAGAAAAACAGACGATTTTCTCTGTCTAACTACGACTGTGTTTTTAAAAATGTTAATTTCATTGTTTTTGTAGACATTTCTTTTCCTCTGTTACATGTTTCATGGCTGTCAGTGATCGTCCATAGAGCTGCAATACATGAGAATAGATTCATAAAGAAATGGGGTGTTATGACTTTATTGACATTAAATTTTCACGAAGTACCATTCTTACAGAATAAGACGACAAGAAATTTCACATGTGATACTTTTATTATGTTACTCAAGGAACCGACGTTATATGCAAAGAACCACGGCGAAAGTAAATCCGAACCAAGCGCATTAAGTAGCCATTTGTTGAAGTTTTTTAAGAAATGTCTTCATGCCGTGAATGAAGAAGAAAAGACTGGGTTTTTCGCACAAGTGTTTACGTCCATATCTCGGTATAATATCAGCCATGTTCCACTTACCTTTATAGTCCAGAGTCTTTCCAATGTACCACGAATTTCTGTGTTTGGCAGTGAACTATTAAGCAGCTTAAGAAGTATTATTTCCAACATGTTGAGTCATTCTGTGATCTTACGTGGTGCAGTGAAAACCTTTCTATTGAGAACATTTATGAATTTTGTCAACCCTGTGTGTGTCAGGGTTTATGAAGTATTGGTGTTTCTTGGTTCGTTCGCAAAAGAAGAATCCCTGTGTAGAGGAACTCATCTTTGGAACGAGGTTACTTTATGGTTATCTGAAAGTCATCTTCTTTTTCAAAGTGAAACGAGTGTGTTCTTTTTGTAAGTATTATTCGCTTAAAAAAGATTTAATGCGATCAACCCTCGCGCATCGCCGTCATAAATCGTAGGGTCTCTAGTAATAATCGTACGTTTAAATGTATAAATTTGTTTCATTCATTGCCTCTATTAGTAAGTATATGGCATAATAATGTAAGTACCTTTATTTTCCAGGTATGTAGATAGGCACGTGCGGTCATTTTTGAAGAATGAATACAGCAACAAGACAAGGGAAGCTGCAGTAGGTTTGGCTAAATTCATCCTCTTGTGCTACGACTCTTCTGCCATAACAAGGAATGAAATTAATCAACTATTTCAAGCAATCTTTTTAACGATAAGTAAAGCGCAGTCGAATGTGTATCAACCCGTCTCGAACTGTTGGCAAGCGGTGGAACTGCTTCATGGATTGTTACACGAATTGTTGGGAATGGAAGAAAAACTCGAAGTTGCTGATGATTTGACTACGGCTCTTATGGTTTGCCTGCAGGATATCTTGGAATGCCTCACACAAACGCTTGTTCGAACTATCGGTCAAGAAGACGAGTATGCCAGTTACCATGGTTATAGCGCTTATTATGCTTTGTTGGATAAAGTAAAATCTTTATGGTTATCTCGCAAATTTCCGGAGAAAGTGTGCGTACAGTATCAGATAGTACTTAACAAGCTTGCTGACTTGGGTCTCTCTCTTTGGGATGCGAAGACAGAGTGCACGACAGTCAAACATTGGTTGTGTTTTTTGGTTAGTTCAAAATTGAATATTTGGGTCATTCAGATTACTGACGCTACCGATTTTGTATTGACAAATGAACGGAAAAGGAAGTTCTTGGAATGTGTTTGGTTGTCTAAATTCACAAGCAATTTGGCTTTTCCGAATGAAGGAAAGTGTCAAAATGGGTCATGCTTAAAAGAAGAGAGTTGGCGTGTTATCTCGGAGGATATAATTACCACAAAGTGGCACTCAGTTAACTTGGCAATCAGCGAGAGTAACAGTAAAGCTATCCCAGCAAGGTTTTCGTTAGAAACTTTTGCTTGTAGTTCATATAGTGACATTGTGAAAGCATGTGTTGAAGCCCTTTCCTTGATCTCAGGATCAGCGTGTTACTCTTGTTTGGAGACGTTGCGACTTTGTTTACCATATTTGTTTCATGCTGGGGATGAAGACACGATAATCTTGCTGTTGAAAACCACTTGGAGTGTGCTAAATGAAATCCGAACTCGTTACAGCGGTTATTTTTGGCCAGCATTAGATATTGTAGTTAAAATTATTTTCGCACCAGAATTGTTAAATCTACCATCCGATAGTTTATTCACACCATATGTAAGAAAATACTGGGAGTCCCTACTTGCTGTTGCTGATGATCAGACTGGTTTAGTAACTGTCGCTGTTGCCAATATATGCCATGTCCTGTCTGGTATGTACCATTTGCAGTCGTTTGAAGTGACGAGTTTGGATTATCATGTCGATATTATCGCCGATATTTGTTTGTTTGGTCCAGTCCATAAGAAAGATCTGAAACTATTGTTTGACACTGCAGCTTATGTCAAGAGCTTGGGCAAGGAATCTGGTGTTATTAACAGAGTAAAATTTAAGGAGTGTGAATGTGAATCTGCACGTGTTCGAGTTGATCTCCTCGCGTTTCTGCTAAGTGTTGATTACAATGAGGAAATCAATTCACTGTTTCTTGTTAAATTGATTAGAGCTCTGCTGGAAAGAGACGAAATACTCTCAAAAGTCAAGGCTAGTCGCTTCCTGAACTCCGAAAACCACCGAAAGAAACAAAGGCTGTGGCAAATCATCTTGACTCTTGTTTCTCGTATAACAGATGAGGAATTTGCTCTGGAATTTTGCAACAGAGTGCTGAAAGCATTAGAGGGGGATAATCAAACTTCGGTGCGATTTTTCATGGAATTAAGCTTGGTGAGACTGTTTTTTGCTCGTATCCATCTTCTTGAAACAATTTGGGTAAAAATGAAAGATCTTTACAAAACTAGACTTGGTTTCGTCGCGTCATTAATCTCCATACTAACCCATGTGTTTCTAACTTTGGAAGAGCAAGAATACCAGATGATTTATCTACAGCGATTAATACCAGCTGTAATCCCATGCGCGTTTCTCAATCACTCTCAAATCCGTGCTTACATTTTAGCTACGTTGGAAATGATCTCCAACACATGTAGCGAAGTTGTGTGGTCTGAAATCATTTTCAAGTTTCCTGTTATACAGTCGTGCCTGCTGTTTAAAGAAAGTGTTGTTGAAGGTGACAAGGAAAAGAATCGACTGCAGAAAGATCGAGACTTGTTTTCTTTACATCCCATATACGATTTTAGTATTGAAATGATTTTTAAAACAGTACCCTTGATTACTGGGGTTGTGGATGACGAAATCGTAGCTCCTGAAGTATTTCAAAATGAAGGCAGTAAATCATGGATAGATGTCATTGATTTACCACTTTGTGGAAGGAATCACAGAAGCCCGGAATCTGGAAGTGAAAACACCTTACACGAATTATCCACAGCCGAAACGACACGTGAGAAAGCAGAGACCTCTTGTGCTTCGAGTATGACCTCTGATGTTCAAAAGAAAATCACTCCTTGGAATGTTATTGCTCCACCGCAGGAAGGCCAAGACAGTTTTGATGACTACCGTCAGCGCCCTGTCGAGCGCCGTGTTGGTGATCTCATCGTGGTAGCATCGTTAATTGATCGTGCTCCGAATCTTGGCGGTCTGTGCCGAACTTGTGAAATTTTTGGTGCTTCCAAGCTAATACTAGGTAGCAAACATGTTGTTTCAGAAAAGGATTTTAAATCGGTTAGTGTCTCCTCTGAGAAATGGGTTGATTTCGAGGAAGTTAAGATCCATGATTTGGTGCATTTTTTGTTAAAAATGAAGAGAGAAGGCTTCACAATTGTCGGTGTGGAACAAACAGCACAAAGTAAGAAGTTGACCGACTTTCAGTTTCCTTATAGCACGGTGCTTGTACTTGGAAACGAAAAGGCAGGAATCCCTGTGGAAATCATCCAGTTGTTAGATGAATGTGTTGAAATTCCCCAGCATGGAATAATTCGTTCACTTAATGTACATGTTAGTGGAGCTTTGTTAATTTGGGAGTACAGTCGACAGCACTTGAGTGACAAATGACCTAGGTTGGCTATATTCGTTTCACACAGGAAATGTTGTGAATGATTACAAGTGATTCATTATATGCACAGTTAAAAACCTTTTCTACATGTATTATCTTGTTCCCTATATGTTTGTAAATCCTTCAATTAATTATTGACAAATATTATTAATTATTGCTGATTTCGCCTACTAAAAACAATCTCAAAAATTAAGACTCGTGCCTGGTTAATAGTCGCCGGTAAAGTTGTTTTTATTACTTATCTTCTAAGACATGCCTGGGTAGGAACGCTACATGAATGATTGGATGCATGATAAAATTAAACCCTCAATAACGTTCCTTGTTCAACACCAGTCCTACCACCCATCTAACTTCAGCGTCAACACCGAACGATGTTTATGCTGTGCATGTACTTTTATGTCTTTAAAATCAATTAAGAAAAAAGCGGTGTGAAGGAATGTGTTTATTTATTCGCTCTTAAGGCGACCAAAGGAATGTTAGTATGAATTTACACCGTAGAAATTCCATCAGTCATTAAATTCCGCTACCATCTAGAAATGCATTTCACTATCTACACTATAGTAACATATTTACAGTGGAATTGTTTCGCGTGTTTATTACTGGTTTTTATTGGACAGACTCGTGTCTAGCCTACATGCTAATTATGCTCACCGCCCAACACGCGCCCAATTGATAATCTTGTCACTGACGTTTTTGAGAATTTTCAAGCAGATTATTCGCCAACTGTGCATCCAATTTTATGGCCATGAGATGATCTTTTTATCTGGATTTCTTGATTGACATCCATCTCGTTTACAGCTTTATTTACTCTTCCTTTGCCTTGCATTTCAATATCGTTCCTGCGATTTTCAGAAGGCTGATAAAAGCTAAGTTTCTTTACTAACCCCAAAAAAATATTTTTGTAGTCCTCGCGAAATTGTGAACAATATATTCCATACAGAAAGGGGTTCACGGATATGTTGACAAAAGCAAGAATTATTAAACAGAAATGAAATAAACTGTTTGGGTCAACGTAGCCAAATTTACTCAACAAAAAGCTGATTCGGCTTGGTAGCCAACCCAGTATTAAAACACATGATGTTGTTAATGCCATAGCGGTAACTTTCTTGACGGGATGGTTCTGGTGTCCAACTACAAATCTAAGTCTGTTTAAGGTATAAATAATATGTGAATAGAGTATAATCATCGTTGCAAAAGGGACAATTGATTGCACTGTGAAATCCAGCCATGGTAATTGATCGTTTCCGACCTTTAATGGTTTCCATTTGCATTGTTCGGTTTCATTATCATATTTCACGCGAAATAAAGTTGAAACATTTACAAGGATTCCTATCAACCAAACCCCAACGACCGCCTTTCTTGCTTGTTTAGCTTGAAGTGTTAAGTAAAAATGAGGTCTGTTTACTGCTAACCATCGTTCAACAGTTAATGCCAAACAGGTGTAGATAGATACATAACCCAGCGTGAATGGTAACCATGCTGACCATATGACCAAACAATAAGCAGTTCTGGCACCAATACCAGGTGGAGGAGATGGTAAATAAAGGTAACGACTGAATACCAAAGATATTGCTGTGATCATATCAGTAATAGCCAGATTACATATAAAGACGTTGTATGAATAGTTTAAATACTGTGGTCTTGTGAGGTAAATGTATAGTACCAAACTATTTCCGATTATTGAAATAATGACAATCAGTGAGTAAATAAGAAAGGTGTACCACGTGTTGCCATCAAATTCCATGTCTGATTTTCAACTATAAAACAAACCATTGTACGAATTCATGTGGTTAAAATAATTTTTGGAACATTTTTAAGGAAAAACACATATTTATGGTCATTATGGTGATTATATGATCAGAAGTCAGAATTTTGCAATTCAGTAGATTGGTGACTTTGGTGTGAAACGTAAAACTAGTAAAACTAAAAGACTAAAAAAATCGCTGTTGCTCCTTGCACATTTAGAAAACGTTACCGTCTTACAGAAGCATGTTTTCATGCTGTTCGTCAGTGACTTGTCCATCGATTTCAAAAATATATAACTTAATGAAATATCTGCCCCTCTTTTCTTCAAATATGTTTGATTTGTACAGAAAAACAATGTATTTGTTTAGTTGAAACAGCACATGTATTCGTCATGCGAAATTGAAGAGAACTTTTTTTTATGACACCATTAATCGAAGTATATTTTGGTTAATGCTTTGGTTTTTTCAATGGTTTTTGATGATTTAGATCAAAACCAGCAAATAAGCTGGTAGGTGCAACAGTACTTTGATCAGTTCGGGGTTTGTTGAGCATGATCCAGTGTAGCTACTTTTCATTGACTGCACAGCCGAAGGCAATATCTGCATTATAACTTCCGGAAACACTAGAAATGACCTAATTGCTACAATAACATTAATCGAAAGTTGTTCCTCATAAAATGCGAGATGGTTCTTTAGTGAATGTTCTTTCACCACGAGCCATCACGAGTCTTCTATAAAATCCAACGAAATTGCATAAACAACGGAAATATTTAATCCTGCTTTGTGGACGAGTTCTTTCATCTCAAATAGCCACCAACCTCTCGTATAGCAGTTGCCGTGGGTTTTTTCTTGCCGATCTTTAATGAATTTTGCCCTAATTTACCATGGGGTAGGCTAAGTAAATTTGTTCTGTTTTTGTATCTTAGCTAGATGATGATCAGTATGAGGCGTATATATATTACTTTTGAACCAGTGGATTCATGATAACAAAGGTGAATTTAATGACACTAACATGCTTCTTGATGGACTAATTGATCCACTCACTGACAGAGAGGATTTAAACCAAGTTTTACTGACTTCCAACTTGTTTCAAGGCCCCTATTCAATTAAAACGTGGTAATAACGAATAATTTTGTAATAATAAACGTAATTCCAAACAAGATTTTGAAATATGGTGGTGCCAAATTTATCTCCGATTAGTCATCAAACCAAGCCTGAACTGACCATGTAATCAGCCCAGATACCTCGTCATCTGCATGAAATTGTTAAAAAGAAATAAATTGACCTATCCAGTTATAAATGTGCATGGCGAACAACTAAAAAGTAATGCAACAATTTGAATTTGATTTCTTTATTCGAGGCTTCTATATTAGTTTCTAAGCACTGCTGTGTCATTTGTATCAGATAAATCAACTTGACTCCAGAAAGATTAAATTGAAGTAATTTTAAATGATATTACGGCACTTTAAGTGTAAATATTTATATATATATATATAGCTACATCACAAAAAAATCATTCAAATTTATCTTATGCAGTTGAACGGGTTGTATAGCTGACAATGAAGCTTGACAGATGGAAATACAGCACTGCAGAGTCAGTTTAGTTTTTATTATTCGACGAAGTAATTCGACTGAAAGAATGATTCCGTGCTAAAGTATACGTCGAAAGGCATTGTGTTTCCAAATATAGAGCCTTATTAAGGTATATAATGCTGTATAAAAATATTTCTTTGTTTCTTTGCTATTCACACTATTCACACTGTACAATTAAGCCTAAGGCTTAATTCAATTGCATTTATCACAACATGTTTAGCAACCATTTCACAAAAACAACAATATTTTCGTTTCATGCAGAATGAAGGACTTATGAAGTAACTCTTCTTAAATCTTTTCTTTGTTCATGTGCTGAAGATGGAGCAATCCGACCGTTTTCTAATTTGCGTTTCTTATTATCAAAGTTTCGAAGGTCTGTTTACACAAATGGTGCCTATTGGGAGACATGCATCCCTAATAATTTTCAGCGCTGTCACCTCTCTTTTCAAAATGACGATGTTTTTATTAGGTTGTGCATGTGAAAAAATTCAAAATGATGGGAAAACACACCGTAGCTACATGGTAAAGGTCAGCAAATATAGGTTTTTTTATATAGTTTTATGGAATAAGGTCATATTTTTCCTTTTCTTTCTAATATGGCTTCGACAATATAGAGCAGCTCATCATGCTCCAATAATTTAACGTTTTATACAATATTTATATTAGTATTTACGAAAGTATAAATCATTATATATGTCTTACCATTCATTTGTAGTAAACGTCTCTTTGACACTGCCCGAATGGTTTTTATATAGTCCTCTTCAAATCAAGGTTTCTGTCAATTTAAAATGTAATTTTTTGGGATATATCTAATATCTTGGTGTCTTAATCATCGATCACATTGTAAATACACGACCTCCCATAACCGGCCACTTGTGATGTCTCTTGTGTTTCCATGGTTTTATTAAGAGCCTGTAGGTTGCTCATTTTGGTGAATCAAAAATGTCACATGCAGTGTTTTTAGTGTTATATTAATAGTATAGTAATCAATCTTCATAAAATTGTCGAGCCGTTATTGAAACAATATACTAATGAGGATAGATCGTTGAATTTGTATGAAAGAACTGTTGTACACTAAATTTCGGTATAAGTGTCGATAGGATTTGTGGCTTCGTCTTGTAATTAATGCCATGTACTGCTTGTAAATGGCATAGCCAATGATTTACGCGTATACTTATTAAATACGGTAACCCACGCTTGCTCATAAACATACAAAAGTAAGATAGGGCATGCATTTTCTTTGGATAACAGCCAATAAACAATAGGAAATATTTTCTAGCCTTGGATGGTAGCTTAGGAACACACAAATCTCACCATCGTGTGGCAAGGGTATAAAACTCAATGACGTGCTTAAGTACGATTTATAATTTTCCTATTTTTCTAGATACAAGTAAACTAGAATTATTTAAACTTTAGATCTTTGCTCAAGGAGTAGCCATGGAAAATGTATCTTAGGCATTAACCTTTCAGGCCCCCTTGTGCCCCCCCCCCTCCTCCCTCCCAAAGTACCGGAAACCATGCTAAAGACAGAGTTTTTAAAAAGTCTTCCGATCTTCCACCAGGATAATGAATTATGACCTCTATGAATGACGACTCTCCCTAAAATTGTGTGATTCTCTCGATGGTTTTTTTAAATTCATTTAATGCATCCTAAAGAAAGCTAGAAAAATTTTTCTTCGTAATTTAGGTATATCCGATAACGCCCCTTGTAACGCACCTAACTTGGGTGGCTATGATTTGGTGGATCGAATTAGTTTTTGTTTATTATTTATTTTGACTGTTCAATGAGGTCCTTGACCTTACATTAAATCTTCCTCGAATATAGTGAAACTTCCTCCGGTGGTGCCCACCTTTTTTGTTCTCTACCCACATGTTATAAAAATACAGAAATGTTATTGGATAAGACCTCCTCCAGACTATCCTTCAACTCCCTGACCCCAGTTAAGTTACTATTTTTCAGTTCTTGGATGATTCTTTAAAATTCTTTGATCATTTCAGTGTATCTTTTAACTCAATTAAGCGTGCCTAACAGTTGAAACGAGAGGACATGCTTGCCAGTGTATGATAAATATAAGTAGAAAATATCGAACAAAAACTACATGGTACAACCCCAAGAACTTACGTAGTTACCATGAACGCCGGAACAGCAGGGGCAGCTGCCCCCTTTGCCTTTTACCAGCAGGGGCAAAGGAGGCAAAAATGCCCTTTCATTTTAAGGGATTACATTCTATATCGCAAGTAAAAGTGAAACTCGAGCCTCAGGTGATGATCTGGTATAAAAATCCCAGACAACGAAATCATCTTAGAAAGAGAAGCCACGCTCAACAGACGATGTTTTGCAAACGTTCTTTAGTATATACGCTGCTACAGAAGTGCCCTTTTACAGAAATCTGCCCCCTCCTCTTTGCCCTCACATCGTTCCGGCGTCTCTGGTTGTTTAAATTTAAATATCACCTTCATCATCTTGTCAAGATCTCTTTTCAAGCTCATCTTTTCTACTCATTCTTTGCACTTTCAAGTTTCAAGCGGTACCATGCAGTAGCTCTAGTCTTGCAAGATTATTTTAAAATATCTAATTCGACTGCATAAAGATGCATGAAGCATCAAGACGACCGTTGTCGAAGCTTAGTTGGATAAGGTTTTAAGGTTTTTGATTGGTTCTCGAACAATGGTGAAAGATGGTCATTTTGCATGCATATAGTTTTGACCAACTCTGCCACTTATATAAAGTTAACCTTTTTGAGAGGAAATTAACGAAAGGCGTGGAACTTATCATACATGTATGGATCTTTGTTTATATGGCAATCAGTCTGGTCGCCCGCATGTGGTCTGCATAATTCCGGAAGAATAAAAGGTTCTTAACGTATCATAAGTAGGCAACGATACCTTCTCTTTTTATTTGGCTGCTTGGAACAACATCCATACTTTATATCTTTCCTGCGTGTCTGGATTCCTCTACTCAATGCCGAACTAACCCGATAAACCTTTCCATGATTATGATTGCGACTGGCTATCGTGACACCACATTCCTGAGTCTTCCTGTTTTCCCATGTTTTGCTTAATCGTGCTATTTTAAAGATCATAAAGAATGTTGATTGAAAACTTTAATGCATGTCTTTGTAAGTGCAGGAAAGCCAATATTCCAATGATACCCATGCGGCGAAAGTCTCCGGTCGAGAAGCTAAGAAACACTGAAAATGTTTCATTTCATGGTCATGACAATACACAGATATAAACAAATTAATTTGAACTATACTAAAGTCGCTAAAGCGTGCGTTTGGCTCTGGCCTGGATGAATACTATATATACTCTTGTATTCGAAATATGTTGAAAAAAGTCAATTTGCATGACATAACTCTTAAAATATTTTTGCTTCGTGAAGAGTTTTGTTTTTCATCTACTCCTTTGCATGCCTTGAACAGGAATGTTTTCGTACACAGTGAAAGATCTTTGCGTGTGTGATGGAAAACACCAATTATATAATATAATATTGTAATACCGATTACCGACTGTGCATTAAAGACGTTTTTGTTGCATTGATATTGCTAAGTTTTTATATCTAATATTTTTTATGTTTGAATGTTTAACTTCTATAAGGAAGAGAGGAAAAAATCATGGACTCCTTGAATGATTAGATTTAAACCATTTATTCCCACTTGGTTTTTTAAAGTAATCGTTAGTAGAGGGCAGGAACAGAATGGCCCAAACTATTTATTGGTAATTTAAATGCGGGAGACCTTTTCTTTCCCTACAAAAGTTTCTGTATTTTTGAGTCTGACTCCATATCGTGGATTTTGGAGGATATCATGCTGACGAATCCATCACGACGAAGTGAAGTTGGTTGAGAGAGCATCATTACTTTAATATGAACTGAGCTAATTCAATTTATTGAAAATATTTTGAACAAGATTAACATGAAAAACGCGAACATTTTCCGTTGACGAAGCCTGATTGGCTGCTTTTGGTTAGTATTAATGATGAAAAAAAACTATGGTTAAGAAAAGAACCACAAATTTGGTCAGTTTTTTTATACACTCTTTAGTGTAAACACATAGAAGATATTTACAAAAGACATGTATTCCATTGATCATCTATGTATACTCTTTGATTAGACATTCGACAACGAACGTCTAATTGATATTAATTAGCATCAATTAAGGTACTCTACAAATTACTGGATATTTATGCTCCCATTTATACAATTATTCATTTTCGTTTGACAAACATCATTGCCAAAGCACCAACAGCAGCCACTGTCGCTCCTCCAACCAGAATAGCACCGATTGCACCGTCTGGATAAAAACAAACATGCACATTTAACTATTACAACATAACTAGCATATCCGTGAGGTATTATATATAGGTCAGTAGTTAAGGCGTAAAATTAGTATTCCACAGCTTAATGCATAATATATTTATTACTACGAAAAAACACCATGTTTGGACCATATGTTATAGAAATTAAAAGAAAGTAAAAAACGGTTTAAAAATGGTTTAAATCGTTTAAAAGGTAAAAAACAGTTGGTAAAAATGTTGGTCGAAATGTAGGATTTTATTGATTTTGAGTATGAGCTGTGATATCTTTTGAAATGTGAAATATGTCTTGTGTAGCATCATCACCTTATTTCTTTTTGGCAAATATTCCAACAAGCGCAGCGGCACCAGCAATAGCTAACATAGTTCCACCAACAACCACCATACCTGCCCCTGCAATAGCTGCTCCTAGAACACCATCTGCACGTGAAAAACATAGAAACAAAGCAATTTGCCACCGTTCTTTTTCTGGCTTAGGGAATCGATGCATAATAAGAGTACAGTGCTCAAGACGTGAGCGACAAACATCCGTATACGTCACCAAACGTGTACGAATTGATAGGCCAGTTTCAGTGATACGAATAAATTATTTCATTACTTTCCGAACTGCAAGTGCTGTATATCTCTGCCCGGCGTCAAATGTTATGGTAAAAACATAATGTTGTTATCACTTAAATTGTTAATAAGAAAATGGTAAAGGGCAAAATGATGCTGCACAAGACATGTTTTTTCATTCAAGTTCCGGCATAAATTGAAAATTGAAATAGTTAATCCCGGATTTATTCAAAGGCAAAGGTCATCGATTTCAATACATGGGGCTTTGAGGTTACTATATGACATACTCATATACTGTACCGGTAGTCTTTAAAGGATGTACCCATTCTAACCCAACCCTAACCCAACTATAAGTTCCATAATATTTGTAGAATTTGTTCTTTGTATGATCTCATCTTATCTCATCTTTCACTAAGATTCCATAACTTACAGCAAGCTTACTTCAACCGAATTATGAAAGAGTAGGGTAATCACTACTCAAACGCGATACATCCTCATTTCTCACCTCTTTTCATTTTTTGTTCAATCTTTTCTTTTAGTTCCTTCGCTTGTTTGTTATTTGGTTCTATATCCAAAACTCTGTTAATATATTTTAATGCTATTTGGTATTCCTACAAAGCAAGATATGAACAATTATTGTACAATAAAGTATACATAGGACTGCATGCATGCAATGCCAATAGTATTCAATTTCATAAAAGTCTTCGAAAAAATGAGTAATTTGCTGGTGATTCGCATGTATTACCGAAAGTTTGTAGTTTGCTTCAGCCAAAAAATACACATAATCTCTTTGGTCTATACCATGTGTACATAAATCTACAAATAGAAAAAATGATGTGTGGACAAGTGCACCAGTTCACAGGAAATTTTAATGAAAAATACATGGAAGTTGTTCAATGAATTACACTTTATTTCCCGTTAACAGAAGCGTCAGTGAACTGGAAAGTGGAAATTGTCTTCATTGTATCTACAAATTACCTTGCAACAAATGAGCGCCCTTTTTTATGTCATTTGTATTTGGGCTTTGTATTAGAGTCCAAGCGTAATTAAACTGTGTGTCTCTCGCAACATGTCCAGATTCTTGTTCCGTTTTATACTTTTTCTCAAATCTCTAAACATTAAATGAAAATGAAAGGTGATGTTCTTCTTGTTTTCGGGTGATGCATTTTGACGTATTTTGACAAAGCTGTAGCGCCTGGTTTAGGTAGCACTAATGTGTGTTCCTGATGTGTAATTGTCTCGGATATAAAAAGTGGATTTAACGCGATGATGTAGGACGAGGGGATCGGAAAGATGGCCATTTTTTGTAACAATCCTGGATGGGTAGGTACGAGGTTGACCGTAGGTTTTTTTTTGCTGGGTACACAAGGGTCTACACAAGTGGATGATTAACAGGGGGGTGAGTAACAGTGGTGTATGTCATTGGCTGGTGGCCAACACCACAGTATACGAAACAGCCATGGAAGGTGGCAACCCAAATGCAAACATGGCTTATTATTGAGTAATGGTTGATCACCCAAATTCATTACAGAATGAACAAATCATCACTAATTCACCACTATTTTTTTCTAAGGTTTCCAGGCTTGCTCTCTACACAGATCTCGCCCAGTCTATATCCAGTACATCCCCAGGCAGTACATGTTTTGCAGTTAATTATGAATCAGATTTTTTCAAAATATACATTTAACAAAATGTGAGTGTACTATCTATTCAAACATGGCTGCAAGTTCCATCTGAACAGATCTAGTTTCTAGATTATGTACATAACAAAGAAAAAACCACCTTAGGTAGCTGGTACAGTTTTCAGAACCTACCTTGCTTCACTTGATAGGTTCAAAGAACTATCTTCCACCTGGATTGTGTCAAATCCCAAACCCACCTTCCTATAAGTATGTTTCTGATAGATATGCAACTATTTCTGTTGTTTCATTTTTGTGGTAATAGCTTTTCATGTAAACTCTACGCCAAACATACACTGTCACAAATGAGCTCCCTGACTACATAAATTGGAGACTTCAACTATATTGTGAATTTCAACACAAATTTAGGCATAAAATTCTTTCCCTTTTTTATTTTCATTTGATAACTGTGATGTCACCAAAAAAGTTACCAATAATAAATAATCACTTATAAAATTCTTAATCTCTTGCCAGCTACTGGACTAATTGGAGTAAATCTTAAGCAAGTTGCAAGTTTTGTTGGGCTTTGAAAAGAAAACTATATAGTTAATTAAACGATATTATAAACTATTTGGTCTATCTATTCCTAACATAATAAAATACCCAAATACAAAAACTTCCACAGAGGTTCCGTCAAACTCACATTCTGTTACAATAAACATAATTTACCCAAAAGATCTAAGTAAGAGAATAATTAAACTTTGTATCGTATCTTTACCTCCAAATCTTCTCGATTGAATTCTGGCTCCATGACTCATTAAAAGTCTAAAAACTTGAGTTTGCAACTTTTACTTTGTGCTGTGTTTGTAAACACAACATGAGCCTGCATTCTCTACCAATGAAAAACTTCATATATCACCAAGATAAATAAATACAATGCAATGTTGGTTCGTAAGGTTACGTCTTGTATCATGGTTTCATGTGCAAACCTGTTGGAAAACACACTTGCAATTTTTATTCCTTTTGAGTTTTGATAAATGAAAACGAGAGAAATACCCGAATTGACAGTGTAAAAGGGGATTTCTATTCGGCGTGACCAGGGCGCTGTAAAACACCCTGTGTGTTTTACAGCGCCCTGGCGTGACCTATAGCTATGTCGCGCGTTTCTATAGCTATGTCCGCGCGATTGCTTTTTAATGAGCTCATATAATGAAATTTGTTCAGTTTTACTGTTTGCAATCCTAAGGAAAGCAGTAAAAATCAATCGCGTGACATTTTGCAATGAATGGAAATCCCTCATTTGAAATGTCTAACTTAAGGCGTGGTGTTTGAGTTTCCTCTTCGTGTTCTAAAACTCTCAAATACACCCATGGTCGAATTGGCCGGAAAATGGCGAATACGACCATGGTCGAATTGGCCGGAAAATGGCGTTTTCGACCATGGTCAAGTCCGCCAGAAAATGGCGTATTCGACCGTGGTCGAGTCCGCGCGTAATTCACAAATAAATTTTACGTGACGTCATAATCATTGGCATTGAAATTGAGATAGGATTTGCGATAAACATTTACCCAGACTACTACGCTCAGCTTTCGGCAACGAGACGGTGGAGTACGACATACATAATCTTACATGAAAAAGCCTAATGTCATGGGCAATAAATTTTCTGTGGGCAAGTACGTCATCTATTGTGGTTTTCCAGCTCAGCGCCGACGATTTAAAGAAAATGAGGAAGAAATGAAACGTCAACAGGAAGCTAAAGAGGCATTAGCAGCATTTCGACGCGCGGAGAAATTTAAAATCGATTTTCCTGAATATTGTGAAATGGCAGGTCTATCTCCACCCCATGGCGTGTTGCATGTATCAAAAACAGCGCAATACGAACATGACGTGAATTTTTGAATGGAATATAAACTTGACATGATGAGATATTTTTATTTCTAGCGTGAAAAAAATTATTCTTATTAATGAAATTGTTTTCATATGAGGTCATCTGTTCGTGGACGCCATCTTCGTTGATTCTGGAAAATTCAGTTACGTCCGATTTTCAGGAAGCCAATTTGCTTATTTTCAAAATCATACACATTGTTGTATTGCTAGTCAAAAACACTCATCAAGTCCGATTGCTTTGATATCGTAAATCGTAATGAATTCTTTATGCTGATTTCTGAGCTCAAAACATGTTAGCATGCAAGCACGTGAATGGCCAAGAGCTGCTATTTTGAAATAATTTTTGAAAAGCGTCTTATTGTGGATTAGAAATATTTTATTTCAGATTAATTTTAAATTTTCAAGTCATTTTTAGTGCAACTGAAACGCTTTCAAATTAATTTGGGGCATTACGGAACAGTAAGGAACGAGTATATTTGACCACGTGAATATCGTGGCCAAGAGCTGCCATTTTGAAATAATGTTTGAAAAGCGTCTTATTGTGGATTAGAAATATTTTATTTCAGATTAATTTTAAATTTTCAAGTCATTTTTAGTGCAACTTAAACGCTTTCAAATTAATTTGGGGCATTACGATTTACGAAACAGAAAAGAACAAGCCATTTGGCCACGTGAACATCGTGGCCGAGAGCTGCCATTTTGAAATAATGTTAGAAAAGTGTCTTATTGTGGATTAGAAATATTTTATTTCAGTCTTCAGATTAATTTTAAATTTTCAAGTAATTTTTAGTGCAACTGAAACGCTTTCAAATTAATTTGGGGCATTACGGAACAGTAAGGAACATGTATATTTGGCAATTGGCAGTTCTCGGTCACGTGACAAATGTTTAATAGTTTGTCAAATTGGTCAAATTTGGTAGCGCTATGAAAGAAAACGTACTTTCGCTAATACGCTATACGATAGATTGACTATACTAGCATTTATATAACCTGCAATTTGTAATTGTTCTTTGTTTTTTCAGTTTTTTCATGCGTATTAAATCGCAATATCTGTCCTTTCTCACTGAGAGCAGGTTGAGGCAGAGGCAGATATGGACTGATCACTGAGCTATATTAAAATTCCAATATATGGACGAACAATGTAGAACCGTAGGACCATAGAACGATGATAGAACCATTGAATTGCATAGCATTATATTATTACTTATTAGTGCCTTATAATCATGCGGTACATATTCAATAATTGTTATAATTATTATTTCGTAACTCGTAACACGGCCTTTATAACCCCCACTGATGTCATTGCGCAATAGGTCATTGCGCAGATGTCTTTCATATTAAAATCATAATAAAAATAAAGAAATGGAGACCAAAATACGTTGTGGATGATTTAATATTCATCCATTTATTCAGTCGAGCATAATGTGAAAGTTTAATTAGAATTTTATCAATGCACACTATTCGAAGTGTATGAAAGTTTCCTTCAAAGAATGACGGAGGATATTCAACTAAAGCAGTTGTCCGATGAAAGAGGTAGATTTATTGTTATTTGTGATGAAAAATCTTGGTTTATTTTATCAATTTTTCGTTTGATTCATTTGCTTAGATCTATGACAAATATTCCACACATCAAACAAGCGCATCTTTTGTATATTGATTAAGCATTTTCAGATTTTCGTTTCTGGAATTTGGAGTTCTTTGCATATCTCTTTCCAAAATGCCATGATTTGTAAACTTGTGTCAGTAAGCTTGTATTGAAATCATGGAATTCTAAGAGGATTTAAATGTAAATGTGACATATAGGCGGAAATATATTTTGTATTTTGAAGCTTATCAACCATATGTAGCAGTCTTTTCTAGAAATATATGTTGTATGAAAATCTCTTACTATACATTTGACTGGAAGCTAATAAGCTTACAAATTATGTGGGCAAGTTACATTTAGTAATTTTTTTCTTGGATTTGTTGATAATGTTTGACATGTTAAGCACTACAACTGAGAAGTATGACAAAAAACCCAAATGATATGAAATTTTAGCAGAATAAGGAAAATAATTCCTGGTGCTTCAAAGGACATCATTTTTTTTTCAACTCTCAACTACAAGTATACTGGTAAAATCCACTATCTTGTAACTGTGATTGAACAGATGTTTTTAAAAATATAAAATCTTGAAACTTTTAAGTGAATAAGTATGTTTTTGGGAAAGTTTCGCTAAATATTTGTGATACGAATTGTATAACTGGACCTAGCTACAACAGTGATTCCAAAATAATAAGGTTAATAAGGGCACTAGAACAGCACTTTAATGAGTGGTCAGCTATTGCCACCATCTTTTTCACACTTGGATAAATTTGTGTTATGATGGACTCTAAAAGAGCCTATTGCTGGGGAAAGTGATACTTGCCATAACATAATGCAGTTTTGCAGAAACCATGAACACTTTCCTTTTAAAGAAAAGCTTAGCTTGCATTTTCTAAGTGGCGTCATTAAAAAAAGCTCTCGCATCACTATTCAGTGATATAAATTTCAAATTGCTGCACTGAAAATTTTGAAGTGGTTGATAATTCACAATTGAGGTTTTGGCAGCTGTTATTTGCTTGTAAGAGAGTGGAGCAGCTAGTAAAAAGGTTGGAAAATTTAGAGTGGAACATCACATATTTTTAATTTATGGATGCAGCCTCAATTAAGAGATTGTTTGAAATTATTATCTTAAAATAGCTTTTTTGATTGAATTATATAAGTTTTTATTTCATTTTTAGTAAGATTTCTAGATTTTCTATCAAATGAAAAGTAGTACCTCATATTCACTGGCTACCCACTGCTCGTTAAATTTTACATATAAACGTAACCAGAAGCAGTACCTTGTCTTCACTTCAGGTCCTCAGGTTCAATCAGCATCACAACCACATTAACCTTTTAACCATTTTGCTATTATTGCAACTGGACACCTTCAATAGTGAATTTACAAACCAGAAAGGGGAGGGGGTTTATAAACACCCAATCTTGTTCCCCGAGCTTGCAATTCCTCTGGCGAGAAAACAAAGGCTCTGGGATAATCGAAATGAGAAATGACTCTGATTGGTTGTTCACGCCATTTCAATTTTGAAATACAGAAAACCCTTACAAACCGGAAGCCTGGATTTCTGGCTTCCGGTTTGAATTATCCCAGACCCTTTGTTTTCTTGGCCGAGGAATCACGAGCTCGGGGAACAAGATTGATAAACACCACCTTTGAGTGAAGAGGAAAATTGCTCCAGACCTATAAAGTGATGAAGATAGAAACATGACACAGTCGAAAAGTTTATTTCTACCCTGGGCCCCCAAATTTCTCTAAAGGGGCATCCAATTACCAGGTTCCCAAAGTTGATTTCCCCCCTGGCCCCTAAGAGATGCATTCAATACGAGGTTCCAGGGGCTCTGAGGCTGCAGATTCTTAAGTAAGGGGGGTGTAGTATTCATGTATTTGTGTTAACAATCTGTAGAAGCGATCAATTTGAAAAGAAACTAATAATGCAGAACATGAATATATGAATATTCCCCCCCTCCCCACTTAAGGATTCTATGAGAATTATAACAATGAAATAAATAACGAGCTAAGGAGTCCGTAACGTCTCCTTGATATCAAATATGATTGTTTCGTTTTGCTGAGCATGTTTCTGTTAGAAGTTGTTTTTAGAATTTGTCAAAAAATATAGAAGATTTTGACGTTGTTTACATCAGAGTGCCCGCACATAGCACATGCGCAGAAGGAATTAACTTCTTCTTAAAATAGTATCATCGCTCACCGTAACAGCTGGGTCGGAAGAATTAATTATCAAATGCTATGGATACAAATTATGAAAGTCCCATGCATGCAGACTATATTGCATACCTTATACAATCATCCGTATTTTATTCTGGGAAATAAATACAGATTTGCTGAATGGTTGTGAAATATACACTTAACCATCAACTTAATCTTTTTTCATATTCTATCTAAATTATTCATAATATTTCTGCTAACTAAGGATGCAAATGCACTGCGTTATAAAATTTACATTTTCAAATTATACATAAATGATGAGTTGTATTTTTACAGAAAGAAACTCTTCTATTTTGTCATTGTGATGTTTATATGTAATCTAATATCTAGTCCGTAATATTGTCTTCAAAGACACGGCGATGTATCAGCGAATTAACAATCAAAGTAAGTTTAAACTCAGCTGATTTTTTGATGGGGAGTCGTCGTATTCTTTGTAATTATGCATGTATATGCGGAGATTTGTGCACAGCACTCCAGAGACGTGTACGTTACTTCTTACTTGTAACGAAACTGTTAGTGTAACACATTCAAACGCAGCTTTTGTGACGAAAGACACTACGGAGACAATGAAGTTTTTTTAATACAAGGACACGCTCTCTGCTTCAAGTGTAACTTGCACCATTATTTGGGTTTTGGGAAGATTATATTTATAATGGATGTTTGACTTGAAGTGAAATATTAATATGTATAGACGTTGGGCAATATTATAATACTTGTACACAGGAGATCTTGAAGATTTTGTGTAAAAGATTCATCATACGTTCATTTAACCCCGGGGTAACGACAATTACGAACTATTTGAAGAGCTTGAATCAAAGTGAAGTATAGGATGACCGCATGTCTGTCGATGCCATTCTGGGTGCTATTCGGAAGACTTGCAAATATCATTAATAATATGTTTAGGAAAAATAGATTCTTTAAATATTATCGAAGCCTGCTGTGTGTATGTATACATAGCTGCAGTTACCTACACTTATTAAGAATCTTGCTGTGGAAAATGAGAATTACATACGATATTTAGATTAACACTCTTTCTTCAGTCTTGGGCAGTTTATGCATTTCGATACTCTCCATTTTTACCGTCTTACATACATTTATAACGAAAAAACATGATATGAAAAAACAATGAAACGAAATTTTTGTGGTTTTAAATTAAAACCCTTTTCTGCCTCGCTTTCTTCTACCGCATCGCCACATGCAATATGAGTTTCATTTCGTTTGTTTAATACGTCCTTGTATTGAGTATTTGCACACTGAAGAGCTTCATCAACTTTTATCTCCCACCAAACTATGATCACCTCCCTTTCTGGTTTTCCGATAAGTTATTATGTGAAATTAGTGGTTCTGATGTATTCTTCCATATAGGCCAATTATAGGCCAATTGTATGAATTATTTTGTTATGCGAGTGCGCGCACCGAAACAGCCCGCGCGAATAACTAAAGAGCAGCCGTATAATTGTTAATGTTTTTTTATCCACTGATTTAAAGCGTAAAACCTAACAGGTTGAATTGATTTATTTTCAGGTAATTATGGTACAGTTGACGATGGTGGTCAAGATGAAGCTGATCGTGTTATTATGATCAATAGCCCACAAAATGTTGAATTTTGTGGAAATAAGATTAGGTAATTTGTGTTTTTTAAGAGTTGGATGAAAATGTTAGAGAAAATGCGCTTCTTAGGAATACACCTATAGATTCTCACTCTCTCTATTTTATTTCTTCATGTGTAGCACGGCCAAGTATAATCTCATCACATTTTTACCAAAGTTTTTGTTGGAACAATTTAGCAGATATTCTAATGTATTCTTCCTCTTCATCGCTCTTCTTCAGGTATAGAAAGTAATTATATCATATGGACGGCGGGGGTTGGGAAATAGTCCACCCATTGGCTGTGGCAAAAATTGTAGCAAAAGCTATAGCCTTTCATGAGTGGATTGCCTCAAACTCTTTCTAGATTTTGTCCGTAGTTGATCCTATAGCAATCTTTCCTGATGGTGTGTACCTATGAAGGTTATATCCGCAATTTGTCATTAAATTTGTCGTTTATTTTTCCAGCAAATAGAAGGCGTTTCACCAACAGGCCGCTATACAACAGCCGTTCCTTTGCTCTTTGTTTTGTCCTGTTCTGCTGTGAAGGAAATTATTGAAGATTATGTAAGTCTTCGGGGGCATGTTTCGAACATATTTTATTGCTTTTTTAACTGCCGCGAGTAAACAAAACACTGGAAACAACAGGCAAATTAAAAGTTATCAAACCCTGTTATCTCCATGATATATGGAATTGTACTAATATGGGTTCATTGTTGTCCAGAAACGCCACAGAGCTGACGATAAAACCAATAAAAAGGATGTTAGAGGTAAAGTGATTTCACTGTTGATGTAATTTACCCATGTAAATGTGCTTGAATTAGTTTTTTCTGTGTTTCATAGTTTGGAGAGAGGATGCTTACCAAACTGTAAAATGGATGGAGGTATGAGTATTTTTCTTTAAAATAAAACAAATCTTTTTAATGGGCAATTGAATCGAAAATTCCAGGACACTAACTATTATTCTTTATTTAGCTTAAAGTTGGTGACATTGTTAAAGTTGTCAACGGACAGTTCTTTCCTGCTGACCTAATGCTACTATCTTCGAGGTACTAATTTCGAATTTATGTTTAATAAAGTGATTGTCTTATTTTGTACAGTAAATGTACACGTTTCTTTGAAAATAAAGTTGTAGAAAGATTTTTAAAGAATATTACTTTTCTAGTGAACCAATGGGAATGTGTTATATTGAGACAGCTAATTTGGATGGTGAGACAAACCTTAAAATTAAGCAGGTATTTTTGGGCTTTTTAAAATTTATTCGTTAACTAACCTACAAATGTACAAACATTTTTGGAAACTTTTAGACATTTTTATGTCACAACTAATACACGTTTATTACTTTATAATACATTGATAAGCCTTGCAGCATTGCCCGCTGTTTGCCTGAACTAAATTTGATTTTGTGTATATGCAGACGATTTCCATGCATCAATATTTCCATGCATCAATATTTCGAGTGGAAATTAATTACAATTGCCGGAGCATTAGAGAGTATTTGTTAACTATATGGATTCCCCTGCAGAAATTGAACTTACGCTTTGGGATGCCGGTGAAATGCTCTGACCATGCACTAAGCTACGAAGGATTTTCCTTCTTCTTTAGCTTGATATTGAATTATGTATGATTTCCACTTTAATTAAATTAAGATCATTAACCTATTAAAAATGATCCAACGTGTAATGTCAGAAAATCATATAAAATGATTAACCTCTCACTGGTATTTTTCATACTGTTTAATACTTTCAATATGGAGTGTATAGTTCATTGTGAGTGTCACTTTTATATACTTAGTCGTTTGTTGTGTATTTCAGGCTCTGCCTCTGACAGCTAATATGGTTCAACTTACTGATTTGAAGACATTAGAGGTACAATTTTTATACATTTCTTTTTAGGACAACAATAAGCGCAGTATATATTGAACCTATTTGTTATTTAACCTAAAGCAGTATATATTGAACCTTTTTGTGCATTGTAGGGACGGGTAGATTGTGAAGGCCCAAATAATCGACTTTACGAGTTTGTTGGAAATATCACGCTAAATGGAAAGAAGTAAGTGTTTTATATTACATGGTCGTATTCACTAACCAAAGAATCGCTACTATTTCACACAATCTGCAAGGTATTCCTTTTTAAATATTCATGCACTTTGGATTCTTCTATTGTAAAATTTTTCTAAATTTGTTTTGACAGCGATGAATCAATGTATAAAATATAAATTTTTTTTAAACATAGAGCTGTCCCACTTAATCCCGATCAGTTATTACTGCGTGGTGCTCAGTTAAGAAATACTCAATGGATATATGGTAAGTTGAACATATTTTGCTCTTGCATTCGTCAACATCTGATTTACATGGGACACCAAGTACAATTGTTGTACAGTTCATCCAAACGAGTATCGCAGCGCTGGTTTTTCTCCACCACAAGCTCTGCGGCAGAATTGGAAGGCGATATCTTCCCGTTGTGCATCGTGTGTGAGATTATTAGCATTACGTCCTAAGATAACCAGGGAAACGTGGCAGTTTTCGAAATAAATAATCATCGAATATAGTTTAGTAACTGCTAAAAGTATTTCTAAAATAGTCTCTGATTTTTATTATCAATATAGGTTTTGTCAGGGAGGTCTGTGTGATTTACAGTGAGATAGCTCAAAAAGTCGACAAAGGAAAACTCCTAAAAAAACTCCTAGGAAAAGTCCTAAATTATTTGCATACTTTATTTACTCATGACCTCATTGTTTCTTGATATTTTTCAGGATTGGTCGTCTACACAGGGCATGATTCAAAACTAATGCAGGTAATATACTTATACTGCTACGTTGGTGCACGAGTCTTGACTCTGTGGGCTCGTACAGATTTCAGAAATGCGTAGTGCGGTGTGCATGAGGTATTTTGCCAACAACATTGAACAGTTTGCCTTTTTGATTTTTTTAATTTCTTTGTCATTTCTTACCCTAGAACTCAACCGCTGCTCCGATTAAGAGATCAAACATGGATCGAGCAACAAATTTGCAAATATTGTTTTTATTTTGCCTGCTGATGATCATGGCATTTTTCAGTAGTTTAGGATCTTATCTTTGGACCAGTAAGTTATATTAGATGATATATTTTTTTTAGTTCAACATGTTTTTAAGAAACATTTAATCAGTTAACCTGGCGCTAACACATTTGTATCCTGCTGGGTTATCTGCCAGTTTGGGTTGTTGATTTGTCTGGCTAAAAAATCCTAGTTGATCAGACCTGCCACACAGGCTAACACGATTCGCCCATAAATGACAGATTACACTGGCACCATTCGCGTCAGTTTCATCCATCCAAGAAAAACGCCTTCAGATGCATGCGTTAAATCCAACTCAAAATTTAATTCGTGATTTGAATTCTTACTTTAGAGAATCAAAGAGCTGGCTCGTGGTATATGGGATACGAAGGTGCGTTTACTTTCTTTCTTTTCGTTTACTTATCTCCCATGCATGCAGGATATTATCCTCCGGAACGAACAGGATAGGCTCTTTTGTGTTGTAAGCAGCCAGACAATACAAATATAAATTCCTGTCCGATCCAGGATAATTTTCTTACATATAAATGGAAGCTAGCCAGTGGGGCTTAAATGGTATGAAATTCAACACCAACTTGAAGCAATAACCTATTATTCTCCTATATAGGTCGTAAACCACAGAGCTTCTTCTTCACAATAATCACGTTTATTATTCTCTACAATAATCTTATTCCTATTAGTTTGCCTGTCACATTGGAGGTGAGTTATTGCTGTATTCAACTTTTTTTGTTAATCATCGTATCAACCACTATATATCTTCTATCATTTTGTTCACAATTGTATCTTCGTTGACAGATTGTAAAATTTATTCAAGCTATATTTATAAACTCGGTAAGTTGAACTTTGCGTTTCGAATAAGTGAAAAAGGGTAAATTTGAGGACTGAAATTATTTGAAAGGCTACAACTGTACATTTGAATCCTTATTCAACGTGATTTGCCCACACTAGGATTGTGAAATGTATTATGATGAGAATGATACTCCAGCAATGGCTAGAACATCCAATCTAAATGAAGAGTTAGGTCAAGTAAGTATCATCATTCACTATATGTACGAATGCCTTCACGGAAAATTGTAGGAATGTGCATATGTATATATATCCTTCCGATGGAAGGTGCAACGTGTATTCATGCAGGTAAAATACTGACCTGAAGGAAATGAAACGACCTGAAAAAATGAAACAAGAATATCGTTATAATAAGTGCTGTTAAAGAATTAGACGCGAATAGACGTGAATAGGAAATTCTGGTCTTAGTGGTCACAGCGGGAAATTTTAAAGTTGGAATTTTTCGCTGTGACTACTAAAACCAGCATTCCCTGCGGGCGTCACGGCTTGATACGTCATCATGCATAAGATCTATTGCTTCACACGACATAAATTTCATTTTATTTCTTTACTATAGGTAAAATATATATTTTCTGACAAAACTGGTACTCTTACAAGGAACATTATGGAATTCAGAAAGTGTAGTATTGCAGGAATTATGTATGGGTAAGATGGAATTTTGCATTTATCGTTTTCCCTCAGCAGCAGAGGTGATATAATGGCCTTTGTTCGGAAGACAGGCTAATCTGATATTGCAGTAAGTTCAGGTTTATTGATCTTGTTGCGATGTTTTGTCGTTTATTTCAGAGGAGATGGCGATACATATAATGATCCATCTTTACTCGACAATCTTCGAGAACATCATGTGAGTTGAATCATAGTTAATCTTTGGTTTAATCTGTTGACCTTCGCGAGATCGATATACAGCGCATTTTGTTTAGCAAATATTTTCGTTGAGTACATGGCAAATGTATCGTTGAATAATGTACATTGGGTTATTAACTGGATGGCGATTTGAATGTAATACAGTAAATGAAAGCATTATTCTTGTTTACAATGTGATGTAATTTCTTTAGCCGACTTCCTCCGTGATCCGAGAGTTTCTCACTTTGCTATCAGTATGCCATACTGTGGTGCCTGAAAGAGATACTCAGAATCCAGATAAGATCATTTATCAAGCGGCATCCCCAGGTATAGGAGACGCCATTTTGTTTGAGATGAAGTCACGTGACTACATAGACGTAATGAAGACATGGATGTTGAATTTACATAATTTACTTTCTGAATAGATGAGGGTGCGTTGGTTGAAGGAGCAAAACTGTTTGGGTTTTCTTTTAATGTGCGAACACCCACTTCTGTTATCATTAATGCTGTAAGTTTGGAATTGAATATCTTTTGTAAATATATGTCGTATGGTCGTTCTTATAGTTTTTCTTTATTTTTCATTTTAGATGGGACAAGAGGAAGTTTACGAAGTTCTTAATGTTTTGGAATTCAACAGGTAACCCTTTTATAAGACTTCGATGCACGTTCAAGTCTTTCAGGAATGATACGCCCTGTATGGTTAAAACTGGGGCAAAAATTGTACAGCAAACTTTGAATCTTGAGCTACATACCTGAGTAAATGGGGTTTGCATTCATTAAATGATGTACGTTATACAGTCGAATATACTAGCAGTTTGTACAGAAATGTTTGATATTGTTAATCTCAATATTTAGTCTGATAAAATCTAAAAAGTTGGGGCCATATTTAATATTACGCAGGTATATATAATTATTTGTCACTTTATTCCTAGCACTCGTAAACGTATGTCTGTAATCATGAAAACACCGTCAGGACAGATCAAGCTTTACTGCAAAGGAGCCGTAAGTCTCTTTCTTATATTTCTTGCGCTTTTAGCCATCAGTGCATGCTGGGAGCTGATTAATTAGGGAGCTGATGTGTTTTGTCGTGATTTATTTGTAACTAAGTGTATCTAATGAATTAGGACACTGTCATCTACGAAAGATTAGGCACTAGCCAATTGTACAAAGATGTCACATTGAAACATTTGGAAGAGTTTGCTAAGGACGGTAAGCACATTATAGATTTAATTCTAAATTTGTTCGAAGTAAACGCAGAGCGGTTGCCCTAAATGTACATTTCGATCTGACACGTTCTCTTTATCTAGGCTTACGAACATTGTGTATTTCCATGGCTGAGATCTCTCAGGAAGAATATGATCGCTGGAGTGATATTTATTACCGTGCAAGTACAAGTTTGGAAAATAGAGACGAGAAAGTTGATGAAGCTGCAGAACTTATTGAAAAAGTAAGGGGATGTGTTTTTTGTCGTTAGTTACGAGGGACTTTTGCAAGTTCTGTTTGAAGTTAGTTTTGTATGCTGGCAAAGTATAAATTTATAGTCAAGTGTTCCAGTCATCTTATAGAAACTCAACTTCTATTTACTTGTAAACAGAATCTGTTTCTACTCGGAGCAACAGCAATAGAAGACAAGTTGCAGGAGGTATTCCATGTTTTTTTTATTTGCACAATCACAAAAGTGTTTTCTCACATGTTATATATGCCATCAATATGAAAGTCATGTTTCGAGGTTTTCTGAATTTCAGGGCGTTCCTGATAGCATTGCTGATTTAGCTGCCGCTAACATTAAGATTTGGGTACTAACTGGAGACAAGCAAGAAACTGCGATTAACATAGGTAAAAATACATGACTTCAGCTATACGTTGCGATCATGCATAAGTAATCATAAATCTGTATTTCGAGCGTGGAAATTGCGATCACGTTTTATTGCATTCAACAGATGGAGACATATTCTTATGCTAGTTTTTGTTTCATATTTTTTTAAAATGTCAATTTTCCAGGTTACTCTTGTAAATTACTCACGGAAGACATGTCTTTGCTTATTTGTAATGAATGTGATCTCGGTGTAAGTATAGAATTATAATCATTTACAATTACCAAAATTTTGCACTAAATCTTTCCTTTTTTCGTCTCCATTATATGAAATAGTTACAAAAGGTAGTCGAATTAGGAGGGAAGCCTTAAGAAAGCTCTTGTCATCAAGCTCTTCGTCATCCCAGCGTTAATTATGCTAATAGCATTTCAATCTAAGTTGATTATTTTACATGTTGATATCTTCAGGGAACGAAACGTTGGCTGGACGAGATCATCAAGAAATATGGAATTAAAAATAAGCGAAAAAAAGAACCAAAACGCGGTGAAGTAGGTTAAAACCCTCTTCTTCATAACAAATTTTATAACTGGTTATAGTAATGTATTGCATTGTTACCCATGAACAAGTAATTTATTTATACCGAGAAAACAACTTAAAATCATAAAGAATCAAATTAAACTTTACGTCAGTGACTGTAGCTGAAATATAATTCACCTTCTTTACAGGAGGAGCGGTTGGCGCTTATCGTAACTGGTCAGGTTAGTTCCTTTTTCGCCTTTAAAAGTTGTTCTTGATTGTTTTGACGTGAAATGAAAAACTCTATTTTGTCCTTTTCCAAAACAGACTCTGAATTATGCCTTAGAAGAAGATTTAAAATACAATTTCCTGGATCTTGCACTATGCTGTAAAGCAGTCGTTTGTTGCAGGTAATCCTATATCACCACATTGTGCATGTGTGAAATGTTAGCTACAATTATATGCAACGACAGTCTCATTTTCCCACAAAATATAGTTATAGATCTTCCTTTTTTGCAAAAGATCTGTGAAACTTCTCATGCGACTCAGGGCCCCTATACACGCTGACGAAGGCCCTATGTCGAAACGTCGAAAGGTTTTCTTTTATATTTTTGTCTGTTATATAATGGAACAATTTGGCATGTTTTTTATAGAGTTTCTCCTTTGCAAAAAGCTCAAGTTGTGCGGCTAGTCAAGTCCCAAGTAAAGAATTCTGTTACATTAGCAATTGGTGATGGTGCAAACGATGTAGGAATGATTCAGGTACGTTATGTATCCCTGCATCCTGCATGATCCTGTGATTCGCATGATCCTGTGATTCGCATGATCCTGCATGCAGCCACAAAATACCTGGCGTACACGAGACAATAGGTTAGTTGACATTGAGGCAATGTAACCCGATGTCAAAACCAGCTTTAATTAATATGCAATGCCAGACATGCCGTTTATTAATCATTAGTATAATTAGATATCGAGTTCTTAAATTTGTAAAATAACTGTTAAAGTTAGGTATATTCATTCAGGTTATTTCACACGATAAATATGATTTTGGGACAGATAATGCGTGTGTATTTTCCACTGTTGTATTTCTAATCTGTCCATGCACCACGCGACGGTACAAAAAATAGAAACTTCTTAATCTTCAAAGAGACTTTGAAGAGACTTTTCAAGATGCTGTCATAGGATGCCATGATACAAAAGCATATTTATTCATCCATACACAATTCTTCTAATTCAATATCTAAACTTGCAGGCAGCTCACGTTGGGGTTGGTATAAGTGGTCAAGAAGGTTTGCAAGCAGCAAGTGCTTCTGATTACGCAATCGCTCAGGTTGATTTTCTTAAATTCTTCTAAATTTTTACCTTCCTTTTAAATACGCACGATTTAGAACTGTTCCTTTCAATTTTGGTTTCCATAGGTATATGTATATTTTTATATACAACTTGCATGTAATGTTGATAATTTACAGTTGTATATTTTACAATAGTTCCGTTTTCTGAATAAACTATTACTGGTCCATGGTTCATGGAGTTATCAACGTTTAAGTAAACTGATATTATATTCATTCTACAAGAACGTCTGTTTATATGTTATTGAGGTGAGATATTTTCGTATTTATACAAACTAAAGAATTCATTTTCTATAACTAATGTTTTGTAACTGTGTTTCCTTTTCTTAGCTCTGGTTCGCTTTAGATAACGGTTTTTCTGGTCAAATTTTGTTTGATAAGTGGTGTATTGGTATTTACAATGTGGTATGGATTGACATTTGAACCAAATATTCATCATTCATCATTGCATGACATTGGTATCTTTATTATAGAAAAATAACTAAACCTATATACATTGTTAACTTACAAAATCTATTCTTCAATATTCAGGCGTTTACGGCATTCCCTCCATTGGCAATTGGTTTGTTTGACAAGACAGTGTCGTCAGATAGCCTTCAACGTTTTCCTCAACTTTATAAACCGTCTCAAAATGCGGAGTATTTTAACACAAAGGTAAGAAAACGTTATACATGAAATTTATATAGTGTGACCGTAAGTAGAGTAATGAATATTTCGTCAGATGTGAAAATTTTTCTGTTGCATTGAGGCTTGCTTATTTTATTCTGTTTCATCGCTTATTTTACTCTGTATGAATTCTTTATCAGGTTTTCTGGTTGTGGATCTTTGCTGCTGTTGTTCACTCGCTTCTGTTGTTTTATCTTCCATCTTTAGCATTAAACAATGGTAAGCGTGAATGATAATATGCCTGGGTTCAATATTTAAAGGAGTAATAGAAAAGAATGATGATATGCAAGAAAGATATATAAATCTGTACTACACCCTACCCTCGTTTAATCCTATGCTACCATCTTTTCTCTATTTTACTGTATAGATGTACCTTTTCAGGAAGGTTTAGTCGTTGGAAATTGGTTTGTAGGAAATGTTGTATACACGGTAAAGAATCTTATTTCTGTACACAATAACTAAATCATCAGTTGTGCTTGCATGCTTGCATGTGAACCTCACGTTCATTTTTACCCAATTTCATGTTACAGCTCGTCGTTGTCACAGTTTGCTTAAAAGCAGCTCTTGAGTTAGATTCTTGGAATTTGGTAAGATAGTTTAAGTTAAAAGACCTATGCTACAGTACTTTGTTAGTTTCAGTAGACAGCTATGATTTTTGTCTACAATGTCACCTGCTATAAGTAATATAGCAATATGGAAGGGCTGGGAAATGGTTGGTGTCGACTATGGCACGCATCGTTACTGCCTGGGGGTCGAACTACCCAGCAGCTGGCGGTGTATTTCTTTCTAATGGTTGTATTTCACCTCTTTCTAGCTTTGTCATATTGCGATATGGGGAAGCATTCTTAGCTGGTTTATATTTTTATTAATTTATTGTCAACCATTTATTGCGGAGTTCCTAGCTCCTGATATGATTGGGCAGGTAGAGTATCTCATGATTTTTGGACCAAGAAAAAAGCATATTATTTCGTCAACATGGTCATTCCTATTATCCTATTATTTCCCAACACATCATTTCCAGGCTATATCTCTGATTCCCATCGATAGATCCGATCGTTTACCCGAGTTTTGCTTCGGGTAATTATAGGAACTATATTCTTACTCTTGCTCTTTTACTCTTTTATTATTTTGTTGCAGGAACAAATGATTTTTACTTGTCCTGGATTCTGGTTTATGTTAATCCTTATTCCTGTCATTACACTGTTCTTTGACTTCTGTTATAAATTGTAAGTACAAATCAAATTGCTTAGGTATAGTTACATATTATCTTGGTGTAGCTATTATTATCGACGTTTTTCACCATTTTATATATATTCTATATATTCCATATATTCGTCTATCTAAATGTTATTTATAGGTTCAACAGAACTTTCCGGAAGACGTTAGCTCAGGAAATTCAAGAAATAGAGGAACGAAGGGTATGGTGTAACTGTTTTATAATGACGCGTGTAGATAGAATATCAATATCCCAACTAAATATTAACCTAATTCTTCAGAGTGATCCTCAGTCGTCTCTTGGTCTTTCCACTCCTTCCGTGCACAGGTAAGCGCCGAACGATATTATATAGAAATACCGTGTAAAATATTGTTCATCTGATGTTGCTATTTTATATCATGTTTTTTTACAATTTGCATGCATTAATTCGTCTTTTAAACAGGTCGGCATTCAGATCGAAGAGCTTCAAAAACCAACGTAAGATTGTTTTACTATATTACACTCATAAACGTTAAAATCAGATATATCAAATTCAAATCTATAAAAAATTGTACATTCAAATTACATTTCGCTATTGTTCATTTACCCTGAAAGTTTTGTCTGCTTAAGGAACTCTTGCTCGTTGAAGTATAGTATATTTGAAAAACTCACTCCAGTCTATGTATATCTATATCTTCATGTCATGATTTTAGATGGTTATGCATTTTCACAAGAGGAAAGTGCATCTGTCCGTCAGGTACAGTTTGTTTCATCTGTATGAATAATGGAAAGAGTTACAAACTGATAAAACACATCGTTCTTCCATGTTGTCGTTCGTGCCTTTAGAACTGACAATATATTTATTTTAATATACAAACAATTGACCATATGTATTGACCGAAATTGTAATTACTTTCTATCACATCGGTTAAACCTGGTCAAATTAGGAAGCATTGTTGCGGGAAAAAGAAAACAGTCTGTTCTCCAAAAATGGCTCTGCAATTGTGTTTCCTACACAATCCTGATCAAAAATTTGGTATACGATTGACTGACAGTGTATAGAATCTGAATTTGACAAGTTTCACTTTGGCCCTTCCCCTCGTGTGACATTGTGGTCTTTCCAAAATTGTATGTAAGTAGGAATAAAATTAAGGGTCTGCAAAGCCTTGGTTTAATGAGAACTAATAATATACACTGTATTGTGAGGTGTATGGCAAAATTTCTGAATAGAACTTTCACAAGTCTTTTTTTCTAATCGCGTGATTTATTTGGCAATGAAGCAATTAGAAAAAGCAATTAGATAAAGTTGCATCAATCCATATTTTAGCTAGAAAAGCCAGTTTTTCTACACTCGGCCACTTAATTAAACAACACATGCAGATATTCTCGGATTACGTTAATTCAAACATCCAATTGTTCCCAGAATTTTTGACAGGATCTTATGAGTATATTTTGTCGATTATAGGTATAATGTAAGAGCACAAATTAGATGTAGAATAATTTATTTTGGAAAAATATTGTCACATATAAAAATACAATCACATCACATAATGTATTTTTAATATAATATATCAAAATTAATGTTTCTTAATTAAAACCCCCTGGGCCCTGTTGTATTATAGGTCGTGTGAAAATTTGAATATTATAATCTACAGAGATATCTACATTTAAACACCACACATCTAATTAAAACATAAATAATGGAATAATTGTACGTGCTATGAAAAAACACATGCATTCACTGATATTTAACTAATTTAATATATGATATTTGTACTTTCTCATGATTTCTAAAAGATGGATGAGAGTATATTTTATAATTAACAAATTGATCAATTAAAATTTGATAAAAAAACTTTTAATTTTTGATTACTTATTCCATATAACCTCGTTGATTTCTTGAATGAATAAATAATCTGATGATTTTTAAACAGGCGCAGTTAATCCGACGATATGATACGAATCTTAAAAAGCCAGGGGGTGGAGAGTAATGAATGTTGATTGATGTACGTCCTTATATAAGGTAGAGTGTTTAAATCAATTTGAAATGTTAAATCTTTAAACTTCTTTAAAACTAAGGTAGCAAACGTGCTTACAACTATTTAGTGTTCACATAACATGTAAAGCAAGTAGGTAACCCATGGCAATAATCACTTATGCATGAATTCAAAGGAAAATATTTATGTACATTAAGGACAGGGTGAATATACATTTTGAGAATTCTGATGGAAACTAGCAGGGTTAAAATAAAACAGAATTAATTTAAATGAAACAATCGGTAACAGTGAATGAATAAACAGTGTTCCGTATCCATATGCAATTTAGTGAAGTGTTTGAATGAGGTTCGTGTCCACAAACAATGCATTATCAAACAAATTTCTTTTCAGTTATCGCTGAAACCTTACGAGAGAAATAAGGACATTGTTTTTATCGTTGTCGTAACATATAGTATCTTATATGGTATACATTGTGTTGTTGCATGTTTTATGGTATACACCATGTTATTGCATAGTTTATTGACTGTTTTGAATTCAAATGTCAATTCGAATTTCCTGTGTATGTGTGTGCATGCGTGCTTCAAACATGATAAATCATAGTCAATAGTACTGGTGTTTATCACACTATTTTAATTTATAATTGCATAGCAGTAGCTATAGCTATAGGCATAGCAGGCATGTTCACACAGCCAGGTTAATTTTGAATTGATATTAATATAAATATTTAGGATGTATTAATGTTTGTTTGAATTTGATTATAATGCTAGTGGATGCTAGCTAATTATTTAAAGTTTATTTAGGATATATGATATTCAAAGAATGTAAATTTTCGTGTTAGCATTAAAATTTGTTGTAAATCGTGCACGCGAGTATTAAAAGACTTTAAAATAACATATGCAACAAAACCCAACAATTCTAGTCTCTGACTCTGTGAATATTTTTATTGTGTTTTCCTCGCTTTTCGGCTTCGACTTTGGTGGTTCATTAAAACTTCATTTAGTAAAAGATACAAACTGGTTGTAATGCTATATTGGCATCGAAAAACAAACTCGTATAAAGCAAGTCTTAGAGACTTAATGACAACTCATTGGAACTCATTGGTGGATTTCACCACTGTGATTTCACCAACTATTTTAATCAGTGACTCAATGCTTATTAGGGGCGCAAGAACGCATTCCTAATGCGAAGAGGACGGATCATTTTTATATCATAGCCTTATACCGAAAAATTAACCCTAACTGATCCCAACGTTGAACGCAGAAGCAGAAGCAGAGGGAAGTGGAGAGTCTGGAGATAGCAGCCTCCCTGGCTCCGGCGCATCTGGAGCTAATGCAACACAGATCTTAGCAAAGTTGAAATCGCACATATTTGTTACCAAGAAGAATGTCAAAACGTAGACTGATACAGGGAACGCTTCCTGTGCCTCTAATTCTTGAATCTATGACGTCACTTGAATTCTCAATTCTCAATGGTAACTCACTCACTTACGGTTGACTTTACATTTATGTTATGTAAGGACAGTAGGGTAAGTAAACTATTTGGCGAGAAAGCACATATCAAAGAATGCAAGGAAAACAGCTATAAAGCAAATGTATAAGAAAGGATTTTGGCCGAGTAAGCGTTGCACCTTTATATTCGGCTAAAGCATTAAATCTTTTTCTGTGTAAATACAGCAATACGCGAATTTCTGCAGAATTCTTATATCTGTAAGTATGCTTATATGGAGAGTACTGTCTTATTTACAATATTTCTTTATTTGAGACGGTCATTCTGTCCATCATGGTGCAAACAACGAACTTGTACGGGATAGTTCCCCTGATTTAATTCAGAGGAACAAAACTCGTACGGTGCTCGAGTGCGGTGTCTTTTTCCCTTGTCTGGTTATGAGAGCATTGTTTGTTCGATTGCATCAGTTCACAAAAAGTACAAGATCAATTCTGAAATATCGAGCTATCTCAACTTCTACCACAAAAATGGTTCTTGATTTAGACTTATTTCGCGAGGAAAGAGGTGGAAATCCCGCCAAAATACGTGAAAATCAAGGCAAACGATACAAAGATGCTTCGATGGTAGACAGAGTTATCAGTGCTGATAATGAATGGAGAAAATGTCAGTGTATTTTAATATGTCATCAAGTATTTAATTGAATAGCATTGTTTTAATACATTTGCTTGCCATGCAGGTCGTTTTCAGGCAGATAACTGGAATAAATTAAAGAATCTTTGTAGTAAACAAATTGGAGAGAAAATGAAGGTAAATATTGACGCACATATCACACGTGGCGTATTTATGGGACTGACAGGGTGCAGTTTATATTAGCCTTTAATTCTCGTAATATCAAGTATCACCTCTGGCGTGTGCAATCAACTCATTTGATTATCAATATGAACTTGAATTTATTCAATGCTCCAAACATATAATTGCAAGTTTTTGCAACATTTTTATGAAGGCAACGTGCCCCAGGACTTAGACCAAAACCCACTTTGATGGTCGCAATGATGTTGTTTGGACTAGATGTTGTTGTTGTTTATAGATAAGAATCACGTGATGATATTACACTGCAAATTGCTAAACTGTATTTTTACCTTCCACTACTTTGAGAATACTTTACCAATTTCATTGGATTCATACCTCCATCATTTCTGGAAAACACATCCTTTTCATGCAGGCACAATGTCAAGAAATTGAGATTAACTTCCCTTGTTGAAAAGCCCTAGTTAAAAAATAACCTTCCACATGTATCTTTCATGTAATAGCAGGGATCCAGTTCTTGTAAATTGTAAATTGTAAAATGTACTTCTCTTTTCAACCCAAATTTTCTTTCTTTTTGTCTTACTTCAAACAAATAAATTGGCATTAGTTGCTTTTCCTATGTCACATTTGTATTTGCTTTATTTATGAGCTTATTTTTTTAAACAAATTGCGAAGAGAAAAGAAGATGTTGGAAGCAGTGAGGATCTACCCCAAACAGTTAGAGATGACTTATCTAAACTTGATGTTGAAACTTTACAGGTAAACCTATTGCATTCATGACATCCCATGTAGTATGCTATATTAGCCTATATTATTATTATATCATTTATATGCCTAAGGATCTTTCTGTATTAAGAAACTGTCACAATATGTTAATTGTTCATAATTGCATTGGAATTAATCCATAGACATGTTGTTAGCAAACTTAATGATTTCTGGCAAATGTGATGGGTAATACCAAGTAAAATCTTTGATATTATTTCAAGAACCAATCTGAAAGTTCCTAATCAAGCATGGAGCATTTCACCTAGCACAGTTGATTCTGAACAAAACATATTGTATGATGCAAATAATTAAACTCACTTTAAAACACCATCATAACTGCATTGACTGTACTTCTTCAGATGTTTTAGGCCTGTTTTCCACTTCAACTGTATCATAGCGGAACATATCGAATACTTCAGAAACATAAAAATATAATGCGGTTCAATGGAAAATAGGCCTAAGCCTTGTTTTAGGAAATACAAGTGCAAGGCTGTTAAAAGGAATTTGAACACCCAAAAAAAATATTGGAGACTGCATTTAATAAAAGTGTTATCACTATAGGGATTGACTGTGACACAGATAAAGAAGATTCGTGTGTTGATTGATGAAGAAATTGCAAACTGTCGCAAGCAAGTAGAAGAGTGGGAGAAACAGAGAAATTCAACACTCTTTGAAATTGGAAATTTACTTCATGATGATGTTCCAGTTAGCAATGATGAGGTACGATGAAATCATAATTATTATAAAAACATCACTTTTCAATTCACAATATGTATCTTACAATATAACATTTTTTTAAGCTGAAATTAGTGAAGGTAGAATATGTTGGTAAATTAAAAAATGTTTTTGTTTCTTGTATAGGATGATAATGGGATAGTCCGGGTGGTAGGAGACTGTTCAGTGAAAAAGAAATATTCTCATATTGATCTTGCAGTTATGGTTGATGGTGTTGATGTTGACAGAGGTGCAGCAGTGGCTGGAAGTCGTGGCTATTTCATGAAGGTCAGTATTTTATTTATGTTTTAAACTTGTCTTACTTAATTGGCTTAGTTAATATCAAGTTTTGTAGTATATTATGAATGTGTTAATCGTCATATAAAGATGATAGACTGAGGATTGACTTACGTACATTAGGCATGTGAACAATATATAAATAAATATATATATATATATATATATATATATATATATATATATATATATATATATATATGTATATATATATATATATATTAAGTATCAATATCACTTGCAGAAAATTCAGTAGTACCAGTAGTACTTCTATTCTACTATTCGTAATGATAACTTTTTCCATAATGATAAGAAATAACACTCAGGACTGTCAACTATGTAATATTTCATCTAGTATAATATTTAGTTTTGAACAAAATTCTTTGGAGGTTCATTTTCATTAGAAATCTGCGCATCAGAGTGCATGATCAAAAATGACTAAATCTATAGTTCTTTTATCTAACCAATTACGTTCTTTTTAGGGTCCGTTGATATTTTTGGAGTACGCTCTTCTCCAGCATTCAATGCAGATGCTTTACGAAAAAGGATTCACACCACTTTACACACCATTTTTCATGCGTAAAGATACCATGCAAGAAGTTGCTCAGTTGAGTCAATTTGATGAAGAACTGTATAAAGTAAGTTACGAACTTGGCCTTCCTTTAAAAAAAAAGGAGTCAACGGGAAGCATGATAATATAGACACAAATACAACATCGTTGTGATTTTTATTGCAGGTTGTAGGTAAAGGAACTGCCGAGGACGGTTCAGTCGACGAGAAATATTTAATAGCAACAAGTGAACAACCAATTGCTGCGTTTCATCGTGGAGAATGGCTTGATCAAAATGAACTGCCAAAAAAATATGGCGGCACATCCACATGTTTTAGGCAGGAAGTTGGAGCCCATGGTCGGGATACACGCGGAATATTTCGTGTTCATCAATTTGAGAAGGTACGTTGTCATGCAAATATTTAACCTCTAGGTTGATTTCAGTTTATTTAGTTTTGAACTTAAACCATTACATAATATTCCATTTAACCATTATTACATGATATTCCATTTTTACAAGGTTGAACAGTTTGTTATATGCTCTCCAAAAGACGACATTTCATGGAAGATGTTTTATGAGATGATAGGAAATGCCGAAGAATTTAACCAATCTTTGGGAATACCCTACAGAATTGTAAACATTGTCTCAGGTGGAAACTGTTCATTTATAATAAGCACGTCAAATTAATGTGAAAGTCTGAATTTTTATGCGTTTATACAACACCATTCGTCAGGTCAATCTTATTGCAAATGTCATTTAGTAATGACATCGGCCCGAAACTGTAAATTGTAATTCCTCATCCAAGGACTGGTGCATGTCTAGTGTGTAGTTATTGCCAACATGGATGTCATTAACGCTCTATTTGAATTCTAGGCGAGTTAAATAACGCAGCTGCGATGAAATATGATTTGGAAGCATGGTTTCCGGGAAGCGGGGCTTTCCGGGAACTTGTTTCCTGCTCAAATTGTACTGATTACCAAGCTAGAAGATTGCAAGTCCGTTTTGGACAGACCAAGAAAATGCAAGAGAAGGTATGGAAAGAGTAAACATATTACTTGAAATTAAACGAAACATTCCTTGCAATGACCTCAGCTGGAAAAAGGCCAGCAAATAAAATTACCTGTTTCTCTGAAATTCATAGTGTAACGTCGATTGTTGATTTTTGGAATGACATTAATACAAATTCTGTGTGAAAAATTACGTTAAAAATTGACATTTTCTAGGCTGAATTCTGTCACATGTTAAACTGCACAATGTGCGCCATTTCAAGAACGATCTGCGCTATTTTGGAAAATTATCAGACTGAAGAAGGAGTCGAGATCCCTGAGGCCTTGAAACGCCACATGCCAGCAAGTTTACAGTTCATAAAATTTGTTAAACCTGCGCCGATTGACGAACAGGCCCAAGGGAAAAAACAGAAAAAGAAAGCGAAGTCGGAAGCAAAACAACCGATGGAAGAAAAAATGGATGATTTAAAAATATAAAAACGTTTGAACATTTAGAACATATTGAAATAACCATGATAAAGGAAGATGGGAAATGTTGACGTTACATTTACTGTATGTAAATTTTATTGTTCGGTGGCCAGAAATAATTAAACCATATTCCAGTCTTAGAAGACTATACTAAAGTAAAAAGGAGATAATTAATTAAATGGTGTATAAGGACAATATAATTATACATAACGCGAACTTGCTGTAGGTTAGAGCGACAGGGTTAGCGGTTACACGACAAACATACTAAACATTTTTGGCACGGCAGGCTTAATTTTTGGTACGCAGGTCAAAAGAAACTTGCCCCGTTTACTGTTGCATCCTGCATGGGACCTAGGTCCAACCCAACGCTGGCGCAACCGCACCTTAGTTCTACCACGCATTAATTCTATCAGTACATCCATCAAATGATCCCTGTGTAGGGATCATATTTTATAAATCTTCAAAGAAGTTCTCTGTTTCTGATGATTTTTTGGATTTTGTCGTCTTCGGTATGTCTTCACTTGATGTCATTTCCTTAAAATGTTTTACATCCCAAAATTTGATTTTCTGATCATGGGAACAGCTTGCCAAGATGTTTTTATCTGGTGACAAACTGATTTGTTCGATAGGGAATTCACCATGTTCTCCAACTACTCCGACAAAGCGGTTGGGAAGAATGCTGACAGCTCTGAAATGGAAAGGAACCCTTCTGAGAAATATACTTCGTTCAGAGAACTAGTAAGATATAGTTCATCGATATTGCAACTTTCTGAATTTCAAATCGGTGGCAACACAAAAAATCAAAAACGGTAGAAAAGAAACTTGCCGCATATTTTGCATCCGTATGAAATTAATGGTACATTTTAATATTAGATTTAAAGTTAAAAAAAGTCATGGGCTATATGATTAGAAAAACGTTTTACTGGGCCGAAAAAACGAAATGTGCTGCAACTTGATATGTTTTGATAAGAATACCTTATTATGCCATCCATTGATCCAGTACAGATAATATCCTCAGTCAGAGTTACACATGCATCAACGGACATCGGGTGACCTGGAAGACGGTCATTGATATCTGACCACTGATCCCAGGTGAAAATATGCAGTACACCATCGCTTGTTCCACAAATAACTTTACTTCCGTTCTACATCAAAGTGGAAGTTGACTGTGTTTTTGTACCTATATAATAGTATATACAAACACAATGCTGTATAATATTTTACTCACCTTGACAACAGCAAGAGACAACAGTTCATTTTCCTGATTTTCAGAACGAGCTTCAAACCTCTTTCTTCTGATATTGTAAACTGATAATGTCCCATCCCCACTATAACAGGAAGCCATGGAGGAACAGTAACATAGACTTGAAACTCAACATTGATTTATATGAATAAAGAGTTTTTCTCAGTTCTATAACTTTTAGGAAGTTTAAAAAACCCCAAGTATGAAAAAAAATCGCTATCGGAACGAAAGTGCTTTATATTCTCCTCGGTTCCTATAGGTTCTCTGATAAACCGGGCTTGCACACTAACTAGGTGAGGTAAAGTCAGCAATCTGTATACGTAATCCAGTTATGTCCTTAGCTAGCCTTGGTGCATGTGTGTGTCGCAAAGACCGCGACATGACTTGTTGGGGTGGGGTGGGGTTATGTTACCTCGCAGCTAGTAATGTTCTGTTATCTTTGTCACACTCCATGCCAGAAATGTAATCCTCATTTTCTGAAAATTCTCCAACACTACTTGAAGTTCTTGTATCCCAAAACTGCCAGAAATAAAAAATTATCGTTTGATAATGTTTGCAAAATTTCGCACTGAAATTGACAAGTGATTACCTTAACACCGCCGTTGTCGTCGCCAGTTGCTAATAGATATTGATTCAAAATCTTTAAACAGTTTATAGGGGATCTATGAAATGTGGTTATATACGTTATTACTTATTCATTTAGGTATAGCTGGCGTAATACATATATGTATAGTATTAAATAAAACTGATTATTGATATGTTATCAACAAATCAACATAATCATTTACTATAAATCCACTTACTCATGCGCTTTTCTGACCACACGACAAATGCTTCCAGTGTTCATATCGACAGCCTGGATCGTCTTATCTTTTGAGGCCGTCGTCAGGTCTATATAATGCATTTGAGTATGCATGCATTATAATTCTTTGCAGTATTTAATATACTTACGTGGTGTATATACCTACAAGCTAATTCACTTATATTTTGATGTCACCATGCAAAATTACACTGAAGAACATTAAAAAAGATATTGTGCTGTGCGGTGTCTATCAACAACGTTTTAAGATTTGTATAAAACCTTTGAGTGAACTTACACAAGCCATCTGTCGAAAACTGTACTGCACGGCAAGCTTTCTTATGATGTTTCAATTCCATTAAAAGGGTATTCCCATCTTTGCCAAAACTATGTCTATGAATACAAAAACCTGGACATGAAAATGTTTTCAAAGTGTGGTGTTTCTTCCACAGATGCTGTGTTGCGTGTTATTTCACAGTTACGCAGGTTTATTTTATTTGTGCTTGGTTTGTTTAAAGGTTTTTTCTTACTTTGTAAGAGCATGGCATGCAAATCTAAATATTCTCTTTTTAAAATGCTTATTTAATATTTGATATAATCTTACACATTAACTTCCCCATTTATTTGACCGGAGGCGATAACATTTCGATTTGGATGAAAACTTAGATCAAAAACTTGACTTGGAAATTCGATATCAGCTATACCCTAAATTCGCAAAAAAAGTTTCAATGAAATTTTAAGGATGATATGATTGGTAACTTAGGAGGATGTCAGTTAAATTTTAGTAACTTGCATTGTTAACTAGTTGATTGAGAGAATGTTAAATTTTTGTTAATCATCCAAATCAGATTCACGATTGGTGAGATCATATTTAGGTTGGATTGTACATGGGTCTATAGATATGAGAAATATTAAATATGACTGCAGATATTGCATAGGCGGTAATCCATGTGGCTTCAAATCGTACAATCTGATATTGACCCTTTTATTCCATATTAGTAATAAAGAATAACAAAGTTCATTTTAATACATAGACTATGCAGTTCTAAGAATTAGTTGACATACTGTATAATAAAAAATATTACTTGACTATGTCTATAATTAGCCGCTTCTGCTGTGTTCAACAATTTATTGTTAGCACAAGTGGCTAGTTCACAAATACCTACTAAATAATCCAACAAACATTCTTCTAATCTACAGGCTATTGTAGTACTAATTTTAGTTCATGCATATAATGTCAATAATAATAATAATCAAATTTGTGCAGCTAATTCTTTTATTTCCTCCTGCTCTTTGCTATCCTTGTCAGCAATCTTCTTTTGCTCGTGCTTCAAGTCATCCCCAAATGACTTAGCAAGCCTGCGCACGTTTTCCCTGGACTCCTCGATAGTTGGGTTGTCTTCCAAGGAAGCGTAGAGATCTTTACGTGTATCTTTGATTTGCAGCATGTACGCCTGGCATACATCATCCAAGGCCACCCATTTGGCATAGTAACCAACAGTTCTTTGCTTGAATGCGTTTGACGTCCACACTCTGAGTCGCTTCCCTTCGGGGTATTTCATGGCTCTCTGCACCATCTGCTGCATGTCCTTTTTTGCCAGAGCCTCGCAGTGCTTCTGCATTTCCTTCCAGAAAAATGCAGCATTCATCATAATGGTAGACAGTGACTTCAGGGCACCAATGGAGTTGTGCAAAGCGTGAATGGCAACATCTGCAAGGTGTTCTTTGTACTTATAATTCCATATTCGCTCCAAGAACTCGATTAATTGCTGGTCAACCTCCATCCTCATATGCCTTTGTTTCTTCATTTCCTCCAAATGCTTCATGTCCTCCTGGTTCGCTTCGTTGTACAGTTTGTTAAACATCTCCTCCAACTCCTTTTGAAGCGCTTCAGCTATTTTTCTTCTAGTCTCGAATTCTTTTCGTTCCTCTTTAATTTTCTTCTTCCTGTCCTCTTGACAGCCTTTCTCATTCTGAGTATTTTCCAACGCATCAATGACATCATTTGTAGCTGCCTCGAAGTCGGTGTGCAATTCTTCTGCTGCCTTGGCCATTTGCTCTGCCACTTTCGCCAAAAGCAATAAAGTTTCTAGTGCCATCTCTTCCAAACCGTCGAGAAGAAACTCGTACGTGCCTTGAAGCTCTTGGAGGACGCTGGTTGACGCGTTCTTGAAATTCTGCACCGTAACAGCAGACTTATCCGCTAGTTTGGTGACCTTGTATCCAACTTTCTGTACTTTGATCTGCAGTTTCGTAGAACCTGCAACACCGTTGTACGCAACGCGGATAAGGGTACCAAGCTTTGCAAGGTCATCGACAAGGCTAGCTAGATCCAGAAAGCCATTCAGTTCTTCCTTTGAGTTTTTGACTAAGCTGCTCCTGACATCGGGAATTTTTACCAAAGAGAACGTTTCGCCTTCAATGTTGACGCTAATATCTTTCGATGAAGTCGACATTTTATACGTAGCGTAAATCACATGATATGACGGCAAGAAGAGTAAAGCAAATTGAGCAGTAAAAGCGAGATCTGAGATATTTAAAGGCACCCAATTGTACACTTCCGGCAATATTTCGCATGAATCGCATCAGTTTCGATTCCAGATTTTAAGTAGAAATGCTTCCAGGAAGATCAGAACCGAAATTGTTTATAAGGTCGTACAGTCACATGCATGCATGCACGTTACCTTATAAACAATCGTGTTCTTATGATTTTCCTGGAATAAATATTTTTTAGAATAGTGGGCAAAAGACCTGGAGGGGGATAAAGCTGTCATATATAGGACGGGAAATCCGACGTAGAGAGTTGGGTAATTTTTGGTGCATTTATTCTCCAAAAAAATTAAGTCCGTACAGGCGCCGATATTTAACACATTTTTGAACCTTTAAGTTCACGACATTTTTAAGCTTTTCATTGTATTTCTTGGATGATGGATTACAGCGTGGCTTCTAACTTTTAACTGTAGTTAAGGCAGAATTGACCAATAAGAGTTGTGTATTTCTGAGTTAACTAGGATTTAACTATGCATGCAACGTGTAGTTAAATAGTTCGTTTACACAAGTCAGTTTTATCTAACCGACACTAGGATTTAAGTATGCAACGTGTAGTTAAATAGTTTTGTACAATGAATTTTCAATCATTCCACTGATTAAGACTGATTAACTTTCTCATTGTTCAATAATAAAATTTCTATGTCACACATAATGAGCGTAAGTGCATGAGCTTTTTAAACCATTAACCGTGTTTAAACCCAAGCGTTAAAGACAGGTTACAGCCAGCGGCTTCTGCGAATCGGTCCTGCTCATTTAATTGAAAATTGTTCAAATTTCATTGAACATAAACTCTATCTCTTATTCATTTAGAAGTAAAGTAAAATGAAATAGTAATAAATATTCCGACAAGATAGGATATTTTAGGAGATATAGCGATTCAATATGTAAACAAAGCATTATTTTATCTACATTAACGACTGTAACCTTTTACGGTTTGTATTTTGGAACATAATGCGTTTTCTGGGTTCTAAGAACATGATGTGTTTTGGTAAACATGTAGTTCGCAGAAATGTGTGGAAATAGATTCATAGAAATAAATTAAGTTGGTTTCGAAACAAATATTTGATATCATTGTACATGTGTGATAATTCTGAGAGCCGGAAACGCAACGGGTAAATCCCTTCTATGAATCCCTTCTTCCAATCATTGTAAGTTAATAAGAAATACACCCGAAAGCAATATATTCCAGGCTTTTTTTCCAGCAACATTCGTGCAATACAATAATCATGGTATTAGTTCGTGTTAGCAGAAAGTGCTTTAAAGCATTTGACGAGGTTTGTGAAGCTGTCGAGAGGAGCGACCCGAACAGAGCGGCCATTATCCTTTAATCAATTCAATCCGACGCGGAAATTTTACAAATAGAAGCGCGCATCCTCCAAAAACAATTGCTCAAAGCTGAAGAAAACGAAGCTCAAGTTGAAAACCTGACGAAGAATTGAAAAGTTATTGGTGGGTTCCAGGCTATGGAACGTATTTGGCCATTAGAGAGTTAACGCAAGATAACGCAAACCTAGCTTATCAGGCAGAACGTGAGAAAAACCGCTATGACAGAGAAGTGAAAGAAGCTGATAGCGAAATCAGGTCGACCAACAACAAAATAGATGAAGTAAGTTAAATAACTTAAATAAAACGATTCATTGATCCCCCATGCAGTTAGCACACGAGGCTGATGAAACAGTGTTCACATGAAACACATTTTTTAAACATATAAACCGTTTAAAAATTTGCATTCAAATAGTTGCATCAATCCACATAGTATTGAACAAAACATATTTGATATATTTAATGCTGCAGCTAAAATATGCTTTTTAAAAACCAGTCTAAAATCAAAATTCATTCTTAATCTTACAACTTTTTGTCATACCTACTGAGACTTGTTTCTATACTCAATAGTGACAAAATAAGGCTTTCCCATTTTTAACTTAGATACATAAATAAATAGAAAGGATTCAAAAGAATAGGGACAAAATGATGTAAGAAAGAAAGAAGATCCATAAAGAACTTGGAGAGTTCAAGAGTATGACCTTTGTTGTCTTGGAAGTGCTATCATTCTCTGAAGTGCTTATCAGCTTGGCAGGCGAGGCCTCTCTTAAGTCTAACTACCTTCAAAGGATTATGGAATTGGCAGGCAAAAAGAAGACTGATATTAGGCGAAGCAAGGAAATAAGAACGGCTGTCAATTCATTTGAATATTCTTGGATAAATATCATTGACTTGTTAAAGTCCAATCGAATTGTCATTCTAAACGGCAGGAGAATTGATAGGATTTATGAAGCTAGTTATGAAAACACATGTTTATTTGATACTCTTATTGTCTGTGTTGCTGTACTCATGGTGTTGTTATTTTGTTTTGTTTGCCCAAAGTAGTCGGCCTAAATAGCCTTAAACACTATAAACACATTTAGAGCTAAAATGTGTAAGTGAAATGGCAATCATTTTGGGTTGAGTGGAATTTACATGTGTGTATATTAAATTAATATAAGCTACATAACATAACAAAATATATTTATAAACGACAGCCTCAGCGGTCAGGGACGCTGGAACGATGAGGGCAAAGTGGGGGGGGGTTGTATATTCCTGCAGCAGCGCATAATAAAGACTGTGTGCAAAATATTGTTTGTTGAATTTCTTATTCTCGTATTTTCTCTTTTCAAGATAATTTCGGTGTTTTTGTGCAACTCCTTTGCCGGGCTAGCCCGTTTCCTATATTATCGCAAGCAATTTTCACGTTTCGATTACATGCGAACTTTCAGCCCGGCTTGCCGGGCTGGCCCGGTTATGTCAACCGGGCTAGCCCGTCTTGCCGGGAATGTAATCGTTTCAGCCCGGCAAACCGGGCTGGGTATTCGTCAAAACATGCACAGTGTTACACACATGCATAAACAACAATGGCGTCTGCGTTTGCTAAATTTTCTTCGTTTGCTAAATTTCCGCCCGGCAAAGATTACTCATATAATCGTTTGCTAAATTTCAGCCCGGTTAACCGGGCTAACCCGGTCCATGTAATCGGCCCCTACAATGAAATAGCATTATAGCACTCCCTTGCCCCTGCTGGTAAAAGGCAAGGGAGCAGCTGCCTCTGTTTCCCCCCCTATGTTCCGGCATCCCTGATTTATAACATAGGCAGCCCAAATATGTATATGCATGCATGTTTATATACTATATATAAATATACATGGTATATAAACATGCATGCATACATAATTGGCTGCCTATGTTTATAACGGTGTGGATAAAATAAAAACTTCCGAGCGCAAAGTCCGCCATTTTTATCCCGTGAAAGCGCTAGACCATTGTTTTACAAATATTATTACGGATGCTGGATGGGCATATTGTTTGTGGGCTCACCTCTCGTGGTAAAGTCCAGGCCTCCAGGGTTGCCAACTTGGCTCTTTTTAAGCCAAATTTCTCGATTTTGGCATAGGCAGCCCAATGGCAAATGGTTTTATTTGAAATAAAAGTGCACTAAAACATTGAAAATTAGAACAAAGCTATCCGTATTTTTATTAAATTGAACATGTATCATTTATTCATGCAAACTAAAATCCTGACATCCTGTGTATTACGGAACGGGCGACTCGCGTACCTGACAGTGTTCAGGCAATGTAGGCATTATATATACTATATAAATTTGCGATAAATTTGTTCCGCCCCGGAGAAAAGAAATAAATATGTGTAGGACCTGCGGTTGGATTTTTTGCAGTACAAACAGTTTAGCCTTTGATAATCCCTCAAAGTTGTAAACGTCAGTCATCTAAACAATTTATTGTTAGCACAAGTGCATGGCTAGTTCACAAATACTACAAATAATACACGAACAAACGTTCTTCTGATCTACAGACTACAGCCTAGCTCCTTTGTAGCACTGACTAATTTTAGTTCATGTATATAATGTCAATAATAATAACAATCACTTTTGTGCAGCTAATCCTTGTCAGCAATCTTCTGTTGCTCGTGCTTCAAGTCATGATTCAATGACTCAGCAAGCTTGCGCACGTTTTTCCTGGACTCCTCGATAGTTGGGTTGTCTTCCAAGGAAACGTAGAGATCTTTACGTGTATCTTTGATTTGCAGCATGTACGCCTGGCATACATCATCCAAGGCCACCCATTTGGCATAGTAACCAACAGTTCTTTTCTTGAATGCGTTTGACGTCCACACTCTGAGTCGCTTCTCTTCGGGGTATTTCATGGCTCTCTCCATCATCTGCTGTATGTCCTTTTGCGCCAGGGCCTCGCAGTGCTTCTGCATTTGCTTCCAGAACAATGCAGCATTCATCATAATGGCACACAGTGACTTCAGGGCACCAATGGAGTTGTGCAAAGCGTCAAGGGCAACATCTGCAAGGTGTTCGTTGTCCTCATAATTCCTTTTTCGCTCCAAGAACTCGATGCATTGCTGGTTAACCTCCATCCTCATATGCCTTTGTTTCTTCATTTCCTCCAAATGCTTCATCTCCTCCTGGTTCGCTTTGTTGTACAGCTTGTTAAACATCTCCTCCAACTCCTTTTGAAGCGCTTCAGCCTTTTTTCTCTTAATCTCGAAATCCTTTCGTTCCTCTTTTATTTTCTTCTTCCTGTCCTCTTGAAAGCCTTTCTCTGTCTGAGTATGTTCCAACGCGTCAATAACATCTGTTGTAGCTGCGTCGAGGTCGGTGTGCAATTCTTCTGCTGCCTTGGCCATTTGCTCTGCCACTTTCGCCAAAAGCGATAAGGTTTCTATTGCCATCTCTTCCAAACCGTCGAGAAGAAACTCGTACGTGCCTTGAAGCTCTTGGAGGACGCTGGTTGACGCGTTCTTGAAATTCTGCACCGTAACAGCAGACTTATCCGCTAGTTTGGTGACCTTGTATCCAACTTTCTGTACTTTGATCTGCAGTTTCGTAGAACCTGCAACACCGTTGTACGCAACGCGGATAAGGGTACCAAGCTTTGCAAAGTCATTGACAAGGCTAGCTAAATCCAGCGAGCCATTCAGTTCTTCCTTTGAGTTTTTGACTAAGCTGCTCCTGACATCGGGAATTTTTACCAAAGAGAACGTTTCGCCCTCAATGTTGACGCTAATATCTTTCGATGAAGTCGACATTTTATACGTAGCGTAAATCACATGATATGACGGCAAGAAGAGTAAAGCAAATTGAGCAGTAAAAGCGAGATCTGAGATATTTAAAGGCACCCAATTGTACACTTCCGGCAATATTTCGCATGAATCGCATCAGTTTCGATTCCAGATTTTAAGTAGAAATGCTTCCAGGAAGATCAGAACCGAAATTGTTTATAAGGTCGTACAGTCACATGCATGCATGCACGTTACCTTATAATCGTGTTCTTCTGATTTTCCTGGAATAAATATTTTTTAGAATAGTGGGCAAAAGACCTGGAGGGGGATAAAGCTGTCATATAGGACGGGAAATCCGACGTAGAGAGTCGGGTAATTTTTGGTGCATTTATTCTCCAAAAAAATTAAGTCCGTACGCCGATATTTAACACATTTTTGAACCTTTAAGTTCAAGACATTATTATTATTAAGCTTTTCATTGTAGTTCTTGGATGATGAATTACAGCGTGGCTTCTAACTTTTAACTGTAGTTAAGGCAGAATTGACCAATCAGAGTTGTGTATTTCTGAGTTAACTAGGATTTAACTATGCATGCAACGTGTAGTTAAATTAAAATAGTTTTACACAAGTCAGTTTCATGACTTTTATCCAACCGACACTAGGATTTAAGTATGCAACGTGTAGTTAAATAGTTTTGTACAATGAATTTTCAATCATTCCACTGATTAAGACTGATTAACTTTCTCATTGTTCAGTAATAAAATTTCTATGTCGCACATAATTAGCGTAAGTGAGCTTTTAAAACCATTAACCGTGTTTAAACCCAAGCGTTAAAGACAGGTTACAGCCAGCGGCTTCTGCGAATCGGTCCTGCTCATTTAATTGAAAATTGTCCAAATTTCATTGAACATAAACTCTATCTCTTATTCATATAGAAGTAAAGTAAAATGAAATAGTAATAAATATTCCGACAAGATAGGATATTTTAGGAGATATAGCGATTCAATATGTAAACAAAGCATTATTTTATCTACATTAACGACTGTAACCTTTTACGGTTTGTATTTTGGAACAAGTTTTCTGGGTTCTAAGAACATAATGTGTTTTGGTAAACACGTAGTTCGCAGAAATGTGTGGAAATAGATTCATAGAAATAAATTAAGTTGGTTTCGAAACAAATATTTGATATCATTGTACATGTGTGATAATTCTGAGAGCCGGAAACGCAACCGGTAAATCCCTTCTATGAATCCCTTCTTCCAATCATTGTAAGTTAATAAGAAATACACCCGAAAGCAATATATTCCAGGCTTTTTTTCCAGCAACATTCGTGCAATACAATAATTATGGCATTAGTTCGTGTTAGCAGAAAGTGCTTTAAAGCATTTGACGAGGTTTGTGAAGCTGTCGAGAGGAGCGACCCAAACAGAGCGGCCATTATCCTTTAATCAATTCAATCCGACGCGGAAATTTTACAAATAGAAGCGCGCATCCTCCAAAAACAATTGCTCAAAGCTGAAGAAAACGAAGCTCAAGTTGAAAACCTGACGAAGAATTGAAAAGTTATTGGTGGGTTCCAGGCTATGGAACGTATTTGGCCATTAGAGAGTTAACGCAAGATAACGCAAACCTAGCTTATCAGGCAGAACGTGAGAAAAACCGCTATGACAGAGAAGTGAAAGAAGCTGATAGCGAAATCAGGTCGACCAACAACAAAATAGATGAAGTAAGTTAAATAACTTAAATAAAACGATTCATTGATCCCCCATGCAGTTAGCACACGAGGCTGATGAAACAGTGTTCACATGAAACACATTTTTTAAACATATAAACCGTTTAAAAATTTGCATTCAAATAGTTGCATCACAATCCACATAGTATTGAACAAAACATATTTGATATATTTAATGCTGCAGCTAAAATATGCTTTTTAAAAACCAGTCTAAAATCAAAATTCATTCTTAATCTTACAACTTTTTGTCATACCTACTGAGACTTGTTTCTATACTCAATAGTGACAAAAATAAGGCTTTCCCATTTTTAACTTAGATACATAAATAAATAGAAAGGATTCAAAAGAATAGGGACAAAATGATGTAAGAAAGAAAGAAGATCCATAAAGAACTTGGAGAGTTCAAGAGTATGACCTTTGTTGTCTTGGAAGTGCTATCATTCTCTGAAGTGCTTATCAGCTTGGCAGGCGAGGCCTCTCTTAAGTCTAACTACCTTCAAAGGATTATGGAATTGGCAGGCAAAAAGAAGACTGATATTAGGCGAAGCAAGGAAATAAGAACGGCTGTCAATTCATTTGAATATTCTTGGATAAATATCATTGACTTGTTAAAGTCCAATCGAATTGTCATTCTAAACGGCAGGAGAATTGATAGGATTTATGAAGCTAGTTATGAAAACACATGTTTATTTGATACTCTTATTGTCTGTGTTGCTGTACTCATGGTGTTGTTATTTTGTTTTGTTTGCCCAAAGTAGTCGGCCTAAATAGCCTTAAACACTATAAACACATTTAGAGCTAAAATGTGTAAGTGAAATGGCAATCATTTTGGGTTGAGTGGAATTTACATGTGTGTATATTAAATTAATATAAGCTACATAACATAACAAAATATATTTTATAAACGACAGCCGTCAGCGGTCAGGGACGCTGGAACGATGAGGGCAAAGTGGGGGGGGGTTGTATATTCCTGCAGCAGCGCATAATAAAGACTGTGTGCAAAATATTGTTTGTTGAATTTCTTATTCTCGTATTTTCTCTTTTCAAGATAATTTCGGTGTTTTTGTGCAACTCCTTTGCCGGGCTAGCCCGTTTCCTATATTATCGCAAGCAATTTTCACGTTTCGATTACATGCGAACTTTCAGCCCGGCTTGCCGGGCTGGCCCGGTTATGTCAACCGGGCTAGCCCGTCTTGCCGGGAATGTAATCGTTTCAGCCCGGCAAACCGGGCTGGGTATTCGTCAAAACATGCACAGTGTTACACACATGCATAAACAACAATGGCGTCTGCGTTTGCTAAATTTTCTTCGTTTGCTAAATTTCCGCCCGGCAAAGATTACTCATATAATCGTTTGCTAAATTTCAGCCCGGTTAACCGGGCTAACCCGGTCCATGTAATCGGCCCCTACAATGAAATAGCATTATAGCACTCCCTTGCCCCTGCTGGTAAAAGGCAAGGGAGCAGCTGCCTCTGTTTCCCCCCCTATGTTCCGGCATCCCTGATTTATAACATAGGCAGCCCAAATATGTATATGCATGCATGTTTATATACTATATATAAATATACATGGTATATAAACATGCATGCATACATAATTGGCTGCCTATGTTTATAACGGTGTGGATAAAATAAAAACTTCCGAGCGCAAAGTCCGCCATTTTTATCCCGTGAAAGCGCTAGACCATTGTTTTACAAATATTATTACGGATGCTGGATGGGCATATTGTTTGTGGGCTCACCTCTCGTGGTAAAGTCCAGGCCTCCAGGGTTGCCAACTTGGCTCTTTTTAAGCCAAATTTCTCGATTTTGGCATAGGCAGCCCAATGGCAAATGGTTTTATTTGAAATAAAAGTGCACTAAAACATTGAAAATTAGAACAAAGCTATCCGTATTTTTATTAAATTGAACATGTATCATTTATTCATGCAAACTAAAATCCTGACATCCTGTGTATTACGGAACGGGCGACTCGCGTACCTGACAGTGTTCAGGCAATGTAGGCATTATATATACTATAAATTTGCGATAAATTTGTTCCGCCCCGGAGAAAAGAAATAAATATGTGTAGGACCTGCGGTTGGATTTTTTGCAGTACAAACAGTTTAGCCTTTGATAATCCCTCAAAGTTGTAAACGTCAGTCATCTAAACAATTTATTGTTAGCACAAGTGCATGGCTAGTTCACAAATACTACAAATAATACACGAACAAACGTTCTTCTGATCTACAGACTACAGCCTAGCTCCTTTGTAGCACTGACTAATTTTAGTTCATGTATATAATGTCAATAATAATAACAATCACTTTTGTGCAGCTAATCCTTGTCAGCAATCTTCTGTTGCTCGTGCTTCAAGTCATGATTCAATGACTCAGCAAGCTTGCGCACGTTTTTCCTGGACTCCTCGATAGTTGGGTTGTCTTCCAAGGAAACGTAGAGATCTTTACGTGTATCTTTGATTTGCAGCATGTACGCCTGGCATACATCATCCAAGGCCACCCATTTGGCATAGTAACCAACAGTTCTTTTCTTGAATGCGTTTGACGTCCACACTCTGAGTCGCTTCTCTTCGGGGTATTTCATGGCTCTCTCCATCATCTGCTGTATGTCCTTTTGCGCCAGGGCCTCGCAGTGCTTCTGCATTTGCTTCCAGAACAATGCAGCATTCATCATAATGGCACACAGTGACTTCAGGGCACCAATGGAGTTGTGCAAAGCGTCAAGGGCAACATCTGCAAGGTGTTCGTTGTCCTCATAATTCCTTTTTCGCTCCAAGAACTCGATGCATTGCTGGTTAACCTCCATCCTCATATGCCTTTGTTTCTTCATTTCCTCCAAATGCTTCATCTCCTCCTGGTTCGCTTTGTTGTACAGCTTGTTAAACATCTCCTCCAACTCCTTTTGAAGCGCTTCAGCCTTTTTTCTCTTAATCTCGAAATCCTTTCGTTCCTCTTTTATTTTCTTCTTCCTGTCCTCTTGAAAGCCTTTCTCTGTCTGAGTATGTTCCAACGCGTCAATAACATCTGTTGTAGCTGCGTCGAGGTCGGTGTGCAATTCTTCTGCTGCCTTGGCCATTTGCTCTGCCACTTTCGCCAAAAGCGATAAGGTTTCTATTGCCATCTCTTCCAAACCGTCGAGAAGAAACTCGTACGTGCCTTGAAGCTCTTGGAGGACGCTGGTTGACGCGTTCTTGAAATTCTGCACCGTAACAGCAGACTTATCCGCTAGTTTGGTGACCTTGTATCCAACTTTCTGTACTTTGATCTGCAGTTTCGTAGAACCTGCAACACCGTTGTACGCAACGCGGATAAGGGTACCAAGCTTTGCAAAGTCATTGACAAGGCTAGCTAAATCCAGCGAGCCATTCAGTTCTTCCTTTGAGTTTTTGACTAAGCTGCTCCTGACATCGGGAATTTTTACCAAAGAGAACGTTTCGCCCTCAATGTTGACGCTAATATCTTTCGATGAAGTCGACATTTTATACGTAGCGTAAATCACATGATATGACGGCAAGAAGAGTAAAGCAAATTGAGCAGTAAAAGCGAGATCTGAGATATTTAAAGGCACCCAATTGTACACTTCCGGCAATATTTCGCATGAATCGCATCAGTTTCGATTCCAGATTTTAAGTAGAAATGCTTCCAGGAAGATCAGAACCGAAATTGTTTATAAGGTCGTACAGTCACATGCATGCATGCACGTTACCTTATAATCGTGTTCTTCTGATTTTCCTGGAATAAATATTTTTTAGAATAGTGGGCAAAAGACCTGGAGGGGGATAAAGCTGTCATATAGGACGGGAAATCCGACGTAGAGAGTCGGGTAATTTTTGGTGCATTTATTCTCCAAAAAAATTAAGTCCGTACGCCGATATTTAACACATTTTTGAACCTTTAAGTTCAAGACATTATTATTATTAAGCTTTTCATTGTAGTTCTTGGATGATGAATTACAGCGTGGCTTCTAACTTTTAACTGTAGTTAAGGCAGAATTGACCAATCAGAGTTGTGTATTTCTGAGTTAACTAGGATTTAACTATGCATGCAACGTGTAGTTAAATTAAAATAGTTTTACACAAGTCAGTTTCATGACTTTTATCCAACCGACACTAGGATTTAAGTATGCAACGTGTAGTTAAATAGTTTTGTACAATGAATTTTCAATCATTCCACTGATTAAGACTGATTAACTTTCTCATTGTTCAGTAATAAAATTTCTATGTCGCACATAATTAGCGTAAGTGAGCTTTTAAAACCATTAACCGTGTTTAAACCCAAGCGTTAAAGACAGGTTACAGCCAGCGGCTTCTGCGAATCGGTCCTGCTCATTTAATTGAAAATTGTCCAAATTTCATTGAACATAAACTCTATCTCTTATTCATATAGAAGTAAAGTAAAATGAAATAGTAATAAATATTCCGACAAGATAGGATATTTTAGGAGATATAGCGATTCAATATGTAAACAAAGCATTATTTTATCTACATTAACGACTGTAACCTTTTACGGTTTGTATTTTGGAACAAGTTTTCTGGGTTCTAAGAACATAATGTGTTTTGGTAAACACGTAGTTCGCAGAAATGTGTGGAAATAGATTCATAGAAATAAATTAAGTTGGTTTCGAAACAAATATTTGATATCATTGTACATGTGTGATAATTCTGAGAGCCGGAAACGCAACCGGTAAATCCCTTCTATGAATCCCTTCTTCCAATCATTGTAAGTTAATAAGAAATACACCCGAAAGCAATATATTCCAGGCTTTTTTTCCAGCAACATTCGTGCAATACAATAATTATGGCATTAGTTCGTGTTAGCAGAAAGTGCTTTAAAGCATTTGACGAGGTTTGTGAAGCTGTCGAGAGGAGCGACCCAAACAGAGCGGCCATTATCCTTTAATCAATTCAATCCGACGCGGAAATTTTACAAATAGAAGCGCGCATCCTCCAAAAACAATTGCTCAAAGCTGAAGAAAACGAAGCTCAAGTTGAAAACCTGACGAAGAAAATCAATAACCTCTACCAACAATTCAAAGTTTCAAACAGAACGAAAAGAACCTGAAAGTTAAGGTATCTGGCTTTGAAGCCAAACGAAAGCAGCATCAAGAAAATCAAAACGCCGCCCCGGAGGAAATATGAAGCTGCTAGAGCAAAACAACGAGAGGCAGAGGAAAGAGTGGAGGAAATGAAAAGTTATTGGTGGGTTCAAGGCTATGGAACGTATTTGGCCATTAGAGCGAGTTAGCGCAACTGCGCAAGATAACGCAAACCTAGCTAATCAGGCAGAACGTGAAAAAACCCGCTATGACAGAGAGGTGGAAGAAGCTGATAGCGAAATCAGGTCGACCAACAACAAAATAAATCAAGTAAGTTAAATAAAATTAAACGATTCATAGACCATGCTGTGCCACAGCTGATTCCCAATGTAGTAGCACACGAAGCTGATGAAACAGTGTTTACATGGAACACATTTTTTAAACATATAAACCGTTTAAAAATTTGCATTCAAATAGTTGCATCACAATCCACATAGTATTGAACAAAACATGCATATTTGATATATTTAAATGATGTGGCTAAAATACACTTTTTAAAAACCAGTCTAGAATCAACTTTTTGTCATACCTACTGAGACTTGTTTCTACACTCAATAGTGACAAAAATAAGGCTTTCCCATTTTTAACTTAGATACATATTAAATAAATAGAAAGGATTCAAAAGAATAGAGACAAAATGATGCAAAAAAGAAAGAAGATCCATGAAGAACTTGGAGAGTTCAAGAGTATGACCATTGTTGTCTTGGAAGTGCTATCATTCTCTGAAGTGCTTATCAGCTTGGCAGGCAAGGCCTCTCTTAAGTCTGACTACCTTCAAAGGATTATGGAATTGGCAGGAAAAAAGAAGACTGACATTAGGCGAAGCAAGGAAATAAGAACGGCTGTCAATTCATTTGAAGATCCTTGGATAAATCTCATTGACTTGTTAAAGGCTAATTGAATTGTAATTCTAAATGACAGGAGAATTGATAGGATTTATGAAGCTAGTTATGAAAACACATATTTGATATTCTTATTGTCTGTCTTGCTGTGCTCATGGTCACATGGTGTTGCTATTTTGTTTTGTTTTCGTAAAGTAGTCGGCCTAAATGGCCTCAAACAAGTGAAACAACATAAATACATTTAGGGCTAAAATGTGTAAGTGAAATGGCAATCATTTTGGGTTAAGTGGAATTGAAATCTGTATATATTAAGTCAACATAAGCTATATAACATAACAAAATATATCTTATAAACGAGGGCCGTCAGGGACACTGGAACGATGTGAGGGCAAAAAGGGGGGGGGGGCGCTGAATAAAGGCAATTCTGTAACGGTGCATAATATAAAAGAATGTTTGCAAAATATTGTCAGTTGAATTACTTATCGTTATAAAATGTAATCCTTTAAAATGAAATAGCATTATAGCACCCCCTTGCCCCGGCTGGTAAAAAGCAAGGGAGCAGCTGCCTCTGCCCCCCCCCCCCCCTTATGTTCCGGCATCCCTGATTTATAAGGTGTGGTTAAAATAAAACTTACAAGCGCAAAGTCCGCCATTTTTATCCCGTGAAAGTGCTAGACCATACAAATATTATTACGGATGCTGAATGGGCATATTGTTTGTGGGCTCACTTCTCGTTGCAGAACAGGAGAAAACAATCCAGTGGTCAAGTCGCAGTGAACAAAAGTGGTGAAATTGGGTGAAATTTATAACTGAACAACTTATTTTCTTCAGAATTACCTTTATTGTAAAAATATTTAATTTCAAAATAGTTTTTTTGGCATAAAATTTAAAATGCGCCTATTGAAAATTAAGCTGCAACGCATTCTTCGGATGCCATTACTTTTTGCCCTCTTTGGCTTCTTTTCTTGTGTTATTCTTTCTGTTGTGTACAACTTTGAAGACGCTACCAAGACACATTGTAATGTAAGTTAAACTAGATTTATTGTATAGATTTAGATGTACGACATGAGCTAGATTTACCACCAGACAAACATGGTGAAGTTAAGATGTATACCCCTAATTTTAAAATTTTTACCCTGCTTATTTCCCAAGTTTTTAATAAAATCTTCCTTTTTTCTAGGTTCCAAACTACATACCATCGATAAGCACATCAATAGGAGATTTCAGGCCACAGACTTATATATGGAGGATATGTATTGCGCTTCACTGTTTTCCACGAATTATGATCTCAATTTTTTATTTCAACTACTATGCACTCAAGTTAAAAGACCCGCCATCAACACAGTTTACAATTTTAAATGGACTCAATTCATTGCTAACAATTTTGGAGATTCTTGCTTTACTGGTTCTCACTTATGTATCATCAAGAGAAAATTTTGGTATGGAATATAGATTTGTTTGCTATAAAATTACTTTAAATTAGAATGCATAGTAATATATTATATTAAAATGGTTTTCTTAGTAGGGTCTTTGAGCAAAAACAGATTATATAATATATACCATAGACCTGCAATTATCCTGTCATACTTTGGTCAAAACTTTTATTTGCACATGCATGAAGGTTAAATTATAATATGCATTATAACTAATGATATGGATGGTGTAGTGCTGGCAACAACACCTGTTTTACAATTTATTCTTTCAAATAGGAATCCATGAAAATGCATTTATATCATTTATGGTGTGTTCTATGTGTTACATGCTTACAACATGCATTTTATTTAAATGGACATCAAAAGACCCCATGACTAACGAGGTACAGTCAAAAATACTAGTCACTGCATGCCTTTTTTTAAGAAATGAAATTATGAAAAAGAATGAAATCCAACACTATAGCTAGAAAGAGCATTTTATTATAATGAAATGACATTGTGCTTCATTCACTCTAAAGCATTAAGGTATGACTGAATTACTCTAATGGTCTTCTTATTCTTATGATTCATAGGAAGTAAAGTCATTTAAAAGAAAAATTTATCTAATGATTACAAACTACAGCTCATTTGCATTGGCAGTATATTTTTATTTTCGTCATAACTGGTATTGCGAACCTGGAAGTATCCTTTTCTTAAAAGAGATAAAGTTTTCTACCATTTGAGGACACATCATAACATATCACTTTCATTCGGAAAAATTCTACTGCACATTTTTGCAATAAATTTGTTCCGTCCCGGAAAAAATGAATAAATAGTGTAGGACCTGCAGTTGGATTTTTGCAGTACAAACAGTTTAAAGAGGTGAGATCAAAATTTTAAAGAGGTGAGATCAAAATTTTAAAAGTCAGTCATCTAAAGGTCAATCATCATCATTCCAAACATGCATTAGACAATATTTACTGGAAATTTTACCATGCTTATTTGCAGATTTTTGTGCTTCAGTTTTATTAATACACAATGATAATAATTATGGCAATTATTAATTTTAGTTTATATTTTCACAGTAGACTCCTTAACTTATTTCCTTTTATCTAAAACAGTCTACAGTTATTTTGCTCTTTGTGAATATGTAACTGTTCTGACGAACATTTGGTTTCATTCCACAGCAATAATCGATCTCGGAGGATTACACATAACTATTGGTCATGAGCATTCCAGTTGAAGTTTCTACCCAAAATTTTAGCAGTACATGTATGTAGCTGAGTATTCAAACAAAAAATATTTGTTCGTCGTAGCCAGTAGTCGTAGTATGTAAAGAACAAATAAGTACCGCTGAGCTATATAAAAATTCCTGGAGGAAGTTCTCGTCATATTTCAGTAACTTCGCCACTATTTTTGCAGACACTTCTCGGCTGAGAGCAAGTCATCCAGGAATTTTAATATAGCTCAGTGATAAGTGAACGTGGTGTCCCTACAAATTGATTATTTAGCAAAGTGCAAAATTTCAAGAATATTATTACTAACTTTCGAATAGATTATTTTTATAAGTTCGTTGACATTGTGACGTCATGTGTGTATATAAACTTTAGCAAAACACAATTCTCGACCAATCAAATTGTTAGAGATTTAATCTATATTATGATAGAGGAAATATATCTAAATTAGTTTTGCTGATCAAATTAAGAACACTAACTATGTTAGATTGCTGCATGATTTTATTTAGATGAAGGATGAGATCCTTATAACGTGTTATCCTTAACATTTATTTTACAGTTTATAGTCTATTTGCTGTGTGTGAGTATTCTGCTGTACTGTCCAATATATTCTTTCATCAACAATCATACAACGTAGTAAAAGACTCGTATTTATTAATCATCGACGAACATCAACTGCTAGAGGGCAAAGGAAAGTTGAATGTATGACCAGTTTACATTAGTTTACTATTTATCACAAGGGAAAACGAGTGTCAATGTCGCAACCCACGCAATATGCCTTCGTGTTGTATAAATGGCCAATAGACACAGGGACAAACAAATATAAAACGATTCATTATTTGCCTAATATACATGCTGCCGTTATATGTGGCCTATGAAGACGTCATGGGGTTTTTAAGGAATTTTCACTTGGGGCCGGAGGGGCAGATTAACAAATATTCCTCGAGGTTTGGTGAGCACGCGAGTTTGAAGAGAGATTTTTACTGAAAACTTATCAGCTGATCTTTCACAGTGTTCGTATGCTCCCCGGAGAAACCTTTATTTTAGCCGGTCTGAAAAACGCTTGAAAACCCTGGAATGGAAAACCCTGGAAAACTGTTTTTGTATAGAAACTAAAACTCTTTCAACGTTCTCTCAGTACGGTTAAAAATTCTTGAAAACAGCCATAACAAATCTTAAGAATACTGTGTCGACTCATAATTGAATGCTCATGACATTTTTTAAATTGGCTTTAGTTTAGTATGATTTGAAATGTTTGCGTAAATGATGTGACCGATGTTTACGAATATCTTATGACCGATTTTTATCATCGGTTGTGATTGGAATAACTTCGAATATTCCTGGAAAACTCTTCGAGAAAACACAAAAAGGTCCAGGATTTCTAAAATTTTCTAGGTGTGCCACAGTGCCAAGGTCGAGGTTCGTATGAAATGAAGTAGCCCATGTTACTATTCGTGGGCTCATGTTATTGTTGTGGTTTTATGAATTAAAAAAAAATTGAAATTTATTGATGATGATTGGATTTTTTATCTCGATTTTACCTGGACATTTTGTATTTTTATTATTTTGATAACTTTTCAAGCGAGTTTGAAAGAATGGGAATAACGGATTCGTTTCCACGTAATTGGCAATGCGCGCGTTGTACATATGTAAACACTTTCATGAGTTTTAGTTCTCAATGTGAAATATGTGGTTATGATAGAGATGCTAAACTCTGGATATGTTGTAGTTGCGGAGCCAGTAATCCAGCGCATATTGTGCTATGCAATTCTTGTGGTTCAGAACAAAATACGTTTGCTGGGAAAAATAAAGGTTGGCCTTGCCCAAAGTGCAGTTATGTCAACTTTCCAAACTCAATAAATTATAGTGTTTGTCAATCCAATAAATCATTAAATAACCAGGTGAAATCAGCGAATCCCATAGATGTTGAAGTTGATTCAAGCCGCTTAGGAGAGCTGCAAAAAGACGTTCTAAAATGTCACAAATGTAAAACTTTATTATATGATAATACAGATACTGATTGCACAGTGTGTGGGACTCCCTGTGTTGCTGAGGGATTTAAACCTAGGCCATTTCCTCAGTCATCACTACCAAAACTTACGACTGAAGATCAACCAAGTTCATCTGGTTTATGGAAATGTTCAACCTGTACCTTGTTAAATGATCCTGCTCAAACAATATGCCAGGCTTGTGGAAATATGAAAGGTGATAAACCTGTAGCAAGATTGCCCCCATTAGGTAGGTATATTACCCAACATTAGCGGGGTACATCACCTGATCTTTCAGCTTTTATTGTGTACTGTATATTTACATTTATACCTAGACAATTCATGGTTGTGCCCGGTTTGCACTTTGGCAAATTCTCCCTCAATCAAGTTTTGCAAAGCATGTAACACAACCAGAGATGACATAAGTTGGACTAAAGATGCTGATAGTTTGAGTGTGCCAAATTCACCAACACATAAGACATGTGAAACTGTTGGAGTTGAAGCTAAAAGGATCCATGATGAACATGAAGCGAAGGAACAGTGGAAAAACATTGTCGAAATTTGTTCACAGGTAGCTAGAAGATATGTGTTCTCAGTTCACACAAAAGTAGGATCAGTTAAGACCAAATGCTTAGCTTAGTTTAACATAATTGTAACTTGGCAGGCTATACTATTTTATGAGTTTCTATATGGTGCAACCTGAGTTGGCATAGACTATAATTAGCTAAATAAATAAGCAGAAATCATCCCATTGGAAAATACAGAGAACAAAATCTAAGACAAAGCAAACAAGTGGCAAATGTGATGGTGTTTGTGTTTTTATCTAGCTGACTGAGAGGTGATAAAATATTGTATCAGGTTGTATTAAATAACAGACCTGTGTGGTGTTATGGTGGTGAATCCACTGTTTTACCACATAAAAGTAAAGAACCAATAAAAAAAAGTCAATCTCTCTGTTATCATCTAGCACAACATGTCATTTGTGGATGATTCATTTCCTCCAGATGCCAGCTCTTTGTACTTTAAACCACGGTCATCCACACATCCTCGCGTGTCTCGCTGGTTAAGACCTCAACAAATGACATCTCAGTCACAACTTCGTTGGGAGGTTTTTCGCAATCCAAGTCCGTCAGATATAATGCAAGGTGTTTTAGGCGATTGTTGGTATGTTAAAAAACGAATAAGAACTTAACAGCAATAGTCAAAAACGAAAAAATGAAATAACTTTGTGTAATATGTAAACCGTTTCTTACGAGTTGTAAATGTTTTCAACAGGCTCCTGAGCGCTTTGGCCGTTCTCACGGAACGACCAAATCTCTTGGAAAAAATCATTGTAACGAGAAAGGTATATAAAACGATAAATTATGTTGGTATTTTATGCATGTCACTAATATTTATTATGATGAAGTTGAAGGTTGAATAACTTGAATGGTAGAAATTTCAAGTGTCGTAAGATACACACACGAGACGAATCCGCATCATTCACAATGAGTATCCCAGAATCGCAGGTCCGATTTCAGAGAGTTTTGTTTTCCCGTTCTAGTGTACATTATTATAACTCGAAGTTGCCTTTGACTTTTACAGAACACCGAATTATACTTCAACGTTTCTTTATACGAAAGCTCGCACGTATATAATGTAGCTGATATATGTGAAGTATATTTAAGATCTGTGACGAAGGAGCTTATCAGATTCGGTTATGTAAAGACGGGAGATGGACTATCATTCTTGTTGATGATTTTATTCCTTGTAATCAGTATGGGATGCCAGTTTATTCACAGGTAATGTTGCATGTAATCAAGTAATACATATACTATATCCACACCTCGTGTGCTTCAGGGTGCATATATATGTAGCCTCGGAGTCTAACTGCATCGTCCGTAGTTGATAAAAAGGCGTTGATTTGAATTGTTTTCCTGATGAAGCTCGAGAGTAGATTCGGCTCTGAAATTATGCATAGGGTGGACATATGCACCGTAGTTTTTCAATTCTTATATATACAGAGTACTGTTAGTCCTTAATTTAATTGACAGTCAGGATCACTTCATAATCAGCACGCTCTCCTCCCTCAAAATTATCATACTTATACATTCTTATGTGTAGGCTGCCCGTCGTCAGCTCTGGGTCCCGCTTATTGAAAAGGCGATGGCAAAATTACATGGTTGTTATGAAGCGCTAGTTGCTGGAAGAGCCATAGAGGGATTATCAACATTAACTGGTGCACCGTGTGAAACTGTACGATTGCAAGGTATAGTATTTGCAGGGTTTATTTGTACGACATATTGGATATTGCTAGCACATTATATCCAGGATTTTTCTCCCGTGGTTGGACAAACATCGGAACAAATTTAGATTCAGTTCGTCCACTCGTTGATAAACAAGTTTTTGTGAAAATTTAATTCCATTATTTCATCCCATGTATTATTCCATTCTGAAAATATTATGGATAGTGCTTCGTTTTTTTAGTGTCATCGACCACTCCTGACAGTGAGGAAGTTATCGATAAAGATTTAGTTTGGGCAAAATTGCTCAGCTGTAGGAATGCTGGGTAATTTTTATCATAGCTATGTGCTTAATGATCAGACTAGAATATCTCTGAACCAACGTTCTTTGCAATTCTGTTAAGCACCCGCTACTGTATTAACCTGTGAGATTGTAATAACCTCCGCTGCTAAAATATGTTTAGATATTTAATGGGAGCATCATGTGGTGGTAACTCCAAAGATGACGATGAATATATTTATACCAGTGTTGGACTGCAGTCACGTCATGCCTATTCGATACTTGATATAAGAAACGTTGAAGGAAACAAGTATGTTTCATGCTATTGACTGTATTTTTATTATAATATGTAGTATGATTTATATAATATGTAATAAATTATGTCACCGGAAAGTTGTTCTTGTTTCTGTCCCTGCATGTACCGACTACGGACTAACGAATGCTTTATCTCTGACCTTCTATTGTGTAGGCTCCGCTGTACTACCTCGTTTGTTTTAATGGTAGCAATTTAGGTTCCATTACAATAAAACACAAAATTATCTGTCTTTAAGGCTTCTGCGCCTGCGAAATCCATGGGGAAGATTTTCTTGGAAAGGAAATTGGTCTGATATGTCGCCATTATGGACACCAGAATTGCGCGAAGAGTTGATGCCTCATGGTGCTGATGAAGGCTTGTTTTGGATCTCATTCGAAGACATGATGCTGTAAGTTGGAAACAACAGTGAAGTGTGGGGTCACGCAATCTTGTTCTCTTGCTCTCATTAGGCAGTTATCAATATGAAACTGAAACTTGTTTTTTGTTTGTAATTTAAAAATTTTAAATAAATAGGGACATTTTGAACAACTTATGATTCTTATTCGGTAGTTTAGCTGACTTGAGCTCATCAAAAAGAGAGTTGATGAGTCACGAATTAATCAAAGATATCGTATCCCGTTATATTTCAGGAGTTTAGGAGAATCACTTCAGTTTGAAATGGAAACCACGTGCTCATGATTCGTGGGCCAATCGCGTCCTGCGTCTTTTACTAATGAGAACGGGGCTTCTAGGCAAAAAACGTAAGCTTGTTGTATAATATTTTGAAACGGTCTTTGTGTATTTTTCTTACAGATATTTTGACTGCGTAGATGTGTGTAAAACCCGCAATGATTGGACTGAAGCAAGAGTAGCGAGTGTTTTGCCGCCTTTTACAGGAGGATCAAATGAAATTGTTTCAATGGCAGTATTTTCACCAACTGAATTAGATCTTTGTGTTTATCAAAAAACGTCACGGTTAGTCGTAACTTTTGTAAAAAATAGTAAATTCAGCTCTTATCCTGTCACACTTCGAGTAACAATGAATATCATTTTGGTTTGTTTCACACAGGAATCCTTCTACTCAATCGTTGGTAGATTTGTGTATAATTCTGTTCCGTTCCATGCCTAATACATCACATCCAGAGCTTATCTCAATAGTCAGCAACAGCAAAAGAACTGTAAAAGGAAGTGTTTCATTGAGTGTCATCGTTGAAGAAGGTGTATATATTGCAGGTTTGTAAAAATGTTAACCTTCTGCCTATCTTCTGCCTTTCTTTTAAAATGCGGTGTATGACATTGAAATAAATTAGCCTTTCTCACGACGAAATTTGAAAAATTTGAAAGTACCCCAAAACTTCGTCGTGAGAAAGGCTAATTGGATTGTTGATTGAAATTCTATCAACCGTAACACAAATTCGACGAGTAATCGATCATGCAAGAGTGAAAAATAGCTCTAGCCGAGAACTTAATTAAGGTCAATTTAATGCATCATAAATCATATTACAGTTGTTACAGCGTTCAGTCACTGGCGATCTGGTGGAGGAAAACAGGATGTTTCCACGTATCCAAGTTATGTATTAGCAGTTCACAGTTCAAGAGCAGTCATGATTGAACGTTTCCCAATGACCGAATTTTTATTAGCTGATGCTGTCACGTGGATGACAATGAAGAATGGAAAATTACACACGGTATGAATACCAGAGTTGCTGTAAAGAATTTGCACTCAAGAGGCAATGAATGTTAGTAAAAATCAAATGGCTGTAGAGTGCAAACTGCAACCATTTCTTGGAACAACATACAGAATCTATAGGTTAATTATTTTCAACATTACTAAACTAATTGTTCATTTCGTATTTATTTTTTAAGGGCATTCCTGGTATAACTATTTATTATTTAACTCATGACATGGCTGGTCTGTTCGTCGTGGCTGAAAACAAGAGACAAGATATGCATTTGTTAGTTAACTGTGATTGTGGAGGAAGTTTTAATGTTGTTTCCACGCGAGGTTTACTTTGCACCACTGATGTTATACCACCTTGTCACAGGTAGGACACGACAATCGGGTTAATGTCTTCAAGATATTACACTGCTGTTTGCTGACAGTTGGCATGTTGGCATAATTTGCTCTCTATTAATACACCCAACATGTAAAGAGTGTCCTTTGTGATGGAATACAGGGTGTATCGAGAAAACCGCAACCTTATAATAATTCCCAGAGGCCTACGATCTTTTGTTATTGAATAGAAGCGAACATGTATGAATATTAAGCTTATGGTTGCAGTTTTTTTATATACCCTGTAAAAAGCGAATACATAAATATTTTGAGTTGCGTTTTCATACATCCTGTACAATCATGTCAATAGAAATTCAATGCAATACACGAGATGCAAACAAGAACCATGATGAACGAACTATAAACGCATATACATTCTCATATTGTATATACAGTAGAGAGATATTACTATGGATCGTATTCTTTCCACAGGCAAGTTGTGGTAATCTTGACGCAGCTCGAAGGAAGCGATGGTTTCTCGGTTTCACATAAACTGAGCTTTCGAACAATGGTAGATAACGGTGACGGGGACTATGGCGCACAGCATATGCCAGAACTAGGACAGGATCTTATTGGACTTCATTCTCCTCGTCCAATCACATTTAACTTCTGTTAGTCACGAGTTAGCCTGCCTGGTTCTTCGTGAACTGATCATCGTATCTTTGGAATGTCACACACAAATTGCATCCGCTCTGTCGTGAGTCTCTCTAATGAGGTTTGTCGGTGGTGTATTCACAATGACTGCTGGTGCAGTACTTGAAATAACCAAAGTATGGCAACATTCAAGAGAATACATGCAGTTTATTTCTCCCCACAATCCTGGCATTGATCTGTACAGTATTGGTAAAGAATTCAGTCCCAACACCTCTTTCGCGGTGTAATTTTTGACGTGTCATTTTCCACGAAAAGCATCTTCAAAATTTGCTGGCTTTGAGACAATGACTAACACAATTTAAAGTCACTATATCCAAAGAAAACTTCTAAACATTGAAGAATTATAAAATGTTGAGCCAGTCTGTAGATTTGCGAAATATATTTTCGAATGATTATATTCGCAAAAAATAGGTGATATTGACTTTAGTGATCGATATTGGACTAGAACTCAGTGCCCTACAACCATTCAGCTAATATACGTTGCATTTTGGAGCTTACTTGTTTCATTTATTATAAATTCAAAATAGCGTCTGTGTTCAAGTGTGCTATAGCTTGCAAGGGTGCTTGAAATGATCAACATGTGTTGCTGGGTAGTTACACGTAAGACAAATTTCTCTGACAGTAAATTTGACGTGGCAAACCAAATTATTTATCAATCTCGTATCTCATTGGCGAGATAATAAGTTCGTATACCACAGAAGATTTGTGCCGAGAATGCTAAAACTGACTAAAGTTATTGCGAATCCAGGCTGTCAATCGTGCGTTTTGTAGGTAAACCTGCACGAGCTGTTTTTTGACGATTTCAAAAAATCACGAGTGAAATTTTCACGTGTACCTGCAGCTAAAAAGTAAAACGTTTGAACGCTTGTCGGGTATAGATGCATGTTGCGACCTTAGAAAATGTTGATTACTCTCCAGATTCGTTTCATTAGGTGCTTGCAGATAATTTTTTTTAGCAGAATCTTGTTTGCTAGATTTATTTAAAATTTATGACTTTAGCAGTCTATAAATGTTTTCCTTTGCCATGTTGGAGGCGTTTAACGATTATACGACGACGAATCACAACAGAACGCTGGCAATGCATCATGGTCTAAATGGTAAACTAATAAAATGAACGACATAATGGCTGAGGTCTCTAGGGCATTGGCTTGCATTGAAACTGTGCATTGATGTAGTTTTTCTCAAAAGAGCGTCATGTTTGCATGAATATAGACTATAAAATATGTTAGGAGCGTCATAATTTCAGGCATATATACACTGTAGTGAAAACCTCATTAATGCTATTCTATTAATCCTCATTAGGGCATTCCTATTAATGCTATTATATATCCAAGTTTAGTTTTGCGTTGGAGCATTATTTTATCATTGTTTCGTGACATTTTAAAATTTATGCATTAAAGCAATTTTCCCAAAACAGCTGTTCATACTTTCTTGCAAAATCGATTTGAAAAAAAACAAACATCATTTGGCCTTTATAATCTAAAGTAAACAATTTCTGTTGCCCATATATAATTTTCGCATTACAACTTTTTCCTCACTCTTTTACATTTGCGGTAAACATAGAAACAATGGCGTCAACTATATTCAAAGTTTTTCTCTTCGCGTTTCTTACAGGTATTACCGTATTAGCCTAGTATTAATCTCGTTCACCTATAGTTCACCCTCATTTTATTATCGTAGTTACTGGTCACATCAATGTATTTAAATGTTAAGGTTATGTTAAGACGGGATCACAAATTCTTTTTATTGGATAGATTGGATAATCAGCGCTCATGCAGAGGAATACGTAGTTCACATATATACTGCAGATGTACAGTTTGCAGGAACAAATGCGCCTGTGTACGTCAAGTTCTATGGTGAAAATGGCTTAATGCCTGAGACTGAGATTGACACGCCTGGTAATTCATTCGAGAGGAACGCGTGAGTTTTTGCATGTATTCATTATAAGTATGAGTATATTGAGTAATAATGAGCATTTCTTGATCGCTATTTTTGTATAGTTATTAAATGAAAATAGTGTTAAGCATCATATAGGTATTTAAATAATTTTCGGTGTTAAAGGCACGACATCGCCAAATTACGCCATTCTTATCTTGGGGCAATATCGAAAATTGAAGTCAAAAGAGGATCTGCCGACATTTTCGATGATTGGGATCTTGATAGGGTAAGATTATAACAGTTACACAGTTCATGCAGTCCATCTTTATTTTTAAAGAGTAAAAAATGTTAGTAAATTATTGCCGGAAAAGACTGAAGCTAATATAAATAGTTGTGAGTATTCACTCATGCATGGTTCATTTGTTGTAAGGTTTGAGGAAATGATGGAATGGTTATGACTACATTATTTTTTCTCCGTTCTTTTGAAAAATATCGCAATATTGCCACTTCTTTCAGATTGAAATTGAGGATCCACGAAATCATAAAAAATATACATTCGAGTGCAAATGTGAAATTGGTAAAAAAAATAAATGGTACAGTATAAAAGGTAAGAGTTGAAAGAATGGATCTTACTACCAAAGAAGACATTTTTTATGTTCTCGTGGGCATGATTTAGTGTTGGTTAACACATTGTGTACGTGTACCTAATGTATTGTTGATGTTGTTATTCCACCCATATATGTACTTCACTTAAAAAAAACTTTTTTGTGCTGGTATAAATAATTTACCAAGCATGTAGCTGATGAATCTCGTCTTTTAATGCAATTGCATGGGTTTGGCATCGGTAATAGTCGTAATTTGCATGACGAGGTATATGCTATATAAAATAAGAATAATCCGTCATTGGATGCATCCATGGTAATATAGTTAAATGACTGAGGACTTATTTTAGTATACATAAAGAGGAAAGGAGAATCCTTATATGATACAAATTGCATTGTGCTGAAACTATCTGTTTTTAGACTGCATGTCGTAGTAATATATCAGCGTTCATTGACGAGGATATCTATTTTTTCTAGTTAAGAAACCATATGGTTGTAAAACCGGGTATAGCGTTGTCGGCGACAAATGCGAAGGTTGGTATATATATACAATACCAAAGGTTTTTAAATACTTGGACGATTCAATTTACATAATATATTTTCCTTCCTGGCTTTGACCAATTTTCCCACAATATTCATCTTTGCTATAATCAAATTAAAAGGAAATTCCACCTGCATGCACAACGCACAACGCACACGCCATATTTGGGGATTGTGTTAATGAATATATATCAGGGTCGAAAATCGACGTCCTCCGGAAGAATTGTCTGTGCATGTTGAAAGCCTTTAAAACCTACGAGGGCTATCTGCTTTGAGCCTTTGAAGTAACCCTTTATGTGCTGATCCATGAAGGCAATCGTACAGTGAATCAGTGAAATTCACTTAAATCCACTTGAAACCATTAAAACACATTGTGTTAATTTTGAGTTAATGTTTACTCGTGTGTATAATAGCTAACTTCACTGGAACGGTTCATTTTTGCAAATGTAACTAGATGTTCTAAGGTGTGTAGTTTGTTTATATACCCTGAAATATAATAAAAGTATCATAAATCATTGAACATCATGTAGGTCCTGTTGTTTTTCTTAGATGTAGATGAATGCCAGAAAAGTGGTGCATGCAGTGATCGCAAGGCATTGTGTACTAATACCATAGGAAGCTTTCACTGCCGTAGTTGTAAAGATGGTTATACTTTTAAAGATGGCAGTTGTAAAGGTATGATCTGGCTAAGCCCAAATAATTATAAACGAATCAGCAGAGATCAACGTACATTATGATCCAACAGACATTCTGGTATATTCATTGTTTTTAACTTAGGACATCCGCTTTATATGGACTGTATTTCAGTCATTGTCGGTACTTAACTAACATATGTAGCTCGTGACTCGTGAGACTGAAACTTGAAATAGATTTCATTAACCGATGGGGCGGGTGGTTTTAAGTTGAAACAATGAGGGTGAGCCGTAAAATTACCAAAAAATATACTACTCTGTATTAAAATAAAGTTTCTTATTGTTGCAAATTCAGGTGACAGAAGATTCTCTGTCACTTTTCAGGCGCGTGAAAATTTCGCAGCCAACTTGGCTTTGCACTAATTTTAGTATGCTCTTTCTAGCTGTGGTAATTCATTTTCTTCTTGTTACTTGGATCAAAAACTAGTCTAAAGCGCAAGTCGTCCATTAGCCCTCCCGTGCACGATATAATTATACGAGATCTTAATTTATCATGCCCGATGACGATGTTGTGTGCATATTTTGATATTGGAGAATTCATCTTCTCTCTGCTTCCTGTTAAGATGTCAACGAGTGCTTCAGTGGTGAAAGCAAATGTAAACAAAAGTGTATAAATACAGAGGGAAGTTATGAGTGCAGGTGTAGGCAGGGTCACACCTTGAAAGACAAGTACTATTGCCCAGGTAATTCATAAACATATTTTTCTGACCGATATATTATTAAGGTCATTTTTAACCTTGCATGTGTGCAAGAGTGGAATGTTATTAGTCGTTTTCAACCACTGAAAAATGACTTTGATCAAGTTTGCAAAACCGTTTCTAGACGAGTACGATTTTCCCCTGAAATTTCTGAAATAACTCTCTCACACAAAAGGCATCATACCAGAACACGCCTCACAACTGGCAATAAAGAACTTGTGTTATATCAATGCAATATAATACTTTTATTGATCTATTTTAAATACTCTTACGTTATAGATATTGATGAATGCAAAACCGGATCACACAATTGTAGACACCCAGCAAAATGTGTTAATGATTTTGGAAGTTATACATGTGAATGTCCGAGTGGATACGAGAGAGATCCTACGGATAAATATAGCTGTAGAAGTAAGCAAATTCTGTCTTCATCTCAAATGACCTTCCTCCGTTCCTCGCATGCATTTTCTGCCCACTAATATAATCTATAAAAAGGTGGTAAAGCGGGCTTTCTTGAGAAGACATTCGCGCTTAAGATTTTAGTGTTCAGGTTATTGGCACGAAAGGCGATGAAAGTTCACCTATATATAGGAGGAAAAGGTTTTAGATTGGAAAAAATCTTGTTTTGGGGTGTTAGGCTGACCTGATCGAGAGACTGCACGGGTTGTTGATAGGTTTCTGACGGAGAGTCTGTTTTTTTAAATCTGTTTTCTATATTCTTATAGCATTATGAAAAGATATATTTCATTTTCAGACAAGGACGAGTGTTCAAGTGTCCATGCATGTGACTATAAAACAAGTATAAAATGTACAGATCTCACACCGGGATATAGATGTGAATGCAAACCAGGTTTCTATAATGAGAAGGACAATGTTTGTAAAGGTATTTTACTTTTATAACTTCATTAGGGGGTTCTCATATTGCTAACCTAGCTGTATCCTTCAGAACTTTGTATGGCTTAATAAATATGGCTTGCATCAAGTAAAGCTAACAGTTGCATGTGCATGGAAGAAATCAAAATTAAACAATCATATGGGCTCTTATGGCCATGCAACGCCATGGCTACTACATATACCGTCTATACGAGTCAGTATACCATGGTGTTGAATTCAATGAATTGTACTCGTGAAAATATTTACAAATTACAGCTTTGATGATAAAATTGAAATTTTCTTCTAGATATTAATGAATGTCAAGGGGGCCACTCATGTGATATTGGAAAGTCTGAATGTGTGAATTTGGAAGGAACTTATCGCTGCAAGTGTTTACCAGGATATATATCATCAGTCGACGGAAAGAGTTGTGTTCGTAAGTTCTATGCACATGCGCACATATAGATTTATAGAGATTTCTGAAGAAGTAGCTATATAGCGTTTAACTATACTCCCTTAAAAAATTCCTAGCACGAAAATGTGGCCCGGTTGCGATACCCAATGGCGCCGCTGTCCGTGAATCCAGATGCACGCAGCAAAATGCAAACGATTTTATGCAGAAGTGTTCGTTTTATTGTTTGGCCGGTTATCAAATAACTGATCCACTTCATACCCAGCTTACATGTGATTCGAATGGTTTATGGAAAGGAACTCCGCCTACGTGCAAACGTAAGTACTTCATTGGTATGAGCCAGCCAACCTCCTGGTATTACGATATTCTTGATAATTACTCACTCATATCTGTCAAAATTCCACCCAGAATTGAATTGTGTCGCTAACCCTAAATGTTTTCTTTGGAATATTTTAGCCGTTACATGTCAGCCACTTCAGGTTCCAGCCAATGGCAGGATCAGACCGATTTCGTGTTCATCTGGTGCTACATACAACCAAACCTGCACCTTTATCTGTAATGATGGTTATAACATACGTGGTGAAAAACACATCAGGTGTTTGGCGGACAGAACATGGAGTAATTCTGCACCCTCGTGTGACAAAGGTATATTACAACCTACTATTGTATACTCCTTGGTTGGACAGACCTATATACAATCAATGTTTATAAAAATTTGAAACAAAACCAAACTTTAAAAGACATCTTAAAACACCGTCAACAGTCATGCTCTCTCTATTTGACTTTGTATTTTCTTTGATCAACTTAATTCAATAGTTTTCGTACTCTTTTATAGTTGTTGGTGATTTATGGATAACTTGCCCTGCCAGCATATATGTTGATTTAAAATCAGGTGAAAGTTCTGCTGATATAAGCAGTCTCTGGAAAAGTCCTCAAACTTCGAATGGGGCTAAATATCTTACATCATCACACAAAAAAACCGATCGTTTTCCTGCCGGAACCAGTTTTGTAACATGGTCGGTCTCAAACGACAACGTCCACTTTAAAACATGCACAGTCGCAGTAAATGTAGAAGGTACGTATATAGATACTTATATTTTGTGTTTTTTTTCACTGGGAATTGTAAATAATGTCAAGTGATCATCAAACAAAATCTGAATATTTCACGTCGAGCACCACGATTTTGGAAGCAAATGTTCCTGGGATGAAAATACCAAGTAGCCTACAGATTTTTGTACTACTTTTAGCCTGTATCCCGTTACTTCAGGTTTTGTAGTATGGTAACAATACCTATGTGTTAATAGGGCCACCTGTATATATGTTTAGGGAACTTGAAACTCGCCATAATTAAAGTGTTTAAATTTCTATACAGATAAGGAATTGCCTGCCGCTGTAAATTGTCCAAAACATGATATATTCATCACAACAAAAAGTGACAAAGAAATAGTAAAACTGCCCAATGTCCAGTTCACTGATAACGTTGCTGTCAAGAGCATCGACTATTCACATCCCAATCCTGTTGAAATCAAGACAGGTCTCCATAAAACTATTGTTGTAACTGCCAGAGACGATGCAGGGAACATGGCGTATTGCAGATTTGGCGTGCATGTAGATGGTAAGTTTGAATAATGACAGTTGTGGAAAGCATGACTTATACAAAGTTTTGTTTGACTAACGGCCTGCTTAAAGTCACTGATGTACATCCAAATTAGAAGATGGAAGCTTCCTTAAAGATCAAACTAGGGTCACTGTAAAATCCCAAAAAATAAGGCTCTATATTGACACTGATATATTGACATGCATGCATTAAACAAAATTTTTTCAACGGTACCTGTATAATAACGACAGTGAAAACGGAGCTATATTACAAGCTTCAAGATTAATATGATTCAAAATTTTGTAGCTCCTGTTTGTGGAAAGATTGACGCTCCAGTAAACGGTTCCAGAGCTTGTCAAGAATTCCCATACATCTATTGTGCGATACAGTGCGTTGGTACGAAAGTTATCTTTAATGCTACTGGTAAATTCGGTTATCGCATGTGGACATGTGAAAATTATGAATGGGTGCCAACGAAAACGGTTCCTGATTGTGTCGGTGAGTATGCTTACTGTTTTTGGAAGGTATTTGATTTCGACCATGAAATATTCTTCCGGTGTGATTCTGAGAAGAATATTTTTGGCATTGTAGCTCGCAGTTTGCTCAGTGTGCAAGGGAACTCTTCTCTGCACCGGGAAGCCATTCACATCTGATGTAGCCGATTGCCTGGAGCCGCAATAGCTCAGCTTACGGTTTATCTAATTTTAGATTATGTTCACTCAAATGGATCACCGTGTCCCAGTGGAAAAGTTATGATTACAACCACTTCACCACAAAATCCAGCAATGCCCGTGACAGTTTGCGGTATGTTCAGATGGCAAAAAATGGGGCGATGCCCCAAACAGTTCTAATGAAACATCAAAAATTTTCTTGAAACCGCCTCTGCTGCATTATGCTGATGCACCCCTAATGATCCGTTGTTGCTACAGGACAATTAAAGAATAAGGAATGATAACGAGGAATTAATGAAACGATACTTGGATTGATACAAATTGAAAAAATATTCTCATCCAAAAACGTTTACGAAAATTATTCATGCTCATTCCTTATATAACTTATACCGTAATTTTTTAACTTTATTATTTTGCAGGCGATTGTCCGACCGGAACATACTACGAAAACAAGGAGTGTAAACTCTGTCCTGCAGGGACCTATCAGCATATCACTGGACAATCTGGGCCAGCGTCTTGCACAAGATGTCCCTACGGTACTTCATCTAAACCAGGCTCTAAACGATTTGAGGGATGTAAAGGTAATTCTGAAAACGTACAGTATATAGTTGAAAACATTGTAACATTATAAAGTGGGAATTTAATACACTCCGATAATTTCATCATCCACGGGAAAAATTCCAATTAAAAGCTCCCATGCCAAATGATGTGATTAATTGCCGAAAAGGTGCATGTCCCTTTATTTAAACATCTATGAATTATGCTAATAAAAATTCCCTAAAACATATTATACATCTTTCACTCATTAAATGTGTCCATATTTCAGCCATATGTGCTCCAGGTTATTTCTCGGCAGATGGATTTCTTCCTTGTGAGTTATGTAAACTTGGCGAATATCAATCTAATTCTGGATCTATATCCTGCAAGCGCTGTCCAAGGGATCGCAGCTGCACTCGAAATCAGGGGGCTGCGTCTTTACAGAAATGTGGTCGTAAGTACAGAATACAAAAAAAGTTACTCGTATAATTTTCAGCTCATTTTTTCAATTGTGAGAATATTTCTTTTAGCCTGTCCATCAATCAGTCGTATTGAGCCAAGTGGAAATGTAAAACGTATTCGTGGTTCGTTGCTCGAGATTTTCTGCTATGTGGATCAAACCACGTCTGGGGTTTACAATGTGAGATGGGCATTCAACCTGGATAGACCTGGTAAGTTCATTCGACATTCTTGAAGGCTTTTTATTTCTGTTCCTGATGGTAACACTGCAGAATGATCCCGCTGCGGACAAAAAAATACAAAATAAGACGTTCCATATACGTACATGGTGGCTTTTTATGCCAGGGCGGTTGTATAAAACTCTTAAATAGATTTTTTGTAGTTAAATAGAAGTTATATCTAAATTGCCCGATTCTGATTGGCTATTCTGCTATTATAACTGTATATAATTAAAAGCTAACTACATTTTTGTAAAACCAGCCTATGTAGTTGTTGGCAATCGTTTGCAAACATATGCAGAGTTAGTATTGTTATAATGTTTATCTTGTCTTGAGTATCTTCTTATGCCTGACTGTTTTATAGGTCAAACCATAGGTAGCAAAGTTTACCAGAAGAAACTCAGAGATGCTAACGGGAAACAGATAGGTCTTAGATTGTCTGTGCGTGATCTGCAAGCCTCAGCTAGTTTTGAATGTGTTCTGGAGAATACGTATTCAATAGTGAAGAAAGCAGTTCATGTAACAGTGATTGACGCCAATGGCAATGGAGCAGCTGGATCAGGTGGAGGTATGAATGTATTGTATATTGAACAGTTTGAATCAAAACGGATCCTTGAGCGTTTTTTGTTCCTTTTTAGGCATACTTAATGACGAGATGCTCTATGAAAAGGAGTTGATAGAAATTTGAGATATGTTTCTTAACTCGTGAATCTTCTCTCACGTATGTGGCATATTCTATTTAAGTATACTTAATAAAGTCATAACAATATTATTATTTTGTGTTCTTGGTTATTGAATGCTTGCACTCACATCTCAAATGCAAGTTAATTGGAGAAGTCTATTTCTAAGTATTAAGATGGAGAAACTTTCAACAACTGCACCAAATGACCGTGAATTAAAGGTTATAAAAGGTATTATTTTAATTTCTCACATATAGTGTTCGAAACATAATAATTTAGCGCCTGCATGTACAGGGTGAGTAAAAAGCTGTTGCCTATTCATATGCAAATTTATCGCATACCATTGACTGATTGACAGATATTGCCACTTTATATAGTATAGCTAGTATATATGGAAGAGGCTTTTGAAAAAAATATTCAGTGATCATGAACATGCATCTTCATAAACAAAAGAAGACTGCGAATGTTTCTCGAAAAAATTAACTAGTATACGCCTTCACTTTTATTTTTACTTATATATAAATATAGGTTCCATTTCACGTTGCGCTCTCCACTATGAAATAAAAAAATCCTTACAGTAATGTTGTAAGAACAACTACACTGAATTGATAATGAAAATGACCATGCATGAATGAAAATATTCAAAAAGGTTAAATCAGCTTATATTTAACTGCGCGATTGACCGATTGTAGTCAACATGCATGCATGGGCATATCAGTTTAAATTACAATATACATTAGTTTCCACTGCCCACCATTTTCCTGTCAAAATATTTTAATGATGCACCGACTTATAGCAGCACTGCGAAAGTCTCGTATTCATATTGTCCCAGTTTTTTGTTAAAAAACTATTTTTTATTCACGTCCACGCATCTGTAAGGATGCTGATAGATTACTCTTGTTTCCTGTATACATTTGCTATTGAAATTCCATGATATAATTGCGCTTCGCGCTAAATCATCAAGGAACTTAAAATGGATGTGTTAAACGGCTGAATTTAATGACTACTTAGCGTTAATAATGAAATAATTGAACAGTTTTACCGAATTAAAAGGAAATAATTTAAAACCCGCCCAAACTCGTAACTTTTGAGATGACCTCAAACGGAGATTGAAGACGTATGAATATAAAGTAAACGTTTAAAGACAGAAAGAGTTTCATCATCTTAAATGTAATGCGATTGAGGTAAGAGAATTGCTTTTAAAAAATTTATTTAAACGTTAGTCGTTGACATGTATCACAATAAACACCAGATTTTACACGAGTCGGTACGAATCCAGGACCGGTCTATGTTAATGAAATGATTATATAATATGTTCGTTCGTAGTTATATGGAGGTAACGGCGACATATCTTGGCGCCTTCTTGAAACACAAACCTTGATGATCGAACATTATAATTTTATATCCATGCATCAATTCTCATAGCTTTGTGCATGCGTGTTACAATACTAGCTATTATTTGAATGTATGCGATTTTAGATCTTTTAGAAAAATCTACTAAACGGACCCTAAAAAGTGAGAAAAAAGCAAACTAGGAGAATCGTGACAAGTTTTTCAAGATACGTGCAAAAAAAACTAATAACGGGGTTCAACATAAGCAAACTTACCAGTTTTAATTCGCGTTAATGCTACAATCATGCAATCAAAGGCAAAATAAACGAGACACGACATGCTCTTACACCTTGTTTCAATGTTGGTGGGTGATGGTTTTCACTATGGGAGGCGTTAGTTAACTTTAACTTTACAAATGCAAGATTGATATAGGGGAAAGGGGATAAACACTGAAAACCAGCCCAAAACCAACTGATTGTGGGTTGGTTATTAAAAAGGCGTATAACCAGGGTTGTTTGGGATGAAATTACTCGGGTTTCGTGTGAGTGAAAGAACTATATCCGTGAATCTTGAACTGGACCAAAAAATCCTTTTTCTATATACATACGCGTTTCTTCATTTTCCCTAATTTTTCACTTGTTTAGTGCTTAGTGAATCAGAATATGACTTTACTGATATATCTGCTGTTCCTACAACTTCTTAAAGCCACAGGTCAGTCAATATGTAGTTCATCTGCATATGAGTTGCCAGGAATGTCTAATCGTTAGTGTAGTCAACTTCCTTCATGGAAACTACGTATAACGCCTTAACTGGTCTGTCTGTGGTCAGAAGAGTGCACCAGCAACAGGCAAGGTACATAGGACAAAAGTGCCTATATAATTGCTGAATTGACTTAGCTAGGTCTTGAACCCTCTGATATAACTGCGGGTATGTTTTAAAATACCTTATAGGTACCTGCATATACGTTTTATCTGTTCCGAATTCTAAAATATTTTTCCCTTTTTATCTTCTATAGAGACTATGGAAGGCCGTGATAAAATAAAGGTAACTTAAGTTACTCAGTTAACTATTTAATAGCCGCGCCGTAATGTGCAAGTTCTTTAAAATAATATTCGATGTTATTTTAACGTGTTCTTGCATGAAAAAGTAATAATTTGTGCCTGCGTGTGTGCCTGCTCATGCGCATGCCCCGTCCTGTTCAACATATATATACCTATGCATACCTTTCAACAGATTAATAATCAAGACATGACTGAAATGGAATTTCAAGCGTACTTTGGTGAAGTACCTGAAAATCAAGGTAATGAAGATAAGTATTTCAGGCTTTTAAACCAATATAATGCATTTAAAGTCCACATAATTATAGAAACCAGGAGCGTCTAAATATCAAGGCACCAGGAGCGGACAAATGATATGGATTATAGGGGATAATTGGCCCCTGACTCCGAGTTTGTAGCCCCCTGTCCCAGGTTTAAGTGGATAACTTTATGACATGGAGAATATAGACATTATCATATTATGTCAATTATTTTGGTAGTTCACGTTTTAAAATATATTACCGACTTTGCACTATAATTTCAGATTACGAAGTGTCATACCTGACTCCTGTGGACGGACGCGGTGAAGAAGTTTCCAGGAAACGAGTCATAAGAGATACATCGGATGAAAAACAAATATTTTATAACATTTCTGTGCTTGGCTTTACTTTTCATTTAAATTTAACACTGAATGGACAGTTATTAGCACCAAACTTTTATATTGAAACAAAGCATAGCAATGGATCAATAACAAAGTCACCTCCAGCTCATAGAAACTTTTACCATGGACATGTGACCTCCTACCAAGATTCTAAAGTTGCTTTGAGTGGAAAAGATAAATTGGTAAGTAAATAAATTAAGGTAGATAAATTGACCTACGCTGTGTGTAAATCTCACAACTCAGGCTAGTGTCGGTGATGGATTCAAATTCGTATAAATAGATGAACTATGTGGATGCCCGTGTTTACACACAGACGAACTAGAGGACGAACTATCTTTTGCTTACCCAAGTTCGTCTAGACGGATGATCTGGATGATCTTTCTCTTCTATAAAACGGGCATTATTTACATCTTTATCCATATACTATGCTTATATCTAACTCTTCTTTAACAGAGAGGTGCAATTGTAATATCAGACGATCATTTGTTCGAAGTTCATCCTCTTCCTGATCATTTGTCAAAGGATAGCGAGAAAGAAAATTTGCCGCATTTAGTTATAAAAAGATCTTTTGCAGCTTCGAAGCCAATCTTCTTTGATGTGGATTTCAGTGATAATGGTAGGGTCAACTGTTGTGGAAACTGAACAGTTATAATAAAATTATAATTATCTCTCTATCACTATCTCATTATCTCCTTGTTGAAAAAAAGCCTCAAAGATACAGTCTGCATGATATATATTGTAGTGGCCACTGTGTCATCAGTGCAACTGATGTCACCATGCAAACATACAAGAATATAAACTTTACATTACTGCATGGTTATAATTCATTTAGGCTGGAATGAAACTTACACAGGGAAGAGAGGAACAGACAAAAGGGAATTAGACGGTCAAATTCATAAAAAAACTAAATTTTTAGAAGTGATTTACGTAGCTGACCAGAATGCTGTAGATTTTTATGGGTTGAATGACTTACCTGAAGTGTTGCTATCTATTGGGAATATTGTAAGGATGTTTCCTGCATGATCAGGGTATCACTTTTTAATGATATATTTATATGTTTGGGCTTTTTCACTCTCTCCAGGTTTCACAGTTAATCTATGGAATTAGTTACAACGATCCTAACGTTATTTACATCATTAACAGAATATGTCTTGTGAATGATAAAACGGTATTGTATGTTTCGACTTATTGAATAGTCTGTAGCTGAAGAAGACGCACATTTTATACCTCGCAAAAAAACTTTCAGTAACACGTCGTGCATGAATACATTTTTGGCCAGGAATCCTTATGCACATCCTCATGCACTCTCACTGAAAAAGACGAGATTGACAACACCGTGAAAGTGTTGAAACAAAATAAATTTTCTTTTTTCCTATTCCAGTTGTCTTCCGCGAAAAGTGCAAGCATGTTACATAAACTACATGCAATAACAGACTGGGCGTTAGTCAATAATATTGCGGCCGACAGCAACACAAACCAGGCTGATCAAACAGTGTTGTTCACCAGGTAAGTGTATTCAGTCATTTCGGTATTTTATTTAGTCTTTTACAATTTCTAGACGAATTTCCAGACCAGACACGTTGTGAGTAGTGTGCAGTTTGATAATTTCGCGAACCCTTATTGATATGTGAATGGAAATTTATATTAAGAATGATCTGAAAAGAATGGAAATTTATGTTATCATCGTATAACGCTTGTGGATTAATTTTTATACACACTAGAGCTTTCGCGTTTTTATATAGTTGTTGTTCAGTTATATTTTTTTGTTCTTCTTTAGGCACAACGGAGGAGGTAAGTAAACCATCAACCATGCATAAAATTATGCACACTCTCACCCTCCTTGTCATGTGTATGACTGCATTGCAGCTACAGTATATTTTTACATTTTTCTCAGGAATTGCCACCCTGGGAGTTCTTTGTCGACGACATGATGCAAGTGCGGTCGTCTCGCTTCAAGGATTAAGTTCATCCTTTGTTTGCGCTCATGAAATTGGTCACAGGTGGGAAGAACATTAATTAGGTTTAAGCTGCGCATGCGCACATATCACAACTTTTACATATTGCGATTTATTGATTCAGAAGGGTTTGGGTACTAAAAGTAAACTGATACACTCTTCTGTGTGATTGTAGTTTGGGATATGGTCACGATGGTTATGGAAAGAACCAAAACTGTCCCGATGGTGTTAACATAATGTCAAGGTACACGCCTGGTGGTCCAGGTGCCTGTAAATGGTCAAGCTGTACAAAAAGATATGCTGCAAATTTCTTGAGGCAAGTTGAATTCTGTCGTTACTCGTTAGTCTGCGCGCAGACGTAAACTCCATAGTAATTGCTCCTGAGTACTGAATGTGCTCCCAACACGTAATTGAAAAGGATGCGACTAAGATAATTAGAATCGATTAAGATCATTTGGTCATCAAGAAAACGCTGATACGGACTTACAGACTTGAAAATAAGAGGCGCGTTTTTTTGTGTCCGTCTACATGTTTAATTCACAGCTACTTTTGAATGGCTCTTCGGGATACTATAGGAACGGATTTGAAATTAAATACGATGCCCGTGAATCCATCATTATGTTTTTATAGGTCTGATCGTTCTCATTGTCTTGACAACTTGTCTACACTTCAAGGACCAACGCAATCGCCATTTCTTCACGCTAAATTACCCGGCGAGGTTTTCAACGCTGATGAACAATGCGAAATGATATTTGGTACTGGAACGAAACAGTGTCGAACCAAGAAAGTAAAAAGCTATTCGGCTTCATCTGCAATATTCAATAATCAATACAGTCCGTGACTCATGTTTTATTACGCAATTTATCAATGCCACTTTTTTAGTTTTGAGAAGCAAATTAATTTGATCCAGTTATAAGATTCTTGAGGATTACTTGGCGGCAGTGCATTTTTTTGTCCTTAGTTTCAGTCAAAATTCTCTCTCAAAGAACCAAGAATTTTTGTCGCGTTACTGAATCGATTAACAAGACCCTAAATATACGAGGTTGTTAAACGGTAAAATGTTCTTCTTGAAAATTTATTTTAGAACATTTGTTCCTCATTGTACTGTGCAAAAAGCAGCTACTCGTGTTCCTATATTCTCTCCCCGCCTGCAGATGGTACAAGATGTGGAGAAAGAGAAGTAAGAACGCTGTGTTAGATAAACATAATTTACATATACAAAACAGTCAGGTGCCTGGAACAATGATTAAGATCATGATATATACATCTAGGAAAATGAGATGGATTTTACATCAACCTTTAGAAAATTTCTACGCGACGATTTCTACTTCATTCGTGACGATTGTTGAAAATTCTGAACACAGTTCAGAAAGTTTAAAATCTAGTATAGGGCATCCCCCGCTGGATTTTGGGCACCCTACCAGAGCAAAATTTGAAATTCCGTCCTTGGGTAAAGTATATGCATTTAGAGGCATAAAACTTATGAAACCGTTTATGTTTTTGTTGGGATTTGGGATAGTTAATTTATCGCATGTTAATTAAGCGAAAATCGACTGAATATCATTACTTGAACTTTTTTTAAAGTGGTGTATCCATGGTGAATGTGTTGATGATGGTTCTCCTAGGATCAATGGTAACTGGGGTGAATGGTCTACGTATTCACCATGTACAAGATCTTGTGGCGGCGGAACTCAACACAGAACGAGACAATGTGACAATCCAAGGTATATGCGCGTTATTTTAAAGTTGCTTCTTTAAAAAGATGTGAATTCAGTTTTATAACTAAATATTAAAAACATTTTAGCCCAGCCAACGGTGGGATGAAATGCATTGGATCACATCTAAGCCGACATGTTTTGTGCAACCAAAAGGTATGCCATTTTAACGCTAAATTATACTACAATAATAATTTTAATTTCAATATAATGATCTATGATGGAGATAATAAATTAAGAGAGATTAAACCAGCAGGGAATCTGCACGCGTTAACTTAATCACAAATCGTCTTCTTTACAGCCTTGTCCTAAAGGGCAACCATCGTATAGACATCTCCAGTGTCAGAAGGCAGGATACTCGAAGTCTCATTATTTATCAAAACGAGGTGACTTGGCGAATATATTAATTTGAACTCTAACGACTTGGCATGTATGGATGCATAAATGTTTCGCCATTTTTTATAACACATCATAAATAACTTTTCAGCTTGTTCGTTGTGGTGTGAGAAAAGCGGGGGAATCTTTTACCTCGGGCGCGTAAAAGATTCAACACCTTGTACGGAGAATCCATATGACAATGATGTTTGCATTAGTGGAAGATGTCAGGTATAATAGTTTTTTTAAACTAAAAAGTTTTTTCCAAGGAACCCCACAAGCAAGCAGAAATATTATAGGTGTACACGACGTTTTTCACTTTACATATTCGTGCCATACAGCTACTGTATATAGGTGCAGGCTCAATTTTTATGAAATTGCTTAACACACGAGAAGAAGAAAAACTCTTACCATGGGGGAACCGGGTCCTTCTCTAACCTCCCCCTCGCCAGCAATGTTAAGGCAGTGGGACGTAATTTCAGTTTGGAATACTATCATAATCTTATTATATTATTGACATTATTTTGTTGTTGATTAATTACTTTAGCATTTTGGTTGCGATTCAATTTTCAATTCAGAGAAAGAGAACGATCGCTGTGGTATATGTGACGGCGGTGGGAACACTTGTGCTAAACGCGAAATGCATTTTAAAAAGAGATTGGAATGGGTATTTGGTAAGTATATACATACCCACTTATTTAATATTTGTTCGGAAAATCGCGTCTTGCCGACGTATTTCAAATGAGAAACATAAACAAAAGAAGGAAATTCCGAAAAATATACACCTATTTATTATAAGCATGGCTATATATTCAAGATCCCGTATTCTGATTGGTTGACGAGCGGTCCATAAGAACCCATATCCGGACCGTGGTCTGAATATTCCGTATCTAGACCAGTATCCCGGATGTCTGAATGCACTTCAACCATATAATAATAAACAGATTATTATTGACCTCGCTTGGTCGGTCTGTACAGTGAAATATCAGACCGAGGTTTCTTGCATAAAACTACGTATAAAAAGCCTCGGTCTGATATTTCATTGTACAGACCTCACGCTCGGTCAATAATGAATAATCAGTTAATAAAGCTAGCTGTCTTAAAGTCAACTGACAATGTATGAATAAAAGAATAAGACATTTTATTGTGTGATACGCCTTTCCTGTTTGACATGTCATTAGTTGGTTCCAATAATTCCACAGGGAAAACTATAATTTAAACTAAATTATAGTTTATAATTTCAATTTAATTCGTGCTTGTGTATTAGGTATAGAGTAACAACCTCGCATCGAAATGGGATACAATACAAACAAGGACGTTTGCAAATGGGCTACGAAATGGAATAGATTCAATAATAAATGAGAATTTTTTTTTGACTTCTTAGGCACTTCCCATCCTTACTTTGTGATCATACTTAAGAAGGGTTTTTCGAATATTATTGTAAAAGAGACGGTAGCAACTTGGAATTGGATTGGTTAGTGATATTTATGGGATATTTTTAGGCATTTCAAATTCACATGTATAAACTATTGTCTCGATATACTTTAAACCTGATAATCAATATTTTGAAAGTACAGATGAGGAATGTTTCATGAGGTATGTTTCGATTTTTTTTAAAAATAAGTTTTGTCTTCCATGCAGGCGTACGAAATATGAAGGGTGAATATTTGATTCGACTCCCAACATATTCAAAGACGATTTATAAAGCTGGCACAAAAATTTCCTATATTCAGAAATCATTTGTGTTTAAAGATGAGATCATTATTACAGGTCTATTACAAGAGGAGCTTGAAATTGTGGTAAATTAATATTAAGCATATTAATTCTCTTTAATTAAGATAAATGCGATAATTTACCTACAAAAACACGAGCGCGAAAGTGATCGAATGAAAAGTCACAACTGTTTTTTGTTAGTATGTGCGAAACTATGAACCCTATCAAGACTTAAGCGTAAGTTTCTTCGAACCAGTTGACAATCCAGGGAAGCCATCTCCACGTTCTTTCACTTGGATGGAATACAGATGGTCAGAGTGTTCTCAGAATTGTGGCGGAGGTAATGTGATTATTATCTCTCAGCTTGTGCGTTTTCTACCGTATATTCTTCTCATAGTTCATGAATTCTGTAGTTGATGTCTTGTTTCAGGATTTAAATCAAGAAAAGTAAAATGCCATCGTAAAGATGATATGACTACTGCGGGGGATAGATTTTGTAGTGTAACGTCCAAACCAGATGAAAAATAGAGAGGATTGTCGTTACACACCCTGTTCTGCAGAGTTAGTATTGATATTTACTGATCAACCTAGAGTGTTGCAATGTAATTACAGGGGCGTTAATTAATCGAATTAATTAATATTAATTAATTAATTAGCTTTAACATTAATTTACCATAGAAGTGGGCGTTACCAAAGGCTTGTATACCACCATTTTGCTCAAATATTTTTTGTGAAATTGAAGTAATTATAATATAGGTAGAAAATATTTGCTGTAAGTTAAAAAACAAAAATTTCCGATGGGAATTTACAATTATTTTTGGCTTCTATAGCCGCGGTAGCCTCGCTTATACGGCAAAATAGTAAGGGAGAAATTAGAAGTCTAAAACGTGAAATGTTTATAGTATAATTTTGGCACTTTTATTAGAATTACCATTGTTCAGTTAAATAAATATCTTTCTATTTTCTTAGATGGTTGATAACAGAATGGAAACCGTGTTCTAAAACATGCGGGAATGGGACCCAAACAAGAGAAATCATTTGCCGTAGAAGGGAAAGGGATTCTTGGATTATAGAAGATGATTCAGCGTGTGTTAAACAAAGGCCTCGTGAAACAATTCTTAAACGTCGTTGTAATGAAATTATGTGTAATCCTGAGTATGTCCCACTATCCTGGTCTGAGGTATTTCAATCACCTTTATTTGTTACAACAAGCCCAAATATGAATGTTAAAGTTCGTATATGACTATAGTTTGCATGAGTTTATATTATATATAAAACGTAATCTTATCTATTCAAATGTTCAATAATTTCAATTCATGTTAGATTTATGTTTACATCGTTTGGCACGTTCGACCATGATTGTATAGTTCGGCTTTGACTGCATGCTCCAATCACTATTAAAGAAAAGATAGGGCAATGCCATATGTTGTTTGTTTTTCGTACTTACTATCTTGGGGCCGGTTGTATCAAGCCCGCGTTTAGCCTAGACGGCGGATAAGTCAAAATTAAATAATACTCTTACATCTCTCTGAATGAGTCAACTTGAATATTATGTGCACTGAATATATGTAGTTGTAAACATTATCGTTGTATTAAGGTTAAAAACATTTAGTTCGCTTGCTGAATAAAACGACAGACTTGCTTACTATTTTGAACCTAACCACCGTTTAAGCTAAACGGGCAAGTGATACAACCGGTTCTTGATGTATATTGCCTTCTTAACCAGTGCTCAAAATCATGTGGTGGAGGCTCGTCCACAAGAGAACTGAGATGCCGGATCATTAACGAGAAAGGGATCAGTGAACTTTATCAAAATGAAGTGTGTAAACGAAAGGGTTCACCAAAACCATCAATTAAACGAAGATGTAATCACGATAAGCCTTGTCAAGGTCAGTTTAGGCTTTAGCATTTTTGTATCTATATGACTGAAATATAAAGTTGTCAGCGAGGTATGAAAATTGGCCTATAATCGTCCGCAGTCCGGGATGCAAAAAAAAAGTCCAGAGTTTAGTGGTTAACCGTTATTATTATGGTGATTTTGATTTATATTTATATTTAGATAAAGCTCTGAATTATATTTTGGAGGGATGTTTTCACGACTCAAAAGAATTCCGCCTTCTACCTGTAACGCTTGCAAATCTTCGTTCAAAAATTGACTGGAGAAATCCCAGTGCAACAGTTGCCGAATGTGCCAAACTTGCATCAAAAGTAGGGAAAAAGTTCTTTGGTATCCAGTTTTACGGTGAATGTCGTTCATGCAATGATGAAAATTGTGACTATAAACAGCTCGGTAAATCGTATAATTTTTGGGCCGGGCTGGGAGGATCCTGGACAAATTGCGTTTATAAGTTCTTGTAATTTCTGTACTTTATATATGCACTATATAATTATGCAGTGAATATGCATATACACTCCAAATCGCAACTCATGCAAAATGCATGCCGGGGGATAAATATATGGTAATAATAATTATTACAGGCTGTGTGCATGTGCATATATGTGTTCAATGAATTGATTTAATATGGTGTGATTTTCAATTAATATTCAAATCAGTAGAATAAAATATTATTTATTATAAGCATTTAGAATCGGATTCCACGATAAAAGAGCATGCGGTGATAAACTTTATACCGAAGTATTATTTATTACGTCAATAGTAATTCCTTATCACAGATTATGATACAAGGGAATAAAGGGATGTGCGGCACATCATATGTAATAATTTCCAGTATTGCCACTGTAACTATTTAACTTCATCAAAGATGTCTGAATACAAACTTACCTATTTTAACATTCGTGCTCGTGGCGAACCAGTTCGAATGATGCTGAAGTTAGCTGATGTTAATTACAAAGAAATAAAAATTGAATTTGGATCAGTGGAGTGGAAGAAAGAAAAATCAGGTACACGTTCGAAAAATACATTCAACCACATCAGTGAAGTTGTTTTATAATACGTAAATAATGTTAATATATTGCTGAGTGCGGCGAAAGACACCGCAGAAATTGGTGTTTATGAAGTTTCAACCCGAAAATCTGATCACTGGTTCACATATTGTGCATTGCTGCATCGCTATTAAAGAGAAAACTATTGAATAACTTTAAAAAGTTCGGTTTTTCTTCCGAATATGCATTATGCAATCTTTTGACAGCTCATCATACACATCTGATTCTGACAGCTGTGAAATGGCTATTTTGAAGCTTAAAGTATACACGAGGTTATTAATTCCGATGATTCGTTTTTGCCGTGTGCAAGCTTTAAATCTTTTGTGCAAGATATAAGAAGAAACTGAGCAGTAAAAACCAATAAAGACATAATTGAAAGTTTGCTTTGAGCAAATGAAAAGGGTGAAGGGTAAAAGATTTGAAAATAGAATTTTTTTAAAACGTCATTGGTTATAGTTATGCTCAAGGCTGGGACGTGACCGGTCGTGGGAGTATGTAATGTGGCATAAATTAAGTTGACCCTGCAGATGAACATGCAGGTGCATGTTTGATCTAAATGCTAGAAATGTATACGTGGCAAATTTGTTTTATTTAAAGCCAATGTATCTATCACAGTATATTTCTAATATTCTTTATAGATCTGACAAAATATCCATTCAATCAAGTGCCAGTGTTAGAGGTTGATGGAACTATATTATCACACTCAATGTCAATTATGAAATATTTGGGAAAAGAGCATGGTATTTATTTGAGATTTAAGCCTGCATAGTTCACACTTGTACTAAGAATCGGGGATCCCCGATTCTCAGAACAAATATGAACCAGGCTTAAATGGCAGCGTCTTACAGGTTATGCACCTGACAGCAATCTGGGACAAGCTCTGGCAGACGCCATAGTCGATCAATGTCAAGATTTGATTAATCAGTTCATTTGGGTATACTTGGCTGAAAAAGATCCTGAGAGGAAGGTTCAGTACCACTTCATTACTTTTAATTCCATATATACTAAATAAATAGTAAATCTCACTCAACTGAACAAAACGCAAATGCTCACTTAAACAGAAATTATTTATGTTTTAACATTTAGGAGAAACAAAAGAAGATTTGGTTCGAAAAAAACTTACCTGCAACCCTAAGAGCGTTTGAAACAATTTTGAAACGCGATAAAACAAGATATTTTGTCGAAAACAAGGTACATATTAATATATACGATAAGTGTAGGCTATAGCTGTACAGGATTTGATTGTGCATGGTAAGAAACGTGAAGTAAGAAACTCGACTTTCAAAATGTTGAGGAGTGTTGTACACCTTGAGTATATCGTCGTAGTATGCATGGTCGGTACGAGGATTATGTTGTTGCGTTTTTATGTATTTTTCAAAATATCTTGTATGTATTTCTTATTCTTTTGAATAATATAGGACAATCGTATGCTTTATGGATTCAGTAAACATTAGATCCGGTACTAAGTTGGTAACCTATGTTATGTTTTCGATTAAATTATTCCTAGATAACGTACGCTGATGTTGCATTCTTCAGTTTGTTCAATGTTTATCTTGTACTTGGGAAACCAGAAGTGCCGGAAGAGTTTGCAGGATATCCGCTAACACGCTCCTTGTATGAGCGTATAATGCAGGAACCAAGAATAGCTGGTCACCTAAAGACAAGAGGAGCCTTTTATATGAGACATTTTTCTCTCTCCATTTAATTTTTGAGAACCTCTCTTGTTAAAAAATATGATGTTAGGGGTAGAACAAGATTTATGTCTTATGATTTATGATTTATGGAACTTGGCAATATAGATTGGAACTGTTCACTTTGAAATAATAAGATATACGAAATTAAAAGGAAAAATACATATATGGGATCGACGTTTCCTTTTTGGCTGTGACATAGAGCGATGTGTTATATACACGCCTAAAAACTCGATCTGAGCCTGCGGTTTATTAGCATGTTGTGCTGCCATTACTGTCCACACTTGTCAGCAACATTGAGCAATGTTGTTAAAATGAATCGGGTGTGGCACTATTGTTCATTGTTAATAACAATGCTGAACAATGTGTGCAGCACAACATTGCTCCATCCTGTTCATCAATTAACCTGATCGTTTTTAGGCGTGTATAGAACATGTGGATACATGCTATTAGTATTACTCCATTTTACAGAAAAATTTTCCAAAGGCTAAGAACTTTGTAACTTTTTTCTAAGGAAGACTTTTAATGATTTAAACAAAGTCTGCTCAGTTTGCGGCTGTTAATCTATAACAACGGCTCTGAAAAGGCAAAAAAAATTGTACAAGGTTTCCCTTTAAATAAACTTGATGAAGACCAAACTGAAATTAAAGCCAAGAAAGCAGGTAAGTCCCTGGATTGCATCATGGTCCTCTATCGCTACTTTACACCAAATTCTCAATTGTTACACCTCATTCATTTTTTATTTCATTTTATATCATCGTGTGATGAATGGACAGTACTCACACAATTTATATCCCTTGGTTTAGGTGATGCTATAAAAGTTTTGTCTGTGGGAAAAAGACAACATTTCTCAATAACGATGAATCGTAGAATACAAAACTTCCAAAGCGGCTGCAACTCAGGTAGACCTCGCTACCCTCGGTCGCTCAAATTTGCGTGTGGGTTTAAAGAGTCGACTTGTAGCAAGTCTACAACTCAGGCTAACTGTATATTGGCCTAACTTAATGCATGATTAATTTGGTGCGATATCGCACTAACCAACCAATCACGAAGAGATAAAGTCATAAAGAGGTTATAAAGCTAAATAAAGAAGCTCATATTACTGCTTATATTGTTAATCACATTCGTCATTATCCATTATACGAAGCATTGTTGTTAAGGTTTATTCGACATTCTAGCTGCTAAACATGCCGGAATATAAGCTACATTATTTCAGTCTGCGTGCACGCGGTGAGCCAATAAGAGTTATGCTGAAGTTAGCTGGAGTCGAATTTACTGAAGTCTTATATGACTGGGGATCTCAACAGTGGGCTGACGCCAAGAAAGGTAGTGTGGTGATTGTTTATAAACATACAATGCAGATGTGTATGCAGATTGACCTGCAAAATGATCCTTTCGTGATTATCAGCAGCTAGGGTACAGTTTGATAGTTCAATGAGTTAATAAAACTAATCACGATCAAGATTATGTTATCTTATATTATCCTGAAATCAATGAACAAATAATAAGGCTATTTAGCTACAACCCGGAACCAGAATAGAAATTTACCCAGATTTCTTACTCGGCGTCTGATCCTTTAACTTGAGTGACCTCGCACGTGTTGCCTTGAACAGCGGCTAAACAAGTTTATTTAGGCAATTTCTATCACTAGTGTGGACGGATTGAGGGGAACTGACGTTACTTGTGACACACCCTTACCCCACAAGATATTTTTTCTTTAACCTCCACCGTCCCTATACCCTCCTGGGTCGGTATAAAACTCTTAAACCACAGTTAGGGTTGCTCTCCATACACTGTCGCGTTTTTTGTACGTACGTAAACGCACGCAAAAGCTATAACCTTCTAAGTTGCTGTATAAATATTTTTTGCCAGAGAAAGTACACAAAATCATCAACAGAATCCAAGTATCATTCATAAGTATCATTTAAATGATTTTAAACTTTTCCGTGCGTATACATACGTACAAAAAACGCGACAGTGAAAAACAGCCTTTAAACCGTCACACACGAGAGTTATTAGCTGAGCTGAGAAAACCATTCACACAACATCATTTGGTCGACATCAATAGGCACCAGGAGCTCATACTTAGTATGCTGTTTTTTTCACAGACATTTCTACATATGCATTTGGAGCAATGCCGGTACTTGAAGTTGATGGAACGCCCATTTCACAGTCCATGGCAATATTAAGATATTTAGGAAAAGAACTGGGTAATTTATTATTAGATTTATAAGGGATTTTTAATTATATATGTCTCAACCAACCATTTTCTATATGCATTTACTTGGATGGATTTTCATGTATTTTGCAAATCTCCTCCCAATGTGCTTAATAATGGGCGAGAACATGCACAATAGTAGCTGGTTATTACTTCTCCAAAACTAATAAAAGGATTGATTATTAATAAACTTTACCTCTTTATTGTATTGTTCATGCGAGCTATAGGATTGAACGATGGATCAGATGAGTATAATATTATACATTTTTATCATAGTGAAATTTATACAATCGAATTCATTTTAGGATATGCACCTAGTGAAAATCTGCAGCAAGCAAAAGCTGATGCTATTGTGGATGAATGTCAGGATATTGTCGGTAAATATTTATGGAAATATTTTTCAGAAAAAGAACCGGAAAGAAAGGTTTGTAATCAGGAAATATATGTTCAGGTTTAGGTTTACTTTGTGCACGAAAGTTCTTAAGTCCATATGCAGTATATTGTATACATCATGATTAGAGACTTCGTCGAAACATATAAACATTAAATAAAGATTCTATTAATAAAATCTATTTGTAGGAAAAAGAAAGAAAGAATTGGTTTGAAAATATTTTGCCCCGAGAAATTGAGTACTTCGAATCCATTTTAAAACGCAATGGAACCGGATGTTTCGTTGGGAGTAAAGTAAGAGCAATATAAATATTTATTTTACTGGCATATAGCTATACCACAAGAAAAATGGAAATCTATTTATTTAATTAATTCAGCATGGTGGAAGTTGGAAGTTGGAAGTTGACAGTTTTCAACAAGGTTTTCAATTACAATTGGCAACTATTTCATTTGTGTACTGATTCATTTCAGGAGAAAAAATAAGGATGAAGAGCATTTATAGATAAAGTGAATTATATTCTTTTGCCAAAGCTGAGTTACCACTTCCACTCCTATCGATTCCCCTGAATAATTTAGTGATAAATAATACCGGATTATTATTTTTTTAGATAACGTATGCTGACATTGCATTCTTTTGTATTTTTAATGATTACGTGGCGGGAGGAAAAGCCGACGTTCCATCACAATTTCAGAATTTCCCAATGGCAACAGCACTCTATCAACGTATACTAAATGAGCCAAATGTTGCTGCTCATATCAAGAACAGACCTGATACTTTTATCTGACGATTTTTATCATAGGAACAGTAGCTTTATTCTTGTCAATTCGACTGTCCAGTACGAACTGTCCATTTAATATAATATAAAGAGTATTTTCTTCGACTGTGAGTATTTCTCCTGCTATTCAGCTAAGGACTTCATAAAATTCTGTCTCAAATCCTGCTTCGACTTTTTCCTACGATTTTTTTCGTAACGCTTCATTGATCGGTTTCGAAAAATAAATTATATAAGGTTTCCTTTTAAATAAACCTGATGAAGACCAAACTGAAATTAAAGCCAAGAGAGCAGGTAAGTCCCTGGATTGCATCATGGTCCTCTACCGCTACTTTATACCAAATTCTCAATTGTTACAACTCATTCATTTTTTATTTCATTTTATATCATCGTGTGATGAATGGACAGTACTCACACAATTTATATCCCTTGGTTTAGGTGATGCCATAAAATTTTTGTCTGTGGGAAAAAGACAATATTTCTCAATAACGATGAATCGTAGAATACATACAGGGTGAGTAAAAAAAACCTGACACCTTTGAAACTCAAATTAGTCGCGAACTTATGGCTCAGTGGAATTTGACAATTCCCATGACAGACCCATGTGTAAAATCAACAGGACGAGGTTAATTAATGCGATCAATTGAACTAATTCAACGCGGCGCGTCTGCTAGAAAAACGATTTGATAAAACTGCTCTTTTTTATTTACAGAGCTTAGAATGCATTTTAACTTCCCAAGGGAACAAACTTTATGTTTTAGTTGAATTAATGGGTTCACTTATTTGATATGCTATTACTGCTATACCCATGAGGTATTTTAGGGAATTTCTGTCACATTACAGCCGCTATGCGGCTAATTTGAATTTCAAAGGTGTCAGGGTTTTTTGACTCACCCTGTACATATATTGGCCTAATTAATGCATGATTAATTTGGTATGATATCGCACTAACCAACCAATCACGTAGCCTCCTCCGCAGGCATCTCTTATGTATTTATATTAGGCATTTATACGTATAAGAGATGCCTGCGGAGGAGGCTACCAATCACGGATAGATAAAGTCATAAAGAGGTAATAAAGCTAAATAAAGAAGCTCATATTACTGCTTATATTGTTAATCACATTCGTCATTATCCATTATACGAAGCATTGTTGTTAAGGTTTATTCGACATTCTAGCTGCTAAACATGCCGGAATATAAGCTACATTATTTCAGTATCGGTGCACGCGGTGAGCCAATAAGAGTTATGCTGAAGTTAGCTGGAGTCGAATTCACTGAAGTCTTATATGACTGGGGATCTCAACAGTGGGCTGACGCCAAGAAAGGTAGTGTGGTGATGTGCATGCAAATTGACCTGCAAAATGATCCTTTCGTGATTATCAGCAGCTAGGGTACAGTTTGATACTTCAATGAGTTGATAAAACTAATCACGATTCAAAATTATATTATCTTATATTATCCTGAAATCAATGAACAAATACTAAGGCTATTTAGCTACAACCCGGAACCTAAATAGAAATTTACCCAGATTTCTTACTCGGTGTCTGATCCTTTTAACTTGAGTGACCTCGCACGCGTGGCTAAACAAGTTTATTTAGGCAATTTCTATGGACAGATTGAAGGAGAACTGACCACCTCCTCCGCAGGCCCTTTTCGGGCAAATATGGCGGGCGGTGATATTTTGCGGGTAGAAATTTAGAAACGAAAGCGAGAGAAAATCGTCCGAAATGCTCCCTAGCGCCTGCGGAGGAGGTAGGAGAACTGACGTTACTTGTGACACACCCTTACCCTACAAGATATTTTTTCTTTAACCTCCACCGTCCCTATACCCTCCTGGGGCCGGTACAAAACTCTTAAGCCACAGTTAGGGTTGCTTTCCATACACTGTCGCGTTTTTTGTACGTACGTAAACGGTAAACGCACGCAAAAGCTTAGAAACTTCTATGCCAGGAAAAGTTTATGCCAGAAAAAGTTTATGCCAGAAAAAGCATACCAAATCATCAACAGAATCCAACCCTATACATCTATTCAATCGTTGATTTCATAAGTATCATTTAAATGATTTTAAACTTTTGAGCTAACGACCTCGCGAGGCAGTTAGCTCAGCCCGAAACCATTCACACAACATCATTTGGTCGACATCAATAGGCACCAGGAGCTCATATTTAGTATGCTGTTTTCTTCACAGACATTTCTACATATGCATTTGGAGCAATGCCAGTACTTGAAGTTGATGGAACGCCCATTTCCCAGTCCATGGCAATATTAAGATATTTAGGAAAAGAACTGGGTAATTTATTGCTACATTTATAAAGCATTTTTAATTATATATGTCTCAATCAACCATTTTCTATATGCATTTACTTGGTTTGTGGGAGAATTCTCCTGAACAAATATTAGGCAAAAATGGACTATAAATATCAAGCAAGATTCAATATTTTCATGGATTTGTATCTCATGTATTTGTATCTTTTCCCAATGTGCCTAATAATGGGCGAGAACATGCACAATAGCAGCTGGTTATTACTTCTCCAAAACTAATAAAAGGATTGATTATTATTATACTTTACCTTCATGCAAGCTATAGGAATTGAACGACAAATCAGGTGAGTGTAAACTAATATTACATTTTTATCATGGTGAAATTTATACAATCGAATCCATTTTAGGATATGCACCTAGTGAAAATTTGCAGCAAGCAAAAGCTGATGCTATTGTGGATGAATGTCAGGATATTGTCGGTAAATATTTATGGAAATATCTTTCAGAAAAAGAACCGGAAAGAAAGGTCTGTAATCAGGAAATATATGTTCAGGTTTAGGTTTACTTCGTGCACGAAAGTTCTTAAGTTCATATGCAGTATATTGTATACTGGATTAATCTCGGCTACAGAAATATGTTACCGTATCGCATAGAGTTGGTGTTTCAAAAACAGTTTAATCGAGATTAGAGACTTCGTCGAAACATATAAACATTAGATAAGATTCTATTAATAACGTCTATTTGTAGGAAAGAGAAAAAAAAAATTGGTTTGAAAGTATTTTGCCCCGAGAGATTGAGTACTTCGAATCCATTTTAAAACGCAATGGAACCGGATGTCTCGTTGGGAGTAAAGTAAGAGCAATATAAATATATAATTCTTGTGAGTAAACCGTATTTTATTTCTGCCATAGCTATACCACAGGAAAAATGGAAATCTATTTATTTGATTTAGCATGCAGGTGAAAGTTAGAAGTTAACAGTTTTCAATTACATTTAGCAACTATTTGATTTGTGCACTGATTCATTTCAGGAGATAAAGAGTATTTAAATGAAGTGAATTATATTCTTTTGCCAAAGCTGAGTTACCACTTCCACTCCTGTCGATTCCCTGAATAATTTAGTGATAGATAATACCGGATTGTTATTTTTTTAGATAACGTATGCTGACATTGCATTCTTTTGTACTTTTAATGATTACGTGGCGGGAGGAAAAGCCGACGTTCCATCACAATTTCAGAATATCCCAATGGCAACAGCACTCTATCAACGTATACTAAATGAGCCAAATGTTGCTGCTCATATCAAGAGTAAACCTGCTACTTTTGTCTGACGATTTTTAGTCATAGGAACAGTAGCTTTGTTCTTGTCAATCCGACTGTCCAGTACGAACTGTCCAGTACGAACTGTCCATTTAATATAATGTAAAGAGTATTTTCTTCGACTGTGAGTATTTCTCCTGATATTTAGTGAAATAGAGAGGGGCGCGCAAAATGAAGATCACGTCAGCTAAGGACTTGACAAAATCCTGCTTCGACTTTTACCTACGAATTTTTTCGTAACGGTTCATTGATCGGTTTGCTTCTCAAATTACGCAGGAAAGGTTCAGTTACGTTTAAGGCTACGCATGGATACAGTAAGTGGGGAGCGAAAACATATTCATGCTCATTTACCGTAAAAATAATCAATTTGGAAATAAATTCCCTGGTATAGGTAATTTACTTGATACTATAATTTATCAAGTATAGATGCAACCTCCGTCGCAGGGTACTTCTCCAACGAAAGACCCTGGGTACGAGGTTGGTATAGATTAGGAAAGGAATCAGTACCCCCAACTTTTATATAAACGTCTGTCCGTATACATTTATCAATACAAAGTATTTAAAGACAAATAAAATTAAAATGGCGATGTCTTGCAATGCTAGTTCACAGTAGAAGGCATCACTGGTCTGCAAAGCTGAAAAGGGCACAACTCTGTGACGTATTGCCCTGCGCCCTGCTCGTACCCAGGGTCTCGTACCTTCCCTGTTCGTCCCCGTTATACTAGCGGTCCAGATATTTTCGCGGTCATTTATAGGTGACGGCCGCAAGGAATAGTGGTCTTTCATCATTACTAGCTATCTTGTCAGATGCGCTTGCAAAATGGCTTCCAATGCTGGTGATGATTCCTTGTATCCTATTGCCGTTCTTATCGATGAATTGCGCAATGAAGACGTTCAGGTATATTTGAAATATTTCTTCCATTTGTCTAAAGTAATCTCATGAAGTTATGATTAGTTATTAAGCTATGTATTTGTGTCGTTCATCGTAGTACAACTAACTAATTTTTCTCTAAACTTAAAAAATCTTCGCAGCTGCGACTGAATTCTATCAGAAAACTATCAACAATTGCTTTAGCTCTTGGTGTTGAGCGAACACGATCTGAACTTATTCCATTTCTCACAGGTATTTTCTCTTTTGCTACTCATCTGTTGTGTTATTTGTTTATTTTTATTGTTAAATTTAATACCAGTGCTTTATCTGTTTTTGCATTGGTAAAAGTGTATGATTTCTCGCCTAGGCTAAGCTTTCATATTTCGTATCAACGTTTCCATGATTTCGGTTTTAAATTACTGTACTATCATCAAATGTATACTCTGTGTTATTTATTCAATTATTTCTTAGATAATATATAGTGTATTTCTGTACTGTAGATACGAGAGAGTATCCCTTTATCCTGTATTCTCTTATCAGAGGGGGTATCAGGATGTACAAAACTTAGCAGTCTCAAATTCTAGAAAAGGCGGATTGTTTTTGTTAGGCAGTGTTTAGGAAACATTGTTTCTATTGATATTTTTGCATGGGTAGGCAGGATGAAATTGTTTTGACAAATGTTATTATTAAGATAATTTTCTCAGAAATTGGAAACAATGTTATTGGTTGTCACACTAGCTGATGCCATTTCTTATTCTTTAAGTTGCTAATAAGATGTGGCTAGTGATTTTTCCTTTTCACTCTGAGTATAGATGTCACCGCCTCCTGTGGCTAGGATATTAAAAATCTTTATCTATTTAATCTTATGTTGCATTTTTTCAAGCATATCCAATTTTTCAAATTTTTGTGTCTAATAGTTTTGTATGAAGTTTTTTATTTGAAAAACATTGAACATGTAGTTCTTATGATTTACATGATTTTAAGCACTTTCAACTATGTGAGTGAGGTCAAAGTATGCAATGAAAACATCTGGTCCTTGCATTATTACACTAGAGGGAATAAACCATACAACAGTTAAATATTAATCACATATGGCTTGTATACCTGAGAAACTATCCTATTTTTTAGATTTTGGTATAGGAGTAGCTTGAGTTAGTAAGAATTAAAAAAAATATCCTAATTACTTTGTACTGTATTTGCTATATATTTCAGTAACACTGCCTTAAATAACTATGAAGTATAATAAAAGAAGTTTTGTCAAGTTGTATTTGTAGTATTTGTTACCTGTGTCCATTGACTGACATGATAACTTTCTTCTCAACAGATACTATATATGATGAAGATGAAGTACTCCTTGCATTGGCAGAGCAGGTATTTTCACTGTATCTTTATGTGACCATATTATGCTTGGTATTTTGCTCCACTTTTACTTACTTATAGTACATGATCTAACATTTCTTTAATGCCTTATTGTTGTTGTGATGACCTAGGTAAATGGGTGATTCTCTGGTCACACATGCGACAATGCTTTTCTATTTTGTTACATGCAAAATATGCGGTCTGAAGGAACAGCAATGTCATGTACGTGTGTGACCAGAGAATCGCCCAAATAGAGTTTGTCACCCCAATATATTGTACCAGTATATACTATATAGTTGCTAGACATCATCATTGTCAATCAGGTATATCTTGACAATCAATATTTCTTTAATCAACAGCTTGGCACATTTACACCTCTTGTTGGAGGACCTGAATTTGTGCATTGTTTATTGGTATGCCATCCTTTAAATGTTGTTCAATATAAGAGGCAGAGACAAAAGTATGATGCAAGCCATATCACATGTTAATAAAAAATTGACAAAACTGTAACAGCTGCATATTACAGAACAAATTATTGGTGTACTTAATTTGCATGTTTATTGGTTTGTATGGCAGTCACATTTTGTTTGTGGGGAGAACTACCTCTTTGTTTTTAGTTCATTTTATCACCTAAAGTGGAAGCCAAGTGGGATCTGCACGTTGGCCCGGCTCATAATAATGTGTGGTCATTCATGAAAAAGTTGCATAAAGTCTAGTTCATCAGTTCAAAATAGAAATGAAGCATTTGTTTACATACACACTACATACAGACTTGACTTCAACTTTATTGATAACCTAAAAGCCTGTAGCTACGATGTTGCTGATTTTTGTTTATTCTGAATTTAGCCTCCACTTGAAAGCTTAGCCACAGTAGAAGAAACTGTTGTCAGAGATAAGGTATAACAATGGAGTGTCAGCCTCACTTCTTTTTAGATTTATTTCTAGCAAATATTTATATCTATTTATTTCTGCAGGCAGTTGATTCTTTGCGTGCAATTGCTGCAGAACATTCTTCTCCAGATTTAGAAAACCATTTTGTACCACTTGTTAAAAGGTTGTCTCAAGGTATGATTTGTTCTATGATATTATTACTCAAGTTTTGTCAAATTTTTACTGGTATTTCAAATTTTATGTATTTCAAATTTATGTGCATGTTAGTCAAAGTAAGTGGTTACAGACAGGTCCAAAACATTCAACAGGGTGGATTATCAGTTTTAATAATTACAATTAGTCAAAAAGAGACAAAAAGTGCCGCTCTGTAAGCAGTTGTAAGCAGTTGTAAGCATTCCTTTGTCCTGTAGTGTAGCTATGTTTTGTAATTTAACTTTTATAGCTAAGAACACAGTTGAACCTTGAACAGCACATTTGTACTATGCAATTTAGTGTTCACCTGAAAAGAGGGTGATCAGCAATAGAAATATTTCATGACTTTTGACTGTATTCATGTAGGTGATTGGTTCACATCCAGAACATCAGCATGTGGTTTATTTCCTGCCTGTTATCAAAGAGTAAATGCAAATATCAAAGCTGAATTACGACAGTAAGTGTATATATAAACTGTGATTGGATTCACTGAGTGAACAATAAAATAATTTCACTATGTACAGTACATATATAATACTGTATCCCAAAGATTAGGCATATTAAAATTTTATGGGTACTGAAAATTTCAAAGCATTTTTTGTGTGTAAAATATTACTTTTATTTCCAAATACTGTACTTTACTAACACAGTGTACTACTGTTCAATAGCAAAATGTTATCAAACCCATGCCTTTCTAGTAAAAGATTTAAGTCTCTTGTTTTTGTATTGTTTTATCAGACAGTGGTAAGAGTCTGTAAGACATATTACTATTTGTATTAAGTATGTATATATGTACAGTAACCACTCTAATGTACTTTTATAAAGGCATTTTCGAACACTTTGTTCTGATGATACACCTATGGTTCGAAGAGCAGCTGCTTCCAAGCTTGGGGTTAGTCTGGGCCCTGCAATTCAAGTAGAATTTGGACCAATCACACATTTTCATTTGCAGTGTTGCAAACTTAACAAACTTTATGTTCATTTTTTTGGTTATTTCTTCCTAGGAATTTGCTAAAGTTGTTGAATTGGAATTTGTTAAAACAGATCTCATACCAACATTTACAAGCCTTTCGTCAGATGAACAGGTATTGTAGTATAGCCAACCAACCAAGATTTAGAAAGCAGCATTTCATAGAAAGTAGAAAACTAGTCTAGGCAGTCCTAAACAATGAAGCTAGATTATTTTTTTTTATCCTATCACATGTATTATTTTGGTATGTTATGTTTAATGGTTTTATGTACATCATACGTGTAAAAGTGTTTAACAAAGCAACACACCTCTGTATTTGACAGGACTCTGTAAGGCTGTTAGCTGTTGAGGCTTGTGTTAACATTGCATCAATCCTGCCTCCTGAAGATGTTGAAGCTCTGGTTATGCCAATGTTGAGAACTGCTGCCCAGGTATAATAAAATATAAATCCTAAAACAAAACAAATAACAGTCAGGTAGACATTCCCATTTTTTATTTTGACTAATTTCTTTAATGAAATAAAACCACAAGTTACCATAGCTGAAATTGCTAGAAGTTTAGATTTTTATAATGTCTGTTTTTTATATCTTTGTTTAGGATAAATCCTGGCGTGTTCGGTATATGGTAGCAGATAAATTTACAGAGGTACTCTATCTACATATACATACAATACTGTAGATTCTGGGAGATTTAGTGTAAGGTTTTTAATTTAACAATTGTTCAACACTTTTGTCTTAAAATGGTTTATTTTAGAGTACTCCTTATTATAAGAACTACCTAGGTGAAAGCTTGAAAACAAAAAACGTAGTTCACACTCTTGTATAGAACCAATACGTATAGCGTACAGATATGAATTGCATTTCTCAAATAGAGTGGAGCAAAACCCCTACCACCCAGAACCTTTTCTTAGCTTCTGTACAATTGCACTTTACCTAGAGGCATGCATAACTCAATTGGCTGATTTTGGGAAAATATTATTTAGCTTCAGAAGGCAGTTGGCAGTGAGATAACCAAAACAGATTTGGTGCCAGCATTTCAAAGTTTACTCAAAGATTATGAGGCTGAAGTGAGAGCTGCTGCTTCCGGAAAAGTCAAAGGTAGCTACATAATTTACCATTTGTTTTATGTCAATTTGGTTTTCTGTTGTGTTTTGAAACAATTTAAATCGACTATTTTTTATTCCTCTAGAATTCTCAGACAATTTAGGTGAAGACATTAGAGAACAAATCATAATGACAAATATTCTACCTTGTGTAAAGGTAAACAAGTAAACAATAGAATAAATAGATTATTTCGTTTTCAACAGGCGCGGTTGTATGAAAGCCGGATAGCGCTATCCACCGGAGAGTAGATTTTTCTTTCTCTCTAAAATCGCCCGTTGTTGGCTGAAACTTTGATTAAACCTTAGTGTTCCTAAATTGACGATCCTCTTTAATAATTGTTGCTTCCAAAGCTAAAATTGTATTGCTTTTCAAGCATTTTTAGAAAGGTTGAAAAAGTTACTGTCCGGTGGACAGCGCTATCTAGCTTTACAACCGGCCCCAGTACTCCAGTCCTGTTTAAATACAACAGCACCATTACAAAAGATACCACGACTTAAAAAACTTTCAGAATTTACTGTTTTGACATCTTATATACCGTAAGACGGTCTTCATGTAGCTAGTAAGTCGTTACTCTATCCTCTAATGATACATAAACATTTCCAAGGACGCAGTGATACAGGCATATTGACTAGTGACGTATTCATATGCATCTTTATTTTTTAGGACCTAGTGGTGGATCCTAACCAGCACGTTAAATCAGCACTAGCGTCTGTTATCATGGGTTTATCACCAGTTGTTGGCAAAGACAAGTAAGGCTCGCTAGCATTACCACGTTAATAAGTTGATTAAAGATTAATGCTTTTTTAGTTGATCACTTTCAATTCATTAATTGGTTCACCAACTTCAGACCTAATATTATAAATACTTTTTTCTCTTTAGCACAATCGAGCATTTACTTCCTTTATTTCTAACAATGCTCAAAGATGAGGTATAAAATCTCGGGCCGGTTGTATCAAGCCCGTTTAGCTTAAACAGTGGCCCCGTTTAGCTTAAACTTGCTTTCTATTTTTAACTTATCCACCGTTTAAGCTAAACGGGCTTGATACAACCGGCCTCTGGTGTATACTTGTACTGTATAGTTTAGTACTGTTCATACTATCAAATTCACAATTTAATAAAATTTCCACCAAAGATACAAGAGAAAATATATAAGATGAAATAGTCTTGTGTACATACTTGTGAATGACCTCAAACGAACAAACTACCGTACATTTGATTGCTAGATGACATAATTTGATTTTTTTTACAGTATCCTGAAGTTAGATTGAATATCATCTCCAACCTAGACTGCGTTAATCAAGGTACTGACAGTATGCTTGCGCTAAAATACGATAAGGCCTATTTTAACGAGGCGATTATAGTCGTATACGATTCTTATCCTGACGTATGTATTCGAATAAATGCGTGTAAATATGTCACATTTTAAACTTCGTTATAAATGAACAAAAACTCGTTTTCTTGCGTCAGGATAAGGACGACTAGTCCACACCACATGTTCCGTATGAAGGCTATAATGTGATAGCAAAAATCTTGTTAATTAGAAAAAAAATACTCTAGTGATGAGAACGTTTGTTATCTTTTATAAAATTTGTAATTTTTTCTTTAGTGATCGGTATTCATCAGTTATCTCAATCTCTATTGCCTGCAATAGTTGAGCTTGCTGAAGATAATAAATGGAGAGTGAGACTGGCAATTATAGAATACATGCCCTTGCTAGCCGGTCAGCTGGTATGAAATTCCGTTGAATTTTACTGAATATCCTTGACTTCATCCTTTCCCGCGCTTTCTGTAAATGTTTCGAAGGAAACATTACGTTGACACGTCTATATAGTTTCACTTACTACTTGCATGCTTATTTCAACTGCATTGAAATGTTCTTTGTACTTTAGGGTGTCGAATTCTTTGATGAAAAACTAAATGCATTGTGCATGGCCTGGTTGGTTGACCACGGTGAGTGAATGAATAGCTTACGAACATTGCATGGAGCTCTGCTCTTTTGTCATCGAGAGTTTGTCATCAAAGCCACATGCACGATCTCTGCCGATGGTTACCCTTAACAGTATTTTCGCTGTCGAGTATAATGAAGATGTACAATTGCTTTCCTTGCGTATTCTACACGCATGGTTGCCTTTTTGTCGGCGTATTTTGAAATTGAGTTGTAAAACACCACTAGATGGATCGTCGCTGAATGTTTTACCATAACATTAGTATATCTCACATTGGTAACTACGCATAAAAGACCTGTTATCGCCAATAACTCAAAACGCGTTTCATACACAGCGTTTATAATCTGTACGTGTTAAATTCATGTGATTAGATTAAGTTGAGGTTCTTTATGAGATTACTTGCACATGTGATTGACATGGCTATGATCTACGTGTATGCATGGCATGCCTTTCAAATACATGTTGAAAATGGTCATTTCCTTCACCAAATTAATTTTGTCGAATTCACTTAAATTCGTTAAAATCGTGAACATATTATGTTGTACTCGGCCGTATTTAGAAATAGTGCAGAATGCATGACAATTTTGCTTGATTACCCTCGTATTTTAGTGTATGCCATAAGAGAAGCAGCAACGACCAATTTAAAGAAGCTTGTCGAACAGTTTGGTCAAGACTGGGCAGCTGTAAGTCTTCCATGAATCACACATATTGCAGTGACTCCAATTCAGTGACATTTTGAGTTTCTGCGTAGCATACGATTCTGCCGTACATGGGCTGGTTGACGACATGCGGTGGTACGGAATCAGTTCCACGCTTTGGGCCTTAAGATCTGTTTCCCTCGATCCAATTTTGTTGGATCCAATTTCAACCCTTACGCATGAAATGTAGTCGGCTTCGTCTGCATTGGCTTAGTTGATTTGCTGCCCATACACATTGCAAGTCAACAGACTATATATAAATCATCTATCAGAAGTGAATTGGATCATGGGAACAGACCTTTAGCCGATTCTACAAAGCGAGGGTTTCCGACCCAATTGTCGTTGGACATGTTCAGGAGATGAAAATTCTAAATAGTTGTTCTCTTTTATTTCAGACTCAGGTCATCCCCAAAATCCTTGCTATGGCCCGAGATCCAAACTATCTTCACCGTCTGACGACTTTATTTTCAATAAATGTAAGTGCATGCAAAGGAATGTTAGTTTACAGTGAACTCTAGTGAACCACGTTAACTGATTACAATAGCCGCCCAGGATGAGACAATCCTGGACGAGGAATATGAATTATCACATGCACGTGGTATTTTAACTTGAAAAACCAAGATTGCGTGATTCAAGCTCTTGGGATATTGCCACTGACCTAGCTATATTAGATTATTATATATTAGATACAATATTATTATTATAGATATATTATTATATCTTTGTGACCTATATTTTCTAATATAGGCCAGTGTATATTGCTTTGCTCAACTTTTCCGCTTTACGAAGATCTAGCAACATCCCTCCCATTTAGTATTCCTTTCATGTGCCATGTTTCTTGTCGATTTTGATTGGAAAAACCTGTTTAATAACAAGAAATTATCCAAATGTATTTGTCCACCAACATACTACCACACACGAAACAAAAAAATCCTGTTTATTTCCAAATAAGGCCGAGTATTAAAGGCTTAGCATATGCATGGTACTACAACCAACGTCTTTTAAACGTGTAAACCATGGCCATTCTTGTTGTGAAGGTTCTAGCAGAAGTCATAGTGGCAGAAAATGTATCGAAATTGATGTTACCAACCGTGATAAGTTTGGCTCAAGATGCTGTGGCAAATGTTAGATTCAATGTCGCTAAAACACTTCAAAAAATTGGACCCAAACTTGAAGCAAGGTACGATTCTTGAGTTTCATGATCAGTTCTTATGCATCATATAATAATACTATATACAACGGCTTCTGTATTCGCAAATATCGTCTTTCGGAATTGACTGGATCTGTGACGCTCGTGTGCAGCGGCGTAACGTGCGGGCAATGGGGTTCTACACTGCCCCAGTTTCAGTTAAAGTGTGATACACTGTATCTTCTTAATTAACTTGATTCAAATTTTTCCTAAACGCTAGTAAATTTTATTAACTTTCAGTATGGTACAAGCACAAGTAAAGCCATGTCTGGATAAACTGAACAGCGATGCGGACATCGATGTAAAATATTTCGCCCAAGAGGCTCTCACAGGTAAAGGCTAATATTGCGTGATGTATATATTCTATAACCATTATTATATTGGTATATGACGTAAAAACCTGTAACTACGCTAGATGATTCTACAAGTCCTAAAATTACACTCGGACATGCATGGAAAATGAAATTACTATGCATGTCTTGAGATTTTGCTGAAACCGTTTTTTTGTTTTAGTATTTTGAAGATTGCAATTCTATATTTCTACGACACCTCGAAATTAAGAAGTATTACGATTTTATGTGCAATGGCTGAGTAAGGCTGCATGGTAGATTACAAAATAAAGGTGAAACCTCAACAATTATTGTTTGGCTTGATGAAAAAGTGTGTGATAATGTTTGAAAAAAGAATGTAGTTTCTAAACTCGCTCCGTGGAAACAAAATTATGGTATACATCACCATATAGTATATACTGTTATTTTCAAAACGGAGAGAAGAACATCACAGTATTATGCACTTTTAGTAGGGGCAAGCAAACAAGTTAAGTAAAGAATAGGGTTTATTTTCTGCTGCTTCTGCTCATTTCAAAACGCTTACTAATTGTAATACATACATTGTAATCCCAATGCATGTCTTGTTCAATTTCAATAACTTATTCTCGTAGTTTTCTTTGGTATTGTTAGTGTAAATATAACTTGTTAGAAATTTTCCCTGCTCTGTTATATTCTTTTATTGCTTCACATTGGTTTTTGGACAATTCATTTTGGTGCAGAATTTAGCTTAATTAGGCACTATATATATATAAATATACAAATCTACTGTGGTAAATCTATTCTTGAGTTCCAATGTGATTTCATTCTTTAGATAACTAAATAAAGTTTTGCTCCAACTTATAACGTCTAACATTTTCAATAAGACAAAGAGTGAAAGAGCATGTATATATCATATATACTTTTTAAACGATAGCTAAAATTAATTTACTCGAATAATCGCTATGAAGGACAGAAGTACAAGAGATTCTTCAACGATTTATACTCAATCCACACTTCAGTTATTTTTCCCTGATTGTCCAAGACAAAATTTCTTTGTGCATCACAGCAGTGCCCGGGCACTTCGAAGACACACAGCTATGGTGTAGAGGGTTCTTTGGTGACCAACAGAAATAGAAAAAAATCGGGATGCTTTCCTTTTTGTGCATACCATGCATGCTTGTCTAATTTTATCATCGATAGCCCTGCATGACAAGAAGTCGAAAAACATCGTGCGCTGCTTGTTGTTCCACTATTGGCCTATATCCTAAATTATGTGTAATCTTGGTTTAATAAGCAAGCACGATGGAATGACCTTCCCACCGTTATTACAGCAACTGCTAAAATCCATCAACCGACGTATTTCTTGGCTATCTTCTAATCGATCTTGCTTTGAGCCCATTCCACCAAGATTACATTAACATTGTCAGTGGTATTACGAAGACTCTCCAAAAGTCATGTATGCCTGCATGAAAAACATCAAAAATGCAATCTCTACTTGATCCATCACCATGAATTACCAATAAAAAACCCCGGTATAACTGCAAGAACGCGGGCCCACTGAATGTCAAATGCTTGAACCAACAATGTCATTCACCAGACAGTTGTAACAACTCCACATGACGCAACAACAAAAACGTTTAGCAATATCGACATGACCTCTAACACACTCAAAGAAAGATGCAGAAATTAATATGTAAAATCCTCAATATAATAGAAAGTATTCATTCAAAACCGAACTTTCCAAATATGTCTGGAACTCAAAGAATAACAACTATCCGCACAACCTTAAATGGTCCATTATCAAGAACACTTTATCATACGTCACTGGTTGAACACGATAAATTGAGAGGCATCGCCCTCCCTCAAAGCGTTGCATTCTACTTCATCTTTCGCGTCACGAACGCTTGAAAATTCTACAAGCGTGTATCCAAAAAGTAGAAATTACATATACCAGTAACACATGACCATTGTCAAAGAAACGAAAATTATTACATAACGGCAAACAAATGAAATATATATCAAAATGGAATTTAAAATCTGATATAGCTGTGTAAGAAGGGAAGGTGCGTCCATTATTTTGCCTTAGTAAGCTAACGAAAGTTTAGTGTTGCTTTGAGACATAAATAAACACTTTGCATCTCTGACATGCGTATTCTTTATAATTGTTTGTTAATGTCTACGTCAAGTGTTATCATTTACTTCTGGTTCGTGCATGGTCATCCAGTACACAGGCGTTTTTGGATGCGCAGTCACAATTTCGATTTCAAATTTTATTGGCTAAAAACCGTGTCAAACGTTGATACGCAACAGACTCTTCTATGTTTTTAAAAAACATTACATTGTAAAATACTTTTGGTAAAATTCTTTCGACAAGGCGTCCATCAGTCTAACACAACCTCGTACCCAGGGTCTTCTGCGTTCACGGGGCGCGGAACTACGCGACGAAGACCCTGGTCGGGGCTGATGACGTCACCCCCAGATTTTGGGGGTAAACGTACAATTTTACCATGGGTCGGGAGGTAAAGTAACATGCTTGTCACTTTAGGAAATTTCCAAATATTTTATGTTTTGTTTTCAATAAAAAGCTATTTATATTGCGCCAAAATATGGAGTAAAAAGTCGCAAGAGTTCACAGGAAAGCATCATGTATTATGTATCGAGTCTCATATTGCATACAATGCGTCGAATAAAGCTCGAATTTCAAAGAGCACGCTCGAAACCGCTCAGTTTAATCGAGTCGATGGCTAGCAAAGACACGCCGAAAAAATTTTACAAGAAACAAACCGATTCGACTGGTAGTATTTCTCGCTGTAGACTGTGTAACTCTGTTACTAACCCGAAACACTGCAGGAATTTGTTTCGTTCTCAAAATCAGGCGGTTCTACGCAACGCCGAGCGTATTTATGGTGGTAAATTGCCACAAAACGATAGCCTTCCTCACCTAATTTGCGCGCCTTGTGATCGGAGACTAACCAACGCGGTAAAGTTCAAGACCGTTATCGAGGAAACTCAGCGCGTGTTACAAGAATCTATCCGAGCAAAACGTTGTGTTGATGTATCGCCTTCGGTCAATAAACCGCCTGCTAAAGTTCATTTAGTTGGAACTCCGCGACGTCGCAGCATCGACTTTAACATCAGCCAAGGTGAATCAGAGTCGAGTCTCACTTCATCGCCACCACCTTTAACTGTAAGTTTACTTTCATGAAATATACATGTATTAATAATAGTCAATATTAGTATTTATTGTTGAATATTTAGCGCTGTAATAATATTTAAAAAACATTAATATTCATGATGACTTAGGATGCCACATGCGTGGCCACATGTTATATCGTTATACTCATGTTTTCCTGTTCCTCCCTTCCTCTATAATAATATCCTGTATTTATAATACTGTGTGTTTATATACTAATCAAAACAACACCCTGAACGTCCCAGCTTTAAAACATCTTGTCTATTCGGAATTTGTTTATTTTGCTTTATTATTAAATACACGCAGTATAATACAAACAGTATACAGGTCATGACCTTGCAACCTGCATCTGCATGTCAAAGCCTACACGGCCAAAAATTGATCAGGTTGTTGCATCAGGGGTGAACAATGTTGTGCTGCACCCAATAAACAGTATTGTTAACAATGTTGTTGAACCTTGTTGAATCATCAGTGTTGATGCAATATTGTTGTAACAAGCTGCAACAGCATTGATAGTTCAACAAGTTTCAACAACATTGTTAACAATACTGTTTGCAGGGTGCAGCACAACATTGTTCACTCCTGTTTTTAACAACTAGCACCAACATGATGATTTTTACACATGTAGATCACAGGCCTAAATACTTATTTAACAGTAAATTTGAAAAGCTGGGAAGAAATCTCATATTTAAATATTATTATTATATTAAAGAGTGATGATCAAATCTTAGCTGTGGCAAACAAAGAACTGATTCATGTTGCCAGAAGGAGTCAGCCATCTGTCCTTAGACAAAGAGGCTTTGATGGAATGTCTGCAGACACCTGGATGTCAGAGGTGCTAGGAGAGTTGTCAACAAGATGTCCAACTGTGAACAACATCCTATGTACTCTGTTGGAAAGCTCCCTATATCCTGCAAAGAAGAATCCTGCTATCTGCCTTATTTATGGCATTATTAACTTCCTGCGGTGCCATGAATCAAGCAGAATTCAACGCATTAATTCAGTTTTGCTAATAGAAGGCCAGGCATCTGTAAATGTGAGTTGTTTTACTTATTTACCATTTTTTTTACAAATTGCAACCAACTATTTTGTTTTACTGCCTGATGCTTGCAGCTAGCCTATAGCATTGAACCTTTGCTACGTAATAAATACACCAATGTGCATTAGTGACTAACATGTCATATGTGGTAATTTTAAATTGTATTACTCTCCTTGACATGACTTTGTATTTGCAATGCATTAGACAGGTTCTAACTTAGGACAAAGGAAAAGGTAGCGGAGATGACATATTGAGCATTGTTCATTGTATCATTTAGCTGATTGCCTGTCTACATAAATATGGCTTATGCCTGGAGCCGAAAATGAAATACCCAATTCTGGAAGACATTGGCAAGCACTTCATCGACCAAGCAGCAGAATTAGTTAAAAGTGGACTTTCCTTTGTTTATGTTTTGGACAATATTGATTGGGAAGAGAAAGCCCATGATATGAGGCAGGATGTCCAAAACCGAAGTGTCCATGCTGTGGCAACAAGTATTGTGTTCAACCGGGTTCCTGATAAGGGATTGCTTGATTCTGGTCCACAGCAATTTCTGAAAGATTGCGATGTCCATCAACTTGTGGAAATCAATCAACTAGAATCTGATGCAATTCGGAACCGGTACAAAATACTTGTTGCCAACATTTTGTTTGATCAGTTCCCTGCTTTTGCAATGTTCAGAGACTATATACCTGCGAGAACTAACTGTGAGTATGAAAAGGAGATGGCAAGAAAGTCAGAAGTCTTAACAATGCCTGTAGTGATGAAAGACGAAAAAAAGTATTCTGACTGTGTTGATGTCTTGGATCAACTTGAAAAGTGGACACACGAGATCTATGCAGCAGCTGGACTATGTTCCCTAGACCCTGATACATTGGAAGATGTTACTCCCACAATTGGAACCACATCCAGGCCTGACCAACCTGCTTCTCATGTCCCACCAGTTTATTCTAACAGCGATCCATTGCATGGGGTGAAAATCCCATGTTTTGGTGATCAACTCACAAGGGTTCGATTTGCTGGGGCAAAAGATCTAAGAGCTGGGTGCCATTCCGCAAGGCAGAGGTTGGACCATTTATACCCTTTCTGCATTGTCGACTGGCATACAAAGAGAAGTTTTTTGAAGGTACAGTATGCTTACTAATTTAAATTAGAGGGGCAAGGGACTGAAGGGAGAGGTATTTAATACGGTAAACCAACCAGTAAATTTTATTAATTTTCCCCAAAAAAGTTGTACTTCTTCTGGGACAAAGATGATATTGTTAAAAAATCATAAATTGTTCATGTAAATTGAGTACAAAGAGTGTATTTGTATCAACAGTAGTTATTCTAGTACTGCAGACTCTGATGTGATGCTGTGTCTGTATTGATTTTAGCCAATCCTATTTCAAAGAAGGCTAGAGGTTGTAAAATGTTCCTAAACAATATCATAAGTTTTTATGAATAAGTTTTTTACTTCTTTGGTAGACTTGTTACAACCTCTAGCCTCTGCAATATCCTATATTGCTAACATTTTATGGTACCCTATTGAAATGAGGTTTAGTTCCAAAAATATAAAACAAGGTTATTTTATTTCTTCAGACAATTTTCAAAAAGCTGTACAAGAATTCAGGAAGAGAAAGGGGAACACTTCGCTTTTTTAGAGAGAAGTTAAATCGCAGAAATGTGACGGTTGACGTTAAACACTATGAGGACTGTGAGCAGCTGTTCTTCAGTGTTGGTAAGTGCTTTGTTATCGAAGCCCTATTGGAATTTTTCCAAATGGATGATGCAAAGTGCAAACCAACAGTGAACGGTCCTCATAGTGTTTACGTCTTAGAAGAAAGCTACATGAAGACTTACATCAATGAGACTCTGGACAAGTTTCTCGATGAATATATTTTCCATGGGGAAATTGAGGTGACCGATGGTGTTTGGTGCTATGGTGTCAACATTCTTAAATCTTTCATGTTGCTTGCTGATTTCAAGAATGCTGTTTCCTCTGGCAATGGTGAATACATTTCAATCCTTAGGAAGCAGCTGTTGACCCATTTCTTTGCAACACCGGGATTTAATGAATTTGCCATTGAAATGTTGATCAACATCTTCCAGGGTGAGGTGTTATTGTCGGAAGCTGAGGCTCATCGCTGCAAATGGGCTGCCACAGTTAACTGGAGAGGTGGCATTGGTCGCAACATTGAGATTGATCTCTTTCAGGAGAATAGAAACTGCGAGATGAAGAAGTTGATCAGGTCAATGGGTGCCAACAAGACAGAGAGAGCAATTGAGAGAGCAAGTAAAGCATCTGGAGGTGTTGCGAAGATTGTTGAAGCATTTGAAGAGCAGGTGAATATTTCCAAAAAATCAGGATCCCACACCCACAAATCATCCACTGAGGATGAGAAAGTTATTAGTAGGGACTTGAGAGGCTTAAGGCCTTTTAAGGAAGAAGATGGTCGATCATTTGAGAGCTTTGATGGCATCTCACATGATCCAACCCATTCATTGGATGAAATTAAATTTAAGGAATGGATTGATCGCCACAAGAAAAACATTGCAATGCATTATCCAGTTGAACAATCTAGTCAGGATGAGTGAACTGCTTGAAAGAGAATTGTTTCAAATTAGAATGTTTGTTTAACCCATGACTGGTGAAGTGCCCTGTGACCATTTATATATATATATATATATATATATATATATATATATATATATATATATATATATATATATATATATACACCCGTTTGCAAAAACGTTGGCCGCAGATAGATATGTAGATAGATACTCGAAATCTAATTAGAATTGCATATGTTGTGTAATATGATTGAAATCCCATGCAAATGTAATCATATGCAATTCTAATTAGACTTCGAGAATCTATCTATCTATCTGCAGCCAACGTTTTTGCAAATGGGTGTATATATATATATATATATATATATATATATATATATATATATTAATATATATATATATATATATATATATATACTAGTTATGCCAATTAAGCTTCTAGCAATGGCGATGCCTAATGCTTAATCTAACTGACAACAAATCTTACCAGTTTATGGGTAGCACTTTATGAGAGAAGTATGCTGGGTTTTTATTGGCTTTTCTTTGCATGAGAACTAGTTTTAAAACCATTAAACCATCATGTTGTTTGTGAAGTGCGCATGAACTTTAATTGACAAATATATACAAGATAATGTAATAGAAGTACCATGATAATTTTTGTATATATTCCTTGTATATAATTCATATAGGTCAAAAGTGCAAAGTATGGTATTAGAAAACTATTGTTTCATATTCAACTATGATTCAGTAAACACATTAATTGCAATCTCAATTTAAAATTTGTGCAAATTTTGTCTGCTTAAGATTATATTACATTGAAAGAATGCATGATCAGTTACATGAACACTTTTATCATAAGGTTTCGACACTGTGATTTTCTATTCCATGTGCACTGTTTATTGAATTTGCTGCACAACATAAATTTTATTGAAGCTTACAGTTTCTCCATAAGAAGGTGTAAGCAAGTTGAACACTTGCAAAGATTTTCACATACACAACAACACAAGTGTAATGGTTTATGGACTGTATCTAATTCATAATCCAGTGATTTTAATAATAACTTTCTTAAGCATAAGTCAGTGCTTGAGCAAAAATCACGCATGTCGTCTTGCATTCCAACTCTGTTTTTGCCAATATCCCTGTTGTTGTAATACAATACAGCAAATGATGACCTCCCATCCCTACCAGCACGTCCAGTTTCTTGAAAGTATTCTTTCACAGTGCAGGGGGGTCCAACATGCACAACCTGGCGGATGTCAGGTATGTCCACCCCCATCCCAATTGCTACGGTAGCAAAGACCACGCGAACTGTACTTTTTCCAGAACAGAGCTGCTTCAGGATTTCTTCTTTCATTTGATTAGTCTGTGGAGAATGATACTGTGCAAATAGCCTATTTGCTGGAATTGCAGTTGCACCAGAGGGAAAGTATTGCTCGATTCCAAGAACATGTTCAAACAGCTTATATGCAAAGCCGCACAAACGTAATGAAATGTATATAATAGTTAGAGGGTATGCAATCTTTTGCTGCAAAAGATCACTTGCAATTGGCATCAGGATTGATTCAATGGTGTCAACATCATGCCCGGTTCGAAATACTTTCTTATAGTAAATATTTTTCCTATCTGGATTGCCGATGACATTCTTACATTTCTTTAACCCCAAAGAATCTTTAATACACTTGACGTCTGCATGAGAGGCAGTGGCAGTCATTGCAATGACAGGTACGTGAGGAAATAAGGCACATAAGACACCCAACCTTCTGTAGTCCTGTCTGAAGTCACTCCCCCTAAAAAATGTAAATCAAAATACATAGTGTTAAGTATTGAGTAGTAACAAAGTAAAAGAATAATTTTAGATAAAGACAACAGGTTTAAACAGAATTGAACTTTTTGAATTGTTTACTAACCAGTCAACTATGCAATGAGCTTCATCAATCACAACTGCCACAACATTCTCTTGATATGGCTTGCTCAAAAGTAAATTACGCCCATATTTGCTCGAGATTAGTGTCTCTGGATGGGCGAAAACAATTTGATAGTAACCATCGCGTAGCTTTTCCTCTTCGCAATGGCTTAAATCGATTTCAGCGCTAGTTTCTAAGTCATCACTATCCTCTGAACCGTACGTTATTTGACCTTCTCTTGCTTCCTTCACGTTTATAATCGACGATCTAATGCCGCTCATGCTCAGGCGAGATACTTGATCACTCATTAAAGAGTTCAATGGCGACACAACGATAACAATTGAGTTCACTACTGTCGCAGAAAGGCCTCGTGATCTCCATGAAAAACGCAAATCGCCAAGCAACTTGAATTTGGCGAACAACAACATTGGCAGCAGATGAAAAATCAACGACTTCCCATAGCCCGTTGGTAAAACACACATCACATCTTTTTCAAGATAGACGTTCTCCAGACAAATAATTTGTTTTGGTTTTAGAATAGTGTTTTGGTATACACTATTTAAAAGAGCAAATTCCAAGCAAGATAAAAATGCGATGTAGTCTAACATGGCGGAAACCGGAATGAAAGCATGGAAAGTGGAAGCATGTAATATGATATCTTTTCTTACACCCCCTGAGGCGATAGATTCCCATGCTGTGACGTCATCAGCCCCGACCAGGGTCTTCGTCGCGTAGTTCCGCGCCCCGTGAACGCAGAAGACCCTGGGTACGAGGTTGCAGTCTAACATTCATTTGCAAGCCATTGTCACACAAAAAAGATGCGTCAACTGCTGCTCTGTTTTTATCACGTGACAATATTTGGGAGTCTTGTTCCCAAGAGGCAACATTTTATAGCGCCATGTTGATTTCCTGATCTTATTCTGCTCGCTTTTGTCAAGATTTAATTTTAAAGTTATGCTTTAAACAACAATTGATAGTTTATTGGTTGCTCTTATTAAGAGATAATAAACAGCACGTCTATCTTGGTTTACGACGCAAGACTTGGGTCAGTTCAGTTTGTAACAGTAAAAGCACTGGAAACATTCAAAACATACATCAATTAGTAACTCTCTCTATTCAACATTACCGCGTAGCGTCGCTGGATAATTGTTTGGTTTGGTGGATGGGGAATAGTTACGGAAAAATGTACACGTTTATTGTGGCATAAATACAATAAAAGGTCAGTGAGATTGACAAATCTTTATGAGATTTTATGTATTAGATATAGCCGAGAGGCCACAGTGAAAATTATAAGTGCTGCTGTCTTATGTGTGTTTTCAGACGATTATTGCGGATACATGCTGTCAAAATATGATATTAGTCTAGTTGAGTAAATGTATAGTCTCTAGCTGTTTGCATGTAGACTTAACATTTCTTATTCATGATACATTCTTCATATTAACGCGTATGTTCAGATGAAATATTAGCTTGTGTGTATTCGTTTTAACCACCTGGAACTACATAACCGGTCGCTTTATATTTTTGCGGTGTAACAACTTAGTGCAAGACATTTTACACGCTGTGTTATATTTAATATCAGTTTTTATTTTACTATTTTCGCTTCTGCTATGGAGAAAGTTTTAATTAAACTGTTCATTGCAGAGATTGCGTTGCATTCAATAACATTGATTTGCTCCTTCCGCCGTTTTCTACTAGCTTGTGAATTCTTTAAACCAACTGTTCTAAGGAGTTCCACAAAGCAGAAATGACAACAATCGACATTCCAGGTGAGCTTTACAGTTAAATGTGCGACTTACTAGAGAATACTTGATTTGCGAGGCTAACCACAACACAATAATTGCCGGCTAATATTGTGTACAGTTTACTCGTTTGAGTAAATCTTGCACAGCTTTGTGGCTGAGTATACCTCCTCCAGAGATTTCTGCCGGGAAGGTGATAAGGTTATTAAACAGGCTTACATTTGCATCAGCTTTCAACAAAAGTATTACTGAATTCTAGCTTGAAAGAAAGTAAGTAATACAACAATTTCTCACGTTCTATATTGTTCAATTCCCGACGACATTTTATGACACTCGTCTGTCGTTTTGCCTTTCAGAAATCACAAAAGGTTTCAAGTTGCGGCACTTGATTTTCTCGAAATGACTTAAAAAGCTGACTTATGTTTGCAAGCAACTTACATTTTGTTCTTATTCAGTTGTTAAATTTCCTTATCGAAATTTCCGATCGTAGAAGGAACTACGATATGGCAGAATGTCGCAATTTGTCGGAATTTCGTTGTTTCCTTCGAATGATTTTATTATTATATTAATTTAAATGCCTCTATGCTGATTATAAATACCGTTTTTACGCTTCTATTTGCAATTAACTCGTTATTTCTTTGCTAGTTATCGTAGCTTGGCCCAGTATTTAATACATATAACGTTCATCGACAGACAATATGCGACCAACGTAACTTTTGTTTCAAATCACAAGCACTCGTTTTATATTGTGGCTTTATGTTTTTGTTTGATTTATTCAATTTGTATTTCAACGCAGATCATGCGTAGCGCGAATAATTATTTTATTATTGTTCATAAAAGATTAGCTTTGCTTAGGGATACTTTATTTTCCTTATAATAACCTATTTCAGATATTTTATGCCAATTGTAGAAATAGCACATTGTACGATTTTAATGCGGAACTCTAAGTAATCAACACTGTTTGTTGGGATTCTAGCTCCATCTATTAGACTTTTAGACCTGATATGTTTGTAAATTTGAAGTGGATAATCAAGTGGCAGTGGTCTGGTGCTTTATTATTCAAGATAACTGTTATGTTGTGAGAGAGTTGCTAAGGTATCTTTTGGCAGCCATGTTGTAATTGGCAATAGTGTTATTTGTGGTGTAAATTGAATTTCCAGATGTTGCAACTACCTTGCATGACTATCCATCCTTCATTTAATTACAATTTATGTACAGCACATATATAGCAGTCTTCTCCATTACATGGTAGTTTCCTATCAGGTCTGCATTCTTTGGAACATGTTTTGCATGTTTTACAAGTTGTAAAACATCCAAAACATATTATGTTGCATAACATTTTTTTATGTGTTCCATGTACATATTTCAGATTTATTAAGTGTAATGGAATTTGATTTGCAGTTAGTTTTGTGTACATATTGTAGGGATGTAGCATGTTTTGCAGTCAATTAAATTCATGTACACACACTTCATGGTGAAACAACTTCAATTATTCTATAGCTACACTGCCTACACATGCAGGGTATGTTGTATAAATGATTTGGAGAGTTATTTCAATTTCTTAGTTTATGTATGGCAATGTGTATCTCATTTTATTAATAGTGATGGTGTTTGCAAACAATAATGTTATAAACATTGGCATCACAGAATGTTGAAATGTTTAGTCATCAGCAGTCAATAAACAGGAAAAGTAATATGAGAGATTCTTGCAATATTTAGCCATTGAGCACAGCTGAAATAAGATAACTTCTGTTTTATCTAATTAAATGTTTCCATGAAAAAATTGAATGGGATGTTAAAGCTCTTAAAAGTCAATCAATCATATTAGTTAGGGACATGTATGTCTCAAAAAAATGAGGGAGGTTGAATGAAATTAAGATTGAATACAGATTTTTATCCAAGCAGGAGTAGAATACTTGTGTTAACTCATTACATCAGGTCACAATTGGATATTATATTAATCTTGGCAGGCATTGTGGTGTATTTTGCTGGCTAAAATGATAAATTTGCCGGTTGAAATATATTTTAGCCCGCTGATCTAAGCCAATCAGAAGAATGCAAGTGTTTACCCATAAAGTTAATATAATAATAATACAGCTGATGTTCTTGGGCATAAATGTGTTTTTTGAGAACAAGATCACATTTATGCCCGTGAATATCAACTCTATTGTTATATTATTAAAGTGCTAAGTGCAATATACTCAAATGCATCTATTCTTAAATATTCTTTTGTATTTTGACTGACAAGTTTTATTTCTCAGTGCAAGAGCGCTATAAGTAAATAGGTTCTAGTCAAGTTTGTAAATATTTTTTATTTTGACTGAATGTTTTATGTTGTTTTATCCATAGCTCTTTGTAAACTTGCAAAGTTCAAACAGGGCTGTTGATTTTAAATAAACAAAATTGGTCCTCTTTTTATAAAAAGCAAACTTGGAACCTCACAATATTTTCAAAAGTACTATTCATGATGCTAGCTTTAATGACCAAGCTATCCACTTACAGTATATATAAGTCATTCAGCTGCAAATTAGACTGTATTGTGTCTTATTTTTATTTTGTTGTGTATAAATAACTGGCAGTAGTTTTCAATTGGTGATTAACATCATCTGGTGTTAGTCAGAATAAAGTTTAACTGTCATCTGGCTCCAATTTGGCCCCAATGTGACAGCAAGTAGGTTTAATGCAATAATTGTTTGCATTTATAATCAATCTGTGCCTAAAAGAGTAGAAATTGTAGAAATTAGGTTTACCTTCTTCATTGTTTACATGTTCAAATACCTCATTTTCTGGTAAAAATACTGGTACAGCTGCTAACAACTTTCGCAAATGCAAGTAAAAAATAAAAAATTAGTCGTTCAGAAATAGACACAAAACGTTTGTGACATTTCAACTTAATTTTAATTGCAACATTATCTTAATTACCTAATTTCAAGCGTGTTTAAACAGGAAAATAACCCACTTCTTACGTCATTTTCCTGTCATTCACCTTAAGTGAGATGAAACATTTTCCTTAATGGATGTTCACAGAACTTCCTTTCCAGTTGTCACGCGAATACCCTGTGGACGAGGTTGCTGTTTTCTCACATATAATAACGCCTCACATTGTGATTGGATGTTAATTCACTAGGCCATTTAGAAGCTATTTTTAACGCCATCATTTAGTCAATCATATTCACGTAGTGGAGAGGATTACGAATATTTAATATCAAGAAACGTGGAGGCCATGCATGTATAATTTTCGTTTACCCTTTCTCGGTTTTTCTCCAACTTCAAGTATTTTTCTCTAACAAACAAATATCATTTGGTTTGTTTGAGGGTGTCATAGGACATTATTTAAAAGACTTTTATAATTTAAGACCTATTTGGGAGCAGATGAGAAAGTTTGGATCAGGAATCCAACCTACACCTGCATGTGTAGAAATCGAGCAAAATGCTCCAAATTAGGCTGGATTTGTTATATATGTAGACGTTTATATACTCTAATAAAAATCTTTGAAGAGTGCGATCTTTGTACGACATATACGATTTTTAGTTTCGTCACTATGAAGCCTGAGCCTGTGCATGTTTTGCCTGAGCTGAACGGTTGGAAAATCTGGCCTGCAGACAAAATAATGCATATTTTTTTAGATATTTACACTCATTGGTCTTTTTTACTTTAGAACTAGCTTTTCAACTTTATGATTTCAACGAAATTTTTAAATTACACCAAATTGTCCACTTTCACTTTCGAAAATTAAATTCGGTCAAAACCTTTTTGCTTTTTAGGCCAAAATTTAATTCAGAGATGTGTCATTGTGCAGCAGGATGGAAGTGGATATGGATTAACAGTTACTGGTGACAATCCAGTTTATGTGCAGTCTGTCAGGGAAGGTATGTGTACCTTTGCATTAGTAACCGTCATCCAGTTTTCTTTTTCACAGCTAGTTCATGTTACCAGCACCTTTTCGTGCTGCCGTTTTGATAAGGTACTTCTGCTGTTATTTCCCTAGTGGAATTGTATTAAACTGGTAAAATGACGTAATTTCAAACCTCTTTGATAAAAATGCATGCGTGTATATGCGGAGACCACTGGGAGTAAATCAAATGAATCGCTTCGGTTATCGAAAAGAATGAGATGGTTTTGATTCCGCAAACGCACGTGAAGTGATATAGTGAGGGGATGTCTTATTTTTGTCAACATTATGGTACTATTTTTGAATTTCTTCTGAGATGACAAAGGATAAATACGTAGTTTTTATATTTCAATAAAAAAATTTATAACAGCTTATCCACCCGCTTTTATAGGAGGTGCTGCATATCGTGCTGGAGTTCGGGTTGGTGACAAGATTGTCAAGGTACGTACTAACTAACATACGTATTTCTTGCTAGTATTTTTAAATGCACAAGTTACGTCACACTTTAGGCACGGTTCATGTCATCTGCCCCAAAAACTGTTCATTTATTGCATAACGTCTAACATTAATGTATATATCGTCAAGTGTTGAAACTGATACATTAAACAAAATCTCTCATTAGTAATCTAGCTGTGTGCAACGAAGGTTAAACGTGAATAGCAGGGTGTATCCCTTTACAAGAATTTATCAGATAATCATATTGACTAACTGTTAACTAAAACTAGGTATTGATAAATCGGCAGATAACATGACCATTGAACCAAATATTTATTGATTTTTTCAAGGTTAATGGAACTCTTGTGACGAACTCGAATCATAAAGAAGTAGTGAGCTTGATTAAATCAGGGTCATATGTTGCTCTAACTTTACTTGGTAAACTTCCTAACTCGACACGGAATTCTGGAAGTGGTAAGTTTTCTTCCTCAAGTCTCTTTTTATTATAAGTCTATATTCTTCGTTTACATTCTTAAAAAGTCTGTTAACAGCCCTTCACTCCCCTTCCCCCATGCAGAATGCAGGGTAATCAGAGATTAAGGTACCCATATTTACCAAAATTTCTTTAGCATTTAGCTCACCATTTTATAGGTCATCAATCAATTTTCACCTTTATTCATATTTCCAATTTCCTTGTTACCATTTTGCTTCGTTTCGTTCTTACCATTCCATCCATACCATCTTATTTTGTTGCCTACCGTACCTGCTGTACTATATGGCTACGCCTAGACTGACTCCCCGTCACTGGCGCCGTCTTTGCATTCCAGTACAGGCAATTCGTCGAGTACATTTTTTGAATCAATATGTATGACATTATGGGCGGGTATGATTATCTTTTAAACTGATGTCGCATGCCAAAACTCGTATGAAGAATGTTGCCTTCTTTCATATAGGAAGTCCAGGTGGAGGAATTGTTAGTCCTGGAGTTGTCTCGCCAACGTCACCAACTGTAAGTAACTGGTATTTATATTTATTTCGGGCATTTTCAGCCGAGGGACATTTTCGTTGGTTTGAAAGTCGTTCGAGATATCAAGGCGACGACAATAAATCACTTACGGAAGGGCTTGCAGAAGAATACATATTAGGATAAGGAATGTTTTAGGGGCAAAGGCGAATTCCATTTCATTTTCTGCATTTTTTAAAAATAGAGATCAATCTTTCATATTTTTTTTGATAAAGTAGTCTATCTATTTTCTTACCTGGTATCAGAAGTTAATCATACTAAAATCATTACTGAAAAGTTCGACTCGTGATTATAGTGCTAAGCTTTTTCCTCAGAGCGAGGTTTTTGAACTCTGAAAAGTGAAAATAATTAAGATTTTACGATGGATAGCCTCATATCGAAAGCGCAGTTCCCGACAAGTTTATGATTGTAAACATGCATGCATCGGCATCACCTGCCCTTGTAAGGAGCAAGAAATGCATTAACTGATGTAGGTCCGTGAGAAGATTTGGGAGTATACTGTATAGCGCTTGTACGATAATGGGAAGTTCATAATGCTAAGTTCTACATGAGAATCAGAATACTGGTATCATAATGCTCTTCAGGAGAGTTGTAAAATTCAAAACTTGACAACCACTTTGTTTTGATGGAATACGTTGCTTTGTTGGAGTATCGTAGCAGTTCTTTGGTTAAGTATTGTTACGTGTTCAATAACACTCACGTAAGCTGATATATTTCACTCGTAGAGTTTATTTCACTTTAACAAATAGTTAAAGATATTATTTATTTTGCAAGTGACAAACCTTCACGGGTTATCAATCTCAGCTGAAAACTCCAATGTATATGAAAATTCATAATTAATAGACAGTTAAATATAGGTATATAAAGATCTAGGTCTATATTATTGTTGTACTCTGAGTCAGCATTCGTATGCTCTTAATTCCCTCCTTCATATTTAATTTATGTTGTACACCGTTTTTTCATTTCATTTATCCTGTTCTATATTATCTATATATCAATTGCTAATGATTGCAAGAATGCATAGCAAGTATAGCCGTAACTATATTCGGTTTACGTGCCAGAACTGTCCCACGGTGCATTGTCAATCTCACTATCACCAGTCCTCTGCTATTATTTCGAAAAGGCTCATCCGAAGGAACTATGCTGCCTTTGATTGTTAGATGTGTCATTTAAATCAAATCTGAACCTCAGTATAATAGATATGGTTACGGTTAGAGCTGTTTGCCGATTGTATGATGTTGAATTTTGATAATCTCATGCATTTTATCGTGTTTCCTATCTTCGCTGACGCAAAGTGATAGTTTATGTGAGACGAGCTATTTTTAGGATATAGGTTAATATAACTTGGGGGAGTGGCACAAAAGCAAGAACACGGGTTGTTAGTTTAATGACGTATCTCGAAAGAGATGTATTTTAACGTATTTGTTAAATACAATCATTTGGAAACGATTGTAGCTGGAAATCACGATACACATGGTGTGATGAGGTGGTGGTCTCCAATTGAAAAAAACACTTGGTGTGCAGTTATAGTTTAAATTAATAGACTACCCAAATCTCTATGCATTATATCTTCGGATATAACTTCCTCAAGGGAAATAAGGAAAGATATGGATCGAATTGATCGAACATCTTTTTTAACGACGTTTAACGACTAAGTCTGAAAGGCTTAGGTTAAAAAATTATATATTTCCCTCATGGCTCATGGTCGCGTAATTGATATAAAGCTCAAGTTTATCAGTCCACATTCTTTGTTCAAAAGTTTGTTCAGACTTTTGATATTCAGTTTCGCAAGTATGTCCTAAACGCGGAGGAAAATAATGACGATCAGAAGTAGAAGACCCGGCCTATTCTAAAATATCAAACAACCAACAAAATAATATAAAAGTATACAAGAGTTTTAAAGGGTCTTAATTTCGAGTAGAATTATACACACTTCAAATTCAAGCCAGGAACAGTTGATGGAAAAATGAGTCAACTATAGGTCCTCCGGCAGGAATCGAACCTACGGCTTTGCGATGCCGGTGCAATGCTCTTGCCACTGAGCTACAAAGGTATAGCTGACAAGAGTAAGCGTGGTTAATGTGTATAGGATTAAGATAATTTAATCCTCCAGAATTTACCTACATCGAGTGAAGTGCCAAAAATAAAATATAGAAATACAAGCTGGGTTTCCTGGATATGTGTTTTCAGGCTTTGTTTTCTCTGTGTAAATATAGTATGACAGATAGAAACCATAGCGTTATTTCCAAACGGCCTAGATGATGCAATCATGCGCTTCATGTATGCATGGTCGCCATGCAATATCGCTTAACCAAAAACACTTCTTTATTATTCAGAAATACAAAATTAATTGTTTTTAATCTATCTACAAAGATATCATCCTTTGGTTATTTTGTATTAATGAGAAAATTCCAAACTTTCTTTGGGTTTCTAGAATTGCTAAACGAACTTTAAGTGTCATGTTGCATCTTACCATGATATGTCATAATCCGGTGGCATAATCTCAAGGACGAGTTAAACAGCTTTACTTGCTCTTTTTACTATTATTATGTATGTTGATATGCATTCATTGATACGCTATCTTTGGCTCTGAGGCTTATTAATTAATTGTGATATTTGATCGTACTGTAATTATGATTGCGAGGTCTCGCCCAGAAATATGAAACCAATGTCCAGTCTGGCGTTCAAAGCAAATTAGCTTCCGTATGTACATTATGCGTGAATAAAGATGCTGAAGATCGCGAAATTTGATTACTTTATCAGAAGACAAAGTTTACGATCTTCAAAAAAACGAACTGAGGTTGGTAAGTATTTAGTATTCAGAATTCTTGATTTCATTCGTTGAAGTGTTTTGTCTGTTCATAAACCGTGCAAGTTTGATCGCATCAAAATCAATCACGACAATAAACATTGGTATCAATTATCTCAACTGACGGTATATTTTCTTATTTAACTTGGTTTCATGGTATTGTCGTTGACTCACGAGCCAGCTTAAACCTTGGATAGACTGTTGGGGAGCTACAAATGCGCAAACTCACGATGTGTTCCTAAATCTTATGTATTACAAGTGTCATTATGTGACTCGGCATTTGTCTTGAAGATCGGGTTAGAATTATTAAATACTGATCAAAAGCAGATGTACCATGAGAGCACTCGTTATTACTGTGTGAAAAATTGCACCTTATAAACCCTCATTTTAAGTTTTTTAACGAAATACTGGTCAAATTATGTATCTTCTGTATAATCGTCATTTCTTTTTTACATAATAGCTATTGGGACGCGGTAAGGCCCCTCTTGATTGCTAGCAGGTTAAGTGCAACTAAGATATCGATTTCATGATTATTGCACCACAATTTCTATGGATAATCATAGGTTTATTTTAGTATAGCGTTCATGTCTGCTATATGCTATCAGAAGAATTATGTGTAATTATAAGATATGCACGTAAATGAAATAGATTCAATATTTAAAGAAAATCTGGGTTGTATCTGTATAACCTTGGCATTGGTGTTTATAATGGGATATTCTTGTGTGCAATACGTATCAGTTAATGTATTTCATGTGACATGAAGTGAGTGATGATGGGCTCGTACTGTTCCATGGTGCTTCAAAATCCTGAAATATTTTATGCGCGAGACCCTCGCTTCTATGATTGCATGAAAGTATAATTTGCGCAATGTTATTCTTTAGTCATGGTTACATGAATCATGTCGATGGCTTTTGGTATCATCACTATATTTAGAAAGTGACTCACATATCCTGCCTGGCTTTATATGTATGCACTCCATTCATTTAAAAATTAGATTAGTTTTCTGTAAAAGGCAAATAGATAAGTGCGTTTTGTTTGGTTTTCATATTGACATCATTGATCAGGGTGTTTTGTGACAAACGACGCGAGGCGTAAAAATCACATAATTTGTTTATATTACATTTCATTTACACTCCAATTTATAATAGTATATAATTGTTTAAAATATTTATCATCTATACCTTCCGTGTCACTGTAGAATGTGGTTTTAATGTTGTGTTTAGATTTTCAATATTACTTTACAATCCAATACTAGTTGATGTTTTGAAGCATCATCAGAAGGCTCTTACCTCGACTCTTAATGTGCAATAGACTATACAACAAGTTTACATTTACACTAAAAGCGCCTATTCCTTTGAACATCATATCACATGGATCTATTCTTTGAGTCAACTGAATTTTAAAAGGCACATGCGTATAAGCTTAAGATTGATTGAAGTGCGAAGTACCACATTCAGTGATTGCGACCTTATTGGTGTAACGCGGAAATACTGAAAAACTGCCGTAGTTTAAGACACTTATGAAGAATTTGTATACATTTGTGCGAAATTTGAAAAATTATTAGTTAATTTGAACTTTTTTGTACCAGTTTTGTACTCAAACAACTGGAAGTAGGACAATTTATTCCATTTTCAGTCTCTAGTGTACCAAAAACCACGTAAGAAAGAATTTTGGTTTATAAGGAATTAAGTCCTGTTACGGTGTTGTAAGGAAATGTAGTGTGAAATAACAGCAAAATAATTGAAATTCTATTGTCTCTTTAATTAAACTTCACATCATATCGTACGTCATCTGCGCGTCACTACCAACAGATCAAAACAAAAGAATAAGGTATTCCAGAAATGCAGATAAAACACGACAGATCACTGATCATGAGACGGATATCGTTCCATATGCTTAGTGCATGCGTGGCACTGTTACTTTGCTAAGTCGAGGATTTTCATCCGTTTTTTCCAGTGCGGGCGAAGCAGCCTTAAAAAAAATTAATCGCGCGGATGCATAATGGATGGTTTAAAAAGAAGGCTTCTGGCAGGAAACAGAACTGAATGAGAAGCATTCCTTGAAGCTATTTCACTCCACTTTGCTCGAATTGTGTCTCAACCTCTGCTTTTGTTATACTGAATTTTTGACTGCATTTTCTTTCTACAAAAGATAGCACACCATCTTTGGTTGTGGGTGTTTCTTAGCGCATTGACATTGTAGACCTTCGATTGAGCGTGTAATTAATGCAAAATCTTTGTATGTAATATGGAACGTGGTTCTAAGCCATAAGGTGTAAATTTCCCTCTGTTGTTGATAAAAAATATCTCTTGAATCTATAATCTGCAATTCATCCTAAATAGAAGGTCATCTTGATTGAAGGTAATTCTTATTAATTGGAATGTATATTTTATAGCTATCAGAAGGAGATATAGTAAGTGATAGATATAAGTAATTTGTGTCTATAATACAATTCCTCTTACAAGAGGAATTGACGGTCGAAAAGATGATCTTGAGATCGATTGAAGCAACGTTCTGAGGTTGTGACGACAGGGCAGTTATAGTAACATTTACCGAAAGAAATATCCCCCAGTATGTTTGCTTAAATGAAATTATATGTAGCTTTTTAAAGGAACTATTGACTTTTAAATTATTTGTTTATATTTCTCGTTGGTCAATTCAATATTGCATGTAAATCGTGATTGGATTGTAGCCATGTAAGACATGCAGCCATTGAATTGCACGCAATTGCAAATAATGTTGGAAGTAAAGAAGGCTGCTTTCTTTCGCCATTTAATGATAAAACTTAATACGGTTTTATATATCAGAAAGCTTTGAAACTATGAAAACGTTAAGAACTTTCGCTGGCAAATTTCCTGACGATCATGTCTCTTTATACGGTAGCCATAGAATGTAACAAAACATCAATTAACCATCGAAACCTTGTCTACACCCCTATCTCTATAAATAGTCTTTCGATTTATAAATGCATGCGTGAAGGCGTAGGTAGTGTTAACAGGATATGCCAGCATAGTCCAGATGTTTCCTTCATATCCTACTCGGCAACGTTTTGGGTAGTTTGTTTCCATACTATATAGTTTCTTGCTTAATGCGGATTTATAAGAGGCGTTGCATTGGTAAAATCAACGATCATATACATAAAGGCATTTTAATTGGGATATGTGCAAGTGATAATCAAACCAAGCAATTTACGGCAATTTTATAATTGAACCTATTGTAAACATTGTCGAAGTGTTTTGTTGTTCCGTGAGGATCACGCGATGAAGCTAGCTTTTAAAATATGGTTTGACCGTTTTCGAGATCACAGCTCTTTAATTTGTCATTTGGACGAAAACAAGGTAGCGGTGAGTTGCATTTCTTGTATTCAGTGATATCCTGATGCCTTGAGGTTCAAACTGCCCGTATGTTTAGCAAATACTGTATTCGGCAGGTCAAGTGGGTACAAGCTATGGCGACTGTCCAGCGAATATTGAACGAATATAAAGGATCATGTAAAATCATCTTTTTTCATTTAACCCACTGCACGGCGGTGCTTTAATTTGAACCATGAAACCAAAAAAAAATACAGGCTCAGTTGTTACTATATATATATATTCTTCAATCCAATGTATATGGATATCGCTGTGACGCGTATATGACCATCATACCGTAGATTGTTTGTTTGCCAATTGTTTGGACATAATAAATACCTTTCTTAAGCTCCTTCTCTTTGAATTCAAATCCGTTGTTCACAATAAATTGCTCGCGAATCTTAGTCACTAAAATATTAGTTCATTGGTTTAAGATGCACATCCTTTCCTTTATCTGCATATATATACACTATGCTTCCGCTAATACAGTTTATATGCATTAATCGATCTAGTTTGGTTCACAATAGTTCTAAGAATTTTTGTTCCCTTGTCACAAGTGCCAGTAGTCATTTGTGTATGTGAATAACATTTTGACTGTCGCTGTATCGATGCATGCGGTAGATCACCCGTTTATATTGAGACTGACTTGGACAACCTCGCCTCGAAGACTACTCTAGTGACGGTCTCAACCAGGCTCCATGCATGGCGTATGCATATATAATTATTGTTATTAACAGCCTGTTCAAATGTGCGTCAAAAAATCGATAAACACGATTTATATCGAGAACTTAATTCCTTGACAAGTAGTAGATTTTAAACTACGACAAGTAGTAGATGTTAAAAGAGTATACGAGCATATCTCTGTGATCAATTAAAAGACTGATTTGCATACCCCACATGCACTAATGATAAGATAAACTTAGATTGTTCCACAGCCACCATTACTCCACTAGTCTCTGTATATGTAGCGACAGGTAATGATTAAGTGGAAAATAAACTTTAAACACAATTTTTGTACCAGGGGAATAACATACGATAACATACGATTGAAGTTAAGTTAACATACGATTGAAGTGAAGTCTCAAAGTGATGATCTCGCATCCTGCTGGGAGCCGCTGAAACTAACATCTATACAACAACGATTCCTAGAATCTCAGTGTAGAAAATTGCAATTTCGTATTCGAAATAGAATGTTTCCCGTAGAATTCGTTTTCAGTTACACCCCGAGATGAATTAGTACTATTAGGTTGAATATCGGCGAATATTTTTTTCAATATTTTTTCAATGGATAATTCAAAATAAATAATAATTTTTAACCTAATGCTGTATGTATATTTATAAAGTTTTGACTACGTTTCTTTATAGTGGGATAACGTGGAAGAACGAATCAAGACTATTCGTCGTTATCTAGAGCAGGAACAGCTTTTTATAAAGGTAAGTAAATAATATTGATTGATTCGTGGGAAATTCAGTGGAGACGCGACATTATTTTGTACTTTCCATCCATCTTATCTCCACGAATAACGTTTTAACAAATCTGGCGGCCATTACGGTATATTTTGCTGGGTAAAATGAAGAAATTGCCAGCCGAAATGTATTTTAGCCCGTTATATATGTCCATAAATCCCATCTGTTTGGCTTACAATGGAACTAAAAGCCTTTTTTATAAACCTCTCATTTAGCACAGCCTGAGAACATATATAAGTCTACGAACGTTAAGTGTCTTGTTTTGTTCATCGATTCTGCTTTAAGTAGCAAGCATGAAGTGAAAGCTGCTATATTTCTGAACATGGTTCCAAGCAGCTGAGTCCTAGCCGCTGTTTGACATAAAAAACATTTTATGCATACACTGATCAGGTCGTCAAAAGACCAAAAAATATATTTCAAAGTTACAAAGAATCACAGATAGATGGCACCTGCCACGGAACTGCTGCAAATAAGTAGACTCAATATCGACTTATTAGCGAGCCCGTGCTTGTATTGCATGCAATGTGTTGGCCATGGCAACGAGAAACTATAAAACCGGTTTCGAGGATTAGTGAGGTGAGGTCGAGAGGTATCTTCGTCACTCTCTTATGAGGATTAGAATCCTACTCAAGGAGGACAACACGATAGCGACCACCAAAACAAACCTTATCGAATAAATGATTTTAGGGAATGAGGCAGGGTTTCCAAAACGATTACAGCTGTGTGAAAAAGTGCGTAGGCAGAATAATAGAGGAACAGAATTAAAGACGGCGGTCTTTCGTATATAATACTTCTACTCTAGAACACCTACGTAGAGATTTAGAGTGTACGGCTATAACTTATGGATTATTTGACTGTGTTCAACTGCAAGAATTATAGGTTCGGAAACGTTGCGAGAAATGAATCTCAGGTCCTTCCACCGATGTCATGTACTATTCAACATGTTCCAATTTTCGCCATCTTCACAAGCATAATTGGGCCCATTCTTCACGCGAACAGATACAGAGCAGGAAGCATCCGCTTCCTGAAATTTGGAAGCTAAAATTCGAGCTTTTCGCGGCGAATTTTGACCTGGTTTCGCTTTGCGTCTCGTCTAGTTGAAAATGGCTTATAGTCGTGCCAATAAAAAAAATTCTGATCCTTCGTTCAAGTAACCATACATAGAATACAGTGGAGCCTGAATAAGGATTATAAACGCAAAACAAAAAGGAAATAAAACATGATAAACTATTATCAAATGCAAAAAATCCGCAGTCGCCTTCTTCAGACTTCACTGGTAATTTACGGTGCGTTCTGCAACGGAAATCTTTCAAAATTTGCTCGTGTTTTGAGTTGGAGGAAATATAAAGTTAGCGCGTTACTATGGCAGCGGCTTGATATCAAACCAATCAGCGAACCGCAATTCAACGCTGAATTCAAAGCTGAATTGCAGTAATGTAGTCGTTAGTAACAGTCTTCTATTAAATAATTGGAGAAACATGAATCTCGGGTGCAGCAGGTGCAACTCTGTAGGTACTGTTGCACCTGCTGTCTGTCTTCACAAATTCATAGTTGCACCACAGGGGCACAGAATACTATATATGCAGAAGTCTTCTCTATTGTTTTTTGCGTTTGGGCCATTAGTCATTATTCGTCACCGAGCAAGTGCCAGGGGGGGCGACTGCTTCTGTTAACTGTACTTGCTAAGTGGTGACGAATCATGCATGACGAATTACGCAAAAAAGAATGGAAACGAAAGGTTTTAAAAGCCCCGTTTAAACTACAGTCAATTTATCGTCATGGCACAGCACGGCTAAAATTGGTACCCATGTTCAGGCTACCAATACAAAGGCCGAGCACGGATGAAGTTGGCACGGGTACCCATTTTAGCCGTGCCGACAAATTTAGTGTAGTGTGAACGGGGCTAAAATCTCCATTTTCCTTCCTGTCCGCTAAATCTATATAAGTCTATTAACTAAATCTATTGTCTAAACAAATATATATAAGAAATAAGCATTAATTTTATCCCTGAATATGAAATTTTACCATTCTCACCAAAACGTTTAACCCTTTGGTTTGCGGTTCTCAACCATTGTTTCATCAGTGGCGTAGCCAGCTCGACGACAATTAATCATGCTATGCTAATATTTTGGTGTACATTGACTGTTAAAACAATGAATTTCAAAAGAAATGAATAAAGATAATAACATAAAATTTGCATAGCATGGCTAAATCGTCAGGCTGGCCAGGCCACTGTGTATCATTGGACTTTAGCTTTTCTCAAAACTAAAGAAAAATCGGTTGAATGTTTTTCGTGTTAAACCTTTGAGACCGTGCACACTCTGGGAAGGTGAGCTAAGGTATTAAAGATTTTAAACTTCCTTCTTTTGTTACTTAGAACATCCAATCTCAGTACGACGACAAACCAACTGAAAAACTCGAGAGAGAGGTAATTAAAATTCTTAGTATTGTAACATCGAGTGCGATATATGCTTGATAAATATAATGATGATGTCTAAACTAAAAGTACTAGCATACTAAAAGACTCTTTATATATGCATGTGTTGAAGAAGGATATGGTTTAAATCTTTGAACATAGCTTTGAGACGGCAACACTTGTAATCCATTTTACTTGAGAATTGAAATGGAAGAGATGAATGAGTTGAAAACAATGAAATTGTGACGTAATTACCAGAAAGGTCGAATTCTGGTTTTCTGCATTGACTTCAATACTAAAGTGCTTACGTATATGCAAGCATGTTGACATCTTCTACCACGCAATTCATATTTCGATCTGATAATCCGTGCGCATATAGAATGAATTAAACTATTTTACGCTTAAGAGAGGCAGTGTATATAATTATAAACACGCACACACACAGATCATATCTCAATCCTAAGACATTAGAGGTATTCTACTATAGGGACCTTAGGTTGATGTTAACGACGTCAAATTACTAACAAGCATTCTTGCATGATTTTATAAATCCTATTACCACTGCTTTTACGATGATGCACCTGTTTTGAAGAATAGCAACAAACTATTAAAGTTAAATGTATAATATTTAACATTGATTTCTATAAAGCAAACGGAATACTGATACGTCATGAATTTACCAAAGCAGCACTCTTGACGAACCCTTTTCACCTTTGGTTTTGAAGTGAACGTTTTATATATTTTGCGCTTAAACACAAACTTCAAGAACATTCATGCAGTTGTTAAAGCATGATAGTTGCCAAATCCTGATTTACTGCTTAGGCGAATACGTGACTATTGCTTAGTTTGCTTTCAAGATCACTCCCAAATACGCAGACGTTTGATAATCAGATGTTTGTAATGTTCCAAAACAGGTGCATTGTAAAAGCATTTGAAATTAAAAACTTCCTTTCCGGTTCGACGTTTGCCGCAAACGTCAATCTCATAGAGTGTCTTGAAAACACAAAACGTTCGTTATATATAAATACAACCTCATTCCTTGGCTTTACCCTCGGGAATACGTTGGCTGGCGAGTTTACTGTGATTTCTTCTTCGTTGTTTGTATTTGAGAAAAACTAAACTAACGCGGAGTCACCTCAATATCGTAAATTTTGAGCAGTGAATTATCCTTTCGATTCGGCACATGTATATTGCTTTCCAAAAGTATTTCATCAGAATACTTAGACCATACAAGTATACAAATGTGGCAATGCTCTCCATAAAAGTGAAGTGCTGTGGAAGAAAATATTTACTTTCGGAATCAAAATATTAGTTTACTTGGACTTGGACTTTGTTTTACACATGAAGCTATATAAAATAGCTTTCAAAAAGAATCTTTATAAAGAGATGACATCGATCAAAAACCTCAAGTGGTATGTGCTGTTATTCATAAAAATATAGTTTTAAAGCGAAATCTTAATACAGATACATTTGTGATTCGTGATATAGGAGCACAAGTACGGTAGATAAATATATAATGAGCGGTGAAAGACTATAAACAGTGTAGTTGATCGTACACAAAGAAATTCAACAGACACGGTTCTCTTTTCGTAATAATAAATACAAGTTTCATCGCACATTTGCATGGATTTGCCATGTGTGAAATTTCACATTATTTCAACATTGTCTATATAGTTTCGAAGAATATTTTAATATTCATCAAAGTATTTGCGTAATTTGATGATCTTTAAACATGAATTATAAGTGTTCCTCATTTTCTCTTTTCTCGCACTTTCATTATTTTCGGACATTTACTGTCCTCGTGATTCAAAACATTGGTCAGTGTACATGCTAATTTTATCACATGGATGCCTGGAAAGACGAACTGTCTAGAGTTTACGGACGTGATAACATGGCGAATCAAAAATAAGACAAAAAACTGAAAAGTATATTGGACCAATATTTAAGAAGTGTATTGCTCAACAGCAAAGCCGAGGCGATTACATTACTCAGAAGGCATGCTGACAAGCATCAAGTGCAAAGGTCTATAATATATAATGTTTACTTGGGTATATTTTATATAATGTGATTTAATAAGGTCGACGTAGTTTGTCTGAAAAACTGTTATTAAAATAGAGGCTGGTTTTTTTAGCACTAGACTCTAGAGAATATAGCTTAGGTCATTCGACACCCGGCTATGTATATGTACAACACGGATACTTTCCTACTTTTATATTTTTATTTATAGAGATCTTCCTGCATGTCACGTTAGTTTAAAATTGTCTGCAATATTTTCAAACAAAAATATGTTAATTTCGAGACTTCACGGACAATTGAACTTTTTATCTTTTGTTTTGGTAAAGAATATAAAAGACATTAGAGACTTTAATTGGTATAACCTGGTCTATAAATATATCCTTGCCTTTTTAGAAACAGAGCTTTGTTCTAAACTCAATTGGCACGATCTTGTGTCCTTGATACAAACTTGGCTTCGTTTTGACTGCAAAAAATTCTGCATCAACATGTTAAAACCATGGTAGTGCGAGATATCCTGTAGTTTCTTTAGTGTGTTGCTTCCCTCCTGTTGTCAGAATATAATTTTACTTTTGTACAAAATCACTGTGCTTACCTTCCAAGATAGAGCCCTCGCAGGACGACAACGAATATACAAAGCTCTTCATTGGTGAAATGCAATTTGAAAGAACCTGCATGTTCCTCAAGTTGTATTGTTTTTAAGAATCCAGCTAGCTGGATGCTTCCCTTCTGTTTATTTGAGTAGAAAAAAATGAACACTACGTGTAATGCATGCAGGAAAAATTTAAGACAAGCAATGATATATTCGCTTGTTTGCCAATTATGTTAATTTAGCCACATCGAACAAACTTTACGTATCTTTTTGCATTTTCATAACGTTTCCGAGTGTAAACTGTCAATTTCCGTGCGTTGCTTTTGTTTTAGGCAAATGTTCATTATTATGGATGATAGATATACTTGATTAAACATGCTAATTTTTTTCATACGCTCAAAGTGTCCGCTAAGTGCGAGATCTTCAGGAAAGATGTCTGCGCTATAATAGAGACAATGTAAATGTAAAAGAAAAAAGTGGGGTTGAATCGGTGGAATAATATTATCGTCTCGGAATTGTAAACCAACTTCATTCTTGACTGTTCTTCATGCAATGTTTCGTAATGTCGGAAGTGAATACTTCACTGCTGGATAATTCTCGAATACGTTTCAATATATACAGTTATACCGCTCGAGAAGTCCAAGGGGATTTCTTATCATTTGATTAAGAACGCTTTTAACTATGAAACCGTCACGAAGTCGTCAGAGACGCGCAAGTTTACCAGCCATACCTGTATTCAATAATCACATCAAGAAACCATTATGGATGCAATCCATGCTGAACCTTGGACGAAGGTTTAGGCTAAGTGATTCAAATGTACGATATTTTTAAATCCGGATATTGTGTTTGTTTGAAGTCTAGAATCACTTCATACGTGAAGCGCTTTATATTAAAAACGTTCTAGGCAGAAACGAGCGGGCAAATACTTTTAAATTGTTACCGCGTAATGCATGCGATAATGTTGTTTGGATTGTTTATTATGTGGTCATAATGGCCGCAGTTGATGAATTAGTGTACGAATGACACTATTGTGGTATTTTTTTACACTCAAATATACGCGTGTTGCCTAAAATCTTCGCAGCCACGTATAGTCGTCGTGGGAACAAGAAATTATAGAATGTGGTGTTATTATATACGATTATATACGAGTGTATGACTGCATGCTGTAATTCTCGAGTTTTCGTTATTCAGTCATTAACAAAACGAGATGCTTTCTTCACATTCACACAAATCTAATATATTGTAATATTGTCGTATATATTTACTTTATTATCCGCCCGACTCTGGCCAGGTGTATATTATAAGCCACTTGTCAGTTTGAAATAATGAATTCTTGCTTTTTATTTCAGCTAACCGAGTCAGGAAAACGAGCAAAAGCGCTTGAACAAGAATTAAACGCTTTATCGGTATGTAATGTGTCAGTCTTTCTTTCAATGCTATTGTGCGTGTAGGTCATTCATGAACAATTGGTTGATATATAATCGTTTTGTAATCTCTTACATTGTCGTCCATTACTGTTTTTTCGTCATAAAGCTGCGATAAATGAGGAAAGAATTTCAGCGAACAACAACATAATTATGCATGTTGCAGAGAAAACTTTTTTAGTAAACCTAAAATGGCAAATATACTATTAATTCATGATAAATGCAGCATCATGCATTTGCATTTTGTCCCTGATATTTTATTTGCAATAAGCTGTTTCGTGAAATATTTAATTTTGGTCTTGGCATTTATGCAATTGTTTTATTAACGTCCGAAATTCCAACCTTAGTTATTATTTCACTTTTATATATTTGATAGAATTTTAATGCATGAGCAATGATATTAATAACGATAATGAATACCTGTGCTCGTGCCAAGTTTTTGATAGAGGGCAACAATTAAGCTTCTTTCAAACGTGTTAATAGAGGAGTGAGATTCTGTGATTGACACGTATAAGGTCGTGCATGCATGCATGCTAGAATAAGTTCTGAATATACTTGTGAGTTGTGTGCAATTACAAGTATTTAACTATAAACAAAGTGAATACATCTTTAAGAGCAGTTCTCTTGTGACAGTGATAGGGAGAGTGCATGAGAGATAGTTAAAATGATATAAAACAACTATGTGGCTTTGCAAACACCTAAATTGATAATGTTAATATTCGGTTTTTTCGAGAAAAAGCAATATCTGCAAACATGCATGAACACGTACAACTTGATAATATTATGACCCAACGTACTGCCACTGCTTTATGCTGAGACGGAATGTGGATTGTGTATAAACTAAATGTACGTACGATTGATTGTGAGTTTAGAGACTATCCAAAGTTGACTATTTTAACTATATTCTAAGTGCATGTGAACACTTTCCTTAATTTGCTGCGAAGTCTTGAAAAAATAACACGCCCATATACGTATGTAAGTGCAAAGTATTGTATTAAATTCTTGACCTCAATTTCGCCTTAAATTCTTCACCTCAATTTTAGGCCGTTGTTCAGTGTGCAATTAGGCAAATTGGAAAAAGTTTATTTTCTCTTGTGTTTCGTTATGATATTAAAATGCATGCTATATATTGTTAGAGATTCACCGGCTTATTGCATCATTTCCTGAATATCACTTAATTCGTTTAATATTTAGAAACGAATAAAATTTTTGATGAGTCGCAAATGGTATTGTCCTTGACCCTCAGCATGGTGAAATTTTTACAAAGTCCTTAAACAACGTCTGTTGATATTGTCTATTTATATTATGCTGATAACTTTCAGCGGTCATGAATTCCTATGAGGCATACTCGGCATGCAGTAAACCTCAAAGTGCTAATGTGTAATCTTCACTTGTAATATAGAGCAGGAAGTTTAAATCGCCCTTTATAACATTTTTTGACTGATAATCGAATTGAATTTCTTTAACAGAGTCCTGCATCATTCAGGCAATGCTTTATGCTATATTCTAAGTATTTTAGATTTAACGAAAAGTCTGCGTAATTCTTGCTCTTCAACGTTAGTCTGCTATCGCAAATTCACATTTGTTTTACATTTTTGTTATATACAGCGTAAAAATACAGTGTTTACGACGTATAAATTCCGTTTGATAAACTATGCATATATCAATTAATGAATCTTTTCTCTTTTTTTAGTCAAATAGAACAAATTTTCTACATCTGTCAGGTGAAACTTCACCGACGAACCCAGTGTTCGGCGACCCAGCGGACTATCAAAAACCAAGTTCTGCCAAACGACATAAAACTGATGCCAGTGTTACTGGTTTGTACGACAATCTTCAAGATGCCCTTGCATCACAATCTCCGTCAACAAAGCCCTTAGAAAATCCTTTTGAGGAACCACCTAAATCGGTAAATTTTGCGTCTACTCTTATAATATATAATATTAGACTTTCCCCTAAAGAGACGACAGCATGTTGTATAGCAATTTGTATTCGTCTTGTATAGCCCGAAGTCTTCACTTTTCAATCGTCAGAGAGACCTGATAGTTTCATTTCCAAGCCATACGGTTTACGAAGACAAGCTGTAGTAAGACAGCCCAATCGGGTAAGAGTTATCGTGAGGTGGCACTGAATTACATGGAGCATGAAGCTCCATTCCTTTCCACGAGGTGCCATAGGCCATGCTTGACATATTTCAATGAGTGTATTCTAAACTGAACTTTCAATATCTTTTATTATAGTCGAAATCTCTGCCTGGAGCAAGCCGCTATAGATCAGATATTTACAAAGCAGTAAAAGAGAGCGAAGAGGCGAAGCTGAATGAGAATGGAGAAATAAATGATAGCGAAGATCTGAGCGATTCAGGAATAACTTCAGTAAACATGGCTCGTCCACAACAACAAATTATGTCAATTGAGGATGATGATTTTCCTTCGGAAGACGAGAAGGTATAAATAGGTTTAGATTATAACACTAATCAAGTCCTACTCTCCCCTAAGTATTGTTAAAGACGGTTTTTATACTCGTGTGTTTGGCGCATAAAAGTATGCATGCATGTTTTATGGGTCTCGGTCCCTCTGTCTTTCGTGCACGATGACTGCAAAGACATTTTTGGACTGCTGGGGAGAGAATGGATATGAAAGCTAGGGTGCCGAGTCAAAGGCTGCCTGATCGTATAATTATAATTTCTGTGAAATATTTCTATACAAACCTATCACGGTCAGTTATGCAGTAACAAGTTTTTTTACTGTATTAGGTCGAAGATCATGGTCCATTTAACGACCTAACTCTACTTAACAAAAAACCAGGTGAGTTGGAATAAATTTTCTTAAGTATAAACATGCCTTAGCCACGAAGGCGAGTTGTCTAATTGTTTTAGTATACACCGTGTACCTAGATATATTAATTTCGAGAAAATAATCGATACACCGCAATTACACGGAAAAAGAATTTAATCAATTCAATTTTATACGGTCGCGCGAGCGAATTTTTCCCAAACGTTCACCATCTCGAATAGACAATAGTTGGGTAGCCAATCAGAATGTAGGATTTGTAATAGACAATAGTCGGGTGTATACTAAAACTGTATATTTTATCAAAAAGACGACTGGGAACGAGTCAGCTGACACCATGCTACTGCAACGATCATTGCAATGAACGTATATCCTTCATAAATGGTGATACTCCACATGATTATGTCGAGCAATCAAATTCTCATGTACTTCATATTATTTTCAGCGCATATGGCAGTGTTCCTTCACTATTCAATCTCAAATAGTGATCCAACAAGTTTGGTACGTAGAATTAATATACTCCATGCACGTGCACCTTACGGACGGAAAATAGATATTAGTTTTTAGGGTTTTTTTGCATATTCACCTGCATATATTGTTGGACTGTACATTCTGACCAATATACAAACAAATCACACTAATTTTTATAGTTATTTTGGCTGGTGACTGATGGCTATGATGACGGCTCTTCAAAAGAGATGAGAAGATGGATTTACGAAATTTATTCCACTTTTTTAGCTGATGGAGCGGTGAGCTACGTTACAAAATTTAATAAAATCGATCATCGATTTCATGCCAATTTTGACGATTTACTAAGAAACCATTTTCATTAAAATGGTACGAGTGTTTACAACAAACTAAATAAACAATTTGTTACAGCCGTTAAAAGTTGATGATGAGTCTACGAGCGAAGTGGTGAAGAAAATAAGTGAGACAATAAGTTATTTGTCTTTGTTTATGCTGCTGTATATTTTGGAACATGATGTAGTCTGTACTGTGCTGTAGTTTATTGCACTTTGATAAACAACTCAAGATCCTTGCAGACGATGACGCGAATATTTTGGGAAGATGATAATTTATAACTGTACTATTGTTTTCAGAATCCACTCTAACGAATGGAAAGTGTAGTGAAGAGACCCTCCGAGGGCTTCTAAAGCCTCTCAGGTAAAACTTATATTTGGATTATTTCACTACTGTTGAAGTTTTCTAACAGTGGATGAAATTATTTTAGGGCTGCTGCTGCGAAAGACGTCTCAGCCCTTCTCTCTGATTTTCGCGCCAAACGAGCACTTGGGTTGGGCAGTTTGTTTGGAGATCATCAACTGGAAGGTTCGTCATCCAGAATATATATACATGTTGAATCATTGCTGGCAATATATAGTACGTACAAATAAATTATGGTTATATTTAGATGACAATATGGATCGAAACAAGGAGATTACTGTGGTTGAACAAACGTTGGTTCACCATTTAAATAATCTACTGTAAGTTATTGACATATCTAGCTTTTTTATTTGACATCTAAAACATAAGAAATTGTCAATCCAATTAAAAATACAGTAAATAGTATTTACAGTAGATGTGTTCTTGGGATTATGGATTTGTAACTTTTGGTTTTGTTTTTGAATGAAGGAATGAGGTTGAGAACCTTTCAGATCCAATGAATTTCAAACCATCTGATGAACAAGTTATCAATCAGATTTTTAGAAGGTAAGAATGCAAGGATATTGTATTATAAGAGTTAAAAAAGGTGATCAACGTGCTGTATTTTTTCCTGCAACCAGTGAGGCTCTGTCGTGGTCCATTGCTACCTTTATGAAGAATGTTGGAATTACAAACAAGGTGCAGTAATAATTAATCGATGCTCTTATGTTGTGAATTGTCTTCACGGTTGTTAATTAAATTATCTGTGCTTATTTAGGGAGCGAATTTGAATACAAATGTCCTAGAAAGGTGCAAAACCTTCATACATAAAGAACCGAGCGGTGCTAGTTTCTTAAGAAGTACAAAAAAAGATAAGAAGAAGGTAGGTTACAAACGATTGGGAAAAAACTAGGACTGTTCAGGTTTTAAAATATGTAAAATCTCTGACTCTGTAACGTAGAAAGTAATACGTCATATGTAACATAAAAGACTCAGTTCCGAAATATCAACCACTCGAACCGTCTTCACCTTGTAGCTCAGTTGGAAGAGCATTGGACTAGCAAACCAAAGGTCGCGGGTTCGATTCCCACCGTGGTCAAGCTAATTTTTCAGCTTGCCCGGTTGGTGACTCAGAGTAGCAAAATCACATATATGTTTGTTAAATAGTTCACTGAGGTGCATACGCTGCATGTATCATAATATGTTATATTTTTGTGTATTAGCTTACCAGAAACCATTCGTTTCACGCAACGGTCTACTCGAGCACGACGTATTGTCATCTTTGTCGCCAGTTAATTTGGGGAATTGGGCACCAGGGTTACCAATGTCAAGGTAGGCATAACAATATTACAACAAAACTATATCTGAGCGTGGCGTCTAAAGAAACAAATATTTAAACATAAATAAATCGGCTGTTTACCTTTTGTCTAATATTGTGCATCATTGTGTACTAATTTCGTTCATCATGGGAAATGGGAACTTTGTGTAAAACGTTATATTTATTAAGAATCTGGCGTGGGAGAATGTTGCACACGCTGTTGAATAAATTCAAATGTAAACACTTTTTTCTAGCATGTGAATATAATGTGCACAAGTTACGCTGTATTGATGCTATCGATGAAGTGTGCACAGGAAAGAAGAAAGAAAGGATCGTCACGGTTGGTCAATGTATATTTTCTTAGAGGAAGAAAAGTTTTGCCGGCCAACGTCAATAGCTTATCAATGAATAAATTACAAATACAAACCAATATTAGCATAAAAATATCAGCAATGATACAGTTCACACGCCGCCAGAACAACTTTGCCTGCTGAATATTCGTTTCCGCAACGCCGTATCCGCGTTTTTTCCCAGATCTCTACAGGCGATAATTCGCTATATTCTTAGATTTTGGCATTCATGTATTTTGCTTGCTAAGCAATTTTCTCACAATCAGTTGACCTTTTTTAAGAAATGTTCGCTGAAGCTTGATGTATTTCATGTATCTCTTACTTTAGAGACCCGAGTCGATACGCCGCGGTAGCTCGAATGCATGTACGTTTCTTTCAACTATTCTTTATAATCATATTGTTTCCAATTTATCCATATTAGTCTCATTGGAGCTGTTATGATGTTAATGTTAGAAAATTATTTTCACCTGTAGTAAAACCAAGTGAGAATGGGGATCTAAATCCTTCACTGGAAACAAAAGAGGGTATGGAAAGAATACTATTTTCAATCAAGTGAAGTGAGAAATGAGAATGCGATTTTCTTGAACGTATTTAAAGCAAAGTGGCAAACCCTCTTAAGATATTTCGATAAACTGTATTTTGTACCTATATAACTACCCTATACGGTTGGCGGAAAGACATTCTTAAGAATCAAATCCTTGTAAGACGTGGGAACATTGGCAAGTATTAGGCCAGGCTATCATACGCCTGCAACATCTGTCTTTGCTCCCTATTCCGGTTTTTACCCGCAATAATGGTGCATCACGCACTTGCGGCGGCATCAGGCTATGTACATTTAAGCCCGTTTTTTGAATAAATTATTTTTTGTCCTAGAACCTCCTAAAAGAAAGTCATGTGATGATCGCATTGCATCGCCAAATCCAAGGTACTGTCTTTTTTTGTGAAAAGTTTCTTTGAAACATCGAAATTTAATCCCCGTGCGTGTGAAAGATGCTCCAGTGGAAAGTACAGCCATTAGACTAATATTCACGATGAAGCGAAATAGTTTTTAAACATTTGAAAAATTGACCAATTGCGAGTCTCGATTAACTGCATACACAATTTTCGAGGAATATTCATTTAGCAAGCTAGGCTAGAAAGGAGTTTTTATTGGTTGGACGTTATCTCAATTAAGAACATTTTTTGAGTTCCTTAACGCAATATATATAAAAAATGCTTTGTGATTTTTTTAAAGCGCCTTTTTTTAGATCACTAGTTATAAATAGCATGCCTAAGTTTTATTTCGATTGTGCTATGTGCATTTTCGCGTATCAAAGAAAACAGCGTTGATAATGTTGCATGCATTTGCACTGTGATGCAGGCAAATTCCTGTATGTTATATTATGAATATTTCAGATTATAAATATTTTTTCTCTTTTCAAATAGTCTTCATAGCAGGTCGGATGATGAATTTAGGTGAGGCTGTCTACCAAACATTCGTTCATGTATTCATTGCATTTATGACTTTATGGTTTAAATTATAAAATGTTGCTAAATCACGTATTACTTTTCCTTCAGGCGAGCTTCCTATTTGGAGGTATGTATATCATCTATTAGACGCAATGATCTGTACAATTTATATACAAATCAGTGATTACGCGAGTAGAGCTCTTGGAGATGTCCAACTTTTCATCACACTCGCTGAATCTTTCAACCTTCTCTTTTATCGCAGGCAAAACCTGCTCCAAATGTAGCAAGATCAACGAGTATGATTACTAACAAGGTAAATTATTGTTTTTCCGCATATTTGTTTTTTTTATATTTTTAAAAAAACAAGTCATCCTTATATGTTTTGAAAGTTTGTTGAACACCTTTGTAGACAACTCTTTTCTAACCTGCCTTTCATGCTTGAAAAAAAGCTTGATGTTAATATGTCGCTGTATATTTAGGCCAGTAAATTATTTGCGCATCGTTGAATATTCTGCCTTTCACGACAGATTATATATCACTCTTGTTGATCAAAGATGTGATATAGCTATGCAATGTCCCAATCTCAGACAAAGCACTATAGATTTTGCTAAGTATGCTACAACATTACTTAATCTTCCCAGGATTGTTTTAAACACTATAGTAATTTTCTTGCAGAGAGAGCATTCAAGAGTAAAAGCCAATCGTTCGAAAACTGAAGTGATTCCCCCAACGGTATTTATTCCGGGAGTAACAAAGTAAGTATATTTAGTATATTTCAATATTATTTCTAGGACATAATTACTCCTATATATTATGTAACGGTAAGGTTACAAAACGCACAAGAACCTTAAAATTGTGCCATTTGCTAGGCCTGAAAAGATTGCAGATAAAACATCCGATTTGACAGCTCAAGTGGAAAGTGGTGAGTCTTTTTACCCTTCGTAATTACACTATAGCTGTAAAATGCATAAACATTGGCATTTCATCCTACGTAGTAGAGCACCTAAATTGTATGAATGCAGTGAAAAGTGTTCTTTAATTGAATTCATATTTCTTTTTTTATGTGATCTTGAAGACGAGGAAACGGTATGTTTCATTTTTGTAGCCTACGTATGCCTGAGAGTGTCGATATCAAGATTTAAAAATTAAAAAGAATTAACTAGTGTTTTGAAACCATTTCATGTGGCGGTTATGACTAAGAATTTCCTTTTTAGGACTCTGATTTAGAGGTTCCAACAGAAATGCCAAGTTTGAAAGACATAATTGATTCGAAGGTAATAACTAGTGTGACTAGTGAATGCATGCATGACTCAGAATACAATCTAAGAAACGTTCCTTTGCTATTCTCTAGATTTACAATCACATCAAAGGAAAGGATAGAAAACGATTAGATACTATAAATGGTAATGTTTTTTTATTGTTGTATCTGGAGTTTGTTGCTCAACTTTTCCAAATCGAAGATAACTCGACTTGTATGTTGTACATTACAGAACTCATTCACACAGAGAGAACTCATGTACGAACTCTTAAAGTGTTGTACAAGGTACTGTATTTCAGGTGTCTCAATCTCAACTGGAATGTAAAATCACTGACAGCAGACCTAACGACTTTTGACCTTGACTTTTTTACCTTGATCTAGGTATTTTATAAACCATGGATGAAAGCTAAAAGCGAGTATGAAAGTTTTGGAAAACTTCTCTTTCCTAATCTCGAGGAATTAATAAAGATACATAGTAAGTTCACATGTCCTTTTTATCTCGTAATAATCATGCCTCGTATTGGAGCTCCCCTGTTGCAAAGGCCATGGAAATCTTACCTATTTTACCTACTGTAGCTTTATATCATTTATGGATTTATTGCTTGCATCAACAGGGGTGCAGGAGACGTCTGAAAATTGTTAACTCGGAAGTCACTCGGCAACTTCCTGAATCCACCACTACTGCTGCAGATTAGAATTTACGTGATGTGCCTCTTCGAGATATCAGAGAAATAAATATTATTCCGTTTTTAGAATCTCTTGTTCAAGCGATGATGGAAAAGAAGAATAAACATGGTTATGTCGATGAGATCGGCGATGTTATGCTAAACCGGGTAAGAACCATTGATAATTATGAAAACAACTCGATGAAAAAGCTCGTGCAACGAGAAAAAGAAGTTTGAAACATAATTGAATGAAATTATCCAATTCCAATATGTTGCTCAATCTCATATTTCAGTGCATAATTTACGACGTGTTTCTTTCTTAAAACTATACAGGCTATATCAAAGTAGGGGAACAAAAACGCTAGTCTTCATACATTAGCCTGTGCTCCAGTCCAATATCCTTTCGTTATTGACCCTCGCTAACGACGGTTGTTTTTTCCACTTTCAATTAATGTTAAAGCAGGGATTCATATCGTTAAAGTATTAATACAAACTGGGAATGGCTACCACTCTACTGAACATGATCACATGTCTGTTTCTTTTAGTTCAACGATCAGCCAGGAGAGGAAGCAAAGGAGGCGTTTGCCAAATTTTGCCAAGGTCAAAATCACGCTCTTGAACTGTTGAAGGTATTTTTAAATGCTGTGTTGTAGATCATTGCGTTCAAAACTTATATATAAATTAGTTATTGTGCAATGTAATATAATGTACTACATTTTATGTTTACAAGTATGTGTGTTGTCTTACCTTACCAGGTGAAACAGAAAGATAAGAAGAAACTTGATGAATTTATTCAGGTCTGTTATGCTCTTCTATATTTATACTATCAGTGACATAATCTATCTTACCAAGCACAAACAAATTAATAACCTGTAAACTGTAAATGGCTTAATGGGCTAATTGGTTGTTTATTCTCTCCTAAAGCAATGTGAAAGCAATCCTTTATGTCGGAAACTATCTCTTCAAGGAATCATTTCAAGCAGTTACCAACGTCTCACTAAATATCCACTCTTTATCGAGGGACTAATCAAGGCCACGCCAGGTAATATTTATGCTCAGTGCTTAGAATATTTATGAATACTAGCAGACAATTATTGCACCATGATGGAAAAGTATGGTTTGTCTAGTTGGTCTAGTTTTTCCTTTGCCATCTTTTATACAGCGGATTCCGGTTGACTGCAAAATAACAAGCGTTCGCAACGCATGTTGGATCGTTTAGAATATGACGTTTGAATTTTGAAATGTCACACGGTTTTGGCGCGCATCTTGCATGTAAACATATTCGAAACGCTTGCGGTATTTTAAAATGTGGAAAGTCATACGAAAGGGCGATCCTACAGTCATGGGAAAGCACTTTCTTTTAAATACAAGCACTTTCTTTTAAACCCAAGCACTTTCTTTAAAGCACTTTCTTTCAACAACACTGCAAGCCTGCAACTATGTCAAAGCACAAACGGAACGCTCCGCCCATTCCTTGGAAACAGTGCATGTGACAATTCAAGAGTCATATATTAAACGATCCAACATGCGTTGCGAACGCTTATTGTTTTGCAGTGAAACGGAATCCGCTGTAAATGAATGTTTGTAGTTTAGGAAAAAGGTAAATAATATATTTTTAAAAAAATATATTTAGCATGCTATAAATGAACATTTTTCATTTGTAGCAAATAACCCTGATCACGCTCGACTTAAGAAGGTGCTAAGCATTTGTAAGGTAATGAACTATTTCTCTCATGCAATTGTCTAGCTAGCAATTCGACATCCCGCGGTTAAGCCAATCCACCTGTCGGTTTAGATTAACTTAAATACGAAGGAATATATTACTGGTTGTCATCATGCATAGTAAAAATTCTATATATATATTACGTTGCTAAATAACGACTTAGCGATGATTATGATAAAAAGAAACTAGAATTTATCCAGCAACAATGGTTGGAACAATAGGACACCACATTCAATAATAATCACACCTAAAATATTTATTTAGCGAATTCTTGAGTATGTTAATCAAGCGGTGAAAGAATACGAAGATAGACAAGTATGAAATTAGATTATAAAAATATTTACAGTGTTTTTGTCAATTTCCCCAATTTATTTTTTCTTGTGTTTTTGCAGCGTTTAGCGGATTTCAGCAGGAAAATAGACAAAACACCGTTGGAAAAATCAAATCATAAAGGAGCAGAAGAGTTTAAGGTGTGAAAAATGTAACCCTGGCAATGTAATGCCGCTATTGGTTTGACATAAACTATTGCATGTGATTGATATTGAAAGGAGTGAGGGATTTTTTTCATGGTAAAAACTGATTGATATGATAATATGTGATGTTGGTAACGTTCCGCAATCCGCTCTCCGTGTTTAATGAATATTATAAATGTCATTATGAGAGGAAAGTTTCGGGATGATAATATAACATCATTAACATCATTAAATTCCTCTTTCCAGAATTTAGATATAACACAACACAAGTTAATTTTTGATGGTCCTCTGACATGGAGGATGAATCAAACGAAACACATCGGTAAGTGTATTAAATTTATCGTCGCATGTTCATCTAATGATTTGTGAAAAACTTTGCCTTTTTGTAATTGCGTTTCTATTTTCCGTAGATCTACACGCGCTGTTATTAGAAGATCTCCTAGTATTGCTTCAAAAACAAGATGATAAATATGTCTTGAAATGCCAGAGCATGAGTATAAAAGGTTATCAAGATAATAAAGTGAGTGACGAGGCGTGAAATATAATACTTTCACTGTCTATTGTGCCGCCGAGTCTGTTACATGCACAAGTTACATTTGTCTATTCATTTTATTGAATGAACGGGTTACCATGTACGTCGGTAGATTTGTTAGTTGACTGTGACAGACTGTGAAGTAGCTACATTGCCATGCAAGTCTATTCTACTCCCGAACAAAATAACCATTATAATGAGCCTGATATACTGGACCTCTTGGGAAGTGTATCCCAAGCTGATTTGTTCCCAGTCCTGACTAATTGCTCACACTTCTCAATACACTGATCAACTGTGTAGTTAGCATTGCATGCAAGTGATATTTGTAGGGTTATTGTTAAACTACGTATGTTTTGTACTTGCAGACAACACACAGCCCTGTTTTGAAGCTCTCAACGGTACTTACGAGAAACGTTGCCACAGGTATTAGCTACTTAGCTAATCACATTAAAAGTAAATCGAGTTCTTTCTTGCGATGAAACAATCGTTGTAATCTTTCTGAAAAACGTTTTATATTATAATTTAGCAAAATATGATACAATTATAGATGTACATTTGCACACGTTATTTTGTTGGAAAACGTATCCTTCGTTTTTACAACTCGTTTACTTTTTTGTAGATAAAAAGGCTTTCTTTGTTGTTGGGACGTCCGACATTGGACCTCAGATTTACGAATTGGTTGCCGCAACAATGGTTGAGCGAAAAAAGTAAGAACCTCTTTTAGGGCCAAAAAGCTTCGACCAGCCTTGCACATGCGCAGAACGGACTTGACCGCTTCTCAGTTTATTATAATATTGTCAGGTTTTTGATTATTCAAACATATAGCATTTACTTTATCGCGTTTTTAATTATTAATCACTGTTGCGTCTCAAAGCATCTCAAAGACAAACTCTAGTATAAAATATTAGCTGACCAAATGTTTAAAATAACCATTATAATGAGCCTGATATACTGGACCTCTTGGGAAGTGTATCCCAAGTAAAATCGTTGTAAGCCGAGATATAGTTAATTAATTTCTCCTTTTTAGCTGGTTCAAAAATATTACCGAAGCAATCGAGTCTTGCAAAGGAAAAGGTTAGTATTTGTTCGCATTTCTTCAAATTAAAATGATTGTAATGAACCTCTATTAGGTGCTCATAACCAGTATCTTGCAAAATATTTCTATTAGTAACATTCGTTCGATTATAATAAAATATTTTCAGGAAATTCGACCTCTCACGATATATTAATAAACCGAGATCGAGAATTAATATAACCTGAATATGAGGGGAGATATCGACAACAACACGAGTCTCGAAATAGTTACAACCTATAGCTACAATAATTTCATATTTTAAAGTATTGATGCATTTTTTTATATGTTTGCTATGATAGCAATCGTTCTATTTAATAATTGCAGGAAATTTACGAAATTTATGAAATTTGACTGTTAGTAGGGTCGAGGAAAACAATGATGTATACTATTATAATTGTTTATTATGGCGTAGAACGAGGAAGACGTAACGCTGTCGTTGTTACAAGCACAATGAAAGAGCCGAGTGATGTTGAAAATGAAGAATTTGAAGCAAAAGAAAAAGACGACGTTGAAAGTGAGAAAAATGATGAGAAGAAAGAAGATGGGATAAACAAGGAAAGTGAAAAAGATGCAATTGATGAAAAAGAAAAAGATTCCGAAGAAGCACCAGAACTTCCAAGCAAGGTAGTTTGTTTCAAATATCTTCACTTTATTATTCGTAATTACACGCGTGCTGTTCTAATTATTAAAGGAGGATGTCTATCCAGTGCAAAATTTTCCAACTCATCTATAATGGGATGAGTTCCGCCCGATTGTCTTCAATACGGTGTAATTAAAGCGTTAATGGCGAAGAGTTCTCTCAAGTTCCCTCAAGTTCCCCTTTTCATTCTGTTTGTTTTTTTGGAATTCACTTCTCATTGGAATTATTTTATTTTCAGAATTATTTAGGTTTAGATTTATCAAGTCGAGATCGATCACGCAGCTTAGACGATATCAAAAATGAAATCAGTGTTGATTCTCCGAAAAAGAATCCAGGTAATGTTGCTGTAATTTTATAGCTTGGATATTCGCTGAGGTTCTGGGTGTTCTTGACAATTGTTGAAACAGAAATTTATAAATACTATATTTTAATAGCTTCAGTGCAATTTTAGATAATCCTTGCTTTGCTATAGATGGCGATGGTTTTGATACAGATGGAAGCACTGAAGGCTTCAAAAAGAACTCGCCTGATGATTTTTCAGAAGCCAGTGAGGGCTCATCAAGGTCTTCTGTTGAACTGATTGGTAGGTTGACAAAAAAAACACTTAATACACACATAATTTTTGCTCATATAAAAGTTCACATATTTTTGTTTTTGCTTTATTAGAGCTAGTAAAGCAAAAAGATGAGGAAATCAGAAAGTTACTTGATGAGAAATCGCGATTAGTTGAAGAAATCAGGGTAAGCGACATTAGTTTTGGAGACCACGCCGCTTTGGTACAGGCGTCAAAATGGTTATAGTAGGGCTATATATATGATGCGCACGCTGTCTTGCCAATGCAATTATTAGTTGCCATAAATAAATGTCACCAATTCCAGTATATACGAACGGTGTATAACTCGGTAACAAATACTGGGTTACGGTGTTTTAATATTTTTCACGATGTAATTGAAACGTCTGATTCTTACTTCAGGGAATTCCTTCAACTGAGGGTCAAGCTTCCTACCAGGTAGGCCACGCAAGAGCGCTAAGAATTAACAGTAAACGCGATCTTTTTAATACCCTTTCCGGAAAACGTTGGTATAACATTTTAATTGATCAGGAAAGTGCAAAGAGATGACATGAAACCTCTAAGAAAAGCTATAGAAATCACGCCGAGCTTAATCCTTGGCCCCTCAGAGAAACTCATCCGTAGCGGGATATTGAATGGGATAGCTTTAAGAAACGCGAGTCGTTGTGTAGTTTCTCTTATTGATTATTCTTATAATTCATAAATTATTATTATTTTGATAGGGTTTTGTTTCGGACAAAAGCCAGGATGCAAGGTAGGGTATTAACTATCTTACTTGCATGGTATATAATCTTAGGCACTTATGCATGTGTAAATAAATTGACTCTGAAAAATCTATGAAATCTTTTTTTATAAAGCTCAAACTATGACATCCTAGCTCCCACGTCTGTTCCATACTTGTCGTTTTACTCAAATATATATCCCAAACCAAAACTCCCGTCTATTGCTATGATTTGTTGAAGGGTTTATCAAATTCCTTTGATGTAGCTACTGTAAAGGGGTGTACCAAATGCAGGCACACCAGATTAAACGCTCTTGTTTACATTTTTAGAAACCTTGTTGTCGATTCAATTCTTGAAGGTAATTATACATATTTTCTTCCCTAAATATTGTTTCCTGCAACTAGATATGGTCTGTACGACTAGCGCCTTGAACTGTGGAACTTACATTTCAACCATTCCCTTTCTGTCGCTAAAAATTCTGATTTTATTGTCTTTTTAGCAAACCACATAACGGATGCAGTAACCAGCATTCTTAGTCCAAGTGACAGGTCACAAAATGTCGAAGAAAATCCTCTTCCTCCACAGGTATAATCTCACATACTCCAAATAGAAAAAAATGCCTTTTCGTTACGCTTTTGAAAAATTGCTTTTTGATTTTAAAGCAATTTAAGCCAGTACATTTACTATTTCTTAATTATGTTCCTAAAGTTTCCTCTGAACCAACAGTACTTTGTCGAACAATGTTTACTGACTTTGAACTGTCAGATTTATAACTTCGTTTAAATGAACCCTGACGTATATTTTTGCAGCAACAACTGGCTACTTCAACAGCCAGACTGAACGAATGTCTGACTAGATTACTGGTACGTAATGTAGCATTTTTATTCCTTTAATTTTTTGCATAAATGATCAGTCTCTTAGACATGATCTTGAAATTAAGAACTTAGAAGATCATGCTTGTTTGTTATTGTTTCAGAATGTTATTGCTGATCGAGATATGAATCGTGAAAAGTAAGTCTTTTTATTTGAGTCCTAGAAATCAGTTGTTATTTTAGGAAATGACAAAAAAATTAATTCATTGAACTAATTCAAATTATTCTTGATTAGACTGCAATGTGACCTACAGTATTACAGAGCTTTAATACACAAACTAGAGCAGGAACGTTCTCCTAGAACTTCAAATCCGTCAAACTCGGATGAAACGTTTTTACCGAATAACGATGGACAACCAGGTCAGTTAGAGCATTTCAGTGACAATTTTGTTGCATTAAGAAAGCACGGAGGAAATCAGCGTTTTCTAATTATTGCAAAGTCCTCACCAATGCAAGCTCCATAAATCACCAATGCAAGCTCCATAAATTTAGTTGATAACACCACCTTAAAATCGTTATTCTTATTATCTTGTTAGGGAACTGGAACGTGGTAAATGGAGGATTGGCAGTTCCTGATAACTTTAATGTGAGTATGAATGTAACAAATCGAATTTTTGGTAAATGAAATATAAAGGAGTGCAAAACAAAACTCGACATGCAAGAACAAACGACTTAGCCTAAGCGAAGATGAGTCGGAAAAAACACATTTCATCTTCTTTAGGATCTTTCAAGACCACCATTAAGGTCGTCGTCATTCAGTGGCTGCAGTGAAAGTAGTCGAAGTAGTAGAGGAAGTAATAGGAACTCCCTGGTTAGTATTCTGTATTTTTTAACAACTAAGTTATTCTCACCGTGCATGGATCTAATTGTGTATACATACTGTTCAGTTCCATTTGGGTTAGCTATGTTTGTATTCGTTCTGCATGTTTCCATTATGTCTGAACGGCAGCATAACTCTGAATCTCGGCGCTGAATTAGGTAAATTTACAGTGGGGAAGGATTTTGGTAAATTTACATTGTGGAAGGATAAGAAACGAAATACAGCGGTTACGGAAGTCGTAAATACACGAGGGCCTGTTATTAAGAATAAATTGTACACATTTCATTCAATTTTATCAAGCCCGTTTCACTAGACCGTTTAGCGTAAACCGTGGTTAATTAATTTCAAAATAGAAAGCAAGTCTATCGTTATTCGACAAGCAAACTAAATGTTATTAACCTAAAACAACGACACTTTTTACAGCTATACATAAACAGTGCATAAGTTTACTCATTCAAGAGTGATATTTGTAATAGTGTTATTTAATTTTGACTTATCCACCATTGAAGCTAAACGCCTTTGATACAACCGGTCTCTGGGACGCTGGGACCTAGTTAACTGTCTGACAGTCGTTAACTCGCTCTCGAGGTTAACACATCAATCTGAACCCTAAACTCTTATCTACTTCAAGGTAATGACAGATTTAACTGATCAAGTGGACGTATGACGGAGTGCTTCTACTGCGAATAAATACATAGGCATCTTAACTAACGTGGCCGGCAAGATATGGAACCAACGTATATAGTTTCGTATAAAGATATTTTTAAAACATTAAATTTTGCGGATATACGAATTTCATCGCAATGCAGTTATTAATTTAAAATTTTAGTAACTATTCCCCATAGGGTGACAGGGCAACCCTAAGTATCGTTAGTAATCAACTGAACGTGTAACTTGAATGTATTTAAGTATTTAAACAAGGACCATATATGGCCTGTATATTCGAGCTGTATATCAAAAGTTACTTCCTTTGCATTATATAAGCCAATGTAAGATCTCGTATTAAGTAAGTTTCCCATTGGGATTGAAACACCACTGATACTTGGGTATGTTTTTGTACAGATCATGATAGTGAAGATATAGTGTATAGAACTTTGCATTTTGTAACTCAATAATAGAAATGTACAGTAAACTGCATGTAAAGAATGTTTGCTTTCAATTTATGAACTGGTAGTAATTTGATATGAGGTACAAGGAAAAATGCCTCATGCCACAGTCACTACTTTGGCGTGGCTATATATCGTTGACGTGAGAGGCATATCTCAAAATCAGTAATATCGGCTATTTTATATTCGAGTTTAATTTTTTCGTATATTCTATAAGCTCTATATATATTTTCCGTATATTCTATAAGCTCTCTCTTTTTCTGGTGTCAAAATTTTTTTCGTTTCAATTTTTTTGTATCAATTTTTTTTTCCTGTCTCAGTTTTGAACCATTTCGATGCTACTTGCACCGAATTTTGAATTTTCTAAAAATTACGGGTCCCCCGTTACTGAGTTTCCTGAAAATTTGAAAATCATCAAGGTATGATTTTATGTGTTTAAATGCATTGCTTTCATGAAAGAATGTAATTCTACTTAGTTTTGAACCATTTAGAGGCATTTTGGACCGAAGTTTGAATTCTCAATAAAATGACCAAAATTACGATTTTTTTTTGTCTGAAAATTTAAAATTCATGAAAGTAAGATTTTCTATCTCAAATGTATTGTTTTTATGAAAGCATGCAATTTTACTTAGTTTTCAACTACTTCGAGCTATTTTGAACTAAATTATGAAATTTCGATAAATTTACGAAAATTACGATTTTTCGGCTTTGGTCCCCCATTACAGAGTTGCCTGAAAATTTGAGATTTTTAAACAATGATTTTGTATGTTGAGATCCATTGCTTTAATGAAAGAGTGTAATTCTACTTAGTTTTCAACCATTTCGAGGCGTTTAGCACCGAATTTTGAAATTTCGAAAAATTTAAGAAAATTACGATTTTTTCCTTTGATCTTCCAAGTTGCCTGTATATTTGAAAATCATCAAAGTAAGATTTTATGTCTCAAATGTATTGATTTCATTAAAGAATGTAATTCTACTTTGTTTTCAACCATTTCGAGGCATTTTGGACCGAATTTTGAAATTTCGAAAAATTGAGAAAAATTACAATTTACGAAAAATTACGATTCTTCCTTTAGAAAGTAGCGTAACTAATTTTTTTACCTCTCGAATTTTTTTTTCTTGTATCCAAAGTTTTTTCATGTCAATTTTTTTCTCTTATGTAAAATTTTAGCGAGGTTGTAGCATTTTGGTTTGAACGACTGTGTCTGGCTTGGGCTCAAGACAAATAAATTTCATTTATCTCCATTTTTTTCTTGTGTCCAAATTTTTTTCCAGCCAAATTTTTTTTCTTGTCAATTTTTTTTGCGTCCAATTTTTTTTTCTTGTGTCCAAATTTTTTTCTTTCAAAATTTTTTTCTTCTGTCCATTTTTTGTTCCCCGACTTTTTTCAATTTTCAGTCGTGTTTTTAATTTTTTTACTTTAATGTTTTTATTATTTTTTTACTTTAACTCAGGTACTTTTTACTCAAGTATTTTTTGAAGGGGATAACTTTTTATTTTTTTTTATTTTCTTTTACTTCAAAATTTCAATTTTTAAGTCTTTCCCGAAGACCCGGGAGTCTTTTAACTTTTTAAACTTCCAAAGAATACTGCAATTTTTTCAGGCTAATTTTTTTTGCATTACTAGGACTTGAAAAACCTTTCCCATGCATAGTATATATGTTGTAATGTTGGTATCCACATAAGATCCGGTCGCGGAGTGGTTAAGGCTACGGCCTACCAGGTTGTAAGCGTAGGTTCGAATCCTGCATGGGAAAGGTTCGATTTTTCCTCCCGAAATTACTATTTAATTTAAAATTCGTCGAAAAAGATTTAGTCAAATAAAGAACAATAGCTTTCGACAAATGATGTGGTGGTCTAGTGGTTAAGGCGTTCGTCTATCAATCCGAGGACAGACGTTTCAACTCCTCGCAATGCCAAAAAATTAGCCAGAAAAATTTCGATGTGATTTTGGAAGCCTTAAAACAGTTACAAAACTTCTCGGCATTTCAGGAAGACTGTAAATTAAAAAAAGTTTGAATTAAAAACCTGAAAAAAATTTCTAGCGTTCAAAGTACTTCAAAATTGAAAAAAAAGCAAAAGCAAAAAAAATTTTAAAAACATGTGTCTTCTAAAAAGGCTGAAAATTAAAAGTCGAAAAAAAATTTAAAAATTTCCCGCTTTTAAAAAACTCATGTCTACTTACCTTGACAGAGTGATTTTCTCGAGAGTGAAAAAATTTAATTTTTTTCACTTTTTTGAAATTCTCTTAGATTTTTTTTTCGACGCGGAAGTATTTTGTCTTGGGCTACCTGTGTCAAGCCAGACACAGGTTGCCCAAGACAGACACAGGTAGCCCAAGACAAAATACTTCTGCGTCGAAAAAAAATCTAAGAGAATTTCAAAAAAGTGAAAAAAATTAAATTTTTTCACTTTCGAGAAAATCACCCTGTCAAATTTTTGTGAAAAAAAATTAAGGTAAGTAAACATGAGTTTTTTAAAAGCGGGAAATTGTTAGATTTTTCCGTCTGACTTTCTTCATTTTCAGGCGTTTTAGAAGACACGTGTTTTTAAAACTTTTTTTACTTGTGCTTTTCTTTTAATTTTCGGGTACTTTTGAACGCGATAATTTTTTTTTGGTTTTTTAATTTCAATTTTCTTTTCAATTTACAGTCCTTCACAAAGTCCGAGAAGTCTTTTCACTCTTTTACACATTCCAAATAACACCGAGATTTTTCAGGCTAATTTTGTTGCATTGCCAGGAGTTGAAACGTTTGTCCTCGGATTGAGAGACGAACGTCTTAACCACTAGACCACCGCGTCATTTGTCGAAAGCTATTGTTCTCTATTTGACCTAATCCTTTTCGATGAATTTTAAATTAAATAGTAATTTCGGTGGGAAAAATCGAACCTTTCCCATGCAGGATTCGAACCTACGCTTACAACCTGGTAGGCCGAAGCCTTAACCACTGGGCTACCTCAATAACATATATATTAAGGCTGCTATCAACAACCAATCCTACAGCCCGGTGGTTAAGGCTACGGTCTACCAGGTTGTAAGGGTAGGTTCGAATCCTGCATGGGAAAGGTTCGATTTTTCCCACCGAAATTACTATTTAATTTAAAATTCATCGAAAAGGATTAGGTCAAATAGAGAACAATAGCTTTCGACAAATGACGCGGTGGTCTAGTGGTTAAGACGTTCGTCTCTCAATCCGAGGACAAACGTTTCAACTCCTGGCAATGCAACAAAATTAGCCTGAAAAATCTCGGTGTTATTTGGAATGTGTAAAAGAGTGAAAAGACTTCTCGGACTTTGTGAAGGACTGTAAATTGAAAAGAAAATTGAAATTAAAAAACCAAAAAAAAATTATCGCGTTCAAAAGTACCCGAAAATTAAAAGAAAAGCACAAGTAAAAAAAGTTTTAAAAACACGTGTCTTCTAAAACGCCTGAAAATGAAGAAAGTCAGACGGAAAAATCTAACAATTTCCCGCTTTTAAAAAACTCATGTTTACTTACCTTAATTTTTTTCACAAAAATTTGACAGGGTGATTTTCTCGAGAGTGAAAAAATTTAATTTTTTTCACATTTTTGAAATTCTCTTAGATTTTTTTTCGACGCAGAAGTATTTTGTCTTGGGCTACCTGTGTCTGTCTTGGGTAAGCTGTGTCTGGCTTGACACAGGTAGCCCAAGACAAAATACTTCCGCGTCGAAAAAAAAATCTAAGAGAATTTCAAAAAAGTGAAAAAAATTAAATTTTTTCACTCTCGAGAAAATCACCCTGTCAAATTTTCGTGAAAAAAAATTAAGGTAAGTAAACATGAGTTTTTTAAAAGCGGGAAATATTTAATTTTTTTTCTAACTTTTAATTTTCAGTCTTTTTAGAAGATACATGTTTTTAAAATTTATTTACTTGTGCTTTTTTTTCAATTTTCGAGTACCTTGGAACGCGAGAATATTTTTCAGTTTTTTTATTTCAAACTTTTTTCAACTTACAGCCTTTCCGAAAGTCCGAGAAGTCTTTTAACTGTTTTAAGGCTTCCAAATCACACTGAAAATTTTCAGGCTAATTCTTTTGCATTGCTAGGAGTTGAAGCGTCTGCCTTCAGATTGAGGACCAACGTCTTAACCACTAGGCCACCACATTATTTGTCGAAAGCTATTGTTCTTTATTTGACCTAATCCTTTTCGAAGAATTTTAAATTAAATAGTAATTTCGGTGGGGAAAAATTAAACCTTTCCCACGCAGGATTCGAACCTACGCTTTCATCCGGGTAGGCCGTAGCCTTAACCACTGGGCCACGGGAAAGTACATATATTGTGAGGTTAGTATTAACACCGGATCCACCTACCAGGTTGTCAGCGTAGGTTCGAATCCTGCACGGGAAAAGTGCCATTTTTTCCAACGAAATTACTGTTTAATTTAAATTCTTAAGGCCTAATTAAGTCAAAACTTTTTAAAATGAAATTTATTTGTCTACAGTTCTGCTACTCAGAAGCCCAAGCCAGACACACTGGTAGCCCAAGCCAGACACAAGTGGTCCAAAACAAAATACTGCGACCTCGCTAAAAATTCATGAAAAATTAGGACAAAAAAATTTTAAAAAAAAGTTGACACAAGAAAAAAATTGACAGGAAAAAAAATTTGGACAAAAAATATTGACACGAAAAAGAATTCAGACAAAAGTAAAAAAAATTTGGATATTAGAAAAAAAAAATTGTCGAAAAAAAAAATTTAAAAAAGTTGACACAAGAAAACAATTTCGACACAAGAAAAAAATTTTGACATAAAAAAAATGACACACAAAAGAAAAAATATTGATACAAAAGAAAAAATTTTGACACCGAAAAGATTGACAAAAAAAAAATGGCAACAAGATATTGACAAAAGATATTGACACAAGAAAAGATTGACAAAAAAAAATAAAAAAAAATTGGCAACAAGAACAAATTTTGAGAAAAAAGAAAAAAAATTTTACAAATACCCAAATAGTTTAAAAATTTTTAATTTTTGACGTATAGTATTTTTAAAATATTTGGTAGTTAAAGTTTTGACAGATGCTGAAGTAATTTAAGAACTTTCAAAATTTTGAACTTATATATTAGTAATATTCTTGTATGTACGTGGTGTACCTACAAGCTAAATAACTTATATATATTAGTGTTTTTTAAAATTTTCAATATTTCCAAAATTTTAAAAGATTTTTTAAATGTTTAAAATTTTTCAAATTTTAAATCTCTCACAATATATGATAGTAAGACAAATACCTAAGTGTGAGTGAACCTGGCACATATTATTTAGACTTGTCCTAGACCTGGTACAGGTCAGATCTTGGCCTCTAGTGTAACGGCTTAAGATATGGGGATTTGTGGAATAAACATTCAAATCATCGAAAATTACTTTTGGTTGCTATTTGTCAACAGTGCAATTTAACATCCACTGCCACAATGGGCACCATATTTTTATAAATTTTCGACAGAGGCATTTCTTACGCGCTTAGCAAGAAACGGTAGAATGTGACGTTAACGACCTGACCGCGTGTCAAAAATTTTCACATGCATATGACTAACCCAGCCGAAATTATTACTTCGTGTCTATCAGCCCGAGGTAATTGGTTAATTTACGATTTTTACCTTTGCTAAGCCGGATACATGCAATAAAACTAAACGAAAATATTAAATGCTCATCAACTATATTTATTTCGACTATTACTATGACCCTACTACACCAGTTTTTTCTACATTTCCAGCCTTCAGCCGTCCAGTTTGAGTTAAATGTTTGTCTTGGAGAACAGTTAAAGTCCTGAAATGAAATTAAATAAAATGTTTAACTAGCAATTAACAACAAAATCTCTTGGAAATGAGGAGAACAGCACAATAAATACATCGGAAGTGAAAAAATATTTCCTGAAGGAACACAGTACGTGTGGAGTCATCCATCTCGGGTCACTTGACCCTTACCCGTATAAAAACGTCAAAAACATATTCTTACTTGTCCACATTTTACAACACTTCAAGTAATCGATATCGTGGAGCCAGTCTTTGTTATGATCACGATACACTCCCACGACATAATAACCAGTCTTCATACATTTTGTCCATCCTTGTTTATCAAATTTGTGTCGAATATATTCGTTATAGCAATTCTCGTAGTTCTTGGGATGATTAACAGGCTTACAACATCTTCCTTCTTCGATGTTGTGTAAGTTATTTCCTGATGTCCGGTAAAGACCATTGAGGAAGTATCCTTCTGGGCAGAGACTCCAAGTGCTTCGTCTACGCAGTAGAAAAACATAAAAACTTAAATTGAAGATAATCCTCACCTCTAAAATTAAATGCATGTAGCTATTCTAACATGAGTATGCATAGACCAGAGTTGAATTTTTGCCTTTGTTTGAACCTTGGTCATTTTTTTTCTGTTTAAAAAAAGGCTTGTTTCTATTGTAGCTTTCCTGGGCGCATCACGTTTAGCGTGATGTTGACAACATGTTGCTCTACTTGTTTCATCTGTGCAAGGTGAAATTAGGCCAAATTAGCTAGGCGAATTAAACACATTACTTGTCAAGAGAGGCCCACCAATTTGCATCCGTACACACACTGCTTTGTGTTAGATAAAGTGAGTTAGATGAACAACATTGTGCCTCCTCGAGTCGATAAATTTGATCTTTGTCCCAATTATCCAATTTGTTTCGATAAAATCCAGTGATAAAGAGCTTGTTATTATTGCAAGTTGACCATCCTTTTCTATCAAAACTGTGCCACCAATTTGCGTTCTTACAATAATTCGGTTTAACGGTCACTAAAGAGTAAACACATTTGAAAATTTTATACATTAAAATTTCGAAACCATATCAAATCACACTTCGCAGCCTTTGATGGTCTAATAGCCACGAGCGACGTCACAACGTGAGAGGTAAGACTTTTTTCATGCACACCATTGTCCATTATTCGGTTTAATTTATACAGAATTTAATCTATTCGATGCATGCACCAACTTAGTAAATAACTTACCAATAATATCGCAGTTCACTCCACTATATCCACTTTTACAAACACATTGATATGAATTCACTTTATCAACACATCTTCCACCATTACGACATGGTTTTTTAGCACAATCATCAATATCTAGAGGATGGAAATAACATTCTTAAAGTTTGGGATTTCAATTCTAAAATTTATACATTTAAAACGTTCGTTGCACACTGCATGATGAAGGCCGGGCCGCAAGCTTTGCATATATAAAAAAATATATAAGTACGTGATGTTTCTATACAAATTGATAATTTTATAATTAGGATAAAAATACATTTACAATACATAGACAACATAATTATATACCATATAATATAGATGTTCAATGCTTCAATGCATAAATGCATGTTGTAAAAATGAATAAGAAAAATATTATGAATATCCAGAAAAGGATCAAAGTCAACTATGACGAGAGTAGTGGGAAATAACAACTCATACTTGTACAACTTTGTGTAATTACGATTTATATACGGTAACCAGGCTATATAGACACACTTTCGCTTTTACACTTGCATGTAAATATAACATGGATGATATTCACACATTCTTCCTTAGAAAACCGTTTCTTACTTGTTTCACAGTTCACTCCATTAAATCCAGTTTTACAAACACATTGATATGAATGCGCTTTATCAACACATCTTCCACCATTACGACATGGGTTTTTAGCACAATGATCAACATCTTGAAAATTAAAACCAGAATTGAAAATATATAATACAAATTTAATCACTTGTTAATGTGAAGACACATATAGTATGTTAGCACAGATAGCCCAATTGCAGGCACGCCTGAAATGCTGGCAAATATAGCTGGCATAATATTCACATCTTTTTTCTTATTGAAAAAAGCCTTACTTACTTGTTTCATAGTAGAAATAAAATTGAAATCTGGTTTGGCAAACTCATTAGTCATGTAACGCGTAAAATTAAGAACAAACGATCGTACAGTATATGCTATTACCTGTCGACATTTTACAACACCTCAAGTAATCGATATCGTGGAGCCAGTCTTTGTTATGATCACGATACACTCCCACGACATAATAACCAGTCTTCATACAGCTTGTCCATCCTCGTTTATCAAATTCGTGTCGAATATATTCGTTATAGCAATGCCCGTAGTCCTTGGGATGAGTAACAGGCTTACAACATCTTCCCTCTTCGATGTTATGTAGGTTATTTCCCGATGTCCGGTAAAGACCATTGAGAAAGTATCCTTTTGGGCAAAGACTCCAAGTGCTTGGTCTATGTAGTAGGAAAACAATTTAAATTTAAATTGAAGATAATCCTCACCTCTAAAATTAAATGCATGTAGCTATTCTAACATGAGTATGCATAGATCAGAGTTTAATTTTTGCCTTTGTTTGAACCTTGGTAATTTTTTTTCTGTTTAAAAAAAGGCTTGTTTCTATTGTAGCTTTCCTTGGCGCATCACGTTTAGCGTGATGTTGACAACATGTTGCTCTACTTGTTTCACATGTGCAGGGTGAAATTAGGCCAAATTAAACACATTACTTGTCAAGAGAGGCCCACCAATTTGCATCCGTACACTCGCTGCTTTGTGTTAGATAAAGTGAGTTGGATGAACAACATCGTGCCTCCTCGAGTCGATAAATTTGATCTTTGTCCCAATTATCCAATTTGTTTCGATAAAATCCAGTGATAAAGAGCTTGTTATTATTGCAAGTTGACCATCCTTTTTTATCAAAACTGTGCCACCAATTTGCGTTCTTACAATAATTCGGTTTAATGGTCACTAAAAAGTAAACACATTTGAAAATTTTATACATTTTGTATCTAGAGAAAAAAAATGTAAAAATATCCTAAACCACATTAAATTACACTTTACAGCCTTTGAAGGTCTATAATAGCCACGAGCGACGTCATAACATGAGATATAAGATTTTTTTCACACCATCACGTCATAATCAACGCATGTTATAGACCACGAGTTTAACAACATGAATGCGAGCGAACAAAGTTGCAGTATATATTCTTTTAAAAAAAAAACAATTATTGAATTCAGCTTTCACATTATATGAAGAATTGTCAAGCTTCAGTTTCACGTTATCCACAACGAAAAATCTTCACGAAAACTTCGCTAGATATTCTTCTTGGCAGGTTTAACCTCATTTAATAATTGTTAATTATTCGGTCGAGTTTATACAGAATCTAATCTAATCGATGCATGCACCAACTTACTAAATAACTTACCACTATCGCAGTTCACCCCACTATATCCAGTTTTACAAATACATTGATATGAATTCACTTTATCAACACATTTGGCACCATTACGACATGGATTCTTAGCACAATCATCGATATCTAGAAGATGGAAATAATATTCTTAAAATTTGGCATTTCCCGGCATTTTAAAATTATATTTAAAAGGTTCATTGCACTGATCAAGCCCGGGTTAACGGGCCGAAAGCTCAGCATGTATAACAATATAAGGATAAGAAAAAAAATAATTATATTCCATAAAATAATTATATTCCATAAGATGTGCCATGCATATAGATGCTGTTAAAATGAATAAGAAATATAATATAACCAACTTATACTTGTACAACTTTTACTTTACGTAATTATGATTTTTTACGGAATCCAGGCTAGAGACATTTTCTCTTTTAAACAAGCAAATGTAATCACTGAAATCAGTCTAAGAAATGGCGAAATGCAAATTTTAATGTAGAATGAATGATATTCACATATTCTTCCTTTACTTAAAAAAGCGTTTCTTACTTGTTTCACAGGTTACTCCATTAAATCCAGTTTTACAAATACATTGATATGAATTCACTTTATCAACACATCTTCCACCATTGCGACATGGTTTTTTAGCACAGTCATCAATATCTAGAGGATGAAAATAACATTCTTAAAATTTTGGATTTCCCGGCATTTTAAAATTACCGATTTAAAAAGTTCATTGCACTGATCAAGGCTGGGTTATAATTAACGGGCTGAAAGCTCAGGATATACATAACAATATAAAGATAAGAATACATTCACAATACATAGACAACATAATTATATACCATAAGATGTTCAATGCATAAATGTTGTGAAAATGAATAAGAAATACAATATAACCAATTCATACTTGTACAACTTTTACTTTACGTAATTACGATTTTTATACGGAATCCAGGCTAGAGACATTTTCGCTTTTAATTGCAGCAAATGCAACGACTGAAATCGGTCTAAGAAATGGCGAAATGCCAATTTTAATGTAGAATGAATGATATTCACACATTCTTCCTTATAAAAAAGCGTTTCTTACTTGTTTCACAGTTCACTCCATTAAATCCAGTTTTACAAACACATTGATATGAATTCACTTTATCAACACATCTTCCACCATTGCGACATGGTTTTTTAGCACAGTCATCAATATCTAGTGAAATACGATAGAGGCACAATTAATGTCAATGAAAACGTGGATTGCTTAACAGAGCAAACTGACAAAGTTGACTCAAATGCGTGAAAGCTACACCCATGTAGTTTGCATGTAGTTTGGGACAATTTCACCTCAAAACTATTCTTTAATTTACGGGTAGTTTTGACTTATTTGACTATATAGGTAGAGAAATCAGACAAAATAAAGCTGGAACGCCACTCTGTATAAGTTCAGAATTTTGATAATTATTTTTTTCAACACAATTTTTTTACGACCAAGGAATTTCTCACTTGTTTCACAGTTCACTCCATCATATCCAGGTTTGCAAATACATTGATATGAATTCACTTTATCAACACATCTTCCACCATTACGACAAGGTGTTTTTGCGCAGTCATTGATATCTAGAGAATTAGGACGGTGTAAACCGTATATATTGCTCTAACACAATATTCATTAAATATCGTGCGTTCATACCATAGATGGTTGCTACTTAGAAGAATACCTTTGTTATACCATGCAAGTATATATTTTATATTTCATTTATGCGAATCGGAATTCGGGTTGAAAATCAACGAAATGCTAACAAATTGCATGGATTGCATCTTCCACTATCAAGACAATGCTACCAAATAGAGCATGGATTGCATCTTCCACTATCAATGCTACCAAATAGAGCATGGATTGCATCTTCCACTATCAAGACAATGCTACCAAATAGAGCATGGATTGCATCGTATTCACACATTCTTCCTTAAAAAAGCGTTTCTTACTTGTTTCACAGTTCGCTCCATTATATCCACTTTTACAAACGCATTGATATGAATTCACTTTATCAACACATCTTCCACCATTGCGACATGGTTTTTTAGCACAGTCATCAATATCTAGTGAAAGACGATAGAGGCACAATTAATGTCAATGAAAACGTGGATTGCTTAACTGAGCAAATACAAAGTTGACTCAAATGGGTCAAAATTACACCCAGAGTGCATGTATATATATATATATATAGTCTGGGACAATTTCACCTCAAAACTATTCTTTAATTTACGGGTAGTTTTGAGCATTTAAATAATTAAATATATAGGTAAAGAAATCAAACTAAAAGCTGAAACTCCACTCTGTAAACTATATATAGCCGTTGATTAAGAATTTGATTATTAATTCTTTCAGCAAAATATTTTCATGCCCGAGAAATTTCTTACTAGTTCCTCAGTTTCCTCCATTACATCCAGGGCCACCTTAACTGATTATTTATTGTTTTAAATGCGTTCGGCAGATAAGAAGCGCCGCGTTCAAACTTCTCTTGGCATTAAAATGGTTCTACTGTGGATCTGCAAGTCTGCATGTGCTCGTAAGGTTAAATTTCTTCTTTGCGAGGTCGTTAAAGTAAAATGAATGCTTCCTCCCCGCTGCCCTGAACTGCTTCCGGTGTCTCTGCCAAACGATAGTGACTTTTATTCAACTTACTTTTCTCGCAATTCTGCCCATGATAACCAAGTGTACATTTACATTCATATGCATTCACTTTGTCAATACAATCTCCGTTTACGCATGGACTGTTAGCACAATCATCGATGTCTAAAAAGGAAAAATGATATTTTAATTTTGATTTTAATTTTAATGAAAGGAACAGTTCTTAATATTAGTGTTTATTTTTTCTTACTATTCTCGCAGTTCTGCCCATTATAACCAAGTGTACATCTACATTCATATGAATTCACTTTGTCAATACAATCTCCGTTTACGCATGGACTGTTAGCACAATCATCGATGTCTAAAAAGGAAAAATGATATTTTAATTTTGATTTTAATTTTAATGAAAGGAACAGTTCTTAATATTAGTGTTTATTTTTTCTTACTATTCTCGCAGTTCTGCCCATTATAACCAAGTGTACATCTACATTCATATGAATTCACTTTGTCAATACAATCTCCGTTTACGCATGGACTGTTAGCACAATCATCGATGTCTAAAAAGGAAAAATGATATTTTAATTTTAATTTTAATGAAAGGAACAGTTCTTATAATATTAGTGTTTATTTTTTCTTACTATTCTCGCAGTTCTGCCCATTATAACCTGGTGTACATCTACATTCATATGAATTTACTTTGTCAATACAATCTCCGTTTACGCATGGACTGTTAGCACAATCATCGATGTCTAAAAAAGGAAAAATGATATTTTAATTTTAATTTTAATGAAAGGAACAGTTCTTAATATTAGTGTTTATTTTTTCTTACTTTTCTCGCAGTTCTGCCCATTATAACCTGGTGTACATCTACATTCATATGAATTCACTTTGTCAATACAATCTCCGTTTACGCATGGACTGTTAGCACAATCATCGATGTCTACGAAAAGAAATGATGATAATATTTTGACATAACTTGGCCGTGGAAATCGTTTCCTATAACAATATTGACAATAATTCATCTTACTTTTCTCGCAATTCTGTCCATTATAACCAGGCGAACATTTACATTCATATGAATTTTTCCCGTCAATACATTCCCCGTTTACGCATGGACTGTTAGCACAATCATCATTATCTATATATAGTACAACATTGATCAGAACAATTTTGCATCAAAAGTGGTATTTAGACTGAATCACTGAAACCTTTCTGGACGTTTCGACCCGAATTTGTGAGTCATTAGGTGAGTTGGTTATATTATTTTGTTTATATATATTTTACTCTTTCGTTTTATTGATCAAAATGAGTTCTTCGCTATAGGGAACCAAATAGAACCAAATTTAACCATTAAAGTGTTACAGCATATTTTGTACTTGGCCGGATGTTTAGACCTCGAAAACTCTGCGCGCGTGCTAGATCGATCGTTCAGTCTTAACAGGTTTACGTACTTTAAAATAATGACCACCCACTGACGAACGAGTATTGCATAGAAATGAAATTAAAATGCATTTTTACCATCGATCAAACTTCGTATTTGCCATTTTCGGTGGCTTCAACATTCAGGTTGCTGCTATCTATGCTACTCACCAATAAGAGTATCACAATTCACTCCTTCATACCCAGATAAGCAATCACACATGTACGAATCCCCAGTTGAAACGCACTCACCATTCACACAAGGAGAGAGCTCCTCGCAAAGGTTTGTTTCAGTTTCTGAAGGCAAAAAGCAACGAAATGTTATTATTATTATTATTACTCTATTAAAATCATAGACAAATAGCATCGTTTCAAGTTATCGAACCTACGTTTTCCTCACTGAACCTTTGCTGTCAAATCAAAGTTAACAGTATATTTCTTTGAAATCTGGTTTTCATTCCGTCATATCACGTCTTAATAACCGTGTTTTCATTGTCGTAGAAATATATATTAAGGTTCTTTCTTATAAGACCTTTATGAAACGATTACGACCATATGCATGGCTCATGCATGGCTTGACTACCAGACTAGGATAATGGAAATTACCTTCATACACAATTTCATAGACGTAATTATATCCTCCTCCACCAGTGCACGCGCTGTTTGTGGAATCTTCGCACGTCTTGTATTCATACCCAAGACATTGACTAGGTTTCTTGATAGAAAATAAGCGTTCAGAGTGCATTCCTGACCAGCATTCTCCATAAAACTGCAAACCAAAGTAGCGGTAATCCTTTTTTCTCGCTTGTTTAGCGCATCTATAGAAAAGGAAATGAATTTTAATCTATTTAAACATGGATCAGTTTTTTATAGGCTTTAAAGAACCGAGGCACAGGCATACAGAGTAATTTTGTGAATCCTCAATAAGCAAAGTTTGGCTGTTGTACTTAAAATGTGGAAAATATAGCTTTGCAAAGTTTGCAAGTTTGTATGCTTTTTCAGGATAAACGGAAATTGTTACCATTTTAGGCCTAAATGTGGTAACAATTTGAATTCCGTTTACGGTAAAAAAGTATACAAATTTTGCAAGGCTATATTTTCCGTATTTCGCAGCTAAACTTTGCATTTCTACTAATTTCATGCAGCACGCTCTTTTCAGCTGTGGTGATTTGATTGCATTTCCTTGCATGGATAAAAAAGTAGTCTATAATGCAAAAGGTCTATTCCTTTACAATTTCTGTGCTAAAGTCACTAAAGCTCGGTCTCAGTCAATCCAAATTCATATATGGTCTTGCAAACTACCAAGATTCACCCCCATGCTGTTGCTTAAAATTGGCTTTCTATGACGGAGTCAATAAATGCGCTCATTTTTTATTAACATTTGTCGGGAATAATACACTTACTCGCATGAAAATGTATCTAAAAAATTTTTCCATTCGTTCCAATCTATTTTATCTCTAAAATTGGCCAATAATTCCGGTAGTGTTCTGTCTTCTCTTGATGGGTCTTTGAAACAACCTTTTTTAACTATTTTGGTCCCTGTTTCTTTACATGTGAGAATAACTTCAGTTGAGGCGTTTCCTGTTGTAAAAAGTAAAAGAAACAAATACCAGATTTTGGACAGTTTTAAACTGGGAAATGCGAGGCGTTTATATAGACTTTTCCTTATATTTAAAGTGAATTTCAACTTCCGCGCTAAGAATCAACCTGCATTTGCCTCTAATCCCCGCACGAAACAAAGCACCTCTCCTCTGCAGCAGAATTTGTGTAGCTATATATCTATATAGAAGAGCGAGTTTATATATAGTACCCCGCTATAGAAAAGATCGAGTTATAATCATACTTGGTAAATTGCACCATATACGAGATAAATACTTACACCATTAAATCTATATTTTTAGATTTACAGAGGCATATATATTTATCTTACCAGCCACAACAGTAATATATATCACAAGAAATATAGCAGCAGTGAGACTCAGCATAATGTTATGTCGTTCTTATAGTTCGATCACAGCAACTCATGTGCAAGCGCAAGCCTCAATCCAACTGAAACGAGAAGCAATCGTCCAACAAATTATATACTCGCCATAGAACAAAGAATTTAATCGTATTTTGATTATGATGAAATAATCAGAGGTTAAATTGGATATAACTCGATCTTATATTTAATTTATAGCATTCCATGCAATATAACGCGGCGAATGTTTAAAAACATTTATTAAAAGCTCTTGCCGAATTTTTCATAAGCTACAGAAATGAAATTCTTAATCAATTCAAACACAGCTTGAACTCTCTAATTGAACTGTTTAATTCTCGTGGAACTCGTATGCTCGTATAAAAAAACACATTTATAACTGATGCAATAATCATTATAGTAGAACTTGAAGTATAATATTGTGATGGACGTTCGCCTATTTTAATAGTTGACCCACACTCATACTCATTGAGTATGACATGGAAATTTTGTTATTACTGATATGAATCTAATGAAAGTGCTTTTTCAATCAGTGCATGTAAAAGTTCAGGTAAAACACTGAAAATCAAACTCTTATTCGAGTGGAGATAGTGGAGTCTTTACGACGAGATTAAGATCTTTAACTCAACGAGTTTGACATTTGACCACAGAAATATTGTTTAAAATCAAGCAAAAATGTCATTATATATATTACTAATGATTATTGTAAATACGTGCATGCTTTTGCGTATATTTTTGCATATGGCAAGTTGCTTTTTCGTTTTTCAACACACTCCCCAGGCATTAATCTTCTTAAGGTGAATTTTCAGTTTCTATTTCTGGTGCAGATAAATTATTATTAATATTATTATTTTCGCAGATATTCTCTGCTATATTCATAAACCACTGAAAAATAATCAGTTATAATGATAATCAAATTATGTGTATCACATGCATAAATTCCAAAATAGCAAAGATGCACCCTGGCAATTCTTTCATATCCCTTCTCATCAAACGCCTTTGTCAGGAGGGTCATTATATGCAGAATAACAATTGTCATGCCAACCCTTTTCAGGAAAATTTCGTCGAATCGCGTGGCGAATTTTGCTCTGTTTTTGGACAGTTGCTATACCACATTCAATGACATATTGCATAAATTGCTCATAGTTTCCCGCCAGGTAAATAAAAATAGCCAATTAAATAGGAATGGTATTCCTAATGCTTTTTTTATTGGATATATATAATCTATATTGAAAATAAATTAAATTGTTAATATATCAGAAACTAATAAAATCAGCCCTTATGCAAAGTCAAATTTTTATAGTTTTTTCTTAGGAATATATATATATGTATCATGTATGATACAAAAACAGTAGAAGAGGAAATTACTTGAAAAATATGTTTGAAAAAAGAGAAAATAAGAAAAGAACCTCGTACTTACTCCTGATATCTGCAAATAGTCATATCAATAAAATATAAAAGTATTCAACGTATACAATTAACAATTTCTCTATCGTATCGAATATTAAAAATTCTTTGAATACTTTGTCTTTCTATTTTCTCCAAGCGACAGCTAACTGCATGGCACCACACCTCACATGCACGCAATGTGTCGCAAAACTGTTCTTAGGCAATACCATGCAATCTCATTCGCATGTTGCAAGAAAACTTTCTTTATAGTTACTTTTAATACGAGGTAAATCGATAAACTAATGGCCAAGTAATGCGGGTGGAAATGCACGAATTGCCATTTAGTTTGGTGTATTGATAGCGTTGTATTTTAAAAATATATAAAACCGATTGTATTACCGATTTTCAAATCTTGTTTGATTACAGAATTATTTGATTGAAATCAGGGCGATCCTTATCGATATCCTTTCCCCATTTCGGATAATCAAAATCCTATATATTACATAATCACATGTCCAGTTAGCAATAAAACTGACACTCATACCGCATGATGATCGATTCGTTTTCCGCGTCTTACTAGCGAGGAGAAGGCTGCCTGACAAAAAACCCCAAAGGATCCTTAAAATGTTCACGCTTGATTACAGCTTACTGAACACACTCACAAACACATATACAAACAGACTTGAACATTGAAGAAAGTACATTTAATAAAATTCTGTCATAAATTATTCGCTAGATTATATTCCTAAAAGCAAACGTAAACAAACAATACAATAAATATCGTTCTTATTTTATGTAACCCGTGGTCATATATAAATACGCATTTGTATTTACACATATTTCAAATCTGAATCTTATATTAAAGTAAAATATATTTACAATTACATCGTTCCTATTAAGAACAGTCAAGACGCGCCTGGTCTAAAAATATGGCCCCAGAGCAATATTCACTAACAACAAAACGTTTGTGAACGGATTCAACATGCATCATCGATTACTTGAAACCCATTGTCAATTTTACAACGTATTATTCGTGTTTTAAAGTGTTTTAATCTTAAAAACGTTTGCACTACCGCTGCATGAAGGCATGCAGGCTCTCCCCATGCCACATTAAATACTATACAAGAGATTACGAATATAGATATACGTAGCTATAGTCCACCTTAAAATTTGAAACAGTGTCATTCATGTATCCATTTCTTTACAATTTATATTACATTTTCTTCAAACTTATATGTATAGATGCGATGCAATAAAACACAGAGTGATATATACACACTACCTAATTCATTTTGTGTTTCTAGAACTTACTGCCAACCACTTAATTCATGTATTTTCGACATTTCTTTGAACCGCAGGAACACGGAATTTTTTCATCCTCCAGCGGAAATTTGTAGTCGTATGTAAGCTCCTCCCCTCGTTTTAAACTACAAGAACAAAAATATAATCATTATGAAACAATCCTTACACAGTAGCAATCCTTTCAATATAAAACTACGTGCGTATGAATTGGATAACTTATGTTGTGCAACAAAAGACAGCAGAGGTTCATTGAAAGATTGTGAAAGGTCGCCGGTCAGATTACGGGAATAATGAAACTTACTGTTTCGCAGCAAATATTATAATTTTCTTCTGTCCTTCTACAGTTATGACACGCGAGAAACAGTTTGGCTATAATGGAAGAAAATATTTCCAACACAGGAACATAATTTTTTGCAATAGAACAAAGGTTGTCTTTATGAAGTATAAGAAACTTTAAAAAGTTCGACAACAAGGCGGAGCTGTTAACCAGACACCAAACAACACATGGCAAAAAGCAATTAAGAAGTATATAGGGATAATTGGGATAGTGTGGGTCACTACACAAAAAGTAGTATAATTACCCAAAGAATATATAGTGATTCTTCAAAGAATATGGACCACCAGAAAAACATGCAATGGCTACCTTAAGAGTCACCCAATGTATAGTGGTCACCTCAAAAATAGTGGCCACCTTATATGAACAGTGACCTAAGTTACCTATTAAGGAACAGTGACCACTCGAAAAATAATCGATATCAAGGAATCGTGGTTACTCAAAGCAGTCAATTACAGAAGTAGAAAGTTACAGCTACCTTATAACAAGTATATATAAGATGAATAAAATTGGCATACCTCACAGGAATGATTGATAAAACGTGCTGCATCTCCGCATTCGGTGGCATCAATAACATCAAAACTATCAACGCGAAACATATAGCATCCAATCCCCTAAAATATAACAAACATTTTATCAATAAATGTGGTCGTACAAAAGGCACATACAATATTTTATTACATGGAAAACGTCGCCCTAAAATACGTACCCTACTTTCATAGTATTTTTCTCTCTTATCTGTGAGCACAGATCTAATAACATTTCCTGTGTACTCAATCACCATTTCACCGGCGTCAATATCTCGTAAACAGAACAAGCCTCGTCGATGGATTGACGACCTTCAGGACAAGAGGATGAGTAAGATTAACAAAAAATTACTTGATAAGAAATTGTCGGGTGTTAGAGATATTTTTTACTTCCTTCCGTAAGGTCTGTTTACTCCAAAATGGCTGGCACATACATAATGGTTGATCAATTTCAGACGGTAGCAATTTACAACTCACAGTGGAAGTTGTTCATGCAAAATTAACAATCTTAAAAGGCTAGAATTAGAAACTACACAGAAGCAAAAGATATTTCAAAATATCCACGACACAAAGTAAAATAATCATTCCAGAGCGTATACGGCGCATACAAATGGTTGAGTACTTACTTAAAAACCCCAACTGTTCGTTTGGTATTTGATTGTTTTAAACAACGATATCGCATCGCCATTGGAAGATCATTCGCTGTGGCTCGTCTAAGAATGACAAAATTTAAGTACATTAATGAGATCTTCTCCTTCAGGGGCCGGTTGTTCAAAAGGTGTTTAGCTGAAACGTTGGATAAGCCAAAATTTAAAAATACTCATACATCTTGTGAACTTGCGTCTTAGCCATTTAATATGTACTTCGATTGAAAATTAAATTATTTACATCGAAAGATTTCAGCCCAGATTTTATCCACCGTCTAAGCTATAAACGGCTTCCAAACAACCGGCCCCAGAGAACTCTTCCCTGTCCAGAGGGCAATGGCTCAAGTAAAACTGAAATGTTTCAGTGGAGCAGACTAAGACTGTTTGCAACAAACAACCTTCAAGTACTATAGGATTTAGAAAGATAAAAGGAAAAGCATTGTGCACATACCTTGCAGCAATTTCTTGGGCGACATCAAGGTCATTCAAGTTATCAAGAGGAACTTGTGATATGGTGCGATGATTCGACGCCAAAAAGCTAAACATGTCAATACCTTTCTTGCGACTAAAGAGTTGGAAATGAATAAAATTCATTTTTAACGTTCGCAAGCATATACACATTTCGCGATGAATCTGGTTAATTCAAACTGCATGATCAAGATAATAATTTCCGTCAGGGGGGAGGGGTTTTGAAGTCGTTAGCCTGTCAATAGTTTAGCAAAATTTTGCCACAAATCTTTTACGGATTAATAGAGGGGTTCAAGTCTAAATCGGGCTGTATTAGGAAACATTTTATCCAAGGACCAAGGGAATGAAACAGATTAACTATACTTACCCCTTAAACTCTTCTGCACGCGCACATCCATGTTCGTTTTCTTTTAGCTAAAATTCAGAGTTTATTTGGTGACGTTTTAAAACCAATCATTTAACTTTCTCCTGGAATTCACTATACCGCTGTACAGGGCCTTTCCTAGCGTGCAGCACTTTGTACAGTATTGCATGGTGGAAGGTGTGCATTATTAAAGGCGAATCTATGCAGTATATCAAACAATTACTTGATGGTTTCCGGATGGCCTGATCTAAACACGCGGGAATGTTGCGAGAAAGCGCGCGAAACACCAGCCGAAGGCGAGTGATCAGTTTGTGAGCATTTCCTAACTCGAGCAACCTTCTCAAGTGTTTGGATCAGGCCATCTAAACACGGGAAATCATTAAGTAATTGTTTAATGAAATAACAACAACAAGGTAGTGTTCCAAGTTTGATTTCAAAAAGCGAATTAAATTTCTGTGTTTGCATGGATGGCCTGATCCGGACCAATCAGAACACGCGTTATGTAGGTGTTATTTTATAAAAAAATTCCTTTAAACATGCAGACACTGATTACAGTGGCAAATAAGTAGCTAACAAGCTTTGATAATTTGGTCAATAGATTTAAAGATACCATGGGAAAACCCACCTCAGTGTCTTCATCATCGGATTCTTTCTTATTTTGAGTCTCCTGATATTGAAATGAATATTTTTCACAATATTTTTTGCCTGGTAGTTGTTCAATCAGGTAAATAAGTGGTTCCTGGAAATGAAAAAGGAAATATTTTTCTAAAATTGATGATATCACATGAATAAGTCATTTTGCTAAAACAAACTTACCCTAGTCAATCCCAGCATATCCATTCCGTCAGCACCTGAAATTATAATTAGATCAGTACAATTTTAAGTCAATTTCTAACACCCCTGATTCTTGTTATAACTTCAGCTCGCTTATATCCTAATCGCATTGTTTATGCTTTACATAGGTCACCCAAAATATGATGTAATTTAATTTCTACTTGCCCACAAAAGATGTGTAATTCTTCGAATGATCCATACGCACACTCTGTACTTTCTCAAACACCAGCCGCCATGCTTCTGAATATACAAAAGTAATCGAACTTAAATATATCTTTCAATTTATTATACAGTATCGATTGTATAATAGCCGGATAGCGCAATCCAACGGATAGTGGTTTTTTCAATCGCTTTAAAATCGCCCGTTGTGGTTGGTTAAATCTTAGTATTCCTAAAACGAGGATCCTCTTTAATAATTGTTGGTTCTAAAAATGGATGAAATTTTATCGCTTAGAGAATTTTTAGAACGGTTGAAAAAATCACTTTCCGGTGGATAGCGCTATCCAGCTTTCATACAACTGCCCCCAGGACTCGAAATGATTTACTTGCAGCATTTTCCTGACGATGTTAATGATGATGATGAGGATGGTTTATTTAACACATTTCAATAGCAATTTATATAGCTAAATAACTATTATTTTGCATCGTTTTTTGGCTTGCCTGTGGTTTGTTATTAACCAGAGCTGCTAGCACTTATTCAAACCTAACAATTCATTGTATTATATTCAAATAATGCGTACCTTCACAAGTTCTTGCTTTGACTTCCAGACCTTCCTCGCTTTTGATAATAAACATAACATTTAATTCTTGATTAACCTTCTCTAGACGTTTACTCCGAAAATCAGATTGTTTGACACGAGCAAAATCGGGTAGTAAAATATCATCTTCATCTATTTTAGTTTTCTTTAAAGGCTTTAAACAACTTCCATCGTTCTTTCGCTTGCCGGACACCTGCACATCATCTTTTTTCGTTTTGCAATCAGTATTCTTATCTACACTTTTCCTTTTAGTATATTTTCTCTTGGTGTAAGCTCGTTTTCCACAATTTTTAACAATGTCTTCCTTATTTATCGAACCAGTTTCTTTGTTATTTAATGCATTCTTTCCTTCATCTTTTTCAGCCTGCAATTTCTGATTATATTCCACTCCTTGTCGAGATTCGGACACAACTGGTTTCAGAATCTTAGACTGATTCTCAAGATGTGCCATGATTTTAGCTGGTGAGGACAATGGTGACACGCGATTAGCCTCCTTCTCTAAACTAGCGGTGTCCAAACTGGCTTGTGAAAACTGCTTATTGTGGAATTTATATTGTTGATTTGATGTAACGTTTGTTGGATTGAGTGTTGTAGGGTCAACATTTGGTGTTGATATTCTACCGAAATTTGTAGGTTTACCCAAACTAACTGCCTGTGCGCCTTGTGATTGTCCTTTCCCACCGATTGTATTGTTTAAGCAACTTCTGTCAAGCTTTCTAACTGCATTTCTGCATTTCGTGAGATCTATTTTGTTCGTTGTAACAGAAGTTGACGTTCTTGGTAGGCTGCTTGAATTTACCGGCAGGCTTGTTCCAGCTCCAGTCGATGGCAGGGTTCTTGTTAAAGGTGGCTGCTGGTTCCTCGCTCCAGGTGATTCTTGACATCTATTTTCATTCTTTGTGAGATCAATAACGTTATGCTTGCTTTCCGCTTTGGTCAAGTCAATTACATGAGGAGCGGGTCGCTTTAAAGCTTTTATGCTTTCATACTTATTTTGCTGTACACTACTTGATCTTGTTTCACAAAGTTGTCTAACACACGATTCCGTTTTCGAGTGCGAAGTTAAAAGTTTACCAAGATAATCAGTCGATTTACTACCAAGAAGTTGAATCATATTCGGATTCTCTGAAAGAAGTTTAGTAATTTGCTCTGGTGAACCGACTACAACTGCCATACCATCAGAGTCATTAGATCCCTTTACAGTTGCAACTGAACTTAGAGGTTGAGATGAGGCTTTCGTTGGAGTAATATTTTGCATACTTGATACCGTAGTATTTAAGGAGACGGGTGTGAATGGACTAACGGATTTCGATGTGTGTTGTGAAAGGACTTGCGTAGTTGTTGGTACAGACATGCATACCGATGAAACAAGACTAGATGTTTTATAGAGTAACGAGTTATTCTGTGTAGAAACCGTTTTTAAGCCTCCTTGTGTTGTTTTCGCACGTAAGCGAAGAAAATTTGCAGCAAGCTGAGCCGGGTCTGTGTTCAGTTTTATCATCCTCGGTTTTGAGGTCGTCTGGCTAGTATTGCTGTTTAATTTAACTACTTTTGTGGTTGTAACTGCCAAAGCAGGTGTTGAAGTGGAAGGGGTTTCTTGTAAAGGCTGTTGAGAAACATGTATTGCTTTACTTGTTGCTTGAGTGGGACAAGGAGGTGAAATGATAGTCCTTGTTTTCATTTGAACATCTTTTGAAGCTCCTTGAGAAACAAATTCAGTTGAATGAAAAACAAGAGGAGAACTTGTTGTCGGTTTCATTGTCGTTTGCGGAGGTGCACGAGTAGCAGGAGGTTTCACTGTCGTTTGCTGAGGTGCACGAGTAGCAGGAGGTTCCATTGTCGTTTGCTGAGGTGGACAAGCAGTCTTAAGTGGTTTTATTGTCCTGTGCTGCAGTGGATAAATAGTCTTGGGCAGCTTCATTGTCGTTTGCCGAGGTGCATAAGTAGTCTTAGGCAGTTCTAAACCGGTTATTGGTTTTGGAGCCAGCCGCTTATAATTTGAAACAGATTTGGGAGACTGTTCTATAAAAGTAATCGGAGTATACTGAGAGGTTTTTGGCGCGAGTGGGACAGGAGTAGTACGCATTGTCTTCACTGCGTGCACACGAAGTTGGTTTGTAGACTGAGGATGAGATGTCCTTGGAGTACTACCAGACCTCACTTTAGCCAGACTTGAGCTGATCGGAGACTGATTCGGAGGGAACGCAAATTTAACGCTTTGAGTCTGATTGCTAAGGCTAGTTTTACCTGAATTGAGGTTTGGTTTTGACAGGTCAATCAATAAATCCATAGGGGATATATTACGTACATTAGACGATCGAGGAAATGAACCGCTCAATACGTTAACATGTGGTGTGGATGAACTTCCAGCAGCTTCAACACCAGACGTGTTAGTCTTTTTCGTACTTGGCAGGTTTGGAGTTGTTGTATGCACACCAAAATAGGGACGTGGAATACTAGCTCGAGGAACTGCAGTGTTTGTAACTATCGAAGTTGGAATTTTCACAACAGTCAGCGTGTTACTAGACAGATTAACGTTCCTTGGACTTGAGGTGTGGGCAGGAACAGGTTTTGAAACATTACAATCTGACACTCCCACAGACGTCTCAACACGTGCATTACTTGACACATTAACATGCGATGAACTCGGAGTCCTCGTAGGGGATGGAATAACTGTTCTTTGGACATGTTTCTCTGAACTGAGGTTGCCAACACGAGGACATAAAACACTTGAAGTCCTCCTTTTCAAATCAATCAAATTTTCAACCTCCCGAGCACTTCCATTACCAGGGAGCCCTACCGCTTGGGTTGGTTGTTTCGATACATCTGATTTCAAAATATTGATGTCATTTTCATGACAAGTGACTGTGTGATTTTCAACATCTCTCTCGTTCTGTGTTACCGGTTTGTGCTTTACTTCCTGTCGATCAATCTCTTCAATGTGGCATGTATACATGCATCGTTTGTTGGGATCAACAGTACTCCAATATAACCGAGTTAATCTTAAAAAAGTAAAAATATTTAAATGCAGCTAAAGAATGTTTAATGTTTGATAATGATACTTTAAGTGAATTCACACCATCCTACTACATTTTTATTGCTAAGAGTTCGAGGGTCTTGATTTCGAATGGAAATCAAACATAACTCAAATTCAAGCCAGGAACAGTCGAGTAAAATGTGTGAACTATCGGTCTTCCGACAGAAAGCGAACCTACGGCCAGAGTATGTTCAATGGACTTTGCGTTTCCACCTCTACACAGCCTAACCTAAAACGCTTTATCTTAACTCACCTGTATTGAACTGGGAAAAGAATAGTTGAAGTATCCGAAGCCTTTGTCACTCTTCCCAACTCTTTCACCACCATACAACCTAATACATAAAATACGAATAATTGTAGGTTATATCACATCTACCTAATGATACTCATAATTACTAACTACCACAACCTCAAAAATTGCATCGTCTGACATCATAGCGTTGAAAATCATAGCGGTAAAACGTGTGCATATCGCCCAGTTTTTTTATACCCCCAGCGGGTCACAACATTAGGCGTGGGTATCAAAGGCGTCTATCACGGCCTCGTACCAAGGCCAAGAAAAGCGTGAGTGCGCGAGGGTGCTTGGGAAGGACGCGAACAGTCCAAGCAACCCGACGCGCTTCCCTTGGCCGCTGATCTCTATATATTAGCTGAATGAAACCTTTATAACCTTTGTTTAGTATATCCAATTTCCATACTACAGTACAACATTAAGTACAGTAGCCATCACCTGATAAGACGGTCAAAGTTTCCTGAGAAACGCCTTTCGATCCTTTCTTTGAAACTTTGATTTTGCCCATATCAACACAAACACGCCGTTCAACTGCAAATTCTCCTTCACCCACAGTAATCTAGGAATTGCAGATCAATTCAACACCGTGATAATTAAGATCGTTTTCCTAGTACTTGACAACATTCGCGTTCGTGTTGTACATAAGATCAGGTCGCAGCAAAACAATTTAGTGTTTTACTGTGCCCTGGTAACTGATAAGATATGCAACATCCGTCACTTGGCTGAAGCTAAGTCATTTTTGAACATAGATCAATGAATAGTACCTCGTCCTTCGCTCTAAAGGCATGAGCATTACAGAATACTCTCTTATCTGGTAGAAAGGCTGCTTTTGCTTTTCTATACAAACAAACAAAATTAATTTATTATTGTGACATGGGACTTTTTAAAGAGCTTAACCAGATATTTTAATAGAGCGTTCGTATGGTTGCCAAATGCACTTTTTTTATTTCATTGAGCCTCCTACAAAGCAGGTTGAGGACACCGCGGTACTCAGCTAAGTAAACGTAGTGTGTTTCTCGAAGGAAGCTGAGGCTCTATCCAGTTCTGCGAGGGATATCCAAGTGCTCGTAGGCCTGTTTCAGACGTCGAACTTTTCATGTGCCGAATCTAATGTTAATGAGCCAAAATTCTTTGTTTAAGTTCATTTGCATGTGATTCGGCACATGAAAAGTTCCATGTACGTCTAAAACGGACCGTAGATACATGCATGAGCACTAACGTTCTACTATAATAGCTAAATCAGGTATATTGGATAGTGTAAATCAACAATTATAAACAAACTAACGTTAATAATCTCAATAGCGTATATTAATTTTAATATCAGATTACTCATTAGAAAGCCCTTAAAAAATCTAAAATCCAAAATTGACACAAATATAAGTTGTTACCTCCCACACATAAAATGATAGTTTCCTCTGCAATAAGGCTCACAACAGCCAACAGTCGCACCCACTTCTGCACAAAATTCACAACGCTAAATATCAAATTAATTATTTTCATTACATTCGACTCATTGGAAAATGTGAATTCCCTGATTAACCCCCCCCCCCTGGTGTGCACGGCCAACACACATGCACCACCACTCAAAACCACCCGTCCACCACCCGAATATAGCTCACTAATTTATTTCTAAATGGAAAGTAACTGAAAAACACGTTTGAGTATAAATTGATTGGCTTAATAGCAAAAATGTCTCCAGTGTTTACTTTAAAAAACGCTTACAAGCTTATACGGAATTTCATTAAAACGGGCTTCTAAGCTGGTATGATGCAGACAGAGTTTTAATTTTTTATTCGTTACTTACCAACTGACGGCCTCTTGTTAATGCAACATGAGCATTCTGTAACCTGCCTTCGTCATCCTCATATACTTCCGCTGACCACAATACACAATTTACATGAGCCCACTCATCAACATTGAAGTAAATAAGTCTGCCTGCCTCTTGAGCACACTGATCTCCAACGTCAGCGCAGAACACGCACTTTCGTTTATCTTCCGGCTGAAAGAACACAAGAGCGAAGGAATGATATCACTAACGTATACACTTCCTTGTTTGCTTTCGTCAAAGATGCATCAACTGACGCTTTCGTTCCATGCTTTAAAAATATAATGAAAAATTACTTTCACGATAATGGTCTTGTTTATATCTTCACACGATTCACTGGGATTCAATGATTTTTCACTTTTTTCCGTATTATTTTCCACACAGACATCGACTGTAACCTGTTTTTCTGTTGGTCCACGATTGTTCTTTGAATAACAATGATCTTCCATAACCTGAGTAAGTTCCCCTAATTTCTTTTCACTGAAAGAGTTTACAGCAAGCACGGTGATCACCAATGGCGAAAGGATTCAATTTTTAATTAGATAGTTAAATGTAGAAACTGTTCACTATAGAATGCTTTTTATTTAAAGGCAGCCGATCCGTACAGTACTTACCATGTTATTGAAATTTCCATTGGCTCTATAGCAATTTCCTTTTTATTTTCTTTTACCGGCGGCCAGGTAAGATCTTGCCATGGGAAAATAGATTTCATTTCCTGAGAAAAGAAGGTTTCTAAAGATGTTAAAACTACAGGCATATATTTCACAGAAATTAGTAATTAATCACACGAGTCAATGTTTGTGGTGTGAATAACAATTATGAAATGCCCAGCTGGGATACAAGGAACTAAGAAGAAATGGCATAGTTGAATTCAGAGAATTAAGTGCAGTGTAGAAAGCCAATGAATATTCGGTTGACAATCGTTTCAGCTGGAAATCAAACCTTGAACACAAATCCTTATGCATACCTTTTGAAACAAATTTAACAAACTGGACATGCTACCACCAGCAGCTCCGTCTTCAGGGAGAACAGCTTTAGCTTTGTATAGTATAACCATCAGGTCTTTAGCGTAATCATTCTAAGAGGGTTAGACAGCTGTTTTAGGAAACATATAATATGGTGCTCCCTCGATACTTCCAATACATTAGTTTAATTGAGTCCAATATGACAAGGGAGGGAGTCAAAGTGGAGTTATGTGAGGCTGGGAACAGAAATTCTGAAAAATCGAAGACACGGATGAAGGGATAAAACCATAGTACGTACAAGGTTGTTGTATTTGTTTTTATTCACTTTATCCTGGACGGCTGCAAAATTTTTGGGATGACCATTTTCTGGAATAGCCTAGAAAAATCAAGGATACAATCGTAATCAATTGATTTAAAAAATGGCGGCATGTGAAACTTCCTGAAAATCAACTTTTCTTTTAAACAATGCACATCATATTTATACCTGTTCAAAGTAATTCTGAAGTACTTTATAATGAGTTGAAGTAATCAATGTATCCACAATCTGTTAAAGATGATCAAATAAGTAAATTAGCTTACAAGTAGGTACACCACGTAAGTATTCAATACTGCAAAACTTTCGGTCCATGTATTGCACTGATGAAGGCCCGCGAGTTAACGGACCGAAAGCCTTGCAGTATTGAATACTTGTGGTGTACCTACACAAGCTAATTTACTTAATATTAACATATATCATATATCCAGGTGTCCTGTAACTAGTGAAGATTTTTTTTCTACAGGCGCAAACCCAAGAGTTTCCAATTTACAGTCCCTCCCTAAAAGTTTAGCATCATCAATCATAATTTCTTACAACGATTTCCATAAGAATATAACATTAAACATACGTAAACATATCCAGCTTGAATTTCCTGTCGTACAGAATCTAACCACTCGGGATTTTCTTCATCGTGACACGACTTACAAATATATTGCACGTCATCTGGCATCACAGCTAAACACTGGTACTCGTCCTCTGTTATTTTCTAGGGGAATGAATTAACGTTACATTATCGCTATATAATCCAGTTTTCGGGATGACGTATAAACCTGATTAAATGTAGTTAAGTATAATAGACTATATTCAAGCGTGTGTACATATATGTAGCTATATACCGTACCTGACACGCAGAGTGAACCCAATGCTCGCATTTTAAACATTGCATCATTTTAGATTCAAAATCCTCATCAGAATAACATTTCTCGCATAAAGGACAGTAATTGCCTTGATCCCAGTTTTCCCCACAGGTTGCGCACATCGTAAACGCGTGCGTCCACTGTGCATCAGAGGCATCGCCAGCGGTATTACGGCCACATTTTGTGCACTTAACACAACGAGCGCAAAACTAAAAAATAGTAGTATTAAATTATTTATGTATACTCGCATATGACAGTAGAAAAAGAGCAGAATGTTTTTGAAAAAATTTGAAATATCGATCTGCCAAAGAAAGGCATGTTTGAATTATATACGCAACGTTTCATGTCTCAAACTTACCCAAACCTCTTCGTCGTCGCCTTGTGGTTGTGTTGGATAATTCTGCCCTAGACACTCAGCATGATAACATTTCTGACATTTATCACACATCAAAAGCTACGAAAAGAAATTATAATTATTTTGATCGTCTTCCAAATGTAGCTACTTGTAGTTCCCCGTAATAATACCCGTAACTCACTTGTTTTCCAATCAAACTTCGTAACATTTCCACAGCCATAATCGTAGGCTAATCGTCAAAATACTCAAATAAGAATACTCTTCTTTTCCACTCAAACTAACCTTGTTTTGATGCCCACAAACACAACAAGTTCGACAACGATTACAAGTCCACCACTCTGTATCCACAGGATCTTCGTCCAAACAGAACAAATGAAAAGGCTCAGCACAAACTCGACAGTACAACATCTGGTCGAACAAAGAAAATGAGTCGAACATAGTGAGATTTACAGGATAGTAAGCCTTTTCCGCGTGGTCTCATGTGGCTGCTTCTGTGCCCGAGTATGCTAAAATTTCACCTGTGAAAGAGTTCCAATGCCCAATATCTTAAACAACACTTATTTCCTGATTCCCCTCCCTCATTAGACAGAATGGAATAGAGCTTTTCAGAAATATGTATATTTTACCTTTGTTTTCCCAGCACTGCCACATAAAAAACATAACTCTTCACGAGGTAGGGCAATTTCACTTGAAACACAAATATGAAATCCTGTTTCCCAGCAATCATCCTCTGTGTATGAATCCTTGAAATGAAATGAAATGAAATTCTGGAGCATGAGATTTAAGACTGACTGATTGATATTTGATGAGTAGGGCAAGTATACAGTATCTGTATAAGTTAAATACTTTTAATACATTAACTGAATCTTAATCTGTGAACAATAGGAACAAAATGGACGTTAGTTATGGAATGATGCAAATCGACTGTGGTAACTTTAACTGACACAATGCACTGGAATTTTACAAGTACCAGTGCAATCCTTTTGACCATCACAGACTATATATAAATATTTATATGGCAAAATCTTTATCAGACTCACAGTCCAAGAAAGTTTTATTTCATTCTTTATTTCTTTGCTCTTCTTGCCATAATGGATTAGTGGACCTGGTAAAGGTTTTGGTTGACGGATTGCAACATCTTTTCTCGTACTTCTTGTTTGCTTTGTTTCACGGTTTACAGTTTTCCCATCACGATTCACATTCCCACTTGGTTTTTTAAATGTTACTGATGCTCGGTTGAACACTGCAAAAGCAAATTTAAAGTTGTATGCATCAAAGGTTAGTTGAGAACATTTCATAGTTTATAGTATACTCATATAATGTAGATCATTACACTTCATGACCAGTACCTTTCTTGGGTTTGGCACTTGGAAGTACAAAACTTTGGCACTTCCTTTCTCTAAATGAAGAAATGTTAATCAGACCTTCAGGAAAAAAATACAACACCTCCAGCCAAAGGAAACATACGTTAATAATTTTACGGAAGGATTGAATTATTAGAACAAAACCTATTAGAATGAATTTCTATTTGCTTTGTCTACAATTTAAAACATCCTAAAATATTGTTAGTACTAATGTCAATGTTCTTAGGATTTTTTTTACTCTTCAAAAGTACATTACAGTATCAGATTATTTGTTATAATACATGTAGTAGTAGTGTATTGGACTACCATAAAAATATGAAAATAACTCTAATTTATCTCAATCAAGGGCAATTAAGTTAATCTTATTATAAAATGCAACTGATCTCCGCAGAACTGTAGGTATGTTACACTACACTTGTATAAGTAATAACCAAAATATTATTGTACTGTGAGAAAAATTGCACTTACACACAACACTGCTTTAATAGATATGTTCCACCAAACTTTGGTTTGTCTCTACAAGATAAAAAATGTTAATCAACTAAGTTGTTGGAATAACTGAAAAAGATAAAAGCAATGTGTACAAACAATGTAGTATACCTGCAATAGATGCATTTTCCGCAATCATTCTCAACTGAACATCCTTCACAATTTCCACAGCGTACTCGTCTTCTATTCCGATGTTTACCATCCCGTCTTGGTTTCACTTTAATAACCTTGATTATCTTCTTTATTTTGCCACTTTTCAATTTTTTTCTTGTGATTTGTTTGATTACTTTAGTAACTGCTTTTTCACTGATTCTTTCACAGTCTAACAAGTACAGTGATATAAATAATAGAATGCAGTACAGTATAAAGTAAATTCCTCAATTTTTTTGGCAGCATGTTTTAAATTGCACTAAAACTTTCATGTTAAATGTCAATCTCTTGTAGTACTAACCTTCTATTGCACTTTTATTCTCTCCTATATCATCTTTTTTCTCACTATGCTCTGAAAACTCCTCTTTTTTATTTCTCTGCAACACTTTTTTTGTTTGTGTAATCTCCTTCTGTGGAACTTTCCTTTGCCGCTTACTTTGAAGTCTCTTAGATTTAAAAATGGCAGGTTTTTTTGGAACAATAAAATCATCATCATCGTCATTCATCCCAAAGCTTTGTTCAAGCTGAGAGAGGCTGGATTTTTCCTTCAACAAGGATTTCAAGGATCCTTCATCAAAAAGAGTTGCTTTAACTGCCAATTGAGAGATTTCGGTATTGTCACTCTTTGAGTCAAGATTCTTTGGAAATCTTGCTTTATGAAAAGGTTCTTCCCCTTGGCCTTGTGTGGGCAATTTCAATCTCACTTTAGACTTCTACAAAAGGATTTAACAAGGTTACAATGTAAACTATGCTGGTTGTATACTCAATAAAATCACACATCATTGGATATTAATAAATTGTTTAAATAAAATTATACATTGATCTGAATAACTGAGTGGTTCTAATGGCTAGAGATGGTTTGAAAATTACACAGGTGAATAAGTATTTATTGGATATAAAAGCACAATGTTACCCAATTAATATGTATGTGGTTCATTTTGACATGCTAGATCTATGAATATTCTGGACAGATATTTTAGATCTGACTTACAGATAGACATGCATGTTATGTATAATTTGGATGAAGAATTTGTACAGTTTCCTTACCTCTATTGACCTGTCACTGATCACTGAAATGTAATAGGGAAATATACGTAAGTAAACAATTGACATGTGGATTATGGTCCAATCACTTTCCCAAATAGTCAAAATTAGTTATCAAGTTAAAGAGCTTTTAATAAAAGTAATGGTAAAGGGAGTCTGGAGAGGAGGGCTAGTTAAACAAATATAGTTTCCAAAAATTTTCAGTCATGATGTTCCCTAACAGTAATTTCAGTAATTCAACACAAAATATTAGACATTTATGTAAGGAAGTTTGGTATACTTGGGAATTTTGAGTAATATGCGAGGCTCTGATAATAGATGCAAGCAAATGTACCATCACACTTTTACTCCTAACAATATTGCTTTTTCTCACCCTATATAGCCTGCAGCTAGCCTTCATCTCACTGCCCTAAGAACCATGTCTCTAGCATAAGGTATAACCTGTAGGTTGCTAGACTAAGCTTGATCTATCACATTTAAAAATCTTTGCAATATCTATTGTGATATATATTGGTGGGGTTACATCTGTAAAATGTTGTTGTTATGGGAATTTGCTATGGTGCCTCTTGGTTATGTTAAAACTACTTAGGGCTAACCAACCTGGTCCTATTAATTGCCTTTCACCCTCATCCCCCTTGAATGCTTTCAATGGTGGCATTTTGGCATTTTCCAATTTTCTTTTTCCATGACCACCAGTAAAATCATCATAATCAAGCACTTTCTTCTTGACAGTACGACCAAACCTTGATACAGGACTACTGGTATGTTCCTTAATCTCTTTTTTCTGCAATTGATGTCTCTTTTCATCCCTGGCCTTTTCCAGGAGCTGTTTGGCAATAGCTAAAGGCTTGAATGGTTTTCTTGGTCTCCCACTTTTTGCGTTTACAGCAGAATGACCAATTATATGTTTTGGAACTGAATGCATGGGTTTAACCTTGGAAGTTGAAATATCAGTAGCCCCAATTTGATCATGTTTTCTTTCATAGGACTGGCGTTTCTTGTATGTTTTGGAATAAATATTGTCATATATCTGTGTTTTTTTACGGCCAGGTTTAGTCTTTGAAAAAGTTTGGGCTTTTTTAGAAATAGAACTTTCAGTAGCCTCATCTGAGGATTCATCAGATGTCGGCGGGCTAAACCATTTAAATGATACCGGTCGTGTTGATGTTGACGAAGAACAAGAATTTCCAGATTTGTTTGCATCATTTCGTCCATTATTTTGTGGTAACACAAGTGTATATGCTTTAAATCCTAGCTCCTCTGATGAAAATCCAAGAAATGGCTTATTATCCTGAAACAAATTATACAATTGATAGGCATATATTAGTGAAAAATATAGACTTCGTACAAGAAAGAATTTGGTGAAATGATAAACACGAACCTCTTCATCAGAATCTCCAAATATTTTGTTGAATTCCTCACGAGATATTTCTTGCTTTGTATCCACATGGAAAGACTCGGAATTACCCCCATTTTTTTTCTTAATTTTAAGAACTAATCTTTTCTTGGGGCTTTGAGATGACAAATTATTGTCACCGACCCCAGGAAACTTCAGACGCGCCATCTTGGTTTCTCTCCCGCCTTCTACTGCGCATGAGTTAGTAAACTAAATTTCACACGTGGACTGAAATGGCAGATGGGAAAATACCACAGAATAAACTCGTGAAATATTCTTTGTTTCTTGTAAAACAGCTTCTGAGGATAAATGTTCCTTATGATTTATTTTAAAAATGATCGAAACAAATTGCAACAGTCCTGGGGAAGACATGTTTTTTCCCTTGTGTGAATTATCAACCAATCAGATTGTAGTATTATCGTCCTGGGTCCCTAGGAAAATAAAACCAACATGGCCGCGTCGCGTTATTAGCTAGGAGTGCATGTCATTTAGTGATCGTGTTTGCGTTGCATTTTAGAACTTTATTGTGCATTGAACATTGGATATCATTAAATGCTTAATGATACCAGTTATTTCCTCAAAACTATATTAAAAAGGTTTCATCCCAGAATATACGCTAGGCAAGAAGTCAAGAACAATCTTTCTAAATTTGATTGGACGGCTGGGTAGATGGGTGCACTGTTTTGTTTTAATACGTCTAAGACCAAGTGAATTGTCAGACTATACGCGCACTCGAGTGTCGTTTTCAAGCGTTTTCAATCCTTTTGTCTCGTTAATCGTTTTGACACTCTGTTCACATGATCCAAGGGGATCCAATATGCTCAATATATTCACTAGCTCCAACTTCTATCGTAAAGTCCGTAAACTGTTTGCCACCGATTCGGCGTGAAAACAAAAATGAAAACGCTCGAAAAAGTCACAGTGTGCAAATAACCTTTCATAGCACATCATGGTAGAAAAACATAAGGGCAAAAATGGTTAATACATGCAATTTAGTGAATTAACATCCTCGACAGTTTGTAGTTGATTATTCGTGACATGTTCATAGACTTGTTAAACTTCGGGCTTTCGGCATGACGAAAGTTTTGCAAGTCAGTCTGGTCACTTTAGTGCACTTTCTACCACGACTGTTTCACTTTGAAAAAAAATTGTGATCTTGTGAACAAAACTTTGTACAGTTCTATATCATTATGAAATAAATTGGGGTTATTCCGAAAGCCACAGCCATACGAGTGAATCAAAGGTTGGCCTCTTCCTATGTGTTCATATTGATACAGTGGGCAAAATTAAGGTAAAAAACTGGATCATACATGCTGGTGATGGTGCTACCACTCGTGCCAAACACTCCAAACTTCGAATGTAGAATCCAGAGTAGTAGGTAATAGGCGAAGTCACGAAGACAAAATCCCAGAAGGGCCAGAAGGTTAAGTTGGGTTTTTGTGGATTTGTCAACTGAAAGAATGGGCAGTTGGTTTAGATAAAGAATTTGTCAGTAACATTGTATGCTCCCTGGGAAACCTCATGTTTGGTGCAGTACTTTTGGGGAAACCCCTTTCTAAATATGCCAAGAGGCAATTTTGGCCAGAATGTAAACATCTGCCCTTGTCGGAGACTAGGGAAGATTGCATAAAGGTACTTGGCTTTTAAAACTATTGTGTATTTTACGAGTGATGATATAAAATTTTAATTACAAAATATAATAAAATATACTTTGAAAAATATTAGGGTTAATACAACTGCCTCCTGTATTATTAACCGGAAGTGGCGATGTCAAAGCACTTGTCAGAAAATACTTAGGGTGGAAGTCAAAAGGCTTAGTTCACTTCCTTTACACACTGCTATGTTTTAGGACGTAATTTCCTCCGGGCTCCAAAATAAGAATTCACAAAGCGCGAAACAGGCCTCACCCAAAACTTTTCCTGCCTGAACAATTTTCCGGAGTATTCCTGTTTTGTAAGCAGCATTCAAACTGCCTAACTTGATTGGAATATCGGCTACGAAATAGATGCCGCGGTGCAGATTGAGTTATATTTGCACACATTTTACCAACATAACACCTATAAAGCATAAAATATCGTTCGATCCCCTCCATGTTTGTGCCTATTATCAGAGATTTCCAACTACCTCAGTTTTGGCCAACAAGTGAATACGAGGTTTCTGTACGATTATTTCGTGGTAGCCGGTAGTTGACATGACCTATGACCAGTAACCACCCCAGCTACCCCATGTGTCCTACAAGAACAGTTTTTAAGATTGGAGAGGGGGGAAGAGTGGTTTAACGCAATTATTGTATAGGACCCTCCTCAATCGTTCACTTGTGGGCAGACGTTTTTTCTCTGTAATTTTATTATAGAATAAACTCTATTAGATTGTTGAGTTTATGTCGCCGAAGAATGTTAACAACATATATTTAAACACATACACTCAAGCATGTGAGATTTTAATATTAAACATATATGTGTATGGTCATAAGTTCATATTAATATTACAAGTACGTCAGGTTGTTCTGAAATCTTTAGAATTAACTTATTCAAGTCGTCGCTCTTCGAAAGAAACAGGTGGAATTAGACCCTTAAAGATTCACAAGAACAATGCTTTTAGGCTAAGAAGACCAATTTGCGATTTTTACCAGCTGCGTAACTGAAGGGGGGGGGGGGCGTGCTTTTCGTTTGTACAATTTTCTATTCCTCCAGAACCAAGAAAATATGTCAGCGGGGGGCACAACCATTGGTTGCATGCAGCAATGTTGGATTCCCCCTTTTATTTTAGGCTGGCTACCTTCCTTCAGTGCAATCAGCTCAATTTTATTTTCCTTCTAAATGAGACTACTCTTCTCTTCGATAAAAAACAACCGTAAAATTGATTCGATGCTTTCACTTGCTCTCGTAACTTGTTTCTCTAATGATGATTTCAAATCTTCTTTTGCACCTTTATTTGATCCTCTTGTTAAGGTACGGCCTCTATGGAAGTAATATAATTTATTATTGGACATACGAGATTTTATCACGTGAGAAATTATGATTTGTAGGAAGGGCTGTAGCTAGACCCCTTAATTGGAGGGGGGTGTTATTAATATACACTTAATGTATACTCCCGAGAGAACATGTTACAGGGGATGTTACACAACAATTAATTTCATTTCAAAAACACTTTGTTATGACAATATGCGGGCAACAATTTTTACATTGCATTTATTTAAAGTAATGTGACTACGTATATATAAACGAATCACATTTAAAATACACTGGATTGTTTCACTGGGTGAAACCTACATAACTAAGTCAACATAGTCTGCTTACAGTCTAGTACGCCGGGTAAAGTTATAAATTACGATGTACGTTGTGACACAAACGCTGAATGCAACAAGATTCCCTCATTTATATTACTGAAAAAAGCCTACCTCGAGTTAGATGACGACTTACGAAGCAATTCAATTTGAACATTTTCATCTTTATACAAATATGCAAATTCTTCCAGAATGTCGATTACTGCATGTACAGTCAAGAAAATCACTTTAATGTTTGACAACTAAATTCAATAATATTCTTATGCATATTGGCCATGCATATTGCGACACATGCATGCATTCATTCAGAAAACTGCCTTTTCGTATATATCTGATACATGTTATATATATGAAGCTAAAAGGATACCAATGATATAATCGAAAAAACATGGATATTTGAATATTTCTTGAGAATGTATTTTCTTGATTGCTTCAAAAAATATTTCTTCTCGTTTAGGCCAGTCGTATTGCAGCAAAACAATAAGGTGCCCAAGCAACTTATCATTACGACCTTCTGAAAACACCCGCGTCTGCACGCATTTTATATAAATATAAATATAGATTAGAATGGATGACGTTTATCAAAAATATATCATTAAACAAATATATGTAAGATTTCTTTACCTTAAGAGAATTGACTAGCAGCTGGACACAATACGATAAAGCTTCATCCTCCGTGCATTCGACAAGCTCAAGATGACGATCTACAATACAACACATGAGCATGCAATTTCCCCATTTTTATTATAACAGTGTTCCATATCTTTTACATGTTCATATTTCTTTTATTTTAGGCTTCCTCTGATCCTCTCTCCATTTATTTCGTATTCACTTCACGCGCCTGAATTTCTTCACAATGCACGCTATACGGACCCTAATTATTTTTCTATTACCCAAGGTAAAACCAGACTAGCTGGACAAAAAATTCTTTAGGCATTATAATTTAATACCAACTAACGACCTGCGGTGTGAGGTTATATGTTACGTATGTGGATACCCACCGATTGGAGAATGAGTTTTGCTGTTTTTTGTGGAAGTACAATTCATAAATCTTCTCTTTTGTTTGTCTTTATAATCATCCAGATTATCTGAACCCTCCCAAAATGTCTCAAGTGCTTCCAGAATAACACTACACGCTTTCTTATATAAAAAGAAATCAATATAATACATACATTATAGGCACGCGTTACACACAAACAATGTGAAAAGGAAACATCCATACCAATTACGTTATTGTGTATTATATTCTAGTAAATTGCTAGAATATGCCTTTTCTCGATCAGCATTTTTTGACAGACGCTTTAAAAATTGAATGCAGTAGAGCAATCTTTATACGATGCAGGGTATAATGGATAATTATACCACCTTCCAGGGAAAATTCGCCGTAAGAATTTGTGGAGAGTACATATTAATAGCGTACTTTCTCCACTTGATTATGCATAGCTTGAGAGAAGCTGTGTATAGTCATACTTGCATGTTTAATGTGAGTTTACATACATGATCAGTATATATACTCCTCACCTTATGTTCACCGAGGCATGATAACACAGAGGATAACTGTAGAGAGCACCTCAGCGAAAACTGAAAGAAAGTAAAATGGTATTGAAGATAAAAATGAAAAGTGCAACGAATGCAACCAAGGAAAAATGCACACGGAGGGAAAATTAGTGTCACGAACTTACAGATTCATTCGAAGGTGATTTCTTTATACTTTCTTTTTTATCTTGTAATATCTCCACTGCCTTCTTAAACTTCCCCTGATTAACGGAAGATATTATAATATTTGTAAGTACATACGACTTTCAAAAGATAGCTTTGGGTTAGTAATTAATTCAGTTGCTTGAAAGTTGCGGGTAAAAAACTTCATATAGACATCTTCTAAGATTACAGACCCTGGGAGGTTATATGGTTTTCCATTAAACTAATAAGGCTAGTTTCCACTCAGGAAAAATCGCCTTTGGATCGAAACGAACAGGAAAATTTCCTTTGTCGGCGAGTTCTCAGGCGGCGTTTAGGCAAAGGAAACTTTCCTGTCCTGTCCGATCCAAAGGAGAATCTTCCTGACTGGACACTAGCATTTATACTTGACTTACTCGGTAAATATGTCTGTCAACTTGAAATGGTACTATCCATTGCCATTCGTCGACTTTCCACGACTCCAACAGTCGGGAGAATTCTACGTATTTAAAAAACCACAATTATCAATAGAAATTAAATACTTCTATCAAAACGTGCGTAAACCATCTCCCATACTCATTAAGGTATAGTAGGATTCAACTAAACATACCGTTTTTATAATCTGAATGTGAATGGAGCATGTGCCAAGTGTCAGCAGCCACAAGAAAGTAATCACAAACGCCAAGTTCAACGGAAACACAATCTTAGAGAAATACAAATGTCAAAAATTCCGTTCCTCTGCGCTTAAATTTATATCGATTTTTGGTTTGTTTAATTTTTCTATATAGAAACTACTCATAACCCCCTTCGGCAGAGGTTTCCTAAGATAATATAACCTAGCGGGAAAGGAGGGAAAAACTGTTTTTGTCGATAAAAGAAGAAATCTCTTATATAGTTCAGTCATTTTATCGTGATTGTATGAGAGAAAGAAATATAAATTGTTTTTTGATTAGGTTACGCACTACTTCCGACGCTCAAATGAACTTGCTGCTTTTCTTTCTGATCCTATATTGAAAAAAAACACGAATTTTAATAAGAAAATAACCAAAAAATATAACCAGAGAATCAGCGATTATTATAGTTATCTTACGTCCAAAGGTTTCTTCTTCTTTTTTTGGACATGCCTAGAATAAAAGAAATATCCTTTCACCTATATATCTAAGAAATATGGTTTTGAAAAGCTTTCTTAATAATAAAAACATAAGACGTAGCATATACCTGACTTCTGGGGTTTCGCCGGACTTTCCAATGTTAGACAAATCTTCTAGCAGTACAATAAGAGGGGATGTCGTATTCGTGTCTGCTATACCTGTACAATTCATATTGAAACACTGAATTGTATGTTTTATACTGTATATAGCGCCGTACAACCCGAGCTAAACGCGCAGGGGGTGTATCATTCATGGACCAATTAACTATGAATTTTTGAAAAAGTGTAATGAGGGCAGGGTACTAGGCTTATCTAAAGAAGTACTTATCCCTTCTTCCATCCCGATTCCAGACAGATATTCGGTAGACATACTGACCCTGTTCATCTGTTCGGTTAACGATTTTACAGTATTGCCATACAGCTCGAAAGAATATGGTGACGGCGGCGTAAAATACTCCGATTTTTTCCATTGCTAGAATATTCAGAGCTGTTGTTGAAGCTTGACCTTCTTCCACAGCTTTAGTAGTGACTTTCATTGACTTTTTAAGGTTATGATGAATATCTGATAAGCAACTCCATGCATCTTTTACACTCCTATGTAAAACGAATTTGTCTTTGCTAGTGGATGAGCGCTAAATGAATGATTAACATAATCAAAACTTTTAGCCCATTTTGGAACACAGTAACCTCATACGAATGCAAGTAGTATGGTACTTTCTCTATTTGTATTTCAAGGACCAGACTGGTCGCGTTTATATTGCGCGTTTGGCCATGCACTTCTTATGTCTATGAAAGCCTTACGCCTCCAAATTGGGGGTTATGACATCCTTCCTCTAATAATGTACCACTTGGTCCCTGCAGGCGATATATACGCCGTCGAAAAGTTCATTGTTAACACATGGATATCCTCGGTCTAACTAATATCGCTGTATCCGTGAAATATACATTGAATAATACTAAATAAGTTAAAAAGGTTGTTTTTGATGTTTCAGATCCCTGGAAAAGATTTGGATTCAAGGCTGGTTAAATGATAACCTACATGAACAATGTTTTTTAACAGTTATTTGTAATCACTCACAACTTGTCCCAAATAACATTAACTACAACAGTCTACCTGTTAGGTGATAAAATGTCTTTCAATCGCAAAATATCCACCCAACCACATTTATTACCCATGATACAAAGCAATTCATGAAGATGCAACCATAAATCAGGGTGGTTATGAACTGTATGGTCAACTTCATATGGAAGGTTCAAGTAGACATTGGCTTGAAATGCTTGACAGCAAACTATATATTGAATGGATAACTCAAGCCAGCTGAGCACTTGATCTGGGCTCAATGTAAGAATGTTTGGATTCTAAATTGAACAGAAATTTCTTGTTCAGCATTCTGCTTTTTTACTGAATTTTCATTGTCAAATCATGTTGGAGGTACATGATAAAATAGGTCTGAAACAAAATACATTGAGTTATACCTGATTCTTGTCTGGCCTATTCTCAATATTTATTACCAACTGTTCACTGCTCACAACAACAGGAAGGACATTACAAACTATATATAACATATTAATAAGTATAATTGGTATATATGAGATCATAAATCTAAATTGGAGTAATTAGTCCCTCATTAAGATGATTAAGTATTACCTAATAACTTTCTATAAATATTAATTGGAGAATCTGGGTAGCTCTCAAGTTCTTTTGACATCAATGATTGAATTAGAGAAACCTGAGTAAAACAATAACATACAGAGTCAATAGATTATGGTGAGGTTTTCCTGTAGGAGCCAAAGAAGCTTAGCTTCAAGCACAGGAAGATGTAATCTGCAAGAAAACCTACCGCACATTCTTTAACTGCTTCTGGAAATTGTTTTATCAACAGCAGTGTAAGCCGACATTTCTCAGAGCAATCACTTTGTTTTGCTGAAGACAATGTTCAAAGTATTTTTCAAAAATATTTTACTTTTAAATTGCCAAGCATATTGTGTCTTTTAACGGAAGGTTGTTAAGAGAGAGTTTAACAAACCTGCAGCGTTAATTAAAATTCCTTTTTGGGATGTTCGAGATAAACTGTTGAACATATCTAAATTGTCAACAGCTCAAATGTTAAATAATTATATAATATAATGATGATTTATCCTTTAATGCAAATCATGCATGATTACAATTGGGTATTTACCTTTTAAAAATATACTTTTTTGGTCAACATTTTTTGCTTCAAGTGCTTCTGTGATCTTGCACAGTTCCTCAGCAAGAATCTTTTCCGAAGAAAATCTAGCCAGCCTTTAATGGCAAAACCCAAGTTGTTGCATCACAATGCAGTGGTAAAGTACATTATGTTGCTGACCAGTATGAAGTAATTTTGGCTAACTTGTCATGCAAAACCTCAGGGGTTTAGAAAGTAGTACATTAATCCAGTATTCACAGATGTGGAAATAACACATCCCATTTCAAAATGTACTATTTCAGCAGTATAGTGCAAAAAATTAAATTTCAAACCTTGTACAGGCAATAAAATATATGGTAGCTAGTTCAGTATAGTATAAAACTTACATATCAAGAAAAAGCTCAGCAGCTTCTTTGACTCTTTTGGCATCTTTTTCGATTGAATAGGCTTCATACTATGTAAAAATTAATTTATAAATAAAATAAGCAACATACATTGCGCTGTTCAACCATCCTAAGGTCTATATAAACTGCCAAGCAGCCACTGGTCTGATTAAAGACTGGATATAGCAACTATACCTATGAAAATCAAAGTGAGAAGTAATTAAATTCTGAAGGGTGAAGACTCAAATACTACCTAGTGGCATCAATATTGACAGTGATTTTGAACTATAAAATGCAAACTGAGCCCAAGTGTGTTATTCAGACACCCAGTTACTCAAAAAGCCTCTTCCCGGAGTTTTCCAGGAATGCCAGTCTATAGTAATAATCAACCTTAGACACTATGAAAAGTCTATGATTAAAATACACTAAATGAAAATTTAATAATTATATTTAAAGTGACCGAACCTGTACTTTAAAATTTAACGGATACAAACATTTCGCAGTTTTGAGCCAACACTTAGCCTCGTAAAAATCATTCTCATTTACAGCAAGATGTGTTTTTTCAACAAGCCAATCTTCAGAATCTTCCATTCCATCAACCTCCATCTTCGATTTATTCACTTTAGGACCGTGATATACTTTTAAAATAGTTAATACTTCATGTTGCATAATAAACATAACAAATAGGTACATCAAGCGTACGTCGTAATCGAGGCTTCTGAAACGCATTTATAAGAAAGGAGGTTGTTTCATTCGTTGTGTTAAATTTTATGTCATTTTTATGTCGTTCCTCTCATGCTTTTTTTCACCTCATATAATCGTAATGAAACTTGCAAAATAAAAGGGAAAAAATCTGCGAAAAAGGACGCTTTCAGCCTTCAGGATTCTTTTAACGTCCAGTTCTCACGAAATGTGCACTTCTAAAGCAGTGCAAAAAAAAATATTTAAATTTCGCATTCACGTCAATACCTGTGACTTCTTTTGAAAAGCAGAAAAACGTTGGCAACTTGCCCTAACAACTGGTAATTGAACGCACAGGGGAAGTGACTTTTTGTCTTATCTAAGACCTAATTAATATTTCTTAATTGTTGTAGCCCAACATGGGGAAGCAAGGTTTAAAGTCAATTTTCGCATTCGTGTCAATACCTGTGACTTCTTTTGAAAAGCAGAAAAACGTTGCCCTAACAACTGGTAATTGAATGCACAGGGGAAGTGACTTTTTGTCTTATGTATATTCAAGTGGCATAAGACTATAAGTATCACTTGTAACTCTATGAGTGCTGAACTCAAGTATTAAATCTTGGTTTGGCACTAACAGGAACTGTTCCCAAAAATGGCGCGCTTTTTTTGAGCATCAAGCTGTTCGCAAACTTTTGCCATGGCAGCTTGTGAAAGATCTTTTTCATTGTGCCTATCATAGTCTAATCCTGCATCAGGTGCCCTTTCTCTACAAGCAACTTTTGGATTGAAACTCGAACAAAGACTTTTTATCTCTTGTAAGTTATCATACGGAATTCAAAAACAGGAATTCGATCATATTGGTCGTGACTTAAATCTGCGGTGTGCCTGACATTCCAGCCTATACATGTTTATTTCTCTGTAATGCGTGATCCATTCTACCAATATGCGGCTTTGTTAAGTTAAAAGTTTCAAAAATTTGTCGACTCGCATGCTTACGACGTTGGGGGAACTTGAAGTTTACTGAAAATATGCATGCATGCGCCCGCCTTTGCTGGAAAATTACATAACAGACAAACTGAAGTACGTCTCTTGTAATATTGGAGTTGTTATGAAGTTTTCAGAAAGTCTTGTTGATTTCAATGATTTATGATGCGTATAATCAAGTTTTTACTGATAAACACTACTGTATTCCAATGTGTATGGGCAGTATGGCATTAGTCGATCAGAATCATTGGACATCCGGCATAGAAGATTGCCCGGCATGATGTAGAGCCCGATAGTTTGTCACTGTTCGATAGTATTGTCACTCTTAAAAAGGCTAAAATTAAGACTGTCTTAAAATATTAAACATTAAAAGATTAAAACAACATTCATAGTTTAACACGATATAACCATGCAAGGAGCAGCGTGGCAGCGTCTTCAAACAACTTAGCATCAAATGTGGTATAACAACTGCCTAAATAGACAAAACACTTCTCGACGTTTCGACCTGAGAGCCTTCGTCAGGAGAGTTAGTCTCCTGACGAAGGCTCTCAGGTCGAAACGTCGAGAAGTGTTTTGTCTATTTAGGCAGTTGTTATACCACATTTGATGCATAGTTTAACACAGTTACAAGTTTAAAATATGCTGCATTACAGATATTTTATGCATTGTAAATCTGCATGAGTTAACATTTTGATGGCGTGAAGACTCGAAAAATACCAATATGCGGGTGATCGTTTCACGTTTTTATGCCTATAGCAGCATGAGAGGCGAGGCGAACTGTGAAGATATTTAAGACTTTTCGTAATTGCCGGAGAAAATGCAACCTGCGTAAAACCAAGGCTAAAACCTAGCTTTGAATTACATTTTTTGCGCAAACGTACTGGAAAACAGACTTTGATATCTATAACAATTCTCATTCATTGTGATGCCATGAAAGGATCCCATAATTAATACAATCAAGAATGGCCCATCTTTGTTGTTTAAAATCCACTTAGCAACAAAGACTGTATAAAGTTTATTATTTAGCCTGACACAAATTGCACGTCGATATCTACTTAAACTCGAAAGTAAATAAATCATTTTGATAGATGTCGAAACGGATGCTTATTCATTTCCCCCATACTCCGCTATAAAACCCAATTGATACCCTTGACTACCTTCGCCTAAGTAAATCCCTCAATTTATATTTGCCTTTCCCTATAAAAGGCAAGATTGAGATATGTAATTTTGCTAATTCTAACCTAACATCCTTAACCCCAAATCCTTTCTCATTTGTTCAACTATTCACATGCTCACGTCAAACTTTCAACGCAGTTTTTAGTGAGTAGATTTTCTAAATATAGCTAGATAAAGGTAATAAAATCAGTTCCTTAGCACAAAACAACGTCTCCTATTTTCTCATCAGGCAGGAAATTATCACAATTAACTCCACCTCCACCATGCATTTTCCAATAGTTGGTTCCAGTTGCAAGTGCCATCACAGGTGCCATGTTAGGCAGTGTTTAGTCTCGCACTCGTAACCGAAATTCTACATCTGCTTTGTAGGATAGTTAGGTTCAGTGCTCTGCCAACATCCGAAACCTTACTTTATACTTAGCGGTTTCAAAGTATCCCCTTTTGTCCTCACAAAGCGGCTTGTTATTTCGTTATGCTTCGGGTATTCCATATAGCCGCTCACGCACTAATTAACACGAATGAAATTTGTATATAATTGGTGTGCATGAGTTCATTTGTGGGAAACACAATATTGGACAAAGAGTTTTCGAACAATCGCAGGTGTAGAGTCAACAGTCAGTTGTGCAGTCAAAAAGTTCATTTTATAGTTCCGTATCCTGACAAAGATTTCGCTATCATGTGCTCAAAGGTAAGCTTCGGTATAAGTATGTTAACTGCTATTAATGTATCAATGATTTAAAAGTAATAGCCAGAGTTTTAGTGAAAGGTTGTTTATACGATATTAAACAACGATGGCCGTTGCAATGATGGGTCGGGCGATAACTGATGACATTTATCAAAGTATATATCGTTGATATATCGAAGTTGAGATTATCAGGTATATAGGTCGATTTTTCTTGGACATGATAATTGTGATTTTTTTCAGTATCATCCTGAATCCTATTCTTCACAAATTACCCATATTATCCTCAAGTGATATCTTCATCACTGGTAATTTTTATGGTTAAGGGGTTGATGAAGAACCAGATATTAAATTACAGCTTTAAATTTACAGCCTAATCTTTCTTAATTGTTGTAGCCCAACATGGGGAAGCAAGGTTTAAAGTCAATTTTTGCTACACGTTTACAACTGATTAGTTTTTAAATTCAAGTAAATAACATACAATGATATACGCACATCTATACATAGAATGAATTCGTTATATAATAAATTTGATTCTAATTCTATTCCGACTTCCTCTTTGTCTGCGCAGAGCTGAAGTACAAAAATGTCAAGGTGAATACAATACGTTGTACCATTAAAAAGCCCTTGGCATCAACGAATCATATCATAGATACTTCGTCCATAAAGAACTTCAACGTCCGACACCGGAAGGCGGAAAATCATATAGACTTTTTTTATAGTTTCTTTGGCGGTCAAACAGTCTAAAAGTCTTCTAGCTCTTGTCTCTCCCTAGGACAAATTAAAAATATAGGCGACTCCTGGAGGCCGACCATGTTTCAAAATCACAGATACGTTTCTCATTCCATTCTTTTACTCAACCTGTGTGGGTTGTATTAAAGAACAGGGTTATCTAACATTAGTGCGCTATTGTACTAAACATAACTTACTAATTTTTAAATATTATGATAGATCAGGCCTTTTGTTGTTGAGTCACACGTCTCACATGGCGTGCCATATCGAGAGAAAACAAGGCGAATACGAGTTCTATAAGAAAACGTGGATAACGTGCAAAAACGTGCCCTTTGTAAAATTCTTCCCTCGCCGCCCTAAACTGCTTCCGGTGCCCCTGTTTGAGGTGGAAATAAGTTATTCTCACAACGATTTATTCAAATAGTTCTCACTAATTTTTCTTCAAATGATGAAAAACATGTCATTTAGTTGTTTGTCATTTAGAAAATTTAACGTATTCTTTCTTAGAGTTTATGGTCAAACGTCGTATTTAACGCCATTTTATTTATCCTGGTTCATGTTAACAAGTCCGTTCACGGAATGGAACATAGCATAATTTCAGATAAAATTCTAAAGTAAGTAAACTAGACGATTACGTTTACGATACATTAGCTTTGATACTTTAGCTACTCTTGTCTTAGATTAGTTCGTTAATAAATTTTGAAAAATACCAATCAGTGACACCATCATTAATTATGCAAGGTCAAGAACATATGCTAATTTATTCGTTTCAGTTGCTTTCGCAATGCTGAGTTTATTTTATCTGGTTTCTTGTGCCCATATAGACAGGTTGATGTTCATGGCAAAGACAGCCCAAAAGTAAACGCATGCGTATTTCTGGGCTGCTATGGCGATGATTTGTATTTGACGCCTTCTGCCATTTTGGGTGGCAAAATAGAATACTGATTACTGAACACATTTATTCATAAAGGACAAACAAATAGAATAAACTGAGATGGTATCACTATGGTTTACAATTTTATCTATTTTCCGTGCGTTTGTAGGGATCGTTTACATAAAAACTTTTGCTAGCCAAGATGGCAGGCTTTTAGTTTTTCGTTTCAATTAAGTCAAACTATACATCTTTCGTTAACGTTTCAGGCACACTGACGATGACGTTTTTTGGTCTGCAAAGCAGAAACGGACAAGTCTATACAAAAATCCCTGTGACAGTGAGAGCCATGTTGTAAACACACGTAATCTTGATCCCAGGCCTTGTCAACATTGTAGATACTATCCAGCAACCCTTAAAGAAGTCAAATGCACCAAGAATACGCTGAACAATAAATTACCTACAGTCTGCAAATATATAAATGTTGCAGGTGATTGTATGGACGTTTACAATCCAATAAGTATTCTCAGGGTTGATACAAAAGCGGTACCACCTCTACTTTACTCATTTAAAGTTAATCTCAAAGTTGGATGCGCGTGCATGTTGCTGCGTTTTTAAGAGTTTGGCTTATAATATACATTTTATCGTCTGTTAACCCATAGTTTAGGCTCAATAAAACAAGTGGATGATTGGAATAGACTGATAGACCTCATCATCGTTGACTTCAGTGTGGTTTATCTCAACCTTATCATCATAAGCATTTGAAATAAACGATAAATAAAATTTTATATATATATATATATATATATATATATATATATATATATATATATATATATATATATTGGTTTTTAATCTAATATTAAATACATCCCTTCCACGAGAGTCGGGATTCGCATGTATTAGGCTATTAGTTCTAGAACTACTACGGTTATCCAAGTAGTAAGAGAGTACAATCAAATAAATGATAACTGATTTAATGAGTCATTTGCAGTTATATATCGTTTATTTCAAATGCTTAATTGCTCTTGTGCTGACCAGGGCGGGCCGGTTGTTCGAAACTTATCCACCTTTTCAGCTAAACGCCTTTCGAACAACCGGCCCCACATCATATGGCCGTAACTTATTATTTACTTCGTCTTGTATCTATCTATGTAGGAGAAATAGCATTAAACTTTACTGACATTTCAAACTTATGAAGTACGCACAATTGATAGCGGGGTTCATCTTTAACAGGCACATGTTTGCCTTTTTTTTACCCGTACTGCTAAATTATCCACCTCAGTTTGCAACCAATAAAATACTGAAATACCAGTGCCAGTGGGTACCATGTACTGAACATGCAGATTAAAAGATTAAGAGGTTTATTCCGAAAAATAAAAATCATAAGAAGAAAATTCCATCCCAAAAATTTCAAGCTTTTGCATGGGTAAAATGTTTGCAACGCTGCAACAGGCTAACAGCCTCTGTGCAACAGGACGTGCAACAGGCAACAGCCAACAGGGCGCCAGTGTAACATGAAGTAATGCTTGACCACGTGATCGATTACCAAAAAAGAATGCAGGCTCGTACTCCTTGGAAATTGTGACGGAGCCCCCCTCAAACTGCATCATTCTTTCTTGTTGAGCTGTCGTTTTGTGACACGAGGTTGGTGTTTTCCTTGTGAAATTTTTGTGTTTTTGCCTTTATATTGACCCTAGAACCTTCGGCAAACAAGCTGCTATCCAATTATATTATTACATTGTTGTGTCTGTGGTAAAATGATAGAGCATAGTAGGCAATCTAGTATGAAATGTCTTAAATAGACATCAAAATAAACTTGACCGATAATTCCTTTTCACCCAATGGTCTTGTTTCAATGTTAATTTCAGCATATCAGAGGATAATTTTGTTGTCGTCCTGAACGAATTTGTTTCTTCATAGGCTTAATGACAAAATATTTTCAACCTTAGTAGGCATGAAACATGAGTAGCTATTTGACACGAAAACGAGGCCATTGGGTGAATTGAATTAAAGGAAAGGTTCATGAGACTAACAACAATCAAACCTCTAAACCCTTAAAGCCAGGACACATTTGAAGGCATATATTGTATTTTATATATTAAAACCATTTCATTTAACTTGAAAATGTTTTAGGAGTTGCATTAGAATCTTGCATGTTTAAAGGTCTGTTCACAAGATCCAATTTCGTTGGATCCAATTCACTTCTGATAGATGTTTTATAGTCTGTTGTCCATATGAGCAGCAAATTCACTGAAGCCAATTCACTACTGCTTCATCAATAACCGATTATATTCCATACGTCAGAAGTTAATTGGATCCAACAACATTGGATCATGTGAACAGACCTTAAAATATTTTTAACTTTTCAGATCACCATGCAGATCTTTGTCAAGACATTGACTGGCAAGACCATCACTCTTGAAGTTGAGCCAAGTGATACTATTGAAAATGTAAAAACCAAAATTCAAGATAAAGAGGGTATGATTAAAAACCTGGAATGTTTTATCATATTGCTTTAAAATAATAAGTTCTAATATATAATAATCAGTGATTCTGATGAACAACTTTCTATATTCTGGCAGGAATTCCACCGGATCAGCAGCGTCTTATCTTTGCTGGAAAGCAACTAGAAGATGGACGTACTCTTTCTGATTACAATATTCAAAAAGGTAAGTTTGTAATTAAACAATTTTAATTATAGTTGTAACTGTAGACCACATTTGATGCAAAGCTATTAGAAGCTGATATAGTGCTCCTTGATTACCATATATTAGATTCCATATTATCATAACAGTTGTTACCAGTGTGTAAGTCTTGAGCAAATGGAAACATTAGTTATTACAGAGTTGTAGAATAAGATTATTAAGTAATTTTATCTTCCTTCCCAATAGAGTCCACACTCCATCTTGTATTGAGGCTTCGAGGTGGTGTGATTGAACCAAGTCTCCGTATATTGGCTCAGAAATATAATTGTGATAAAATGATTTGTAGAAAGTAAGTAGTTGATGTAAAATATGTTTTAAAGTAAGTTGTGATGTTTTAAAGGAATAAAATAATATTTGGAATAAAGAAGGACTTTTTTCAAAGCTTAGATAAAACAATATGAATATTATACTGGAACCTATATGATTCACTGTTCATTGACAATGGAGGTCCGGAAATTTGTGTCAAACTTGCCCCTATTAACATCTTTGATATTTTTAATATAGATGTTATGCTCGTCTTCATCCAAGAGCAACCAACTGCCGTAAGAAGAAATGTGGCCATTGCAATGACTTAAGGCCAAAGAAAAAACTGAAATAAGTTATGACAGTTGTGGCAATTTAAAATAAACATTGCTTGAAACATTACCTTGTGTCAAATATTGTGCAAAATTCTCTTTATATCTTTACCATATTAACACCCCCCCCCTAAATGTTAGCATGGCCAGATTGTTTGGGTTTCCACATGACATTTACACAAATTCTCTTGCAACAGCATAAAGAACAGTGCACACATTTTCATATAGGATTAGAATTTATGTACTCTAAAATAGAGCAGAATTGACTACAATACCAATTGCACATGTCTATGATAATGAACTTACTTTAATCAACTTACTTTCATTCACCATGCTACAAATTGATAAATTTGAGTTCTCCTGTCATAAAGTGCCCCCTAAAAACCTGAGCATCCGTCGGTCAACTTCAAGGTCATAGATTTTAATGTTATATATATATATATAATCCGTGTAATCATTGATCGAGAAATTCTTGTTACGAGCCATGAACAGATTAAGTAACCCAAACTGTGATACGAGTCAAACCACTAATATTCTCAGAGTCGACATGCCAAATGCCAATCATGCAATTTGAACGGTCATTGTTGGATATTGTAAAGCAAAAGCAACAATGATATTGGCTACTATATAATCGAAAGTATTTGTACACAAATATACTGATCAAATTAGATTAAAAATACCATACATATTATGGAAGAGAAATCAGCAATAACATGCTTCCAAGGTGTATCACTCTAAAAAAGCGTGCATTGTTTTGGAAATTTCAACAATTATCTCCTAAATTTTGAGATCTTCAGTGATTTGTAGATATTTTGGAGATTTTATGGATTTCAAACAACTTTCTCGCATTTTTGCAACCTTTGATTTCCAGCGATTTTTAACTCGCAAGGATTTCTTAGGTGAGATGTACGAGGTTTTTAAGAGTGATATGTCCTTTCAAATTCTACTTTCGGTTCATTTTTACAATTAGTTTATCTATGTTATTAAATAGCGATATAAATTGTGAGGGGAAATTTCAACAATGAATGTCTGATTGCCAGCAGGCTTCACTGAAATGTTTTGTTTTCATTACATGAAAAAATTTAAATAACAACATATTTAAACTAAAGTAAAATTGTTTTTGGAAATCAAGGGTTAATATATAGTCAATAGAGAATAAACATGGTATAAAGCCTGGTAAGCTTCAAAGAGACAAACTGCAGGATCTGAAGGTGCATAAATGGTTCATCTTCCGCTTAAAATTTTGAGATCGAAACATTACATTTAAGAGATGACCTATAGAGAAGCTGTGGGTGAATTCCAACAGGTTAAAAGTGCACGAAATATATGTATAGAACCTTTAGTATTAGTGCAAACCATGTTTATTATTCTATTACTATGGTAATTAATTTTAGTCTTCATTCGTCCTGATGTGGTCTGGTACCATGGTAGCTACGCAAAATCTTGCGCGCCATTGCAAAATTATTTTCCGCAATTACCAAAGCTTTCTTGATTTCCTCTCGGGTATAGCCTTGATTCATCAAAATCTGCAAATCTTCCTCGTCAAACTCTATTGGCTGTTCCCCGCCATTGGGGCTGTGACGAGGGGGAAAGGTGCCCGGCAGCCCTGTCGGCCTTTTTGAGCCAATAAATTGAAAGTTATTGTCATATGTTGGATTACTGAAACACCTTGGAAGAATTGGAGGGTTGCCATCTGTGGATAAAGTATAACCATTTTCTTTGCTTCCGTCAACTGTGAGGTCTTCCAACGATTTTGATGTCTGGGCTGCTAAGTTACTATAGGTGAGGTTTGCAGTTTTAGGTAAGCTGTTACCCTTGGTCCCATTAGGAAACAACCGATCCACACCAAGAGATTTTTGTTGTTTTGACTTATCGTCAAGGAATGGGTTGGCCCCTTCAAAAGGATCGTCGTGCACACAAAATTCATTGTTAGCAAAGTTACTGGTTACTTCGTCAAATGCGACGGCGCTGCCTGTGTCGAACTCGTCAATTTCCTTATCATTTAAACTGAGGCGTGGACCAATAGGCGTATGCCCACGACTGATCTCCTTATCTTTATCTTGTTTAGGGAATGCAAGATCAGCATAGGTCATTGTTTTCGCTGATTTTTCCATTGGGACTGGCCGTCTATTACTAGTAAGGTCAATACCAGAATAAGGAAATCGGCCATGTGAATCCTCAGGTTCAATCGGATGAGATGATGCATCAAAATTTCCATCCAAATAATCCTGGCTTCGTGTTTTGTGCTTTGATCTCGCGGGTAACTTAGGTGGGATTGCATCATTGTCTGCTAACATTTCAATTGGATCTTGACGATGTCTAGGGAGACGAGGTGAAGGGTGGGGGGAGTTTTCAGGAGAAAGGTTTGGAGAAGCTAAGGGTGAACTCCTGGGAGATGGCCGAGGAGATGTCCGTGGAGATCTGGGGAAAAGTACTGGTGAGGTTGGTGACTGGAGATGGCCCGAAAGATGACCGTGGTTTTTGCGAGCAGGAAGTGGAGGAGGTGGAGCATCCTCTTCACCTGGTGTGATGTATGAACGAGGTTGGGATGGAATATCTACCCGAAGTCGCTCTTTTTTTTCATTTCCCGATGGCGGAATCCAGTTACTTATGTCCTGAACGAGAAAAAAACACAACAAAATTAGTCGATGCTTTCGTTATGCAAAGCGATCAAGCAGATATAGTTTCGAAAATAAAGTCTTTCACCACCAATACCGCAAATTCGATAACCCCCCCTGCATGGTTTTCTAAAGCCACATGCAGGGCCGTAGCTAGTGGGGTGTATATTCATATATTGTCTTATGCCTGACTGATTTCTTTTGTACGCTATTCTTCTTATGATATTAAACATGAATATATGAATATACACCTTTCCCAGTTAGGCGGTCTAGCCACGGTCCTGGCTACATGTTACTGTAGATACAACATTTTTTTAGGGTATACTAACATCAAGGACATCTTCTTTTTCTGAATCACATTCAAACGAAGATGATTTTGCCAGATCTTCTTCAGATTTGGAAAAAGGAACAAATGGATCAACAACGATTCTTTCAATATCTTTAATCTCCTGTCGACAAAACGGACAGCCTTCACCGCCTATCTCTTGCCAGTGTTCTAAACAGCTCAGACACACTAAGTGACCACATGGCTCAATGCGAATATCTTTATCATTTTCAGCGCATATCTTACACAGCTCGAACGTTGTGCCAATTTCACAGTACAACTCGTACTGTTCCTCTGTCACTTGGATATGGTCATTTGACCTTTCAACAATATCCTGACTAAGATCAGGATTTTTTCGATGACCATTCGGGTACAAGTAGCTGTAAAAACAGAAATGATAGGATAAATTTTAAGATGAATATACAGTAGGCGTGCTTTTTTGACAAACTCAAACGCTGAATATATTAAAGAAATCTTCACTCGTATCCATAGTATTTCTTAATTCTTTTATACAGTACATTATTCTTTTTAAAATTGCGACAGTTGTTGCTAGTGCAGTTTCCACTTCCCAAATAAGTTACAAAGAACATTGGCTTGTTCATATATTTATAAAAACACAACAGCATCCAAAATCAGTAGACAACGCAAAAAAGTGATGCCTTTTTTGACAACTTTTAAAAACACAGACTTACTATTTTTCATTGAAGCCTTCAACTAACGCTTGGAACAAGGACTTGTTTTGAGGAATAGTTTGAAGAATATTCTTCCCAGGAGTGACATAGCCAATTGCCCACTGTCCCAACCGTGTGCAACTCAATCGAAATAAGTAACTATATGAAAACAATATCAATTTTAAGGCAGTATAATCTATTTTCACTACTGTAAAGCTATAACACTCAATGCCCAGATGTTCTCCTAAGATTCAAATAACTGAAGACAAATGGATAATACAGCACACTTGTCTGAAACATTCTTGTGCATATGTACATAGTGCAACATAGAACCATAGTTATTGTGGAATGGACTGGCAACCCTTATCATCTATCCTCTGATCTTGCTGAAAGAACAGGACATTGCACAACTTTTAAGATAGACAGAGAGTTACGGATCCATCTCTCCCTCATGTATCTATATAACATTCATGACTCTTACAAAATATTCACACTGTTTCCACAAGCCTTTACTCTGAACAGCATGTATGTTTATTAATACAATATAATTTATGTATGTATCAAACCATCTGCTTCACTCAAGATTATATAAATAATTAAATTCCACCAATCACAAGGATAGGCAAATTTCAAAAGCATTGCATTGCTATTCTTAAGACAGACTGTAAATTAAAATTCCAAAAAATCTTTGAAATTAATTGAATTATAAAAAAGTGTTTCGTATACAGTGTTACTTCTCCTAATTATATGATCTATTGAACATTGCATAAATATTTCAAAAATAATTTACCTTCCTGGCAGATCAATGAACTTCTCAAGCCTTGCTTTGACTTCATCATAAGTCAAGAATGCACAATATCCTGGATGAGTGACTGCCAATAAATTCCAATTTCTCAGAATTCTGCCCCAAGGTTGAAATAATCTCACAAAGACATCAAATTCAAAGATTGAGATATGACTGTCACATGTTAAGTCTATGGTTGACTTCAGAGCAATAGCTTCCAACCCAGTTGAGATTTCTTGTACAGCATGAAAATATTGGCGAAACAATTTCCATGGAACAATTGATCTATTACATTTTATGGATAAATATTAGAATTATAGGAATAATAAATCATAAACAAACCTTATTTGATTATTAAAAACATGCTTTCTGAAAATGTACTGTTTAGTTTTCTACTGTGACTGAAAACTTACAACCATTTACATGCCTTTTTCCCAAGGTTGAATGTCCGCAAGGGGAAGAGCCTGGGATTTTCGTATTTGAGTATAGATTTGTCTCTCATTGGAATAAACATTGAATGTTTATTCCAATGAGAGACAAATCTATACTCAAATTACCACAACAAACCAAATTCAGCTTTCCCACATAAACCCCCCCCCTCCCCCATAAAATTAAAATTTTCAGTGAAAATTTAAATTTCAAACTGGCAATACAGGATGTATAAAAAAAAAGGGTAAACCAACTTCAACACGCTATTGTACATGAACTACTCAGTCTATGAAATTTTTTTTTAACATTTTGAAAGATCAGGCTTTTAACTATTGGATGACATGCTTTTAGTCCCAAATGGTGAAAAAATGAGCACATAGGAGACTGATAAATAATGTTAGTCACATTTGCATATTTTAACCTTTGAGCCCAATTAAAGCAGTGCATAACAAAAGAAATCACGAACATGTCACAGCTTGTACTGGTTTTACAACATGTTTATTGCAATTATTTTATTTTCTATTATTTATTTTATTTATTATTTTATTCTTATTTTTTAAAAAGAGGCTATGCGCCAATGCCTTTAACTTGACCAGCATCTCTATCGACACAAAGTTGACATCGCTGCCACATTGCTTGGAATGTTCTCCTGATGCGATTTATGCCTGTTTAATATGCATATGCGGGCAGTTTATTCAGAAGCTTCAACTAAGTCCCAAAGGGAGTTAATTCTCAATAGTCCTAACTCTCAGAGGTGAAAATATACGATTTTGACTAACACTTTTTATCAGCCTTCTATTTGCTCATTTTTTCACCATTTGGTATCAAAAACATGTCATTCAATAGTTAAAAGCCTAACCTTTCCAAATTTGAAAAAAAATGTTAATAGAATGAGTAGTTCATAAGTTGGGTTACCTTTGAAAACACCCTGTATATTATTTTCATTAAAAGCAAAGAGTTAAATTTTGGGAAATAATTTTTGGGGTGTGTAAGCACCCATAGTGTAAGCAGCTGCTTTGCCTGCCTGATTTCACATCAGATTAAATACTGGTTGTTGCCAAAAAAGTGTTCCAAACTAACACTGTGTACATATGCAAATTTTTATATAACTAAATAATACCATTAAAATTAATTTTTAAGAACAATTAGTCATAAATAATTATAAATATTGCAACATAAAACCCCTTTACCAGAAGAAATATTCTTTACAGCAATAGAAAACAGAGGATACTCAAGCGAATAGTCAGACGAAAATATTTTTAAAGACCCTGCACTGAAGTGCTTTGTTTAATAATATCAGATGACTGGTGTTTAGATGAAATAGTCCAACAAATAAATTATATAATAAAACAGGTGTTTCCATTTAGCTCTGGACTTGACAAGAACTTTTTTGAGTTTTTGCTTACTTAAAGGCTAATGCTGCAATGTTGGGGACGAACGTAATTCGAAACTAGTGTAATAAAATCCTTTAAAATTGTGAAACGAAAGACGTGTTGAAAATGAAATTTTATCATAGAATAAGGTAGTCGTAACATATTAATTACCTTGTTCCAAATGAATTTCTCCAGAATTCAGCCGCGTCGGATTTAGTGATCCGGAATGTGTCGCCAATGTAACATCCATTAGGAAATATCCCCTTTAATTCAGCGAGCATATGATTAAAAATCAAACTTAACTTGGTTAGACTCCTGCGATAACGCGAGTCCTCTATAAACATTTGCTCCTTGCCGTCTTTGAATAATCGTATCGCCTGTTTCAGTTTCCTCATAAGATTGTCAAGAAATATTTTGAAGTATTCATTTTCTGCGAGTACATACATTTTATCTTCGTACCTTCCCATTATAATTTGAAGAGTATGGTAGGTGTCTGGTAGAATATCCAAAATGTATGGGGGACTGTTCTTTAAATGCATCCGCGAATGCTGACACGATTTTAGCACCTTCTCCATCAACTTCCATGCTTTATCGATAGTTTTTCTATCAACCTGGATCTTTTGTGTTACAGCTTTCTCGATAACGTCTTGTAATTTCGCCAAAAAGCCCGTTGTTTTTCCCGAGTTTATAGGAACTTGGTTCGCCATTACGATGCTGCATCCTTTGCTCTTCCGTGTTCTAATGCTTTTCACAACACGTGATTCCATTCAGCCAATCAAATTTCTGCATAATAATGTCAGTTTAATTTTCAGAAACAGTTAGGTGATTTGTATGTGTTCTTTAACCCAAACATTAGCTAAAGTCTTACATTGAACTAGCCTACGTCGCCGAAGGTTTAAACCACGCAAAAGTTGAGTTTACACCAATAATCAAGACAAAAAACATAATTAAACGTGTTGATATGCATGCTAATAAGCTTTATGGACGTCAAATGTTACTGGTTTCCGCAGTTCAAGTGAATAGCGACGTGGGTGGAACCGTTACAGCGGAACCTCAATATCTCCCCACCTATGTATCCGCCTCCCATATAATAGACACAGTACCGCATTTCAGCCCGTTCATTTAGCAAAATAATCATGGGAATATGCTTTTCTGGGTGAATAATGTTATTCGACAAAAAGTCTTTAGCAGTGCGTAGACTCGTTGTAATTATTTCCACTGTGTCTGTGATAGAATTGAAAGCGAAAATAACCTATAAAGTTTTCCGGTTCTTTGTTGATATTAAATATTTTCAGGCATGCGGACCCGAAAGTGACATTTTTATTAATTTAGGTCATATCATATGCCTTGTAGTTGTAGTAAACAGGAGACAAAGACAATTACAAAACAAGGAAAAGTAGACAGAATTCCCTTATTGAGACCGAGGTCAAGCGTCGCTCTTCCAATGTGTCATACTCCTTAGTTGGCTTACCATTTATTGTTTAAAACACAATAATCACAATCCTTCAAGACACGCTGTGTAGTGTGTAGAGATGTTGACGCCGATTGGATAACAACTGAGAGATGTGCATTATACAAACATACTTGATATTACAGAATACTGTAAATTGCTGGATTGTTGCCGATTGTTTTACCAGATTTTCACCCAATTATTGAGCTTCGATTGACCTTAGACATACGTGTTCTTTATAACGCCTATTTAGCTTGGAAATACCTTACTTATCTTGACTTTATATTTCAAATTCGAACTTGCAAGATTACAGAACTTTTTGCCTTTTAAAGTAACTGGTATTTTTCGTTATCAAAATGGTAGCAATATGATGATATTGTTATGCTAATTGATCACACGTATTTCGAGAGTCTGTATGCAATAATCTTGTACAGAAGTACCACTTCATAAGGGAGTGTACAATGTCCAGACAATTCTAGAGGAATTGTCAATTGTGGTGAGTATGTATGGCCGCACATACCTCGAAAAGCGGGGCAGAAGATCATGCATACAACCCACTACCCTGAACTGCCAGGGCCCGCGGTAAAGTTATCAGGGGGTTAAGTTATGCCTCATATCTGAATTTACACTAAGCCCGTATAATAGTAAAATATTTCTAAAATCTTGCAGCACAAAAATGAAGGATGTGTCCACTAAGCTGAATTTTTCGATCGAAAGAAATTTTTCGCTCGATTCTCTTTTCATTTGTGACCAGTCAACTATAATTTTTATCCCTGGCTGATGAGAACCATTTAAAAAAATTCAAAAATTGCAACCAAAAACAAGTTTCAGGTATACATTATGCTAAATAATCCAAAATGGCGGACATGTCTTTTTTTCGGTCAAAATATTACATGAATCAAGCAAGCTATAAAAAATCTGTAGCAAGATTTTAATTAGAAATAATTTAAGCGTTCTTTGGATTGAAACTATTAAGAGGGCGCATGCATGTAGCGTGTAGTTGTATGATATATAGCCATCCCCAGTGCGTTCAGCCTTCAGGGTCAGTTGTATAAAAGGCTAGTTAACTTTTAACTCAGTGTAGTTAGTGACAGAGTCGTGTATTTCTGACTACGATTTAACAGTGCAAAATGTAGTTAAAGATTTTGTACAACCGGCCCCAGTCATTTTTTACGCGCGTATGTACGTAGGGCTAAAGCTTAAATCCGCTTTTAGGCTAGTTGAGGGATAAACTTTTAAGACGAATAACCATTGTCATCAGTAAAATGTTCTTACGAAATATTGAGAATTTTGTATCACAGACACAGTCAGCAGGTTTAAAGAATTTATTTGCTTTATGTAGCCTTTTAGCATGTTTCACTGATTTATATTCCGACCTTATAATATAGTTAATAGTCAGTCTGGCTCATTTCAAAACCGTGTGACCGTCATAAATCAACCGATAGTGTTACGTTTAGTATATATCGGTGTTATATATGACAAAAAAGGCCCCAAAAATTTCCCTTCCAGTCTACCCAATAAGTAACCAAACATTCAGTTCCCGATTTGTCGCGTAGCAAATACATATATATATATAATACACAATCGTGGTGTTCACTACGTCAAGAGAGAGCTCAACACAACTCTCAGTGTTGTGAGGCAATGTTATAAGTTAAAAAGGATAAAATAATATAATAAGGTCAAGAAGCATAACCATGAAGCCCACGGCCCACTGCCACTGGTTTTATAGCACATAATTATGTGCACTACACCCACTGACTGAAATGACACAAATTATCAAAATTCTTTCGTATAAGCCACTTCTACTACACCTACCTTAACATTAACGGCGTTATCTTTTCAGGGAAACAACAGATTTTCAATCAAACCCCTTACGTAGCTGCACGGTTAATTGTGTGGCTTTAATAGCTGCCAACTCGTAACTGATTAAAACTTCTATAGACTATACAAAGAAATATTCCGTGGGCAAACTTCCGCTTCTGCGTAAAACGTATTCATTCTTTACAGCTAAAGCTTGAATGAATAGTATTAAAAGAGGAAAAATTATTTGTCCGTTTGTATGGCGTATTATACGTATTGAACTTACTCGAAGTTTGGGAAAGATATCATGCATATTGCTCTTTCAATATATGAAACGTGACGACTATTATCTGATAACATCGAAATGAATAGCAAACAGACTAGAATAATGGCATAATGCGTGGGTGATAAACAAATAAAATATATAGAAAAAAATTAGGACATTTTTCAACGTTCCCATTGTTAGGAATCTATATTTAAAGATTTCATACTTGCATGACATATGGTATTTCTCTTAGGGAGAAGCTGATCAAACAAAACCAAGTTGCTTCCTCTCTTGCGAAAATTAACCCCCTGCCTCGGGAATAGCTTTGCCAAATGCAGGCGGTTTTGTAAATTTGCAACATCTGCTTATGTGAAAGATAAAGTCAGTAAAACAATTTGTATGTTAATGTTTCATTTAGAACCTATACGAGTTGCCTAAAACTGAAATGATTGCCGATGCGTGATATAATCTTTTTCTAGACGCAAATAATGAAATAAAGCACCACCAATTCGAATGATTCCAAGTAAAACGGCGTTTACCATTTTGTGGTAAACTTAATTGTTGCAATTTCTATCGTTCAAATATTTTCAACATGCATTAAAAAAGTACTTCTAATAATCTAGTTGACCTAAATCCACTGGCTAAAGAGATCCTACACAGCTAGTTTTCTCGGAACGGACATAGTTGTTATATCAACAACATTGTTCAGTCCTGTTCAGTAGCGTAGCCAGCCTGTCGATTTGTCCCGCTATGCTAATATTTTAGTGTTCACTGACTGTGAAAACAATAGATTTCTAAAGACATGAATAATTATAATAAATCGAAATTTACATAGCGGGACAAAATCGTCAGGCTGGCTACGCCACTGGTCCTGTTTTTATCAACCTCGAATAACTTGGGCGTTTCAACAGCACCGAACAATGTGTGCTGCTCTTATTGCTCAAACTTGTCGAACTGAATCACATACAACAATAATAATGAATGTTGATGACTTCATGACAACTGTGAACAATACAGGCCAGCACAACACTCAGTCAGCAGTCAGATCAATCAGAAGTGTCCAGATTAAATATGAGATGCGGAAGATATCAGGTAAAATGCGAAAAGTTTTATTAGTATTTTCCTCCTGAAATTGGAAATTTTTAAACGATGCCTGGTTTAGACACGTTCCAATATAACCGCTTGGCGGTAACAGAGCAAGTGTTGTTTCTTCTACTTACGATCAAATGTGGTATAACAAGTAGCGTAGCCAGCTGAGCCTGTCGATTTGTCTCGCTATGCCAATATTTTGCTGTTCTCTGACTGTGAAAACAATAGATTTCTAATGACATGAATAATAATGACTCGAAATTTACATAGCGGGACAAAATCGTCAGGCTGGCTACGCCACCGGGTATAACGACTGCCTAAAATAGAATTCAACGTTAAATGGCTAGACTAGAAATTTCCTTCGTCAGATAGTTGGTATTGTCTATTATAATTATATCCCACGTGTTTTGTTCGGCCTCTTAACCATGATTTGTTCAAAGAAATTACCTCCATACCTGGAATACCATTGCCTTTCAAATCGAGTTAATTTTGTTTTACTGCTTCAATATCTGTGATTTACTGTGGAGAGGTTAAGATACCCCGCTTCCGGTTTAGGTGTATCCGTGGGGTGTCATGGACGTCATTGTATTGTCAAGTGGCCCGGGGTTAACTCGAAATCGAGATAGAATAATCACTGCATGTGATAGCTTGGTTGAAACGTATGCTTGAAACGTATCCCCCTCAATTATAGCCTTTCTTGGCAAATTCTCGCCATGACGAATTACCCGCCATTTCGATTTTCGGACTTGCTTTTTCCTTGATATGGTCATGCTGGGGACCACGTAACAGAGACTAATTTATATGGTTAGTTTATTCTGAAACATTGCTGTTTATTTCTTTATGGTTGTTTAAGCCCGTTTAAGAAAATGAACAGGATATACGTCATCGCAAAAACGTATCCCGGCCGTAGATGACTGGTAAGTGCCAGGTACGGATGAGGATATTTCCTCAGGCAGTTATCGACTCACTTAGGGTCGAAAATATGAAAAACGTCTGTGATGTATATTGTTGTTAAAACGTTTTTCCTGTATTTGAACAATGTATGAAAGTAGGAGGTTGGGAATTTTCGAAGTAGCGACAAAATGTTCCTCTTAAGTAAAAGCCACTTAAATTAACATTCATCCTGAGAATGCTTTTATACATATACGTATTGTTCACTACGAGTTATAAAGAAGAAATCTTTTGAGTAGAAAGGCGTTTTGTTTGATAATACTGTATATTCTTTTCGGAATATATTAAGAATATACTATCATGGATATTGTTTGACGGGCGTGATAGAGATTCGTCATTGGGCGTGATCGAGACGATGATGCAAAGGGAAGGAAAGTGTAGAGCGAAAAAGCACGGCCTGCATGAGATATATCAAGGATTCTTTTTGTAAATACATACTAGAGTCTCTGCGTGGGTCTCGTTCCTTTCACGTTTCTTTCCTCTCAGATAAAACTCTTTTACCTACCACTTTATCGGGCACTATTATGGCGACATGACGTATTCTGCAAACTGTTGAATTTCACATTAATCAAAATCCAATTAATTACATAATGATAATACATTTACAGTGGACTGTTGTTCTTGGGCATAAATATGCATGATTATGATTGTCTCTATGCTAAAGCTAAAACAATTTCTCATGCATGCATCGGACTGAAAACATATTTCGTGTAACACGCAAGTTGGATGTTGGATATATACTATACATTAAGGCAGATGGAAGATTATTTTTTTATTACTTTCAGGGATGCATTGAGAAATAAGAATTGCATATGTCACATGCATGACGGGTCGATTGAAGAAATATCACAGAGCATGCATGTGTGGAAACTCTTGTCATACAGCACAGAAGATTAGAAGTCGCACTCATATTAGAACCACGGTTAATATTAGAACAAATGTCAATATATAGGTCAGAAAAGTTTAATACAAGGAATAATTTAAATAAGAATTTCAGATTCTTGAATAATTTATATAAATAAATTTATTGTGCAAAAATGCACATATATGCACATATGTTCATACACATTCACTGTACATTAAACTTGAGAAATTTGTTGCACGGAGTTCGCAGCTAATTCATCGAAGAAATAGATTAGTAAGTTTTTGGCCTAGAATAAAAACAGATAATCAATAATAAGGCCTGATTCTCGTGTCATCATTTATACATAGAGGAAACTTACTTCATTCTCTGTTTCAGCATGGATTATGTGTTCACGATGCTCTGTGATTGAACGCCGTTTTCTTTCAACACTACATAACCAGCAAAACTAACTATGAGCGTGTTTACGTCACGTATAGAAGTGTTGGTAAATTATAAAGTAGCTCTCACGCTAGAAATCTTTTTAACGTAAATCAATTAGACTTAGGTAAGGCATGTCTTACGTCAAGCCAACTGCATGTGACTGTCCTTGCTGTGTCAATGCAATATACCTTTCAATGATAGAATCAAAGCACGTGATAGCATTATCTCTTTGCAAAGCAAGTATAATACAAGGTCCTTCTGACAGTTCATTCTCCTAGAAATGCAAATCAGAACCTTAAAAAGGGAAACAGCTAGGGGATGGATCTAGTGTGGTTCTGTAGGGGTGATAAGTGCAAGCCAGGTGCCGGGCTTGAAATGGAGTATACAAACCAACTCAACTTCGATATCGTGAACTAAATTATTATACAGTTTGAAACAAATTTTCTAACTGCATGTTGAAATATTTTTTCTTGTTTTTAATTAATATTTATAACCTCAATGGAATATTTTTTTCTTATCACAGTCAAACTCGAACATGATTTACAACAACCTACCCTCGTGGCATTATCTTTTTAGTGATATGCTAACATTATGCGAATGTTAAAAAAATATATTTAATATGTTGGGCAAATTCAGCACACCGAATTTCCAAGTACGGGTAAGACCTACCAAATGTTTCCTGTCTGCTCTTGGACCAATCAACATGAAGAATTCATTAACTTGTTCACGTGACAACATTGTCATCTTCATTCCGACCGGAACAAAGTTTGCCGATAAGAAGAACTCCAGCACATCAACTAATGCAATCCTTTTTCTATCATTTCTACCATATAAAATATGGTGGGTTAATATCACACAGTTGACCTGCACCAAACAATTGATCAAATTTTGGGCGGTGGTCGTTGTGAAATCTGGAAGATATAGTTGAGATATTAAAACACAGTGTGTATAATAGGAAACGTGTTGCATGGTGCTAATACGCTTGTCAAACAAGGGAGACCATGCAGACATGGGCATCCCTCTGCTTGTCAATTTAAATCTAAAGTACTGCTTGACCACTATGAACCCACAGCTGATTGCCCTGTTGGTCCTGTTGCCCTTTTCAAGAAAATGCAAGGAAAGAGGTAAGAATTCCGACCAAAACTCCTGAAAGTTGTCTCTGTTGACCTACATACTATACAACCGGATAAATCATTGGTGGTCTGATATAATGTTCGAGAAATCATGTTCCCCATCCCAGCAGTATCAAATTCGGTCATTACTTTTTATCATTTTCCGTCCTGTTTTCTTCCCAATTGTCTCATCAAATGCACGGCATGGAATCTGAAAAACAACAATTGACAGGCAAATGGTATAGTATTCAGGGGATGGAATGTACCTATCATTTAGCCCAATGTATTTTACCTGTTCTGCCTCAAGATCAACGGACGGTCCGCAGCAAACACCACAAGGAAATAGCATTTTCAATTCGCATATAGCCGAACTGTACGATTCTGAACCTATAAGAATCAATATTTTACAGTATGAAAAAGTTTTTTCCATAGAATTTGGAAGAGCACTACAAATTTAATGGGTGCAGCATTAGGGCCATGCAGTATTAAACTTTCATGTACGTTACTCTAATGTACTAAAATTGTTCCAAACTTATCAGCAAACGGCTCCCTAAAATGCTCGGAAGAGCATTGTCCCTTGCACGAGCGATGTCCAGCCATTGGCATCAAAATGCGCCAGGATAAGCTCATGGAGAGTTTTCAATACATTACCGTGAATAGCGTTGTGGATAGAGTCGACGCCATAACAACCGCGGAGCAGAAATGGATCAAGACTACGGGCTATTATGGGATCTTCCGGACCCAAGATATCCAGAAGTTTCTTCACAGCATTTTCACGTTGTAAGCATATCACAAGAGATGTACTGGAGGTCAAATATTGGATATGTTCATTGTAGTCCTATAGATATTAATATTTAAGTCAAACGCATTGATCTTGAGCAATAAATGATATTATTAGGAGAAAAACATTTAGCATACAGTAATAATGAATAGTTTTTAAGAGCTTACCGATTCATCATTACGGACTAAAACTTGTGCTTCACTTTGGGTTAACACTCTCATGTTTAATGCCACGATATCGAAGTTTTCTTGGAGAAAACTTTTAAAGATTTTACCAATCTTCTTTGTGTTTGCAACACAGTAAGGTTTAATCAATGCAATCGTGGGCAATGGTCTTGGACCGAACAGCAATGATTGTATGATAGGTACCTCAATGTACCGTGCAGTTTCTACACTGGACGACGAATCATCAGTGGTGGAACGTGTTTTGTGACCAAACACTTTTCGTCGTTTTTTCTGGAAAGAAGCGTTCGTTTCCTTTTGTGCGAAACTTTGTAACATCTGTCGAAGTGGAGGAACGAAAACAGTATTGGTTCTATTGGAGTCATCGGGAAACAGTTCTGATTCTTCAAATAAAACTGTTAACTGTCGAAAGGCGACCTCTGAAGTCAGGGATAATGTCCATTCATTGTGTATACAGCTATCTTCTTTTGCAAGAGAAATCATGAAATCACGCAGACGTTGTATGATATTGATTCCTCGAAAGACGCAGACAACTACAGGATTTGACATCAATAGCTTGATACTGTCAAGCCAAGAACTATCACCGACTTCATGTGGAGTTACCTCCCTTGATTGAACAAGACTGAGACTTGGGAAACTTTTTATTCCAAGTAATTCCCAATCCCCGGCAATACTATTACTATTAGTGAGTTTCTTCAAGAGTATTCCGATAATCTGAATTGCTTCCTGATTAACTGAACTAAGAACACATATTTGCTCGGCTTCCGAATTCAATGAAAATCGATTATTTCGAGCACGCTTAAGAAGACTGGTATCAGGTTTATAGCAAACATCTCCCCATAATGATTTTGAACTAGCGTCGTTGAACTGTGCTATGGTTAAATACATTCGTAGTGTAGTTTCTTCGAGATCGGGTAAACTGGTAGAGTTGGTTGTCATCCAGTCCTTTAACGATTCAAATATATGTTTCACCAAACTTGCGGCATGGTATAATCCGTTTTCATGCTGCAATATGAGAATAGTTGACGGATTCGATCTGTTCGTTTTCGTGAAGGCTAACATGGCTTCCAAACTGATGTTTGAATTCCGCCTGGCTGGACTGCCTGGTGGAGAACCACTTGGACTTTGAACGGGTGTATTTCCAGCTGATGGACAGAACACGTTCATCAGAAGTTGTGAAAAACCAAGGCTTGTTCCTTGGCGTTTACTAAGCTGGACTCGTCGTATACCATGCAGAACGAAGCCCCGGAGAAAACAGGTATGAAGAAGTTCGCCAAGGAAGCTAGGAGGAACCAATGGTGAGATGATGAGAATGAATGCAACGCGGGTTGACGTTACCAAAAATGCAGGAGGCTTTTGAGCTGGAACACTGTCCGGGGAACATGGTTTGGGTTTATCATTAGAATCCTCCACAGCTCGGATGTCGTCCTCGGTCAAGCGTCCACCAAACACACGAGCCAAGTGTGCTGTAGCTTGATTAACGTAACTTGGACAGTAAAACGATTTATCCTCAGTATTCGTGGAACAATATATAGCACGAAGAGAGGGTATTTCCCGTCGGTCATCCAACAAGGGAATTTTGGATCCAATGATTTTCTTCATCTTTGCTATAGCAAATGGACCCCTGACAGCTAAATTAAGGGTGGGTTGGAGATCATATCTTGACTGAGGAATCTCATCTTTCCCATTGTCATCTGGGACATTACCTAAAAATATATAAAATTGTCGTCGAGGCCCAATATTGTTGCCTATCGTTAAGCAAACAATATCTTCACTAACTGCACACCATGCCGAACAACCCTTGTTCACGTATCTTGCAAAGGGGTTATTATGCAGAAGGATTACTATGCAGAGGGAAATTAACGGCAGTCGGATACTATAGTAGCTCCTTCCAGAATAAAATCAAGACCATCAGATTCAGCAAGAAGGTGGTCAGCTAACCATCGCATGGGAAAGAAAGGTCACAAATTATTATTATAAAAAAAATACATTACTTGATGGGTCGTGTTCAGTTGTAAGCCGAAGACCAGCGACATCGCAACCATCATTCTCAATACGGGTGAGTAAGTCAAGAACACAAGAAGGATGATAATACAAAGGAGCTCGTAGAAATACAACTGTATTTTCCACAATGACATCACACGGACTATAGTCTTGGTAACAATCATTGCTACCTTCAAGTTCAATGGTTTCCCAATAAAAACAAGATTTGCTTTTAAAAACACGTCGCACGGCGTTTAAATCTTGCCCAACAGTTATGTACGTTGACAACATCTTCGAACTATAAGCGTCCTCGTCTACTTGACAACAACCATTTAGGTAAACATTTTCGATTTTTTGGTAAACGCTTCTTAATGAATGTGTGGAAAGATACTTGGATATTGCTTTATTAAAAGCACGTGTTTTGTTCTTTGTAGAACCTTTGGTGATATTCGGATCATATACCTTCCCGTTTGGTTGAACACCAACGAAAAGTTGTAGTTGACCATTTTGATACGCTTGGTGAATACCGACAACGGTGAATGGCACGGATTTGTCTTCGCTGTGGGGATTGCAAAGATAACATAACCATGATATAAGAGCATAGTATTGATTAACTTCAGCTCCCGAGGCTAAGCCATTTCCTTTCGAATATTGATGGTTAATTTCCCCACAACCAGTCAACGTGACAACAAGGAGTAAACTAAGTTGCCCTTCTAATGTAAGCAATAAACCTTGCTGATGAGGTTGAAATGAAGCGTCCTGTAATGAACAGAGAAACAAAAACATCGTTGGTAGAACATGGATGACATAAAGCACCTATCTTTTGAAAAGGTCAGGTGGTTTTGGCTTTTGATGGGCATGCATCACACCGAGTGATTGCTGCAAAATTGCATGAGCGGAGGGTAATGGAAGCGCTAAAGTTTTTCATGCGTATGTATTTAATAATAATATACGTGGTTTTCTCTATGTGGTACAGAAGATATTTGGTTAAACTCATCGACTTTAACAATGCTACTCCTTTACCTGGTCATATATGATCGGTGTATTACACGCAGCAGGATACTTTCCACTTGCTGTCACCGTGGGCCTCATACGTTCAATATTAAGTTTTAGTTTCTCTTTCAGTTTCTTCAATTCCTTCTGACTTCGTTCCTTTTGTGGTTTGGAAAATTTATCCTTAATACAATATTAAATGAATGCACTCTTAAATTGTCGTATAACTAAAGTATGAAAATAGTCCCATCGCGGGGAAGTCTCATGAATGAATTATACCTATTCATGATGAATACCTGGTGAATATTCTTTAAGACAAAGGGTGTAGTTTGGATTAATCAGTAAATTTTTAGGTACCTACCAGTTTATTTTTGTTTGCCTCTTTCTTTTCAAGAATGGTTGGTGTGATTGTTCTATAGGTCTCAGTAGTCAGGGATTGCTTTGATGTTTTCTCGTTCATACACTCGATAATCCTATAAACATTGCATGGATCTACAACAAGAACATCGTTTGATAGTTCCCGTTTCTCATAAATACCACACTGTTGTTCTTTTTCCTTCGGCAATGAACCTATACGCATGTTTTTTGTGTCATCATTAGCGCCTTCTTCAGTCCCACTGAATCGTAAATTTATCCCTACTTCCACCGTACTAATTTCATCTGATCTCTGTTGAATCACCAACTGTACACTCTCGCTCATTTTACTTGAACATAAATCATTGGTATTAGTTTCTTTAAATTCCTCACTTTTTCCACCACTCGAGGCAGTTTTTTCATCCCTCTGGATACGTCTTGTGTTCCCTGATCTAAATGCAACACTTCTAGAGCTATTCTGGTCTTTCTCATCGTCGAACTGCTGAGACTGAGTAGTAGGCCTAATACCTTTTTCATCATGAGCAATGTGATGCTTATTGTCAAGAGGATCATTTTTCTTACTTGCAATATTTGCATGCGTAGTACTTGGCTCTGCGTGCGTCTCAAAGAACCACTCGTCTTTTTCAATTTTACCGGATAAATAATCATTTTGAGACTTTAATTCTTCCTTGTTTAAGTTCGCATAAGCAAAATTCTCGTCTTTTGTAATTTTCGGACCAATAATAATCTTCTGTTCTTTTTCTTCCGACTGACACCTATCATCTTGTAGTACATTTACACCAATTTTGCATCCTAAAGACATGCTGGCATCTGCCTGTTCCGTTACGTCTTCACTCCGCGAAGAAACACGACCATCCTTGACATTCAAACACGGGGATTCTTCCAATTCACTCTTGACAATGGACTTCGCATCTATTTCTTTACTGATACTATTTTCACAATATTCGCTATGTTCCTCCACTGGTAAACCCCCTGTCAATTCTTTTTCATCAAGTTTTTCCACGGTAGCACTTGAAATTTGCTGCAGAAAAGGTTCCCTGATTACTTTACTGGAATGATCGGATTTCGTGCGCTCCTCGGGTTGTCGTTTTGCTCTTTCCTTGAGTTTCATGCGCATCTCACGCCATTCAGTGTGTTCATCGTCACTTTCCTCATCAGAGTTGCTGTCTAATCTAAATAAAAACAATTCACTTTTAAATCATAATTTATCCATGGTAACATGTCGTTTTTTGTGTGTACACTTTCCAGAAACCTAGCTGCCTTTAAGCTGGCTCCGTTAAACAGCGTGTTGGTTCTCTGCTCTGTTCTCTCAAAAATTGAAAACAATCGATCATTACCTTTCTTTTTTAAGACCTAAGATTCGCTGTATTGATTCGGAATACGCCTCTTCTTCCTGTTTAGAAGGAATGCATTTATGAAATTTTCAGGGCTGATATCAAATCCGCATTAAGTTACAATGCAGTTAAATAAGTTTATGGAAGACAATGCAGATAATCGTGAATCTATTACAGAGGATCACGAATGTTCCACGTTTTTCCAAACCATTTCAACTACAAGAATACCCCACTATCATTCTTGGGGTTATGGATTAAGGTCAGTTTTGTATATAATGTATTTAATTTGGAGAACAGATATAATCACACACTTTTGTCATCTAAGAACAAGTTTGTGTAATTAAGTAATGCTACTAACCATCAATGATGCTGAAACTACACTTTTTCCTCTCAGGTTTTAATGCAATATACATGTACCTGTACCTTTTCTTTTTCCAAATTGCCCTCAGGTCTTAAATCAAGAAATACCGTTTGTGGCTCTTGGGAGGAATTGTCATCACTGCTTAACTGTGACCAAGTATGAATAGATTTAGCAGATCCGTAATTGCATTTCACCTTCCTCTTTGTTTGATAAAAACTTTCAGCAATGATTTGACAACTGCTATCCATGACACTAGTACATGCACTCAACTGATCTTTGGAGAGGTCAGACAGCTTAGACATCAACTCAGCATCACCAGCAGAGTGCATTATCTTGTCACTCTGTTGTGATGTGCTGGGAAGAAGATCAGATACCGAGAGTTCATTCTTTGAAGGAAGTGTTCCCAGCACTAACTGAAGTTCACTAAAGTTGATCTCTTTAAGTAAGTCAAAGTCCAACTGGTTTTTATATTCAGCATCATTTTTAGTTGACGAATGTGACTCTTTTTGCTCTGCAGGTAGAGGCATTTGGATGGCTTCATCTGGTTGAATATTTTTGCCAACAGGATCAACAGTTTGTTTTGACTCATCTAACTTTATATATACAGAATAGTTGTGCTCTGTTTGGCATGAAACTGAGGTAGATATTTGTGTATCAACTTTCTGTCTTAATTTGACTGTGGGGATATTATCATGGTGTGAAGATGAACAATTTTTAGAAACTTGCTCATCATTTGGAGCACTAGGATTAACAACTTTTCCATCTAATGCAGTGGATATTTCAACCTCATGAGTGTCTGACAATTCATTATTGGAAGTTTGACAGGATGAGGTTTTCATTAACACTATGGGATGTTCAGTGTTAAAAGCATCACTGCAACCATCTGTATGACTGACATTAAAACTTTTACTACAGTCCAGTTCTTGTAGACTCTGATTAATATTTACACTAGGGGTTGTCTTGTCTGTGTTGGGCGGTGTTGTATCATCAAAATATGTTAAATCACTATCTTTTTGGTAAGAGACAGTGGCCAATGGAGTAGCTACAGGAGCCTCATTCTGGGAATCTAAAAGATCATCATCTGTTTGACCAGACACTGAAGATGATTGAATAGCTGTAATCTGTTTATCTTTAGCTGGTATGCATGATGTAAATTGTTTGTAAAATGATGGGACATTCTTAGGTGGTGACCAGACTGATATTACTTCTTCATTATCCTGAAATAACAGCAAATTATAGACTTACCATTACTTTTCTCACAAAATATTTTTGTAGTGCTAGGATTAGGGCACATGCAAGATTGGGAGGTTATGATTACAGTTATGATTAGGGTTAGCCTTTGATTACAGGGTTAAGTTTCATGTGATTGATACTTTGTTTATATTAATGGTGACAATATAACCATTTGCTTGGTCAATATGTAAAAAAATGTGACGACCAGCCGCCAGCCATCCCAGCCTTTTCTATTATGCTCTCCTGGGCCCTGGGGCGATACCAGCTTTCTGGCTAAGATGAAGCAATCTCGGTTACATTTACATTGAGATGCAAAATATGTTTACACAAACTATCAACCAAAAGAGTTTCTAAGAGTTTCCCAATTGCATCAAAGACGTTATTTGATGAAATTGGGAAAAGCCTAGAAACAACTGAAAAAACTGTATTTCTTTCTTTTTTGAATTCTGACAGCGTTGCTAAGATACCATTGAAACCATAAAAAATTAGCAGCCAGCCACAAACAACACCCACACTAGCCCCTAACGCAAGGGTCACAACTTACATCATCATCAAACTCTAAACTTGGAATTTTCGTTTCAACTTCGGATAAAATTTCGTTGAGTTTCCCGCCATGATGGTCGGGCCATTGTCTTATATTTTCCTCCAAACTTAATTCTTCGTCGTCATCAGAATCCATTTTGTCAGCAAACAATAAACAAATAGATATAGATATCTTTTATCCACCAGAAATCATGGAAAAAAATATAACTTTTATATCACAGTATAAACTTTAATTTGTTTTTATTTTGTTTGGCAACAGGTCAGGTCGTCTAAAATTTCCCGCTTTCGTTAGAGTTGCTGACGAAATATTTGACGAATTTTAAACGTCGAGTCAAATTTTCCCTTCATATCCAAACATATCCAATCGAATCCCATTTTTTTCATTTCGATTTTCGAAAGCAAGATTCAAGAACTACAAGAAGCAAATTATGGACAGAAGTAGTGGAAGAAGTTCATTTGCTTCTCAGTGAACTAAATATACGTATATATAAAAAGAGGCCTTATTTTATAAATTGTGGGGATATTTTCTCTAATTCTCTAAGCTAGAAACAGGAAGTGGTAAAATTATTATATGGCGATCCAAAGTGTGTTCATCTTGAACAAAGCTGGGGGCCTTATTTATCATACTGACCGTTACAACGCCAAAAGTGATATTGAAAAGACATTTAGTTATCCATTAGATATTGTTTTAAAGGAGGATGATAAGTTGACTGTTGTGTTTGGCGAGAGAGATGGTATAAAAGGCATGTATACAGTATTGTATAGTGTGTACTCACCACATTAATTTTGTTTGATATATACACAAGTGCATGCATATTCTGCCAAAGGCTGAATGATAATTCACAGTGTCTGAATTACCAGTCATATTGCCTCCTCTGCATCTCATTCCTAATTCTGGTGCAGCTGCCCCTACTGTGTAGTGTACACCTCTGTGCTATAATCCTGTGAAATATAACTTATATGGTGACTACCTGAGATACCCAGATAATTAGACAAGCTAATTACCTTGTCTATGCAGCATTTCGATAACTGAGCTATAAATAACAATAGTGGCATTTTAAATTCAGACTACATCTACAAGTATTTATACTTGTCATAAACAAAAGAGTGTATACTGTATGTGGGAGTTGTATTAGGCTGAGAGAATGAACCTTCCAGTCTGGATGGAAGTGTAATTGGTCTCCCCATATCTATTCCGGTTTCCAGGGTTATTCAACTTGACCTTAACTTGGCTTTATTCTCAATTGCTATCATAATTGTATTTTTTGCCAGTTGGTTATAGTCTTTTGGCGATAAATGGGGAGGAAGTGAGCAATAAACAACTACCTAATGGTATGGATGCTGTGGAATTCCTTAAATATCCCAACAATTATCCGGTTTCACTAAAATTTGGTCGCACCAAGCTAAAGACCAATGAGAAGATTATGTTTGCAAGCATGTTTCACACGTAAGCCAAATATATATAATTGGATATAAATTAATTACAGTGAATTACACAATGGTTATAATAGGTAAATGAATGTAAATGCTATTCTCTTGCAACCCTCTTATGCATCTGCAATTCCAAGCAATGCTCCAACCACAATTCTACAAAGCTAACCTGTAAAGGATAAAGCTAACCTGTAAAGGATAAAGCTAACCTGATAAGGCTAACCTGTAAATTGGTTAGGATCTAATTAGTTTCCTCTAGAATGTTATACTTTTTCTTTAAATTTTAGTTTGTTTGCAATTTCAACTAAACTATCACCTGAACAGAAATCATCTGGTATACAAGTTTTGGAAACAGAATCATTCAAACTTCATTGCTACCAAACTGCAACAGGTAAGGAACAGAGAAGTGTTATGTAAGTCAATAATTGATTGGAAACAAAATGATTGAAATTTATTTAATTCTATTATTTTGTGTAACTATGCCTTACAGATGAAAAATGATACCAGTGTTGTATGTTATATCATATCTTAGGTGTTAAATTATTATGTATGAAAAGAAATGGCAAGCATCTCCTGTGTGCTGAAACTAATTCCTACATAGATCCTACCTCGTCTTTTAAAAAATTATATTTTTCTTTTAGGTGTGAAATTCCTAGTTCTCACAGACCCTAAGCAGGGTCCGATGGACAGTTTCTTGAAACGCTTCCATGAACTTTATACAGATTATGCTTTAAAAAATCCGTTTTATTCTTTGGAAATGCCCATTAGGTAATGATGCAGAGTGGTAGAAGATGAGATGATATTATAAAATGAATTGGTTGTATATAATTTGAAGAGGAAAGAATTGAGTTTGGAGAATATGTACAGAGAAATCCATGTTAGAGAATTTTTTGAAAATTTAAAATTCTATGAAATCTAGGCTTTAAGAAAATTTGTCAAATTTGGTACAACTTGTGTAGGACATGTTCATAAACCAGAATAAAGGAGCTTTAATTTAATAAGTAATTGTGACTTAGAAATTGAAGTGAGTTAATACTTCACAGTAGTTGTTGACTTTATGGGCCTTGTTAGCAATTATATACAATTCTGTGTCACTTTAATTCACTACAATTAATTCACTACTGTGGAGCATGTTTGCTATAAAGCTTAAAGTGGTTGACCGCCACTTAAATCGCTGATGAAATGTCAAATGAAAATTACTGATGCATTCTTTTTTAGATGTGAGTTATTTGATACAAATCTGCAAAAGACTATGGACCAACTTGAAAAGATAACAACAACGCAATATTCAAATGAATGAAAAAGTCCGGTAACATATTCTATCCCTCCTAATTATACCTCTTCATTGTCTTAGATCTTCATGTACTTGCATTAATAAATATCATAAAAATATCAACAGCAATGCATGTTAGTGCTTCTACATTAGGGAAGGAGAGGTTAAGAACGAAAACTAAAGATATTCCAGTAAGTACTGTAGCTCGACTGGCAGTAAACTAGCCTCTAGTCGAACAAAATCGAACGTACTCGAGCATCCACGAAGTGCGCGTGAATGTCTCGCAAGTGGCAAGAGCTTCAAGGTTTAATAACCAGATTACACTGTCAAAGCTTCTGACTTCTGTGATCACTGTCACAATTTTGTTGGCAATATGGCAATATTTGAGGGAACCAAAAAGAGCCTTTTCGCCGTGAGACAGAAATACCCCAAAAGAGTTAGCAAAAGAGTGAGTTTTGTGCTGTGCCTTTGTACTCAGGCCTCTTCTAAGACCTGAGGAGGATAATTTACTCTGGTTCTCACCTCTCATCGAGTAATGATCATTTAAAATATATACTTTATGCAAGCCATGCACGGCGAAACAAACCACTGTATTGTACACAGATCACAGATTTTGGACAAGTAAATTCTGTTTCTATGACTTTTAAGTAAAGTATGAAGCATAACTGTACTATAAATCTCAGATTGAGTTACAGAATAATAACTTTAATGACACAGCTTTTTTACATTGAAATATAGCATCTAGAATTTGATATAAGGTAACGCGTATACTTCTAATGTGTATGTATATGTGCATGCATGCAGTATAATTATTGAATACATTTACTGATTTGGAGTACGTCAAACACATTTTAAAGTATCCTGCAAGCAGGTCCCGATACTGCGGATGAGTTTCGTGCTTCCATCTCCGTTTGTCTGTCAATACATGCCATAGCGAACATCTTGAATTCAGAATAATCTAATTCCTATGACAGAGCAAACCTTATTTTGTATGAAAATTTAAATAACTTTGGTAGGAAGATTTAAAAACATCTGACGGCTGATAAAACTGCATGCAACTTGTCTCGATCAGCAAGATATTGATTTGTTTAGACAGAAAAGGAAGTAAAACACTGTGCCTTTCTTGGTAGGAAAATTGCGATGTTGTATAAACACAACACCCTTTCTATTAGCTTTGAAAGTGTCTATGGAAACTTGATTATTTTCATTCAACTTACATGGTCTCCTGACACATCAAACTCGGAAAATATTGTCCTCATCGCTTCCCCTTGTAGATTAAAAAGAAACCCAAATTTTTCAAACTCATCGCAAGAAATATTTCCACTGGAATCCTCGTCCAATAAATCAAACACCGTTCTTGAATGACGATATATAAAATGTTTCTCGTCATTATCTTGTACGGCAATCAGTATACAAACTAATAAATAGAATTCATCAAAATCTAATGTCCCGGAGCAATCAACGTCTAACATATCAAAGACTTTGTAAATTTGCGATTTTGTTAAATCCGTTGAAGAACTCATAAATGCCCAGAATTGGACATCGTTTAGTTGCAATTCTCTGTGGATATCTAAGCATTTGAATAACTCCAGGATAACTTGAATACTTCGTCCTGCATTATTGAAAGAAAGAAAAAAGAAGTATTAAGAGGAGATTTTTTAGAAAATCGCGTATTTTTGCACAAAATCGCTCAAAACTTAGCAACCAGGCCTTCGCTAAAATATGCTTTGCAGCCATTTTGAATTTACAAGTTTGGTAAAGTTTTCGTGTTGAGTGACAGCTCTTTTACTAACTTTTGGGGAACTTCAAAAGACGAAAAGCTCCTTGAAACAAAGAAGAACAACAGGTGAGTGTTCGTTCAATTGTTTTGATATTTTGAATGATATAATTTTCCATGCGTACATTTTTATTAGTGCGAAGGAGTGACACACAGTCACAGTCACACACTAATGTGTAATTGACAGTGTAAACATATTGAAATATACTGATTTTAGTGGTTTAGAATTAATCTTGTGATAAAATAAAAATCTCAAATGTCAACGTTTTTATTTCTAGGTATCCAACATCTTGGAAAATATGAACAATAGTTTCAGATACGGACATGCCAGTAAACTCGCATTTGCGTTGGAGATGGTGGATAGTTATGTGTAGTAGCTTGAAGATCAGTTTATCTTTATCACAACAATAATAAAAAAGACCGTAAATAATTTATTCAAGAAACAACACAAAGAAAGGGAAAGTCAAACTATTTTGATTTATTTCAAAAACAACTGCCCTCTCTACTTTATTAACAATGAATTCCTTGTGTGGTGGGTACATAATATGGGACATGTAGGTGGGACAATCATGGGACAATTCATTCCAAAATTATACAGCTGTAAGTATAGGTAACAAAATTGTAATGTGACTTTGTTGTTAAAATATTATATCATTAATTGCAATAAATAGTGTTTTTGCAATCTTGTGTTGTTTCCACTGTTTTTTCAAAGCCTGCAATAAAAAGTAATAGATATGTCAAATATGTGGCAATGGCAAATTCCTCTATAAGATATTTATCAAGACAAGTCTGGAGTTAACAAGAAAGGGCTTAAGGGCATGTAGGATGTAGCATCCAGGGCCTGATTTGCACAAACTTCCAGATCTGCAACATGTGTTCAACCAGGATAAATAAAACCCTATACAATCACCATAGAAATATAAAATGGGCTGAAAGCCAATTGTTTGCACAGCTTACAGTATACATTTCATTTTATATCCAAAAATCAGATAGCAACACTGGGCTATTCAAGTAAATACATGTTGTGTATACAGCAAATCTGTTTCGTGTTGAAACAAATTGTAATTTTGTCTCCTCATTGAATATAGGCTAGTAATCACCTTGCCTTTAGTCAGTAATTTTTAGGATTTTACCATTTGTAAGAATATTTAAGTGAATAATATTTGTCAAAATATTGGGCAATTGGAGAAAGATACATTGTAAAGATACATGCTGGACTGTACAATAAATACAGGTAGAGAATATCACACAAATCTGGTTCATTTTAAAAAGTCGAAAAATGCTCCACGGCGTACCACTCCAATTTTAATTAAATGATGGTTTTTGTAAACTAGCATACCTAGGGCAAATCATGAAATACGCCTTAGGTTGATCGGAAATGGTTCTCAGTTGATATTTAATCATTTAACTTAAGGTGAAGGTTCCCTCCATTTTGGCCAAATCATGGCTTATAGAAAACCTGTGGATTTTGGGAACAAAACATGTTCAAACCATCTAAAATCATCATAGAAGTGTAAAATAGGTCGAGAGCCATGTTTGCACAGCTTGTAATACGGCGCTTCGCGTTATATTCAATAAACAGATAGTAATGCTGGACTGTACAAAAAATACAGGTTGAGAATACACAAATCTGGTTCATTTTAAAAAGTCGAAAAATGCTCCACGGCGTACCACTCTAATTTTAATTAAATGATGCTTTTTGTAAACTAGCATACCTAGGGCAAATCATGAAATATGCCTTAGGTTGATCGGAAACATTTCTATAGTAATTTACAAGTGGTGAACAACAGTTTTACAACAGACTTATGTATTCATTTTATACTCAATTACACAAAAATATCAATAACTTTTTAGATAAATTTCATGCCTAGATTTTGGGACCAGGGCAATTGTTGTAACAAAATACATCTTAGTTAAACATTAGACGTTATAAATTATAATATGAACACTTAGCTTGAAAGATAAGAGCAAAATACGGATTATAGTGACTGCATTTTGTGAAAATTTAAAATTTGAATCGCTTCTAAATTTAAGCAAGATTTACTCCGAAATAACCAAGTTAAGTTTATATAAGATGCCTTAAATTAAAACTAGAATGTCTAAGGAATGTTGCAAGGTATGATTTATTGTTATCGATGGCAGTAAAATATGAAAAATCCGCAAAAATGCACGCCTACCTTCCATGCTTCTGTGAGAGTCGAATCCTTCCAACCCCTCTGTGTAACATTGCGTTGCTTTTGACTCTTCAATTACTGTTGAATTCATCTTGTTTATCATTTTACACATCATTCCAATAGTATATTGACGATATTTAACAAAATTAAACGAAAGTCAACAGTTGACTATGTGAAAACACGCAGTAAAGTACTCACACGATATAAGAACCAGCCGCCATGTTACCACCCGATTCATTCGATTGAATCTTAATTTAGTTTTGAGCGCCCAATACGCGATTTTCTAATAAAACTCCTCTTAATATTATTAATATACAATATTATATATAATTGCTTTTGCACGCGAGTAAATATTTAAGTATATTTTTCCTTGTCATTTTGTTATGTTTTAGGCATTTTCTGCTAAGTTCCTAAAGCGCATGCAGGTGAATTATTGTAGTATTTATGATAGAACTTATTCTCACCACTTAACAAGCAGTATGTTTTATCCAAATGTAAATATTTAAAGACGTTTGAAGTAATTTTCATTGTTTAAAGACCGTCTTTTGAACAATTGGTTTAGCGAACGCCAGATATATCGACCATCGTCTCTGTGACGTCAGTAATTGGGCATGCGCACGAGCGCATGCGAGCACATGAAATGTAGTACTACATTTCATACGTCAGAAGTGAATTGGATCCAACAAAGTTGGATGGTGTGAACGGGCCTTTAGATGGCGTCTTGGTCACTTTCACACCTGCGATAGACATCTGTCTAACGTTTCTTTTGTCTTGAACACTCACGCTTGTATTCTAAAACCTCATTCACACTCAAACTCATTGAGTGGGAGATCTTAAACTTCTCAAAACGTTTCCATGGCGGTATTTCCAGTCGAATAGTGTTTTGATTTTCAGTGTTTTAGCTACCTTATACTTCTTTCCACCTATTCAGAAAGAACTTTCTCATTGACCAGCATTAACAAAATATATATCCCACGCTCAATGAGTGTGAGTGAGATTTTTGAATACTGCGTCTGTGTTGTCATGTTTGAGCACTCGGTGTTTTCATGGAAAATTTCCCGTTGACGTTGTAGAGTTGATCATAGGCCCGGCAACCAATTCATGAATAGCGTTTTCAACACTGTTCAAAAGTTCCGCGAGATGCAGCACAAAATCTAAAATGTATTTTAAAATTTTGTTACGTATTTAATAGCCCAACAGTGTGTTGACAAAGATTGTGAATTAAACTGTTTTGCTGCATATCAAAGACATTTTTCATTTGACATCAAATTTTGAAGTTTTTTTACTGTCAACTTTCGCAGGTATATATATAGAGTAATAAATAACTCATGCGAGTCACGTTTAAACAACTGAGTCAGAGACATTGAAAAATACATACATTCTACACCGGTTTTTGTTATTAGTGTTTTATTTATTAAGTTATATATTTAACTTCGTTTTAGGGCGCATAATGACTTCAGAATTATTTGTGTCGAAGGGCTGTGGTAATTACGTGGAAAATTGCGCCTCATGCATATCTACTATATAGGGGTAATTTATATAATCGTTCCCGCTTCCCCCTCCCCGTGCTTCGTCTTTGCTCTGGCTTAATAGTGACAGGTGCACAACCAAGAGACATTTACAAGTCCATTATTCATTTATTGCCCTTACACAGGTTGCTAGCCTTCGGTCTTTAGTTATACTGTCGCTTGCATGCATGCACGAGCCTCAGCGATCTAGCTACTTTACTTGCCGATACTGAATTTATTGAAAACCCGAGAGGAGTCTTCAACATTAAAGAATTGTAAACATCGATAAACTGAGCCACGGAACATAACATATAATAGCTACTTTAGTTTTAACATGCAAATATAGTTTTGGCAGCATATAAATGTTTTTTGTCGAAATTCGGCTCATTTTATAGTTTAAGCCTTAAGGCAGTTCAAAAACATGTCGATAACCCAACATCAAGTATTTTAATCAAAGACAAAGTGAGAATTTTTGGTCATCGTAAACGAGGAAATGAAATGGAAATTTATTTCGGACGGGCCGGAAATATTAATGTGATAGGAAAGCGAGTGAACGTTATTTTAGGCCAGCAAAAGTCCCCTTTTATCCTAAAATTACACCGCGTACGTATACTGGTTATCATCATAGACGATTAAACGAGTATATCACTACAAAAAATTGCTTATGTCACAGACTCTGCGTTTCATATCCATTTCTTCATGCAATATCTTGATTGTTGCACTGATGGATAGAGATCACGTTTATTAATATTTAAAGTGGTGTTAGAATAATAATTATATAGGGCCTAATAACGTAATTTGAATTCGTATATTGGGCAGTAACATAATTTGTCGATGTTAACTGTCGAGTATTTGTATCATATCACATTTTTAACTCTAGAGTAGAGGTACTTGCTACAGTATACATGCATGTAGTAATACACTATGAAAAATATTTCTTGTCTTTCCTGGTACATGCAGATATTAATGCATGCAGGCTTTTATATCGCTTAGCCCTTATTATACATCGCTGCAGGTGGGTCATAATTTGGACATATATAGCTATATATATATATACGCATGCAGACACAAAACATTGCCTGTTTAATTTTTTTTCACATGCGCAGTTACACTGAATGGACAATATACAAAGACTGTTTTTCTAGGAAATAAATTTAGAGGATCACCGTTTTGAAACTTTTCAGAATGAGCAACTTTGAACCAGGAAGGATGTGATTAATGAGCATTTCTTCAGCTGCATGGTTGTCAAGGTAGGCTGTGTTTTCTGCGACAACGAAAATACATTATCATTAATATTTAATGCGATTTAAAGTTAAGTCAGTTTTACGGACAACCTTGTTGACGATGATGCAGCGATAAAAAGATAAAACTATTGGGTTTATTTTGCCAGGCAAAAGATTCTGATCTTCTCTGAAGGTAATTCGTAGAAAGGATGCTTTTCACGTTGATTAGTTCAAATTATAGCTAGGCCTGAGTCTAAAGATGAAATTTCCAAATTTCAACATGTAACAAAACTGATCCGTATAATTAAGATGGCCTATATACAACGCTTAAACGTTCTTTGGCATATTATAGGCCTTATTTTATAAAAGAAGGAAATTCTAAAACACGGCTGGATAGTTTCACAAGATACTGATATTCGCAAGGCTAAAAGTCGTGCATCTTTAATCATCAGTATAATTCTTTTCAATCTTAATGATAAAAGTGCAAATTGTTTCAAGTGTTGCTGTAAAGTTAAAACGTTTCTGTAATATACTCTCAGTAGCAAAAACTTGTTTATTGACACATATTTTTGGGTATTTGATAGGTTACAGCCAAATACTTTTGTGGACAGGGCGAATTATATACTACTATGGAAAAGTGTATTATTCGTTGGGTTCTGTTGTTCGTCGTTGTTCAATTTATATGTACAATAACCCAAACAGACCAAGTCCAAGGTATATTTTTTTGTATCTAAAATTTAGTTAACTACGCTGACGTTTTCTTTACATACACTAAAGGTTTCTGACAACGAATCTTCAAATTTCTAGTCTATAATAAAACATCCTATATGCCTAAGAGTATAAGTACATTTTCATCAATTATGCAAGCGAATATATAGACCGCCTGTTTGCACGGTTTAATATTTATATATTGCTTTATCGCAAAGTATTTTAACCTCCTAGATTTAGCCTTAACTAAAAAATGACTATATTTAACGTTTGGAAATGAGAGCACACCGCCGTCATAAAATATAGGAAAATATTCCGCGTATTTCTGGTATAAATTAATTTTATGTCATGCACGCAGCTCAACTTGAATCCACATCGGACGCAGCTTAGCAACGCCGCACGAATTTTGTCACTATATATGAATAATCAGTGACAGTATATATATCGAGGGAATTTTTAGCAGAATTACGCGGGCAGAAAAATTTTCCCGCGCTTCTACTCTTTAGAAAACGTAAATCAGAAGTAAAGTTAACAGTCAGTGAAAGTCGATTATAGATTATGCCCATGTACGTGCCTTAACGAACTATATATATTAAACTATATTATTCAGTTTTACCTTGGTGTGTCTGTGAGGTGCAGTCATGCATTATGTATAGAATCATTTTTGCTTAGGTATAGTCTACATTAAAAAAAATTTTTCTTTTATTTTTCTTAAAAATCTTTTGATGACATATTGCAAGCCAAATTGCTCTGAGACTGAGAGAAAAAAGACTCTTCAATCACTTAGGAGTCTTCAATCACTATATGTAGTTACCGGCCAGACCAAACACACCCAATGGTGTAAAATAGGTAAAGCATGGATAATAAAATCACACAGTCTTTTAACTATCATGCATGGTTAAAGGAAAGGAAAAGAGAAAACGGCAAAATTTATGAATTCTGGTTATGCCAATATACTGAAACAGCTGCATGCTGATGATCGGTATACTTTGCGGGTATATAGCGTTGCTTAAAACAGCCAGCCGTTTGTGCGGGCAGTTGCATACTTGTAGCTATATTTTTATTTGATGAACGACTGGATGAACGGCTGCTTGAATGAATGAAGAGACATCCAGCCAAAAATTGCCAAGACTTTGCTAATCATCAAAATATTATGAAATCGATATGTGCATGTGCATAATAGGTTGTTTTCAAGAAAACGATGCTCAGGTGATTTACAAGGTATAAATACCCCCAAAATTATATGCAGTGTTAATTGTGAAACTGAATAGCGTTAATCTTTAACATAAGATTTATTTCTCAGAATTTAGCCGCGGGCGGGAAATGCAGCACTGCTGGTTTTATTTAGCCGTAATTTTCGTGAGCGTGTCAAGTTGATTGATGTATTATAATATTGCTACGTATATCTATGCAGTCAACCATGTCAATTCATATCGGTGAAAATGACTTGTTCACGAGAATTACGACTGAATAAACGATTAATCTGGTTTATACTTGTCAGCGACAGTTGTTGTTACTGACACTGACAAGTGAGATCCATCGTTATTATACGAAAAATCAATCCATCGTTATTATATGGAAAATCAGAGTCACCTGCTCTGTTTGGTCACTACGCTCTCGTGTCTACCTCCTCCGCAGGCCCTTTTCCGCGCGCACTAGAAAAAACGTGTACATGCAGAAAAACGCAATATTCATTTACTATTCGCCACCTAGTTCCATCTCTGTATCTAATGTTTACTCTGTGGGTAGGATATAAGAATCGTATGCGAATAATCGCATCGTGTAGATCGGTCTTGATATGTATGTATTGAGCAGTTAAAGCTCACGTTAAAACGCTGCGCCTGAAAAACAGATTAATTCATTCAACAATGATGTTATGGAAATGTTGGAGATTAAAGAAGTTTCCATAATGTATTTTCAGGATCTGTTGCAACCGGACAAAAAAACGTCACCGTTGAATGTGATTGTATCAATAAAACAGGTATGGACGTTTTCCTTGTGGTTATATTATAGTGGCGTCAAATGTGATGCATGCATAAGGTAAGGACCTGAATGGTTTGATGATGAAATGACCTGCAAGGTATTGTGATGAAGGTTTATCATTAATACATCATGTGGTGTAACATAGTGTATGGTATAGACTAAAGGTTAGTTTCCACTCAGGAAAATTCTCCTTTGGATCGGGCAGGACAGGAGAGTTTCCTTAATTTGTATAAACGCCGCCTGAGAACTCACCGACAAAGGAAATTTTCCTGTCCGTTCCGATCCAAAGGTGATTTTTCCCGAGTGGAAACTAGCCTTAAGGTCTCCTCATCTTGCAGTCTTTGCAGTCTCTATTTTCTTAGCACCCCCGGCATGAATGCATGCATGAGCGTTGCTTATATAATGTCATGACGAGTGTACCTTCCACACCTTTTGACTATTGTATTTGCATACCTGCGTGTAAAGTGGCGGAAACACACTGGTACATTAAATATACAGGTTTTTAATGTGAGGTTTTTGATAATTATCTTTCAGGTTCTCACTCTACAAATCAGACGTTTGATTGTGAGTGCCAAACGTACGTATTGGTTGGAAACAAATCTAAACGCTGTTTCTGTAAGTATATGATAGTAAAATTTGATGCAACTATAATGAAATTTGTTTCAGGATCGGCGATAAATTTTCTGATGTTTTATAATTTACAACATCCATAATGTTGTTTTATTGTAGTCGACTGCAGTGACGGTGCGAATTACACGTGTCGAATCAACGAAACCTGCGAACGTTTGGTTACATGCAATAACAGTAAGTATAAGGCTATATGTACAGTATGTACCTAGTCAGAATGTGTACTAGTACACTGTGTAGAATGTGATTCATTTCATTTAGAAACGGTATAAAATTGAACCTCGTACCCAGGGTATTTTCTCTTCGTACTGGGCAAAATTATGCCGTTTCGGTATTAGGCGTTTACCAGATAACGGCATGCAGAACTTTTCATCACTGAAACGGCACAACTTATAAAAACAGAATTCGTACCGGCGAAATAAGTAAATGGTATACTGACTGGTCTTACATAGTAATACACAACTCTCTTAGGGAATACATTGTATTGAAGTTCATATCATATGCTCTCAATAATAGGCTGTCATGAAAATGCGACATGCCGAAGAATAAATGGTGCCTATAAATGTGTTTGTAATGATGGATTTGACGGAGATGGTAAAAGCAGTTGTGAGCCAAATTGCGGTAATTATGCCTTAACAATAACATTTTGTTTGTGTTGATAATGAGCCCTTGGTTATACGTTGCATTTCAAACAATAGATGACGACACTTGAATAAAACTCATTATAAGACTGCATTTGACGCGACCAAAATGCGACGTACCGTTAACCTATAAGGCCTTATTCCATTTAGCGCTAACACAAATGCCAGAATGACAAACATTGTTCGATACTTTTCAACTACTTAAGTGGCCAAAGTGGCCTGTACTAAATGTCACGAAATTATATTTGAACTATTATATTATTTATCATGCAGGCAGTGCATGTTCGAACTTTCCACAGTGGTGTAAAACAAAAGTTAAATCGCCGTAGAGACCGCTTGTACGGCTATTGCTTTACAAAACAATACGACATTCTTGCAGAAAGATGGACGGGTGTGCCCCAAACCCCTCGTTTATATAGAGAGATTTCACTTATCTTAACCGTAGACGTCATGTTGGTGTTTTTCCCAAAAGAACTTGATTAATGTCATGTGCAATGTAACACAAGAGGTTTGACTTTTCTTGGAAATGCTAGAGCTAGTAACATTATAATTCAAGTGCCGGAGAACACATAGGCATGCAGAGGCAGCAGAGCATTCAACTTGAACCTAATTGAGTTTATAAAAATCTTTGTTTACACCAGCTTCTGCCAGGAGATTTTGTATTTATGTTTATTTCGTTATAGGTTGTAGCGGTTGTGGCCAAAGCGACCCAAAGTTAAACTGTTCTTGTGAAAACAAAACCTACTGCTGTAGCACCAATAGCAGCTGCCCTGCTAATTGCCAAAGTACGTCAAACAATAGTCTGTAATTGCCATGTTAGATTTAACGTCTCGACAAGAACGATACAGCGGAATACAGTTAAATATACACTGCACTTTTACAGAAAATTGACTCTCTTGAGTTTTAGTTACTTAGGCAAGATATATGTTTTAGCCCAATCTCTAACAGCTTTAACGCATACATGCATATCCGATTTTTAGATTGTAAAAAAGATGCGTGTTTGGTAACTGGAAATTTGACCTGTTGGTGTAATCTAACGTGTGGTAGAAGTAAGTGGGATTTCGTTTGAAAAAATATTTAAGTTATCTCATTAGAATCCAAGACTTATTAATTTGGAAAATGACTCATGACTTATGAGACATATCATGACTGTAAAAATATAGGCGTAAAATCGACAGGGTCCACTTTACCTATAAACATCTGCTCAAATTTGTAACTAGTTTCCTTTGCTTGTTTTTTACGTAGTTTTTTACTAGTTTATTGATTATTTTTTGCAAAGAAAGTTTTTTCTAAAATGCTATTGATAAGTTTAATTCTCATCGATATTGCCATCGTTTTTTTATTCATATAGCTGATGGTAACTTCAGTGCCTGGAGTTCTTGGGGTAAATGTAGTCGTCTGTGTGGTGTTGGTACACAAAATAGAACCAGAAACTGTACAAAACCAATAAATGGTGGGAAAGATTGCCAAGGAGATTATAATCAATCGCAATCCTGTAACAATACGACATGTCCCAGTACGTATATTTCTTACTACAGCATTTGCATGTCATTTAAAGAAATGAGAAGAACATTAAAATGATTGGTATTTCAATACCGCTGAAAGAACTACAATAGCGCTGATTTAACATCAATTGTAATAGTGCGGAAGTTCAACAACAACGCCTTATTATATATTCCGTAAAGTGAAAATCAATAGAACGAAACGAAGAACAATTGCGTTAACTTATTGATCATTAACATTTTCGGAACAACAATAGCAATAAATCAAACGACATTTAGCATAGAGAAATATTCATTAATGTAAAGGTACAAAGAAAATATTAGAATTCGCATTCTAATTCATTCGTTGCTGTTCACACAACAGCAATATATGTGCAGTATGTTTTATCCCTGGATGTGTTCTCTTGTAAGTAGATCTGCATGCATATAGGTCTGCCCCATGCTGTGTACATTTCGCAATGGTTAGGTAATGTATATTTCGTTCAGCAGCTGCTATCAAAATTTGTTTTCAGTGAAATTCAACGTTTTGAAGTGAACAACGTCTTCTCATCTGTACTTTTATATCTGTTGTTTGTAAAATATGTATACATATTAGAACGCAGATGAGAGAACTTTGTGTTAATGAATATTTCTCTATGCTAAAAGTCGTTTGATTTATTGCTATTGTTGTTCCGAAAATTTTATCGTTCTGTTGATTTTCACTTTACGGAATATATAATAAGGCGTTGTTGTTAAACTTTCGCACTACTACAATTGAATTTCAATCAGCGCTATTGTAGTTCTTTCAGCGGTATTGAAATACCAATCATTTTAATGTTCTTCTCATTTCTTTAAATGACATGCAAATGCTGTAATTCATGCCTTGTGTTTTCTCTGCTATAATGAGATACAGTGCGCATGTGCGTTGATCTGGTAACTCATGGAGTAGTTACTAGTACTAGTCCTTTTAACAACCTTTGATATGTGGAACATTTTCTAACTCATTGTATATGTATACATCTGATATTAATATCTTAAAATAATATCAGAAAAATGGTTCGCTTGCGAAATATTTGCATATTTTCTTTTGTCATGTGTGTGTGTTTTTTAATAGCTATCTCGTTTTCAAAAAGTACATATACTGGAAAAGAACAAGATGGTTATGTTAATGTTGAGGTTAATATTTCCTCTGGTAAAGTGGTGGAAACATTTAAAGTCAGGTATAAAAAGAAAAACGGTTCGCTTCCGAAATATTTGCATATTTTCTTTTGAAATGAGAACAGTCAAACTGAACTAATTTATTTATTCTGTCAAAATTGAAAAGAAAATATGCAAATATTTCGCTGGCGAACTGATATTTGGGCAATTTGTTCCAGTTGGTTGCAGTCGAGAGCTCTGAAGCAAAAGTAAAATGTCTGTCGCTTCCACTAGGCGAATTTATTCGCGCGAACAGATAAAAAGTAGAAAGCAATTCTACTTTTTGCCGCGATTTTTTTCGCAAACCAATCGCATCACCGGATTTCAGATATCGCTTCGCGTCGCGCGAATAAATTCGCCTGGTGGAAAACGGGCTTAACGCAGCACAAATCTCGCGCGCAAGCAATTTTGAAATCCTGGGTACGAGGTTGTCCTCGGAAAGTACTCACGCACCACCCCCTGAGAAAACATACTGCAAAGAACAACATCTTGTAAACCTAAGATTTGAGCTTTAAAACGAGACGATAAGTTCATGGCGATATCGTTCCGAGCTTTAAAGCATCAAATCTTAGGTTTATGTATATGAAGATGTTTTTTTTAATTTGGATGTTTTCTCAGCTTTATTTTAATAAATTGCCTGCTGGTTTTCTAAGTAGTCGATATTGAAATAAGAAAGTCTATTTTTGGAGTTCCTGCGCAATGGTTAAATCTCTTCTGTTTTTCATTTCTATATATGTGTTTATTCATATATCTATATTATAGTGTTGAAAGAGTATCAGGCATGGGTACCGCTGATCAGAAAGATTACCAACTACCAACAAATGTAGCTTTTACTCTTAATGAAACGTCAAAAAAGCTAACAATTAATCTGACGAAGGATTTATATGTCGAAGAAGTAGAGAATTTCACAATAAAACTAAAGGTGACTGATTTCAATGCGGATGTACATGTGGGAAATAATGCAACTGTGACTATTGAAGATTCTGACAGTAAGTGAATACTCACAATGCAGTATTTAGAGATATAATGGGTTTTTTGACAGTCGGAATGTACGTTATATGTATATAAGAAAAAAGCTGGCCTTTTTCTTATGTACATAACGTTATTACATAAAATTTAATACAGCTCATTAAAGAATTTTAAAAAAAATTTTGCGCAAGTTAATAAAATCTAATTTACGTTCACTATAGAGGCCAAAGTTAGATTTGACCAAAGCAATTATTCAACTCCTGAAAATCTTGGTACATTTAAAGTGGTGGTTATTCTTGAAGGTTATCTTAATATCTCTGTCAATGCGAGGTATGATGCTTATTAAGTGTTGTTAGAAGTTATCGCTTCTGTTGTTTTTATAAAATTCATTTTCCTGGCTAATAAACAAACTGAATTCCACTATTAAAGCCAGTTGCGTTTGCTTTTATTCTTTTCTCGCGCAGGCGAAATTATGAGGCGTTACGGGCTACGGGCTACGGGCCCCGCGCAAAGACCTTCGAATAAAAACAATACAAAAACGTTGATTGTGACACAGCAGGCAGAATTGAGACACAGCATGCTGACACAGCATGCAGACACATGCAGAAACAGACACAGCATCAGCATGAAGAATTTGTTGTTCATAGTAATTGTATACATGCATGTGTTAGCTTTTTGCTTAGTATAGAAAATTCGTATAATTTGTTCATTCTTGTATGTGCTGCATAATGCGTCGAAATGGAATCAAATTAACACTCCAGGCTGATCCCCACTCAAATCAATTCATCATAGAGCTAATATTCATTAAATTTTGTCGGAAAATAATATTTAAAATTATGTCTTTTGTAGCGTAAAAACTATTGAAGGAAATACCAGTCAAGATGACTACACCCCTGTTGACCAGATAATAACATTTCATCCCAATGACAATCATACTAAGTTCGTGGAAGTTGAAATAACCGACGATAAATTTGTGGAAATTAATGAAACTTTTTCACTCAAATTATCATCGAAAAGTCCAAAAAAGTTGGATGTCGGGAATCCAAAAACTGCCAATATTACAATAATTGACAATGATGGTAAGATTGTTGATAAATTTAGGAGATAGCTAAATAACTTTTTTGGGTTGATATATACGGTAACGTTATAAACACGAGTTGGAATTACAAAAAGAAAATTAGACGCGGAATGAACTTTTACACTTTAATCTGATCTAAACAAAAGATGTATATTTTTCAATTTCAAATTCTTCTTTCAAAATATGACATCTTCAAGTTTCACCGAAACTCCACTGCTTCCAATAATGGTCCAGTAAAATCACCTCTTTTTATTTTCAGTTGCCCTTGCGAATTTTTCAAAACGGAAGTATGTTGTTTGGGAAAACCAGTCACAGGTCATATTGGAAGTCATTGTTCATGGTAATTTATCAACCCCAGTCACTGCCAGGTATATAAAGATTTCTATTTGATGGATGATGACTTTTATAGCAACAAAGATAGTCCCGTTTCAAACGTCGAACTTTTCATGTGCTGAATCTCATGCAAATGAACTTAAACAAAGACTTTAGCTTATTAACATTAGATTCGACACATAAAAAGTTCAACGTCTGAAACAGACCTTACGTATACATTCTATAACATGTGATAATGCGTTACATTTTTCAAGCAAAATTGAACTTGTTTATAGGGCATTACTGATTTCAGCTGGTGGAGTACTAGATAATTAGGTATATAATTATTTAGAGCTAATTTAGATCTTAACCTCCTATTTATAATTTTGTTATTCTAGATTGCAGATTATCAACAATACGGTGACAGCGGGAAATTGGGCATTAAATCATGATATAACTTTTAATCCCGGTGAACCACAGCGGATTAATGTATCAATTAACATAACAAACGATAATATTCCAAATGAAAATAATAGAACATTCACTGTGGAACTGCGATCACGAAACTTGTCAAGTTTGCGAGTAGTCACACCTAATACCACTAAAATTGAAATATTGGATAATGATGGTAACAACAATTTTTCTTTAATCTTTTCTAAATCTTATCATTAAAACCCTTGATAATAAATACAGGCTATTTGATAAATATAAGGAACGCGCATAAATAATAATTATCTGCACTGAAACAAAATCCGCTAAAATAGTTTTTACTTTTTACTCTGTTTTCGTTTTTTGTAAATCTCAAGTCCATTAAACTATTTTGCATAATAATTGCATTATTGTGAATAGTTCATGAAACTATTGTGCATAATAATTGCATTATTGTGAACAATGATTTCAGATAATGCATAATTAGCTATCAGGTATCGGTTATACCATGGTCACGCGCGTTAAGGAAGTTAAGTAAATTTCTACCAAAAAAATGATGAAAATAATTGTGAAGCCCAATTAAACTTACTTTTTAGCATGCATGAAGTATTTTTAGAAAAATAAAATCACTTTCGATTCGTTTTGAACCAGCATCGGAAAAGACTGTTTCCTTTTTTCTAGTTGATGGTAACTTCACAGCCTGGGCTCGATGGAGCAACTGTAGTAGAAATTGTGGTATTGGTATTCAGGAGAGAACAAGATCCTGCTCTAAACCCAAAAAACAAGGTGAAGGAAAGGACTGCATTGGAAATTCAACGGAGACCAGATCATGTAATATTACATTGCATTGTCCTGGTAAGACGCATTTCTTTATTGGCTTTTTATTTAATTGTAATGCGAGGAGGGCAATTGATTGAACATTTTAGTCGGTAGCGTGGTTCGACAATATAACATCGAGCATTGATAGACCTGAGTATTCATATAACCAAGAGCGTAGCAAAAATTATTTAAAAAGGATCATTTACGAACATGGACATGCCGAGGTAGCTACTTGACGATCGGTTCGGCGGATTAATAATTCAAAGACGTGAAGAAATAAGTCGCTCTTATTGATGATCAAGACACTATACCGATTATGTTTGCTATAACTATATCAGTATATAGGTATTTGATTGTTCTATTCCTATTTCATGATGAATTAGTCCAGTTTTGTTTACTACTGCCTTTTAGCAAATTTTTAATTTTATAAATAAAAGAGGGTCTACACTCTAAATCGCCCGCCTCCGGCCAACTACAACGAGTTATTTTCTTATAGTGTTTCTAAATTTTCTTCTTTCATTAAGGAACTTACAATTGTACCTCACTTTGGTCTAACTGGACATCTTGTAATGCTAGCTGTGGAACTGGTTATCGGTCAAGAAATAGGACATGGTACAATGTCGTGGAGGGCGTTAGCTGCAATGGTACATCGTATCAACACATCTTGTGTAACTTGACTGCTTGTCCAGGTACGTTGGATAATAACTGGTTATTGACCGAGCGTGAGGTCTGTATATTTCACAGTAATGTACGGTCTGAACAAGCGAGGTCAATAATTGGTTTATTATATGGCTGACCTGCATGAGACATGACATTCAGGATACTGGTCCAGATACGGAATATACGGACCACGGTCCGGATATATATGGGTTTTTACGGACCGCTTGTCCACCAATCAGAATTGAGGACTTTGAAAAGCCATATAACAACATGAAGTATTTACATGGAACTATTTATTTTATATTCCTTTCTTCATTCTCAACTGTCGACAGAAAGGTTATATTACAACATTACTCAATACCACCGTAAAAGTAACATGCATGCATGCATTGTAAAATTGATTTCGCTAACCTGAATAATTGTCAAATTTATCCAGTCATAGTTTAAACTACTAAAGGTGGGGACGAACTCATCATTTTGAATTGCTTGCGGTTTAGTTCTAGCTAATTATTCAGCGTGGACAAACTGGACCATGTGCAATAAATCGTGTTATCAATCAAGGACCAGAGAATGTTTAAACATCACACAAAATATGATATGCAATAAAACCACGATTGAAACAAGACAGTGTAATTGTACCACAGGTAGATATATCTGTATGTATAACTATGTACTAATCTGCCTTTTTTTTTTTTTTTTAATTATCTGTCTATAAGTATAAGTATATATAATTACATACTGACATGCTTACCTATTTCTCGGGTTTTTTTCACAACTTTGTTAAGCTGGATTTTCGCCGTGGTCAAACTGGACAGCTTGCAACACAACATGCCTTCAATCAAGTAACAGAACGTGTTTAGACACCACAATAACTATGATGTGTGGCGGATTTGAAACGAAAACACAACCGTGTAATATAGAAACTTGTCAAGCCAGTCAAGGTAACCTAGCTTCTTTCTTAAGATTAACCAGTTCTAATCAGAATTGATTTGGAAAATGCACTGAATATTTGAGACAAATGGCCAAGGTGCTAGAAATGGCTCAATCATGTTCACTGACCGAAAACAAAAAAATTCGCGATTTCAAGAAAATTATAATTAATAAAGTTGTACATGAATGCATGTGTGTGTAATTAACTGTTTCTAGATAATCTAATCTTCTGCTGTGGAAAGCATGCAGTTATAGCCAGTACAGTTAGAGTCAAAATTTGAAATTTTATGTGTGATTAGTGATCGTGTTAATTGCATGGAAATATCTGTTTCTTGTCTTTCTTGTAGAGATTTCAAACTGGTCAAACTGGACATCTTGCAATGTGACCTGTGGTAACGGTATTAAAACACGACGGTGTTTAAATGCCACAGGATATGGTTGTAATGGTACCAATATCACAGAATGTGATAATTTACCCCCATGTCCAGGTGATAATTATTGCCTAATGATTATATCGATGACGAACTATTATTTTTTCCTTCTGAATGGCCCGATTTATATACTAGAGACGGATCATCCGTCTAGACGAACTTGGGCAAGTGAAAAATAGTTCGTCTTCTTGTTCTTCTGTGTGTAAACACGGCCAAAGAGACGGATCATTAATTCTTCAAAACGCATCATCCGCATATAGGTCGTCTATTTAGTTTTAGACGAATTTGAATGGTAGTTCGTCTTGACACATCATTCTGTCTGTTAGTGTAAATACGGAGTGGGGACAAACATCGAAAAATTCATTATAAAACAGCTCTTGTTCACTCTTTTTTGAACATTTTACACACACTTTTTCTCCGAATTCCCGTGCACTTTCTAAACGCGCGATTCTGTTTCGTTTGCATTGATGACATATTCGTCGATACATGTAGTTCATGAACGGATCATCCGTCTCTAGTATAAATCGGACCAATCTGTTGTTGACTTTGTTGCAATTGCGTTGTATATTCGTAGTTGATGGATATTTCAAACAATGGGGTTCGTGGTCTATATGTACAAAAACATGTGGTAGTGGCGAAAAAATTCGAACGCGAGAATGTGTGGAAGAAAAACATGGTGGGAATCCCTGTTCTGGGTTAGCAACAGAACAATCAATATGCACGAATCCGGAACTCTGTTCAGGTGCGTTTTACTCAGAAGCATATATTCCTAAATTATGAATATTGTCAACTCAGTGTAAGGAATTACTATGAACCCCATTACTTTTACCCCGGTTTGGCGCGGTTCTAATTCTCTCTAAGTCTGTAACATAATCAAAGAGCTAATCAACGCCGGATGCCTATATGATAGAGCTATAAAAGAATGGTGCATAGATATGATATTCACCGTAAATTTTGAATTTTAGATGAAATAAACTTTAACCCTTGGAGTGAATGGAGCAAATGTAATGTTTCGTGCTTAGAAGGCAATCAAACTCGTGATAGAACGTGTAGTAAAAATGTATCGGAGAGTGCATGGGCGGGTTGTAATGCGTCTACTAGTCAAATTCAGTCATGTTTCGCCGGCCATTGTCCAGGTTGGTTGGCTACAGCTTAAAACGAATAAAATATTAAATTGCACAGCTTATAATTTGTCAACCAGTAATTATATCTTGAATACATTTTTCCCAAAAAATTGGGAATATTGTAGTGCACAACCGTTGAACCAATTTTGTTTTATATGCGAATTTTAGTTAATGGTAATTGGAGTGAATGGAGTCCATGGACAAAATGTCCCGGAAACTGTGGAAGTGGCTTTCTTTACCGAAAAAGAATATGTTCAGAACCAAAATATGGTGGCCTTAATTGTTCGGGCAATAAACGTGACGTCAAGGAGTGTAACCATACAAACGTTTGCACCGGTAATAAACACTGTTCTCCAGAATTTAATCGACTCATGTATGTCAATTAATGCTTCGTGTTACGACACGAAAAAAAAACGACTGCATATGTTTACAACGGTTTACGCGATATCGGTTGAAAATCACGTTCAGCATAATCTTCCTACGTACAACAGTCGTGACCAAGGTCAATGCATTGCATGTTGACCATAATAGCACTATGAAAAATGCATGCCTTTATACAGACTAATTCTTATTTTCTATTGTTTGTAATAATGCCAATTTTTAGGTGAGAGTGGTTTCAAACAGTGGACTGATTGGACGCCATGCAGCGCAACATGTGGTGAAGGTGTTCAAAGGCGAACAAGAGAATGTGAATATGATGAGCCTAATAAAGAATGTAACAGTTCACGTTCCCAGAAGATGCTCTGCTACAAAGAACCATGTCCAAGTATAGTAGATTCATTGCTATTTTTGGTCTCACGCGGTCGTTATAATTTAGCATCTAATGATCTAAAGTTGTCAAATGCTAGCGCCTTCAGAGGCTTATATTTTCAGAAGTTTTGGCATATTTTCCCGATAACAATATGGACTGATATTAATGGACTTAAAAGTGCATGGACAGTCCGTCTTTAAATAACGCAATAATCGAAAAATGTATCGATAATTTGTTAACATTTTGTTAAGTAAATGGCGGTTGGTCGTCATGGGATAACTGGAGTCGATGCAATTCGTCCTGTGGGTCTGGGGTACGTGTAAGAAAGAGAACGTGCACTAATCCTGTACCGAGCAGCGACGGCCTAACCTGTTATGGAAAGAACGAAGAACAAACCGAATGTCTTATGCCTGAAGCCTGTAAAGGTATGAATGACAGGAAACACTGCGAAATACAATACCAAACGTGGCAATGACCCGGAAAAAATATTGCAAAATCTGTAGCACTGTAACTGAGATTTTCGGTCAAGTTCAAAATCACAACCAACTCCGGTTATATATATACCTGCAATCCTTAATACTTAGGCTGTATATGCTTTTCAATATTGCAGATGACTATGCATACGGCTCGTGGGGGAGTTGGGGTGATTGTAGTGCTACATGTGGCAAAGGTACAAAGACAAGAATACGAATTTGCAAACTAATACCGAAATACCCACCTGAAGAAAAAATACCTTGCAAAAATCCAAAAAAAGATTATGGATATATATCTTGCTACATTCAACCCTGTAAAAGTAAGTACATCAACGCACATGCACCTACTACAGAACTATATAGCTATGAGAACTTCATGCACTTACTATAGAAGGCAATCTTGCGTTCCCACATGCTGTGAACCCTTAATGTGAATTTTTAAGGTTACACTAACCTCTACTTTAGTTGATGGTAATTTCACTGGCTGGTCATTTTGGTCTCTGTGTAGCGTCACCTGTGGTGAAGGTGTTCGCTCGAGAACTCGTAGTTGTACTTATCCCTCCCCAGCTTATGGCGGTGCTGATTGCACAGGAAAGATTTTGGATGTAGAGGATTGCCATCGGAATTATTGCCCTAGTACGTAAACAATATCTTATATATGTTATGTATCATACTAGTATGTGGCTATATAGTCTTCTCAGTTCTCGCTATCTATTTCTCGATAGACAGCGCGATAGTTTTAGAAGCGTGCGTTTTTAACATTTTACGTTTTTTGACGTAACCGAAGAGGAATATTCATATAAAGATATACCAAATATGTGTTTAGAATCATATATGAGAAGAGTGCTCGCAACTCGATATATTGAAGTATAGAGCTAATAAGACGAAGATAAAATTCAATAGAATGACTATAATTGCCACACAGTGCAAGATTTATAGTAATACAACAAAATGCTGAATATAGTCGAGAATATATATATCATTTTTGTAGATATATTTATAGATATTATATGTATATATATATATATATATATATATATATATATATATATATATATATATATATATATATACATATATATATATATATATATATATATATATATATATATATATATATATATATATATATATATGTATATTATTTTTGTAGATGATTATCTCTTTAAGTCATGGAGTTCATGGGCAAATTGTTCCAGAAGCTGTGAAGGAATGACAAATCGAACACGTGTTTGCAAAAACACAACTGACCCAACCGTTTGTATGAAAGAAGATCTGAATGTTGCCGCCAAGAATTGTAATACGGAACTTTGTGATGGTGAATATTCAAAAGTTGATTATAATTTCATTTTATTGTACCGCATTTACCTCCCTGTATAGTATACCTGCTACACTAAAAGAATGAGGCTGAACAGCTGGCATGTGTCTGTGCATTAAGCCTTTTGTACTCGATCATGCATGGTACAAGTGAGGACATCACGAGGAATTATAATATAGGCTCATTTAGAGATTAAAGTTAAGAGTTAGACTTAGTATTTACACGGGTACCGGGCAAATTTCGAACCAATGAGGCAGGAATTCATCCGTTTTTCGTTCGCCAAAGAACCAGGTTTCGGCAAGCATTTCAGCTCATAACTCAGAAAAAAAGTAAAAAGCACTGGCCTCAATTTTTATTGGAGTTATCGCTCCAGTTTGTTTACAGTTCAATGGTTTTATCTGCGAAATCTCATTTTAAGTTCATTCTGTCTCAGAAGCGCTGTTGTACAGGATGTCCCAAAAAAGTCCCCCCTAATGAAATGAAACTTTTTTTGGAATTTGAATGCATGATCTACGCAGTGGCGCATGTGTAACTTGCATGATCTACGCAGTGGCGCATGTGTAACTTGCATGATCTACGCAGTGGCGCATGTGTAACTTGCATGATCTACGCAGTGGCGCATGTGTAACTTGCATGATCTACGCAGTGGCGCATGTGTAACTTGCATGATCTACGCAGTGGCGCATGTGTAACTTGCATGATCTACGCAGTGGCGCATGTGTAACTTGCATGATCTACGCAGTGGTGCATGTGTAACTTGCATGATCTACGCAGTGGCGCATGTGTAACTTGCATGATCTACGCAGTGGTGCATGTGTAACTTGCATGATCTACGCAGTGGTGCATGTGAACTTTTTTTGGAACACACTGTATGCATATAGACCTTTTTATAAAGTACATTGTGTTGTAACCTCCGATGCGTGTTCCAGTGGACAAAAACATGCATGTTCCGCATGATTGGTAAACTATAGGCTCATGCATTGGCTATAACCAGAAGGCAGAAGCATACCTTATCCGCAAACTACGACGTCATAACGCAGACTATTTATAAAGGTTCATACAAACAAGGCTCCTTTCTGTACGTAAAAGACGTTTTCGTTGTAGTTAACGGTGGTTGGTCTGATTGGACGCTATGGTCTTCGTGCGACCTCACGAAATGTGGTGCCCAACTCGAACAACGCCAAAGATATTGTGATAAACCTAAACCCCAAGCAGCAGGAAATTATTGTATTGGACATGATGAGGAAGAAGTGAGTTGTAGGGATGGGGATCCTGTGCCATGCAAAGGTAACTTGGTTTTGTATCTTTGTTTCTTGTCGCCAACTGTTGGCGGCGTATTTTCATTCTTATTGTCGAAAAGCTCCGTTGTCGATGATTGGTCTACTTTCTGATGATGTTATATGAAAACCAAGAATACACGTGTAGATAACGATTGTCACAATCATTGGTGTACATGCAAGGCTGTGTCATTCGGAAAATCATATACGACTGTTTCCTGATTTTTAGCGAAGCAGTATACGTGACGTATGAGAAATTTAGCAAAAACTTTCCGGGTGAAATTTTAATAGAACTTTCTTCTGGAAAAAGTAGGTAAGGAAGTATGGTTGTATGGGTAATTCCAATGTTGATTTCTTCTTTATAGAGACTAGTATTGCTGGGTGGACAGACTGGTCTTGGTGGAAAGCGTGTTCTAAAAGCTGCGATAGTGGTAAAAGATCACGTTATCGCAAGTGTAACAACCCCCCTCCTTCACCTGGTGGTCGTAACTGTACTGGAAATTACAGTCAGAATGAAGAATGTAATACCCATCATTGCCCAGGTAATCAAATAGCTTTTTCGACCCAGATTGCTTCAAAGTGCAGCTATTCCAAACATGTTCAATCATTTTTGTATCATACCAAAGTACCTAGGTTATACGGTTGCATTTTCGTCGCGACCTATGACCTTGGCCCAACCAGCCTATCTGAGATCATGACGTCATAAAGCGTCTCGACAAAACTGAGTTATCATGTGCCTGGTGTTATTTGTACTTATTCTTTTAACTAATAGTATAAAGGGTGAAAAATTTAAATTCCAATTTGCAGTTGGGAGAAAATAAACGTGTTTTCACATAAATATAATAAAATTACTTGATATTTTCGAGTGTCGAAGTCCAGTTTGCAATGAAGGAAATTATAACTCAGTTTTGTCGAAGATCTGGCTTCTGATTGGTTGATTTTTATACCCAGATCAGCTGGAAGGGAAATTAAGTCTGCTGGTTGCATGAGAAAAACGTAGTTTCATGAGACAATGAGCTGTATATATACGATGCTCATTCGATTTTTTCAGAAAATGCGCGCGAGGAGACAATATGATCGAAGGCCTCTCAAAATACATGAGAAAATACCCATAAAAACAATTTCGTGATATCCGACATTTAGATTTTTCCGTTGCCGAGATTGGCCCACGAACTAGCTAGCGTTATTACTCGGTAAAGAAATAATTTCGACACGAAAAGCTCTTAACTGCCAATCAAACGATTTGATAAAAACTGAAGCTTTTACTAATAGAAATATTTCAGCCACCTGGCTCAGTCATCTACTCCTATACTGAACTTGCATGTCTTAAGGGAAGTTAAAGGCGGCACGACTGCCTTTGGATAGTAAAACACAGGAACCGGTTGTATAAACCAATCCTGTCACCAACTTTAGTTTAAAATGTCTTTATATCTTTCGCGAGGGCGGTGGCATTCTTTAAATGCGAGATCTCTTGATATAGAGTAAGTATAGCTGTTCCTCTGGCCAGGTACAGCAGCTAAACGAACTATACTTTTAGTTAATGGTGGATTTACGAATTGGACATCGTGGACAAACTGTACAAAAATCTGTGGCAATGGAACACGAACGCGTAATAGAAGCTGTACTAATCCCACACCTAAATATGGAGGACTAGATTGTGTTGGTTTAAATTTTACAAATGAAAGTTGTAATGAATATCCTTGTCCTGGTAAGAAAAATTTTCTTGCAAACTTATATATACAATGCCATTTTTATACATTTAAGTGGCTTTTTCATGAGTGTATATTGAGATGTTGTCGATCATCACACAACACCAGTTTGCATTAACTATGTGTCGAGTTTGGAACAATGGGTTTCTATTGTGGAACTTAATTTGTAGACTACCGTGACGAAAAAATAAAAAAATTCCTTTTTAGCATTAAGGGTCAAGCGGGAACAGCAGACTTTCGAGAGAAGATAAAAACCTTCTTCATTTCACAACGACTTAGAAATTAGAATGAACCGTGACCTTTGGTATAGTGCAATGCTCTACCAACTGAGCTACTGGGTCAAGACGGTTCGAAGCAGGGCCGCCGAGAGAAATTGTGGGGCTCGGGGCAAAAATTTTTTCTAGGGCCCTATGACGTTATGGCATAAAGTACTTCAAAGCGTTGTGCAAAAGTTTTACAAACAAACTTTTTTACAAACAATATCAACATATCTTAGAAATTAAAATAACAATGACTTATGACTGTCACTCGTACTTTCAACTAGTGTGCGAATAATACACCGAGCCCAGCATTTTTTAAGGTGCTTTAATTTTAGGTTCTTTCTTAAGTCGAGGGCCCCTTCAGTTTTGGGGCCCATGGCAAAATGCCGACCCTCTCGGCGGCCCTGACTGGAAAACGGCGTATACGACCATGGGCGAGTCTGCCGAAAAATGGCGTATTCGACCATGATCGAGTCCGCCGAAAAATGGCGTATTCGACCATGATCGAGTCCGCCGAAAAATGGCGCATTCGACCATGGTCGAATCCGCCGGAAAACGGCGTCTCGTATGTCTTGCATCTGCATGCACACAAATCATTGTAACTTTCGAATTCATTATTGCAATTTGTTCTTGTAGTTGATGGGGGTCTCACGTTATGGTCAAAATGGTCATTCTGTAGCAAACCGTGCAACAATGGACAGGAAAAAAGAACACGTTCTTGTACTGCACCAACTCCGAAGTATGGTGGTCGAAACTGCTCATGTGCCAAAACAGACAAGTTTTATCATTCTGATAACTGTACGGTTGAATATGAGCAAACGAATGGATGTAACAGATTTGTTTGTCCACGTACGAATTTATTCTATCAGTTTTATATGCGTAATCCTTGCACGCTTGTGTTAGAAGGCGTTACCCGGCCGCGTTTCCTAATTTGGTACAGCTCTGCCTCGTAAAAACTTTGTTAGAAACCTCGTAAGAATTAATAGACGTCTTGTTCAAAGCACTTTTTTGTTTTACATGTTCCTGGAACTTGAATTATAATTAAACTGTAAACCCACGCCATAAAGTTAATGACTTCTGAACTTCTTTGTTAATTTCTTTCCAGCTGTGAGAGTAGAGGTTAACATTAATATCAAAGGTTCTTACTTGCGCTATCTCGAGGGTACTAGTACTGACACAATTGGGGACAAGTTTAAGAATAAAATAGTAGACCAGGTAAGTAACTTAATTAGGCCTTAATACATAGATTTGCCTGAATTCTTAACGACTCTTTGACTTTGTTCTATGAGATCCTGCAAGGTACCGCGGGATCAATGGACGACTTGCGCTTTAGACTAATTTCTTACCTCGGCGATAAATATTAGCTTACTAATATTAGTAAAACTGCCAAATTTGGCTGCGAATTGTTTTGAATTACGGAAAATATAGCCTTGCGAAGTTCACGAATTTTTGTGTACTTTTGTATTACCGCCGGAAGTGTGTAACTAATTTAGTTACACATTTCCACACGTAATACAAAAGTATACAAAATTTGCCAACTTCGCATGGCTATATTTTCCGTATTTTACAAAATTTCGCAGCCAAACTTTGCATTTGCACTAATTTAAGTAAGATCTTTCTAGCTGTGATGATTTATTTTCTTCTATAGTTACTTCGATCAAAAATTAGTCTAAAGCGCAAGTCATCCATTAACTTTAGTGTTTTCGAATCGTTCCTTGTTTACGCGTGGACGCGGATAAATATTTTAACGGATAAATATTTTTGCGTTTAAAAATCCTCCCAGAGCTTGTGGACGGGGCCTCAGACTAATTGAATGCGCTATGGCTTATTTCAATTTCAATTAAAGACCTGCGTTTTTTCGGGACGTCATGTGGGAATGATATCATCATGAAAAACTGTCCATCGTTGGCACATCAAAAAGAACCAGAACTGTTCGTGAACAGACATGATTATATTTTCAATTTAGATCGTGCATCCTTACTCTCAAACAGAACAACAACCTCCAGTGGTGGGATTTACGCATTGCAGGTATAACCTCACCTTTTGACATGCGACATATAACCTTACCTTTTGACATGCGACATATAACCTTACCTTTTGACATGCGACATATAACCTTACCTTTTGACATGCGACATATAACCTTACCTTTTGACATGCGACATATAACCTTACCTTTTGACATGCGACATATAACCTTACCTTTTGACATGCGACATATAACCTTACCTTTTGACATGCGACATATAACCTTACCTTTTGACATGCGACATATAACCTTACCTTTTGACATGCGACATATAACCTCACCTTTTGACATGCGACATATAACCTTACCTTTTGACATGCGACATATAACCTTACCTTTTGACATGCGACATATAACCTTACCTTTTGACATGCGACATATAACCTTACCTTTTGACATGCGACATATAACCTTACCTTTTGACATGCGACATATAACCTTACCTTTTGACATGCGACATATAACCTCACCTTTTGACATGTCAGTTTACACGATGGAGATTTTATGATCAGACCAGGGTGAAATACAGGGGTGTATAAAAAAGGTTACTTTATTCCAACATGCAGTGTAAGCACGCGGGGCCTTAGAAGACTTACTACCCTACCAAGATATTATAAAGCTAAATTAGTCCTGCGCATAAGTAAAGACGAGTAAAGGCGGTTTTCACTATGGTGAATTTTTCGATCGAGCGAAATTTTTCGCCTGATTTTCTTTTTATTTTAAGAATTTGACCCTAGCGGTAATCTTGACCGGTCACAATTAAAAAGAAAATCAAGAGAAAATCAAAAGAAAAATTTCGGTCTATCGAAAAAATATATAATATATTTCTATTTTGCGTATTAAGCTCGAAAGAATTATGCATCATTTCTGTCTCGTACAATTTTTCTGACGGTGATCAACTGCCCATCCTTCGAGATATCGTGGACCAGCCTTCAGACTCAAACTTTTCTATGACGTGGATGCGTTCATCTGTAGGTAAGTTAGCAGAAAGTTTTACGATACTGAGTGCCGGTTGAATCGTTAACGTAAAACTTCTCAGTTTTGTAACGTAAAACTTCTCAGTGTTTTATTAATTGTAGCGCCTTCTTATTTTCCACATGCACAGAATTTATTTAATGAAACATTCAGGACATGCGACTACTGGTGTGCATGCAGAATAGTCCATATGCACGTTTCAAATTTAGATAACAACTTTTTGTATCTTTTTGTAGTGTTTTCAAATGAGGTGTTCATAACAACTCGTGTTCTGAGCTCTACTAGTATCAAAGTAAACTGGAGCGTGATTGCTTCGAATTCTGATAACATAACAAGCATCACCGTATTTTATAAAACATCAAATGGCGGCGCTATACGATTTAAATCGGAGCCAGTACCTGCATCATTTATCGGTGGTATTGTACTAAGAAATTTGAAGAAATTTACATCGTACAAGATTACTGTATCTCCAACTACGGCAAATGGCACTGGAGTACCAGGTTATTTCTCAACTAATACGACACACGAGGACGGTAGGTGGCGGACTATAATGTTCATCACACGTATACCTATAATTTAGCCTAGTACAAGTTGATATCTCGTCAGTGCATCCGGGAGAAAAAAGTTAATTCAGATATCTAGATAACTCTCTGTAGTAATTAAAATGGCACTAAAATAATATTTGGGAAACCAGATTGTATGATAATACCCATAACGTACTGTAAATCACGACTTGAAGTAGAAGTTCTTGAAGAATGTGATTGCTTCCCGGAAATCTTACCGTATGACCATGATATGTTGGTCATAGGAGCTAGATTCTTCATGTCAGTTTAGTCTCGAGTTCGCCGCCCCATTTTGGTATTTCTCGTGGCTTCAACTATTTTTAAATATTTTTTAACTTTTAGCGCCGGTGTTTTTTATAGAAACAAAAAATAACTTACTACTTTCTACTGTAGTTATCTTGCTGCTGTTTCGTTCATGCTCCGTTCATAGCATTTATGTACAATTATTACAACTCTCGTGCCTAAATACCATACGAAATCTGGAACATTTGTCTCACAGCATTAGATGTAAAATATTATCGAATATTAAGTTTATCTATAATTTACTCGCTTCTGCAGGCTAGGGCGTCTCAAACGCAAAAAGGGGGAAATCTGAGAACCGCTGTTTCTCCGCGCATGATGAACAGTACAACATGATTTTTTGCTTCCATTTTTATTCCAGTTCCTAGTGTAGGACCGGAAATAAAAGTTGAATCATTGAGCTCAACATCATTGAGAGTCACCTGGCAGCGTGTTAGCAATGAATATTTACATGGCATACATAAAGGTTATTGTTTGTATGTTGATGGCGTACAAAGAAATTACAGTGATTTGAACAAGACGGAAACACTTCAAAAGTTTGTAACTGGTCTCAAACCTTACACCGAATACAAAATCGAAGTGGCGGCAAAAACAACCCCGGGTTGTGGAGCGAGAAGCCAGAAAAAGGAATTCACGTTAGAAGATAGTAAGTTTAAAACTGCATCTGAATATTTTTGAGCAAAGTAAATAATTAAATCTATAACCATCATTGTCAATAGCAATACTACTCTGCTTTATACAAATCAAGTGAACAAAAATTTCCCAGCAACAAATAATAAGATATTCACAAAATAGCTCGTACCAATGTTTCGAAATACACGCAATAAAACTCCATTAACGAATGTGTTACCAAATGTAATTTATGCTTCATTCCGTACGGTATCCGAAGCGTAGGTAGAAAAGCCTGGCTTGCGGGGTTGTACGGTATCCCACCCATATATATATGGTGAAATATCCTTATAGTAAGGCCAAAGACGGCAGCGTTGCACTTTCTTCGAACAAGAAGAGGACGATCGGTTTATCAATTATAGACGCGGAAAAAAGAACTGATTGTCTTGTTGTCTATTATTGAGAGTTAGTTGTGATTCTGCAAGTTAGGGTGTGTAAAATATAGTAAAAGGCCGCATATAATGGTTCAGACCGAGGGCCCGGCCATGGCGCTTGTCACTTTTCCTAAAGTTCATTGTAAGTTGTATTCACATGAAGAGTCAGAACTAAGGAAGATTGTAGGTAGATGTTTTTATGGCTATACATCGTCTCTAATTATTTGTGGTTCTTCACCAGAGCCAGACGAACCTCCCAAACACGTTACTGCACACAATACAAGCTCGAAAAGTTTACGTGTGGAATGGGGAGAGGTAGATGAAAAAGCGAGGAATGGAATTATACGAGGTTATTACATCATTTGTTCCGCTGTCAAAACAAGTGGTATAAAAGACAAAGAGATAAACATCACGTCTGGTAAAGAGTTTCATAAAGTGATAACGGACCTGGAAATTTGGACATGGTACAACGTGAGTGTTGCTGCTTATACGAAAATTGGAGTAGGACCTGCATACGTAGTCTCAGTCCGCACGGAAGAGGGAAGTAAGTATTTACGTTATTTATTTTAATTTAAACCAAATTGCATGCGTTATAAGCTTATAAATACCTTGGAAAGAAGGGCAAATATTGAGAACCTGAGAACACTGTTGAGATTTATATCAGTGTCTCTATATCATTTGTCTTGTAAAATGCTTTATAAGTGATTGTTTTCAGTCAGACATGCAGCTTTAGCGTTTATTACATACATGTGCTTGAATTTATTCAAATGAAGTGTGAAAGCATGCAATCACATTATTAAACGGTTGGATTTAATCAAACACAAGAAAATGTAATGAACAGCAGTTTTGGGTCCATCCAGTGGCGTAGCAGACCTGACGTACAATACCATGCATGTGCACTACCTCAATCGCGAACGCATATTCGAACGTCGCAATTTTCAAGAACAAAAAGTATTATCATGCAGTACTAGAATTATTGGGTTTTAATCACACGAAAGACACTTCAAAGCACATGCAATTATGTATATAATATTCTTAAAATTTTGCATGGTGAATTAATAATTAAATCATCAATTTCGCGAAGTATAGTTTATGTAGAGCTTTCACGCGGGCGTTCTTGTACAGTTCTGATACAAGCTCTGTATAAAACTAATACATGTGGGGTTTTCTACGAATTGATGATTGAAAATAATGTATATTTCAAATTGTTTTACAAATCTCTTCACTTGCTCAAAAAAAGCGTCATTCTTTTTATCATATTTGCTTATCAACCACCAACACGCTGTGTGTACAAGAAGTTACTTCATTTTTGGTTTTCACATTGAATATGTCGCCATTGAGGAGATATATTCAGCAATGGCTAATACATAGTGTTGGCTGCATGTTAACTTAGAGTTAACGGCTGCAATTGCCGTCAGTCTTCATCATTCGTGTATGTCTTTAAAATTTAATGAAATGTTGAATGTTTTCTCTTTTTTAGCTCCCGACATTGCTCCTGTTTTCAATAAATCTATAAACACAAGTTCTACTACTATTTTCCTAAAATGGTACCCGATTAATTTTACCGATGGCATATTATTGGGGTATGAAATAACCTATCTGGAATTAGGTGGTTATAAGTTCGCTAAGAAGAAAGTTGAAAAAGTTGCCAACAATGTCACAAATTGCACATTGATAGATTTATTCTATTATTGGAATTATAAAATTACAGTTGGTGGCTACACTAGACCAGGAGTGGGAAAAGTTGCCACGACAGAAGTTAGAACGCATGAGCAATGTGAGTAAAAATATATCACTCGACGTTTAATTTCAATCACGACGATATACAATACAAAAATCTGTGACAAAATGCAAACACATTCGCGACAGGATTTTCCGCATGTAGTAGTGTACATGCAGAAATGAAACTCTCAGTTTATCCACCTACAATTGGAGAAGGCAGGATAAGGGAAACTTTGTTGATCTTGAATTCCTGATTTTCTGGAGTTTAAGTGTATTTTTTCTAAAATTTTTTAGCCGTGACCCCGTTTTACTATATATTTTGTTCTGTTTTACTATATATGTTTGTTATATTTATATCTTGTTCTAGTACCAGGACGTTCACCAGAAAACGTTCGTGGCGACGCAGAGACATCAACTAGTGTTTATATCACATGGGATAAAGTTGCTTCAAATTTTGTTCATGGAGTATTGCTAGGCTATAACTTGACTGTTCGCAAAACAAAAGATGGGTCTTTGGTGAATAACAAGGAATTAGAACCGAAACCCGTAAAAAATACATACACAAAGGCTAAAGTACCTGGTGTAAATGTACTGGCCGGGGTAAAACAAGTATATTTAGGGAATTTAGGTAAATATACAGAGTATTCGATATGGGTGCGAGCAGTAAATTCTGAAGGTCATGGTAAACTGAATTCACCTGAAGGTTATCGAGTCAGAACTAAGGAAGATGGTAGGTATATGTTTTGATTTTTTAAAGTAACCTATATGAATGATTTATAGGGTCTAAAGTATACGTAGTCAAAAAATACGTGATGGCGTGCGATGAACATAGACAGCTCGCAGTCCCTCCATTATCCTTCGCTTACTTATTATCCTTCGCTTATTATTAACGAATAATAACATAATGCAAAGGATAATAGAGGGACTGCGAGCAGATAAATATTATTCTGGAAAGTTTTAATTTTGACCATGTTTCTAAAATACTTTTTAAAAGAAGAACAATATCAAATTGACTCTTTCGAGGTTTTTTACTTTCCGATTTAATAATGGTTTGGTTAATTTTAGCTAGCCCGACCTTGATGTACCCAGGCTAATTCTAGCATGCATTGAGTCGTTCCAACAATGAACTTTATTCAATAAAATGTTCGCATATATCGCAGCACCGGAAGCTCCACCCTCGAACATAAGAGTTGAAGAATTAGCTGCGATTTCAACATTGAACATGGAATGGCGGGCGATCCCCGAAGATAAAGTAAATGGTATAATTCGTGGATATTACGTGGAATACACTGCTGTCAACATAAATGGACAAGACGTAGAGTTGGCAAAACAAGTGACAAAGTTTTTCCGAGTGAGAGGGAATCGTTATTCTACAACACTAAAAGATCTCACTGCTGGATCGACCTACAAAATAAGAATGTTTGGTTACACCATCAAAAATGGAACAAAGAGCAACTTTACATATGCGCGTGAGTCATGAAGAAAAAATAAAATCATTACGCATTACGCAATTTGATATGTTGTTGTTTATAAGCTGCTCCCAATGGACCTTTTTCATAATGATTGATTCTCCCAATGAGGCTCAATTGAAACAATATTTCTCAGTATAAACATTTACATCAAATCAACAAAAAACTAGATTGCGTGATTTTTCTATCTTGAATTTCTTTTAGGCACCTGTAATTGTCCAAAGTATTTAAAAGTGAATTGGTGGAATATTCCTCCGTATACAGATGGCAATCAGTTAGATCCCGGTGGCATATTTTCCCACGCGGTGAAAATAATGGTAGACATGTGTGGGGAATGCCCTAATGGACATGGTCGATCTAAACCATGCTATAAACCTGGTTGTGATGAGCATACCTCCCGTAGGCGTCGTGAGGTTGACTCCTACCAACAAAACAGCCTTCAGGAAGTTCTAAATAACATCAGAGATGGCGTGGATATCAGTTTTCCAATCCAAGGAAACAAATACATGACCCATTATGGCGGGAAGTTTCCTTATATCTCTGTTGTGGAGACTTCAGGATCGGTGTATTTTACTGTGAAAAAAACTCCCTCGACCTCCCACGTCCTCATTAGTGCTGGCTTTTATTCAATTCCTTTGCTGATGCTTATCACTATCCTTTCAGTTCTTGCTGGAATAATTATCTGGGTTTTGGTAAGTCGTATCCTTATATTTTCATATATGCGTGCATGTGCTTTGTTTTAAAATGTCTATGCGCGCGCGTGCTAAAACAAAAGTGTAAAACCAAGCCAATATTACAATTGGCCGAAACATGGATCCTCTTGCAAGGGGAAACATTCTTGTCCATGTTATGCATGGTCAAATTGATAGTTTAATCCAGTACTTTTCGTTTTGTTGACTGACTAGAATGACTGCAGTCACAGAAGTATATGAGCTAGAATATTGTACAACGACCAAATTTTACATGTAATATAAATGGTAATATACAGTTAGCCTGAAACATGTATTCATTCCTTACACATAGGAACGCTCCTCTAATCCAACAAGTTTTCCTTTGTCCTTTACCAAAGGATTAAAAGAGGGATTCTGGTGGGCTTTTATTTCTGCCAGTACGGTTGGGTGAGTTTTTTCTTCTGAAATTATTTATGTTTATGATAGGTTGAGTGAAGTGTTAAAATACGTTATATAAACCTGCAGTATTCGACTTAGGGCTATATTAGTCATTTTATTTTGCATGCGCAAGCATGTAGTTATTTAGGTAACATTCACGTTTTGATCGTTGCAAAACAAAAGTTGTTCTAAGAGTAATTTGAGGAAGTGGTGCATGTAATCAGATAATGTCTGATGTTATATCAGTTCACAATGCAACCGAAATCGACCATTGACGATGTATCGTACTTTGCAGTTACGGTGATCGTCGACCAGTTACAATTCATGGCAAATCGTTTGCAATATTGTGGATACTTATTGGTTATGTCATCATCCAAATCCTAACCAGCTTAATGGTCAATTCAATTACCTTGGTACTTGTCAAACAACGCACCCAAATATATGGAGCGAGGGTGAGCCCTTACTTTGTTTCAATTGTAATAACTCTGGCATATCTGAGCTATCTATAAGCGTTTGCAACTTTGTTATAAGTTGAAGGATCTTTGAAAACTAGTGCAATCAATGCAATCTCTGCAACTTCTTCGAAATACGTATTTGTCTATTAGTATATATGCATACTGAATTTAACTTTAATAAAATCATCCTATTGTAAGATTTAATATCGCAGACATAAAATTTTAATTTTAGGTTGCCGCGATACAAAATTCGACAGAACACAACAAAGCTATACGCCAAAATGGCGATGGTAAGTTTATAGTATTTGATTTATCTGGGAATACGATCGAGACGTATAATAAGCTATAGTAATATAATAATCCGTATAGAAAAGACACACATGACTTGAGCCCTTTTTTAGACGAGTATTTTTCTATAAAGGTCTGCTTGTTCACATGATCCAATTTTGTTGCACCCACCGCGCATTTCGTATCTGATGGATGTTTTACCGTCTATTGTATTGACTCGCAATGTGACTAGCAATTGATAATTTAGATAAAAGTTCTAGATCTTTGGTGTTCGTTGCTGTATGCATCGCATTGCATGGATGCTTAAAAAGTACGACTAAATCCTTTTTTTAGTGAAGCTATTCAAAAACGTTGACGAAGTAATCAAGGCTTTGGAAGACAAGGTCGTTGATGGAGCACTACTGGACATGTATGCGGCTGCAACAAGAAAAGATCTGTTTAAAAATGGCGAGATCGAACTGAATAAACAAGTGGAATATCCATCTGGTTATGGAATTGTTTTGTCTGGAAGGATGAAACACTCTGCCCCAATGATAAAAGAATATTTTAAAATCAAATCAAATGAGATGCTCGGGTTCATTCAAAATAATACCGATGTTGTTACACAGGTAAACATTGCAACCAAAATTAATATTGCAGTGCACATGAACGGCATGAAATAGCGTCCTATGAATTAGACCTAGACGGATAACCATAATATTTTACACATTTCCGTACGTATAAAACAGAAGTGTATATACAATCTTTGCCAACTTCACATGCGGGGCAAAATTGCTTTGGAAAATTTCGAAACCCGGCAAACGTGGCCATCACTAATTTTAGTGTGCGCTTTCTGGAAATTTTCCTTTATCGCTAGGATAGAAAATTAGTCTGAAGGGAGGCACTCTATATTTTTTCCAGAGCTTCCACAATTGAGGAAGATTTCCTCAAATTGTGGAGAGAGTAATCAATATTAACGGCATACATGTTTAGTTGTTCTTTTTAAAAGATCTTGGTCTGATCCTCCTATGAGGACGGCTATTTTCAAATATTAAACTTGTAGAGGCACTGATTCCCACTGATTATCTCTCGTATCCTGATTTTTAGAAAGATAATCTTGCGGCAGAAGTGGCAAAAAAGAAGTCTGGATTGTTTGACGCAACTTCTAGTGATTATCAACTCGCAATCGTTGTCCTTATTGCTTTACTTTTTGCATCGTTCATGTGTGGATTGTTTTGGCATTATAAATACCACGCAAAGGCGGTGAGAGTTCGAGAAAATCTACGAAGTAAGAGCCTATATATAAGCTTTATGTTCTGTGTGTTATTAAAGTAAAAAAATTCAATGTGCAATTCGGTGAATATTTAAGTATAGTGATGTAAGATTTGAACTAATTTTATAGCTATTTAATTTTTTTACTGAATGGCCATGCATAACCATGGGGTTCAGTTTCAACGTAATTATATGCAAAAAATGCTTACGCCTGTTTCGATATATAGGCTATTATATTGATGTTTTTCCTTATTCTCACCACAATATGATAGATTCATCCCATGGGTATGGTTACTACAAATATTTGCGAGAAGATGCAAAAGAGTCATGTGAAGACCAGTTTAAAACTCTCATGTGCAAGATCCAGGACGTTAAAAAACGACACACAAAAGAGCTGAAGTTACTAACAAAATACCGCAAGGAGTCTGGAGAAGCTTGGCCAGTACCCCGACGTTTTACCCCTGCAACAAGCAGTGCCGGGAGTTTTACTCGTATACGCAAAATGAACGCAACAGTAACGCCATCTTTAAACAGTCAATGTAACATTGGCTTACAAGTTCTGGATGTTGAAGCAGAACATGCAAATCGGTATTCAAAAGATTCGCAAGTTTAAAACATGAAACAATAATAAGAATTTCGTAATAATGGGACAATTTTTATTTACAAGTTTGAACAATCTTGATTATTTGTCTATATATAGTTTTATTGTATCATCTTCAAGTTCTATTGTATACCGGTTAAGGATGAGTTTTTCAGGGATATTCCCAATTAATTAACGTTTAATGAGCCAAACTTCAGTCCCGGACTAACAAAGTAGATTTAACTATACGAAATCCTTATTTGGCTTCATTCAACATTTCTCACATACTTGTATACCTAATTTAAAGCTCTTTATAACTGATCCTTTCAGCTTCATTTTTTAGCCAGTAGTGCTTACCACTCGTAAATTATGTAAAAAACAAACCGCCTGGTCATCATCGCTTCGGCTGCTTATAATCAGCCCTGTATATATACGTAATTACTTTATTGTAATATTATTAATTTATTATTACAGCGGTTTTAGACTAAATACCATAGGCATAGCTCATTACCTTTTCCATTCACTAATATCATTGCACTTTCTGGGCGAAAATGCACCTCAATGCTTCAGCATATAATTTAAACTTAAATACACGTATACTTTATTGGTATTCAATTTTGTTATATTTATAAACATCCAATTTTGTTATATTTAATTGGCACTATTATATGTATATCGATGATCAATGGTATTGAATAAAATAGCATTTGAAACTGTGAAATGTATAGCTGTTTATTATTATATTATGTGGCTGATATGACTTGCTAGAATCAAGGGGTAGAAGATTAGTGTCAGTGGTGAAGCCTATGCCTATATAAAGTGTTTACTATTAAAAAAGATTAAAAAAATAGTTAAGCAGATGGCGGTAAATTGCAGAATGCGTCTGAGAAACTGCATTAATTTGGGCGGCAGTTAACAAATTTCCTGTGCGTACTAGTCTTAGCCAAATTCAGTTATTATAAAAGCATGAAAGCGTTGTGTGATGTATCAATACATTAGTCCTATTGGCTTTTTTCCACCCCAAGTACAATAAACACAAACTTTTTCTATATTCAATCAAAAGTCACTTTCACAATCTGCTATTACGCACTAATGAGTAACTATAAAGTAAATAAATCATCTAAAAGCTATTTCTTAATCTAAAAACTATAATCTAGAAGGACTAATTATAGGCCAAGTCAATCGCTTAACATTACGTATGAAACCTTTATATAAAAGGATGGTGGCTCAGTGGCTGGCATTCACTTGGGCGTAATTCAGAAGCGCAATTAATTAGCTTTTAGAGGTTGGTATAGTCAGGGCGCAGTAAAACACGTGCGCACACTCGAGTAGAAGGCATTCAGTGCCGCTATACTGGAACAGGCAGATCTTATAAGATGGAAGGATGGAGGTTTGCCAGAATAGGGGGCAAGCGTGATAGTTATCTCTAACAAAAGTTGGCCAGCAAGAGTAATTGGGACTACCGGTGCGAGTGAACTACCGGTAGCAACCTGTTCGCGCTATCACGTGGTTGCCAAATAAAACGAAATACGATTCAAGATTAGTGAATGTTTGACGCATGTGTCGGTGCGTTTAGGTGCTATAGTTATAATACACGTTGTTATAGGGTTGTTGGTAGCTATGCTTCATGCCAAACCACCTCCAATTAAGGAATGTCCTGATCCAAAAGAGGGCGATATTGATGAGGATAACTTTTGGAAGAATTTGACCGAAGGTGAACTTATAGATATTGACTTGTTTACAGCGTGCGCGATAGGGGAATTTGACTATGTAAAGGAGTTTATTAACAACGCCAAACCAACATACGGCACAGACATTGTAAATAATTCAAACAAAAGTGGATGGACGCCATTAATGTATGTATGTTTTGTCGGAAATGATAAAATCACAGAGTTACTCATCCGTGAGGGCGCTGATGTCTTATTTGAAGAACATAAACATGGATTTACGCCATTAATGCTAGCCTCGAGTTCTGGCAATATTTCTCTTGTTAAACGTCTAGTGGAGGTATGTCTTAAAAGTCTATAAAGCCATTGAGACTTCGAATACGCATGGGAAGTTATTAATGGTGGGGTGGGATGGTCAAGGTCAATGTATAATTAACAGCAATTACTAATTTAGTGTTTAATTCGTGAGTAGTTAATAATACTATTCTATGAACGCTTTAGTTATTACTTAATTACTTATATTATAGCGAGACAGGGGGGTGATGAATAAGAATGCCGTTTGAAATGCAAATCACTGTGTTATGTGTATAGTGTTAGTAACACTTAAGTTATCCGTACAAGCCAGCCTTGCTCGACAGTTCAACATAAACTAAGTGACAATTGTGAGGAAAGAGAGTCTTAATTGGCTATGATGTAGAAGTTTCATAACTCTAATTAAAATATTATAGAATTGAGTCTCTCTACGATAATAATATATTTCTCTAATAACCCAAACATTGCACATGGCAAAAACATTTGTGCATCTTTATGATACCATCATCTCTTTTACAGAATAATGCAAGAATAAATCAGGAAGATAAACGTGGTCAGACTGCATTATTTTATGCAGCAGAACATGGGCAAACAAATATTGTTAAATATTTACTCAGCATTAATGCAGATGTTCTAATAAGGTATTTTGTCATCTTTTGTTGTTTTGTTCATCATTCAAAAATGATGTTCTGAGGGGAAGTCCTGAAGCGCTCATATTTCGGTCCCACTATAGCAATGCACAAACCCTCAGAAATTCAAAGACAGCTTGAACTTGGACAAAGAAACTAGGAAAATACACACAGGATCAGTTTCGATTATCAGAAAAACTAACCAATGTTTTATATTTTTGTCTTCATGTCTGTTTTACTTTTATTAAACTGATTTTCATTCTTTATTTTTGTTGCTCTATAAAGATCTTGTTTTCTTCTTAGGCAAAAGGGTACTGGTTACACAGCATTTATGGAAGCAGCAAAACAAGGACATGAAGGAGTTTTCAGTGCTTTCCTAGAGCATGTGAGTTGTATTTTAGATTTCTTCACAAATTGTTATCAAACTATTGAATTGATATTGTCATTAATTCAATCCTACACGCAGTTCTACAGAAAGTTCTCAATTGACAACAATTGTTAACCTTTTAGGGAGTGTACTTGGACCTTGTATGTAACAAAGGCTACACAGCACGTGACTTGGCAAAGCAGTTTAAATATGGTGTTATTGTAAATATGATTGATAATCATTGTTACAAATTTCCCACACTCAGATATGAAGCAGGTGCAGTAATTGACAATTATTCCAGTTCAAACAAGGATGACAGTTGTGCAATTCTATTTATATCTCTCAGATTTGAGTGATTTGGGAATGGATGAGATTAAACAACCGGATCAAAAAGTTAATGAGTGGCTGAATGATCAAAATCCTCATCATATTTTTGACGATATCCTATCAGATAAATTGTAAGTTAAGGTTCACCTTTAGGTCACTGATGATAAATATTGTTCATTGAATTTTTTTTTAATATTCACAACAATTTTCACCATATAACTTCTTTAAACCTAAGGTTTGAAATGCGATCCCATGCAATTGCAATTGATGACAGATTTAAAACATATTCTGTGGGGGAAAGCTTCGGAAGATCAGTGGGTGGTAGGTATAGACAATGTTTTTTAAAATGTTATGTCATTAGAATAATTCATGTTATGCTTTGTTCCCCCCTAAAAAGGCTTATTCTGCCAATGAATTCACTTAATCTTGATATGCGTTTCAATTTGGTAGATTCAACCATTGATGATTCTGAAAGAACTCCAGTCGGAACTCCTGTAGACAGTGTTTTGCAGCAGTATGTTTTGTTGGTAATTTTTTTAAGGGTATCTTTAGTGTGTATAAATATATTCAAAAGCTGTATTAATGATTTAATTCAATTGTTCATTTCAAGTCCTATCAATGATTTTATTACATCTCTAGCTAACAATTTCATTTTTTTGAGACATCTTTTATGCAACCAGCCCCTGCATGTGAGATAATGTTAATTTTAATGACTATGCATAGCCGGCTGCTTATAGGTTTCTGATTGGGAATTATCACAATTTTTTCTTTAAAATATAAATGTTATTTTTTTTAAATTTTCATTTTCATTTTAGATACATGATTATGAAACCTGATCCATGTATATCTCAAGGACGGTCCCATCATGAGCAACCTTCACTAGAAACATTTTTAAAAAACATTGGTCTTGAAAAATATTTAAAAACATTCCAAGATCAGTCTATTGACTTTGACATGTTTATTCAGGATTTAACCGAAGAAGATTTTAAAGAACTTGGTATAAAGTAAGTGAGGGCTGGTGTTTTAAATGGCTACTTTAATGTCAAGCCTAGTTTCCACTTTTGTTGTAATCGTCCTGGACAAGTCATTTTCACCGATGTGAAATCGTCCGGAATCCGGATGTAAATTTGTCTTATCCAAATCAGTAATTGTTGACCGCGCACACAATTACGACTAATGGAATTTAGGTTTTAGATGAAGCAATTTTTGCTGCAACTTTGAATTAAAGCTCTATTTTTATGTGCTATGTTCCTTCTTTTTTAGGTTTGGTCCGAGTAGAAAACTGACACTTGCTATAAACAAGTGGAATCATGAGAAAGGATGGGTAACTTTTCATATATTTTGTTTGTATATGGGATTATTCACGCCTTTACCCGGCGCAAAGTGTGCCGCTTATGTTCTAGTTTATTTAGTTCAGGTTTGCCTGGGGGGAGTGAGTTGTCACCACTCAGTGGTTGTCACTTGCATGATTGGATACAATGATGCTCAGGCCCAAAGTTGACATGACCGAGCAGTGCAAGGCCAAGGGCAGGAGTATTACTGTGGATGGCCCTCCTTATGCATTATAGACTAATATTAGATCAGGGAAACAAGATCTAAGCTAGAAAGAGCATACTTAAACACTTTCGGCCGTAATACAAAAGTATACAAAATTTTCTGGGTATATTTCCCGTACTTTACGACAGTTTGCAGCTAAACTCGGCAATTTTACTATAATTTTTCCGAAAATTTCCTTTTCATCGCAAGGATAAGAAAATTATCTTAGAACCATTTGGCCAAGTTGAAATTCTTTTCCCTTTGCCATGTTCAGCTATTTTTAATGACATTCTGTTATTTTTCTTTCAACAATCGATCTCTATTTCAGCAAAAAAATGGAAGTTTTACAGCACCAGATGTCGATAATCTTAAATTACAGCTGGCAGATGTAAGCAGATTGCCATACCTTTTAACCACTCTCTTGCAGTAGAGAGCTGGTAATAGTGATAAGTGCATAGGGCTGTTTAAATGGGAACGAGGCTAAAGTTCTTCTACGACTATTTTTTAAACTAACAGCCCCATGCAGTTGAATTTTTAAAGCAACCGAATCTAGACTAGGGATATTTTAAAGTAAAATAAAAAGAAGTTGATTTTCTCTATAGCCAAAATTTGTACCAAATCCAAATGGGTTTTGGAAATCTTGCACCTAACAATTTGCACCTAACACGCCGAATTTCATACGTTCGATATTGTTTAGGCATATTCTAAACTACAACATGAAATAGAAGCTCGAGCCTCGCTGGAAGCGGAACAAATGGAGGGTAGAGCAAGAAGAAATCACACATATTTCATTGTGGAAAAAGTGCTTCGTGCTTGTAAAGACTTGCAGAATACAAATATAACTTTGAAGTAGGTATCACAGTGTTTTATTTGGCCACTTTCCATAAAGTTTATTGCGTTAGATATATAGTTGAAGCCCAAAGAAAGTTTTGAATTTTTTTCAGTGTATTTCCTCTGAGATTTAAGACTTAAGTTATGTATTTTACAAGTATTTCTGCTATATTGGGCAAAAGCTTTTAACTATAAATCTTATTTACATTAATTTATTTTTGTCCAGAAAGCACATTGAAACGTTAAAAACAGCTGCAAATGAGAAGACGAAAGAAAACTTACAGCCAAAATTGGAGGAACTACATAAACAGATGAGTGAAAATACTATAAATACAGATAATATTACAGAGACAATCATTCGAAGAGTCGAAAAGTTGTTATGCGAAGACGTGACAGAACTCTCTAGCAGTTCAGACTCTCCAGAGTCATCTTGCACTTCGTTTAGTAAATCTGAAAGTGGGTCTGGTGTATAGTCCCGAAATATTTACGCGTATAAACAGATTTATCGCAAAACGTGCCTACAGGCTGGGGTGCCATAACGTTGCAAGACCCGAATCTCTCCGAATAATTTAGACTCGGAATAAAAAATTAAGACAATCGCTAGTATCGTCAATAACACAGCGGCAATTTATCGCAGATAACAATATATAAACATAAATATTAACTGATGCTCGAAATAAAAATAGTGCATAGCTTATAAGTTACGTTGGACGCTAGATCACTATATATTTGACATGTTTATAAGCTGTTATTTATATATTTATTAATCAAATCAGAGAGAAAAGAGTTTCCATTTTAAAATGTTTAAACATTTTATTTTTAAAAGCCTTGAGATTATTGTTTTTTAATTATGCTCCATGGGTTTTTCTAGCTGGATTCTTATTATTTAAAGGGAGCCCTAAAACCATTGTAAAAAAAACTGATCTGTGCCTCGAATGGTGATTTTATGTGGTATTTAATGCCATTCCATGCACAGGCGACGACACTTGTCATCATGGGAGGTTGGGGCTTAACGCTTTAATCCAATCCAATGACAAAAAAATTCCTTAAAACAACAACAGGTGTTAATTGTTCAAAGTCGTTAGCTTAGTAGAGCCCTGGATTAATTCAAATGATTGAGGACAACAGGAGCATTTTTTTACTGTCTCGTCTAAAATGACTGGACGTTCGAAATTTATCGATATAGAATCTTGCCGTAGATTATTCATATCTTTCTTGGGTCTTGTGTTATTTTAACAAGGAGCAATGAATGAATTATGTCATTAATTCAATCCTAAAGCTATTATAGCGATAGTTAAGAAGGTTAAGAATTAATCCATAGCCATCAATCATGCATGGCTTTTGGTTGAAATATAGCTACAAGAGCGAAACAAAAGCGATTTTAGTGATAAGGAAATTCAGTTTTGATGAACAAGAAAACTGATTTTGTTGCATATAAATTGACGATTTCAGCATATATTTAGATGTTTTTCAGGTAGTCCTTTCTAGATCAGTAAGACCTGAAGTATATTTTTCAAGGTAACATCCATTTAACCCAGGGTAGCGCTATTTGATCTTTGAACAACGTATTCCTGGATGATCCTTACACCCCATCATACAGCACAGAAAAGAACTGTGATCTGATAATTGTATATTTAGCTACATTTCACATGACGTTATATTTTATACATATAATTTGTACATTAATATAAATTATAAAAATATTTTTATCAACAAAACGATGCAAATCATGTATAAAAGCAGACAAATAGTTCGTGTACATTTTGTAGGGTTGATACTCTGTAACATTATTGTACAACAAAGTTCTATGCTAACCTAGGATTATGCAAATGACGAGGAAGAACTGTATTTTGAAATTACTATACATATTCTTCTCAAATAAATGATTTCATTTATACCAGCTAGTGTACGCTCATGAGGTTTTAATAATCTTTCCACTCTGTGTGAGATTAAACTGTATAATTACAGATCCAAGGTTGACGTTGAAAGGATAGAAGACAGTGCCTTTACGTAGCCTGAAAGAAAGATAAATTTAGGTCTAGTTATATAGTTGTACATGCAGTATTGCTCGCTATTTTATTGCTCGTATTTATTTGCAAAATTTGCGTTTTAAGGGCAATATATCTTCCATGATTTACGACATTTTTGGCATTGAACTGAACTTTGCAACAAGATTCTGTTTCTGGAAGTGGCCGGTGAGGGATTTCAATTACAATATTCTTTCCTCGATCAAGATTTAGACAATCACAGAATAAAAAAAGTAAAGAATCTGGTAACCTTTATAATTCTTGTAAAATATGCAGTTGTTTGCGCAGCTTTCTGGATTTGTATTGAGAATTGTTGGAGCACAAGAACACAGCGCGGGAACCTGAAGTTTTCGTTTCATAAGCTTTTCTTTCACCGCCGCACGAAGGGCGTCCACGTATCTAAAGAAAAAGTGATTATATATACATACACACAGTTAATTCAACGCTATATAAGGATCCTCTATATCCATTACTCCTCGAGAACTAACGAGTATAACTAGTTGCACATGTTACGTTTGATGAGAAAGAAAACTTTTAGGACAAATATCGTGAGATATACAGAGCAAACAAACAAGACATGTTTTCTATTACATGCACTCATTTTAAATTTGCTGAATTTTTTGAACTTTACCTTTCTAATTCTTTTTCTTTCTGTATTCTTTTGTTTTCTCTGATTATCTGATTATGATCGTCGTGTTCATCGAATTTTTCTTCCAACAATGTCTATGAGTAAAAAGCACATGCAATGGTTTAAGATGGAAACCAGAACGTAGCTTTACCGTCCGCACATTCCCTTCTCCATGCATTAATGTGTGCGTGATCCTGTGGATGAATCTCTTCTTTTATATCAGATCGATTACTGACCTTCTGTCGTACCACTTCACTTCGTTCTTCTATTATTTCGTCATATTCGTATTCTACTTCTTTTCTTTTTGTTTCCTGCTTATTTTTTAGCCTGTATGGTGAAAAAGAGTGGAGGTACCCAGAATTTAGTTGCGTGTTTTGGTGAAAGGAATGTTCGTAATCCACGGGATATAGTCTCGTATATAGCAAATCTTTGATATAGTTTATATTCATATATCATTCACATGCACCTACTTTGTCATACGCTTTCTGTGTTCCTTCATTCGTAAATTTTCCCGAACTTGTTCTCTTTCAATATCCATAAATAACCGCCTGTAAACTGCAAGTTGTTTCTGTTCCTAAAATTTAGTATCGTTTACTTAAAACTATAATGTTCATTAGGGTCCAGCCTGCGATGCAAGTGAGCTTGCCTTTAGGCATAACTACTATAATCCTTAATACCAGGAAACCGGAGAAAAACAAGTAAGGGACTATATAATATGTAATTCATCTATATATACCTGTTTCTTTGACTGCTCCTTCAATCGTCCCGGGCGCATTAGGTCTTCAGTTACTTTGTATTGTATTGGCTCTAGTATCTCGGGCTGCACAGCATTCTCTATATAATATCGATAAATTTCGGGTACATTTGGTGAGCATAAACAAGTTGGATTTGAAAGAGAAAATCAATGCAAGAAAATTATTCTATGTAGACCTTTATTTTAGGAAGCATTCATGCATGATGCAATGAATTTTATCTATCCTGCATAAAACATAGCTCCTATTATCTATTTTGAACTTTTGTTATAACTTTTTTCGATTGTATATATGTATAACTATATTCCAGGCTCTGGCCAGGATACCCTTCGGCCTCACCTTGCCTCGGTTCGTTTAAACCTGCGACTGTGGCTCCAGTTAAACAGCGAGGTTTATCATTAGAGGTTTGTTCATGTGTTGACAGATCATTCACTCCGTTTGTTATTTCTTTACATCCCTCTTGTAACGTTGAGGTTATTTCTCTACATCCTAATGATGTTGCGGTCAACTTGCATGAACGATGTTTTGTTGGAACATGTTGAGGAGCCTCATTGCTGGCTTCACTCTAATAACATGTCAAGAAATTAGATGAACACAGTAGGTTTTGTTTTCTTTGATGTGATGGAAGGCCTCTCAACAGATCTCGTTGAACAAAAATGTGCAAATTCTAATCATGATTTTCTATGAATAGCGAAGTCGTGAGTCAACAAAGAATCATTGTTTATATAGAAAAAACCCTTCCCGACGTTCCAGCCTAGGGGCCGTCGTCAGGAGAGTTCGTGTAGTCTACTACAATTGTTATACTACATTTACCACACATGCATGCGAAGTTGATATATTCTTTTTGAAAATGTAAAATTAAAGAAACCCCATTACGTACGGGGGTAACAGCTACTACTCCATTCCAAACTCCTCCAGGTAGCTGGGTCAAGTGATCCTATAATAGGAGTGAAGTACGTTTACTTTAATTGATTATCTTAAAAGAGCAAAACGAAGTATGTATAGCTAATGCGTATGAGCTACCCACAGGAACAACTAGCTATAGCACAATCACGAGGCACCTACAGTATCAATATTTAAGATTTGAGATCCCAGAACCTTGCGCGCATGTCTTGTGCATGTTTGTATCTATAACAAAATGTTTGAAATTCATCGATTTAGGTAAAACTGAAATGTTTGTAAAAATCAAAGATTTAACAAAAATGTACAGGGTTATGCCCAATAATAATGGATAATGTCCAATATTATTGACGTTCGTCGCTATTAATTTACCAAACATACTTTTGTAACTTGCTTATCCAACAGTTCGCTGGCTATGTTTACTTCTTCGGGGTCATTAACTACACTATAACCATGTTTACAACTTCCCGGAATTCCAACTTGTAAACTGTCGTATTTATCTTCACGATAAACACAGGTGTCTTTTTTTCTTGTTGGAACCCTTGGAAATGAACTTTGGTAAACAATCTTTTGCTCAGCTGTTACCTTTAATAGAAGATTAGAAGAGTTCAGGGGCCAGCCGGTTGTATGAAGACGGGATATAGTTCAACCATTGCCGTGAGAATGCTGGAAAAGCAATAAAAGTCTAGCTTTGGAGGCTTGGAGCTAACAAATATTAAAGAGGATCCCCAATTTAAGAATACTAAGATTTGAATATGCAGGGTACGAAGGGTATAAGTTAATATACCGAACAACGACGGTCAATGAAACAACCACAATTCGGAGTTTAGCGCTATCCAGCTTTCGTACATACAACCTTCCCATGCACGCAGCATCGCGAGAATGACTGTCTGAAGAGACATCGCAGAATTGGTGCTTTAAGACGTTTCAATCCGAAAATCTAATCGCTGGTTCACAATTGTGCATTTCTGTACCGCTATCAAAGAGAAACCTTTGGAATATCTTAAAAAAGTTCAATTTTTCTTCTGAATACGCATTCTGCAATCTTTTGACAGCTCATCACACACATCTGACCGCTGTGAAATAGCCGTTTTGAAGCTTAAAGTATACACAAGGTGTGATAGTTAATAATTTTGGTGATCAGGTGACTATACAACTCTCAAACGTTGACTGTACTAATTTAAAATAGTGTTCAAAAAAGCAAGTGATTTTATGAATCAATCCGACAAACCAATTTTGTCATGAAACGTATTGAAATTTTGATTTATCATATATGGTCGTCGGGGCTTATCCTGCACAGCTATTTATTCAACGTAGCTACGTCGCTTGAGTAAAGAGAAAAAGTATAGCTGGCAAACTACGATTGCATCATTGCGATTAATCAATCAATAAGAGAAGTGCTTATGCTTCGTGGCACGTGCATGTGTTTCCAGCTATGAACGTAACAAAGCGACTGCGATCTCGTTACTTAACTGCTTCATATGATTTATCCAATTGTCGCAGTTGTTTCACTTTTTCAAGAGCCTTGACCCTTTCTTTAACATCTTGTTGAAACTTCTTAAGTTTTTGTAGCTTTTCGGCTTGAATGGATTCTAACCGTTGTTCTACATCCGCAGCTAAATACTAGTGAATTCAATGCATTTAGATTCAAACAAACAAATAATGTTTTATACAGTTATCAATGGAGATAAAGAAAAAATGATGACATTGGCATGCCTTGAAGAACGTTGTGTAAAGCTTGTTAATGTACTGAGTATTAAAGTTCTGACTTCTGTATTAAGAACCGAACTTGTTCGAAATTCACATTGTGAGTGTCTTTTATTAAATACCTCTGCACGTTGTGGAAAATGTGTTTCTCTCTTATTTTCCTGTTCGGCCCATGCCATGTACGGTGGTCGGTCGTTTGGACGATGGGCTAGAGATCCTTTAGATCTCATTTTTGAGTGCTTTGATATTCCCGATCTGCTCTTACTTTCATTTGAACTATCTCGAATTTTGTCTGCTGATGTTTTTGCTATTTTGTTCAAATTTGCCGCCATGTTGAAAAGAGAGTGGATATCTTGGGACTTTCGGCAACTATGGGGTAAAAGATGCTTTGGGTTTTTAATTATACTTATGTTTACGTGCTCATAACGAAAATATTTTAAACAATTGAAGCATTTGTTTCTGGTTTCAATCAATTTTATGTTGAAATTAACAAGTATGTCTCGAATATAGCTTCTTATCTTCAGATTTTTGTTTGAAATTTTTCGTTATTTCTCAGTATATGAATATTTAAGTGAATATTTGGGTAGTTCTGGATATTGTAGTACATTTAGGTACATTGTGCGAATTTAAGATGGCGGCCGCAGGAGTAGATTTTGGGCACACGAGTTTAGTAATTGCTGCATGCAAGGTAATATAATATTGCTTTTTGCTTGTTTACAGTTGTTTACCAAACGGGCAAATATCCAAACGTTCATAAAACGTATTAAAAGCTGGCAGGGTGCGTAGGAAACTGCAGTCAATCAGGAACAGTATAAATACCTTACTGTTCATTTATTCATTGGAATGACCAAACCTGTAAATATATGAAGGAAAGATTGCTATTTTCTAGGATGGTAGACCTGAAATTGTAACAACTGATACAGGAGAATGGGTTACTCCTGCCATTGTAGCATTCACAGACAAAGAACAGGTAAACTACACTTATTCAGTAACCTATTATAAAGAGGTAACATGGTATCATTGACAATGTTGTTGTTGGTGTTGAATATCGAGTATTGATCCCCCTTCTTCATTCCAAACGAAGTTCCAAATACAGGTGAGTCAAAAAAAACTGACACCTTTGAAATTCAAATTAGCTGCAATGTGTCTGTAATCGGCTGTAATGAGACGGAAGTTGCCTAAAATATCTTATGGGTATACGAAGCATATCAAATAAGTGAACTCATTAATTAAGTAGAACGTAAAGTTTGTTCCCTTTGGGAGTTAAAATGCATTCTATGCTCTGTTATAATAAAGAAGGTTGAATTACTTCAATTGGTTTAAACACTTTCGCATTAATTAACCACGTCTTGTTGATTGTACACAATGGGAATCATCAAATTCCAGCCATAAGCTCGCGGCTTATTTGAATTTCAAAGGTGTCAGTTTTTTTTTACTCACCCTGTATATATATGTAAAGTTTGTTGAAACCAACTGTAATGCACCCTTGATATAAATATATATTACTTAGGTGATGGGAACAGCAGCGAAACTTGGCTTGATACGAAATGCTTCCAATACAATCACCAATGTAAAAGCTGTCATCGGAAGGTATATAATATTATAATATTTTAAAGTGTGTATGTATTCAATTATATAATATTATAATATTTTAAAGTGTATATGTATTCAATTATTTAAATAAATATTAATATTTGTTAAACAAATTTACCTACTTTAACAGATTACATTGCATTTAGTTTACCAGATGAAAAATTTCATGAAATAGCAAAGATCTCACCAGCTAAGGTACTGATTTTTTCTCACCCTAATAGATGATTAAATTTCAAGTGTGGTACCTTAGTGTCATGGTCAATCTATTTTTGTTAAGATATAAGCAGCATTCTCACTTCTAAGCAAATTTCCTTTGAAAAGTTTGACTCTATGGATGGGAGGAGGAATGGTTAATATATTCTTTTCAAATTTTCTTTGCCTCGGGTTATTCAAAAGAACCTCCCCCACAGTAAAAAGTATGCATATTTAAATTTTGAGAGCACTGGATATAAGTGTCACAAAAAAAGTGTTTCTTTTTAGATCATTCGCAAGAGTAGTCACATATTCTATGAAATCAACCAGAATGGAAAACAAATTCTCATTTCACCATCAGATATCATCAACAGCATGTACAAAAATATCTTAAGTATGTATGAATGCTCTCTATGAAGTTAAATATGAAGTTTCAACAGCATAATTCACTCATGTCAAATATATTAATTGTTTTACCAGTCTATTTGTCCCTGTAGTTTTTTTTCTGTCAACCAATTGGACCATCAGTCAATTGTTATAACAGATTTCTGGGGTAAACTGTCACTCTTGTTATTGCTAAACTATTTATTGTTTGTTGAATTGCAGAAAGTGTACAAGCCTACCATGGTAGTGATGCAAATCAAATTGTCTTAACTGTTCCACTACATTTTGGTGAAAAGGAACGTGGTGAAATGAGGTAATTTTCTGCATTTAATTTTTTTTTCTGATATTGTGATCTTTTGCATGTTATTTTTAACTATAGTTAGTGGCAGAATTGGGCAATCAGAATTATGTATTTCTAGTTAACCATGATTTAACTACTTAAGGAAGCATTTAGTCTTTTCTACCTCACTTTTCATACCAGAAATAACATGTATATTATACATTATAGAAGTGCAGCTGAGAAGGCTGGCTTTCGTGTGCTTCGAATAATCCACGAACCATCAGCTGCTGCTTTGGCATATGGTTAGTAATAATTCTTGTGATATATAAATTATATATATCATTTTGTTGGTTCTATTGTTTGAATTTAAATGGTAAGGTTAGCAGGTTGCCATTATAATGCTTTAGTGCTTTTTTGCGCTATGCAATCCTAGCTTTGTACCCCATGAGCACAGAAACCTTGGGAACAAGGTTGTGTGGGCAGTGGAGCAAAAGCCTGGCTTACAAGGTTGCCCATTAAAACCTAGAAACGACACCTGTCTATCAACTTGTCCTCTAATCTTGTCTAAGTGCCTAATCTTGCCCAAATTTTCTTGTTGTTATTACTGGTTCATTTATAAAGCTTTACAACCAATCAAAATGACATCAACTTGAGTAAAATAAAGCATTCAAAGTCAGTTTTTCTTTCAGGAGTAGGACAAGATGACCCATCCTCCAACAGGTAAGGGGTTTGTTGTTATCCTACACAATTAAACCTTCAAATATGATGATTGTTTTTGATCACAATTTTACAGTTTTTTCTCACCTGTTTACAACCTTTTGTGACAAAAAATACTAAGAATTTTTAAACTATACTGTGTGCAGTAAGTCGTATACAGACTACAGCTTGTCTGGGCAGCGTCCAGAGTCCTCAAATATTGACGTCCAATTTAGCCTACTATTGGGAATATTTTACTCGAAAAAAGGCTTTATTACAATCTATAAAGACACGACACCAAACATTTAACGTTAGCATTGCCTTCAAGCAGCGTGTATTTTGATGTTTATGTGGTATATTGTCTTCTATAGTTTAGTATTGGTATATCATCTTGGTGGTAGAACATTGCAAATTACATTGATATCTGTGAATAGTGGAATATACAGAATAATAGATTCGATTTATGATGATGGTATTGGAGGAAAGAAATTTGATGAGGTTTTGGTTCATCATTTAGCCACAGAATTTAAAAGGTTTGTCAAAATGATCTGTTTTGTCGTGCGGACAAATCCTGCCTCTTAATCTTCAGGGTCAAAGAAATCTCCCTCTTGGCTAAAACAACCAATCCCTTCACCTCTCTAATACTGGCTGCATGCCTTTGCTCTGAAATCAAGGAAATACATCACGCTGCATGAGGATAATTTTCTGCGTAAACTAAGCAATGTTTCAATCAATATAGGATGTGGAAAGATGATATTAAGGAGAATAAGAGAGCTATGGCGAAACTTCGGGCTGGTGCTGAAACATGTAAACACGTCCTTACGTCCCATGGAACGGCCACGTGTTCTGTCGAGTCACTTCATGATGGAATTGATTTTCAATGTAATGTTTCCAGGTATGCAAACTATTGCATGTCATTCTTCCTTTTTTTGGAACTTGCGTTTGCAGAAGTGTGGGCAGAATACTACAGGGTGTCCCCGAAAAACGCACGCTCTATTGAAATTACTCTTTTGTTGTTAATAAGTATTACCTCATAAGTGTCACAATGCATGTTCAAAACGAAAGCTCTGATTTCAATCAGAGGGTACTTTAGGACACCCTGTACAATACGAGCGATGGATCTCATACAAACCAGCAATCACGATTCCAGTTAACGATATGTCGTAACAGACGACGGACCGCTTCGAATCTGCATCACGTACGTCTGATGATTAGCAAACACATGCAAAGCAAATCAAATGAGTGATCTTCATTCTTCGTTTGATCGATACAAACAAGCGAACAGTTTAGAGTTATCTAATGTGTATAGGTGCTTCATCTGAACAACCATAACTTATCCGCCTCTTCACATCACGAATTAAAAGTGCGCGAATTAAAGTCACAAACCTGTGTGTTTTTATTTAGAGCACGATTTGAATCATTGAGTTCTCAATTGTTTCAAAATTGTCTTAATCCAATTAAAGAGCTCCTGGAGAAATGTAATATTCAGGCTGCTAATATTGACAAGGTAATTGCTTCTTCTATATGAATATTGAGTTAATGAGAGTTTTCTACAAGAACCTCCAATTAGCTTTAATTGTTCTTGATTATCTGTTATATAAGGTTATTTTATGTGGTGGCTCTACACGAATACCAAGACTACAATCATTATTACAAGATATATTTAAAGGAAAAGAATTATTAAAGAGAATTAGTCCTGAAGGAGTAGTGGCTTATGGCGCTGCTGTACAGGTGCGTTTTGTTAGGCATGCAATGCCCGCGTGATATTATATCCACAATGAACATATAAGCAAGTGAAATGAAAGAAATCCATACTTGATATTCAGATTATTTATTTTTATCGTTAGGCGTCACTGCTGCATGGTGATAACGTTAGTGAACAACACAGAAATTCCCACCGAATAAATTGTACAGCTAAGGCCATAGCAGTTAGGGTGAGTTTTCTCGTGTTGGTGCATCTATTGATTTCCGACACTAATATATCTAATATATTTTGCACACTAGCCAAAATGCTGTGCATGCAAGAATTTTCATATTTTTTCTGCTGTGAAATGAAGTAATGCCACAATAAAGAGTGTGATTTTATAATTTACGCAATTATTTTAAATACATAACTCGGTTTTAGGTAAATAAAGATACGGATTCACCTTTAGTCACAGTGATACCCAGTCTAACACCAATTCCAGTTAAGAGAATACATAAATTCACCTCCTCACACGATGATCAGGTATAAGCAATGGAGGGATGTTTTTAGTGTAATCACAGTGATTCGATTTTTCACTGTTTGATTAATATTTGTATAATAACGATTCCTTTTCAGCATTATTATTTAGTGTAACAAACGAATACCATGTCTTATTTAGAGTAATATTTGTTTGGATGTCTTTGAAATTTTTGAAAACGATCTTCAAAAAGAACACCAGCTTCTTGCTAAGGTACGACCAATTAGGTTCTAGGGATCGTAATTGGGCATAAAATAATAAATTCCGCCATCAGTTTTATATTTTGATGTAGATTAACATGCAGTAGCTAATTTGTAGAGGCCAAACACGGTTGGCTTTATGTCTTAGGAGGGTTAAACGGTTGATTTTGTGACTTGTGACTTATTATTACAACGATGAAACAAAATTTTTAGGTGAAGAATGCAGGCTGTGCGTGGTAGAATGATGTTTAATTCTCGTCTCTATATTTATTCCATGAAGGTGATCTTAGATGAGCTACCCGCATTACCAAAAGAAGACTGTAAAATATCTGCGTCTTTTCATGTAAAAATGTAAGTATGCATTATGTGTCATTTCAGGTTACAATTTAGTTATCGATTGCAGGAAGGTTATATTATACAACGCTACCCTTCCTATATAGTCATGCAACTTCGCCGTACATTTCAACTTCCCGACTGTCGGTGACATATCTGAACTTCGCTTTATCAGCACTTGCATTTATGTCAAAATGATCGTATACGACCATCGTATGGTATAGAGGAGCCTTTTTATACTTGGTTATTTATTTGGCTATTTAATTTTCTTAGAGATGGTTCATTGCATATCCATGTATCGGAGAAATCATCGGGGAAATCAGTTGGTGTGATCGTGGAGCATGGCTAAGGATATGTATAACAAAGCTAAACTATCACTCTTATGGAATTAAAACCTGGTTTTCATATGTCACCGACAGTCGGTGATGCATGATCGGTGATCACTGAAGAATAAAGTGCTTTGTTATATTGTGTAAATTTTGCACAGCAAAATCGTCGACTGTCGGTGATTGATGAGAACCACGCTTCATGTTTATTCACTTCTGGTCCATTGACATCATTCTCATGCAGTCTGGTATTGGTTTCCAGCGCGAACCATCAGTCATCCTAAATTTGAAAATCTTAGCGCCTAAGCTTAATATAAATGCTAGCAAATTCTGCAATCTATAATTGGTAAATACGTAACCTATCCACCGTTTATGAGCGGTGAACATATGCTTAATGTGGAAATGCCGAAAACACGTAATGAACGCAATTCCAAGTGATACAATAGTCAGGATATGAGACGTTAGTGAAATGCAATAAAATAACGTTTAATAAATACCGTAATTACAAACGTATACAATGGGCGTTTTCGTTTAAACATAACATTTTATTCACATTCTTTCTCGAAAAAATATTTTACAAATAGATTAGTATATATTCTGTTGAATATTAAATGTATTCTAATAACATTTAAAAGTAATAATGTAAGAATATACAACAATTGTGTAAAGAAATGCCTATAGGCTAATTTAACCGCAAGGTTTTCTAGTTAGACTCTAGATAAGTGTTGGCAAGACTCTAGACAAGATTTTCATTGCCTAATGTGAAACAAATCAAAGACAAAAAAAGACAAGAACAGAAAACACAAACACAAGAACAAAAAACACAAACATGTGTTTCTAAATTTTACGGGTAACACAAACAAATTAAGGCAAGCAAACACAAGTCAATAAACTAACCGAGGGCTAATAACGTACGGAATCACTCAAATATATTCAGTTTTATTGCAAAATTATCAGTTTATTTGAATGCTATTGTAACGAATGCGCTACGTTTTAGTACAATTGGTAAGATTCTACGTATAATTGAGAAGACAATGCACATGATTGATATCCCAATTTCAAATTAATGATTTTCATAGCAGGTCGCCAACTGAACGGCTGTCTAATTCAGCAAGTGCTCTATTCATTCCGCACACTGTAGTTAAATTATAATATTTTCATTAAACTTAATATATTTTAGTTTCTAAATGAATTTCGCCTTTTTTTACATCGTTCTCCTGAACCTGTTGAACTTTTCTGAAATCATTGCCCACCGTTTTCCCGCCTCTTTTGACGACGGGATACACATATGGGGTGAGTTGTATTTTTAGCTCAACAAATTTACGCTACCTGTATAACGTTTTTTCACCGTAAATGACTTCATAAGATTAAATTTTCACATCTCATATAAAAATAAAGTACGTCGAAGGTATGCGGGCCTGTCCGAAAATGTTACTTTTATTTGCCACTTTTGTCGTGTTTTGCATAGAAAATATTATTCATGTGCAGGCTTCTTGCTCAGGAACATGCCCAGGTATTTGTGAAGAATTAAATTTTTGTTATCATATAGCTACCAAGATAACGTAATTGCTGGTGCATGTGTTATTACAGTTGATGATAAGTTATGATCCTTTATTCCTAATATTCTTAGTATTAAAATTATAGACCATATTTTTCTAATAATATATAGTTCTTCTATAAAGTTACTAAGTTAGACGATGTATGTTAGATGATATCATCTTCAACATGCCTTTTATATAGTGTTTTAGTATGAATAAACTCGATCCCCTTTTCTATTAATAAAAAGATCGATTCTTTCGATTTATTACTCCGGCGTCAGCGAATTACTCCGGCGTCAGCGACGGAGTTGAAAATTCGTCCCGGTTTTGTCTTGTTGTTTTTTTTAGTTTTTTTTTTAGTTTTTTTTATAATTTTTTTTATTATTTTTCGTCGTCGCAAGTGTGTTTTGGCGCGAAATATACTAGTTTTGAAAAGCGTATATGACCGTATTTATCTACGTCAACGTTTTGTCTCCCAAGAGTTGTGATGCACAGCTTTGGCTAATTTTCCGATGCACGATTTGATTTCGCGCGCATGATACGGCAATTTCTCCGAGATAGTCTAATTGGCGCGAGTCGCGACAAATAGGCGCGAGTCGCGACAAGTAGATGCGAGTCGCGACAAGTAGACGCGAGTCGCGACAAGTAGATGCGAGTCGCGACAAGTAGGCGCGAGTCGCGACAACATAGGCGCGACTCGACCAAAAAACGAGCGACTCCAGATGAAAACGTCAACAAAACAAAAACACACACGAATAATTATAATAACACATAATTTTTACGAATAAGGGCTGTTTTCCACTGTCGTGTTTTTCATACGCACGTACACGCACGTAAAAGTCTAAATGCTTAAATAAGTTATCTTTAAAAAAACGAAATGAATGATTTCCCATTTCATGTAAACGCGAGATGCGCTTTGTATTTTAAAGCATTCATATAGATTCTAAAGTGTCGATTGTACACAATCATTAGGTCCACCAGCTTGTATTGACATGCAAATGTGCAGTGGTCCGCCATACCACCCTACATGCGGTGCACCATTACCTATATGTTCTATACCATCAACTCCGATACTTGAAGTCGCAGCTTCTACATCACCTGTTGTTGTTGTACCAACACAGGAGCCACCTCTGGAGATAACCAATGGCGCACCATCTGCACCTGGCGGAACTCCTTCAGGTCCACCAGGGACTAATACAACACCAAATCCCAATAAACCACCAACGAATACAAATGGTAACACACCACCAGTTAATACTAACCAACCATCTGGCGCACAACCCAGTCCAACCACTCCGCCCATAAACGCACAGCCAAGTAAACCACCAACCAGTGCAAATAACATTTCCCCAAATAGCAATACACCTTCACCAAACACGAACCCACCATCACAAATACCACCTAACACCCAACCAAGTGCCAAACCACCAACTAATGGGAACAACATATCACCAGCTGGAAATATTCCACCATCACAACCAGCTGCACCACAACCAACATCACCCACTAATACAAATAACAACATTTCACCCGTTGGGAATACACCACCCAAACCAGCATCACCATCACAACCAATATCACCATCACAACCAGCACCACCACAGTCTACGCCACCAAATAATGCCAATAACAACATTTCACCAGCTGGAAATACACCACCCAAACCAACATCACCATTACAACCAGCGCCACCACAACCAGCACCACCACAACCAGCACCACCACAGTCTACGCCACCAAATAATGCAAATAATAACATTTCACCAGTTGGAAATACACCGCCCAAACCAACATCTCCATCACAACCAGCACCACCACAGTCTACGCCACCAAATAATGCCAATAACAACATTTCACCAGTTGGAAGTACACCACCAGCATCACCAGCCTCGCCACAATCGACACCACCAAATAATGCCAATAGCATCAATTCACCAGTTGGAAATACACCACCAGCATCACCATCACAACCAGCACCACCACAATCGACACCACCACAGTCGACCCCAGGCAAACCTGGTGTATCTGCTAACTGTGGAGATATGGTAAAAACTTGTAGTGATGGTAAACATGTTACGGTGACAGTTTCTGTCCCAGTTAATGGTGGAACCAGCTCAACTAATGCGACAGGCGAACTTCAAAGAGATGAAAATGTTTCAAGTAAGGAAAGGAAATAATTTATATCATAGATAAATTAAGTTGATTCGACCAGGGTCGTTCAGTGATTTGCCAAATCCGGAGACGCTGATTTTTACAAATCAGACTTAGCGTTAAATTAAATAATGTAATAGATATATATCTATAATTGATGTAATTTGTCCAACGGGCATATCTACTGTTACATGATCCTGTTTTAAAACAAGAGGCCTACAACTGTTATACCACTGTTCGCTTATGGTTGGTACTTAGTACATTGTCACTTGCAAACATAATTTCGAAATTTAAATTAGTGCATGAGGGCTTTCATCTCCAACTTATAAACTTGTAACAGAGACTTTCTTGTATGTATTCCAGAAACCTTCGATTTCTGTCCGGTTATGTTTAAAAGAAAAGGTTGTTATAAAGACAAACATGATGGTATTCATCCACTGCCAGAACTTCTGTTCACTGACCGTGACAGTTCATCTAAAGTGTTTTCTGGAACTACTATTTCTTCGAAAGATTGGGGAAATTATATTCAGAAATTAATTTGTCGATGTGCGGAGCAAGCTAATCAAAAGAGGTTTACTCTGTTCGGAATCCAACATTATGGTAAGTTCACTTGGAACGCAGACCGCGGGAAAATTCTTCGGTGCATGTCATATGGGAGAGTTGCCGTTATATATTTGACAAGAAGTCATATGTGAGGGAAACAAACGATTCACTTTGTGTTTGGTACCAAATATAAATATGTTTTTATAGTTTCATGAAAATATGTTTTTAAATTTTATGAAATTTATACGGTCAGAAATTGTTTTTAATAATCGAAAATTTAATTTACGCGGTTGGGCAGAAAGGGCTGACAAAACACGGATTAGGGATGTTTCAACATATCCAAGTCGCATCAAACAGGGAAAAACCTGACCAACCATACATACCACCTCTCCTGACGAAAGGTCGGAACGTCGAGAACTGCTTTTGTCTATTTGAGTCAGTCGTCATATATACCACGTTTAACAAAATCGGATACTTTTTAGTGTTTAAATTTAATCTATGCATTGTAACCCTAAAAAAAAAAAATAAAATAAAAAAAAAAAAATAAAAAAAAAAAAAAAATCACAACATCAACACAATAACAATCTACACTTTACACAACACAATAACAATCTACACTTTACACGTTTACACTTTCGCAATCTTTGCTGCGATTTTATCATTTTTATGTGCAACTTTCTTCTTTTGGTAGATGTGAACGAGTAATTAGTTACTGGTGTTCAAATAAGAACTCTTGTACATCAGAGCATTCGCACTGAGCATTCGTAACTAATTATGCATTCACATCTATCAAAAGAGGAAAATCGCAAGCGTAAACGAGCCTTAAACAATCGACATTATAATAGCCTTTGAAGAATTCTTGTTCCTGGTAATTGAATAATGACTATTATTGTATCTCTTTCCATATAAAGGAGATTGTTGGAGTGGAATGCAATCCTCAGTAAACAATTACGAAAGTCAAGGCAGATCAAGAGCATGTATTGGAGGTGATCAAGCACCATGTGAGGAAGGTAGTGCAGCGTGTGTTGGAGAAGATGGAGCTAATTTTGTATATGAACTCACAGGTAAGACTTTACTTTGGGAACACTGTAAACTCAACTTAAAAATCTAAGATAATAAATAGCAACTATTAGTATAACAACAATTTTTATAATACATTGTTTGATGTACGTGTACATCCTTATAATACATTGTTTGATGTACGTGTATATCCTTATAATACATTGTTTGATGTACGTGTATATCCTTATAATACATTGTTTGATGTACGTGTATATCCTTATAATACATTGTTTGATGTACGTGTATATCCTTATAATACATTGTTTGATGTACGTGTGCATCCTTATAAGACATTGTTTGATGTACATGTACATCTTTATAATACATTGTTTGATGTACGTGTATAAGGTGGAGACTAACACGCTTAGGACAAAGTCCGGGCCTTTTTCTTAAAAGTAATTTTGAAGTTCGTCATATCTAATTACACAATTATTCTTTCAAGGATTCTTTATTTGTATTGTGGAAATAAAGACTATTCAGGCCTTTAAAATATGCATGTTGTATATATCTATAAAATAAAAGTCATCTGGGTTACCTTGTAGGTGGTCCAGGCCCTGAGAAAAAGAACAAAATCGTTCGCAAGAAGAAAAGAATAAAAGCTGCAAAACGAAAACACACCATAAATTCTCCCATTGTAAAGGAATTTCACAAGTTAAAAAATTCACTAAATTGGCTACATCGTTCGGGAAGATCTCGTTGATTTAGCCAGCTATGGGGAACGTTTTAGGATCTCGGTCTTAACAGCTTATCACTATTTAACCCTTAGTGATGTTGTTGTAATGTTGTTGTAAAAGATCACGCTGGAATAACTGACTAACATGGACACGAGGTCATTAGGACGATTAGGTATAAAACTTTTTAAAAAATTATTGGAGCCGGTTGTACAAAGTTGGATACTGAATTTTTACCTAACACTAACAGTTCTGACTCCAGAGATACCTTAGAAACATTGTCTGTTGTGAGTGTTTTGTTCACAAATAAACGCATGCGCTGCCATACAATCAACGAGAAATTTCAATATTGCACGATCGAGGCCATAGGCCGAGTACAATATTGACATTTCGAGTTCATTGTATGGTCAGCATGTGCGTTAATTTGTAAACAAAATACGAACATAAAATCTCTAACACTTTTAATATACAATCTTCCTGCATTAACCTAAATCATTGGTCAAAATCAATCACGGGGTTTCTTGTTGCCTGGTGACAGATCATGGCAATCATAATTTATTCCGATAACCCATGAAAATCATGGTTTATTCAAAAATGACAGCAATCAATGAGCTCAGATTGTATATAATAACTCAATAAATGTTATATTCTGTTCATGGATATTGGTAGTTTTGTGGATAAGATGAATATTTTAATTTATACTCATGTATTTTGACACGCATTCAGTCTCCTATATGCATATGTTGCTGACCAGCCTCGTACCCAGGCGCTTTAGTAGAAAAAAATATAACGTTGCATTCAGCTATTATATAGAGGTCAGATGAGAAAAAGTGAGCGCGCGAGAGTGCTTGTGGTGGTTTCAACAAAGGCAGCGCCTGGCAGAAAACGATCTCAACATGTAAATATCAAAATGAATTATACAATATAATTGTATTACATGAACAAGCACCCCTGCGTGCTAGCTTTTTCTCAGCTGATCTCTATACAACTGCTGAATGCAACGTTATATTACTGGGGCGGGTTGTTCAAAAGCGGGTTAGCTTAACCCTGGGTTAACTCAAATTTTTACATCAGTATTTTTAATCGCTCGGTTATGCAGTTGAACATGTTTTCTCATAAACATTTTGCGGATAAATAGAAGTCTTATTTTGCAAAGTATTGAAACAAACAGCAGTGAAGAACCATATAAACCAAAACAGCTGGGTAAAATTTAACCCAAGGTTAACGCTAACCTAGCTTTGAACAACCCGCCCAAGGGTGACAACTTGGAGTTTTTTAGGGTTGGTATTTTGGTCGGTTGGCTTGAACATAAATACAAGAATATATCCCCCGACCACTGCCCGCAGGCCCACTTATGCTGGGAGAAAATACTTGACACTTGTCGAGGGAGCGTGTATAGTTTTAGAATGCTGATGACAGAGTAATAAATAAGTCAGCCGGCAGAAAACGACAGAATGTCTCAAAAATAGAAGTAATATTTTGATTCAAACGCCATGTTGTTTCTAAAATGTTGAAGGAAAATGAAGGGCGTATAAAAATGAAAGAAAAACACCAAATTGCGTATTTAAATTTTAACTGACAACAAAGAAAACCTCTCCTTAGAAAATCTCAAATCTTAACATAACTAACCCCCTGCCATTTCTTTTTTAAAAAGCATGTAATTGGGAAGACTTGGAAATATTTAGACATGTAACACAGCAAGACATTGTCGCGTTCCTATACAAAGAAGGTATGGATGGAAGTTTATTTTACGAAATTTAAACTCTATTCCACTTTTTAGCAGAGTAAAAACTCGAGCAAAAACTAGTTATACCGTTTGTAAACGAGTATAGCGTATGTGTTGACTAAATCACTATTTACGTTTGCATGTGGCATATAAAAAAACATCGTGCGCAGTTCATGAGCTCTTGTAAATAAGTTTAGTTACAGTAAGAAACGTTTTTCGATTGCGTGAAAAATGGCATCTGTACCAATTAAAATCTCAGTTGTTTTCTGCTTACAAGCCGGTTTGCTTTAGGTAATTAAGAAGGCGTTGGTTGGGTTTTATCAGATGGGTTTCGATGATTATGCTGCACATATTTGGAAGGTACTGCTTTACTGCTATACAGGGAGGCCCTCTTTAGGTTTAACATTACCTTGTTTTAGAATTTTATTGTCTGATCTTCTTTTCCAATTTTCGCACTCCCATGAAGTTAAATCGTAGTTAACTCGTTGTTAAGAACACAATCCTGATTCTGTCACTAACTATATAGTTTATTCAACATGCCCCATTGATACCCTGGTCCGGAGTTTTAGCTGAGGCCGGAGGAAGAACTGTCTGTGTTTGTTTGATGATGGTGCAATAATGGAGTCAACCTGAACCAGAGTCTAGCGAGAGCCTTATTACATTAACGTTAATCTTGGTTAACAAGATCTGTTCTCCTTAAGGATGAAGTTGTGAAAACCAAGTGCAGGTGCTCCTGTGTCTCACTTTGTACAAGAAAGAAAACCACCAGACTGAACAAACACTTATCCGCCTGGTTATCATGAAATTTATATATTTTAATTCAAATTTCCGGCTGTTTATCTTTGCTAATAATCATGTGTTGAATTATCGTTAATGACATTTCGTGTTTGTTCCTTTTTGAAACGGCGGACAGTTATGATATTTAATAAAGCATGTTACTGTGTTACTTCAGTGACAGTAGTGACATTGCTGATTGGCCTCGTAAATTCAGATATGAGAAGCGGGAAAAGATGTTTATATGGAAATAAGTGTAAGTGTACACAAGGCTATGCTCTCATTAACGTTCTTGTAACAATTAAATGTTCAAACAACCTTTAGAACCTGGTTTCCAGGGGTCTTTGATGCTGGGATGTCGTAGTTGATCAGCAATTTACACTGTTTGTGTTCATTCGTGCTAAAATGATTTGCCTGCAGTGTCTAATTCCACAGAACACAGAAAACGATGAGTACCGATCGCCGTCAATGTGCATCACTGACAAAATGATACCGAGTGCGTTTCGCACGACATTTACAAAATTGTGATCCATTTATCAGATAAATGTCGCTTGTGAACCTAGTTGCATTTTGTCGTTAAGGCTGTTTTCCACTACATTCCTTTGAAAATCTGTTCATGCGACCGTGATGGGCCTGAAAAACAAAGCGTGCTTCGCGGGCGGAGCGGACGTAATGGCGAATCGCTATTACTTTACCAGTTTTACTGTCATCATGAAATGCTTATGTCAAACATTTATACACTTGTGGGTCCTAACAGGGTGCTTATTGGGTGCTTAGGCATTCAAACTCTAGCTATTACATTGTTATGAGTGATTTCAATAGTTTTGGTTTATTTGGGACACAAATTGCTTTATAGAATCATTGTTTCATTGATGACCTTGTAAGTTGTAATTAGTACTATCATTTTAATAACTGTTTTTGATTTGACGCTAGTGTGTCCAACCACAGTGAACCACTCAGATTATATAATGAGTTTAATGAATGAAGTTTATTGAATGAAGTTCATGTCAGTTGAGTCGGTTCTATAACGAACCGAGAGCTCTTCATGCAGATGATAAATACGCGCGTGGTGTTCCTATACTAATTGATTATTTATGTTATACATTCACCATGCAAATGTCAAGGACATCATTTTATAATCGTTCACTTTCTTGAGGCATTCTGTATTTTGACTTTTCGCAGGCATTTTTCAACCAACGTGTATTGATAAAAGTCTCTGTTTATCGCCGCCATTTAATCCTATTTGTGGAACAGCACTGCCACCGTGTAATTCGGGAAATATGGAAAGCAGGAATGGTGCTCCAGCTGAGAACACTCTTCCTACACTTCCTCCGATAACAGAAACAAAACAACCTTTTTATGATTTCAAGATGGGTGCTCCGCAATTGCAGCTTTCTCCTCCGCCAAAGAAACCCCGAACAATGAATAGTAAGAGTATACGTAGATCATTATTTATGACAAGGATGGACTTCCCAAATAGAGAAGACATAAAAGATTCGATGAAAACAAGCCAACTGATATGTTGGATAGAAAACAAGTTTTTGAATCATATCTGCTTTATTTCTTGCCATGAAAAGTGTACTCCTTTATGGTAACTTAACCGTAACGGTTATGATAATAGTAGACACAGATCGAGTTTTTATTAAAACGATCATTGCTTTCATTTTCTTTTGTTTTTGAGGAGCCCCTAAGATATTAAACGCTCCTGTTTCTTCGATTGTCCTGAGAGAGAAGGAATCGCTGTATTTGCTCTGTTCGGTGGACACAAATGGTGATCCTGGCACGCGTATAGAATGGATAAGAGAGAAAGATAATGCGATTGTTGGGCAAGGAGAAACATTTCAGTTGAATAACATCGAACAAACTGATGCTGGAAGGTATTATTGCAAAGCTCAAAATGATGACAGTGCTGTTGCTGCAATGGCACAGACTGATGTAAATGTTCATTGTAAGTGATGTTGTTGTTTGTGTGTTTTGGAAGGATGGAGAAAGAAGTGCGCCAAAATATTTTACTCAAAATAAAGTCACGTTCGCCTAAGCAATCATGCAAATCATCAAGAATGACATTATTCGGTCATTAAGTAATAACTCCCCTCCTCTTGTGCATGCCATATCAATCACGACTACAACTATTAGACTATATTATTGTCGTCAACTCGGAAAATTGGCAATTTTACATCATGATTTATTAGATAAATAAATTTTCCTTTAAATATTTACAAATTGTGTGAGTTGTTAACAAATTAACTGTTGTCAGTTTCTTTCCTGCAGTTAAGTCATTAAGTCATTTCATGTTGTTTTTTGCAGGTATACCTAGAAGTTCTAAAAGTGTTAGTCATCAAATTATAACTGCAGATCTGGGAAAGAATATCGAGTTAACTTGTGAGACAACATGCAAACCCGAACCGAATTTCATTTGGTATCGTGGAAATATCACAAATCCGTTGAAGACGTGCGAGCCAGTATATGACACGATGGGGAAAAATAGCATGCACGATTCTTTTTGCAACCTAACGATTGGTGTAAAAACACATGGTGAAACGTTAACTTGTTTAAAATCGAACAGTATTGGAGAAGACAAGCAAACCTTTGAAATAAAGCCCCAAGGTATCGATATTAACCAGCTGTATTTATTCTTGATTTTTAAACAATGAAATGCATTATATTCACTATGTTTTGACACGCATACGTACAGTGTATACTGCATGTTAAAGTAAGAATAAAGAAAAAAAATCAAAAGTTTTAAGTCAACTTTTAGGGCGCTCGAGGAATTCAATCACTTTTTACTTTTTGTATCTGTCATTTTTTCAAAATTCATACTATAAAAATATTCTTTTTTACTCATTTCTGTTCACAGCGCCACCCGTTACGGCTACGCCTACATCAATAAAAATGAATCCAGCATCAACGTTTGAAGCTGTTGGATGTTTTGCTAAGTGTGATAGTTGTGTTTCAAATTTCCCTGAACTACTTTTCATCGATACTGGGCAAACTGAGCATTATGGAGATTCACTGCCGGAATATAACAAGCAATTCGTACATCGCTGTGCCAAACAATCGCAATCACGTGGATTTGAGTATTTTGGTATCTCAAATTACGGTAAAGTAAAATATGGCAAGTCTTGAAAAGATAAACTGAAGTGGCTCTTCGAGTTTTCGACGGCTATATACGCCGGATTAATTCATGATGTTGTTGCATTTTTCCTTCAAATAATGTACAAATACTGACCTGCGATGATGGCTCAATGTCTTTTTCATAGATCATTGCTACTCTGGTAATCAAGCAGTGAAAACATTTGATCGATATGGTAAAAGCAATACTTGTATAACTGGTGAATTTAAACTGTGTCCATCGAGGGGTCAAGAGTTTTGTATAGGACAGTGTTCTTCGATCTATGTTTATAAACATAATTTGAAGTCTGGTAAGTGAATTCAGTGAAACTTTGTGAACCCATGCATGCATGCCAGGGCCGCGAGGAAAATTGTATAGGCAGTTAACAATGCCACCGGCACCGAATACAACCTAGCTTAAATACACTATACTTTAAGTAAATCCAGAGGTTTTGAATCTTAGCAAAGTAAGATCGAGAAAATAGAAATGAACTGCACTTTCATTTATTACAAGTACTTGCTAGGTGCATGTTAACAGTTGTAAGCTCCGTTACACTTGGATTTTACCTTTTTTGCCAAATGCGATTTTACATTCATTTATTTCATTTTTTGTCTTTTCCGTGAACTATACACTTACTTTCCAAAAGTTTAGCCCAAAAATGTACTCTTTTGCAAAATCCTATTGAGACTTTTCCAACGGGTTAACATAGTTTTGCAAATATCCTTGCTTGCATGAGACTTTCATTTGATGAGATTAGAGCCAGAAAGTGTGCGGCAATCTTCAAGGCAATGACATTGGCAAAACTACAAATTGTTGAACAGAAAGCATAGGGTGCACTATTTCTAGCATGAGTGTCAAGATTTTAGTTTAATCTATGCATAAACGAGCAAAAAAGGTTCAAAAACCACATGGATTTCGGTTATTAAATATTGACAGGTACTTCATTTTTTATTATTATCCAATACATTTTGTTCTAAATTACCTTAAATATAATCCTAGTCACCAGCTAATAGCTATTGGATTAAATGCATAATGCCACGTCTGTAATATAATTTTGCAAAAACATTAGTTTCTTTGGCCTGCATGTATTTAAACTTTTCAGTGGAACGTATAACTGTATATGTTTGGATGTCCATTCATATAAGGTGTTTAGATTTGACAGTGACTTTAACTGTTCGCTCTTGTGTATCTTTATATAGAGGGAGAGAACCGCAGCGAAACAGGAACATTCAAAAACATGAGATGGTTTCAAAAGAAAAGCGAAATTAAAAAAACTGACTGGATTAATCGAGCTCACAAGACTCGGCATTGTTCACCGCTTAGGAAATTCCTCGAGAAGACTATTTACATTACTGCAAAGTCATCGGCCTAGCTTGTTTTCATAACACATGCTGATTTTTTTCTGCTTGAATTATTCTGGGGAATTGTGCAGCGTATCCCCTAAAAAACGTTGCCGTGCCGCCACAATAAAGAAGCAAATGGTCAAAGTCTCAAAGATAAGGTCATCAGTGCAAAACACTTCAAATACGAAATTGTCTAGAATCCTAAAAAATAGGAAGATAAGGACAGAATATTGATAAGACAGATCAGAATTCTGTAGTTTGTACTGTTGATTTTCAAAGTTTCGTTGTAAAAGCAACTCAGTCCCCGGCGCTGACTATTGGACGTTCGAGCAACCCCAGAGCAAAGTAAACAAATTTAAAAATACATCCTTGATGCAATCTCTCATTTGAGTTGAATCACTTATTCGTTGGGAAACTTAGCGTATCTCATTGTTATTCCGAGAGGTGCGCCACCACAGGCACAGTTGGACATTTTCATATATATATATATATATATATATATATATATATATATATATATATATATATATATATATATATATATATATATATATATATATATATATATATATATATATATATATATATATATATATATATATATATATATATATATATATATATGACACTTTCTCTAACACTTTTAATGTACAATCTGAGTTCATTGATTGCAGCATTGTAGATCCAAGCTTCGTTGCAGGCTGTCATTTTTGAGCAAACCATGATTTTCATGGGTTATTGCGAATAAACCACGATTTTCATGGGTTATTGCCACGTTTTGCCAGTTATAGTCGGTTATAGTGAATAAATTATGTTCCCGTGATCTGTCGCCAGGCAACAAGAAACCACGTGATTGATTTTGACCAATTGCGTGAGTAGATTTAGGCCAATAACCGAAGATTGTATGTAAATGACTAAATGTGCCATGTGGTCTGTGGTCACCACTGACTGAGTCACTGACTGAGTGGTCACTGTTTGGTTTCTTCGGTATTTTGCTTGACCTGAAATATCATTCCACTTTGCTAACTCTGAATAACTTGAAATATCACGATGCCATCATATAAACTAACATACTTCAATGTACGAGGCAGGGCAGAAAAGATAAGACTCCTGTTTGCAGCTGGCGGTACCGAATACGAAGATTACAGATTCAAGGATGGCGAAGAATTTAGAAAACTTAAAGAGGGTATTCTTGTGTTCCTGTAATCGTAATCCTGTTTTTAGTTATAATCTTTTTAAATAATCTGGATTTCTTAGTGTGCACTATGATAAGGATTTCAGAATTGCATTCAGCAAAGAGATAAGATTTTTGAAAAGGGATATTTCATATTCCAAACGGTCCTACTAAAAACCGCCCGAGACCGCCCGTGACCGCCCGAGAGTATAGAAAAACCGCCCGAGAGAAACTGAAGCGATTGTAATACTTGTGACATCTTGGTGACATCGCAGCATTGCAGTCATTTAATGTGTGTTTTTAGATATTGGTATTAAAATTGAAACGTGCTAAGAACCGTACTAGTACAGATTAGCAGGCTGAATTGCATTATTGCAATTCGTGCATGAGATTTTCTACTGTGTATTAAACAAGTACTGTGCCAAGAACGCCCTAATTAAGTTGCAAGAAAACCAAGGAAAAAGAATAAAAAACATAACACGAACAAAGTTATCTAGTAAAATCCCTCGGGATTTATTGCATAATGCATGGTGTATAGCGCCGTAAAAATGTGTATACCATATCAATATATATTCAGCTGCATGTATGAGTGACTAATTTTTTATTGTATATAATATTCAGCTGTATTACGTTTTTTTATTCTACCGTTTCTTTTATTCTATTTTATTGAAATCATATTTTCTCACGGGCAGTTTTTTCTAAACTGTCTGGCGGTTTTTTTAAATCTCAGGTGTTTTTTTCTGGACCATTCCAAAGAACCTTTGACCTTTCTATGTTTTAATAGTTATCTAGAGGTATGTTTTGGCCAGGCCCAAACATTTTGCTGGTTCCAAGCGTTTCAACATATTTTAAGTGCGCAATCTTTTAATGTATTTGATAAAACAAATGGGCCCCTTGGTGGTTATATTATTTAGATCTTGATTATCAATACATTTTCTATTTTGAATTGTCTTTAACCAATATGATATATGTGCAAGCACTTTAGAGTTTTTTCTTCTTAATTTGAAGGTGGCACATTTCCATTTGGTCAGGTTCCTGTTCTTGAGGTAGATGGAAAGATGTTGTGCCAGTCAATGAGTATATTCAGATTTGTTGCCAGAGAGATAGGTACAGTATTTGGATTAGATATGTAGTTGGGGAAATTAGTATTCTCTAATGAGTATTCACGAAAGTATCAGGCAAGGGATTAATTTATTAGAAAGCATATTATTTTAGCCTTTATAATGAGCATTTACCTTCCTGAGACTGCACCTACCCATAGATGTTAATGCTTGCCTGCTTGAACTGTAATTTCTCAGAGGTCAGGCCTTACATTGTTCTTCAAGCAATTTCAAGAATGCCTGATCATGCTCTTCTTGGGTTCTACCAGGGATGATGACATCATTATATATATTTAGTATTTTTGCACAAGTGAATATAACAAATCCTACATTCTTATTGGTCAAATATGACGTATTATGCTGTTATGCAAAACTGAAATCGTTTTATGCACATTTCTTACAAAGAGATAAGGGAAAATGGTGGTGTCAATTCACTTGTGCAAAAATACAAAAACAATTATTTGCCTTAGGCTCATTGATTATCAGGGAATATTCACCTTGACTTTGGCTTGATGAATATTCCTGGACAATCACCTCACCTTTGGCGAATAATTGTTAAATATTATATATATTGTACATGCTCATTATAAAGGCTAAAAGCCTATGATGCTTTCTAGGTAATCCCTTGTGAGGAATATATTATATAAATAGATAATTGATATATTATATAAATAGATAATTGTTTAATCTAAATTATTTAATTATATTGCTCTATTTATTGATCTTGAGCACTCTTTGTTCAAGTACGGACAATATATATACGGAAAAAAAATATATATATATATATATATATATATATATATATATATAATTATATATATTGTGTCTATTCTGATTGGTTAAATAGTGGTCCGTAAAAGCCCATATGTGGGCCATGGTTCGAATGCAGGATATGGTCTCATGCAGTTCAGCCATATAATAAAATATACTGATTATTGACCTCATTTGTTCAGTCTGTACTGTCAAATATCAGACCGAGATTTTTTGACTGAACCTTGCTCCTTTGTTGCTCAGTCCATACTAAAAAGCCTTGGTCTGATATTTCACTGTACAGACCTCACACTCAGTCAATAATCAGGTAATATTCAATACAGTGTTGAATTTATTCTATATTTTTACCTTTAAATTCCAAAAGGATTTTCTCCCAGTGACGATTTTGAGATTGCTAAAGCAGATATGGTTGTTGATGGACTTGTTGAATTGATGGAAAAAGCAGTTGCAGCATACAGGGAAAAGGATCCAGAACTCAAGGTGAATATTCATGATCATGTTTTGTGTTTATTATTTCTTTGATACCGGTACCTTATTCAACAATGAAAATTACCACTTTAGGAATTGCATGTTGTGTTGTCATCTTTTTTCAAATCTGTTAGTAAATATCTGTTGAATAGATTAATAGACAAATCTGTTGTCAACTGTTCAGTAAATGAACATTTTTTTCAAAATAATATTATATTTTTGTTTTTTAGAAAAGTTTATTCAAAACATTTGCTGAGAAGGAGTTTCCTGATGGATTAGTAGCATTTGAGAAATTGCTCAAAGCAGGTGGTGGTAAATATTTTGCTGGTAATAAGGTATGTCATATAGTCCCAAGCTAGCCAGCATCACAGATGTTTGGGGTCAAAAGGTGGGCTGCAAGCTATTTTTTTGTTGACTTGTTGCATAATACTGTAACCTTTATATGCCTTAAAATTAATTGCTACTCGAATAATTATTACCTTAAACTTTCTTGAGAAAGTGCACTATTTCAAGTGGTATAGATAATTCAAATAGTAAACAATGCATTTATGGTGCAGACTACTCTTCGAAACATGATAAAAACCCATGTGCTCTTATCCAAATATCAAACATAGTGCATTTACCATTATCAGCCATTCGCTTATAGGTTGGCTAATCAACCATATGCGGTGATAAGTCATTTAAAATTTAGAACTCCAAATGGTATACTATTAAAGTTTAGTTTTTTCATCTAGTTTTTTCATCTAGACTACACCCACAGAGTCTGTGATATACTCAGTCGACACCTGTCGTTATTGGGCTAAAGTAAAATCAATATATAGTTTATTAACTTTATTTAGGTCGATTGAATGTAATGGCCTTTAACATCATGTCCACACTTGAATATTAAATATAATAAATTTATCCGTTGCAGATGACGTACGCTGACATTATGTTCTATAGCAGTGTTGAGTCAGCCTATTACCATGAAGCCAAGGAAGGTATTCCTGCTGTTTTGGATCGATTCCCGTTATTGAAAGATCTGTACGAGACAGTTGGGAACAACCCAGGAATCAAGGACTGGGTCAAGAAGCGTCCAGACACACAAATGTAGAGGAACAAATTTGCAACTGAACTTCTCAACAATCCATGATAATTACTTGATTTTAGTTAGAATAATTGATATACTCTGTAGTCTTGTAGATTTCGAATGAAATTGAAGTATTAGTCGGAAATAAAACACGTGATTCCATGCAAGTACGTAAGAAAAAGGAATATAACTATGCTTGAAATTATGAGAGCAATTTGAAGGCAATGAAGAAGAGGCTAATGGCGTTACGTAATGGAGTTAGCCAATTCCTAAAGTTGTTCAAATTATTCACCCAATTCTTTTGCAAAAATCGCGATGCGTCGCCGTCCGTTTTTTAAAATGGCTTAATAATAGACAAAAACACTTTTTGACGTTTCGACGGACCCAAGGCCAAGGGCCTGCTAACTTTCATTTCTCAACTTCCTTCTAACTCTCGTCACAAAGGGTCAGAATGTTAAGTATTTTTTTGTGTATTATAGACAGTTTTTGTACCACATTAGATGCGAAGTTGTTCGAACACGCTGCTGCCTGCATGGTTATATTCTCTTCATGCAATAAACTCTATTGCGTCTTCCGCTCCTCTAGAGGCTTATTTTACTAGTCTTTTGAAATGCTGAAATAGCTGCGTACAGATTTAGGTTTAAGAATATTTTAAAAATGATTTAATAGTGTGGATTACCGGCCTCTTTTAAAAAAGGTGTGTGACAGATGGATTTACTGCGGTGTGCTGTCTTCATTTTTCTTTCAGCCGTCTTAAAATTCGCGCGTTTTGTATATCGGCGGGTGACCTATTGTTGGAGAGACAAGTTTATCAATAATATATTATTCCTCTACGAAAACAGGGCCATTTGTTAGGGTAACATTATTATCAATATTTCAATGTAAATAACAGAATCAAAATTCAAAACTGTCGTTTCTTATACGTTTTGGTGAAACAGTTCGACATGAGGCTGGGACTCTGACTCTCTGAGTATCAGGAACATAGCGCCGCTAATGGCTCAGTGATGATGAAAATCCTAATGAAATGTTGAAAATCGTGACATTGTAAGTTAGAAAGACAATGGTAAGTCAAGAAAATGTTTACTGAAGGCTAATTATAAGCGAACCGGGTACACTTAGCGCAATATATTTTATATCGAACTGAATTTGTATCATTTATCTTTGTCAACCTAAACATCCAGGATATATATAAGGTCCGGCAACCATTAACGCCTAAAGCCGACATAAATACGAATACATAAATACGAATACATGGATTCGTATATGGATTCTCATGTTAACATTATTATGGAGCAGGATAGATTTGCATATAAGCTATAAGTTTCTATATACTTTGTCAACGTTACGTGCATGATATTTTTAATATCGACGTTCAAATGATCCGTTCTCTTAACTGAGCTACCATAAGGTTAATCAGCTATAGTTAACTATGTGAAGACGCCTCCCGTCTTTATATCACGTCTATTTTGTAGGCTAAACTATATGTCCATTTATTTTAAGTGACACTGAATTTTTACATTCGCATGCATAATTACGGCGTGCGCGCAAAAGGAAAATGGCGTGCGGGCAATTGGGAAACTGTGGATGTACTCCAAAATTATACGTACACCTCTGCGAATCTTGGTTTGTAAAATGGTTCATTTCATTCCCTTTTTTTTTAACTAAACTTGCTTCGCTATAATCTCTGGACTCTGGCCAGAGTAAAACAATATTGGAAAGAATATGCAGAAAATGTCGTGTTGCAAAGAACCAGGAAAGAACATTTTCTAATTTTAATACCCAAACGCTTACCCAAACAAAACTTACCAAAGTTTTGGGAGTTGAAGATCGATGATCGTTCGGAGACAACAATGTAGTTTTTCCTTGGCTTTGGGTCGAGAAATCTAATTTAATGACGTTGTTACCACACATTTAATACAGTAGAAGAATATGTTATGTTAACATTTATATTCTCTATTCAGTCTTCTCCCTTTCAATGTACTTGAGATTGGTACATTTATTTATTTGAACATTGAAGTCACATTACGACATAAGGAACATTTTCAAACTTTTGTTAGTATATATATGTAAAGTCTTTTTTAATATATACTAATATTATACGTTGTTAGACAATGCTCAATAGACAACTATCGATGGCTTAATGCTTATGTTCTTGTATCAAAATTTAAAGAAAATTATTTTGTTAAGACCAGATGACCGCACTCCTACCACAAAAATCGTCATTCAATAAGGATGTTGTACGGCTGGGTACATGTGTAAAAAGCCTTTTAACGCGCAAATTTTATTTGCCAATTTTTTATATGGAAATTAGCCTTTCCATGCATACATGTTGGCTTGTCTGGATGCATTTGGTGTAAAAAACTGTGCACGGATTATACTTAATATATTTTATATAGTCACAGTGTCCGTTTAAATGAGACTTCATTAATTAAAATGTCCAAGGCTGTATGATAATTTTAAATTTTTATTGAATGGAATTCCAAAACAATTCAGTGAGAGTGACAGTGCGACTCGAAGAAAATTCAGGAACGGACCGGAATATCACTTTAGATATACAATATGACCATAGATATAAACGGTTGATTGCCTTTTTGAATATTTATGCAAATTTCGTGATATTTTTCTTGCCATGAGCAGGAAAAAATTAATAGAGCATAACTCAGTCGCGGTGGGTAATATATCTAGCATTTACCAAGCGTCTCGGGTTACATTTGAATCGCAGGACACAGATCTGCTCGGAGAATATTATTAAGCTTTTGTTCATATACCTCGTGTATGTGATGTTTTTTCCGAATGTTTATGGTTGAGATTCAAAATAAAAATTAATGTCGGACGATGAGTTAAGCGATGGTGTTGGCGATTGGAAGGATCGGTTCAGAAACGAGGTAATATTTACGGCGTAATAGACCATGAAATGCTTTTTAAATACATAACATGACAGAACTCAAACACTATGTATACATTATATTGAGATGATGCACCTTTCTTTATCAGTTTAGACTTTCGATTTGTTATTAGATCATTTATATAAAACATCATTCGTTCCGTATACTAACCGTTCACGGCAAACTTGGCAGTATAAGGAGGTACAGTATCCTCACGAGTCACGGCCTCACCTGATTCAGAAAAGCCGACTAAATCCAGCCGAATTATTAGGTATTACATAGTGTTATGCCTAACTAGCAACTAATGGAGTTGGACGATCTTCAAGTTCAAGCAACTAAACGTCGTTTTAGTTGTTTGCTCGCGCCAATTCCGAATCAGTAACGCATATATCAGTATGGCTGGTTGAAGGGATAATGCCCTGATGGTTTGTAAACATGACCTTGAAAGTCAGACAAATTGCCTTTGGTCTTTTGGAACGAGTATTTTTTCTGTTATAAGTCATATAAATATACACAAATTTCCAAGTTGACAAGTTCAATACCCCACCATTCCTTGCGCTCTTACAGTCTCATTATGTAGGATTTATTTGGTATATATAAATGTATAAACTTGTCTAACGCCAGACGACTTTACTTGTCAACGCAAAGAGTATTATTTTGCTTTCTTTCTGTATTATATATAATTTGTATTACTAATTTGTATTACTAACATAGACCTGTTTGTACTACATGGAAAGAGTCAAAGTTAACTGTGGGAGAAAGTTAAACCTTTTTAACGATCTTTTACCACCTTAACGGCCTATAAATCTCTCCAACGTTCCTGACGCCTACATACATGTATATATATATATATAAGAATATTATGGTTATGATTCATATATATTCAATAGACCTTTTCGGTAATCACACGTCACAGCATTTTAACATCACAACGTTTTAAATTTAGAACCACCTTATATGAAATGGAATTCAAGTTTTACTCTCACGAGCCACGTGCAAAGATGCGAAATATTCTTCTTCAATACATGCATGAAAAAGATTTTTTCGTTTTCACCAATACATGTGTAAATAAGCTGAGGGGCCAATACCGCGAGCCTCGTTCCCACGTTATGGCTTATTTCCATACTTATTAGTCAAAATGGGTCCATCCACAGGTTATGGAAGGATGTTTTGCATCTTTGCACATAGCTTGTGAGAGTAAAACTTGAAATCCATCTCATTTAAGGTAGTTCTGAATTTAAAACGACAATGTTGTGACGTAATTACCGAAAAGGTCTATTCAATACAATTAATAGTTATATAAAGAATACATTAATTATAATTTAAATGCTGGTATATTATTGTAGGTTGAGTATGCAAAACATTTATCACATGAGGAGGAAGAGAAAATCTGGGATCATGATGAGAGTCCTCCATCCTATGCTTCTCTCTTTGGACAGTTTAAAGAGGCGAAAGAGAAGTCAGAAGGACCAGTAGATTTAATAAAGACAGCGTCACAGCTATTTGCGGGAACAAGTAAGACAGATCTTTTGAGTGCAAATTTGTCTACTTTATTCTCTAATACATCCCACGTAAACACCGCTACTGAAAAAGCATCGGAGCGGTTATGAGGAATCAGTGAGTTAGAAGTGTTAGTAAAAGAAATTGCTCTTGTCAAAACTTTCCTGAATTTTTTATAATGATAAAGTGTTTGCTTTCAGTAAAACGACAAAAAGTAAAAGAAGTATGACGAATGACATTACAAAATATGACGTTGATGACATGCCAATTCAGCAATCCAATGCCAACACAGTAGTTTTAGCCTTACCATTACCTCTGTTGTCAGTAATCCTTTTTGTTTTAGGTATTCCCCAGTAGACCCTTCATGTGTTTGCCCTAGATCCTGTAGTAAACTAACTGAAGTCAATTAAAACTCCTTCCGTTTTGTTTTACAGTTGGCTGTACAATCGCGCTAAGTTTTCTTTTAGCTGTTCCAGTAGCAATGATTGTTGTAGGTAAGCTTATACATACTATAGTATCAGATTATGGGAATACAGTCAGTGCATGCCATGTATTGCCATATAGAAAGTCTATAACGTGATTTGTGGGTTCTCAGACTGCTTATGCTTATAGAAGCTATAGTCAAACTACGCCTTTTTATTCCAAAATCGTGTCACACATATACCTAGGCTTAACTAGAACGATAATTGGGGGTGGGGGGGGGGGTTGGGTGTATATTCATATATTCAGTTCTGCCTTACGGATTTCTATTGTAAGCTATTGCGATTACAAAAGAAATCCGTAGGGCAGAACTGGATATATGAACATTCACCCCCCCCCCAATTATCGTTCTAGTTACGCCACTGCACATATACCTAGGCTTAACTACACAAGGGGCTTAACTACCCCTGGATTTTTCAAAACGAATTAAGCTGTTCAAGGCGAGTCTTTACGATTCACAAATGTAAACGACATGAATACTGAAAATGGGTATTCGCAGAGCATTGGGAGGGAAACGTTATGCGTTGCACAAAACAGTCAAAATACCGGAACGATGCGAGGGCAAACGGGCATATTTTGGTGAAGGGGCACTTCTGTAACGGCACAAAATAAAGAATGTTTGGAAAACATCGTCTTTTGAACTTCGTATCGTCGTCTTTTCTCTTTCCAAGATAATTTTAGTGTCTTGGAGTTTTCATCAGACGATTGTGCGATCCTTGATTCTCGTTGACTCGTTGGTATCATTTTCTACTTAAGATGAAGATATAGAATGTAAACAAATGAAAGCGCATCTTTGCTCCCCTTGCCCCTGTTGGTAAAAGACAAGGTTGCAGCTGCCCCTGGTCTCCCTCTGTTCCAGCGATCCTGTATATACAAATTGAAATACTGAGATAAATGCTGACTATTACCTTAATCTGCGGCACAAAATTAAAACGCCTTTTAATTATCAGAAAATATTCAATATATTTTATTCATCGTGTTTGCTGTTGCTTTTTAGGTGTTACTTATAGACACGACTGCCCTGTGGAACCTTTTATACCAATATACCTTGTAGTTGCTGGTTCGTGTGGGCTCTTAAAAGCAGTTATATTATCTTGTCAAAAATTAAAGAATTCCGAATCTGACCCGGAACAAGAATCGGATGAATTTTCATCAAATGAAGACTTATCAAATACCAGTAAATTCATGGATGGTGTTTTGAATATTTTTATGTTTACCTGGTTTATAGCAGGTAATGTGTGGGTCTATTCACACTATAAACCTAATGAGAAGCCACCATTAGATGATCCGTTAAACTATTGTGAACACACGGTGTACTGGTTTGCGTTTTGGATTGTAACTGTTAGTTATGTCATAATGGGAACAATTTGTTTTTGTATATGCTGTTTAGGAGCATGTGCAAGCTGTACCGCGTTTTTTGTAACAAAAAGTTGATGTAAAAGTTTTGTATCTGTGTGTTTTATGGTATCACTTTGCAATTCATGCTAATCACCACAACATCAATGCAGAAGTTATTCCTACTACTGAGGGAAATAACCATGGAAGTACAAAAAATATTGTTAAATCTGAATTTTAGACATCTGAATAGTCCTGAGAAGCAATGAATAGAACAAAACAAAAAGTTCACTGGCACAACACTTTAATAGGGTGAATTTTTGAAGTTGGTGACAGAAAATCCAAATCCAAACGCTGTAAATTGTATAACGTTATTGAGAGCCTCCACAGACTAAGCATTTAGTTGTCAACATCTATCTTTCAGATTGACAATTAACGGTCATTGACCACTGAAAAACATAGTCTGTTGTTCAAGTTGTGGACAACTGAACTCATTGACAACTGAACCATTTATTAGTTAAGCAGTTTCCTTTTTCGGAAAGGAAAAGATGTCTTTTTCTTTGTTACCTGGTATAATGCCACACCGAAGATTATAAGCAATGCAATTTTTAGTATGTCAGGGATATGACTGACAGGAATTAACATGGAGAGGACCCTGGGTGCAAGGTTGACTTGCACTCAAAAACCCCAAAGTACACCCGAAGAAAATTTTGGACACTCACACCGTAGGTTTTATACATTTCTGAACATTGAATCCTGTAAATTTTGACCAAATTTTTTGAGCCAAGGTATACTGCCTGTGGTATTAGGTATTATATACAACACACCTGAGTTTAGGAGTTTAATTAATGATGTATAATTTCCTAATAATCCATATAAAATAATAAGCAAAATAATCCAGTAATTTAGGATATAACCAAAGAATATTAAGGTACATTGTCTGATTGTCAATGACATAGTGTTTATTGAATTTTTACAGCAGCAATAGATTTAGTTAGTTCAGCACTAACATTACTCAAGTTTCGCCTCATAGCATATGCATCTTCACCATCCGCATAATATTTTGGCTCTATATCATAGATACTGAACTTCAATGTATTGGTGTATAGATGTAAGGCTGCTCGGTTGCTCTTTCTGACATGAAGTGATACATATTTGGCATTGAAGCACTCCACCATAGCCCTTGATGCTTGTTCCATTAGTTTTTGTGCCAAACCCAACCGTCTATGTGAACGTTTTACAGCCAGAGACGTGATGTGTCCATGAGCTGCCTCATCTGTTTCCTCTTCCATTTTAGCGAGAACGTATCCGACAATTTTCCCCTTCTCATCTTCAGCAACATACGAAAGTTGAGGCCACGATAGACCATGATAAAAATAATATTTCATTTGATAATTTTCTGGTAAACATAGTAAATTACAATGCTGCATATTCATCAAATCTTCTGGCGTAGCACAGCGAATATTCATTTTGAAATAATAGGGTCGTATATTCAAAAAAATGAAACAGAAATTCTTGTTGAAAATCCACTTTATCTATAGTAAAATAGTAATTTACTTCTTCTTACATATCTCTGTTGCCCGCGTTGATAGTTGAGCCTGGATCCAAAACTGGTTATTTAGGGGTGGAAAGGGATTGGGGGGATAACGTGAGGTGAAATTTGCAGATACCAAGCACCACACCTAAAGAAAACGAGAAAACAGAAAGCAAACAGTGTGTGTAGTGTTTCTTCTTTTTCACTTATTACGGGTCAGATTTTTATGTGAACGAGCATGTTCACAAAAGATTTTTTACAAAATTTTCGCTATCCTTCGAATCATTGTATCGCTGTTCTTTACTTCTCCGTCTTCTCGTTGTCAAGAACGATGATTGGTCAATAACGATCCCTTTAGCCAATAGCATGTCACCATAAAAAATCGTTTCTTTCGATGCTCGAAGTACCAATATGGCGGCAAGGTTTACACCTTTTCCAATTGTATTTTTTGGTGTTTTCACTACATTAACAATCGCATTTATCAATCGTGGAAAGTTACTACCAAATTTCAAAGAGGTACGAGATAAACAAAGTCAAGAAGGTGTTAATAAAGCCAGAGAAATCAGACAACAACTGAAGGAAGGGATACGACAACAGAAAGCACTCAAGGCAAAGGGAGATGTATGATCAACATCTAACTTCACCTGGGTTAAAAGGAGGCAAAATCTCTAGAATTCATAATATTTTCAATGACGAAAATTGTCCTGATAATCAGCAGAAAATGTCTGTTATAAAGCCTTTGGAAGCAACAGTTCAAATAAACTCTTGTTCAAATGGTAATAAACTACCCAAGAAACGACGGCTTAACTTGAAAACAAAGACTGCTGCTAAAGTTACAACCAGTAAGCAGAAACAGCATGAAGTTGATGAAGACCATTGTTTGGAAGAGAGTAAAAAATTACATCCTGTTTTGAACTGTGATGATCTTGAAGGATTAGGTGAAAACAAAGGTAGTAAGAGTGACAGTATAAGATGTTGCCCTGTTTGCAAATATGATTTCACAAGCTTGGACAGTGATTTTAAAAATCTGTCCTGTGATGCAGAAATAAATGAACACATCAACAAGTGCCTTGATGGCGAGAAAGCTGAAAATGTGTTTAATTTGATTGGACATAATTGTCAACTTTGTGGGAAGGATCTAACTAAATATAGCACAGTTCGGCATCAGCAACACATCAATAGGTGCAGTGGAAACATTGGGAAAACAAGACCCAACGTAGAATTAGAAATGACTTCCATAGTGTGTCCTATTTGTGGGAAAGCTTTTAAAACAACCAAGGTAAGATTGAAATTACCTAATGAAAAAAGTACCCTCTATGCTCTATTGAAATCAGACTTTGTGTATTGTGACACCTCTAGGACATACCTGTCTGTTATCTTTTAGCCAGTTATGTTTTTGCAATTTAAAGTAAACATTTCTCCGGCTGTCGAGTACAGCTAGGAAACAAATCTCATGCCATGTTGAAAAACCAATTGAGACCCATTAACCCATATGTGACATCCACTACATTTGAAAAGTCTTATTGTGGTTTAATTTGTCCTATGGTATAGTCAAGGCAAACCCATATGAAGAAATGTGCAAAAGAAAATAATGTTAGTACTCATCAATTGGTCAAGTTGAGTAGGCAGGAAAATGTTCGTAATTCAAAAGAGACTGCAGTCATGAACACATCTGAAGATCCTGCTCCTAGGCAAAGCAGGGCTGCATTTAACTGCGATACATTGGGCCTTGTTAGAAACAAAAAACGGAAAAGGCTAGTGAACCTCCCAAGCAAGTAAGTTATGTGTGAGTACATTTTTGGTTGAGAAAACCCCTGTTTCAATCATGATTCAATCATGAGCTGTTTTGGTTTGAGAAAAACGGAGAAACACAAGCACAAATTTTACCATTCTCGGCCCAAAAGTGGTAACAAAGAGTGAAACATGCAAACTGTCCAGTCACCATGAAATCCATACATGTTAAGTGATAAAATAGTTAGATCAATTTGGTTAGATGATGTGAACCTGACATTGTGTTTTGGAACTGTTTAGGAAATTAGATGAGGACATACAGCTTGCCTTGGCTTTGTCAGTGTCGATGCAATGTGATAATGCTGACGTTAAAGATTTAGAGAAAAAGAAGAAAAAGAAAAAAGAAAAGTAAGTTAAGAATTGATAATCTATGAACGTTTGCATGTGCTGGTATAATTACCCAACCTGTCCCCCCATCGATATTGCATTAGGTTTTGGTTCCTTTAATCTTTTTGGCTGTTCCTTTTCACATTTAACCTTCATGAGTTACACCAAGCATGTTTCGGATTGGCCAATGGCATTGCATTAATCAATCAGGAACATGTTTTATCCTCAAACTACACCTAGGTCATAGATCACACCTTTTATCAAGATCTGTAGACTGGTGTTTAATCACTTTTGACCCAATGACCTCATACCTCTGATGTGCACCAAATATGAGTTAATAGTGTAAAGATTCATAAGGTTTGTTATAGAATTACGTCGTTATATTGGGTGTGCGTGCAAAAGATGTCCAACTAATCTCTTCTAGTTATTGCTCCACTCATTTTAATTGTTATTGTTTAATGAATGGTAATGTTGCAGTTTTGTATTTGTACAGTTCTGAACTTCCAGCATTGTTGTTGAGAAGTGACGATGAAATGAAGAAAGTAACAGAAGCCAGAGCTGCTGCGGTTCTCTGTCAATGGGTAAAAACGATGTGTTTTCGTCACAATAGTTAAGATTTTCTTTGGTCAACGTTCTCTCTTGTATAATAGAAAACCAAATCCACGCGATGTTTCGTTCGCATGAAATGCCCAGAGCGGTATTTCGGCAGACTCGGATTGCGTGCATGGTATTTGGAGGTGATTCCGGGGCAAATTCAACGCATTATGTTTGACATGAGTGTGATTTTAACGTGTTTTTGTAAAGGTCGATAATGATGATGAAATACAATGCACTCCTGCGCTTGCACCCAGTTTGTTGGTCAAAAAATACGGTAAAGAATCTAGTTGTGAGAATTTCGAAATCTTACCTGAACAAGCTGCGGAATATGATGATGTAAAAGAAAGATGTAACAGTCCTACAATAAAAGTCCGAGGTGGATCGGGTGAAAGAAACGAAAAATGTGGTTGTGAGGAGTCTGTTATTACACATGGCGAAGAAAGCAAGGTAATCTCGCTACAGTCTCCTCTGGTTCCTGCAGTGGCGTAGTCGACCTTATCATTTTAGAAATTGATAGTTTTCATAGTCAGTAAGCACAGTCGTGTCTTTCAGTCGTGTTTTTGTTTACATTTGAGGGAACATGAGTGTTAAAACTTTACTAAAATTTACAACATCAGCTATGTTAATTTAGTCTCTTGTCTTTTCTAGCAACATTTCACCGTTGATACAAAAAGCCGATTGTGGTGTCTTTCATCACTGCGACCTGATATTGTTGCTAACAATGGCTTCTATGTTCCAAATCTTTTACCAAAGTCAACACCAACAAAGAAAAAAGCAAAAAGTGGTACAAGTTCAACAAAAGATGAAGAGCAAATTGATAAATCTGCAGCTGCCGCTCATGAAGATAAGGAGGATGTAGAAGACGGTATTGTAACTTCAATTGCAGGATTTATTGAGTTTGCATTGCTTGTACAGAGACAATTGTCAGCATCTATCTCCAGGGTGATTCTCTGGTCACACACGTGACATTGCTGTTTCTTCAGGCTTCGTATTTTGCATGTAACAAAATAGAATAGCACTGTCACGTTTATGACCAGAGAATCACCCTCCAGCTTTTCATATGCATGCATGAGATTGACAGAATCTCCTATTTTATAATTTGTAAATACGAAATAGCTAGCCTGGGACTTGTCAAAATTATGGTTTTAAACGCCGCCTTTTCAGTGGATGTCACTCTGGGCTGTTCTGCCACACTGGTGCGAGTGATTTATTTAGATATTTACGTTGCTTATGTTGACTTATTATTTTCTTCTTTAAAATCTAGAACCTCCGTCAAGAGTTTCAAGCCAAACTGATGGATTGACTGAATCTCAGGAGAAAGATATTGACATGCTAGTTGAGTTATTGACTGACGAAACTCCCGATACTCAATCGACAAGGAGTGAGATGGAACAAAATAATGAACTCGATAAAACCTGGCTTCCATCCAGCGGTTTCTGTGTCCGCAAAAATTCTCACGAAATGGAGGTAAAGCACTGTCAGAATAGGATTTTATTTTTTGATAATCAACAGCTTTATTCATCCATTCGCCCACGGCTAAATGAAATTATGACGTTTGTATTCGTCCACGTTTGCGCTAAATTAAGAATCGTGAAAAACTATAATCGTATGGTGTAAATTTGTCGAAACTCATTTAACATGTTAAACAATTCATTGTTGATTGTAGGACAAAAATAAGGAAGATGTAGATGCATTATTGAATGACCTGTCGTGTATGGTAGGAAATCCTCTTTTAAGTGATGTTGAAATTGTAGCTAAAGATGAGAAGAAATTCTTTGCTCATAGTTTCATGTTAACAGCAAGATGCAGTAGCTTAGCAGAAGTAGGTTGAATTTAATGCATATTATTATTTTTAAATTTGCCAAATTTAATATTACATAAAGTTTTCTGTTAATTTCGTTGCACAATCCAATATAGATGATTATATTTTCCAGATTCTTCACGCTAGTGAATCGCGTGTCAAAGATGACGAGAGAAATACCTTAATTCGTGTAGAGCTGCTCGATATTGACGTTCGTGCGGTCCGAGCAGTTTTGACTTACATCTACACAGCTTATTTCATACCTGTAGTCGATGCTAATGTTCTCGAGGATGTTAAAAAACTCGTGGACAGGTATGTATCCAGCATGATTATAACCGGATGTTGAGTTAATACTTGAGTATAACATTAATAATAGAGTTAACATACTAGTTCGTGTGGAATTTGATCAAAATCCTATGCATTGGATTTTCGAACAACGAGTTGATTTCAGTAATCCTCTTCTGTCTTAGATGGAATTTGAACTGTAGTGCAGATAAATGGAAAGTGATACGTGATGGAAAAAAGCAGAATCAAGATGAAAATATTGAACATGCGGATAATAATGTAGGAGACCTTGATGTTCTACTGAAGTCGCTTTGGGAGGGAGAGGAGGTAATTGTAAGTAATCATTAATAGGGAGTAAAAAGAACTAGTGATGAGAGACGGGGGTTACGCCATAATTAGTGCAAATAATTAGTTTCTTTTTTGTAAAATATCTTCATCTTTATATCGGACATGTAATTTGGTACGTACCACAAGATAGTAACGAAAAACATTTGTTGGATGACTTTCGCCTTCATCTGCCATAGATACTCATCACTCTAGGTTTATTTGCAGATCAGTGATAAGAATGTAGATGAGAATGCGTTTGGTGATAGTATCTTGGACGATCAACTACGTGATATGGAGATAAAGATTTACACTCAAGCTGTCCCACAGACGATATCTCATGAGAGGAACGATACCTGCGCGGTTGTCCTTGATTCAGATTCCGAGGATTGTATATCAAATATGAATGATAATGTTGTAAGTAACAGACTGAACTTATTTAGTTTGTAACAATGATAGGTAGACTAATCTGGAGCCAAATGTTTTGGAAAATGTGATGTAAAAGCTAATAAGAGTATGGTTTATACCTAACCATAAAACGTTGAAAAACCCGATGATGAAACCACAAAAACAAATGTTGTTCTTAATTTAGAAGGAATTGATCTCAGAAAACTTCGATGAAATCAGTTGTATTCCAGAGTCACCATCCAGTTCCCCTGGTCAACATGGGGAAAAAAGATCTGTTGAAAATGTTCATGACCTTACGATTGCGGAACAACCTCTCGATGATATATTAAAAACCAAAACTAAGCAATCCAGTAGACCAAATGACACATCCATCGAGACAATTCCACAACTCCACTCTTTCCCAATTGCACAGGAATTTAATGGCGATGTTTTCGATTATCTGGACTCTTGTCCAGTCTCCCTTCACTCTCCATCATCTTCAGTTGAGCTGATGTCCTCGCCAGAACGCTCTCCTCTACCGGATAATCTAAAAGACTTTGACGTGGAGGATAAAAGCAGTAATTCTAACACAGCCCAAAAATATTCCATGCAAATATCAATTGACTCGCCATTGTTACACAGTCCATATGCTAGTCCCAACAAGTCTCTAAAAAGGAACCATTGTGAGAAGGATGAAGATAACAGTTTTTTAGATATTTTTGAGTCGTTTCCTGGTCCCACAACTGAAAGGTCTCCTTTAAGTATTTCAAAACATAAGATTAACGATGACAGTTGCTTTGATATTAATCTTTCTATTTTATCACCTAAAAGAGTAGTTTGTAATGAGAAGAATAGACATGGTGAAGGAAATAAAAACCAGCAAGTTAACCAACCTCTTGGTTTTAGCTCAAAGGACCAGGACATTAATAGCAAAGAGAAAGTTTCTTTTCAAGAAAATAGATGCTCTCGCATGGCTGTTGGGGATTTTAAAAAATCTACGACAAAGCAGGCTTGTGCTGAAAAAAAAGTTGACGTCTGGTTAGATGATTCCTCTTTAGAAGATCCAGTAATGAAAAAACATGAGACTGGACTAAAAGAAGATGAGATCATTACTGAAAAAGAAGACAGACGTTCTACGACTTCTAATGATGTTTTTAAAACCCCTAAGAGGCAGTTTTGTGGTGGAACACGATACGATGACTCTTTACTAACTATTGAAGGGTCAAATTCTAAAGATACACGTAATACCCAAGAAGGTGATCATTTTAAGAACTCGATGCGTGTTGTTGAAACTCCCATAAAACAATCTGCGGTTGATGTCGATGACTCGCCTTTACAACTCGAGAATAAAACGACTTCCGACGATCAAAATAATTTCTACGAGAGCAATAATGATGAGTTTATTTATTACTACGATCATGGTGGCTTTAATTGTGATATAGAAGATTATTTCCATTATGATACTCACAGTTCCACCGAGAAAGACGATTCAAATCCGCTTGATGAAAGGCCAGCAGCGGTCGAGGATGTAAATGAAAAGACACTGAATATAGAAAAATGTGAAAAGAAAGTTCGGAAAATAAACAACGTTCAAACAGAAGAGAATAAGAAAGATGACAGGAATAGAGATGTTAAAAAAGGAAAGAGCGGCCTCGTTAAAGGCAAAACAGATAAGGCGGAAAATGAAATTGTCAGTAAAAGAACACAAGAACTGTTTAATCAACATCAGGAAGAGCCAAAAACTCCGATGCATGATTATTCCAATATGGCAACACCTGAATTGAAGGTAAAGTTTGTCTTTTCGTCTTTTGTTCGTGTTCATTGTCTGTTAAAAAGCAGCAGAGGCCGTCGAGGAGTTCGTGCAATAAGTATTTGCGTGCTTCACACATGGTAATGTCAGTTGAGGTTATACATTATAGGCGCTAATATTATGGAAATTGGTATTTTTTACTGTTCAGGTGGAGTTGAAACAGTATGGAGTTAGGCCCCTGGCAAAACGCAAGATGGTTATTAAACTGAAAGAGATTTACCATTATACACACAAAGGTATGTGAGGTAAAGGTACATGACCCACAGGTCACTTGTCATATACAGAATTCTGACCCTCTCGTGGTACGCACGTTTGGTTAATATAATAACCATAACAGTGTTCAAATCGGGAGGCAAATGAAATATTCTTCTGGTTCTTTTCGCATACTGTGTCTTTATTATGGTTCAGTGTGTTGTATGTCCAGAATACATCTCTATAGTAAAGCTATTACAACTCAATGCTTTAGATTACATTCACTATCATGAAACATGTGTGATGTGTCATCGAAATTAGGAAAACGTGGCGACGCTTTCACAAGCCAATTATTGAAACTGTCACACCACCTTTATTTATTTTTAATGCAATTGATAATCGTATTATAACAATGAGGGTATATGAATTTCTCTATACATTTCATAGATACTCGTGTAGAAAGTGAAGGCGATGAAGATAATGATGAAAACCAACCTTCGTGTAGTAAACATGAACAAAAGTCATGCGAAGTTGAAGAAGTTGAGTCCAGATTTTCTGCGGATACAAAATTTCAGGATGGAAACACTCGTGATATGGAGAGGTAAAGCACTGAACCATTTAGGGTGGGCTTGGGAGAGGTGACAAAGACAGTGCATAGGGTGGCAGGGGCAAAATTTGCAAAGACGTACCATTCACCTTTGCAACCACACGGAAAGGAAGCCTGAATTATAAATATCGACAAATTTGCATGTATACAAAGCAAGGGTATACAAAAATGTGATCAAGTGTGTGTAATAAGATTAAAGTCAATGTATGATATATTGCTATATGGTAGCAAGGGGCACATGTCTGTCTCTATTAAACAGCGCAGTGAGAACAGTTGTCCCGTACTTCTGTTGCCCCTGGATTTTGGATGATGAAATATCTCATCCTCTGTCCCTCCTCCTCAAACGAAACTGTATCAACTGAAGCTGTTCTTAGTTCCAGTGACAGTGAACAGAATTGTGGTGAAGAAGAGCAGTCCTCGGATGATTCTGAAGTGTTATCCCAGGTACGTATACAGTATTCTATGTCATCAAGAGATGTTATATTTTACTAATCGTATGTAATTATACTTCTGTGTTATAATTTAGAGAACCTCGTCAAATCTGTCGAAAACATTGATGTCTTTCCTGACTCATGATCACGAACTTTATTTGAAAATCTTAAAATATATGGTAAAGTAATGTTTGTTGTCGAAGTTATAGGTAAAATGTCATGAAGAACGGTTTATAGGCTAAGTTGTCAAGTTAATAAGAGTAAACGTCACACCAGTGATGTAAATTGAAATGGAATGTGGGGGAACGTTGAATAAAGTTGGATAAACGTAATTTTACATGGATACTGTATGACATTTTTTCTTCCAGCCCCTTTCTGTTTCTGATGTGTTAGAAACTGTAAAAGAAAATGGGATCAAATGCAGTGCTGAGCAGCTAAAAAATTTCTTCGATGAACAGGTTTGCATTAAACTAAATTTCATTCGATTTCGAAAATTCCTGTCAGTCGTGATATATCATCGGTAATCACCCAATCATAGCGACTCATTCCGCACAGCTCTAATTTTATATTGTACGCACATACGGGTAAATTCAGGAAAGACTTGTGTCTAAATAAAAGCACATTTTATATTTTCTTTTATTCTCTTCATTTCTTAATTAATTTACGGTAAAACGAATGGCAATTTTTAAAATAGGAAGCAAAATTATAGAATGAATATGGCTTCGGAGACCGCGAATAATGACCAATCTGAATCAAATGGAAATTTATATCTTATCATTTTATTCTTAACTTTTAGTGTATAACATATTCTGAGCCTCGTCCTTCTCGGGTCCAGAAAAGAAAGCGTCGTGGTAAAGTTAAATCTTCCATACCCTAGGTACGAGTTTGGAAACTGAAATTTGTGGCGAATTAATGTAAATGTAAATTGAAGAAATGTAAATGTTTCAAATACATGTATAGGCTAAGGATAGTTAGTATAGGATTTTTCGAAAACTATTGGTCAGAGAAGGATAGTTTGATAACGCTATTCAACATTACATTCACTGTGCATGATATTTGTGCATATTGATATTTTGAAAATATGTAAAAGTTTATAAGCTATCAGATGTAGTATCTTTGCAAGCATGTACCTGCTTGCTCAATGTAATTTGCGCCATGAAGTGTCTTTATATTAAGCATCGTATTTATTTGAGCATCTTGTTTTTCGCTGAGTAATTGGGGCCCTTGAAGAGTCTAAATTTGCCAAGGGCCCCCGAGGTTCTCTGTGCGGCCTTGTAAACGCCCTACAAACGATTAAAAATTAAAATGGATGGGAAACTTGACGTAGCCACGTAGGTTTGACCCAAAATGTGGTAGCTTCACAGGGCGTAATTTAATTCTACTTGGGGCTGTTCCTTTTTGGGGCAGATCAAATGATATTCCTAATATTCGTTCTCAGTGATAACCTTCCCTGAATATGATTGTTTTACTTTATGGATAAATAGCCCGATTTATACTAGAGACGGATCATCTGGACGAACTATCAGAATAAAGTTTGAACGGACACTCCTGTGTTCTGAGAATTAGTTAATTACTCGGCAGCATTCTGAGGTAATTTGTATTCATTGAAATCCGATGTGGTTTATGCTGTGGGCGCATGCACGAAAGTTCAATCTGACCTGGCGAGCGAAAGAGTCAAAGAGACTCCAACTGGAATAGAATAGACCGACCGCGCGGAATAGACCAGTACAAGACAGACTTGTTGGTTGGTGTTGGTAATATTGGATCGTTAGGAATGTTTGCGAATGTCACGATAATCCGAAACCAAATGATTGAATGTTTAAAATCAGCGTCTTGCATTAATTAACTCAATATTGATCTTTCGGTTTACTTACTGTCAAGAGAACAATGGTTGCTGCGCAATCACTAAGCAGCTTTGATGCTTGCTATAATCAATAATGATCTTCGATTCAGGAGAGGATTGACCACGGTATAAATACATTATATGATCGTATTATCCAAAGCATAAACAAAGTGCTCGACTCCTATCTCACTTCACACAAAATCCCAGTCTTTACCTGGCTGTCTGGTCTATGGAGTATGGATTAATTATAATGAAATGAACAGTTCACTATGGGAACGGTAGTTGAAAGGGATCTTAAAACGCTTCGAACATCGAAGGTATGCAAGTGTTTACAAATACAGAATTAGGATTCTAAGTCGAAAATATGTAGACATGTCTTGGTATATGGTCGCGTGCCTTTTAATACTTGACCCTTGCATGCCTTCACCGTATTGTAGTTGCTTTGCCTGTGTATCTACTTTAATTCCATTCCAAGGACGTACGTACAAGTTTAAGCCATGTAGTTATGTCCAGTTTTATTGAAATTCAATTCGAAGCTTAGCGAACACAATAGATTATATGAAATTTTGCACTTTGCAAGCTAGCAATGATTATTTTTAGCTTAATCCCCTTATTCTTGGGTTTTACTATAAATGTGGAGGTCACGTTAAAATCAGGGTATGCCAGTAAATGGAGTGACTTAATTGTAGAGTTGTAGTATGAGTTGACATGTTTCAGGGTAGCGAATATGTGCAACTTCATATCAATGGCCTAATACTTCTGTGCAGTAAAAGCAGTGAAACATAGTCAGGGTAAACCCCACTCAAATCTCTGCATGGTTAGTGAAACACTGCATTTCAGGTCCTGTTCTAAAGGATAAATTAAAAAAAAAATTCAAGCAATATTTGACATATCGATTAGCTTCAAGAGAAGGGTATAGAAGGATACTTGCTCCAGGATAAAAAGGTGCTGCTCATTTACCAGGTTTAGGTTATGATAAAGTTCACAAACAGGCTACTGAAAAGATGGTTAAAAGGCTATCTATTGCAATCTAAAGGCTTTGAATTTAAGAAATGTCCTCAATCAATGTCACTCTAAAGAGATTCAGACCAAAAAATGCCTTAGGCATATTACCTGTTTTAGAAATTCAACTATCACATGCATACCCACTCTTCTTCTTGCCATTAATTTCTTACAGATTTACCGTGGCTTAAATAGTTTGCGAGTTATTGAAACCATAAATTAAGGATGTTGTGTTCAGTTATCTTCCAAACTGAACCCAATACAAATTTTGAGAGAAACTCAATCGCCATACACATTCAAGGAGAAGTTGTTAAAAGAATGAATCTCATATTTATGTATTGTATTTATTAGGTTTGTTTTTAGTCAGTTGATCATCATGGTGAGAGCTACTATATAGATTGTAGCAAACTTGTTCAGTGGCTTTGGAAGCATTAATAATTGGGGGGTATATCTTCATGTTAACAGACTGTAAAGACAATTGACGATCGCGAAACTGATGTGCCTTTAGACTTAAATAAATTGTCTGTGCAAAAATTGTCTTTTTTAGGCAAGAAACACTTACAATATTTCTACTGAACTAAAATCTTTTGTAACAGGGATATGAAATTGTTAGAAACTGTTATGCTTGCCAAATGCACTACTGCAAAAAAGATTCATTAATTGGTTGCTCTAAAAAATCAAATTGTCACTGCATAAAACTGAATTTAAATTGTTGCCTAATTTTTCGTTAAGTTAATGTCATCTTGCCCTGAATATATTTCAATGATGGGTGAACTGGAAAAGTTTCACAAGGAACAAACAAAGATGAAGGGGAAGAATGAGAAAAGGGAACTTGATTTAAGGTAAAGATTATTTTGAATTTCTTTAAAAAATGCAATCTTGCAAAGTTGCATTTTCCGCGAGTGACCATGTTAATAGACTTGCAGCATATAAATTCTTGTTCGTGCGTACTGGCAGCTAAAGGGTAAAAGGTTTTTTTGAGGAAAATCGAATTTAGACCTTACCGGTTCAGTTTAACGCTTAACGCGATCGCGAATTAAGCCTAATCAAATTTTTATTTTCACTCATTGTGATAACCTTAAAGACGGTAAAATTTGTTTTAGGCCATATCTTTATGACAATGGCGACACATATGAAAAACCATTTTATAATATCTTGTTGAAACTACTTTATGATGTTGTAAGGTAATTATTGTTATATATTATAAACTTTGTAGAATAATATTCTGTCATCTTTCGTTAAATTCACTTGTATATCATACCATCATTAGCTTTCAAAGTGCGGAGAGACAACATAAAGACGTTTTGAAAGTGTATGAGTGGTTTTTGTCTCATCATAAATTGATCACTGAAGATGCTGTAAGTCGATATCATTGGTATATTGTAACGAAGTGTTACCACAAAAAGTTATCTGCATGCGAAGCAGCAGTTCATAGGACAAAATGGACAAATATTTTATCAAGGTCTTTTGATGAAAATATCTGTTCCATCATTTTAATTAATATACAAAGCACGTTTAAAAAAGTGATTAATTATATGGAATCGACCAAATAAACGATTCTGTGTTATATGAAATATGAATATTGTGAATTGCATTCTTCGGGAAAAGCCGACCTGTATACCATTTAAGAAATTCTTTCATGTTTCAAGACTAAAAATGATGAAGATGGCTATATGGTCGACTCCAAGAACATTGAAATTCCTAAATTGTACTTGCGACCGAAGTCCGCAGATGGTAACTGTTACCGTGAGTCACGGGATTCGCCGGACATGAAGTATCAACGTGAAACTCATTCAAAATCTGCACTGGGTTCTTATGAAAATGAAAGGAACAAAAAGGTAACATTTGTTTGAATATCTAAAATTTAGCACAGCTGATCTGACCGCGATAAAAAGACCTGGAGGTTACAGCAAAATAGGAATCGATTGACTAATCCATTAACTGACATTCTCTCAATTGCTATTAAAGAAAAAAGACTATAACCCACTCGATACAATCTCAGTATCACTGAAAGTGTTACCGTTGAATGGCTCAGCCACCAAACTAGATGAGTTTGGATCTACTGTTACATGCCATGATGGCCATCCCAGATTCAATAAAAGAAATGGTGCTCCATCAGTAAGTGTTTCACAACTTACCTGCCAAGTTACTTTTCATGTCACTATCCTCATTTTACTCTACAAGAATTAGGGTTACTATTTATCGTCAGAATTTGAAGAATTTAAGTTATTAACTCCAGTTATTTATGCTGAATTTAGCATATTTGTTTAGAAGCTGCAAGTAACAAGTAAAAATAATTAGAAAGAATTGTTCTCGCTTAGATTGCTATCCATGTGCCGAAGAAACCATTATTACCTTCCTCGTTTGTATTAAAACCTTGCAATCAAACTTCACCACCAGTTTCAACACCAGTATCCAGTCCCTCCGTTTCTCCCAGACTTTCCAGACGCATCCTGTCACCTTCTCAGTCACCAAGATTATCTCCAGTCGCAAAGTATGTTCTAGAAAATTATATTATGCTTTTCAAGTTTAGCTTCAGCGGCCACTGGATTTCTTAGACACGCTTACCTAACCGGAATCGTGTTCAGAGAAATAAATCAATGCTGACTGGTAAAGGAAAAGGATTACTAGTATGATAATGATCTGTCGAAGAAATAACAATTTATTGCTTCGTCGAAGAAAAAATAAGTTTTGTCGAAAAAATAATAAATTATTGCTCTATCAAAAAAAGATTGCTCTGTCAAAGAAACAAGTTAATACTCAAGGAAATATTTTATTACCCTCTCAAAGATATAATATTTCAAAGAGGAAAATTAAACTGTAGTAATACTTACGTAATTTTATCCGGGTCGTGAGAAACATCATAATTAACATATCGGTAATTCGTTTGCTGTCCTAGATCCTGTTCAAACTTGTCTACGCATCGCTCTGGTAAAGCAGCCAAAGCTTTGCCTGACAAACAATCATTTCCCGGTGAAACATCGGATTTTGAAGTGGAACATACGAGTTTAAAAACAAACAATCACGGACAGTCATCCAAGAAGATTGATGATATCAGAACAAGGGAGATCTCTAATACAATTCTCGTGGCTGATGAAGAAGGTGGTTTATTCCAGGATCAGTTGAAACAACGCTTCCAAAATGACAGAAGGAAAAAGGAAGTCAAATTAGTCGAACAATTGAAAAAAGATACTGAATATTTACGTCAAGAAGAGGAAAGTCTTCAGTCACAGTTATTAGGAGAACATGAACAAATTCTAAGAGAGGAGAACGAAACAGGTCTAAGAATAAAGGAACGCAGGGAATCTGCCGAATTGCAAACTTCATCTCGTGGTGTTTCCACTTTGCCTACAGTCAATATATATGATGTTTCGAGCCATAGACCAGTTTCTGCTGTTGAATTTAGGTGCGTTCAAACGTTGATAACTAGTTTAACTACCGCTGTTGCCCTTCACAGATACCGTTGAATTGTCAATGATTAATCTAAGATGATTCTATAATGTTTTCACTAGAAATAAAGATGTACGTATCGAGTCTGTTCTTGATATGGTGCAACCTGTTAGTGAACAGATGAAATACCAACGGGAAATGCAGGTACGTCATACTCTGATGATAACCTTCTAATATGATCGATAGTTGAACGAATTTGATGGAACGTGTCTTGTTTGATAAATGATAATACTTTTACATTTTCGTCATTGAATCCTGAGTAACGAATACCAGAAAGCAATTGACTAATGCAAGTGTAATGTATGGATGGAAAATTGTCCTGTGACTTTAGCGGACTTACTCACCAAAGATAATTATATTTTTTTAGAGAAATGGTGCGAGTATTTGGGACAGAGAACCTGTGAGCTACAAACAAGAACATTCCCAGATGTTCCAGAGACTAAATTCAGCTCCTTCACGTACATCATTGCCTGGTGGGATAGACAGGTATGACATATTGCAAGGTTTTTTGTTTTTCTTCTTCTTGAAGTCAACAATAATTCTAACATGGGATGGTTTTCTACTCCAGAAGATTGGACAACCAAAGGATTTTAAATCACACGGAACCAATTTTGAATCCCGAGAGGAGAGCCAGTGACTATACAGTACATTTCCCACATCAATCAAATCGTGAACCGTCTGTCAAAGAGTTTAAAGTTTCCGGTCCAGTGTCACCTGATTCCATACGTTATCAGTAAGTACTTAGCGATAATACTCTATGTGATGAACATTCGAATATTTGGATTGTAAATAAGTTAGCTTTATCGTTATTATCCCACGATAAAAAAATTCGCATATTTTATCATCAACATGTGTACACGCTTCGCCGTTTTATAGGTGGACCGACGATGGCTTTGGCAATCGAACTTACTTTAAAAAGCGGAGCCCATTGTAAGTTGCTATTTTCAAGAAGTTCCGAAGTTGTTTGTTAAATTTAGAAATGTACGGACTTACGCCGTTTCGCGACCGTCGCTGCAAGTCCTTAATTTAGGCTACAAATAACTATAATAATTAAATAAACCAATTGTAATTCAATACCTATAGAGAATCTTCTCAATCTCATAAATCTCCAAGATCATCACCTCCTGTCAATGACGTATCTATGATCACAGGGGAACGTGGCTTAGATAAAAGAACTATTGCTTCTCTGATGGTTATAAAGCATTTAGGAACGAGCCGCCGTCGTGAAAGGTATAGTAATTTAATTGTTATCGCCAAATTTAGACTGGTTTTCTAAATAATTTTATAAGGGTAAAACATTTATTGATCTTATTCTGAGAAGATTATGTTTGTCAATAATGAAGTACAAAAAGCTGCCAAGTCAAAAAACCCTGCAGTGAATGTCGTATAACCGTTATAAAATCCCAAAAACTTGGCTTATAAAAATTAGTTTCCAAAATACACCCCTGAATGACTGAAATGTTTGGAGAACCTTTCAATGTTATTTTTTTTAAATAACCGATGTTTTGTGCTGTCTAGTTTCGAAACAGAACAGCTCTACCCAAAACTTATTGATGATTCAATGGAGCATTGCTCTCCCTATGACAACACTTATAAAGACGTGGAGCCAAAACACAACGTGGAATATCTTCCATTCTGGAGACAAATGCCACCAAGGAAAGGTAGGAAGTTTTCTAGGACACCTTTTGTGGAATTCTGTTAATTCCTCGACAATTTCCAGGTTTGTCAATTGTTAACATCCCTGAAGATATTGAACCAGATGTGAATACAATCAACAACACTCGTTTAAAGATCACCACGTTGGATGAAAACCGGAACTCAATTAAGGAACCGTCAAGTTCCCCTACTACGGCTCAAACCATCTTGAATGAAATGTTCTCCTGTCTAACACCACAAAGAAGGACACTAAGAAATGGGCTAGATACTAGTTCTCTGAGCGTGAAAGCGCGTTCGATATCGCCAGAACCAAGACGACCACAGGCACCCCCAGCCTGCAAACCTGAGTCCCGTGATTTAAGACCCGCACCCAGTCCTACCCCGGTTAACAGTCGACCCACGTCAGCCAGACGTTCAAAGGATAAAAGCCCTGTAAATTTTTCTGTGAAACAGTTTTCACATTTCTGCTTGGATGATGATGTAAGTAGACTAAGTAGTGTTCACTTCAGTTGGTTAACGGCGTTTACTAACAGCTTGTGGATGGACACCATCTTGTGCAGTCGCTGATCTGAAATGAACTGGAGTCTCACGAACCAGCTTTTATTCGAATATTTTTAGTAACATATTTTTAAATATTATCAGTAGCATTTTTCTTTTAGATGGAACTTTTGGATGATTACAAACGTCAACGTGAAATTTGGGCTGCAATTAACATTCAAAGGTTCTTTACTATTATAATCAATATGTAGTGTAAAACAATGAGTAAGCTATCTTCCTTCTGACGACCACAACACGATATTCGCTCCTTCTCTTTAAGCATTTTGATCAGTGATTTGACTGCGCTGGGAGTCAGCCTACAAATGCAAATTATGAATTTTTAAGGAATATTTTTGATCAAGCTCAATTCCACTAATAGAATCAATTTGAAGGCCTTTTAGAATATTAATATTAATATTGTTATCATTAATTTTGACTAACTCGAATTTATTAATTTTATAAATTTTTGCTTGTTTTCGTAGGATATTTCGCGGCCATATCGCTCGTCAATATGCTACTTCTTTGAAGCAAGCCGAGAAAGAACGGCAAAGAAAAGCAGCAGTTGCTTTGCAGAGGTAAATTTTTCTCCTCTTTGACAGCGAGATTTTTTTGTATATTCGCGATCATGTTTACTTAACAGTGGTGATAAATTCTACCGTACATTCAAACAACGAGGTATAACCATGAGATTACGATATATATAGCCCCCAAACTGCACTTCCAAAAAAGTTGTGCGTGTGTAACACCGTCTTTCTTTCCTCTACAGTACATTCCGCGGTTACTTGGCCAGAAAAAAAATGATGAGACAAAACCTGTTGAATTACAAACCAGGCATTCGGGATTTGCAATGGGCAAGGGAGTACAAAGGAAAACTAAGAGAGAAAGAACTTTCGAGACATCGTAGAAATAAAGGAATTTTGCGGCAGTAAGTTGATCAAGCTGCGTTCCTCATTATTTATCATAATATTTTATCCTACGTTTTCTGGTGTAGCATACCAGCATGCAACGTGATTTTATGTATCTTTAAGACAAAATCGACAGTATGAAAGGCAACAAGAACAAATTTCTGGGGTCAAAGCTTCAGATATGATACATGAGTAAGTAACCCTATTGAGTTTGGTAAACCATACAGACCTGGGCGACTTATTTCAACTACGAGGAAAGGGAATAAGGTTGAACTAGGATTATAAGACTAGAGAAAAATTGTTTTAGAAACTACTGTATTAACTTGCATGTTTTATGATTATTTTATTGATAATTTTTGATCTTACAGAATCTTTAATCCCCCCAAAGCAACGAAAGCACAAATGAGATCAGCAGCAATTACAATACAGAGGTACATATTCGTTTTTAAAAAAATATAGTACTAAGTTTCGTATATCACATTACTAACCATAGTATAAGATTTGAACAAGTTCATGAGAGACAATGAATGACACTAGTGCTATGGTGCAAGAAGTAAGATATGCCTTAATGAACTATTGAAAGCCAATTTTTTATGACAAATTAGAAGGAAAATGTCGTTTATTATGCATCTCTTATAAGAGATGCTTTATTGATAATAAGCTGTATATAATGGTTTTTTCCTTTTTTAGGTATTTCCGTGGATGGTTTGTTAGGAAATCTTTAAAAACTGTCAAAGAAAGGGTAACGTTGCCTTTATTTTTTGCTATAGCCAAACTGTTTTGAATAGCCGAATGCCACTTTTGAACAACATATTAACTGCCACGAAAGTGTACTATTCTGACCTGTAACGATGAATAAACAAGTCCTAGGTATTGCCGTATTTACCGTCTTATTCGATATTTTGCATCAATGTTAAATTGTATTTTCCTTTTTAGGCGTCGAAACGAACATTTTCGTTCAATAAATTTATCAAATCGTATCAAGATCTCGTGTATAGAATCCAGAAACGTTACAATATTGAAAATCCAAATACAGCATTGCAATTTCACGAACTACAAGAATACGTCGACAGACTGTTTAGTAAGTACTTTGTAAAAGTTAGATCAGGTCTAAATATTAAGCCATTCACCAACGAGTCTTTAGAGTATATTTAAAGAGTATACAACATTGTTTCGGGGAAATTGAATGATATGCATGCGTGATGGCATGTACTTCTTACGAGACCAAATAGTCGTTATTAATGAAAGGGTGTCACACCACCTGCAAAATCATTCCCCCATCTAAACTACTGAGCGCAATTAGAGTAAATGATCTGAAGTCAGAGAAAACTTTATGTAGAATACGAAATTGCCTTTGGAAAGATAGCGGAAAATGGTACCCTGAAGTATGAAGATATTTTAAAATATTTTGCGGAGTGTGGACATCACCCATCTGAGAAAGAGATTGAAGACGCTGTTGCTATGGTAATCAAAGGTATATAGTTCTAATATTTTTATTATGTTTTATCTATTTCGATCGTCGTCCTGATCACACCCTCAATACTCCGCTAACCACAACGTTTATATATGTATTTCCAGATTCTCCAAAAGGCCGGAATTTAACCAAATCAGAAGCCGTGGAAATTGTCTTTCAAATATACATTCCAAAAGGGACAGGTCTAAACCTTGCCGATGTTCGTAAATCAACCTGGATGAATCCCCTTATTGACGGTCAAGATGTGAAAAAAATACTAAGCAAAAAAGATTTGGAGTTTACAAGCTTGGACAAAGTTTTAACATTAGTAGCGGATTCTCAAACTGACCGCAATGAAGTGAAAGAGTTACTTCGTGCTCCAGATCCTCAAATAATGAACGTTGTTGAAAAGGCACAAGAAGGTTTTCATCCGGAGAGTAAGGATAATAAACAAAAGCCTAGACTGTCGTCTGCGAAGTCACCTGGGGGTGGACATTTTATTCTTGCTCGTGGTCAACATGAACCAGTAAAACCAAGTGAAAATAAACAGAACAAAAAAAGAAGACCGGTGTCAGGTAGAATACAGAAATGAGCAACGAATTGAGTTTTTCATTGATATTTGGAAGGCTGTATATCAGAATGAAATAATTAGTATATTCTGATACAGATTACAGCTGAAATTGGATATATAATACGTCCTATTGGCTAGAATGTTTCTCCGACTAAATAAGGAGAGCACGAAAACTGAATTGCCCGTGAATTTTTGCTCGTTTAATTTGCACACGACATACGAGTACACACAACATAAGTTAAAAACAAGGTGCTTCATACCACACACAGTTAAGTTAATATAATTCACATTTTGTAAATATTTTCTAAAGTTTTTAACCTTTTTAAGTTTATAAATTATAACTATGAATACTACGTCACTACGTCTATGAAAATTGCAAACACACATGCAGATGACATCATAACAATGAGATGTTTGATATAAGATGTTTGGCAATGTGATGTTTGTTATGCAAATTTCCTCCCTGGCCGGCTGGTGTGTTTTTACAAGAGAGATTTATTATCACTTCATGCAAGGTTTCCCATTGCAGGGCCAGCTTAATCACCTTCACTGGATAGGTTTACCCATCTTTGAACAGGCTGATCTGATTCTCGTTTATCTCAGTTGTACTATATCCGTACTCACAGTAAAGTGCGTGTTTAGTAGAACATAGTGTATGTAAAAAAATGACGAATATCGCATTTTATCACGGCACAAAATCTGTTATATCACTGCACAAATTGGTAATTATTGCGTCTGAACAGATCTCCTTGCCAAAGCCTAGGAAGCTTAATATATAGGGTATAGCAAAACTCTTACCCAGGTTTTTCGCGTCAATGGTCCATACAATAGAACTATTAAAGAACCCAGTGTGTCACAAGTCACAGGGTCAGTGGAAGAATCTCATCAGTCATAATTTGCCTTCGTATTTTTGTTAGCGTCAGAAGATATAAAACATGAGACTGGTAATTCTTGATAATTATGATTTCGTCAGTGATTGGGCAGCAAAGTTTGTGCGTAATAGAATTCTTGGCTTCAATCCTGGGCCTGACAAGTATTTTGTGCTGGGTTTACCAACAGGTAAATATTTTGGTTTCATTTTTTATGTATGATACAATGTTGTATCTTTGACTATTTCTAAAATGTTTGGTTTACTTTGCATTGCACAAATTAGTAAATGGAAATAGAAATAGCTTAATCTGCTTCTTTCATGCAAAGACATGGAAATCATATGGTATATGTAAATGTTTATTCTATATGGAGGAATCCCAGGCTAATTACATACCAATGGCAATGGTGGGGGGGAAAGCTAGGGTACACATTTTGAATGGAAGAGGCACATTCTAGGGGCACTTCTTATAGTGAACAAACCATTTGAGATCTCAGTTTTTTTTTGTTAGCATATTTGTACTTTTGTATATTTCTGAGGTACTGAGGTAGTGCGCAGCAGTTCAGGTTCATATAAAATTAATAAAAGTATTACCACCATTCCAAATTCTTTGGCCATCAGTGATCTTTTTACTTAATTATGATATTGGAACATGTTAGCAATAAATGGTTCCTCTTGGACTGAATCTGCTCTGAACTATCGTCAATTTTTTGTTGGTATCCACAATATCCAAATATGGTAAAACTGCTGTTGCATGCATGCGTGTGTGAGGTTTGAGAAGAGAGAGTGGGAAAACAACATATACCTAACTTGCAAACAAAGGAGTACAGGCTCAAAAGAAAACACAAAAATGAAGAAAATGTCTGAACAATTTGTTATAATCGTCATTATAGAGTTTACCCTCTCATTTACTCTTTTACAATATTCCAATACAGAATAAGTCATGCAATGCAAAGATATTTGTCTGTGCACAGTGTTATCCTGTCCAGCGATAAGAGCAACACTACACCACCACAGGTGTAGCTAGTAGTCATTCTGTAATGTCATTCTGATCTTAAACCAACAAATCATATCACCTGCTAGCATTTATTATTGCAAAAAATCCACATTTCATTTTACATAAATTTATAGCAGAAGATATGCTGTACAATTGCAGGGTTGTATTTTTTTCACTAATTTTATGACATATGTGAGATAAGATTATGTTTTATATTATACCAGAGACTATTGTTTGCAAAGTAATGTAAGAAAGAGGCTATGTTTTTTGTAATACCAACTTTCCTGATTGTAAAGGGTCAACTCCAGTTGGCATGTATAAGAAGTTGATTGAATTCCATAAAGCCGGTGAGCTTTCCTTCAAGTTTGTCAAAACATTCAACATGGATGAATATGTTGATCTATCACGAGATCACCCAGAAAGTTACCACAGTTTCATGTGGGAGAATTTCTTCAAGCATATTGATATAGATCCTAAGAATGCTCATCTGCTTGATGGTAATGCTGAAGATCTACAAACTGAGTGTGAGAATTATGAGAAAAAAATTGATGAAGCTGGTGGTGTTGATTTGTTTATTGGAGGTAAAATATTGACCCTAGTGTTGTAAACTGTAAATAATGCAGATAATGATATCACCCTCACAATCTATTACATTCTAGGAGAAAATGGCAAATATAAATGCTGCCTTTTCATGTAGGTATTGGTCCTGATGGACATATTGCTTTCAATGAGCCTGGTTCATCCCTTGTGTCTCGTACAAGAATAAAAACCTTAGCAAAAGAAACTATTGTAGCAAATGCAAGATTTTTTGATGGTGATATTTCCAAAGTTCCAACTCAGGCTCTTACTGTCGGAGTCGCTACAGTTATGGCGGCTCGGGAGGTACAAAGATACTTCTTCATTCCTGTAACAACTATTTGGAACTATTTTTGAACTATTTGGTGACTATTTATATGACTGCATATCTGACAACCCTTAACCCATTTTGGATCGAAATGTGACAATATTTCCCAAATCAGTGTATTTGCCAGTCCTTTACAAACGCGGGACGGCGAGAACCTATGGAGATCAGTGAGTCACTGAGGGTGACCAGTGAGCATCCCCCGTTATGCAAAAAATACCTTACTTTGTTTTTACTCACAAATAAGACCATGTAAACGCATAATGCGAGGCGTACGTCACCTATACTGGATGTTATTAATTGGTACTCTATTTTTTGCACCAGCATAAATAGAAACATGCAACTAAATCCCGTTATTACTGTTTTCAACATCCAAAAATTAGGATAACTCATACTTATTTAAATTTCATCAGGTTATGATCTTAATAACTGGAGTGCATAAAGCATTCGCTTTACACAAAGCTATCGAGGACGGTGTGAATCATATGTGGACTGTGTCAGCGTTTCAACAACATCCTCACACGATATTTGTCTGTGACGAAGACGCGACCATGGAACTGAAAGTGAAAACTGTCAAGTACTTCAAAGGTTTGATGGATTTACATAACAAACTGATTGAAGAGCCGGATGATCCAACATCTCCTGTCAGAAAACGAAGTAGAAATTTTCAAACATTGAAATAAAATTAGTACCAACATTACTGCAGTAAACTGTGCATGCATTCATTCATTCATTCAATGGTATAATGTATTGATTGCCTGGTACAGAATGATTCTTTAGAAAATTGACATATTAATTATATTGGTGAGTATAATTGAATGTAGCGAAATTATTGTTTGGTAATAAACCAGTAGAGCTAAAAAAAACCTGAAGTGAACTCAAGTGAACACTATCTCAAGTATTCAGCAAAAGCGTACTTTCTTGTTTTTTTCGATGAAGATGATATAAGGGCATATCTATTGTAGGCAGCACACTGATAGCAATTGTATTGGGGATACTCAATATAATAATATACACAAAAATTATAGAATTATACAGCATTGCCTATAGGCCTTTTTCGTTATCTAGTTAATGCAATATTCGTGGTCTAGCTGGGTTACATATAATCATTTAAATTTTGGTCAATTTTAAATTTAATTTCACTTCAAGTAATTTTAAGGTAACCAAATTAGCTTATTTTTTACGCCTAGCATGGCTTCACGTGTTAATTAAGACTCACGCTCCAGCTAGGCTATCAAACACTCATTCATTCCGCGGTTTATTCTGAGAAACTTTAGTTCTAGGTTTAACGCACTTCAGAGAATTTGAGAAACTTAGGGACTTTCTTCTCTGGGAAAACTTTAGCTCACTGTGACAATTGCTATTTCAAAATGAAATTGTGTCGGTATATTTAATGCATTTTATTTGTCGGTATATTTATTGCAAGCCTGCATATTTAATGTGTATTTACTAACTCTCCGGCACGAAATGCTGTTTAGTCGGAACGTCGAGACGGTTTTTTGTCTATTTAAGGAAGCTTCCTATACCACATTTGATGATAATCATTGTATGGTTTTTTTTGCAAAAGTTGTTTTGACTGGCATTTATCACGCCGACAACCGACGACGTATTCGTATAGCCATAGCAGACTAGTTAGGGAATGATTATCAGTTGGTGGGAAAAGATTTTAGGAACACGAGGGCTTATCCGGCATCCATAAACATCCATATCAATGAACTGAATAATTCTTGTTATTTGCACTTGTGAAGTATCTCCGAAATTCGGCGACAAACTTTTGTTAGGCATCATCGAAGCTTCGGTGTGAGATTTTAGAGCGCAGGTGTTACTTACCGTTGATAGACCTTAATGGAACCATGGTTTGTAATTGCTTGCCAGGAAAACAATTAAAAAGTCGCCTCATGCGGTCCAGTTCCAATTTCGGACTACTTTAAAAATTTCGTCTGTTATCATTATTCAAATCTAGTGTATTACACGACAGTATATCGCTGCCTGCCGGCAAGTAAATTAATGTGAGGTAATCGACTCTGATGCAAGTTAAGTCGTTGAAACCGCGGTCGGACATTCCGAATCGTGCGCAGATTTGTCGGTAACGGTATTTCTTTTTTTCGAGTGAGCACCAGACGCACAATTTATACGTCATCGGTAGGGAATTCTAAATTCGTCCGACGCCGTCGTATGTTTGTTTGTCTGATTTTTGCACGGTCGGTCTTGACGAATTCAGGGAAGGTGAAAGTCTTTCAACTGGGCATCCATATGGTGGCGTGCATGTGAGTAGATAATGCCGACGACAATGGGCGGGATCTTTTCGCTGCCGCAAAGGTTCACGGAACCGCACTAGCGGCGTTTCTCTACCATACATGCATATGCCCTAATACGTGAAGTGTAGCGTTCAGTATTGGACTGACTGGTTTTTAAAAGTGGGTCAGCCGTGGCCCAAGTATATATAACTAACCATTATACAACCATAGGTATATAATTGTTTCAAAATATTATTTCAAAAACTTCCTCTCATTCTAAGGTTTTGAGGGGCAATAGACTAATCCTGTCGATTTTTAGCTATATTATTTTACGTATATAACACTTGTTTCTATATATTTGCAGAAGAAATCTGATAACTATAGCGAGCAACAAGATGGGGTGAGTGTGTCAACTTACAAAACTGTAAACTGTTTACAACTGCCTATATTGGGATAAAGTTTTAATATCTAATTTAGCTACACTCGTGTTTAAAAAATAATATGTGTGGAAAGGAGGCCCCACAAAGACCAGGAGAGATGTGGCTATAGCGTTATAAGTACTCTCCTTTCTTTTGCATTAATATTTAATCTACATTTATTCCACAACAACGGGTACTTCAAGTGGGTCAAATCGTATATTATTTATCAAATATTGTTCTTAGCATCAATTGTCAAGGTTTTGCGGCGACAATATTTATCTGGAGAGAATGCATGGGAAAACTAAAAGCTGGAATCCCAGCCTGAGACGGGGCCCGGAAGCGGCCAAGAAAAAGGTATAGATCTCTATACTCTTTGTAGTTGTTGTGAAACTATTCTGAATCTCTCACGTTTAAATACCATGCCTATATAGTATATAGTTTACAAGTATTATAAACCTCAAAGTGGTAATGAAATATATTCTAGTAAATCATGAAGGGGCCTATAAAGTATTCAGATTAGTAGCTAATGTTAATATTGTTTAGTAAGTGCATTATTACTAAAAGCTAAGAGTATATAATCGCAGCTCATCATATTTGTTCCGCACGTTAGTAAATTACAAAGAATTACAAACTATGCAGACATGCATTGACGTGTGCATAGATACTTTAAAACCCTGGTCATTCTAAAATAGTTAAAATGTTCAATGCCTGAGTGAGTAAAGTGTTTCCTGCTTGTTTCAGCGTTTATATATTAAAAGAATTAACTAAAACTGTGTGTGTGTACATTGCGATTGGATATACCCTAAGTACCTGCTACATGTCGTCTTCCACGGGACTATAAGCTCTAAATTAGCATTGTTTATTGCTTTATTCGCGTTATATACGACGATTTTTTATGAATCGGTTACTTCTCTAAGAGAATATCAATATTTTAAATCTTGGGTGGCCTTTGTCATCAAAGGCGTTGAAAATATCGAAGGCAATATCTTCAGCTACTTCGCTGAGCTGTAATTTTCTTTTTGGCGCAGGCGTTTTTAATCTCATTGAGGCATCTTTGTGCCAAGGTTAAGGTATCTTGAATCTTATTTTACTACGTTTGCTGAAGACACGCTGTTTTGATTTGTATACTACCAACACAGTTATCCTAACGGCATGATTAACTGAGGAAGGCTGTAACACATTAGACTCGGTAAAACATCACAATTCCATTTGTTAACTGCCTTCCACTGTTGGCATTAAATGTCATGTCAAAGTCTGAGTTCACCAGATACGCCGTATATCACATTTCTACACAAGAGGTATATCCTACTCATCAAAGTATTAGAGGATGTTACGATCTTGGAAATCAGAAATCATCGGGAATCTTTATTGTTTAATGTTTCCTGAATATTTTTACATAAAAAGTGTAAAAAGCAAAGAAATTCAGTGTATTAGAGATGCATTGGTTTGTTAAAAGATATGACGGAAACATGATAGAAGATATGAGTATATGATAGGATACAGGAAAGCTTTGCAACAAAGATTCTAGCACTAAGTAAATATCGTTTGTCTGCAAATTGCGGTGCGTCATGATATTCCTAATTAGGTCTCTTGTAGGTATGTGCACACGCACGAGCGTCGTTTTCGAGCGTTTTAAAATGTTTTTGGTCTTGGTTGTTTTTGACGCACTGCATCTCCAGCGATCCAAGAGAAGATATTCTCAATGTGTTAAATTAGCTTCGACTTCCATTGTGAGGAACTAAATTGACGGTGTTTGAAACAGTTTTGGCGTGAAAACGAAAATGAAAAGGCCCGACTAAAGGTTACCGCGCACAGTTGTGACATTCGTAGTTTTGCAAGCGTGTTTTGGGCTTTTTTTTTACTTTTAAGAAAAGACGTTTTTTTGCACTTTTTTACACTTCCTTGTCTGACAGTCTACCTACTTCAATTAGATACGATACGCCATAGTTTTGCAACCTGATTAAATGGTTAGTGTATGAAGAACAATTTCTGAACAGAACACCATGGAATTCAATTTGGTAATTTATTTCTTTAGTAATGTTGTTTACATTTGTTATATTCATACAATAATTAGCCAATAACGTAAATTCTTTTTAAAAAATTGTGTCTTAATTGTGTCTGGGAAATAAAGTTTATAACTAATTCGTCAGTAATACCGCGTCTAAAAGGAATGTGAGAACATGCAGTACAATGCAGTAGTGAAAATCAGCTAAATGATCATCCCATCGTTTATAAAGAAATAGAGAGGCTAAGAGCCTAGGACATTTCATCAACCTCGTACCCAGGGTCTTTCGTGCATTTCATTATCAGTTCAATCTGTGAACTGAAAGTTAAAACTGCTTCCACTACTGCGCAATTTATCTGGAACAATGTAAAGACGATCTGGTAGAGACAGTCCTCTGATCCTCTTGGCTGTTGTCAGTGTTATTTATGTCGTTGTTTGTCTAGTCTTTTACAAGATTTGCTTTAAATCCTTTTAATTGTGGGACTATAAGGCTTATTTCAGACGTCGAACTTTTCATGTGCCGAACCTAATGTTAATCAGCTAGTTTTTGTTTGTAAGCATTCGATTCTGCACGTGCATGAAAAGTTCGACGTCTGTAACGGGCCCAACCTGTCTCATACAAACGAGGACTTTTCAAACAAAATGCCCTTCATTTTAGCTGGGCCTGGGTTAAGAGATATATGTCAAAGATATAACTTAACTATATCATATGATCATAAATAGAAAACCACCAGCAAGATCAAGACAATGCGATTTCAGTTTTATTAAGCTTTACTTCAAGACCTACTTATACAAGCACTCGTGCAAAACATACATATTTATTCTCGAATTCTTATTCATTGTAACCTTGTTGTGGAAATTTCCAGAAGTCCTCTTGTATATTTGCTAAACAGTAAACTTGCTAAACTACATTTGATGACAAGTTATTTGGCACACTCCCCACGCTGATCCCTATTTACCGCATACTTCAGACGCTCACGATTCTCAATCCATTTGTTCCAGGGTTACAGTAAATCAGATGGTAATGTCAAAGAAGAAAATTCACGGATCTCGGAAGCATTGGTCGTAAGTTTCCTCCTTGCTAGCATGTCAGTATTTCATTCCGTCATATAAGTGTTCTTCCTTAAGAAGAAGAAGGAAAGGCTAAATTGAAAAGGGATTATAAATATGTCCAGCAGTAACGTAGATTTACGGTGATGGAACAATCTTTTAAGTTAAAGCCGAGGTAGATCCATTTACTCAAACTGTTTTGGTGTCTTACATGAGGTAGCGTAGACATGCATAGGTATAATATAGATATAAATATAGAATATGAAATTTCTATATTTCTGACAGTCTTCGCCAGTTGATCTATTATATTTAGCCATTGCCACTTGCCATGTACAGTTTTGCAAATAGTTCAGTCTATGTTTAGCATCAGGATTATCACGTATTTTCCGGAAACAACGTTTGAAACAGAAAAGCATTTAACTGTTCTGAACAGGCTTGAATTTTTATTCAGTGCGAGATTAATTTTGCATGCGCAACCTGTGTATATAAAAGGTGTTAATTTGGAGTGCCGTTGAATTAGGAAAAGCTAACAGTGCTTAATTTACATAGTTTGTTTTCCATTTAATGGCAATGATCCATGTTTATATTAGTGAATTAAAACATCATAATGAAAGAAATTTGCATGTTTTATTAACTTCTGACAGTTAAAACGTTCGCATAAACATTCCTATCTCTATAGCGGGGACTATAATTGAATCTACACCCCCCTAAGAGGTTTTATAAGTGCAGCGGTCAAACCGCATATATACGCACTGCGTTGTCGTCTCCATGAACGACATGAGGCTTTCTTTTGTATATATAATGTAATATAAACTCATACTTTTACGAACTAAGTAAACTACTGGATGATATTTCAAACATTTCGTCTTGAAATAAACGTTCAAAACATTCTCCTCTTGCTCTGCCCCGGAAGGATAATTGAGCGGTGACATTTTGGTGCTGAAAAGCTAGTTTTCACGAAAGTGCCACTTTGGAATCTCACGAGACGATGCATTCATCATATTCATCCCTAACTAAACTGAAGGTAAATATAGTTATCCCGTATCTGTAAATCGGTATTACGTTGAGTGAAAATAGAAGTGTTATTTATATAACGCGTGAAGTATGCCGCTTGTATGCGGAAAACGCTTCCTACTCAATTGGGGATAAGATGTATAGCTAGAGTGCAAATTAATGTCGCTTGTATGTATATAGCTATACATGCACATACAAAATGAGGTTTCAAATAACTGCGCGTGCATAATCGTTGAGTTGTTCGAAGTCTACACATTCATGATTCACTCAAACAAGCTATACATACAAACGGCTTTACAATTGAGTGGAGCAATTAGTATTCTGGATTCAATTCAAACGAGCATTTGTGTAATATTCTTGTTCTCATCCACCTTTTTTATAAGCTAATATATAAGATTTTCAGATGATGTGTGTATATATACAACATACTCTATAAAAACGTGAAACATGAAGTAGCCCAATAAGTACAGGCAACAGGCATATACATGCAGATGTATACAGCAGACAAGTTTTATATAAATCTAATAGCTATATAATCAACTAGACAAATGCTGCGGTGGAGTGAACGTTTTTGAAAAAGCAGTTTGAAAAAGGACCATTATATAGGATCACCACATTAAAGGATCACCACAACCATAACATAATGTCGAATTATTTCATCACTTGTCCTAATAGATGGATAAATGACTTGGTATAGGAGAATATTAATGAAAAAATATATTTCTTGACATGCATGCATGTGAATCATTGCTGCGTGATCTAGATAAATCATTATTTGAGACGGAGCATTGCATGGCAATCGTATCATATAGTGAGATGCATGGATGGTATATAATAGTGGATGGTATATAACGATAGATATAAATGCACTTGATGGGCCGGCCTTCCGCCTACATGCTGGATTGACACGTGCGCTGTAAAGTATTGTATTTCATTCTGTCTGAAGAAGACTTTGTAATAAAGTCGAAAATTTACAGTCTCAATCTGTGTCTTGTTTTTAATTATATTTTGATCCTCAAGATGTCTTGTTTGTTCGGAATTTGCTTTTTACTTTACTTTTTTAAATTGTCGGCTGGTCATGGTTTTTTTTATAAATGCACTTTTTGAGTCAAGTTTATTTCGTGTCCTACGAAACGTGTTTATACCTGTATGTAGCAGGCTATTTTGATGCATGGGCTTGAACCAGGTACGATGCTGAATGAGCAATTGATAATTACACGAATCTTAATTGGTCACTATAATTGCACGTTAACCAGCAGACAGTTTAGTTTATTTTGCATTAGCCGTGTAAACGCATGATTCGGGTTATTCAGCCAAAATAAGCAACAAGTGGCAAGAGATTTTTATTCAACTGGTTGCTACAAATCCTGGAAACTTTACAACCCTTTTGAAATAACAGACTAAGATTGCAAGTCACAAAGGCTCGTGTAAACTTCCTTGCCATTTACGTCTGACAGAGGCGATTAATGATATTGTTAATATGCACAGGTTTGATATAGTGGTTTAAATCCGAGCTTTGGTTTCCCTTTTCTTTTCTCGTTCAAATTCTTATAATTCTCATCCACCGCTGATCTGGTCAATCAGGTTTTACCAGCTCGTGCGTGGCACGTAGTTTAAAACGAGTTCTGCCGCTGACCGCATGAGAGACAGTGCTGTGGGAACAATTGCTGGCGCACGATATTTAGTTACCAAAATTTGAAATATATTTAAATACTTTTAAATAAGTTCGGGCAAATTAGCTGGGTAAATTTAGCCATGAATTATCATTCAATAATATTTAAGACTAATCGCTGTGAGCAAAGCTTGGGTTCTTCGTCATACGTTAAGGAAATTTGGCTAATTCAGCATGCTAAACAATTAATTTCCCATGCAGCTATGCAGTTAAAAACATATTTTAGTCTTAAAATGAAGTCTGAACTTTGTTAAAGCAAAGCAGGCATATGGATATACGTATGGAAATTTAGATCTACATAACACTCTTTTAATTTAGTGACTTTAAATTGGTTGTTTTTTTTATCAGGTGGTATTAAATAAAAATTTTCATTTTTATTGTTTCCATTGCACAATCTAAAGTTGTGCAAGTAGTTTTTTCTAGTGCACGCTGCTTTCACTATATTCAATCACTCACAATATCAATCGTACCGTGCTCAGTGAACGCATTTAATCACGAATCCAAATAATGTGGCTGATAGAATTATTACTTATGAACACAAATTGTTTACTTGATAAATAATTCAATAACATTCTATTTTTGGTGTTATATAAAACAAATAATGAATGTTTTCATTCGTGCATTTGGTGAAAGTTGGAATGAATGCCATTCAACTTGGCTTTGCCTCGTTTAATGAAACATTCCATCTTTTACCTCATGAAGATATATTCTTACTATTGAACTCATAAATATTTATTATTAGCATACATACTATTGCAAGCAGAAGTAAAACTGCACCAAAGTCGCAATTTGTATAGGTTTTTTTTGCATAATTTTGTATAGGTTTTACTGTAGTTTTGAGTGCAGTTACGATAAAGATTGCAGGAGAGAGTGCATTTAAGCAGGGCTGAAACTAGATGCGATAATAATTGGGAGGTTAATTTTTTATATATTCGTATAAACCCGACGGATTTGTTTTGACGTACATGCGTTTTTAAGAGAAAGCCGCCAGGCAGAACTGAATAGACACCACCTCTTCCGAACCATTCTCTGTAAACGATTGAAACACAAAGACTTGAAAGAAAACTATATTTATAATTTTCAGTAAAATACACACGAGAGCATGTTTGTAATTGAAACTATTACTTGTTAATGATGTAGATGAGAGAATGTCTTGTCTTGAGCGAAGACTGAAGAGTGCGTTCAAATTTTAAAATTTCACAATAGTCCACTCCTCTTAGCTAATTGGCATCAAGAACATTTCCATCTAAATTATTGCGTATTAATTTACTGCAACCGGGAAGATAGGAACATGTAATCAATGACAACGTACATGCTATTAATAACTAAGATATATTTTCAAGAGTTCGTCGGGTGGTAGCTAAAATTGTAATTAAATAAACTTGACTCATCAAACATTTTTATATTAATCTTATCGTGCTTGTCGTATACAACCTATTCAAAGTCCAAATGTCAATTTTAATGAATTGTTTTTTTATGATCGTCATACCGCCATTTTCTTTAATTAGATATCTTGGCCTATGTTAAATTTTGGCTACTGCCCGTATATAAGAAAAAATACTATCTTCTGTTATCGTTGTTCAAAAGTAGAGAAAGAAAGCTAAAAACATATGTAATGGAAATTCTCAATTATATATCCCCAATTTTGATGATATTCTATGGTAGACCACAAACACCTTTGGTAGAAGCGAAAGCAAGAGGTAATGCGCATTAACGCATGTAGCTATAAGGAATAGCGTATAGTGCTACATGGACGAGTTAGCTTACCATTGCTTACCCATTTGTAGCCGCTGACGTGCATGTACTGCATGTATTTACAACACGAAAGAAACGGTGAAGATATACTGTAATTATATATTCATGCAACATGATACAAACATTTCCCTTGCATCTATACTACTATTCTTTCTCAGCAAACGAGTATTACAATAAAACCTCATCTTAATTCTCGTGATCATTTCTCGTGATCATTGCCATTCAACACGTTCTGTAAAAATATAAAAGAACGGCGTTGAACGATCCATGCTTCAGGCTGTAGAATATTGTGCAATACGCATGACACTGAAAAGCACACTGGAGGGGGAGGGGCATATTCATATATAATAATCTTTCGGCTGGCTGATATCTTCTAATAGCGACAGTTTTTAAAGAACGTTGACATGAATATATGCATATGAATGTACATCCCCAATTATCGCGCCCGTAGTAAGGGACCTGCGTTGCAATCGATTTTTTGAATGAAAATTTGCTATACTGTACTATAGGATTGGCGAAAACAAGAATTGGTTCGGGTTTAATTAAGTATGTGGTTAATCCAAGGGCTTTATTGGCAAAACCGCGAAATGCAAAATATTTCTTATCATAAGATAGTTATAATTGCAGAGCTACAATGATAAACGCAGTGGCACCTGTCTTGGCAACTTTAAATCATTTGCATTGTGCAGATGTATTCTACTCGGTTAAAGGCAGATGAAGAGTCAACGTCTTCAAACTGTCGTGCTTCATGTCAGCACACTTCTGCTGGCTTATACGAAATAGAATTGTAGCTATTTTAAAGAGGAGGGACAATGAAATCTTCACCAGTTACACGTTCCAAGTCAATATGGCAGAGAATACTCGAGGTATACTATATATATTGATGGCATTTTGACAATTTTGGCAAATTGACAAGCACTTCAAATGGTCCCGCTCAATTCAGTTATAGTTGTGAATTTACAAGTATTTGCAGGCCATCTTCATTCTTATATATATACTCACTTCAAAAATCATTTCACGAAATTCCTTGTGTCAGTATATTTTATTGAATTTTTCCTTCAACAACGGGAGGTTAATGAAGCCAGTTTTCCTTTGCCAATTCTTATTCCTGCTTTTGAGTAATGTTGTTGTCCAGGCACGATTCGGGCACGATTGCAAATTCTTTGTTTGATATATATTAAACAAAATAACATTATAGCGCAGCCGCGAAGAGAATTGTCACACGCGTTACGTTTGCTATAGCTTGAATGTTTTGTGTAATTATTTAAGACATCACAGTTGTGTCTTTTTTTCGGGGCGAAATCCCTGTTTGAGCTGACACAATTACGAAAATACTTGGAGAATAATAATCAGACACATACAAATACGGAAACTGTCACGTTGATCCATTATAAATATACGAATATACATATATATATATATATACAGTCCTTTTTAATCCGCTAATGCTTTAAATTATGCACGGAGTCACAACCACAGGTGCAGTTAGTATGTTTTCTTGTATAGTTCTATAATTTACGTATATACTGTACTGTACAGTTGAAAACCTCCAGGCAGGGCTATATGTATATTTTATTTCATCATAATATATTTTAAATAATTTTTATATATTTCTTTGATATTTTTGATCTATTGGAACAAGTCAATTCACTTTTTCATGTGTGTCCAGTACCTGTCTCGCTAATGAACAAAACTGTTGCCAAGGGAACCAAACTTTTAGCACGTTGCATGTCAGCGAAACACGTCGAGTACTGTGAATATTTCATCCATATGCCTGTGTCAAACTCAGCAATCCAACTGCACTATTGTATGATGCCTTGCACTATTGTAGCCAATAATGTGGACTATAGATACACTTATATATGAATAGGATAAAAATATATAAAATGGACATGGATAAAGTTATAAACATATTATAGATTTTGTTGTACAAGTTGGGGCAAAACTCCAAAAGATTACGATTGCTTAAATTAAAAGAAAGTCGAAGGTTTTAAAACTAAACGAAAAAAAAATGAAATGACACCAAAAGTAATAACATTTTGATATGCCATCAACATCTTCATGCCATATTGTCGATTTGTCGTCGTTGACAAAGATATACATATTTACATAAACACTTTTTCAGCTGATGCATTTTGCTAAATAGCCCATCAAATTTTAACATAAATGGCAATAACTTGTGTTGGACGCTGTGTTAGACAGCAGCTCCATTTGTGTATTCCAAACAAACCTTTGGACGTTGGACATCAGAACATATATGAAGCACACGGTCTCAGAAATTTGTGACATGAGCGTCGTATAATTATATGTATACTAATTTGCATCCATACAAATAATTACCTTCATATTTTACTATATAAAATTCTAAGAGTAAGAGTATTAAAATTGCTTAGTCGTAATTTTTAACTGCCGTATTTTTTTGTCTCACTCGCGGATGGATAGAATCCGATCGAAGAGTTATTCGCCAAATTGGGTGGCAAGACCCCCAGCCTGATAAAATAGAAAACAATTTGATAAATGACAATTGCATTACCTATTTTTACCTGAGGTTTATAAAAAGCAAAGTTAGTTCAGAAATCAGAAGCTGTTTAGTTCATAAAAAGATTAGCGTGACACTCCGCTATAAACTGATGATATATACTAGATATAAAGATGAACTTGTGTAAGAAACTGTATGTATTTAAGGAGTCCAGTTTGCATAAATCAATCCCAAAGTCGTGTGTTGATAGAGACGCCGGTAAAGAAGAAATCTCCTCGATTCTGGGTCTCCGGAATTAAGTTTATTAATTTTGGCTTCTCCTGATTCAGATCAGCGGTCCCTTGAGTATCGTCAATTAATGATTATAGCCGATTGTCGATTAGAAAAAAAAAAGTTATCAGAAAATTCAAAATCCGGTAGTGCTATATATAGAAGGCGGAATAGCCTTGCATTATCAATAAAACTCTCTTTATAGACTGCGAGAAATTACCATGCAGCTATTTGAAAAGTAATTTTAAAATAAGGTTCGTTTCGTCGCTTTGCAGGCAGGCATCCGCGTGTCATTTTGAAATCCCGTCTTTTCTCATCGCGTCAAAAACAACTGTACTTGCAATGAAAAACCCCTAGAATCAGTTTCGGACAATAAAAATGAATAAATAATGTAAGTCCTCTATAGCAGTGGCGCCAAAAGATCTGTAATAATTACATGAATATCAGTATTGCGTGACAAGGCAGCAATATGCTAATGTTAATAATTGAGTCATTTGTTAAACAAAAGTCTGATGTCGGGGCAAAAAGTAACTAACATAATAACATAAAATCGTCAAAAATAGAAAAAAAAAACAGTGCCAAAATGGCTGATTTGTCTAAAGATAAATCCCTACAATTGCAAGTTACAAAAAGTTCCGGACTCAGCCTTAAGTTGACTTCAGCGGGGCGTCAAAGCATTGGCAGAGCATTGGTTTGTTTGAATTTTAATTTATTATTATAAGAATATATTCTCGTCCTTTCTATCATTCATCGGTGGTATTTACTATCTTGCGTGTATATATGTATGTAACCGTAATCCTTAAGATTTATTAAAATGGAGTGAGTTGTGACATTTGGCTAGTCGATTTGTTTAACACCTTTTACGAGCTGAGACCCGTGCAGCTAATTTATGAATAAAATATGACACACGATTTTGAAAAAACACCATCAATTTATTGCATTTGCAGTAGCTTTTTATAGGAGCTGCTGTTTTATTTAAATTAATTTTATTACTCTGACCTCCAGTATGGCGTAGCCAAACTGACGATTTTGTCCCGCGATGCTATTTTGCATGATGTTCTCGTATTGTCAGCGAAAACAATAAATTCCTATGAGAAATGAATAACGATAATATGACTTGGCTAAAAAGCTGGACTAAATCGCCAGGCTGGCTACGCTGCACGGATGACAAAAAAGTATAAAATTACTCCATTAGCTAATGAGCCTGGAGTCTAGGAGATCTTGGGAGTTGGGAGTCAAAATATGAATCAAGCAAGACACAGGTTGAGACAGGTTCAAAGTCAGACAGAATCATATTTTGAAATAAAGTCGAAAATTTACAGTCTCAACCTGTGTCTTTTATTCGGAATTTGTTTTTACTTTTTTAAACTGTCTGCTGATCATGGTAATTGTCTGCCTCCTCCGTTGAGTTTTTGTTGGAACTATTAAGCCGGTTTTTCACTAGTGCAGTCATAGTGCATATACATATACACGGCCAAAAATTGATCAGGTTGTTGCATCAGGGGTGAACAATGTTGTGCTGCACCCCATAAACAGTATTGTTAACATGCAATGTTGTTGAGCCTTGCTGAATCATCAGTGTTGATGCAATGTTGTTGTAACAAGTTGCAACAGCATTGATAGTTCAACAAGTTTCGACAACATTGTTAGCAATACTGTTTGCAGGGTGCAGCATGCACAACATTGTTCACTCCTGTTTTTAACAACTTGCATCAACATGATGATTTTTACGCGTGTAGTTCAGTGGCTATAATCATTCACTGTTTTCAGTATGCTCTTTGATACCTGTTTAACAGGGATAATGTTGTTTTTTTTTTTTTACATACAATGATAATCTCATTTTGTTTGCCCATCATTAACACCAGTTCATCGTGCATGTGTTTTCTGAGTAGCGCATTCCACGCGACAAGACGCTAGCACAGTTTAATGATACGCGAGGTCTATATAACTAGGCTTACTTCATGTAATATATATATATATATAGCCGTCCTAAGTTTAACAGAACTCGTCTAAACTAAACTGTTAATGACTATTATGATAACGCAGCCGGCCCTCTTAAACCCAAACTTTCTCATTCTGATTGAAATCATGCCGGCAGTTGCTGTGAGTATATGTATAGTTGGTTGTGAGGTTGACCCCATTCTTTACTATCTGATTTTTGGCTAATATCCTCTTGTACAAAATTGTTCATTAATGTTTTTTTAATGTCTCTCTCTACCGTTAACTGATCGAAAATATACTAGCCATGCAATGGAACCTCCCAAGTCACGGTGAATAACTCGTTATATATAAGCATTTTAGGCCGATAGTGACTAAAAAAAACTCATTTGGTTTCCTGATATATCAATTTAATTCGTGGGGTTGGTGGGCGGTTGATTTTGACTTAAGTGTGCGTCCATGTTTCTGTCTTTACCTGATACGCCTGTTTTCCACTTCAACCGTATCGTAGCGTAGCATATTTCTTTGTTTTCGAAGTATTCGACCAGAACTAATGACTTTAAAACTATGAGATACGCTACGTTTCGTTACGATACGGTTGAAGTGAAAAACGGCCTTAAGTTTCGTGGGGTTTTTCGTTGCGTTTGAAACGCAGTTCATAATCATAATGATCTAATTATCATGCTTGATTTATTTATCAGTCGCTGAAGTGGGATTGCATGAAAAAAATCGGTAGAGATGCTATGATAAAAATTTAAAAGTTTAAATAGTGTTTTAATGTTTTCAAAATGTGTTTAGTTCAACGATTTCGGGATATTTTTTATAAATACGCAGTTCGTTGACGAACAGGTAGACGTTTAATCTAGTCGGACGTCTCCTGTTGCTATTCGAACATACCATCCCTGAGTTTTTCATTACAGTGTCAGTAAAAAAATATTTTCAATGAAACGTTCGTGTCAAACTTTTTTTCAGTCGATAAATTAGCAGCAATTAGGGGTTTTATTACCATTATTATTTCGTTTTTCGGGAAACTCAAGACAAGTAGTTGTCTTATACTTTGTTTTGTTTCAACTAAACACCATTTTTAATATGAGCACCTGCTTCACCACCTCAACATGAGTCTCGCTTGCGATGAATTAAGGAAATTAAACTGATGCACGTGTATAAGGTAGCTTATTGTTTTTCAGCATGCATGCATGTCTCAAATAGTGAGACGATGGCAACTGTTTATTCACTTATTAATATGGATATACTGAGTTGGTCAAACGTGAACGTCATATATTAAGTGCCCAGATGCGTCATTATTATAAGTGGATGCCAGATGGGTAAAAGTTCTCAGATCGTCAGTATGACAGGCAGAAGTTGACAGTGACAGACTGACAGTGACAAAACAAATGTTTCGTAGCTTTCTTATGCTCTTACCTTTCTTCTACTCTTAGCTTTCAAACGATCACGATTCATTATAATAAATAAAGTTTATACTATCTTTAACAATTAATGAAGAAAGATAACAGTGTTAGTTTGCCTTTAGGACAAATCCGAAAGGTAGGTATGCATTTCGATTTTATATAACTCCGCTAAAACACACTGGATTACCCAGCACGTGCATGTTTTACCTAAATCCCCACAAGCGGCTATCTACATGCATGTTTTTTTACAACTTGGGCACTTATACTAAGTCTGCTGCTGTTCTGCTGCATGCTTTAAATAAACTTTGAACGCCAAGGTTATTTTAGCCTTCAAGCTTTGATTTTCTCAATATTCAAGGTTACTTTCGCAACCATGAAGGTTCCGTCCTATAATACTTTTTCAGTGTACGTAACTTACCTAATATTATCAATTGGATTACTAAAACAGCATTTAATCAATTCTGAATAGAACCCTCTCCCCCCTATATAATACAAGTCTTTACTAATTTAGTTTTCTTTTAAAGGTTATGTCCCTGAGCCCTACAATAAGTTACAAAGCAGCAGAACCAACATTTTATCCTTGGACAATTAGACATGATTCGTTGTGCAAAGCAATCTGGGACTGGATAGTCCTATTACTGGTCATCTATACTGCAATTGAAGTTCCTTATAATGTTGCCTTCATATTACCCATGTATACGAAAGTTCAATATAAAACCACCTGGGAAATTATCAACTTGCACGTCGACTTTATGTTTGTTATCGACGTGATCATAAACTTTCGGACAACCTACGTGCAAGGGAGAAGCGCCAAGGTGGTTTCTAATCCAAAGAAAATAGCTCGCCATTATTTGAAAACTTGGTTCTTTGCTGATTTCATTTCCGCAATTCCATTTGACTTGTTTTCATTGATCAGTTCTAAAGTGGTAAGTATACGTGTTCGCGATAGATTATAAAAATTCTCATAATGATGACTCCGTTTGAAAAACTTCAATCATACCTTTCTCTGCCTATATGCTATAGTCATATCAGCGCGGATCATGCAAAATTTATGTTATTATAATTTTATTAATTTATCAGCTATATCTTCTATATATCTTCATTATCCTCTGCTCGAATTGCCATAGCAATAATATATATTTTGTTTATTTTGAAACGAGTGTACTGCACTAAGATTTTAACTTCAAAATAATTTTAACCGTTTTATCTTAAGGAATATTCGCTGCTCAGTCTTCTTAAAACGGCTCGACTCTTACGACTGGTTCGGGTTGCCAGGAAATTGGATCGTTACTCAGAGTATGGAATAGCTGTGATTTTTCTTCTGATGGGTCTATTTACATTGACTGCTCACTGGCTGGCATGTATTTGGTATGCTATAGGAAGAGTAGAAAAAGATAATCATCCTGCTAACTGGATTAATATTCTTTCCCGCGAACTCTCTGGCAACAAAGATTTTGCCAACTCAACCGATGTCACGTTGACAGAGTGCTATCTTTCCGCCATTTATTTCACTCTGAGCAGTCTAACCAGTGTTGGGTTTGGTAATGTCTCTGCTAATACAAATGCCGAGAAGATCTTTGCTGTGTGTTCTATGTTAGTTGGTGGTAAGTCATGCAGTGTATACACTGATATCATTAGCTTTACTTAGTTTTAGTGTATATCAAAGATAACTATATAAACCCTAAACCAGAGTCCAGGCCAGACCGGATCATTTTCATTACTTTCTAATTTCTATATAAAATTTTTATCCTAATTTTTCCAACAATCACTATATCAAAGAATATACTTAACCTTCTTTATGTAAGTAGTATACAGCCACATGATCAGTAAGTATCTACCTAATGTGAACGAGTTTTGTGATTGGCTTTTTGTAACAATAGTAAGCAGTATTTATAAGTTTTTCTTTTAGAAATCAATTTCTATTGTGTTTCATTGTTATCATCAACCAATAGCAAAGCTTGTTCAGTTAGGTACGTACCGACCCCACATGATATGTTCTTACAGAGACATTCATTTTCAACTTATTTGCAGCTCTAATGTTTGCAACGGTTTTTGGAAATCTTACGGCAATAATACAACGTCTTTACTCCACTACGTCGAAGTACCACAAAGATTTGGCCATTGTACGAGAATTTATCAATTTTTACGAGATTCCACAGCCATTGAGTGATACGCTAGAGGATTACACCAGGAATATTTGGGCACAAACCAAGGGAGTTAATGTTAAGAAGGTCAGTGGCTTTAGAACCAAGAATGTTTAAAAACTTTTTCCCATGCAGTCAATTCTTTTTCAAACATTTCTAAATGTTACAGCTTTAAATGGATTCATTGCTAATTTATTTTTTCATATTTGTGGAAGGTGCTAGAGTTTTTTCCTGAATCGCTACAAACGGACGTGTGTTATCATCTAAGACAAGATCTATTTAACACCATTCCGGCATTCAAAGAAGCTGACCATTCTTGTTTGCGCTCACTGGCTATGAAATTTCGTACTTCTTATTGCTTACCGGAACAATGTGTTGTACGGCGAGGTGATCCAATTCAAGAAATGTATTTCATATGTTCAGGAAGTGTGGAAGTTGTAAGAGATGGAAAATCTATTTTAACATTAGGTAAGCTGTTTCATACCGTGAACTGCATGTTGTTATAGCTGCAAAGGTCTTAAACAGAGGCTTACATGCAAAACATATACTAATATATAGTGTAAAATTAACAAATTCAAGCCTTAACAAGCCGACTCGCCAGAGTGACGAGGGACAAGTCTGATTATGTAAAAAATTACGACTTCAGTGGGTTTATTCTATATTCCCATACTGTACGTATAGAATAAGATATTCTGTCATGATGATATTACGGATTATTGCCATAAAGTGAGACCTAAAGTTTTGTCATGTTTTTGCAGGCAAAGGAGACGTCATAAGCTGTGATTATAAATCACTCAGTCATATTCCAAAGGCAAATTCAGATCTTATAGTTCGTACAATTGCTGAAATACATTCAATAGACTATGAAGATTTATTGGAATGTCTTAGAGCTTATCCGGAGTTTGGAGAGACATTCTTTCAACGCCTTGAAGTGTCATACAGTCTACAAGAATACGAAAACGTAAGTGTTAGCTCATTATTTATCGATCCTAGGTTTCCTTTTCGCCATTTTAATATTTTTCTGTCATCCATAGGTGAGCGAAGGAATGTCAGCACGAGCTCATCGCTTTTCAAACGCTCGAAGTGAACTTTCCTCATTCCAAAGATTTCCTTCCTCAAGCAGCATAAAGCCTCAGGCTAACGGCAGCACGTATATTGACATTCAGGAAACTTCATTTTCAACCAAACATGAAACACAGAAAGTTACTACGGAGCAGAAAAAAGGACTGACTAAAACCTTGTCTGGTAAAAAGGAAACTAATAATACCATCGGAAAAACGGTTGCAAGAAATGAAAATATAGAGGATCGTTTGAGTAATATTGAAAGTCGATTGATTGAACTAGAGAGCACTATCACAACTAATTTTAACGTAATTATTGCTCATGTGGAGAAAAAGAAATGTTTACAAAATTAACGAAATAATGAAGTGAATAGGAATCCAGCTTCTTCCGCGATTAACAGACTTTTCTGGTAATTATATTATGTGTCACAAGTTTATCGTTTTCAATTCAGAATCACCTTGATTTTAATTTGATTGCGAGTTATACTTTCAGGAGTTTTATGAAGATATATCCTTCTTTAAAACATGCATGTATGACTTATGAGAAAAAATATGCCACAATACGAAACAAGGCTCGGGTTTTTCCCTTCAGAGCTCATTCTCGTTGTATCACTTAATTTCCGTTTATTGCATGGTCGAAAAAAAATTTTTTTGCGTAGGGTGATAAAGGACGTTTTGCATGTTTGAACGTAGCCCGTGGGAGTAAAACTTGAAATCCACTTCAAGGTGACTCTAACCGAAAACGATAAAGTTATGACGGGATTATTGGAAAGCTTTATTTAATTATTTCTTTTTGTAAAACTAACAAAATTATTTGGTATAGGGTCACCAAAGTGAACCACAAAAATTACTGACAGAAATATACTGCGTGATCATAAAATTGAATACATCACATGCAATTTCAGTGAGTGACTGATTTTCCTTAGAATGCACCTTTATACATGCAGGAATTTCTAGCTCTGCATATAAAATTCTCATGTGGGTGTCTTCTACCCAGATATCCAAGAATATTTTTGTTGGAAATATAAATTACAGTAGATCGCAATTAATGTCCTGCATTGGATTGTATATAATACGATGTGCATGTATATAATACGATGACCAAGTTATTTGTAAATAATTTTGAATTTAACTTAAAATTTTAACCAAATTTGTAGAAGCATGGCCGACTTTTTAGGAAGGTGATACCCGTATACTAATCACTGATGTGAATATTGATTAATATTTATATTGTATATATACTTTTTAAAAGTTTAAATGTTTGTGTTAGTTTATAGTTTTGATCATGCATGGAAATACACTACTGCACCTCAGGAACTTTAGGCATATAGTCTTATAGAAGGTTCTTGTAAAGCACACAGTTCAATTAGTTCATTTTTTGTATCAATTCTTGACAATAGAATCAGAAATTTAATGCAAATTCCGTCCTCAGTGATAAGAGTCTACGAGAAGTTACCCCAAGATAGAGCTTATTTTGATCTTTACCACATGCAGCCTCTCTCTGCTGTGTTAAACTTTTGTCCGTCATAAAAAAATGGAGGTAAAATCGATCTGGAGCAGGGCCGTCGCTAGAAACTTAATTGCTTGGCGTGTACATTCATATTTTCGTCTTATTTCCGGCTGATTTGCTTGTACCAAGCTTACTGTATCAAGCATGTTACTTCATGCAGAATCATTGCTTTTTGATATTGGCTAACTGCACGTACGTTACATACCTAAATTTCAAATACGCAATGACGCAATCAAAGAAAACGTAAATGTGATATTGCTTATCATATATATGACTTAACTTCGTTACATAATATTGACCTCAAATCTCTATACATAAAGTGTCGTGATGTATTGACTTATCAAATTTCTCCTTTGTGGATGTCCTCATGCAACTACCAGAATTGTAAAGACCAGGGTCTTTTTTGAGAAATTGACTTGGAAAGAGGATAAACGAAATGGAAAGTGGACCTAAATGGAAAGTGTTGATGGTTCCACTCCTTTCCCACGGAAGCGTATATCTGTAAAAAAGACCCTGGTGAAAATTATTTTACTGTCGCTTACTTAAATGTCCAAGTGTAGTTGCCGTTACAACGAGTGTCGAGTTTATATAATGGATTTTGGAACCATGTGAATTTCTAATTGTGCTAATATTTATAACAGATAATGCGAGCTCTCATAGTAACTGTGGGTACCATATAATCAAATACACAAGTTTTTGAAGCATACGCGCGGCAATCCTTCGAGGATTTAAATAGTGAAATATGCTACAGTATGTACTCTATGTGCCTATTTTAGCGTGCTAGAAATACCAAAATGATAGACATTGCAATACTAACACACAGAAGGATAAGGAAAAGTCTATTTAAAACAATAGCTGCCTGTCGCCATTGGTAACGATTCTTTTTTCTTTCTAAATGATCCGAGAAATATTCTGACAGTTCTTTTAAAAGTTTGATGCTGTCGTGTTTCTTCTTGGTTTCCTGCTTGGCATCAAAAGTTTGATCCAATGCAGGGAAATTAACTTTGCCAATGATTGTACCCTTTTTTCCTAATGTGGATATCTTTTTACTTGCTTTTTCATCTTCAGCAGTATCTAGACAGCAACATAAAATATGAAACAACGTATTCTCCGCTCTACCACTATACATGAAAAGCAAACAATCTTCATGAAACAAACGAGGAACAGCTGCTAGAGTCTAATCTTAGTAATCTGAAGGTCTTGTATACGAAAAGCAATATAAAGGGGCGGAATCCATGTGGATAAATCCGAGTCATTTAATACTTGCGAAAAACGAAAAATACAAAATATCTGCTTTACCTTTCAAAGATGGTGCCTCTCTCACACCACTCGCTTTCTTCTCTTCTTCATTACTATTATTCTCATTTTTGTTTCTCTCGTTGTCAGCTCCCATGTTAACAACTCCCAAGTCTTTTTTTGGTCTCTCTCGACGTCTCTCCTTTTTGTGGGTGCTGGCTAAACCTGGTGCGACTGTATTTGCAAAGATATTGTTGGATTTCTTCGAGGTTTGACTGTTGTTACTCTCACGGGAGGCACTTCTTGAGTTCCGAACATTCTGACTTGCATCGCTTTCTCTGCCCTGATCTTCTACTGAAACAACTGGTTTCTTTTCGACTGCTTCCCCATCGCCTTCATCATCTCCTTCACTTTTATTTCGTTTCTTTCGTCCATCCTTTTTCCCTTCTTTCTTTCCTTTTTTCTTCGAACGCTTTTCGTCATTCTCAGCGGCTGGTTCTTCTTTTAAATCCGTATCATCAACACTATCTTTGGATTCCCTTTTTTCTTTTTTTCTTTTGGGCTTGCTTGCCATTTCCTTGTTTCCGTCATTTTCTTTTTCATTTTTAACCTCGTCTTGGTTTTTCCTGCGTTCCTTGCCTGGTTTTTCTTTTTTCTTTTCTTCTGGTTTATTCTCTGATAAAGTTTCTTCATCAACTATTTTTTTCTTTTTCGATGATTTCTCTTTTTCCTTTTCTACTTTCGTTTTTTTCTCCAAATTATTGGATGCTTTCTCAACAGATTTTATACCTTCGTCTTCCTGTTCTGGTTTTCTCTCCTGGTATTCTTGCGGTGATTCAATCGATTTTTTGTTCTCATTTACTGGTTTAGGCTTGCGTTCATCGTTTTTTGATGCTTTCTCAACCGAGTTCTTACTTTCGTTTTCTGACTTCGCCTTTTTCTCCAGATTATTTGATGCTTTCTCAACAGGTTTCTTGCTTTCGTTTTCCGGTTTTGGCGTTCTCTCCAAATTATTTGATGCTTTCTCAACAGGTTTCTTGTTTTCGTTTTCTGGTTTCGACTTTCTCTCTGGATTATTTATTGATTTTTCGACTGGTTTCTTGTTTTCGTTTTCTTTCACAAATACTTCAGCTGGCGGAAGTAACCCACCGGGCTTTTTTGTTCCAGTATCATGTGCGAGTCTTGATTTTTCTACCCTCACTGGTTTTACTTCAATCACTCTCTGATTATTGACTGGTAAATATTTTTCAAAATTAGTGGAACTGTCGTCTATATGCACGTATTTAAATGGTTTGGAAGATTAGTGATCATGCATACTTGGATTAGTTTGTATCGGCATGAGTCCGCATGACTATACAGACTAATAGACTATACAATATAAATGGACTCTATAAGTATATTTAGGATGTCAAACGCAGAAACGTCATCTTACCAGTGTCCAAAATATCAGAAGGGTAAACCTTGGTAGCGTTTGGAAACTTTAAAGCTTTTCTCAAATGCTTCAGGACACCAATCTGAGAAAAAATACATCAATTGAGAAAGTTGCGTTTGCCAATAAATAGGCGTAGTTATATTGTGAAAATAGTCTTGCAATGCTATAAAATATTTTGGCATTGCATTGGAAAACATGTTACACCAATGTTTTCAAACACGTGCAACAATCGTTGTCCAAATGCGAGCGGTCTATGGAACTTATGTCTTAACAAAATTGATAGCTACAGGTAATATGAAACCAAATATACGCGATGAAACCCAAATGATCAAGAATTTCACCATTTAATAACAAGAATTAGGCTTATAATTACTCTTAGGTTATTGTCAGCCACCTTGTTCAATATAACTTAGAACCTTTAAAATTTATTTTTCTTGTAAAACTGACCTCAACGAATTTTGACATGGAGTAAATTTTCCATCCAGACAAATCATGAAAGTAGTATGCGACTACCCAGCAGGTGCATAACAGAGCACATGTCAAGATGAATATGCAACAGCCATAGAATTTTGATAGCAAAGGAAAAGCGTCGGATCTTGTAGGCATTTTGGTATTTAGTATTGTCAGGTATACGGATAGGCACAACAGTAAATTAATTCCAATTTCTGCAAAATACAAGAGGAAAGCGTTATTAGCGATTTGCCTAGATGGGGAAAATAAGGGCCTCTACAGACTAGGGATTTCCACAACTAAATAAGTCCGATAAAAGATTCCACACACTGGCGCTCAAATACTGATTTAGCAACCGAAATAGCGCGGAGATTAAAAGGAGTCGACAACTAAAACAAAAGTTTTCACACACTAGAAAACGATAAAAAAATGAGGACAACTATTAGTTCACAACGACAACTTGCGCGACAGACTACGTTTTTTGCTGTCGATAACTTTTAGTTGTCGATCACAAATAGTTGTTGACAACTAAATCCCTAGTCTGTGACGCTAACTCTGCGTCAAACTCTGCTCTCATCACACGCTGAATTCAAAGTAGCCCCGGTCCCCGCCGCAGTGCCCATCGAGCAAAGATCCATATTTTACCCTCATCTACAACCTACACTATAGCCTGATATCACTGTTTGTATGCAAGAGTCTCACGTTTGCTCTTGTCAGTTCGCTCTGCAGCTACAGTTATACACAACATATGACTATATATAGATCTCAGAGTTACAAATATGGAGACTATATACTATAAATGACGCTATACCTACCCATGCGTTTTCCCACTTCCGGTGGTAATGTAAACATCATTATGGACAAAATAGCAATCAGAATTGAAGGAATGATATAATTCGAGACATACGAGGAAGCACCACGTCTGATATGGATATTAAAACTAATCATGTAATATGGATGGGGACAGCATGTAAATTTTTTTACAATTGACTTAGGCTCTTTGCCAACAATATGCCATTCGTTATTATGAACGTAGTTTCCAAAATCCAATGCGTTGCTTTCTCGAAGTTTTAATACTAGCTCAGAACCATCGTGCACCCAGGATGTGAACACAAAAGAGCATTTGTGTTCATCATAAGGATAGTCTGCTATAGTCAAGGAACATTGTCCGTAAATAGATCCTGGAAAGTTAAAGTATGCTGTTCCATCTGAAGAAACACTAATCTTCCATGCAAGATCATCTTCGTTCTTCTTCATTCCAATCACATGGCCTGCTTCTGAAGTTAGCCTACGAAAAATGTATTAATGTATTCGTAAACGATCTTTGCCGTTTGCAAATTTTAGCCATCCGCGTCAACGGGTAGAGGGTTCTAAACTCAGTAAACTGAGTTGTAAAGGTCGCAAGTTATATTTGTTCGTTGAAAGCGGTATGGCTGCTGTATCATGCAGTAGACTTTTAAAGACATTCTTAAGGCAACACTGGAAGTAAACGTGTTGTAATCAGACTGTCTCTTTACCAATTCTCTCTCTGAAAGCAACCATCGAGTAACAAATCTTTTGCGATTATGGAAAATAGTTTACATCTAAGCTGCAACTAACTAAAAAACTGACTACATAATAGTGATCGATGATTCAGGGATTTGTTGCCATGTTGCATGGAGAATATAATGGTATACAAATTTTATCGTATATGCCCCATCTCGGCCCTAAAAACTGAAACTTGAATTTTAATCAATGATATAGGTATACGCAAGTGTCAACTTTGTTTCAATATGGTTATACTTACGGTTTCATAAGCATGATATCAGGTATCCACAAATAATCCGAGTCAATCTTGAAACTGGATATATTTCTATACATTTTTGGATCCCATTGTAACCTGTGATCTTTCCATGCCTGAAAAGGTAATCATATAGTAGCTATATGGAACCTCTTCCATCGCGATGAACAGCCCATTGACGAAAGGCTGTCATTTCTTTAGAAATTGAGTGAAATTCCACATGCAGTAAGTACATGCATGAAAACCAAAATATTAGCACAGCTAGGACGAATGATCGGGCTGGCTACGCTACTGTATACGGTATATGATTATCCTTTTTTAATGGTTTATAATTCATTACCATTCTATACCAAACATTAAGATTCATCCCCTCCATTCGTTCATCCTGAAAATAAACAGTGAAATATTGTCCATTGTACAAAAGTGCTCATGCATTGTTAAAATCAATTTGTAATTTGTTAGTCATTGTCAGTAAAATATAATCTTCACCGCTTAAGACAAAATGTTATATATATACACCACGCTAAGAATAAAAATCCAATCCAAAGTATATTCACCCATATATGTCAGTATAGACTATGGTGTGATTTGTGGTTAAAAAAAACCCATTTTCATTAACATTGTACCCTAGACACAGTATTAGGCGCCGTTTACACTAAACTCATTTTATTGGCATGGTGCGCCTAAAATGTGTACCGCGTGTGCGTATTTCATTCGTGCTGAAACTTTTTATTGGTTGCCTGAACATGAATGAAAATTGGTACGGGTACCGATTTTGGCCGTGCCGCGCTAATAAATTGAGTGCAGTGTAAATGGAGTTTAAGAATATAACACTGCATGCATCAGTTGCTTGGCGAGAAAACCCTGAAATTGCACAACATTTTTGCCAAAGCACAAAAGGGGAAAGAAATTAGTGAAGAAAAAATCTAGTGTTTTTTCGTGTCCTTAGTATTGCTCCGACATACTACCGTTCTCGCAGAAAGCGACGTATTTCAATTCTTGCATGTTATCGTGTGGGCGAGGGCTAGCTAGCTTGTGTTGTTTCGTTTCGTGAAAGATATACGTTCATTTTTTGTATTTCTATTGCAAACGGTGCGGAATCTAGCTACGCCTTTACGTAGATCATACCTGCATGTAAACTGCTTACAGTGGTGATGCCAATTAATTACAAAGAATTGATAAGAAAGAAATGATTCTGCCATGAGTGATTGTACCGTCATAGCAACTGGTGATGCACTGGAGTGCCGCAGATGATTTGCATATATAAAATTTTGCCCTTGCAATAAGACGCATTTCAAGTTCTCGATGTCATTAGTTAAAACTTCAGTTCTTTTCATTTAAAAACAAGCATTATTATAAGTTCATCGAGCATCACAAGGCATTTTATATACAGTCTTAAACAAAAAGACTGCTGATTTGGCCGAATATATTTCAGCCTAATTCCAAAAAATAGATTTCCATTTGTTTGGTTCACGATTAGAAAATTTATATACGATTTGAAATTAGCTATATTCTCATATTGGCTTTGGTTGATCGGGAAATTCCCAATAATTTACCCTTTAAAATTATAATAAATTGATGTTCTATTGCATCTCGATAATCATCTCGATTAACGGTTGGGCTAAAAAATTATCTGATGCTTGGGAATTACCTTTATAATTAACAGAACTAACATAATTTAATGCAAAAAAGTTGGTTTTCAGCCTTTATACTAACCAGTTTGATCAACTGCGCGACTGCAATTCCAAGGGTGACATTGACTGGCGATTTGGGATCTGGTTGAGGCAAGGCGATCTTGTCATAGTTCAGAAACAAATCATCAAGTAACTTCACATGTTCTTGATACAAAGCTTCATCTCCCCTCACATCTAAGCAAGAATAATTCAGCCCTAATTAAATTTAGGTATGTCGAACGTTTTTATCCATGGAACGAACTCGGCTGAAGAGTGAATTCTGCAGGCAACACTCAAGGGCGCGGTTTTCCAACAGGCGAAATTCTTCGATATCGAACGAGGATTTTCGCTTGATTTTCGTTTCATTAGAAGTCGACCGAATTGGAGTCACTTAATAGGTCGAAATGGAAAATAAAGCCAACGAAAAATTTCGTTTTATCGATAAATTCCGAGCAATTTGTACAAAATTTGCCATGACTTGGCATGACTACTTTTTCAATATCTCGCAAACAAACTTTCCAATTACTAATCTTTTTAGCTGTACTTATGGATTTCTTTAGTTTTAAATGTAGTTTTAAATATATAACGCCTCAGGATTAACAATATTAGAGCATGCAACATGAGTGTTCAGGTAATGTTTCTCCTGAGAAAATGTCTTAATTGATACTTTAGGCACGCCAATACGCGGTCAGCTTATACTGCCGGCGTTTCCTAATGCATTTAGCTTAAGAAAGAAAACAAAATTCGAGCAGCCAATTTGAAAAAATAAGCAAAACTTACAAAAAAAGTCTGATATATGTAAATATTTTATATTTAACCCCATACTAGAACGTTAAACTTACAATGGAAGTCAAAGTAACATGACTGTCATTATTGCTATACATTTTACACCAACCCGAGACTAGATTAAATTGCTTATCCAACTCAAGCACTTATACTTATAACATATTGTAAAATCCCTGATAATTTTTAAAAACTAGTAAGGATGTCTATACATATCACTTGTTTCAGTGAATAACTTTTCTTCTTCAATTCAATAAACTAATTGAAATTTGGCAACTGGGTTTGGATTAAGACGGTCTCCTAAAAATTAGCCATTCTATATGAACGAGGGAGTTTCTAGCATTATATCACTTTTAATATCCTCGTTTATCGAGAACATCCTGAACCAATCCTAATATTACCGCTTATTGCTTTTTATGTTTGTATGCATGATATTGACTATGTGATATTTCACTTACATTGACATCGGAATAAAGTTAACAAGACGAAGACAGCCAGAGAGGCATCAGCATTTATACTTCGTAAGAGCGGCATTTGAAAGAACTGTGGTATGACCGACTACAAATATCAATTCGATCTTCTCTCATTCCGCTTTGTCCCGCTTATTATCTTTCATTGTTTCAGTTTTCATATTTCCATGTTTCATGTACACAGGATGCTGAGGAACCTGCTAATGCGCACAATACGCAATACCAAAACAGGTGTTTTGGGGTTTCGTAGCCTACACCAAAATAAAACCTTTCAAAATATTTGGTATGTTAATGTTCACCAAAATTCTACACTGGCAACATTTCTTTTGGCGATGCCGATGATGCACTTCTAGACATTTAGTCGAATCCTTAGTTTTTATGTTCAAAGCAGTTAAACTTTCAAAGCCTTTATTTCCCCCAAAATTTTCAATTCAAATAGATGGGTTTACTTTGTAAATAATTTCCATATGCTATAAACAAAACAAATTTTGCTAGAAACGGCGGTCCATAATGTATACTGTCTCATGTTAAGAGACATCAATTATGCATGAAAAGGCCTTATAAATAAAGTATATTCTCTTGTGAAAAGTTTTATCATCGTTTGTAAAACGGTCGCAAATTTTGAAATTCTGTAAAGATCTAAATAGTTTTCAACTCTGTATAACCAAATACATTATTCCGATTGGTATAGTGACTTTCTAGCTTTCCTATTCGTCTTTCTATGCCATTAATAACCTGCCTCTAACATGGATAGCTACTTAGTTTCTATAGCGACATTATAAACAAGAATACTTAATGTTGTGTCCTACGGTGCAACGATATATTGAGAATAATTAGACACGTGAGCATGTAAAGATTATCCCTATATAACAAGTCTCGAATCTCGATGCGTTATTAAAAACGCCTGCTGCTTTAAAATTCTGGATATATAATATTTAACATACTGCGATAACTGAATAAGTGGACTAACATGAATAAAGAGTTGTTCTATTAATTCTATAGTCCCAAAGAACATTTTCAAAGAACATTAAAATTGGGCATGTGCATGCAGACTAAAATAAGCTATCACTATCCACTAAATAAACGCCCGCTCTTTCCTTATTAAGCCGGTTTTTCACTAGGCAAAATTTTTCGATCGAACGAAAGAAATCGTCAGCTGAAAAACGGATTTAAATTGTGTTCGATACTGTAGAGGCAGCAGATCCTCGCAGTCTGAACGCTACCTTGCTTAATAAAGAGTTGAGTGTTTTATCAACAAAAACCGAACTTTCTATTGTTAAATACTTAAAGAGATTGTTGAAAGAGACTTATTTTACAAATTACACCATCTGTAAAGATGCGTGGTCAGTGCAATGGGAGCAGTGTAGCAGTTCAGTACAAATAACTTCTCATGAAACTGATGAAAGGGATATCAAATAACGTATTGACGTAACGTTTAACCTACTTTTCCCGACGAAGGCCGAATTTTTTCCTCCAACACCCCCAGGATTGATCGGCGGTTACCATGAATGGGGATTCTAAAGAGAAGGCTCCAAATTAACTGAAATCTCAAACTGTAATAAGAATCTATACAATTGAAGTCGTACTTAAGCTCTGTGAAATAATTATTGATGGATTTAGCAGTTTAAATTTTATTGTTGATTTGTTACCTTTGACATGTTCAAAAAACACATGGAAACGAAGCGAAAATTATGTTCCTGATCAAAGTACATTTCGAAAGTTGAAAAAATTAAAAGTACTTCAGTTTATGGTATATTCAAACTTGGTACGGTCGAATATGCCAAAATATGGTAGAATCAACCTTGGCAAGATCGACTATATATCGGAGTATGCCAGTATGGTATATTCAACATTGGAAAGGTCGAATGTACCGGAATATAGTATAATCCACCTTGGTGAATTCGAATTTGTCGGAATACGGTATATAGCGAGGTAGCACACTATTCCTGACAGTGCCTTGTTTTTTTTCTTGCACCAGGCTGTTTTCGGGCGAACTCTGTATAGTGAACTTGATTTTATGTTTGTACGGATGATCAGATTTATGACTTTTTTGACGTCACAGAAATTTTGAGAAGTGTCATACACCAGAATGCAATTTGATTTTTCGAATTCCCTGGTTGAGACTCGCGAAGGCCATTCTAAACTTGCTGCGTATGGTATGTCTGGCTGTTTATCGAAATATTATTCTGATATGTGAAGATTTTTCAAGGTAAGATTTAGGACTTGGATCGAATTATTACCAAATATTGGCGAAAATTGCATGTATTACTTGCCTCAGAGTTCAGTCCAGCGAATATACGGCAGCACTTCACGGTAGTAACTTCTAGTTAACTTTTTTCACTTACGTAACATGTGTTCTCTATAACATGAAGTAGCGATACGTTTACACGTTTTGGTGGGAAGCAAAAAAAGCCGGAAGGTTTCACTCTTTTTGCACGTTGTGGCGATTTTGTTTGCTTGTCTGTATAAATTAAATATCGAACTAACATATTTTTTAACAAACATATTTTAAAATTAGAGAAGCATTTAAAGAAGTCAAAATTGTGAGTGTAATTCTCGGTAGCAAAGAGGAATTAACAGAGGCAAGAAAAATGCCAAACATCAAAGTATTTGGCGGTAGCTCTCATCCTGAACTTGCAAAGTTGATTTGTGAACGACTTGGTATAAGCTTAGGGCGATGTACCTTAAAGAAATTTTCTAATAAGGAAACAAGGTAAAGTATAGAAATGGTGAGATAAATTCTCTAATGGTACGATGGTATATTGTAATGTTTCTGGCCAGATTTCTGGTCATACTATATTATAAAACCGAAGTGGCGGGCAAATTTCGCGCCAGAGTCATGGCGCTAAAAATTTTTTCTTTATATCTGAAAAAATTGTTTTAAATGGATACTCATAGTGTCTGTGTTTGAATTCAGGAAATTTTCTTTGGCCCAAAATATTCACTACTCTTTAATGTTTTTAGTGTTGAGGTTGGTGAATCTGTGAGAGGAGAAGATGTATTCATCATTCAGAGTGGTTGTGGAGATATCAATGACAATTTGATGGAACTTCTTATTTTAATTAATGCATGTAAAATAGCATCAGCTGAAAGAGTAACTGCTGTCATACCTTGCTTTCCTTATGCACGACAAGATAAGAAGGACAAGGTAAATATTGAAAAACCTAAAAAAGATGATTCCTAAACCAGAAATACATAATTTTTCCAATGACTCTGTTTTACAAACTGTTCAATCGGTTTTTATATTTTTTATTGATGAAAAGTATTTGTTTATCCTGTATAATTTATATTGTTTTTCACATAGAGCCGGGCACCAATATCAGCAAAGCTTGTAGCCAATATGCTTTCTGTTGCCGGAGCTGATCACATTATAACAATGGATCTTCATGCATCCCAAATACAGGTACAAATTTGGTACTATATGCTATTCAGCATGTGAAGCTTAAGGTTAGCAAATTACAATGTAAGCCATCTTACTCCTAGGGCTTCTTTGATATACCAGTTGACAACCTGTATGCTGAACCAGCTGTACTTAAGTGGATTAAGGAGAACGTAACTGATTGGAATGAGTCAGTCATTGTTTCCCCGGATGCTGGTGGTGCAAAGAGGTTAGCACCATTGGTTACCATATGACATTCTAGTAATCCAGTGACTTTTATATGTACCTATGTAAACTGTAATATGTATATGTATGTAAGAAGGAAGTTGGGCACCCCAAAAAGTGCTAATAACCATAGCCTATATAAGTCTTGTATTGCATTTTACTTTTTATTTAGAGTGACTTCAATTGCTGATCGACTGAACGTAGAATTTGCCTTGATTCATAAAGAGGTAGATAGACATTCAATATTCTTTCATTGGCAATAGTCTGATATTAACTTGTATGAGTCCTTACCCTGCCCATAAGCGTTATTTTAGAACATAGATAAGGTTAAACATCCTGTCCAAATTTTCTGTAAGCTAATTGTTCTGTCAGAATTAAAGTCCTGTCAGCTAAATGTCTGTAAGTGAAAGGTTCTGTCACTGTCAGCAAAATGTCTGTCCCAAAATGTCAAGTCATGGGGGAAAATTCTGAAATATTGCCAGTCAAAAATGTTAGAATAAGTTCTTAAAGTTTTTAAATTAAAGTACTCTCCTTCAATATAGAGAAAGAAGGCAAATGAGGTTGCAAGTATGGTATTGGTTGGTGATGTGAAAAATAAAATTGCTATATTGGTTGATGACATGGCAGACACATGTGGGACGCTTGGATTAGCCTGTCAGAAGTATGCATGTTTCATCATGTTTCATCAATGTAGAACATTCATCTACTGCTGTAGCCATAGTATTTATTGACAGTGAATAAAGTAGCAGAAAAGTTTAGAAAGTAGCATGCCCATTAAGAAAGGTAGATTGGCAAATCGTTCATACAGCCTGCATTATACCTACAATATGGTTTATTCAACATTTTTTACTTTATTCGTATCCCGCTTCTTAGATTGAAAGATGCTGGTGCTAAACAGATATTTGCAATCCTAACGCATGGCATATTATCTGGTCCAGCCTTAAGCAGAATTGATGCCACAGATATTGAGGCAGTTGTTGTTACAAATACTATTCCACAAGATGAAAAAATGAGGATATGTTCAAGACTAAAGGTGAGCCATCCTAAACACAAAAAACAAAGAGAATATTATATAAAGTAATATGTATATGTCATTAAATTTTATGTATATGTCATTATTTTCATTGCAGGTAATTGATATATCTATGATCCTCGGTGAAGCCATACGAAGAACTCATAATGGAGAGTCAGTTTCGTATTTGTTTAACCACGTTCCTTTGTAAGTCAGGAAAATGACTTATAGCATGTAGGTTATAGCTACAAGTACTGTAAATAGATCTTTATATTCAGTATATAAATTGCTTATCTGTAGTCTGATAAACTACGATTCCTAATAAAAACTACAATTTGAAATCTACCAGACCTTGCACAAATCTTCTGTCCTGATTTTAACTATATTCATTGGGTGGGAATGAAAACAGCCAGGGGACGGAAAATACCTTCTGAGGCCAGATTCAAAGGTAGGTTAGCGCTGACCCTGGGTTAAAATACAGTGTTTTAGTTTATGTTCTTCTGAACCACAGTTGGTTTTAAAACTTTAGAAAATATGACTTCTATCGGTCCAGAAAAGATTTATGAAAGAGGATATTCAACTTTGTAAACAAGTCCTTAAAAAAAAATAATGCCATGGCAAAGACACAGATCACAGATGAGCAGTGGTAAAGATTTGCTATGATATGATATATATGGCTATCATGAAGTACATCACTGGTGTTACCTAGCAACTATATTGAGCTTCAAAATGGCGGACGAAAAAGAAGATTTGGATAAATTTCTGCAGGATGTCGATGATATAGGTGCGTAATTTCTAGCCCAGCCTACCTTATTGTGTGGCTTTCGCAGATTTGTTGCAAAAATTTTAGTTCACGTTGCTGTGTGCATAATCTACATTTTTAGTACACTACAGTATCGTCTGTATAGTCTACGGTTTTTTATATGAATATTATAAAAATACACTAAAATATTTGATACTAAATATTAACATAATGGCAAATATTTGAGCCTAACAAAAGACGGATGTCTTTAATGTACTATATTTTTAGCATTTGAGTTTTTCTTCTACTGCGCATATTTACGACTTCTTTCTCTTTCTCTAGTATCTCAGTAGTAATCTTCTTTTACTTTCTCTCATTACTTATTTTAAAATCCTTGTGATTATTATGGTTTTTAATAAAGTAGATTAGATTATTAGCAAAGGGAGATGATAATTGATAAAAAATAATTTCATAATTTTTATTTTGTATCCCTTTCTAGGCTCTATCGTTAGGAATCTTTCGTCAAAAGATGAGGAAAGGAACAGAGAGGCAATGGAAGCATCAGAAAAGTTAATGAAAGAGAAAGAAGAGAGAGAAAAAGTGAAGACAAAGTATGACAAAACTTTGATTAATGCACACCCCAGTCCTTCTGAGGTAAGAATATTAGCATGCAACAGTAGATTGTAAAAGATTTAGCTTTATTCCCTGTCAAAACTTTCCCATCTAATATTGATTTCAATTTAATTCTTTAGCAACAATATACAAAGGAGCAAGGTAATAAAAAATACAGAGTGGGACTGTCTGCCTAGCAGCTAGAAAACAAAAGAACTGCCTTGGAAAATTAAAGGACTGCCCATGCATGCACCCAGTGGCATAGCCAGCCTGATGACTTTGTTCCACTATGTAAATTTCGAGTTATTATAACTATTCATATCCTAAGAAATTTATTGTTTTCACAGTCAATGAACAGCAAAACCGGTATGCTAATATTTTCGTGTACACTGACTGTGAAAACAATAAATTTCTAAAGACATGAATAATTATAATAACTCTAAATTTACATAGCGGGACAAAATCGTCAGGCTGGCTACGCCACTGAGCATAGCTGGACAAATCATCAGGCTGGCTATGCTACTGTGCCCTCCTGTCCATGACTTCTTGTTCACAAATTATGAAATACAATACTTGGTTGTCAAAACTTGGTTGCCAAAGTTTGCCTGGTAGCACTTGCTCATACTATGATATTCATTTCAGTTTAAATTACTGCTCCTTAATCTATGCAGACAGGAAAGACTTGTCAGATTTGTTTGAGATATCAGATAGTCTTTTGACTATGCCCAGCAACTAAATGAATTACTAAATAACTGAATAAATAATATTGATTACTGAATAACTAAATGAATTACTGCATCATCATGTAACAGAGCAATATGCATGTTATTATATCAATGAGAATTATAATACATTTTAAGAACAGTTTATGAGAGGAATTGAGCTTGATGCAAAAGAAAGGGGAGAGAGAATGAAGAAAAATGAAGCTGATGCAGAAACTCTAAAGTCTAAAGGGAACAAGGAATTTAAATCCTGTCGTTATCAGGAAGCAATTGATTGTTATACTGCAGCTATTAAATTAGTCAAGTATTTTCCTGCATTGTACACAAATAGAGCTCAGGTGAGTAGCAATGAAGATTGCTGGCAAATAATACTAAACAATCTATATTTTAATATAGCACTGTAAGAATGACTATCCATTCGCAAAACCCCTTCATAGTTATGGTCTGTTATTCATTCATTGACTAAGTTTCTTTGCACACAGGCTTACATAAAACTGGATAAGTTTGATGCCGCTATTGATGATTGTAAATGGGCAATGAAGGTGAGATTAGAGCTATATAGATTCTATTGAAAATATTGCTTTAGTGTTTTTTGGTTTTCACTGCTATGCAATTATTTTATATTATATTATAAAGCCAGGTTCGACAATCAACATTGCATGCATAAGTTAAAAAGCATTTAAATTGTTTACATGTCATTAAACAGGCTGTATCGTACATAATAATGTTGTAGACCTGTTTCTTATGTCGTGTATCATCTTTAAACTCTGATTCGCGCTGTATTTTAGATTGATGAGAAATGCGTGAAGGCTTATGTCCATTGCGGACGAGCATTGCAAAAGAAGCGACTCTTTTCTGAGGTATTAACCCTTTCCTATTACTTTCCAGTCCTCAATTTACTTTAAATCTAAGTAGACCGCATGGACCATGGTTGTTATAAAGTAATCAAATCAGTAAACAAAAAAATAATGAATTGTCACCCTGTAGGCAATTTCGTTCTTCAAAAAAGGTGAAGAAATTGACCCAAATCAAAAAGATGTTATAGCAGGTAGCCGATGCATGCGTGTCATTATACTTTATTATAAAGATAAAATGTTGCGCCAAACTGCAGTTATTTTTTTAAATTATTTTTCTTGGTAGCTTCGTTATTCCAAAAATCGATAGAAATACTATTTTCACAATCCCTTGGTTTTTACATGTAGCTAAGCAAGTGGTTACTTTTTGTTAATTTTAAAAGGTTACATCTCACAGACGGAAAAGGAACAAAAGGAATATGATTTTGAATGTGAGGTAAAGATACAAACTGATAGTCGGTCTAATTCAACTTAGACATATAGATTTAAGTATTTATATATTACGGATGAGGTAATTTTAAATTATTTGAATTATATTAAATTCAAACAAACATTTTTATAGGTCAATGTAAAATATGAGAGCGATCCCTGTCTAAAAGCAGTCGGGGAAATTATTGAAAAACTTAATGAAAAATCTGATTTAAAAGAGTGCACAATATGTGCGCGCCAACTGGTAGAACTACTTGCGAATAGTAAGTATGCTGGTCATATTAGGTATCAGATAGTAAGGGGTATCATTGGCGGGGTGTGATAGCTGAGATATACCGTTGATAGGTTCCAGGACGATATTTCCTGACGACAAGTCGACGTTTGTAGTTTTTCATTACTTTTGTAGGCGATGAATCCAAGACGCTGTTTCGTCTTTTAAAAGGATTTTCTTTCTTTGGCACAACTACTAAATTTTGGAGGTTTGTATTACTGTACGTTCAATATTATAAGTATAACTAAAAGTGTTGTGGTATAATGTCATAAACGAAATATCGTAAGAAGAGTTTTCAGATTTTTTGATAAAAAGGTTTTTTGATAAATTTCTATAAATCACTTCTATATGTCGTTAGGTTTTCGTTACCTTTATGAAGTTTCGACAATGAATGTAATCACGGGCAACTTACCATGTCAAGTTGCATTATATGAAGTCTGATTAGTTTGGAGTTTCAGAGTTTTTAGTTTGGATTTCACACTATACGGATTAAACATACAAATATTTTCGTATCGATTATAGCTATATAGTCTCGATTGTTACATAGCTATATAGCCAAAATACACTAGCAAAATCAACAATTAAAGTTGTCCTAAAGGTAAAAAATCAAAACTGTAGGATCTTGTAAACTTTAGACGCCAAGGGCATAATGAGGGCTCGCTTACTGTAGAATTATCGAGGACAGAATTATACACATGCATGCATGCATTGCATCATATTTACACTGACCCCAATTTGAGTTAACCTGCATGTGTAAACCCCTATGCATTATCCTTTTTTTTGCGTATAGCTATATATACAGAGTTATAGAACGGAATTTTATCAAATATATGTTGATGAACTTATTTATACAATATATATAGATTGTGTGAAAACTGTAGCTCGTGGGAGTCCAACGAGGAGACGTTTGTTCACGAAATGTTGAACCTTGGAGAAATTACTAGTGCTAACAATGGTAAATTTTGGGGAATGGGGGACAATAGATCTTTCTCATAATGGCGTCAAATTCGGAAAGCCTGCAACATCGTGCATAAGAAAGGTTTATTGTCTGATGGGATTTTCCGTATCCCATGTTCCCCTAAATCCATATTTCTTGTGCTGTAGAAGCCTATCACCCAAAAAAGGAGAATGTTGTCGTATTTTCGCAAGAAAATGGTCCCCATTACCTTTTTTCATGGACGAAGATTTTTTGAATTTATGCATACAAGCATAAATAAATAAACCTTATCGTTTTTTCATAAATTTTGATTTGCTACATGCCCTACATCGATTTATATTGCTCTATTTTTCCTCTGACCAACCCGCGGTGCCTGCATGTAAGCTCGGAAAAATTAACAGTCTAACAATATTATGCACAAATTGCGTTTGAATGTTTTTCATTTGAGCGTTATATTACAGTACAATTGCCATATTCGCGTTATATCTTTTTTTTGCTATCCAACGTTCTGAGACATTTTGGAGGTAAAGTCGGTGAATTTTTAATGTTTGTTGTTATAGAACGGAATGCTGGGGAACTTCTTAACTACAAAATAATCGACGTAATACACAAGGTGTGTCAGAAATGCAATGTCCAAAAAGTTCTCTTGGCTTCGGTAAGACTTTTACGTCAGCTGACGGAGTTTACATTGGGAAGACAACATATTGTGGATTATGCTCGTCACAACAGGTGCGTGCATGAACATTTGAACCACGACTTATATGACCTTTAAATTAAAACATGTTTGTCAGTTTGTGAGACATATTAAGCAATAACCTGGTCTGTTTTGTATGTTTTGTGTTACTAGTTGTTTTGTGGAAAGACTTTTGAAATTTGTAGAAGAAAGACATGCAATTTCAAGGATTGTAATGGGATGCATGAACAATTTATCGTTAGACAAGACGTAAGACATGTGGCATACACGTTTATATGAATGAATAATACTTTTTTTTCAAAAGAGTACATAATCTGGGTATTGCCCATGCACTTCCTCTTCGAGCGATTGAACATGAAAAATAGTTGCTCCGAAGAGATTCCTCTTGTTTCAAGGATGAAACATTTTGTCTGCCACCCGAGACATTCATTTGTTGCAGGTATAGGTGTTTTGTCACACCATATTTCAATATTGTCTTCCTGTAGATTTGCTTCAAACAATTCTTCACAACTAGAAAAGATTCTTTTCTCCCTTATCAAAGCACCTATGGTAGGTTGGTACAGTGCAGATTCCGTACATATGCTCTATCATCAGTGAATGTTTGTTGAGATCTGAACATTATATTTATTCATAGACCACGTCCGATAATTCAAAGTTGGATCGAAATGCCCAACTGGCACTTGTAACCACAGGCTTCGCAACATTAGCAAATCTGGCCCGAGTCAAGAGGATAAGGAACAGACTACAGCTTAATGTTCAAGTGTGGATTCTTTGTGTTGATATTCTGGTTAGAAGAACACTCGCTCTATATTTGTTGTTGATTGTACCCCTTTTGTTGGAAATGTCATGAGAGCTACATGAGAGCAGTTGGTTTGAATACTAAAACACCCGAGGCGATTAGCCCACTATTCATGAAAGTGAGGTCCCAGGCTAAAAGATGCGGGGTGTTTTAATAAAGACATACATGCAGGTTCATGTTATCGCTCAAATACATGCTTCAGGAAAAGGAAAATAAACCATAAAATTTCTACAGTGAACAAACCAGGCCCTAATAAAAGAATCGATCAGTTCTAATTAAACGATTTTGATAACCTAGCTTTTTCTTACATTCATCCAGACTGAATATGATAGTATTAACGAAGAAGAAATAGCTGATGTGATTTATGCTTTATTGGGTTTACTGATCAACCTTTTAATTGAAGATTCAATTCATGTAAAGGTATGTTGAGAAAGAGTTGATATTTTGGATCTAACTCAAAGTCTCAAACACTTTGAACTTTGTCTTTGACGTACCAGCGCGCAGAGAAGGGGTAAGAAGTGGTCCTGTAATCGTCCAAATATAACGTACACGTGCAGACCTTACACTCCCTGTAAAGTTTTCTGTGGATGACTCCAAAGTAATGTTAATCGCTCTGACTATAGGATGTTAATTAATTCAATAATTTACTAATTATCGCTTATATGGCAAGACCATGCACCCAACAATTGTTGTTGCGATTTTATGTGCGATTTTCTTCTTCTCGCTGATGTGAACGAGTAAGTTGGGTTATATATATTGAATCAACAGTGCACATATGTGGCATCATGCGTATATCAAAACCCGAATATCAAGCTTGCAAGAATCTTTGACCGCGAGTAAACCAGCCTTTGTTCTATGTTTAGAGTCATGGTATTGCAATAGCTGTGTTGATCTTGAAGTTACTTACTTTAGAAAACATGGATATCGTAGAGGTATATGCATGTAAATGGTTGGTTGTTGTGCTGTGACAGTCTTGCTCTATGTGTAACATAGAAGTAGCTATACTCGGCCCTCGTTTTCGTGATTGAGAGGTTGAGTTCAACTGATGTCATGAAAATGCACATCGACGAAAACGAGACTCATTAGCCGACTGCTTTACTTGTTTTGATGAAGTAAATTAACGTAATTAACAAAGAAACCATAACCACCGCGCGCAGTAAAATGTTTATCTCCATGGGGGTTCTTATATCATCTTGCACGTGCAAAGTGTGAATGTCGAACATTTTCATTGTTGCATGTCGAAACATATTCGTTGCTGGTTTTAACAAAACGAACTTTAAGTATTCTCATTTTCCAGCGTCTGCTTGGCGTCTCACGATTATTGATGACGTATAGTAATGAAGTAGTTCAATTGGTTTGTACTGAATCTACCTACGATGTCTTACTGAAAATCGTTCAGGTACATCATTCTGGCGCAGTACTGCATGAGTATTTATTTATTCTCAGTTTAATAAATTGTAATAGTTATAATCACTAAAGTTATAGTACTATTTTTTTAAGGGCCATATCATTTTTACCAAATAGCCCACTTGGAACTACTTTGCTACTTCTAAACACTTGTCTTTAACCATTTTACTTTTTTAGAGAACCGCGGGCGATACTACGATTTCTTATGGGGTTAAATGTTTGGCTTTATGTACAGCAGAAAATAGGGATGCAAGAAAATATATTATTTCAAATGGTTTGCCACTATTTCAAAAATTATTGTCATCAAATAATGACACTATCGTTGGAAATTCTGCTATTGTCTTAAGTAGCTGTTTTGAGGAAGGTATAAATGCATTTTTAAAATACACATAGATCTTTTTACACAAAAACCGTATCATGCAGTGCCCTATAAAGTTTGGTCACACTTCATTCATAATTAATCTTCCAGCGTTTCTCGAGTAATATCCAAAACCTCTAGTTGTCTAAGATTTTAATTTTATATTTCTGTATAGATGAAGTCAGCGAACAGCTTTTTGGAACATCAATTGTGAAAGATTGTTTGACTTTGGCGACACGAACGGATCTAAATAAAAATGTTAAACAGAATGTAGCCATTGCACTTGCCAAACTGGTCAAACACGATTTAAGGTGTGAATTGGTGTATTGCATATTTTCAATGAATCGCATATGATACTTTTGTGTAAACTGTAGTCTCAGTACACTTTCAACCTTTAATTTTTTGCAACATTTTAGTAATTCAAAACTGTATGTGCGTGAAGTTTGTACATATAATGGAGCTGGAAAAAAGTTTTGGCTTACGCGTGAAATTGAATTTCTTGATTGTCAATGGAAGATAATATTAGATGAATTAAAAAGAAAATTTCTTTTTAGGTTTTTAGAAGAGCTACGAGAGCTGCATGGGGTGGAGATATTACACTCAGTTGTTCAATCAAACAATCTGATTTGATGCTAGAAAACAAATTTTCAAGTGAATTTCACTCACTGGAATTGTGTTCGTATTTGGTGTGCAGAGAACACTAAAAGAGGAACAATATTTATTGTATGCCGACATACATACAGGGCAGTGGTCACGATCTTAGTCAGCTGGCAGATGCAGCCTCGCCCCCGGCGCGTGTTCCTCGTCCCCGGCCCTAACCCGATCCCTGCGCTCAACTCGATGAACTGCATTTTTTGTTGATAAGCTTCAATCTTCAAACCATTCATAAAAAGAGAAATTAATATTTATTAATATTTCATATGAATATAGTGTCACAAATCCCAACCATCAGTTTAGAAATTGTAAAATAAATGCATTAAAAATAGTCCTAACTCCTAAGGATATTTTGACGATACATTAATTTCTTATTTACGATCGCGCATCTGCAGTAGTGCAAAGCACTAACTTAAAAGACAACTAAAGCGTAACGGCAAAAGGACAACAAAGGGAAACTAATGGGTAACAAATGACAACTGATGACAACTAAAGGGTAACAAAAGGACAACTAAAGGGTAACAAAAGGACAACTAAAGGACACCTAAAGGACAAGTAAAGGAAACTAAAGGACAACTAAAGGACATCTTAACAAAAGGACAACTAAAGGACAATTAAAAACCTTAAACCTTTAGTTGTCCTTTTGTTGACAACTAAAGGGTAACTAAAGGACAACTAAAGGACAAGTAAAGGAAAACTTAAGAATTAAATTATAAATTAATTGTGCAGCTACTGCAGTATGGCGTGAACGAACTCGCGTGGCGCGTGTTCCCGCGAAAAGTTCCCGCTAAATTGACGAGGGCGCCAAAGCCAAAACAAAACTACAAAGTGGCCTGATTCGATGACATACAGTAGAATGCTAAAAGAAGGTTTGTAGAATTGAAAAGTTGCGTATTTTAATAAAATTTATTAGTGATAATTTATTTTGAAAGCATTTAATTTAGACTTCAGGAGAAATATCGTAGTTCTGTTCAAAATGGAATACCCAATATCTTTCTTTCAATGCAGATTTCAGTTTCTAGACAGCCACATCTACCACATATTTATTTGAGTATTTGTCGACCTATCACTTCACTACAATGTCCGAGATATTGTTAGCTTACTAAAATTGCAATATTATTGTAAATTATTTACTGGCCAGACTGATTATGTAATGCAGTATTATTGACTTTTGAAAGTCAAATTTTGGTCTGTATATGCTCTATAACTTTTCCCTCACACAAAGATCATTGTTTGCCAGTTTTAACTGTTCCCCATTTGCGCACATAGCCTTTCACTACATATAAAAAAAAATTAACTTTTCCCATGAAATAGTAACAGTAACACCCTTTTCTGCCTTTCCACATATTGCAGCCTTTCTTAGGAGTGCGGAAGGAAAGGTACTAAAAAAAGAAAGCATTTGGGTAATGCTGCATCCAACACTGCTTGTCTGTTGCATTTTTATAGCTTAAGGTTTTTGATAGAAAAAGATGATGGATACAACTGATGATACAGCTGAGGTTTGAATTTGGGATAGATGTATTTTATGAAAACTTGTAATCAAATTCATTAATATAGTACATTGTATATTTTGCATATCTATGGTTTTTGTCATCTCTGTTTCAGGAATTACAAAGTCCACTCCGTAAAAGTTCAAGAAAGAAGACTCAAACCTCGCATTATGGGCATGAAAGTCCAAACTTTACCAGTCCTTCAAGTAGCAATCCTGACAAGTCACAGGAATCAGATATAACAGAGTAAGTTCTTGTTGACAATATGTTATTCAGAGTGTTACCATATGTGATGTAACTATTATACTGTATTATAGGTTCAAACCAACAGAAAATAGCGATAATGCTAATGTTGAAAGCAGTGATGATGATCTGCCATTGAGTCAATATACCCCTGAGAAAGGAAAAAAGAGAAGTGCAAAGACTTCAAAAAAGTTACCTGTAAGTTATTTTGATAGGTTCTCACAACATGATCTTGTGGATAAAAATACTTAATAATAATGGTAAACGACATTTTAATTAATGGATCAAGTATATTTAAGAGATTATGATTTGGTTTGATTGTCATAATGATTTTTAAATAGTCTGCAAAGAAATTGAAAACAAAGAGAAAAAGTGGAGCTTTACCTGAAACCTTTCCTGAAAAAGGCTCAATGTTTGATATCATAAAAGGTGGAAGGGATGCTTTGCAGGTATCATAATGATGATAGAAATTATTTGTAGCCTTGAACAATTTATTTTAATTAAATATTCATTCATATAACCCAATGTTTTCATTTTTACTATTTAGACTGTGGTTGATGACTGGATTGAAAGCTACAGTAACGATCGGGAATCAGCAATGGTAGATCTGATTCAGGTTGTCATACAATGTTGTGGATGTAAAGGTATAGTATATATACATATTTATACTATATTTGAATTCAGTTTTAGAGCTAGGTGATCGACCAATGCCTGAATAAAGTGTGTTTACACTATCAGAAATTTAGTTCAAATCTGAGCATAAGCCATTCCCCAATCGAGCAGGGTACTGGGTCTAGTTGCCAACTGTGAAGCATCTATGGAGTGTTTGGAAGGACAGAAAAAAAAATTTGTAATAATTTGTCCCTACAAACAGTCCATAGATGCTCGCTGGTTTGCAACTAGACCCAGTACCCTGCTCGATTGGGAAATGGCTAGTTGGCAGGCAATGTATAGCATAAAGACAGAGTTTTCCTAATGTTAAGTACTTTCACCATTTATAGCCTATTAGACTTAAAAAATTTGTAGCCAATTTCTGCAGTTAAATTTTCATAATTCATCTAAGTGATGTGTGTAATTTATGTCAGGTAATTATGGAAACAGTTACAGTGTTATTATAACAGGGTAATTTCAGTATTTTGAAGAGTTCTATATTGTTATTTGTCAGGAACTGTCAGTGAAGACATGCTGGAGGAGGAGGAAAATGTGAATGCCATAAGAAAACTGACTGAAGAATTTGATGAGGTAAAGTAGGTTCATGTAAGGTTAAGTCAATCAAGTGGCAATGGAACAAAAAAATATTGAAAATCAATTAGGATACTGTAGTTGTATACTAGTATTTGCAAGCTCAGAATTGATATCTTATGTAGTTTACATGTGGTGATTCAAATGATAATCAAAAGCGTGTTTCCTTTTTCATAGGATACCCATGAATATCCTCTCACCATGTCTAGGCCAGAGTATAAGAAATTCAAGGTACAGATGAGGGCAAAATAGACCTCATTCATGTTATGACTCAAATGTCCTTCATGATTCTTCATTTTCTGGCAACTATTTTCTTTAAAAAAGCGACGTTTTCTCTTCCAGCACAATTTCTGCGAGTTTATCGGCGTTTTGATAGAACAATGTCAGCACAGCATTGTCTATGATGATTACATGATGGAGAAATTAATCTCCTGGCTTATCAGTTTATCAGATTCTCAAGTGCGGGCGTTTCGACACACGAGCACTTTAGCAGGTAAAGAGCGTGAAGAGTTCGGTCCAAGAAGCACGCATTACTGTAGCTGCTATAGCTACGTGATTTTACATAACACAATGCAAGTTCAGACTGTTCAGAGTTGTAAAATGAGCAATTTAAATATAACAATTTAATTATAACAAAATATGTTATTAAAACTAGGAACTAAGCGGAGACAAATTAACAGGGTAGGATCTAGCACTACCCATGTTTCCTGGGTAGTGCTAGATCCTACCCTGAAATAACGTGACAGTGGTGTTATATATTATAGAAATTTTAAAAACACTTTTATTGGCGGCCAGAATAGCCAAATTCCACCTTTTGTTCTGTGAACTTGTTTCAAATGTGAATTACTGTGTTGTTATTGTTTTTGTTTATTTCAAAAGGAATGAGATTAGTGGCAGCGCTGATACAGATTGCTTTAAAAGTCAAGGTCGAATATGATAATACCGAGGTATGAAATGATCCTATAGTGACTTCCTCTAGCATCACGTTTCATTACTGAACCAAATACAATTGAAAACACACATCAGGCGGACACACTTCTTGTGTCAAAGTATCGCACTCGTGACGGTTATGCAGGAATTTTTTTTCAATAATAACTTGTTCGTCGTATACAAGCAAAGCTTATATTTCGTTATGGTTGATATATGCTATAACAAATTCATTTCAGCGTCAACTGCTTAGCGAGAAGGGAAAGAGTGTGTCAAAACGTGGAGTTCAAAAAATGGAAATGCTTCAAAACAAGAAGGATCAGGTAAAGTTGTCAGTCGATCGCGAATCTATATCGACTCGACTTACTATTTTGCTATTTTAGACTCAGATTTAGTGTCATGATCATGATGGGCTTATACCCGGGGGAAGGGGAGGGGGAGGGCTTGTGCGTGGTGGGGTTATAGGTGGAGGTATTACTCTTTCTTAACAGGGAGTGCACTGTGCGTCACTTGGGCTTCTCCTTCACGTGCCCTTTGTTACAGTTCACTGATCTGTCTTGAGCGCATGTAAACTGATTTGTGCAAAACTAAATTGTACGTGGCGTTTGATATTCTGTTCACGGACGAATTCGCCAAAGTCTACATTTTATTGTTCTGCATATTCTCTCACATGTGTTTTACAATATGAAATGAATGTACTGTGAGATTTTTACATGGAAGGAAAGTCTTCTGTTGTGAAATTGAATTTCTCACTTTACGGTGTTTGATGGTGGCGTTATTTTCTGTAATTTAGCTGCGGGATAATACTCATGCGTTGGAAGAGTACATGAACTTCATTTTCCAAGGCATATTTGTCCATCGCTACAGGTAAATACTTGCGGTGATTGAAGGTGACCTTCTTTGTAGAGTTGTGACTTCATGTCTTTACAACGGTTCGTCTTGGAATGAATAGGCTAAAAACACATCCTTTCCTCTCCCTATAAATGACTTGTACTAGCAAAGTGAACTGTTCACTACTTTCTGTTCTTACATATCTGGCCAAAATACACTACATAGTCGACTGTCCATTAACGTTTGGTTCCGTGTTGTATTTCTAGGGACAGTCGGCCAGAGATACGATCTCTTTGTATTTCCGAGATTGGAACATGGATGAAAGAATACAGGTCGGTAACACTAATGGAGTCTGAATCCAACATAGCGGGAAATGTCTCTCTTGGGAAATGTTTTATGAACCCCCTAAAGAACGCATGCACAGCACCTTTTCATACCAGGCTGGCATTGCCAGCCCAGCTAATACATTGAACCTGCTTCTCAGGCTAGACCAGAAGAGTCTGCATCCAACATGGCGGCAAATACATTGAACTGATCCAGCTAATACATTGAACCTGCTTCTCAGGCTTGACAAGGCGTTAACAATGCATTAATATTTTTCTCGTTACAGCAATTACTTTTTGTCTCACAAATATTTAAAGTACGTAGTGTGGACACTGCATGATAAGGTACTCGTATGATTTTACATTCCTATTTATATGACAAAATTATATTATTAGAATTTCCGTGCCTCAGCACTCCTGCTATGAACCTATGCTAGTGCATTAGGCAACGAATTTTTGTCGGTTTATAATTTTGACGAATTGAGTTCGGTGTGGGCAGGCGTCCAGATTTTAGCAAGGGTTAATTTCAATTGTTTTCGGGACGCCTTAGGGCACTCGGGTCTTCAAAGTTAACAAAGTGTTAAAGGTATCAGAAACTTTGATTGGCATGTTCATATTGTATTATGTGATATCTGCTGTGTAGGATGGTGACGTTCGTTTTCATGCCTTGCAAACGCTCCATAAACTTTATGAAATCGAGGAATTCCTTACTCAACTGGAACCTTTAACATCCCGGTTCAAGGTAATAATATATTTAAATACGCACAGTTACGAATGCATGAAATGACGTGCTGTACTGTAGTATGAACATACGCCATAGGTCTTTAGTTCTTGGTGCATGTGCACATTACGTCATCTTAGCCCTGTTGGATTTTGCAAATATGTACCGATATGGAAGTTTGTTATAATGTTCTGATAATTGACATATTGAAGGCCAATACTGTACTAATACTTGAGTACGTTATTTATTTCAAAGAAAATAGTTAATTTTTTTATATGAGAGATACTTGCCCTGACATGGCTTACAATTAGCTAAAATTAAAGTTGTTTTCGCTGCCAGTTAATGTGTGTTTTTAATTTTTCTCTTGTTGATCAACAGGGACGAATTGTTTCAATGACACTTGACGTAGAACACACGGTTACCGTTGTTGCCATTAAGTTGGTCGCATTGTTATATCGGTATGTCGATCCATGCATATGTTATATCTAATATAGATATATTACACGACGTTCAAAGCCAAACGCCGTTCCCTCCTAACTGTTTGATGTGTATAGTACAAGGAATTTTATCAAATAATAATTCATGCTATAGTTATCACGAGCTGGATGAAGAAGATTGCCAACAAGTAGAACAGTTAGTGTTTTGCAGTCATCGACAAGTGGCTCATGAAGCTGGGTCGTTTTTGAATGAAAGACTTCTAGCTGAGGCAGAAAGTAGCAGTCCAAGCAAGAAGAAAGGTTGCTTTCTATACACATCATTCCCGTGCTTTGTTGCTTGTAGAACAAAAGGAGTATTTCTCTGTATACGGAAAAATACATCCAGTATAAGACGATAGCTTGGAAGTAAATGCCTCTGCCGAGCAGATGGGGGGGGGAGGGGGGGCTTAACCCGTGTTCTCGTGATTTTAATATTGATGTAAGGGACAAAATTATTTTTATATTATAAGGGACAAAACAACATTTCTGTTTCGAAACAGTCCTATATGTGATCTAAAACTCACCCACTTTAGTATTTTACAATGGTGCATGAATTAGAATGATATAAACCAGAACACTTTTTTACTTTTGACAATGTTACAGCGTCAAAGAAATCAGAAATTCAACGTAAGGCTGAATATTTTAAGAAACTTATAAGCTTCTTTGTAACAAGTCAGGTGAGTGAAGTACACTAGTAAACCGTACAACACTGATCCTTACTATACATAGCTAATACAGCCTCTTCTTATCATCCAATGCTTTAATGTATTGTCTTCCGAAATACTCGGTCTTACGTGTATGTTGTCTTTGAGGCACATGTACTATACTTGTCCTCTGTTTAGATTCACGATCATGCGGCGTACTTAGTGGACAGTCTTTGGCAACACTGCGATTTGTTAAAGGTGCGCTATTTCGACTGATATGCGTCTCTGAATAACACAAGTTCGAATATAGCCTTTTTTGTAGCTTTATGCAGTTGAAATAAGTTTGTTTTTCCTATATCTCTATACAAATTTCACAAAGTTTTTCCGGTTTATAAATATTAAGGATTGGGACATCATGACAAGCATGTTATTAGATGATAAAACCGGAGAAGGTTTATCAGATGACGAGGAATCTGCTTTGATTGAAATAATGACGTGTTGTTGTCGTCAAGCCGCTACAGGACAGGGCCCACCTGGTCGCTTGGTAAAGCGGGTAAGCACAATACTATTATAGTAAAATACTGTCTGTATGAATGCAACCAAACATGCACGAGTTTGATTATCGAGGGTCCATCTGAACCTTTGCAGCTAGGTAGCTGTTCGATCGGTTTCCTTCCTATCTATCCATAAAAGCATGCATCCATTCTCAGTCCAACCATTTTTTATCCATTCGTTCATTGTTTTCATTTTTTCCAATCCATCAAGAGTTTGAATGTCCTTTTATGATCGTATCAAATGGTTAATTTCAATGTAGTTACTTAGCACGAAGGAAAAGAAGACAATTGTTAATGATAAACAGGAAATGAGTGGTCATTTTATGGTACAACTTCCTCTTCTCTTGGGCAAGGTACGCGCGGTATACCTATATATTGACCTACCAGATCGAAATAATTTATAATTGCTTAAATATGCCTAATTAATTTAGATCTTTCTAGTTTTTAATACTGTAGTAAATGTTCTTCTAATACTGCATCAGTCTGCATGCATATTTAAAGCAAGTAATAATAAATTAACTAAACAAAAATCAACTAAACAATCCCTTGTTTTTGTTTCAGTATGGAACTGATTTGCCTAAAGCTGAAAACCTTATTACCATTCCTCAATATTTTGATCTCGAGGAATTTACGCAAAGTAGACTCAGTCAGGTAAGACTCGTTCATGCAGTAAATGCCAATTATCAATTAAGCTACTTCTTAAAAAACATAAATATGCGTGCATGAAATATTAACTTTAACAAAGTCATAATGAAGATGTTCTGCTTTTCTCCATCTTTGTTATGATAATTTCTATATAAACTGTGTATTTATAATGATGAGTTCATATCAAAATTACTAACTTAAATCAAGGATTTTTTTCCGCCTACAGTATAGGCAAACTAGCTGCTTTTCAAAGAAAATGAATATTAGTTAAGAGTTCTAAGTGAACGAGTTGCCTGCTGTCTCGATTATTACTAATACACATGCACCCGATGATTAGCTTTAATGATTATTGGAACATATGCAATATATTTTAGCACTTTGAAGAACTTCTTGATCAAATTGATGATTTGGTGCAGAAAGGACCCGAAACATCGGTAAGGTCCTTCTAGCAAGTGTTTTAATATTTGTTGGGGACCCCCATCAGCCATTATGAGATAAAATATGTAAGGCTATTAAGAAACATAAAATTGTTGGTGATAAAAATGGTATATTTTTACAGTTACTTGAAGAATGTGCTAAAACATACCGAGTTCTAACAGACAATGAACTTACACTGAAGAGCAAAGCGGTAAAAATTGAACTTTTTATGAAATGTATTGGGCCACTAACTGGCATTTTTTAAAACAGAAAATAGAAGACATAAAATATGTGTATACAGTACGTGCATGGCAAACCTATCACGGCTGCATGGTTGACCATCCGTACTCATCATCGCATTTCTTTACTGCAGGAAGTAGCTAGGAATAAACTCATCGATAGCATTGTGGAGTTACTCAAAGAAGGATTGCAGAACTTCAACCCAGACCGTGTAAGTATACGGTATATACCCAGACCGTATAAGGTTTCTCAAAAGCTCATTTTTCGAGAGCCTCATTTTTTGACCTGGTGATGTACAGTTTTTTCTAGGCAGTTGCGATACATCGATATTTTTCTGTATCGCAACTGCCTAGTTTTTTCATATTTTAACTTATTGCCCCTGGAAATACAGGGAAATGCCGACGACGAGGAAGGAAATGATGATGCATATGCTCTGGAAGTTAATCTGAGAAGAATTGCTGCCTTTTTTAGGTACGTGCTTGCATGTACAAAAAAAAATTAAATCTGTTACAACTTGGTTAGTTTTGTTAATCAGTTTATCCGGCACAAGTGTGCTTCCCTTCCCCCCGTTTTTTTCTGTATATAATACTCTTTCTAAATGCTGCAATGCCAATAAAAATAATTATTCATTGAAACAATCCAAATTTAGATTTCACGATCTTGGGGCATGGGAACTTTACGATACACTTAATGAAATTGCAAGAATGAGCAAAGTGTCAGTTGAGGTAAAAATAAATTTTTGTGAAAAAATGAAGTGCTTTATTTGCATTATATTTCTGATTCCATTTTCATAGATCAAAGTAATTTAGGCACTATAGCATTAAAGCATTATACTTAAATTAAAGCATGCATGCCTGCATGTTTTCTTATAGGTGTGCTCAAATGCGCTCAATTCTTTAGAGATGTGTTTATTATGGGCTTTTAAGGCAATGAAAGAAAAATCTCCAAACAAGGTATGATTAAGTTTTTCTATATGCGCATGTCTTGTAGAAAACCTCACATGCAATATAGCTATAGCACCATGTACATTTGTCTTTTAAACTTTACTTTAACAAATACGAATCAAGGTAATTTAATCTGGTTTACACTAGCTACATGTAAGTGAAATATTGAAGTGATTCATAAATCACTATATAGTTGTATAGATGGGGCTAAATCAACCTGACCCTATGATCCCTTATGAACCCATTCTCTTCTTCCTTATGTATTTGACACGAATTTGGGGAATTAGGAATTGGGAATATGAAAAACTATAATTAGCTATATCCAGTACATTTAGGAATGTCCGTCATTGACTGTTATATTAATTTTACAGGTTATTTGATATAATCTCCTGTAAAAGAAACTTGTACTCTAAGGCATCTTGCAGAAGAAATATATTGGAGTAACATTTCTTTTTCTGTTCCAGCGTCATATGAGAACTTTGAAACATCGTGTGGATGAGTTCATGAATTTATGTAGTAGTCTTTTAGAAAAAGATTTTGACGAGCTTGGAAGGCAGGTAAGCTTTACAGCGATATGATATGCTGAAAATGATGTAAAAGGCAGTGTCAGTACCTTGTATATGCTTCTCTAGAATTTTGTGCATATGAAAAAATTCTACTCCCATTTTGTGCATTGGAGTTTGTGTTATTGTTCTTTGTGTTCTAATCTGGTATACTCACGCATTATTACATAACAACATACATTATAATTTTCTGAGCAGCTCGTGCATGTAACCAAGGACAACGGCCGCCCTGGCCTCCCCCCTCCCCCTCTCCTTGCAAGACCGTATGCCGATTCCAACCCTGTGTTTGATTTATCGTTTTAGGCGTTTTTGTGTGTTTGTGATATTATCGTTATATTCGCTAAACAACTTAATAACAATTGTAAGTGTACCATTGAACTTTATACTGGTGTGTATATGCATGCATGTGGTGGTTTATAAACCTCCTAACTGCATTCTACAGTTGGTAAAACTTTAAATTGTTAGTGCTTGATTGGACAATACTTTCGTTCTGACTATATATGGTTAAATGGTAACTAGCTTTTTTATACAACTGCCCCCACTGAGATGTTTAGTGTAAAATATCAGAGGTTATTCATTTTTTTATTACTTGTTTGTAACAGATCCATCATTGTCTTCACTCGTATACGTACCCAATGACGTATTCCAAGAGAACTGTGTAACATTCGCAACACGTTACGCGTTCTCGGACCTCAACGTCGAGCAAGAAAGAGAGGATGAAGGTACAGTATCTACGTAGATCCATGAACGATGCCATGTAAGACGCCAGTGCTTGATAGACATACCTTTCACTTTTGCATAGTTTTATCTGCATGATTTGTTAATCACGTCTATATCAACGCTGAACATCTGGAAAATTTTTGTTTTTATGCATGAACGTTTTCATGCAAACATATGTACATGTACAGTATGTACCATTAGGTGTAGTCATTGACAGACAAGTTTATTTCATCCATTCTGAATTCTATATTCTGTTTCAGATGAGAACACGGAAAGTGAAGTGCAAGAATTAAACAATAAGAGAGTTGTGTTGTCTGGATTATGTAAACTTTTCGCATACAATATATTCGACATGCATCGAGCTTCAGAGGTGTTCTCAAAATTTATATCGGTATGTTCAGCAACTCAGTCTTTCTGGTTCTTAAGAGATGGTAATATTTCGCCCCCAAATCAACGATAAAACATGGCGAATTTGCACGTTTGAAGACGTAAAGCATTTCTGGCCATTTTGTACAGCCGATAACCATTCTTATTGTATAACCTATAAGTATACTTATCTCTTGCATTTTATTATTGTAGGCATTTGGGAATTTTGGTGATATCATTAAACATACCATGTCAAAATGCAGAGAAATAAATATAGAATATTATACCAAAACCATAGTGTTTACACTATTTGAGGTGAAGTATACAGCAATAGCCTATTATTGTATCTAAAATGTATATACTAGTTCAATCAGAGTATGTAGCGCAGTCTCTAAATCACACGCGTAATCTCGATCTTTATAGGAATACAAAGAGCTTTGTAACAATGAAGACCGTTCACCGGACAAAACCTCAGAGGAATACATTGCCCTAAAAGTATGCAATAGTTGTGGCCCTTATCGATATACGTATAGTTTGGTAAAAAAGGAAATAATGAAACATGGATAGAAATATTCACTTTTCTTTTCTAGGAACTTGCAAGAAGACTCGCGTTAACTTATGGCATTGAACTAACTAAAGAACCAATTCGCAAAGCGATGATCAATTTACACAGGTTTCGATATAAACACAGTACAGTACAAGACCATGCCAACTGGGTGGCAACGCGGAAAACGTGATGTTTCACAGAAAATGGTTACTTTGCAATTAACATAAATCTTCTTATTTTTAGAGCGGGTATTTTACTTAGCTTAGAACGAGATGTCGCAAGTAACAAAAATAACGAGCATGATGAGAATACAGACATCCTTTTACCATATATCGGGTTTTTTGATATAATAAATGAATGTTCTTCAAGATTGATATCTCAAGATAAGAAAGCTGTGTAAGTACTACTGAAATTTGTGAAATGCATAAGATACCAAAAGCACGGGACATTTCAGAGCCGGGGTTGCATAAAAACACTTAAATATTTCAAATAATTTGTATATTTGTAACATGCAATTCATTTCATGTGTCGTATATAACCAACGAATACAGTTTGTAATGATTTTTCAACTGCAACCACGTATAAACGTTGTTCTTTTTTACTTTCAGCTTAAAGATTCTTAAGAAGCAATTAGATGATTCAAAATTAGACATAAAGGATGCAAGGGGTGATCCAGAACTGCAGTCGTTGGTGTCATACTATAAGACCATACTGGAAGGAAGTCAAGGTGAGCATGCAGTACTCATGTCTATGGCAGGAGCTGAGCCTGGCTGAGCAACTCCAATGTTCAGTAACTAAAACATAGACCTATTTAGGGAAACACTTCTCTTTTCAGGCACTGTTGCGAAAGCCACAAAAATGCGTCCAGTGCCTCAAAAGGCGAAGAGGAAGCTATTGGTGGAAGGTAGGTAGTAAAAGTACTTGTATCCTGTAGTTCTGTATGAATGTATGCACGAGATATGATCGACGAATGATCGGGTTGTTTTTTCCTTGAATCGTATAACAGAGGTGTCATCGACAAGAAAAACCCCAGCAAAACGAAAATCAGGCGCGAAAGATCAAACCAGTCCTCGAGAAATCGATGAAGAACAGCCACCTTCGGGTGAAACATCACCTGTACCAAGGGAACAGCCACCTTCGGGTGGAACATCACCTGTACCAAGGGAACTACAAGACGATGACACTCGACAACAGACTAAGAGAAAACGAAGCGTTAGGTCAGATGAAACCCACGAAGAAGAAAACAGTGAAGATGAATTTCAAGAGTAAGTTTATCAAAAATAAATTGAATTAAATTGACCCTCATATATCTGAATTTACCTCTACAACCAGGTAAATAGTAAGTTTCCTTTATGTTAAGTAATTTTATTTATTTTTGTCGAGAATTAAATTTCCTGATCATCACAGTAAAACATGACGAACATTCATTCTCCAAATTAATTTCCGTACAAATTAATCATTGTATCTATATCATATGTACATCTCATCCATCGCTGGTGAATATTTCTTAGACCCAACAGCGTTAAAGCTTCCTCTCAAGCCTCGTGGGTTGCAAGTCAACCAAAGAATAAACGTTCAGCCAACCATTCCAGAGTTAGCTATGGGAACAACACCAAAGATGATAGTCGATTTAGGTAATTTATCCTAAAGTCGCTAAGCAATACGTATAACCATGCACCCGATTTTTTACAGTATCTTAATATAATTATATTTGAATGGATGCGAGAATGTAAAGATTAAGATTGATGAATTATATTTATGGCATCTACACAGACCTCTCTTAGAAGAAGAGGAAGAGGAAGAAGAAGAGGAGTTTATCGATGACGAAAAAAGATCGAGTCCTGTTGAATCACCTAAGGTATTACAAAATTTCGCACGAGATGTTAGATAGTTTAAACTTCACGTCACACTGACTCCGAGCTAGAATAATCAATCATATGGTATGTAGTTACTTGATTTGCATGCTCTTATCATTTAATCGTGCATGGGTCCAAAAGATACGTTCTTTCACAATCATATATGCACCTTCGTCTGTCGTCCTTATTTACTGCAGCTTAGTTGTAGCATGCATGCTGTATTTAAAAATGTTATACTTTACTTTGTTCAATTCAGCCAAAAACGCCACCCCGTAAGCGGACGAAGCGAGACCTTCCGGAAGAAATTTTCGAAGAGTCACCAGCACCTCAGTCGCAGTCGGTAAGTAGCTACTGACCTTATATCGTCCTGACAAAAGTACCGGCTTTAGTATGACTAATTTATTTTTCACTTTCATCACGCGTGTTTCATATAACCGTAGGCAGTTCGGATTATATGTTGTTTGTTGTGCTAAAAATGTGCGGTATATTCAATTTATGAATCATATATATAACCTTTTAATTACTTTTATTCAAGGACGAAGAGATGCCATCTGGTTTAAATGTATGAAAGATACTTTATATATTTAATTCGGTTATGATATACAGTTCTGTTTTTATTGTACAGTTATCACACTTTGAGTAAATAACGTTATCTTTACTATAGTTTAGTATATGTTGTGGAAAAGGCCTTCCACCAAGGTTTTAAGAATTTTAAATAAAAGATGAGTTCGTTGGGAAAATTTGTTGGAGTACTTTGATGGAAAACATATATACAAAACGTGCCTTCATTTATAGGGTACATCACTGTACATGGCGCATGACAAGGCGTATTGGCGTATGACCTGTGCGATTTGCGAAAAGTGGTATTCTTGTTTCTTGTAATTGTTTTTATGCTCGCATGCACCAACCTTCCCCACCTTCCAGATACCTAGTTTTTTAGAGTTTTTCTATGTGCATGTCCTGTCACCGCCGTCGAACATGAATGACTTGATCACGACAATCCATTTTTGTATCTGCGAACGCAGATATAATGCTATCGTGCGCGTACCGTACCGTACCGTGTGTTAGCACATAGCCATTCAGCGATGCGCTTATATAATTAGCCAATCAGCGATTAGCTCATTACGGCTCACACCATGAGTCCATAACCTAAAGCATGCAGAAAATATAAACATATACTCGTGACTCGCTATTGCAATTTTGGCTTCAAGAAATCTTTTTCTGTGTTTTTTATTTTATCCAAGTTTTTCTGAACATGGAAACTTATCCGCTTGATGTAAATAGTCAATCTTTTCGGAGATCGAAACAATTTCTTCTGAGACGATTAACGAGACCTAAAGAAATTCACCAGCGAACCATTATACAATATACATTTGTATTGTATAGATAATAAAGGTGTATAAATTCAGATCACTATACGCGTAGCTGCTGTTGTCGCCACCGACCGACTGTACGGAAATTGACAAAGCAGACAAATACCAAGCGATCTAGAGACCTTGCACCTTTCAGGTTGCCTTTAAAGAGAATCATCCATTTTAAATAAGATAGCTAGTAATTTCAAGCAATGTTGTTTTCAATTTGTGCCAATGCGACATATTTTTATCAATTCATTTGGATATTTAAAGTCTTTTGTCAACTTAGTAGAAAAAAACATTTATATAGTAAAAAAATCATTTTGTAATGTTTTATACAGTCACAAGATAGCAGGCAATATTGCTAGTAAACAATATCACATATCTCAAAGGAAACTAATGTTTTCAGATATTGAAAGAAATCCTGGTCCTGTTCAAAATAACAGTCCCACTAGACTGTCATCAAATGTAGTGTTAGAGCAAAGGCTGCAACGCTTTCATTATATTTAAGGCCATTTGAATTTGATGTTGGTGGTGATGGCGACTGCCTTTTTCGAGCTGGGTCTCATCGGTTGTATGGTGACCCTGATCACCATCTACAAGTTCGAGCATTTGGCATTGCTTATATGAGGGCTAATCCTGAGAGATTCATTGAAAGTAACACTGAAAACTCATGGTTAGAATACCTCAATATTATGTCCATGCAAGGGTCATGGGGTGATGCTATGATTATACAAGCTGTGGCTGATCAGCTGAAGTTAAAGCTAAAGTCATTAGTGAGACACATGAACAATTTTCTGAATCCATTATAGTACTGGGATATTCACCAACAGATCAACTTAGAGATATTTATTTAGGTCATATAGATGAGTATCATTATGTATCAACTTTGCCATCAGGTACTTCTTAAACCTGAAGACCTGAACAGTCAAATAGGAGCTCTCAGCCTAAGCAAAGAAAAACAGAATATATGAAAAAATACATGAAGGAAAAACGAGCTAATGAAATGCAGAGCCCTGATGCTAAGCAAAAGCGAAGAGCATATGCAAGGGAATATAGGAAACGCAAACAAGCCAGTGAGACCTCCCAAAACAGAGCACGTCTATATTACTGTCATGACTGACATTACTACATATTACTAAGCATATTTCCTATTGCTTGAACAGCGGTAAAAATAGTGTAGGTAATCATCAAGCCCCATGCACCAGAAGACGGGAAATTAAAAAACATGGTCAAATCCATATGGTCCATTTGCTGTCCAAACTAGATTGTTGTGAGCAGATACACGTACGCTTAGCGTACCTATTTTTTGTAAATGTCTTGACAAGTCATTTTTACACGTTTATTTCCGTATTCAAATCGCGGTCATTGTTAACTGCACACGCATAAAAAAAAATGCCATGTTGGCACTTTATGAGTACTTTATTCTCTAATCAATTTTGCAGGCCCAGAAGCCTCGTATAGCTCAGTTTTTTCGTCCATGTCCATGCTCGGAGTGATGCTCCCGCTATTTTCCTTTTCCACCGAGTGGTCAGGTGTGACTGAGTGACTCGTTCAGTAACATAAATATGCGTGCATGACCGAAATATTTAACATTGACGATGTTCTTCTTATCCAATGATGCATATCAAAATTATTTACTTAAATTAGCAGACTCATCAAGGAATTTTTCCCGCCTATGGCAATCTAGTTGCTTTTCAAAGAAAATGATTATCATATACAAGAGTTCTGAGCGAGATGCCTGCTGTCTCAATTATCAATTACATACGTTTTGATGATCAGTTTTTATTATTCATGGCATATGCAATTATATTCTAACAGTGGTGTAGCCAGCCCGACGATTTCAGTGTCCCGCTTCGAGTTATTATAATTATTTATGTCTTTAGAAGTCTATTGTTTACACAGTAAGTGAACACGAAAATATTAGCATAGCGGGACAATCCACAGACTGGCTACGCTACTGTATTTTAACATTTTGCCTTTAAAGAACTTCTTGATCAAGTGGATGATTTGGTGCAGAAAGTACCTGAAATATCGGTAAGGTCCTTCTGGCAAGTGTCTTAATATTTGCTTGGCCCGTCAGCCATTATGAGATAAAAGTAAGGTAACTAAGAAACATAAATTGTTGGTGATAAATATTTGACGTATTTAATGTTTTTACAGCTACGCATACTTGAAGAATGTGCTAAAACGTATTTAAACGTGGTTCCTTATAATGCTTGATGTCGTCTTCCAATAGGATGCAAATATACTTTAGGCAAATAGCTTCCTTCGTTCCTATTTAGGGCAAATGAACTCACAATGATATATCTGGGATACATATTCATATATTCATGCTGTACGTGATCGATCAATTTCCTTTCAAATCGATTGTCTTTACAGATTGTTGCGTAAATATATCAATATTTGCCCGCAGTTATCGTGCTTCCAACACCACTGTCAGCAGATTGATCATTGATCAACTCACAGTCAACTGTGCCAAATTAATTTAAAATTAATAATTTTTGAATGACAGATTGTGTCATTATGGCAAGTATATTTAAAATGTTATCTGATTACCAAAATATTAACTTTTACAATAAATTACCAAAAATTACCTCTCAATCTCATGAAAATATTACCAAAAATCTCATGAAATATTACCAAAAGGCAAGAAATAATTAAAACTACTGATAACACAACATGCGCTCCCGCAGTTTTGCATTTACCTCACCAGCTGACCAGCGGGGCGAGATTTGTTGTTTTTTTTAGGTCATTTGATATGTATTATCGTTGTTTTCAGTCGTAACACATGCCATTATGGTAACTGTATACTTTATTGTACAGACACAGTCAACGCACAACTGGTACCATTGTGAAACGCTAAAGTATCATAGAAGAATATTGAGTACTGATCATATTGATGCATTTCATGAGATTGTTCATTTGAGTTTACTAGAAAAAGGTAATTATTATGAGAAATTCTTTTGTGTGTTGAAGGCAACGAAAAAAGTTGAAGCAATGGCGTGTCTAGTGTATGTTTAGCGTAGCTATATAGATTTATTAGTATACACCCGACTATTGTCTATTACAAATCCTACATTCTGATTGGCTACTCAACCATCGTCTATTCGTGATAGTGCACGTTTGGGAAAAATTCGCTCGCGCGACCGTATAAAATTGCATTAATTAAATTATTTTTCGGTGTAATTTTGCGGTGTATCGATTATTTTCTCGAAATTAATATATCTAGGTACAGGGTGTATACTAAAACAATTAGACAACTCGCCTTCGTTGCCTATGAGCGGATAGTCAACTCAGGCTTCGCCTTCGTTGACTATTCGCTCATAGACAACTCGGACTCGTTGTCTAATTGTTAAATATAAACGTAGCTTAAATATATACAATTACATACTTTGTCCTCCATATCCCTAATTCCTTTTCATTTATGACTGTTCGGTAGTGTGACGCCCTCAATAAGGTTAACTTTACCGTTCTTCCCCACTTTTTTTGTTTATTGACCATAAACCACTCATAACCAGTATGTCGAAGGTCGAAAGAATGTCCGTTATGAATTTGAAGAAGGGAAGAGGTTCCAAATGGTGTTGACTACACGTCGCCATGATCAGTTTTCCGCGAAGTTTAATACGGCATATAATGCCACAAGACGATTAAAGTAGAAAGATCGAATTATTGTCTTCTTTGTTATTTGTTTCGATGGTTTTTCAATCAAATCAATGTAAACAATTTCGCCGTTCTCGGCATCTCGTCAAATGTACTAATCAAGAAATTTTGATGGTTTTAGTAACTACATTACATTTCAAAATTACCCACTTTTATTTAGCCTTGCAAGTCACGGTTCATACTTGTCTGTGGTCAGGGGTGCTAACCATTTACCTTGGCCTTGGGAAATCGGAAATTCCTGTCGGAAAAGCAAATGGTGTACAAGGAATTTCTAAATTTCTGATGGAAATTCCGAAATGCACCATCTTTTTTTTAAACTTTTTTAAGAACGTGAATCGGGTTGTATAAAATGGATGTGATAAAATGAATGCCTACTGGACAAATTAGCCTTTCTCACGATGACGTTTTGGGGTACTTTTAATTTTCTGAAATGGGTTTAAAATTTAAAAATTATGCTTAAACATCAAAAGCATTTTTTTTAGAATAAACAGACCATTTGAAGAATAAATTCAGCATAAAATTAAAGACAGTCACCGTTACCAAGTCTTACGCTCACGGTTTTTGAAAAAAGTACCCAAAAAATGGGGGCATATTCGTCATCGTGAGAAAGGCTAATTAGGTTGCTGCTACGCTTTCTCGCTTCAGGCCATATCAAAGTATTTTCTAATCAAGTGAAATCGGACACCAATATCGACACCTTGATTGACATTTTTATTCACGCATCGCCAAAAATGGCGCGAAGCAAGTTTGACAAGTCGACTCTTCCGCGCGTTCCCTTCCCTCGCTTTCGCGACCTCGCTACGCTCGGTCGCTCAAGCTCGCGTGTGGGTTTAAAGAGTCGACTTGTAGCAAGTCTAGCTCTGCAGCAACAACAGTCGAACCTCTATTAAGCGGCCACCCTCGGGGATCGGCATTGTGGCCGCTTACTAGAGGTGGCCACTAAATAGAGGTACGCAAATAATCGACTCTGGGCGTAGACAAAAGTCTATTTTTAATTATAAATCACGGAACACAATAGCGAATAGACTTTAGAAATACCAGGCAATTTTCTGAGAGTAAATAGAGGTGGAGACGATGGGTTGGAAATTCCATGCGAATTTCATTTTACAGGAGATGAATTTCGATCAATTGGCTAAAGGAAAAGCTTAAAAAAGAGGGTTTTGAAACGAAATAATAGCAGGAAATGAAATTTCGCATTTTTATGCCACCAAACAATGCTGTTAATTGAGGTGTAAAAGTGGCATATGTTATAACATCAAAGTTTTTTCGCATCCCGAAGAATGGTCAATGGCGCAAATTAGCTCGACTTTTATTTGGGGCTTCTTTGACAAGGTGTTGCGCCAAGTAATCCAGCAGGCTGTCCGCTTACTAGAGGTTTTTATTGATATAAAACATCACTTGGGACAGCTCTTAGGTAGCATTTGTATTACAAAAATTTCGAGACTTCGATATGTGGTGGTTAATAGAGATTCGACTGTAAAATGAAGTGATCCGCGTTTCAGTGCGGTAGTCAACTAGCGGCAATTCCAGATGTAATGGTGTGAAAATATTATTAAGATTATTTCCTTTATTCTTATGTAGACGATTATAATTCTAAACTACGAAATGGCCACTGCGATTAATAATGTTTTTGTGAAGATTGGCGAATTTCGTCAATATCAATGGTTTTTATTGACCTTGTTGGGATACGCAATAATGGCGATTTCTGCTCTACCTACAATGATAGTGTCGTTCATCACTGCCGAACCTGAATGGAAATGTGTTGAAGGTTATAAGAATAATACCGTGTGTAGATTTAACAACACAATAACGTTAACCAGTGATGATTACAAAGCCAGATGTAAAATGCCGAGGGAAGCTTGGACGTTTGTAGATGACTTCACTTCTGTAGTTACCGAGGTATAGCATTCGTCAGTCAAAAGCTTTAATACTGTATAGTAGTGTCTTTTAAGAGAAACATTAACTATGCACTATATACTTGGGTTGTGATTGCGATCATACTTATGGTTGACTATCCTGCGAACATATATCCAGAACATTGGCATGGCTACTTTACCTTACCTAATCATATAGCTGCAGTCTAAGACAGGTTTAGACGTCGAACGTTTCATGTGCCGAACCTATATAAATGTTTAAGTTCATTTGCATTTGACTCGGCACCACTTTCGGCACATAAAAAGTTCGATGTCTAAAACGGGCCTAATGGGTGTATGAGGAAGCAAGGATTGCCACTGTTTTCTTGACTAAACTTTCAATTTTTTTACAGTACGACTTAGTTTGTGATGACTCAATTCTTCTCTCCATCGCTCAATCCTGTTACTGGGTTGGAATGTTAATTGCGTTATTGGTCGGTGGTTTTCTATCAGATAAATATGGCAGAAGATTAGTTTTGTATGGTGGTTGTGCTCTTGTAGCCATCGCGACTTGCATAATGGTCTTTCCAAAGGCGTTTGTGGTATTCATTGTTTGCCGAGTCCTAATTGGTATAGGTTCAGGTAATTACGTAATTATCTGTATTTACACAAACCAGCTGTAATAAAAAATATTAGCTGCATGTTTTGATAGTAAACTGCATGTAAATCTCTTATGGGTTAAATATCTTTTCCTGTTCAAAAATGGTGAACTAGATTGCTCAGCGATCTTACATATCCTATAGTAAGCTTGGTGGAGGGTGTTATTACATGGTTGGTTTTAGTAGGAAGGGTATGGTAGTGTGCTCTGTCTTGTATTTTTAGAAGGTAACTTTATATTATGTTCTATACCTTTCATATAGGGTTCCGAAATGCTACTAGTTTCACCTTGCTTGTCGAATTCACAACTGAAAGATATCGTTCATGGATGGGTATCGGTTCTTTCATATTTTGGGCAGTTGGAATATCAGTAATGCCTTTGATTGGGTTTTTAATCCCTGCGTGGAGAATGTTTCTGCTTGCCACAGCAGTTATTGCCATCCCCATACTGTTTGTATATTGGTAGGTTTTGTGAAAGACGTTAATTAAGTTTAATAATTTCTGCTCAGTCTTTCAAGAATCATAGGCGTACGGGCGCAACTTCGTTTGGGGGAGGGGCAAAAAAAATCGTCCGAATTTTTGAATTATACAATGTGCCCGAATTATAACTTTTACCAGATTTGTAACAACAGATTTGGCGAAGCAGCGCATGTGCTTTTAAGAAAGTGTAACAAAAATAGCGAAATAGAATACAAATATGTTATATATATTACAAAATTTGGTTTTAAAAATTTTAGCTATGTAAGTTAGCTTTCAGTTTGCCCGAAGTTTCGGCTGAACTTTGCCCGAATTTCTTGATTCTCAAAATTGCCCCCCCCCCTGTCTCGTACGCCTATGTCAAGAATGCTTGTTTATTACGACGCACCTAGTCAACTTGATCACATGCGTTTAATAATACGCTTGTGGATAGGCAAACATGCAATGATGTTTTGTGTTTTATTGCATGTGAGCGTCTAAGTTTCAAGCCTCGAAAAGCTAAATAGAAAACAGGATATAGCTCTTTTACGGCAGGCCTGGCCTCACGGCTTTCCACCTCCATTTTTAAGTAAGGTCTGGCTACCTCCCTGGTTTTGTCAGATATGATTAAATTTAAATGCGTTAGTTCGACAAATTTAAATATCCCATGCACCTTTACTTTAGCAGAAATAATTTTATTGTATTCATACACAATTCCAAGTCAAAATTGCCTTCCTACCGTACCTATAAAAAGATATATTTTCAGTTAGCAACCAAATATTGCAGTTTTACTAATGTTATAGTAGGCTCTCTCCTAAAATACGCTTTTTTGCCACGATGGAATATTATAATGCAATTGTCGAAATCGGTAACACGGCACAAACGTCCATGCAACGCTATAATTATTGCAACATGCCAACATTCGCTCTGCATGAAATTGTACTACGAAAATGAGTACCACAATTTGTTTTAAACAATATATATACTGAATCATGTTTCCGAGGTGTATACGATTGAAACAGTTTTTTACTCTGAGAAGAGCGATTCAAAATTTATTTTGGATACCTTATAGCGCGCGTTGTTCATTATTTATGATTCTTATGCATTCGATATAGTATCGGTCCTTTTATCGCCATTATGATTTATGACAAGTAACGGCTAAGAAGTCAAATCACGCAAATACGTGGCGAGTTTATTTTATTTCTTTTAGGTTAGTACCAGAATCTCCTCGATGGTTGTTACTACATGGTAAGGAAGAAGAGGCCAAAAAAGTTCTTTCCAAAGTGGCAAAAATGAATAAACGACCATTACCAGATGATCTCGTGTTGCAAAAACCTGTGATAACTGAAACACGGACGAGTTTTAGGCAACTTTTCAGAAGCTGGAAAACTGCTAAGATAACATTAATTTCTTGGGATTTATGGTATGTCAAAAAGCCCCGAAACGTTAACCATAGCCATGTTTTACAAGTCCATCACTCCATCCATGTTTTACAAGTCCATGTTTTACCAGTCCAGTCCAATCCATATTCCAGTCCAATCCACAGTCCAGTCCACGTCTTACAACATGGAGGTGTGCATGCAATCACATGCTTCCAGTACAGTGCCTATCAAATTCATTGTAAACGTTTCCTAAATATTTTACTTGCGAAATTTTCTGACACAATCAGATTGGTCTATAGTTTCCTGTTTACGAATTTGCATATGGATTACACAAACCAATGCCTGATCTTTGGCAAAGTGGAATTACACACTCTGTGACCAGTAATCAACGTATTGCTCAAGAGTTTCACAGCTCCGTTACGTCATGCAGTTTTTGTTTTTTCATCTTACAGGTTTGCCAACGCTTTGGTGTACTATGGTGTGTCTTATGGTTCTGTTGATCTCGGTGGGAATAGATATCTGAATGTTTTCCTGGTCAGTGTTGTCGAAATACCTTCAAATTTTGCTTTAATTTGGGCCGCGCGCAGGTGAGTATAGAAATATTGACTCGGTGTTACAAATTACGGTAATATATCATAACTTTATTGTTAAAACGTTTAATAATGGAATGGATTTCAGCTTCTGGTCTCACTAGCTACAGTATGTGTAAAAATCCAGAAAATATTGTTTCAACACATGTATGAAATTATTTCCACATGCATTCATTGTTCAAAAATTCTTTTCCACACATATGCATGCTAAAAAAGGATGTTTCGTTTTTTGGACAAAGTCAAAACATAACCTGAAAAAAATATGTTAAATTATGTAAGAGCACATTTTAGATTTGGACGAAAAAAGTGTGTTCTTTTTGCTTTGGTTGTTGCATTTATTGCATCCGCTATCTCGGTGGCTATCCCGACAGGAAAGAGTGGCGGTTAGTGTTATTTAAAAGAACCTTTCTTTCTTCGACATGTCGCCGCTGTGATGCGGGAGTTTAAAGTATGAAAACTTTTAAGACTTAAGTGATGATTTTGTTTTGCAGCAAGTGTCCGTGGACGTATTACAACTGCTATAATTGCAAAGTTTTTCATCAATTTTTCCTTTTCTGGTATTTATTTGTGGTCTGCTGAGCTGTTTCCAACTGTGATAAGGTACTTTATATGTTGTATATTTTCAATTTATGGATTCTGTAGATAGTATACAAAACATTGTCATTGGTACGATGTTTCTATACGAATTCTAGCCGTATTTTAAGGGAGCTCATAAACTTGTTTTTTTTAATTAATTTCAGTTTTAAGGGAGCTCATAAAGAAAAAAAATTCCATTTCACGCCTAGACTCTTGTTTCAAAAAGATTAAATTATGGATTGTTTTAGTCGCATTTTGTTATATAGATCGACAGCGACATCTACATCTTCTGCGATGGCAAGAATTGGATCATTTGCTGCCAGTTACATTATTTGGCTAGTAAGTTTTCTCTTGGAAATTTTTTGTTATATATATATATATATATATATATATATATATATATATATATATATATATATATATATATATATATATATACACCCATTTGCAAAAACGTTGGCCGCAGATAGATAGATAGATAGATACTCGAAATCTAATTAGAAATGCATATGTTGTGTCATATGATTGAAATCCCATGCAAATGTAATCATATGCAATTCTAATTAGACTTCGAGTATCTATCTATCTATCTATCTGCGGCCAACGTTTTTGCAAATGGGTGTATATATATATATATATATATATATATATATATATATATATATATATATATATATATATTATAAGTTTGCCATCATTTTACAACATAACATTTACATACATTTATATAACAGTGCATGACTCAGCAAATTTGACAGGAACTCCGCAACAGCTAATTGCCAATTACTGCATGCTTATAGAAATATCTTCGGGCGCAATTAAAAGCTAGTGTTTCGATTTTTTAATAGTAAGATAAATTTAACTGTTTACTTTGGAGGCAAAGTTGGGTGTCATGAAAAGACTAGCTGCCTTTTTTATGTTTTCCACCCGATCAACTATATCGATGTACACGAAGCCATGAATGAGCTCGTGCAGAAGTTGATGCCACTCAGAACTGTCAGTATGATTAGCTGTTTTTATTGTGAATGCAACATAATGTGCAACTGAGATTATAATATACTGTGGCTGGAATTTTTGCCTGTGATTTCAAACGTTTTTAGTAATCGGTTAAATGAAAGGCTCATGATGGCGGACTCCTTTTCCATATGATATATCATCATTGCAAGGACCCAATAGCAATTTTTGTTTTAGATTCGTTACCATGCAGCCCTGCCGTACAGCATAATGGGAATAATTTGCTTCCAAGCAGCAGTACTTGGGATCTTCTTGCCTGAAACCAAAGGAAAACCAACCTTGGAGACAATGGATGACATGGAAGAAAAGCGGGAAGTTGCTTTACTTATGAATGACAAAGACGACGCTGGTGAGAAAAAAATGTAACTGGTGTCTAGTTGTTTTTTGGTAAAATCAACATAGAAATCATAGATTGTAGTTTGTGGAAAACATAATCCTTTGGATAAACAGCTATATATACAGTAGGAGGCAAAAGTTTGAGTCCAGTGACTGTATTTCTTTGTTTCAGCAGCATATATTAATATTCTACAGAAAACCTTACCGATAAGTGAACTAGAAAAAAGTAAACAAGTAAACAGAAAAATACATGCTGTACAACAACTATGAGATGTTATGATATTCATTTTTACGTATTTTAATGTGCAAACATGCATTTACATGTCATTGCTTAGTTCCCTCTTTTTTGCTCTTGAAATGACCTTTATTCTTGCTGGCATAGATTCCATAGGTTTTTTAATGTCACACGTTCAATACCTTGCCAGCATTCGTTGACCACTTGCCTCAAGTCAGCCTGGCTGGCGGGTCTGTGCCTCGCCCTCTTCCGGTTAAAACGGTTCTACAAGTGCTCCATAGGTTTTAGATCTGGAATATGAGGTGGAAAGCCATGACAACGAGATCACCAGAATGAGTTTGCTTCTAAACGATTTCTGGCACATAGAAGATGTGCATGTGCTTAGGGTGATTATCATGTAGTTAGACGTGCGATCATCTTTGTACCAGATGAAATTCCATGTCCTTGAAGAATTGGATGATACTTTTCTTTAATTAGGATCCTATTATATCTTTCAATATTGCCAAACCGAGCATGACCAAAGCAGCTAAAAGTTTGCTTGAGTAGGATTTAGTTTCTTCGAACCTCTCCAAGGTTAGTTGCATACCACCTTTTTAAATTCTCACTTCTTCTGCGATCTTACGAGGAAAGAATCCTTCAATACTTAATGGAACTATTTGTCCTTGTGCACCATCACTTTGCCCTTTTTCCTACCCATCTTGGGCAGTGTAAAGGAATGAGAACTTTATTTTGTTATAATTTAGATCATTAGGACCAAAACAGTGTGCAATTAATATAGTTTACAGTACTGAAACACTAGCACGCATGTCTTAACTCCAATACGCTGCCAGGATTTAATACTGGAATTCTACAACGACTGGACTCAAACTTTTGCCTCCTACTGTATCAACTTCTCGAAATAATTAGAATTGTGAAATTGGTGTCTATATAGTTTCTTTAGTTAGCCAAGTAACAGAGAATGTGTCTATATAGTTTCTTTTTTGCCAAGTCAACAGAGAATTCATATAGAAATTGCAGTTTTCGTCATTCAAAGAACATCGCCAACTAATGTAAGATGGTTCGGCGTAAATATATTATAGAGTCTGCGCTGCAGACTTTAGATGTCAAAGGGCCTATTGTTGACTCGTTTTTCCATCAACTGTTCCTGGCTTGAATTTGAAGTGTGTATAATTCCACTCGAAATTAAGACCCTCTACATTTTGCATAGTTAAATCCTAGTTAACTCAAAAATAAACAACTCTGATTGGCCAATTCTGTCCTTAACTAAAGTTAAAAGTTAACTGGCTGGGCTGTTTATATATGATCTGTTATACAAAAAGTATTTTGCTGCATATGTCGCGAGAATACGGGGGGATTTTGCAGGCCCAGAAGCCTCGTATAGCTCAGTTTTTTCACATTCCGAAGAATGGTCCATGCTCGGAGTGATGCTCCCGCTATTCCTTTTCTATACCGAGCACGTGGTCAGGTAAGACTCGTTCATTAACCAAAATATGCGTGTATGACTGAAATATTAACTTTAACAGAGTCATAATTATATTGACGATGTTTTTCTTATCTAATGATGCATATCAAAATTATTTACTTAAATTAGCAGATTCATCAATGAATTTTTCCCGCCTATGGCAATCTAGTTGCTTTTCAAAGAAAATGATTATCATATACTGAGCGAGATGCCTGCTGTCTCAATTATCAATTACATACGATGATCAGTTTTTATTAATCATGGACATATGCAATTATATTCTAACACTTTGTCTTTGAAGAACTTCTCTTGATCAAGTGGATGATTTGGTGCAGAAAGTACCTGAAATATCGGCAAGGTCCTTCTGGCAAGTGTTCTGATATTTGCTTGGCCCGTCAGCCATTATGAGAGTAAAAATGAAGGAAACTAAGAAACATAAAATTGTTGGTAATAAATATTTGACGTATTTAATGTTTTTACAGCTACGCTGTACTTGAAGAATGTGCTAAAACGTATTTAAATGTGCTTCCTTATAATGGTTAATGTCGTCTTCCAATAGGATGCAAGTATACTTTAGGCAAATAGCTTCCTTGTTCCTATTTAGGGCAAATGAACTCACAATGATACATCTGGGATACAGATCCTTGTTGCCTTTCATGTTTTTCCTCTCATTTTATGTATTGATTTTGCAGTGGCGGAACGTAACTTCTCTTCATCAACGTAGATCAGCGATCTTCACTATTGATACAGGTCAGTATGGAATTGAAGGACACATTTATATATTCATGCTGTGCAGTGCATGATCAATTTCCTTTCAAATCGATTGTCTTTACAGACTGTTGCGTAAATATATCAATATGTGCCCCCAGTTATCGTGCTTCCAACACCACCTACCTCCTCCGCAGGCGCTAGAGAGCATTTCGGCAAAATATCACCGCCCGCCATATTTGCCCGAAAAGGGCCTGCGGAGGAGGTAGCAACACCACTGTTCAGCAGATTGATCAACTCACAGTCAACTGTGCCAAATTAATTTTTGAATGACAGATTGTGTCATTTATGGCAAGTATATATCTGATTACCAAAATATTCTATTTTGCAATAGATTACCAAAAATTAACTCTTAATCCCTTAAAAAATCTTAAAAATTTTATGAAATATCATTCTCATGAAAATATTGCCAAAAATTTCATTAAATATTACCAAAAGGCAAGAAATAATTATGCGCTCCCGCTGCTTCGCATTTACCTCACCAGCTGACCAGCGTGACGAGATTTGTTTTATTTTTTTTAGGTCATTTGATATGTATTATCGGTGTTTTCAGTCGTAACACATGCCATTATGGTAACTGTATACTTTATTATACAGACACAGTCAACGCACAACTGGTTACTGGTACCATTGTGGAGCGCAGAAGTATCACAGAAGAAAATTGAGTACTGATCATATTGATGCATTTCATGAGATTGTTCATTTGAGTTTACTAGAAAGAGGTAATTATTATGAGAAATTCTTTTGTGTGTTGAAGGCAACGAAAAAGGTTGGAGCAATGGCGTGTCTAGCGTATGTTTAGCGTAACTATATAGATTTAATATAAACGTAGCTTAAATATATACAATTACATGCTTTGTCCTGCATATCCCTAATTCCTTTTCATTTATGACTTGTCGTTCAGTAGTGTGGCGCCCTTAATAAGGTTAACGTTACGTTCTGGCCCACTTTATTCGTTTATTGACCATAAACCATTCATAACCAGTATGTCGAAGGTCGAAAGAATGTCCGTTATGAATTTGAAGATGGGAAGAGGTTCCAAATGGTGTTGACTACACGTCGCCATGATCAGTTTTCCGCGAAGTTTAATACAAGGCGATAAAAGTAGAAGATCGAATTATTGTCTTCTTTGTTATTTGTTTCGATGGTTGTTCAATCAAATCAATATAAATTTCGCCCTTCTCGGCATCTCGTTAAATGTAGTAATCAAGAAATTTTGATGGTTTTAGTAACTAAATTACATTTCAAAATCACCCACTTTTATTTAACCTTGCAAGTCACCGTTCATACTTGTCTGTCAGGGGTGCTAACCATTTACCTTAGCCTTGGGAAATCGGAAATCATGACTTTCGGGAAAGCAAATGGCGTACAAGGAATTTCTAAATTTCCGATAGAAATTCCGAGATGTACCATTTGCTTTTTCTTTTTCTAAAAACTTTTATAGGAAAGTGAATTAGCTTGTATAAAATGGATATGATTAAATGAATGCCTACTGGACAAATTAGGTTGCTGCTACGCTTTCTCGCTTCAGGCTTGCTCGCTCCGCAGCAACAATTTATGTAAATAAAATGAAAAGTGATTCGCGTTTCAGGGTGGTAATCAACTAGCGGCAATTCCAGATGTATAATGGTGTGAAAATATTATTTCCTTTATTCATATATAGACGATTATAATTCTACGAAACTACAAAATGGCCACTGCGATTAATGATGTTTTTGTGAAGATTGGCGAATTTCGTCAATATCAATGGTTTTTATTGACCTTGTTGGGATACGGAACAATAGCGATTGCCGCTCTACCTACAATGATAGTGTCGTTCATCACTGCTGAACCTGAATGGAAATGTGTTGAAGGTTATAAGAATAATACCGTGTGTAGATTTAACAACACAATAACGTTAACCAGTGATGATTACAAAGCCAGATGTAACATGCCGAGAGAAGCTTGGATGTTTGTAGATGACTTCACATCCGTTGTTACTGAGGTATAGCATTCGTCAGTCAAAAGCTATAATACTGTATAGTAGTGTCTTTTAAGAGAAACATTATCAATCCACTATATACTTGGGTTGTGGTTGACTTATCCTGCGATCCTCAACTAGAGCCCTGTGCTAAGTATGTTTTACCAACCAGTTTTAACTTTAGGCGCCAGTGACAACAATAGACACTACCTCCACACGTAGTACTCAACTAGAACAATGCATGTGCTCAGTATGTTTTACCAACCAGTTTCAACTTTGGGCACGAGTGGCAGGCACTCTGCAGCCTTATTTTACAATGTTTGGGTAACACTTTTGTAACATATACCAAGAACATAGGCATGGCTACTTTACCTTACCTAATCATATAGCTGCAGTCTAAGACAGGTTTAGACGTCGAATTAACTCAGACTTCATGTGCTGAACCTATAAATGTTTAAGTGCATTTGCATTTGACTCGGCACCATTTTCCGCACGTAAAAAGTTCGATGTCTAAAAACCCTGGGTACGAGGTTGGCATAATGGGTGTATGAGGACTGAAGCAAGCATTGCTACCGTTTTCATGACTGAACTTGTAATATTTTTACAGTACGACTTAGTTTGTGATGATTCAATTCTTCTCTCCATCGCTCAATCCTGTTACTGGATTGGAATGCTAATTGCGTTATTGGTCGGCGGTTTTCTATCAGATAAATATGGCAGAAGATTAGTTTTGTATGGTGGTTTTGCTCTTGTAGCCATCGCGACTTGCATAATGGTCTTTCCAAAGGCGTTTGTGCTATTCATTGTTTGCCGAATCTTTATCGGTTTAGGTTCAGGTAATTAATTATCTGTATTTACACAAACCAGCTGTGATAAAAAATATTAGCTGCATGTTTTGATAGTAAACTGCATGTAAATCTCTTATGGGTTAAATATCTTTTCCTGTTCAAAAATGGTGAACTAGATTGCTCAGCGATCTTACATATCGTATAATAAGCTTGGTGGAGGGTGTTAGTGCATCGTTGGTTTTAGTTGGAAGGGTATGATAGTGTGCTCTGTCTCGTATTTTTAGGAGGTAACTTTATATTATGTTCTATACCTTTCATGTAGGGTTCCGAAATGCCACTCATTTCACCATGCTTGTCGAATTCACAACTGAGAGATATCGTTCATGGATAGGTGTCGGTTCTTTCGTATTTTGGGCAGTTGGAATATCAGTAATGCCTTTGATTGGGTTTTTAGTCCCTGCGTGGAGAATGTTTCTGCTTGTCACAGCTGTTATTGCCATCCCCATACTGTTTGTTTATTGGTAGGTTTTGTCCAAAAACGTTAATTAAGTTCAATAATTTCTACTCAGTCTTTCAAGAAAGCTCGTTTATTACGACGCACCTTGTCAACTTGATCATGTACATGCGTTTATGATACGCCTATACGCTTGTGGATAGGCAAACATGCAATGATGTTTTGTGTTTTATTGCATGTGAGCGTCTAAGTTTCAACCCTCGAAAAGCTAAATAGAAAACAGGATATAGCTCTTTTACGGCAAGCCTGGCCTCACGGCTCCCCACCTCCATTTTTAAGTAAGATCTGGCTACCTTTCTGGTTTTGTCAGATATGATTAAGTTTGAATGCGTTTATTCGACAAATTCAAATATCCTATGCACCTTTATTTTAGCAGAAATCATTTGATTGTATTAATACACAAAATTGCCTTCCTACCGTACCTAAAAAGATAGGCTATATTTTCAGTTAGCAACCAAATATTGCAGTTTTACTAATGTTATAGTAGGCTCTTTCCTAAAATACGCTTTTTTGCCACGATGGAATATGATAATGCAATTCGTCGTAACACAGCACAAACGTCCGTTCAACGCTATAAATATTGCAACATGCCAACATTCCCTCTGCATGAAATAGTACCACAAAAATGAGTATTGAGTACCACAATTTTTTTTCAACAATATATATACTGAATCATGTTTCCGAGGTGTATACAATTGAAACAGCTTTTTTATTCTGAGAAGTGCGATTCAAAATTTATTTTGGATACCTTTCAGCTTGCGGTTTGTACTATTTATTATTTATGATTCTTATGATTCTTATGCATTCGGTATAGTAGGTCCTTTTATCGCCATTATGATTTATGACAAGTAACGGCTAAGAAGTCAAATCACGCAAATACGTGGCGAGTTTATTTTATTTCTTTTAGGTTAGTACCAGAATCTCCTCGATGGTTGTTACTAAATGGTAAAGAAGAAGAGGCCAAAAAAGTCCTTTCCAAAGTGGCAAAAATGAATAAACGACAACTACCAGATGATCTCGTGTTGCAAAAACCTGTGATAACTCAAACACGGATGAGTTTTAGGCAACTTTTCAGAAACTGGAAAACTGCTAAGAAAACATTAATTTCTTGGGATTTATGGTATGTCAAAAATACTTGGTAAATAGTAAACCATAACCATGAATGAATCCATGATTTACAAGTCCAGTTCAATCCATAGTCCAGTTCAACCCATAGTCCAGTTCAATCCATAGTCCAGTCCTCGTTTTACAACATGGACAGCCGCGGGTCATTGGCTATCAATCCGAACAGCTTATTGCTTTTCAATCAAAAGCATACAGGGTGTTTCAACACATGTTTTTAATTAAACACTAAAATCTAATTTGTTAAAAATGCAATCACATGCATCCAGTACAGTGCCTATGAAATTCATTGTAAACGATTCCTAAATATTTTACTGACGAAATTTTCTGACACAATCAGATTGGTCTAGTTTCGTGTTTAAAAATTTGCATATGGATTACACAAACTAACGCCAGATCTTTGGCAAAGTGGAATTACACACTCTGTGACCAGTGGTCAACATATTGCGTATTGCTCAAGAGTTGCAGAGCTCCGTGGCGTGATGCAGTTTTTGTTTTTTCATCTTACAGGTTTGCCAACGCTTTGGTGTACTATGGTGTGTCTTATGGTTCTGTTGATCTTGGTGGGAATAGATATCTGAATGTTTTCCTGGTCAGTGTTGTCGAGATACCTTCAAATTTTGCTTACATTTGGGCCTCGCGCAGGTGAGTATAGAAATATTGACTCGGTGTTGCAAATTACAAAACGGATGACCCATGCATCATGCAATAAACCTTTCCGCGGTAATACATCACAACTTTATTGTTAAAATTAAATTTATTAATGAAATGGATTTCAGCTTCTGGTCTCACTAGTTACAGTATGTGTAAAAATCCAGAAAATCTTGTTTTAACACATGTATGAAATTATTTCCACATGCATTCAATGTTCAAAATGAGAAATATTTTTCCACGCATATGCATGCTAAAAAAACAAGTTTCGTTTTTTGGACAAAGTCAAAGCATAACCTGAAAAAAATATGTTAATTAATGTTGAAGAGCACATTTTAGATTTGGACGGAAAAAGTGTGTCCTTCTTCCTTTGGTTGTTGCATTCATTGTAACCGCTATCTCAGTGGCTATCCCGACAGGAAAGAGTGACGGTTAGTGTTATTTAGAAGAACCTTACTTTCTTCGACTTGTCGCTATCTGTGTGATAAAGTATGAAAACCTTTCAGACTTAAGTGGTGATTTTGTTTTGCAGCAAGTGTCCGTGGACGTATTACAACTGCTATGATTGCAAAGTTTTTCATCAATTTTTCCTTTTCTGGTATTTATCTGTGGTCTGCTGAGATGTTTCCAACTGTGATAAGGTGCCTTATATTTCGTATATTTTCAATTTATGGATTCAAACTGTATATAGTATGCAAAACAATATCATTGGCACTATGTTTCTACGAATTCTAGCCGTAAACCCAGTTTGAAATACCGGTAGCACTTACGTAAGACTTATAAGAACCTGGATTTTCGGTGAGATGAAATTATGGATTGTTTTAGTCGCATTTTGTTATATAGATCGACAGCGATATCTACATCTTCTGCGATCGCACGAATTGGATCATTTACTGCCAGTTACATTATTTGGCTAGTAAGTTTTCTCTTGAAATTTTTTTTATATACATATATTTATATATTACTATTAATTGAATGCTCATAGAAATATCTTCGGACGCAAATAAAAGCTAGTGTTTGGATTTTTTAATAGTAAGATAATTTAACTATCTACTTTGGAGGGGAAGTTGATTGTCATTGAAAGACTATAGCTGGCTTTTTGATGTTTTTCACCCGATCAACCCTATCGATGTACGCAAAGCCATGCAATGAGCTCCTCCAGAAGTTGATGCCACTCAGAACTGTCAGTATGATTAGCTGTTTTTATTGTGAATGCAACATAATGTACAACTGAGATTATAATATACTGTGGCTGGAATTTTTGCCTGTGATTTCAAACGTTTTTAGTAATCAGTTAAATGAAAGGCTCATGATGGCGGACTCCTTTTCCATATGATATATCATCATTGCAAGAACCCAATAGCAATTTTTGTTTTAGATTCGTTACCATGCAGCCCTGCCGTACAGCATAATGGGAATAATTTGCTTCCAAGCAGCAGTTTTTGGGATCTTCTTGCCTGAAACCAAAGGAAAACCAACCTTGGAGACAATGGATGACATGGAGAAAGATCGGGAAGTTGCTTTATCTACGAATGACAAAGACGACGCTGGCGAGAAAAAAAATGTAACTGGTGTCTAATTTCTTTGGGTAGTCAAGTAACACCATTTTGATATTGTTTTTTGGTGAAATCAACATAGAATTCATAGATTGTAGTTTGTGGAATACGTAATCCTTTGAATAAACAGCTATATAACCTCTCGAAATAATTAGAATTGTGAAATTGGTGTTTATAGTTTCTTTAGTTAGCCAAGTAACACAATTTTGATATGGTTTTTTTGCCAAGTCAACAGAGAATTCATAGAAATTGCAGCTTACGTCATTCATAAAACATCACCAACAAATGTAAGATAAACAGGGCCACATTTCGCGCGATAATTCCGAAAGTAGATGCGCATATTAATTGTTATATGATAGTTGGATTTTTTTATTGCAAAAAATTTTAGTTCTTTAGCTCTTTTTAAATCGATCCTCCAAATATTCCTCAAGCACTGTATTTGCCACAAGATATCAAAACAATTTACAGCAAAACCACATGCAGATGAATTTACGAACAATTGCGCATACAACTGCACAGTCTGCACTGAACTACAATGCCCCTGGGCTCTAAAACTTTTTGCTGTCCACTGCATAAGCCTGCAGCACAGATATACTCTGTATATTCGATGCATATATTATAAATATATTATAGAGTCTTCGCTGCAGACTAGTTGCTGCTACGATGAAGCCTGCTCGTTTCAGGCTCACCCGAAGTAATTAATTAATAACAGAATTCAACTAATTACATCTTCGAGATCTCAGATTTCAAGATCAGATTTAAGGATCTTCGCACGTAATCATACACGTAAAGGAACCAAAAAGATCTCCCAAAAGAAAAGAAGTATATCTGCGACCATCCAGACCAGGTATTCTGATTTAATATCTTGCTGCCTCAAGTAGGTAAAATGTGTCAATTATTCCCAGTGATTTGCTGGCTATATATACGTATGATAACAAGCGTATATTATCACAGTATGTTATCATATACCTGGCTTGCTGTGAGAGCAGACTGTGGTACACCGACATTATTAAACTTAAATTTCAAAGATTATACACTTAACGTAGATTTCTATAGTACTCTATTTGGTTTCATAATGTACATGCCTCGAAGGCCCTGACATCAATGTTGATCTTTTCCGGCTGCACGCAAGGTCAGAGACACAAGGCCATGGGTGTGCAAAACTACCCCACATCGTTTCGTATTGTTCGGTGTTCGATCACTCTGGTCCATCATAATTGGTGTGAAACAGTCGCATATTTTGGTTCATAAAAAAAAAACGCGCGCAGGCGGATACGAAGCGGAATCGATGAACGGGGGAAAGGTAGTATCGAGATGAAATGTTAGTATGTGCATGGAGAATCTCAGATAAGCGATCATTGATTAACCCTTTTTGACCCTCACCGGCTGTGTTACCTCAAAGAACGAACGCTTACCTGGGAATAGTACTTCCTGGTTGTAATCCCTACGGTGTTACGGTGTTCTTGAGCTACCGTTACCTCTATTCCTCCACCCTACAGTAGTTGGTTAAGAGAGATCGAGAAATTGTTTATAAAAATTACGGAAAAATATTTACTACCATACTAAAGTAAACTGGTAGTACAAATACAATAAACTTTAATCAAATTACCGACTGACGTCACGACGCGACACCGCCAAGCTGGTGATAGACCGCTCTGTCCACCCATTCTATCATAAAAAAAAGAGAATTCAACTCTTTGTGTTAAGGTCTATCCCGATAGCTACTATCTTTACGAGACTATAACAATGAGTAACCAACAATGGACGACTTGCGCTTTAGACTAATTTCTTACCAGGGCGATGAAAAGGACATCCAAGTTTGGCTGTAAATTGTTGTAAATTTCGGAAAATATAGCTGTGCGAAGTTTACGAATTTTGTATACTTTTGTATCGCGGCCGCGCGTAATACAAAAGTATACAAAATATTCAAACTTCGCATTGCTTTATTTTCCGTATTTTACAAAATTTCGCAGCCAGACTTTGCATTTGCACTAATTTAAGTAAGATCTTTCTGACTGTAACGAGTCATCAATTAATCAACAATCCCCCCCTTTCTTTTAGGCTGAAATACACCAGCAATGGCTAACATAATTGACGATGTTTTTAAAGCGATAGGCGAATTTCGCGAGTATCAATGGTATATCTTCACCTTGATGGGATATGTATTATTCTCTATTGCTGCCTTTGCTTCCATGATAGTGTCGTTTATCACTGCTGAGCCTGACTGGAAATGTGTTGAAGGTTATAAGAATAATACCGTGTGTAGATTTAATAACTCAATAACGTTAACCAGTGATGATTACAAAGCCAGATGTAAAATGCCGAGAGAAGCTTGGACGTTTGTAGATGACTTCACATCCGTTGTTACTGAGGTATTTCCAGAATCGCTACTTTAATAAATGTCCGATGCTGTTGGGTTTCAAGTCAAATTGTAAATATACATGACTTTTGTTCACGTACATATTGCCAGAAACAAATAAATTTCGAAACCAAAGCAATCCTTTCGAGGATGCACGGTAATTCTGTGATTTCTAGCTAGCAAGAAATGTCCTGCTGTTCACAGTTGCCCTACTGTTCAAAGTTGTCAGCTAAAACTACCCACCCTACGACATCCATTTTTATTGGTATTTGGTAACACGTACCATCAATCGATCTTATGTATCTTACGTCAAATTGCTACACGGACGATGACGATTTTACTCGCAAATTTTACTCGCAATCCTCGAAAACCAGACTCTGTCTGAAAGTCTACAATATATTAAAATAATCTGAAATTAAAGTATAGGCCCTATGCCAGGTTTCTGGAACAGACCCGTTATTTTTTTGAACTTTCTTTCAGTACGACTTAGTTTGTGATGATTCAATTTTTCTCTCCATCGCTCAATCCTGTTTCTGGGTTGGAATGTTAATTGCGTTATTGGTCGGTGGTTTTCTATCAGATAAATATGGCAGAAAAAGACTCTGGTATGGCGGTTGTGTTCTTGTCGTCGTTGCCAGTTGGATTATGATATTTCCAAAAGCCTTTTTGGTCTTCTTTGTTTGCCGAGTTTTCATTGGCATAGGTTTAGGTCAGTATGTTCTGCATGTAAAAACATATTTTTGTATTTTTGTTAAAACAACTAATTTGAAATTAGTTGTCTCAAATATACTGATCTCTTTTTGATAATTTCTTTCGGATAGAAACAACCAAAAAATGAAAGAATTGGTTGTTTTCAGTTGTTTTAACAAATAAAAATTGCCAATAAACGAAACTGATAGTTAACCAATTTTTAGAAAGAAACTGAAAGGCATATAGTTTTGTCCTTTAAATGCCTTTCATACAGTTTCTAAACTGTATTGATATAGTTTTTAACGTATATAGGAATATATTTAGTACAATATCTTTTATCATCATTTTATATCTATATACATAATGTCTTTATCCTGTATATTTCACAGGGTTTGCTAATTGCACTGGTTTTCCCTTGCTTGTCGAGTTCACAAGTGAGAGATACCGTTCATGGATGGGAGCTGGTTCCTACGTGTTTTGGGCAGTGGGAATATCAATACTGCCCCTGATTGGATTCTTAGTGGTAGAGTGGAGAATGTTCCTGCTTGTTACAGCTATTATTTCTATCCCCGTCGTGTTTTCATCTTGGTAAATTTTTAATACTCTTCATCACGTCACGATTTCTTCAAATCATCGGAATGTACATCGGAATCAGGAAGGAGTGTACAAAAGGCTTAGACATGCAATCTTATACACGCAATCTGATAACCATTATTTTCACAACCTTTTGAAAAATAAGTACCACTCAAGTTAAGGCGATTTTCATTCAATGCAAAATGTCGCGCGATCAAATTTTTCAAGCGGAACTAATCCTATTAGACGGGTTTGATTAAGCGATTGCAAAGTATCATATTTTACCTCCCTATATTCAGTCGTTTTGTCACTATCAATTTTGTTTCGGTCTAATATGCATATAAAAGGATCAAATCCTCCAGCATCTCGCAGATTCATTAACACACGCTTTATATAATGGAATTGAGTTGATTTTTTTTGTCAGGTTAGTACCTGAATCTCCTCGATGGTTGTTACTAAATGGTAAAGAAGAAGAGGTCAAAAAAGTTCTCTCTAAAGTGGCAAAAATGAATAAACGACCATTACCAGATGATCTCGTGCTGCAAAAACCTGCGATAACTGAAACACGAACGAGTTTTAGGCAACTTTTTAGCAACTGGAAAACTGCTAAGAAAACGTTAATTTGTTGGGATTTATGGTATGTCTCTATTATTTTATTCTTCTAAAATGTAGCATATGACGTGTAGATTAAATTCAGAGAATATAACCGACGAAAGAAAAAAAGGGCTGGAAAATATTCACATTAAAATATTAGTAAGGAGACTTTTTCACAATAGTAAACTTTAGTTATTTTTTCGCTAACAAATCTGCCCGCTTAAGATTATTTGATTCAAATGAAATCAAACGTTAATATTGGGAAAGATATTTCGTTTTCTCCCGTTGAAAGACATAGAGGCATGCATATTCTAACCTCCTCCGCAGAGAATATTTCAGGCAGTTTGAAAAAAACGCCGCAAAATATGACCGCCCGCAAATTTGCCCAGAAAAAGCGGAGGAGATAGATGCATATTTAAAATTTCTGCACTACAAACAGGTTTGCCAACGCTCTTGTGTATTATGGTGTATTTTATGGTTCTGTTGATCTTGGTGGGAACAGATATCTTAATTTTTTCTTGGTCAGTGTTGTCGAAATACCTGCAAATTTTTTTGTTATTTGGGCCCTTGGCAGGTGAGTTGAAGGTGAACTTAAAAAATTTCCGAATCAGTGCAAAGCTAATTGGAATAGTAATCTTTTTTTGTCTTTTGTTTGTTACTTACTATACCAATGTTAATATACCAATATGCTACGGACTATACCAATATCGGAATACTACTATATTAGAGCTGTATATGTAACCTGGAAATTTAATGTGATATATTTATGTGAACCGAGGATATTTTGTTCGCCCAACGTAGCTAACACGTAATAAAGGAGTGCGTTATAAATTGTCATTTTAGATTTGGACGTAAAAAGTGTGTCCTCATTGCAATGGTTCTGGCATTCATTGCATCCGCAATCTCAGTGTCTATCCCTGTAAATAAAAGTTCTGGTAAGCATGTATAGCCCATTTTTTGAGCGACCCCAGCAAATTTGCACTGGTTGACGTCAAGGGTTGGCACTATTTTCCATCTGGCAAACCGCCCTATCATTTTTAGAGAGTGGCATGGGTAGTGGGATAATTAATGTGAAGTATTATATATTATAATAAACATAGGGCAGTTTGCTAGATGGAAAATAGTGCTAACCTTACTTAAACGGCTCTTTTTCCTACAAGGACTTGAAAACAAGGGGGTTTTAAATTTTTCTTGTCGGTGTTCAATATACATCCAACTCTTCTTTTTTGCAGGAAGTATTGGTGGTCGTGTCACAGCTGCTATCACTGCGAAATTTTTTATTAATATTTCTTTTTGCGGCGTCTATTTGTGGTGTGTTGAGCTGTATCCAACTGTTATCAGGTATTACTCTAATTTATAGGTTATACATGAAGTAACAGTTGTTATACTGAGCAGAAATTACAACTATATATCATGATCTGTATAGTAAACAATATTTGAAGATATGTATAGTTTAAAAAGTCTCTATATAGTATATGCTGATGACTAGTTTGTTATTTAGGTCAACTGCACTTTCGACATCATCTTGTGCTGCAAGAATTGGGTCATTTTCTGCTAGTTATATAATTTGGCTTGTAAGTATAACTTAAATTTTTGTTCTTAGAACGTACATTAGAATGTGAAGCGATGAATAAACGAAAAAAGTATATTAAAATATCATTTGGTCAATTAGCGGATACTGGATTCCTGAACGTCGTTAAAACTGGAATTTCCTTTAGATTCGTATTCACACAGCTCTGCCATACAGCATCATGGGAATAATTTGTCTTCAAGCAGCTTTGCTTGGTTTATTCCTACCAGAAACCAAGGGAACTCCAACCAAGGAAACAATGAATGACATGGAAACGAGGGTTGGTTTATTTTTGGTGGGTAACGGTAACACTGTTGAGAATCAGGTCAACGAGAATGAAGCTGGACTTTAGTCGAGGAAAGGGAAATTTACCAACAGAATATCCATTTTATCTTATCACTGCATGTGTCGTCTCTATTTCGCCTCCCTGGATGTAAGAAGCCAGGGTAGAGTTAGAGAATAGACCAGGAACGAATTATGAATCCATCGACGACCAACCCATCATGATCAATGATATTAGAACTGTCTTACCAATCCACCATTATCGTGAAATTTGCACATGCATGATATTAATTTAGGGGTTAATTTATTTTGCATGCAGATGATATCAATTTAATGAATAAAACCTGAAACAGAATGGGACAGTATGTGGTATATTATACGAACCATATAATACTATGGGTTTTCCATGGTTCTTCATTTCCATAGCCTCATTCTAGCTGTCGATAAAACCAAATTCATGCATTCTGTTCTGCCTAACGGTTTCTTTTGGAAACGTACAGGGTGTATGATAAAACTCAGCGACTTAAATATTCATGATTATTCGATCTTTTGTGATCGAATAGAGAGCGATTATCATGAATATTATCAATAATAATTATCATGAGTATTTACGTTTTTTAAACGCCCTGTATATACGTACAAAAGAAACCCGTCGGCAGAACAAATACAGTATATGAACTTAGTTTCGGCCCTGAACAAGTCTAAATACGTTCATTATTGACATTAATGCCAGGAATGGTTCGCAGTTGGATTTTCTTTTTCACATCTAACAAATACATGGTTTAACTTGTGGAAAACTTCGCGCGGGTTCGATATAAACTTTCTCAACCATGCAATTAACCGTTTCCCAATCTAAGGTCTAGATTATATGAACTTTTCATGTGCATGCCAAATCGGATTTTTCTTGTGCCTGAAGTGTAAACGCGGGTTTTGAGAGGAGAGTTTACAAAGGACAAGTGAACGGGGAACCATTTTGCTGTATTTTCATTCCGCGGAAACAAACAATCACTTTCAAAAGAAATCAGTCGAGTACAAAGCTAATACACTAATACTAAGTTATACTGAACATAATACATTGTATTCAGCCGAGATATTTATGCATCGTCATATCCTCATTTGCATGCACTCTTTCGTGAAAGATAGTTAATAAATGCACTTATTCACACATAAAGAACACTGCATGTTATTATTGATAATCGATAAATTCTCTGCGAAAGGAGTTAACCAAAGTGGTCTGTTTACCGGACAACGACGTTCATTTGTGATTTTTTTCAGCTGAAGTAGCTTCAAAGCAGGTGATAAAGTTAATTGATTCATTGTTGTTAATTGTTAAATGAAGATCTTTGCCTTAGGAAGTATAAATGAGGTGTATCAGGGTTCAGGAATATTTAAGTAATTCAGTGATAGATGCCTCAGTTTCTATTTGATCCTAAAATGTTAAACTTTGATATGTCTTGAGATGATTGACACTTCTCCCAGCCGGGGTTGATGGCACGAATACATCCAAGATTCTCATGCAGTTTTGAACTTGTTATGTCGCTTACTTTAATACTAGCTTAAATGTTCATGTTCTTTATTTGCAATATGTATATTTACATTAGCATCTCAATGGCGCTCAAAACATTTGAAAGGGGCATTTATTGGTATATATATATATATATAACTTGGCACATGCAATGTTATTACCCAGGTCATCCATATGGCAACAAACCACCAAAAACGCAAGAATGCACTAATAAAACACGGAAAAGCTCGATTTGTCAGAAATCGTATTTCTGGCAAAATATATTTGCATTTTCTGCCAGGCGCTCCATTTTTCGTCTCCCCCCCCCCAAATTCTTTGCGCGCTCGCTCAGCTTAGCCACTGATCTATGTAAAAACCTGTCGTGTTCCTAAATTTATTTTGATAAAAGCGCCTGGGAACGAGGCTGGGGTCGAAGTGTGACTGACATTGTTTAAGGTTCTAACGCATGAACTGTCAAGCATTGTGATTGGACGAAATTACTCGCAGCGAGCTTGCGAGTTAGTTTTTGCGATGAGTGTGTGAGAGCGTTGACTGCACAACACGATAGCATTCAGTGGCGGTTCAAGGTTAGCCAGAATAAATTACTAGTTTACTACAGCTCAAAATCGTAATCGCATTTGTAGATTTTTAGATATCCATGACCAATTGCGTTGTTATTAATTAAGGTATTTTGAATTTAAAATGATCCGCCACTGATAACATTTTTCATTCAAAGTAGACAAAGTACAAAGTCAAATACAAAGTACTTGAAAATAGAATTAACAGCGATTCGCATTTGAGGGTGGGTTCAGACTTCAGAGTTCAGAATTTTTGCCTGCCTCCAGAGATGGTAGTCAACATGGGCACGCGGTTCCCAACACACGAGTCGAATTCAACTCACGTGAAAGCTGATAATATCCAACTCAAAAGATTAAATATAGTTTTTTCAACTTTTTTCAATCAATCCAAACATGAAAATAAGTGGTTATCACGTAGATTTTTTTCCATTCACTCATGCTGTCAGGGACGCCGAAATATATGCGAGGTTAATGGCGGTTTTCCACTAGGCGGAATTTTTCGACCGAACGAAATTTTTCGTTCCATATTCCTTTCAATTGTGAGAATTCGACCGTAGCGCATTCCCTTTATCGGTCACAATTGAAAAGAAAATCGAGCGGAAAATTTCGTTCAATCGAAAAATTCCGCCCAGTGGAAAACTGGCTTAAAGGCGGGCAAATTTCGTGAATTAAACACCACGAGTAGCGATAACTGCTCAAGGATATTTGCAAAACATCGTTCGCTGAACCTTGTTTCGTCATGTTTTCTCTTGATTTTTTTGTGCTATTCTTAAAGCTCATTGGTTGAACTTTTACCTAAGATATATAGAATTTAATCCTCTAATAAAAGGGTATCTTTTCCTCATAGCTCCTGCATGCCCGCTATATAATTTTATCGTGAGTCAATCATGGCCAGAAATTGCGGACATGGAATATGCAGATTGCCGTAGCAAATTTGCATATCTGTTCAAATATTATTCGTTTGCAGAACTATAAATTATATTACGCATTCTTAAATTTTGCAAAATTTAAGAAAATCATTGCATCTTTGCTATTTGCCCTGGTTGTTTCTTGTAACTCGTGTCATATTGAAGATCCTGAGGTAATATTTTGCTGGCAAAGGTTTATGTCGGCTCTGCATTTTTATTTTATTTCTACGCTATTACGGTTTTCGTTTTATATGGTATTCAACGTGATAAATGACCAAAACTTTGTTTTGAAAATGCAGGACGAATACTGATAAAACATTTTGAAATACTGTATAAAAATATTAAGATTAACTTGCTCTGCAACGAGCAATTAAGGCAAATTATAATTGACCTACCTAAAGGTGTATTTTTAGCGTTTAGTACTGTGCACATTACAGTTTACTATAAACTCACGAAGCTTTATTTTGACACCATATGCAAATTTAGGCGGAAGTAGAATGTTAAATATGTCCGAATTTTCTGGCCATGAATCATTTCGCGAGAATTCACATGCAATTGTGTAGCAATAACTTCACTATTTCCTTCCGTTTATATAGACGATTATAATTCGAACTACGAAATGGCCACTGCGATTAATGATGCCTTTGTGAAGATTGGCGAATTTCGTCAATATCAATGGTTTTTATTGACCTTGATGGGATACGCATTAATGGCGATTGGTGCTCTACCTGCAATGATAGTGTCGTTTATCACTGCTGAACCTGACTGGAAATGTGTTGAAGGTTATAAGAATAATACCGTGTGTAGATTCAACAACTCAATAACGTTAACCAGTGATGATTACAAAGCCAGATGTAAAATGCCGAGAGAAGCTTGGACGTTTGTAGATGACTTCACATCCATTGTTACTGAGGTATAGCATTCGTCAGGCAAAATTTAATGGCTAGTGGACATAAATTTTATTTCCTATGGCGTGCAATGAATTTACTATTATTTAAAGGCACCGGTCATTTCTGCACGAATTGGATAAAAGTTTGAAAATTTTTATTCTAGCTTATAAGCGTCTATAACAACGCTCTGTTATTAAAAGCATTCAGCATTGCTACTGTTTTCATGACTATATATATATATATATATATATATATATATATAACTTTTAATTTTTTTACAGTACGACTTAGTTTGTGATGATTCAATTCTTCTCTCTATCGCTCAATCCTGTTACTGGGTTGGAATGTTAATTGCGTTATTGGTCGGTGGTTTTCTATCAGATAAATATGGCAGAAGATTAGTTTTGTATGGTGGTTGTGCTCTTGTAGCCATTGCGACTTGCATAATGGTCTTTCCAAAGTCGTTTGTGGTATTCATTGTTTGCCGAGTCCTAATTGGTATAGGTTCAGGTAATTATCTCTACTTTGTCAGGACTCATACGAAGGTCCTCGGGTCGAAACGTCGAGAAGTGTTTTGTCTATTTTAGGCAGTTTTAATACCACATTTGATGCTAAGTTGTTTGAAGACGCTGCCACGCTGCCCCTCTGCATGGTTATATCAGAATTTTATTACACTTTTTTGTTAGTTATAGCGTGTTCTATACCTTTCATATAGGGTTCCGAAATGCCACTCATTTCACCTTGCTTGTCGAATTCACAACTGAGAGATATCGTTCATGGATAGGTGTAGGTTCTTTCATATTTTGGGCAGTTGGAATATCAGTAATGCCTCTGATTGGGTTTTTAATCCCTGCGTGGAGAATGTTTCTGCTTGCCACAGCTGTTATTGCCATCCCCGTGCTGTTTATATATTGGTACGTTTTGTCAGATATGATTAAATTTGAAAGCCTAAAGCTTTTTGGATTAAAAATATATATTTTCGATTAGCAAAAAATACCTTTCAACCTACTTTTTTAACTGTGCATTAAGCATCTCCTAGTTTTTATGAACATTATGAAAGGTAACGGTAATTTAAAAAGTCCAAATCACGCAAATACGTAGCGAGTTTATTTTATTTCTTTTAGGTTAGTACCAGAATCTCCTCGATGGTTGTTACTAAATGGTAAAAAAGAAGAGGCCAAAAAAGTTCTTACCAAAGTGGCAAAAATGAATAAACGACCATTACCAGATGATCTCGTGCTGCAAAAACCTGTGATAACTGAAACACGGATGAGTTTTAGGCAACTTTTCAGAAACTGGAAAACTGCTAAGAAAACACTAATTTGTTGGGATTTATGGTATGTTACAACTCAATAATGTAACTTGAGAAAAAGGTTGTTTGGAAAACAACGCAATATTATAGCTAGAAACCATTTTCGTACCTTTTTAACATAAGCGTTCGAAAATTCGTAATATAAATACGTAACCACTGCATGTTAGCATTGTTTATCGCACCACTCCGCAGCTAACCAGCGTGCACCATTTAATGCATTTGCATCACCTAAACTAGCGGCTCATCTTTGCCAAAGTGAAATTACACATGTAGTGCTCCAGCAATTAACGTATTAATCAAAAGTTGACTTTCGTATATACCGACGCCAACCAATTTTTCCGATTCCCGAAAAAATCAAGAAATATCATGCAAACAGCTCGGTGAGGTCATGCAGTTTTTGTTTTTTTATCTTGCAGGTTTGTCAGCGCTTTGGTGTACTATGGTGTGTCTTATGGTTCTGTTGATCTCGGTGGGAATAGATATCTAAATGTTTTCCTGGTCAGTGTTGTCGAAATACCTTCAAATTTTGCATTAATTTGGGCCGTGCGCAGGTGAGTAAAAATGTTAATTGAGTGTTACAAGTCCTAAAACGGATTACCCGGCCATCAATAGACTTTTCGTCACAACTTTATTGTTTTTTTTAACTTAGAACCACCTTAATAATAGAATGGATTTCAACTTTTAGTCACACTATAGGTGTAGATTAACATTCAGAAGATGTTGTTTCAACACATGCATGGAAAAGATTTTAATCGAAAAGATTATTTTCTGTGGCAACAAATTCAAAATTGGTTGCCTCAGATTCATCTTTTTTTGCTTATTTCGACTTAACTCGACAAATGTAATGTACATGTACATTTTAGATTTGGACGAAAAAAGTGTGTCCTCTTTGCTTTGGTTGTTGCATTCATTGCATCCGCTATCTCGGTGGCTATCCCGACAGGAAAGAGTGGCGGTTAGTGTTATTTAAAAAAAACTTACTTTCTTCGACTTGTCGTCATCAGTGATGCAGAGTTTAGAGAATGAAAACTTAAGTATTGATTTTATTTTGCAGTAAGTGTCCGTGGACGTATTACAACTGCTGTAATTGCAAAGTTTTTCATAAATATTTCCTTTTGTGGTATCTATTTGTGGTCTGCTGAACTGTTCCCAACTGTGATAAGGTACATTTTAAAGTTTATAGAAATAAACGGCTAGTAAAAGAACCTAGTATATCGTATTTTACCAATTGTATGGATTCAAAATTGTAGATAGTAAATAAGAGGTGGGAAAGTTTGTTGATGTTTTCTACGAATTCTAGGTAAACCCAATTTGAACGGGAGAATTAATATACGTAAGAACCTGGGATTTGCGGTTAATAAGTTAATTTTATTGAATAAGCCGTTGCATTTTTTTTGCCTTGTCGAAATAAGTTTATCCTGAGAGTTTATAAACAAAGAAAACTGATCCATTCCGCGCCGTCTAGTGGGTTTTCCTGGCCTGGCGTTTCTCGCTTCAAAAAAATGAAGGATATGGATAGTTATATAGATCGACAGCGATGTCTACATCTTCTGCGATGGCAAGAATTGGATCATTTACTGCCAGTTACATTATTTGGCTGGTAAGTTTACTGGTAATTATCATCGAATGTGTGCAATATATGTTATATATAAATGTTGCAATATAATTTATCAGTAAGATAAATTTGTCTACTTTGACGGCGTTGCAAGGGCGTCGTAGAATGAAAGTTTTTTAAGTTTTTCACCGATCAGACTACATCGATAATCGATGTAAGCCCTGTTTTCCACTTCAACTGTATCGTAACGCAACGTAGCGTATTTCTCTGTTTCTGAAGTATTCGACCAGAACTAATGACTTTAAACCAATGAGATACGCTACGTTTCGCTACGATACGGTTAAAGTGGAAAGAGTTTGGTCTTAAGACACAATAAAGATAAATACGCGAAGGCATGCGACCGGAGCTCGTGCAGGAGTTGATGCCACTCAGAACCGTCACATTTTTTCCTGGTGACTTCAGAAGACTTCAAAGTTTTAAGCAAATCTAGCGTTCGTAACTATAAAGGATTTCTAGCAATTCGTTGAATAAAAGGACTAAAAGGCTCATGCCACCCGGTCGGGAGTGATTTTATGATACTTCATCGATCATTACGAAAACCATTCAATAGGATTTTTTATGCGATTTTTAGATTCGTTACCATGCAGCCCTGCCGTACAGCATAATGGGAATAATTTGCTTCCAAGCAGCAGTTCTTGGGATCTTCTTGCCTGAAACCAAAGGAAAACCAACCTTGGAGACAATGGATGACATGGAAGAAAAGCGGGAAGTTGCTTTACTTTTGAATGACAAAGACGACGCTGGTGAGATTCTTAAGAAACAAAATGAGATTTGCCTTTAGTCTCTTTGAGTAGTCCAGTAACACTATTTTGAAATTGTTTTTTTCCGAAGTCAACATAGAATTCTCAGTTTACAGTTTGTACGATACGGAGTAAGTAATTTGAATAAAAAGTCAACTTTTCGAAATAATTAGAGCTTGGTGGTGTAATTTTGAATAAAGGAAGACCTTGTGTCTTTCAATAACATCATCTCCATAGCAGAATTTAAGGTGTTTCGGTGTAGTATTTTCAAAAATGGAAAACTGTGAGAAAAGTCTAAATCATTCTAAAGGTACTTCTTTCTCTTTGACGAACGATTTCCGACTCACACTTTTTTGAATTTTGAAATTTCGAAAAATATCAAGAAAATTACGATTTTTTCATATGGTCGTCCGACGATTTGCCTGAAATTTTAAAATTCATCAAAGTAAGATTTTATGTCTCAAATGTATTAGTTTCATGAAATAATGTAATTCTACTTTGTTTTCAACCACTTCGAGCTATTTTGAACCGAATTTTGAAATTTCGAAAAATTGGGTAAAATTACGGTTTTTCCTTTGGTCTTCCGATTGCCTGAAAATTTGAAAATTATCAAAGTATGATTTTATGTCTTCAAATGCATTGCTTTCATGAAATAATGTAATTCTACTTAGTTTTGGACCATTCCGAGGCATTTTGGACCGAAGTTTGAATTCTCAATAAAATGACCAAAATTACGATTTTTTCAGCCTTTTGTCTTCCGTTAGCAATTTGCCTGAAAATTTTAAAATCATCAAAGTAAGATTTAAGTCTCAAATGTATTGGTTTCATGAAAAAATGTAATTTTACTTAGTTTTGAACCATTTTGAGTTATTTTGAACCGAATTATGAAATTTCGAAAAATTGAGGAAAATTACGATTTTTCCTTTGGTCTTCCGAGTTGCCTGGAAATTTTAAAATCATCAAAGTAAGATTTTATGTCTCAAATGTATTGGTTTCATGAAAGAATGTAATTCTACTTTGTTTTCAACCACTTCGAGCTATTTTGAACCGAATTTTGAAATTTCGAAAAATTGGGGGAAAATACTATTTTTTTCTTTGGTCTTCCGAGTTGCCTGAAAATTAGAAATTCATCAAAGTAAGATTTTATGTCTCAAATGTATTTGTTTCATGAAATAATGCAATTTTACTTTGTTTTCAACCACTTCGAGCTATTTTGAACCGAATTTTGAAATTTCGAAAAATTGAGGAAAATTACGGTTTTTCCTTTGGTCCTCTGAGTTCAGGGCCGTAACTAGAACGATAATTGGGGGGGTGTTTATTCATATATTCAGTTCTGCCCGACGAATTTCCATTGTGAGCTATTGCACTTACAAAAGAAATCCGTCGGGCAGCACTGAATATATGAATAAACACCCCCCCAATTATCGTTCTAGTTACGGCCCTGCCGAGTTGTCTGAAAATTTGAAAATCATCAAAGTATTGTTTTATGAGTTCAAATGCATTGCTTTCATGAAAGAAGTAATTCTACTCATCTTTGAATCATTTCGAGGCATTTTGCACCGAATTTTGAATTTTCGAAAAATTGACGAAAATTACGACTTTTTCTTTGGTCCATGCAGCGTTACCGATTTGCCTCAAATTTTGAGATTCATCAAAGTATGATTTTATGAGTTCAAATGTTTTGTTTTCATGAAAGAATGTAATTCTACTCACCTTTGAACCATTTCGAGGCATTTTGCACCGAATTTTGAATTTTCGAAAAGTTGACGAAAATTACGACTTTTCCTTTGGTCCATGCAGCGTTACTGACCGACTTGCCTCAAATTTTGAGATTCATCAAGGTATGATTTTATGAGTTCAAATGTTTTGTTTTCATGAAAGAATGTAATTCTACTCACCTTTGAACCATTTCAAGGCATTTTGCACCGAATTTTGAATTTTCGAAAAATTGATGAAAATTACGATTTTTCCTTTGGTCCATGCAGCGACCGATTTGCCTCAAATTTTGAGATTCATCAAAGTAAGATTTTATGAGTTCAAATGTATTGTCTTCATGAAAGAATGTAATTCTTACTTAGTTTTGAACCATTTTACACCGAATTTCAAATTTTTGAAAAATATACGAAAATTACGATTCTTCCTTTAGAAAGTAGCGTTTCCATTTAGGAAATTTTTTTTTTCGTGTGTCTAATTTTTTTTCCTCTCAAATTTTTTTTCTTGTATCCAAATTTTTTTCATGTCAATTTTTTTCTCGTGTGTCCAATTTTTTTTCTTGCGTCTGAATTTTTTTCCAGCCAATTTTTTTTTCGTTCATTTTGGTTTGGAAGACTGTGTCTGGCTTGGGCTCCCTGTGTAGCAAGACAAATAAATTTCATTTATCTCCATTTTTTTCTTGTATCCAATTTTTTTCCAGCCAAATTTTTTTTCGTTTCAAATTTTTTTTCTTGGCAATTTTTTTTGTGTCCAAATTTTGTTCCCCGACTTTTTTTAACTTTCAGTCCTTTTAGAGAGACGTGTTTTTAATTTTTTACTTTAATGTTTTTAATTTCTTTTACTTTAACTCAGGTAATTTTTACTCAAGTATTTTTTAAAGGGGATAACTTTTTAATTTTTTTTCATTTTTCTTTACTTCAAAATTTCAATTTTTAAGTCTTTTCCGAAGACCCGGGAGTCTTCAGGCTAATTTTTTTTGCACTGCCAGGACTTGAAAAACCTTTCCCATGTATAATATATATGTTGTAATGTTAGTATCCACATAAGATTCGGTGGCGGAGTGGTTAAGGCTACGGCCTACCAGGTTGTAAGCGTAGGTTCGAATCCTGCATGGGAAAGGTTCGATTTTTCCTACCGAAATTGCTATTTAATTTAAAACTCGTCGAAAAGTATTTAGTCAAATAAAGAACAATAGCTTTCGACAAATGATGTGGTGGTCTAGTGGTTAAGGCGTTCATCTATCAATCCGAGGACATACGTTTCAATCCTCGCAATGCTAAAAAATTAGCCAGAAAAATTTCAGTGTGATTTGGAATGTTTAAATTAGTTAAAAGATTTCTAAGCGTTTCAGGAAGACTGTAAATTAAAAAAAGGTTGAAATAAAAACCTGAAAAAAATTTCTCGCGTTCCAAAGTACTTGAAAATTGAAAAAAAAGCACAAGCAAAAAGTTTTAAAAACACGTGTCTTCTAAAAAGCCTGAAAATGAAGAAAGTCAGACGGAAAAAAATCAAACAATTTCCCGCTTTTAAAAAACTCATGTTTACTTACCTTAATTTTTTTTCACGAAAATTTGACAGGGTGATTTTCTCGAGAGTGAAAAAATTTAGTTTTTTTCACTTTTTTGAAATTCTCTTAGATTTTTTTTTTGACGCGGAAGTATTTTGTCTTGGGCTACCTGTGTCAAGCCAGACACAGGTTGCCCAAGAGAGACACAGGTAGCCCAAGACAAAATACTTCCGCGTCAAAAAAAAAATCTAAGAGAATTTCAAAAAAGTGAAAAAAATTAAATTTTTTCACTCTCGAGAAAATCACCCTGTCAAATTTTCGTGAAAAAAAATTAAGGTAAGTAAACATGAGTTTTTTAAAAGCGGGAAATTGTTTGATTTTTTTCCGTCTGACTTTCTTCATTTTCAGGCTTTTCAGAAGACACTTGTTTTTAAAACTTTTTTTTGTGCTTTTCTTTTAATTTTCAGGTACCTTTGAACGCGATAATTTTTTTTATTTCAATTTTTTTTCAATTTACAGTCTTTCACAAAGTCCGAGAAGTCTTTTCACTGTTTTACACATTCCAAATAACACCGAGATTTTTCAGGCTAATTTTGTTGCATTGCCAGGAGTTGAAACGTTTGTCCTCGGATTGAGAGACGAACATCTTAACCACTAGACCACCGCGTCATTTGTCGAAAGCTATTGTTCTCTATTTGACCTAATCCTTTCGGATGAATTTTAAATTAAATAGTAATTTCGGTGGGAAAAATCGAACCTTTCCCATGCAGGATTCGAACCTACCCTTACAACCTGGTAGGCCGCAGCCTTAACCACTTGGCTACCTCAATAACATATATATTAAGGCTACTATCAACAACCAATCCTACGGCCCAGTGGTTAAGGCTGCGGCCTACCAGGTTGTAAGGGTAGGTTCGAATCCTGCATGGGAAAGGTTCGATTTTTCCCACCGAAATTACTATTTAATTTAAAATTCATCGAAAAGGATTAGGTCAAATAGAGAACAATAGCTTTCGACAAATGACGCGGTGGTCTAGTGGTTAAGACGTTCGTCTCTCAATACGAGGACAAACGTTTCAACTCCTGGCAATGCAACAAAATTAGCCTGAAAATCTCAGTGTTATTTGGAATGTGTAAAACAGTGAAAAGACTTCTCGGACTTTGTGAAAAACTGTAAATTGAAAAAAAATTTGAAATAAAAAAACCAAAAAAAAATTATCGCGTTCAAAAGTACCTGAAAATTAAAAGAAAAGCAGAAGTAAAAAAAGTTTTAAAAACACGTGTCTTCTAAAAAGCCTGAAAATGAAGAAAGTCAGACGGGAAAAAATCAAACAATTTCCCGCTTTTAAAAAACTCATGTTTACTTACCTTCATTTTTTTTCACGAAAATTTGACAGGGTAATTTTCTCGAGAGTGAAAAAATTTAATTTTTTTCACTTTTTTGAAATTCTCTTAGATTTTTTTTTTGACGCGGAAGTATTTTGTCTTGGGCTACCTGTGTCTCTCTTGGGCAACCTGTGTCTGGCTTGACACAGGTAGCCCAAGACAAAATACTTCCGCGTCAAAAAAAAAATCTAAGAGAATTTCAAAAAAGTGAAAAAAACTAAATTTTTTCACTCTCGAGAAAATCACCCTGTCAAATTTTCGTGAAAAAAAATTAAGGTAAGTAAACATGAGTTTTTTAAAAGCGGGAAATTGTTTGATTTTTTTCCGTCTGACTTTCTTCATTTTCAGGCTTTTTAGAAGACACTTGTTTTTAAAACTTTTTTTTGTGCTTTTCTTTTAATTTTCAGGTACTTTTGAACGCGATAATTTTTTTTTGGTTTTTTTATTTCAAATTTTTTTTCAATTTACAG